GATGTGCGATAAACCCGGGTGCGACGTTAGATGATCAGCGTCTTCTGGCCAGCAGCACACCAGCTGAACAATATTAGGATCATGTCCACATCCCAGAAGAGCAGCCTTGACAATGTTGATAAAGTATTCTGAGCTCCACCTCACATTCTCGGAGCATTTCACCACGCACGCATTTCCAGTGAAGATACTGGCAATGACGGGGCCCATGAGATTGTGGAAGGGGTAGTTCCAACTCACCAAAGCAGCAACCACACCCAGAGGCTCGTATCTGACTTCAGCCCTTTTGTAGCTCATGAGTAGATTGGAAGGACCAGGTCTCGTGGATGTCTTCAATGACTTCTCGCCGTTCTTGAGGATCCAGTTGATCTTCTCCAGAGTAACCAGAATTTCTCCCATCGAAGCATCAACCATGGTCTTGCCAGAATCCCGACATGCCACACGAGCAATTATCTCTTGGTTATCACATATAAACTGGTTTAAAGTCCTCAAGACCTTCCGGCGCTCCTTGAACGAAGTTAACGCGAACTTCTGTTGGGCTTCAGCTGCCAATGCAATGGCCGTGTCTATATCCTCAGTAGTTGAAGACTTGAATTTACCCAAATATTGGCCAGTGGCTGGACAGTAAGACTGGATAAAAGCTGGCTCATCCGGGTTCCTGATGGAGACAGGGTTCAGCCTCTTACCTTTCCAGTGCGGTTTGGCCTCTTCTGGAGCAATAACCTCAATCTTTACAGCACTTTCTGCTCTCTTGCGCGATTTCCTTAAAAAAAAATAAAACGTGGGAAACACTACAGTCACCAGAAAGGAGACCGAAATTTGTATAGGAAGCCAAGCTGGATTGGTTAGCTGAACCATTGTCTTGTTGATCTCTTCGAGCACATACTGGGACTTCCGGGAGAACACCTCAGCAGTAAGCAACGAATCTTTCCAACTCGAGTTCAGAGCCATTGAGAATGGTCTTTAAGAATTGACTCCAATCTCTGTTGAGTCTTTCACGTGATGAGCAAGAATGAAGAATGAAGAATGAAGAGAGTTGTCTTGTTCCATCGTCATCGCGACTTGTCATCGCGACTTGCCAACAATTCCTACTGCAGGTCTCTTTGTTCGCACACTTCTGTGTAACCCGTTCGAATACGGCGGTGGACATTTTTCACGGTTTGATTCTGAAACCTTGCGATTCTAAAAGTTGATTATTTAAATGTACTCCATCAGATGCCAATTAACTGATTAGGCAGCGTTAATATGCAATTCAGGAGTTGGTTTGGTGACAGCCTCCAGTAACAACTTCACGACGGCAGCCTGTTTCTCAGCTGCAGTTTTCTTGATGGCCTTTAACTCGGACTCAACCGCAGCTTCGGCAGCCTCCTCGGCAGCTTTGTTCGAACCGGAATGCTGCAGATGTGTTAGTAAACGGCATTGGCCACGCTATAGCTATCTGGACGGATTCAGCTCTGGAATTCTCGCTAGATAAACATCCGCCGCAATCATGTTAACTCACCTCTTGTTCGTATCCCTTCAATTCTGCTTCCTTCTTCTTCTTGTAGACGTCAATGTCTGCCGCAGCGTCTGCCTTGGCAGCCTTCAACTTCTGGGCACGATCTTCGGTATGGGGTCAGTAAGTGGTCCTTCTTGCATAGAAGCATATCATACATACATTGCCTGGCTTGAGATACAATCTCGTGGGCTTCTTTTTCCGCCTTGAGGGTTCAATTGGTTAGAAATGTGATCTTCAGAATGACAATCTTCAACGTGATGGTCTGGTAGTGTGGTGCAGATGGCAACCTCTAAGAACTTACTTTCAAAAGAGTTTGGATTCCAGACTGGGAAGAAAAGTTAGTATAAGAACACGAGAACAATCAAATCCCTAAAAAAACTCACCATTTTGGTTTGAAACTATCTCGATTGCTGCTAGATAGTAGCACGTAAGTGTCATCTTGGTGGTCCTCCAGCTCAACCATGCAGCCCTCCCTGGCTGCTTGGTGACACGATCAATAATTGGCAGCGTCTTGTTCCCTGTCGTGAGGCTCAAATTTTTCTGCTCTTATGCAGCTTCTGTTTTGAGTTATTCCTACTCACGCTCGCAATGTCAGAAGAGGAGGCAAAATGCTGCATTTGTCATTTAGAGAAGGTAAAGTACAAATGTCCTGCTTGCTTGAGAAAGACTTGCAGTGCCAAATGTGTGGGAAGGCATAAACTCCAGTTCGAGTGCTCTGGGAAAGCTGATCCAACCAAGTACCAACCAAAGCCTGAGATAAGACCAGAGACAATCCAGCGAGACTACAATTTTCTGTTAGATGTTGGAAGACGGATAGATCTTTCGAAGCGCGATGCTCATACTGGAGCTAGGGCAATGTTCATAGGAGACCACAATAGGCGACGCCAATTCGGGCAGCGGAATGATGTTGAAGGAGTGGTGGTCACTCGAGGAGTTAATGTGCGAAGGTCACCAATTGGTATGTCCAGAAGTAAGACCAACAAGAGCGGCTTTGATAAACGGAAGAACGTGTTTGCATGGACTGTCCAATGGCTGCTGGTGGACGAAGAGCTAAATGTCACGGCAAAGGCAATCACCCACAGATTGAACGAAACGGCATTTCTCGGCGATTCGGTACCATTGAAACCTTTAGGTTTGTTGGGAGTTAGCGATAAGGGTGAGAATACAAATGGAGAAGCTGAGGAAAGAAAACAGTTGCATTTTTACTTTAAAGACCAAAAACATCCCAAGAATGTCACTTTCACCAAGTTGGACGGCAGCTGCACCTTGATGGAGGTATTGAAGGGCAAAACAGTTATTGATTTTCCTGATTTCTATGTGACTGAATCTGATACGGTTTCATTCAATGTTCGTGAAGAAAACGCGACCGATAATGACTCGAGTGAGGATTCAGATTCATCATCAGACAGCTCTTCAAGCTCAGATACGGACTCCAGTTCCGATGAAGAGGACATATCGGAAGAAGACACAGACGTTCCCGAAGAATCCTCTTCAAAGCATATACCGGTACCGGAAGATTAGCATTCACCATGTATATTAAATTATAGCATTATTTGAGATTGGTCAATGAAAGAGTAGATAGTCTCCGATTCCTCAGTGGTGGGAGGAAGAACGTCAAATTCAAAAACGTCCCCGTCGAAGAATTGTCTCGGAATTTTTGCCATTACGGAATCCTCTCCAGAAAGTATGACATATCTGATCAAATTATCAGGTATTGGCTGGTCTTTGGAGTCTGAAGCGGACTTCTTGATAGTGGTAATGAGTTTCATGAGTTCGTCGTGAAGAAACTGTTTTGAGGCCGCATCGTCCCAAATTAAATGAGCACGCACCAGATAGGCAGCAGTGGCAACAGAAGTGTGACTGGAAACATCACCTTTATAAGCTGGAATTCCAGCAGCCAAACCAACCTTTTCAAGAATCATGTGTGCCATGTATGGGTATCGCAGGTATGCCAGGGTCAAAGCCTGTCTAGCCTTTTCACTCTCACCCAGCTTTAAATGCGCAAGTGCAACCGAGTAAGCCAAAGAGGGAACAAACCAGTCAGAATTAGCCTGGCAGAAGGGCGAGTTCACAAAATCAATCAAATATTGGTATTGGCCCGCGAGAACAGCATAAAAGTCAATGAAGTGTCTCACCCCATATGGATCGTCTTCTGGTGAAAAACTGAGTAGCAGCTTGCAGTAGTTCAACGCAGTGAAAAATGTAGACTTCTGCGTGAGAACTTGAATGTATCTAAAAATACACAAGTAGAACTGACGATTGAGAAAGTACTCAAATGGCAAGCGACAGAGACCCGATCCTACCGCAAAGCTCTGCTTGAAGGACCTGTCAAATACAAAAAGCCCACGCTCAACGAGAGCACTGCTCTGTATCTTTTGTCCCTGTCTGTAGAGAATCATGGCAACCTGGAGTAATGTTTCTATGTGATATGGAGATCTCTGTAGCAAGTTGATGAGAGCCTCGTGATCTGGCTGGATAGCAACCGTAATGAAGAACTCTGTATCAAACTGAGTCTTTCCCTCAAATGCGAAATACTGTATTCCAGCAGCTGCTTCAGCTTCCAATTCAGCTTTGATAGCAACTGGCCATTCTGAAGCATCTCTTGCCATTGCTATTTGTTGGACTTTCTGAATATTCAGCTCCATCATCAGGAAGTCTTTCTTCGTAGTAGGTATCCAATCATCACGAATCTTCGTCAGCACTAACTTCCTCATGGTTCCTGGTATCGACCTTCTGTCCTTTCCACCCCATCCGCGAACCATTTTTGCCATTCTCCTAATTTGGGCCAAAACTTCGGGACTTACAGATCCTGACAAAGTAGAATCCACATCATCGATGATCTCCTCAGGCAGTTTGCCGAACAGGTTCCTGAACTCTCTATCTGGATCCAGGAACTTGGGATCAAACTGTAGCAATGAAACGGCTTCAATAAAAGCTTTGGATGTTAATCTGTGTGAATTCTCGTAGTAATGGCCCAGGGTCTCGGAGAATTCTTCATCTTCCACATCCTCCAATTGGTCAAGACCTTTAGCCTGACTAGCCTTACCCGTGGAGAATGTATCTCCGCTAATAACGGCCGCGGCCTTCTTGCGAGCTCGGCTCTTCTTCTTTTTGTTCCTTTTCTTCTTCTTTGCTGATTCGGTTGCGGAAATGTCCTCTTTCGCATCGTAGAACGTATCTTCGTCGCTCGAGTTGACCGCTCCAGGTGTCTCCTCGACAGCATCAGGATTGGCATTACCAGCTTCATTTTCGGACCCAATTTTTTCCTCTTCATCAAGTGATTCATATTCGTCTTCCTCTTCCTTCAAAAATGCAAACGCATTTACCTTATGAGGTTGGATTTGTTCCTCCTCTGATGATTCGTCTTCGTTAGAGTGATTCGGCTGGCCTTTCTCCTGCATCGTCAAGTTGGCCAACTCGTCCTCAAGCTTCTGCTTCTCTAATCTCCGCAATGCTCTGGATGACATTCTTATTTGATTTTCACTAACTTCGTGGGTTCAAATCAACTGTATGACAAATTCAACTGGGTGTCATAGCGATGAAAAATCATTACTCTTGCGAACCCCATCGAGGGTGTGTGCGGCTGAAATTTGCCGGTTACACTTACTGTTTAGGGAAAGGATCTTTAAAGCATGAAACTGAAGTTTTGATTTGATGCCGGATAATGAGAAGATAGCGAAATCTAACCAAGTGTTTTGTGGAACAATATTCATACAGCACTGGGGAACCGTTCTTGAAAGTGTTTCTCTAAATCGTCAATTTCGCCCACCGAAAAGTCGCTCGTTATGCTTGAACGCTTATTCGACGAAGCAGATGCCATTGGGACTTGCAGCTCCTCTCCGTAGCCACTGCTTCTGCGACTAGACGACGTGGTGGTTGACGAGGTGAACTCTTGGTGGAGTTTGTTTGGAGTGGGTGACTTCAAATGCGAAGGTTTCTTGGGCTTTGGTGGCGGAGCCTTTTTTGGGGAAGCTGATGAGACAGTAAGAGTCGATGACATGGTTGATGACGGGGTATCAAACACATTACGCTCAACTTCAACAGGTGGGGGTGTAACAAGTGATCTGCGTAGAGGAACTCTAGGTTCAAGAGAGACCTTAATTTGTGGTCTCACGACTGTTCTGCTTCTTGGTAATGGGGGAGGCATCTCTGTACTAACAGATCTTTCAACAGGCTTTTCTTCTCCATCATCCGTAAACTTTCCGTAACCTTTAGCAGTTTTGGCAGGAGGAGGAGATTGTTTACGGCTTAAAAGCATATGAACACGTCTTTGAATCGAAGAAGATCTTTTGACGGTTGGCTTGGCTTCTTCCTCCACAACCCTGTTCAGCATCTCATTACTGGAAGAGAATTCGGGCGCGTTATCCGAGAGCTCGTGGAGAGAATCAGAGCTAATATTCCTGGAAGAATCCCTGGATTTGGGCTTGGGAGGAGCCTTAACCAGCGATGAGCTGGGATTTCTGCTGCTTGAGTTGCTCCTGGTACCATCTCTGTTCTTCCCACCAGTGAACAAATCCTTGATACTGCTTATACTTGAACGCTTGTTGTGTCTTCCTCCACCAGTGACATTCCTCAGGGCCTTTATGCTCTCCCCGGTTAATTGTTGTTTCCAGCTCTTCCCACTGCTCTGTCTCGAAAGCGGTCTGCTGCGGTCATACCTGTCAAGTTCCGGTGAAAATTCGACAGTCTCCTCTTGCGTAATCCCTGTCATTATCTGCTTCATTGATGCAGAATTGGAGCTGCTGTGAACTGGCTGCAATTTGCGGAATTCGCTGGCTGATAGGCTTAAAGGTCTCATATGATTGCTGGAGTTTCTCGATGTTGGCTTCACAAACTTGTCCAAAGACTCAAACGCTGGCGACCTGACACGCTGAACAGGCAGATGGGGTCTTGTGAACCCATCATCAGTTATACTATCTTCGCTGACATACCTGGTCATGACTTTCCCGTTATTGTCCATCCCAGAAATGTAATCCTTTATTTTGTTGTTCAAATCAGCCGAACCTGTGGTACCCGACATGCTTATCCTGTTAATTTCTGGTTGCGACTTATTCGAAAGCATTCCCTTGGATCTTCCAAGACCACTGAACGGATCACCAGGATGAGACTCCGCCTTTGCGGACTTGGAGCGGTGCAGCGCAAAGCCTTCAGAAGTGGTTGGAACATGACTTCTATGGGGAATCACGGGTTTATACTCCTCGTTTGCGGTGCGCAGAGTTGGAATTGGAAGAGCTGTTGGCTGTGGAAGAGCTGCTGATGGCTCAGACTTGGTTGCAACCTTGCGGTCCAAGTAGAAGTTCTTCATGGTAATCGGAACGTTTCTAATCTTGCAAATCTCCTCCAGCAGCTGATAGACGTTCGGTCTATGGGCTGGATTCTCTTGCAAGCACTTGGAGATGACATTCTTCAATCTCGAGCTGTATATTGGTGATGCTGGGAACTGGAATCTCGCATGCAAAATGGCCATCTCCCCTCCGCCTCCTTGGAGGTTTCCGTTGATCGAGTTGCTCTCGAAGGGTGTGGTATAGTAGCACAGTTTGTATAAGAAGACACCCAGAGCCCATATATCTGACTTCTCATCAATTGGTTGACGTCTGTAGAGGTCAATCATCTCTGGAGACCTGTACTGAGGAGTGGTGTGTTTCATTATATCGTCCTGTAGAATCTGAAACTCCTCCACATTCTTGGGAGGCCTCAAAGGAGGAGCGGCAGAGCCGAAATCACATACCTTGGAAATCCCGTCACCAGTTATCAACACATTCTCGATCTTGATATCTCTATGTATCAATGGCGGCTGCAAGGCGTGCATCTCAGCTACTCCTTCTGTGATTTCTGCCATGATTTGCAGGATTTCAGGCTCTTTAAGCTTGTTCACCAGTCGCGTGTTCATGAAATCAATGAGCCCATTTCTTGAGCAATACTCCATCAGAACGAAAACTTCGTATCCCACCTCCGAGCTCATCCGAGAGGCATGGGAGTCTATGTATGAGACGATGTACTTGCGGCCCTGAAGTCGTTTCTGCAGTCTTCGTTAGTAACCCAAATAGTCCAATTAAAACACAATTCTCAATACCTACCATTGCATCAACCTCGGCCCGCAAAAGGTTTAGCGTTCTTTTATCTGGAACCGCGACTCTTTTGAGACACGCAACCGTTGTGTTGTGCCATGCTGGCTGAATTTCACACGTATACACATGAGCAAATCCACCTGTAAAGCGAGGTCAGTAACTGAAGGCAAAATGTGCGTATCTCACATTCTATCTTGACACCTCGAAAACTCCGAAAACTTACCTTGAGACAGATATTTGGTTATTTTGACCTGGTGAGATCCAACCGTCAAGATCGTCCCTGGTGCGTAGGCATTGGGGGGAGGAGCGGACGGCATTGGTCTGTTGATACGGCCTCAAAGTACGGGAATTGAGGCGATCGTATTTCAACAATTCAAGCTGGATACCGAAAAGACCAGTTCGCCTGAGAAATGGCGATAACTCTAAACTTGGTGTTTACCGTTCAGGCCTCAGATCTCCCTTATTCAGTGGCTGAGTCGGACACGATAGGATTTTCTTCATTATGGCTGAGTAGCATGAAGCGGTTTGGGCTGGTAAATCTCAGCGGATAAAATATAAGAAGCCATTAAATTGGACGGAAATGAATGTTCATAATTTTTTTATACCTTATATCCAGTCTTGGCAAGTTTTACTGCGTTTGCTATGGCAATTGGGCGGCTTACTACGGCAGCTTACTATATGGCACTCCACCTTGAAACTTTCTGCACTGCAAGCTCAGTATGGCTTAAACCTTTCACCAGAATGTTTGTGTTTTTTGTGTTTTTTGTGCTTCTTCTTAGTATCAGAATCATGCTTTTGGGATTTGGCACTTTCTTTGGGGGAAATCTCTCTATCCACCTCCATGCCTTCATCCGAACTGAAAAACGACTCAGATGTGGTGAATGCAGGCTCTGTTTTCCACACCTTCAGCTTGCTGTCTTCTCCACCAGTAAACACTAGTCCGTCTGTAGCATGCACAGATCTCACTACTTCATCCCCGTGCGCCCCCGGAAGAAACACCGGATGTTTGCGACGGACCTTCTCCTTCGTGGCATCAAACTTGTAAAGCTTCAATTCGCTTTTGGAGCTGGATCCACAGGCGACGAAGCCTGGATACAGGTCCACAACATACTCACAGCCCCATGTTTCACGAATATCTCCATACTCAACCGGTTTGGGTTCTTTGTTATCGTCAGACTTGTCATTCAATTCGTGTATGGCGAAAGTCTCCATATGCGATAGGGTGTAGATTCGATTATTGGACAAAAAGTTCGCCGAATGTATGGATGCAAAATTTATCACTTGATGGAGAGCATCGTCTTCTTCCGGAATTGTGAGATCGTAGATGTTCACATAGCCATCCGTGGATCCAGAAAGCAACACCTCGGGGTTGGTAGGGTGGAAGCGTACCTCTGTTATGTCATCCTGATGAGAATCCACAAATTTTCTCAGAGGTACTGTAGATCTGAGATCCCACAGATAGAGTTCAGCATCTGGTCGCTGAAGCTCGGTTCCAGCTGCAATTTTGCCATGACCAGCCCCAACACTTAGGAACTCCACATCTCTATCATTCTTGTACGCGATGGCAGGCCCTTGGTTCCAGCTTCTCAAATCCCACACTTTGACGGTATCGGACCCACTAGACACTATCAGATTTTCGCCATCAACCAGTCGTATTCCGCTGACTTTTTCTGTGTGAGCTTTAACCCGAGAGATGTCCAAACTAGACCTCGTTGGGTCACTTGCATACAACCTAAGTGAGCCATCAGATAGAGAAGCTATCACTCCATGGTTGGCCAGACTCGTGAGACCCAGCACCCATTCAGCAGCATTGTAGGTCTTTACAAGCGAAGCACTCATAATTGAAATTTTAGCAGCGTTCTAGGATCTGAAGCTGACGATTTGCTGTGGTCTGGCTGAGCTTGAAATTTATTCAGTTTACCACGAAAAAAGATTAGATTGTTGACGTGGCGGTGGTGGCTGGTGTGATGGGTGGCTGATGAGAAGGAGGCTCCCAAAAAAAAGAATGTTTATAGTTACAACATCAAGTCAAGTAGTCGTATATACACACGTGTGCAAGGATTATATTTGGATCGATATGAGTAGTATCGTGAGTATGTACTTGTTTTGTTGATTATGATAAATTGTTTGTGATATCCTGGTACTAACTTTTCATCAGAGAAATCGGGAACTCGATTTGTTCCGAAGAACACTCAAAGGAAGTCGGTTGCGCTTTCCAGGGAGGCCAGTAGGGCTCTTACAGATACCGAAACACCAAGTTCGACACGACCTGCATCGATCGAGCCAGTTGCGCAGCCAAGTGGTGAAGTCGAGGACGATGAAGATGATGGAGATGAAGACATCGAGGAGAACGAGAGAGGTGTTGAGATGCCGCAATTTAAGACGGTTTCGTTCGCAAGCGGAATATCCGGCCAGTCTAACCAGCCTGCTGCAGTTTCATCTGAGAACATACAAAGAAGACGACTTTCTAGCATTTCGTCTGGGTTGAAAGCTGGTTTGCTGAAGAGACCATCCACCGATATGGAGCCGTTCAAGATCAACGTTCCCTCGGTCCCCAATGCACCCTCAGCTACGAGTAGTGGAAGACCAGGAAGGAAATCATCATCAGTCTCAAAGTCTGTATATGCTATGAGAAAGGGTTCTAAGGGCCAGGCAATCGATCCTGTTACGCCTGTGTCGGTCATAACGTCTGCCAAGAGAAGCAGTAATGCCATTTTTGGTGATGAGACCGTTGCAAATGCGGAAACAGAGGTTGAACATGGAGGGAAGAAAACAAAAGTGTCGGAAAAGGTGATACCCGAATCAGGAAGGATAACACGCAGAACGAGGAGGCAGGCGGCTCTACACGCAGAACAGACAGCCAGCACAAACTCTGGTGGAACTCGTGATGTGACGCAGGTGGATGGAGCTAAGGATATAGTTTATACGCCAGCCGAATTAGCTGAGCAGGTCAAGTACTACATGGATCCCGACAAGAATCAACTGCAGAGAGTTTCACTCGCGAAATTCTCCAAGATGAAGGTGGACGAATCGCGGGTTATCAGCGATATTTCTTCGCTCCAAACCATTTCCAGTAAGGCCAACTACAAGCTGTTGGAAAACTTCGTGATAGACGATAAGCAGATCACGCTGGAAGAGCTCTGCAAACCCATAATTCCCATTGGTAAAGTTTCGGAGAACTTTGAAAGAGCACAAAAGGGTGACGAGTTGAGGATGAAGCGTCGTATCGAGAACCGTCAGCAAAGACAACTGGCTAGGCAGAATAGGATGCCTATTCTGGAAGATGGTTCTTCTGGAAATGCTATTCTAGAAGGTCAGCGTGAAACTGCCAATGATCTCATGGAAGGCAAAACCGCAGCTGATGCGAACGGCGGTGGTTCTGGTGCGGTTCAACTGAAAATGCACAACGGAACGGTGGTGGTTGAAGAGGATTCTTTGTATGTTGACAGGCACGAGTCTAGAGGAGCTGATGACAGGGAGAGAGAGAATGACAACCCTTACCAGAATCTGATCACTTCAGCCAGTTATGGAAAGCGGAAATTTGCGGATAGGTGGACCCGCGACGAAGACATTGTGTTTTTCAAGGCGTTAAGTTCATGGGGAACGGATTTCGGATTGATATCGCAATTGTTCCCGTACAGGACGAGGAGACAGATCAAGTCCAAGTTCATAGCCGAAGAGAAGAGAAACCCACATCTGGTGGAGCTGGCATTGGTACAGAAACTGCCAGTCGACTTTGACAAATTTGCACTGGAAACCAAAAAGGAGTTCAAAACACTCAAAGAGTATAACGAGGAGATTGCGGGACTACGCTCCAGACACGATCTCGAGCTCAAGGAGATGAGGGCCATGCGGGATAAGGCTCGTCAAGAGGATCTGGAGGTACAGAAGAGAAAGGAGCTGGAAATCAAGAACGGAACGAGGAATGTTTCGAGGAGAGAGCAGATCATGGCGATGAGACTGAACGAAGAGGTAATTGGTACGATCGAGGACAAGAAGTCAGTCGTTCAGTGAGAAAGGGTGTGGTACATGGTGTATACTGCATGCTGTATCCTGTATATTGTGAGTGTACCATACTATAATTGAGACTCCCCACGCGTGAACGCGTAATGCACCCTAATCTGGCATGGCAGAAATTATTTAGACTTTCAATGCTCATTCATTACCCAGAATGGAAATAGGTTTTAGAAAAAAATAAAGCTGCAGCTTAACGGGAAACGTCTAAACAGGAAATTCGACAACGCGTAGCTGATTGGAGAGCGCCGTGTAGGAAGCGGGCAGCAGGGCCCATTGTATGTGGGTGGACGCCGAGGTGATCTCTCGGTAGGGGCGTAACCGAATGTGAAGTCGCAGGAGACAGCCAATGATTGGTTGTTCGCCTGCAGTTTAGGTTTGATAATAAGTGTGGTTCAAATATGGGCTGCACAATGTGAGCAAACAAATCGAATATTCACTCCCCGGTGCCTACGGTGGTGGGTCCAAAGGTCTCGAGTACCGAAACAGAACTGCTGCTGGTCCAAACTGCCGCGTCCTTTCCAACATCTCCATTTATGCCCCTCAGACCTTAAGGCCGTTTTAAATCTGTACTCTTGAAACACAAGCTCCAAATGGATCCATTTTTCTGCGAATCCAGCCAGAACCAGCTAAAAATTGATGGCACCAACAATGCTGATCCCAGTTCGAAGGGCTGCGGAACGACCGTGTTACGGATCGGTGCAGGCTTAGAGACCCATTAAGCTCCCCGGGGTCCTGGGAGAGTCATACCGAGTCATAGTATATACCGCTGGTAGTATTATTAAATAGAGTTTGCTCTGCAGATCCTTTTCTCCATCACCAAAAAATTCAGACCCTGTGACTACTCCATCCACTGGTCGTCGTCTGATCCCGCCATTTCCTCGATGCCTCTTTTTCCGATTTGCGCGATGTTACAGCCAACCTGCAGCTCGAGCCATGCGGGATCTGTATTAAGCTCGATAAGTCGCACAACCCAAACAGGCGGCCCGGATCGGGATCTGGGTCTGAAAGCAAGTAGCTTATTGTTCGGACCAGACGTTAACACCATGTGCAGGCATCAGAGCTGGGATCTCGACCACACAGATTCCAGAGCACGATTCACATGTGCCGTAAGCATGAATTGGGCTATATCCTTACTCGATACGGCGCAACCCGTCCTTTTTTCTTGGCCTTCTCGAGCCTGGCCCTCGTAATTGTCACGCTCATTTTCAAATAACACTCTCACCAACATGGACCTAGACCTAGGCCATTGTCACATCCACTTCTGTGACACCTTGCCAGATTTGCGCATCTGCCACAATAACACTTCTCTTCTACATTTATTTTATAAAACACCCCACCTTTGTTTATAGCGGCATTCAGCCCTATGGGTCCCCCTTACTAAACTCTTTTTGACTGAGAAAATTTCCCCTTTTGTTTTAAACCCGGACCCACCCTCAAATACTTCTCCTCCTTCTTGTTATTTCTCCTTCGTTGTTTCTCTCCTTTGATTTAACTACACCCACACACACACTCTCTTTAGCCACCTGGTTTTTATTTGCCTTTCCTCTAGCCTGCTTTTTTTTAGATCTTTTAATTCTATTGCGCTGCTGGTTTTATCACCTTTTTTTGGTTTTTCTACTTGCTGCCCAGTTGTTTCTCTTTCACGTTCGCGGGCTGAACTTACAACAAGGAGGAAATTCCCAGGCCGCCAACTAACGAACGACTTGCGTTGTTGTTTTGTTTTCTCGATCTTGTCCTTGAGCCCTTGAGCCCTTGAGCCCTTGAGCCCTTGAGTCCTTTAGTCCTTTTTGGTCCACCCCCACCACCTCAGATCACCAGATCTACGCTTGTTTGTTTCCAAAAGTTTTGCCCTTGTGTGTTTTCTGCTTTTAAGTCCGCTTTGCTTTGAATTTCTGGTTTCCTGCTCATTCTTGTCCTATACCTTATTTTTGGCGTTTGCATCGTTCCCTTTCCATCCCAGCATCCCAAGTGCAATTCACCCGTACCCCAAAAGCAGCAAGTTTTGATCAATCATGTCCGCGTTATCTGACCAAGTGGAGACTTCCGAGCACGAAGTCGAGCACAATGTCGAGCAAGAAATCCAGTCCCTGCCAGAAGACTCTTCCGAGACACCCCCATTGCTGAACCCTTTGGGTGCTAGCACAACCTCCTCAACTTCATTGACGTCCCAGGCATCGAACATAGCCCCGGCCAATGCCATTGAGGGTGGTCGTGAAATATCCGACAAAATCCTGTATGTTGGTGGCTTGCACAAGTCCATCACCGAGGACATGCTCGTTGAACTCTTTTCGGTCCAAGGTCCTGTGCAAAGCGTGAAGCTGCTCTACGACAAGAACCGTCAGGGCTTCCACTATGCCTTCGTCCATTATGCAGATCATACGGCAGCAGATGCTGCCTTGCAGACTCTCAATGGAAGAGTTTTGGCCAACTCTCCCATAAAGATCAACTGGGCTTTCCAGTCCCAGCAGACAAGGTCCACAGAGTCTTCGTACAACCTTTTTGTTGGGGATCTCTCCAGTGAGATCAACGACGAGATTTTGACCAAGGCATTCTCCTCCTTCCCTAGTTTGACCCAGGCTCATGTCATGTGGGACATGCAGACCGGGAGATCCAGAGGATATGGATTTGTCTCGTTCTCGGACCACGGTGATGCCGAACGTGCTCTGGCAACTATGAACGGCGAATGGATTGGTGGTCGTGCAGTTAGGCTGAACTGGGCTTCTCATAGAGAGCAGCAACAACAGCATAGTCAACAGCTGCAGATTCCACAGCAGCACCAATACCAGTTCCAACAGCATTTGCAACAGCAATTGCAACAGCAGTATCAGTTTCAGCAGCAAGCTCAACAACAGCCCGGTCTAGGCGTCAGCCAGGTCCAGCTTCAGCAGGGCTTAGGAAACGAGAGGTATGCACAATCGGCTCCAATCTCGCCCCAGACTTACGAAATTGTGCTGAGACAGACGCCGTTATGGCAGACAACGGTGTATCTGGGTAACCTTGCCCAATTCACCACCCAGAACGATCTGATAAGCCTGCTCCAGAACTTTGGCTATATCGTCGACTTCAAGTTCTATCCCGATAGAGGATGTGCGTTTGTGAAGTACGACAGCCACGAAAGAGCCGCATTAGCCATAGTTCAACTGACGGGCACCAATATCAACGGAAGACTCATGAAGTGCGGATGGGGTAGAGATAGACCTCCGCCCAACATGCACTACCAAGCCTATGGAAATATGATGTACCCTCAGAAACAGTTCAATTGAACTGATACGTTTTCTCTTTATTTTGTGTATCGTTGAGTAATCAATTTGAAAACTAGTTATTTTAGTTCATGTCATGGCCCTTTTCCATTATGCCTGGTCCGTCTTTGTTCGTGGTAGTGCATTCACCAACACATAGAACCTAAATTTTGTGTGAACCAACAACACGAGACCCTTCAAGAACCTCTTTTTCAACCAGACTCACTTGAGGGTTGAAAGTTTTTGAAACTGTGAAGTCAACGCCCCTTCTTTCGTTGGTGCCTCTTCTTTTTTCAGGAACCAAAACCTGCATTGCTTGATCTGTACCTGCTGAGCTCTTGTGTTGCATAACCAATCAACCGCTCTCATATCTCTGGTCTTTCTGTGTTTGATTGACCTCTTATATTTAGATTTCATTGATGAACTTTGGCAAGTTCGCATTGAAATCCTCACTTCTAACCCTTACTGCCGCCGTTTTTGTGTTGCTGATCTCCAAGACGTGGTTTTTTAGCACTCTCGGGCTGTTGTATTCGCCGTCGTCGTCTTCTCCGGCTCAGACTCTCAGGGATAACTGGAGATTGCTTCTCCTGGTTGGTCCTGCCACTGCTCTGCTATATTATACCACATTCCCCAAGATTTTTGGCTCACTGCAGTTACCGAGGCACACTTCGTCTTCGGAGGGCTCGTCGTCTTCGGCAGCCTCCGTCAACTCTGACACCAGCCACTCATCTGTCGGCTCCACAAATACTGCTGCATTTGCCGCCGAAGATGGCTCTGATGGCTCCAAACGGACTAAGATAAGGAAGTCCTTGGGAAACATCATGGACGGGATCTCTTCCAACCTAAGAGGCTTCAGAGTAGGCTCAAAAAGAGACCCCCGGCTGTTGAAGCTTTACGAAAAGGCGGACGAACTCGGTGGAAACGTGGGTGGTCTCGTGAACGATGGAAATACGTGTTTTATGAACTCCGTTCTCCAGTCGCTGGCATCGTCGAACGAACTTATGGATTTCCTCGGGTTCTGCGAGGGAAACCCAGATTGCAAGTTCAGCAATTCGCTGAAGCAGCTACTAGACAAGCTGAATGACAAGCATGGCAACAAGAATGTGACCTACAATACCAAATCGCTTCTCAAGAGTCTGGCAAACGGACCCCAGCGACACCTGTTTTTGGGCTACAACCAAGAGGATGCGCAGGAATTCTACCAGATGCTCATGAAAGAGCTGGAGAAAGACTTTCAAAAGCTGCATCCAACGGACAAATCCATAAAGAAACCCAAGTTTGTTTCAAAGACAGACTCCATGATGTACGGATCCGAGAGACTGGGAGACCTGGGAACTGTATACGTTCCATCATCGCAAGTAGACCCCAATTTTGAGGACCCAGAGAAAGTGTTTCCCATGGAGTTGGTGACGCCGGTGGACGGTCTACAGTGTGAGAGGATTGGTTGTCTTACGTGTGGTGAAATGGGAGGACTGAGATACTCAGTGATATCTGGACTTGGTCTGAACCTACCCCCCTCGAATAAGGCAAGCTATGATATTCATGAGCTCTTGAACGATTGGATTCAGCCTGAAGTAATTGACGGTGTCGAGTGTAACAGATGTGGCCTGGTGCAGGTATCTTCAGTTCTGCAATCTCAGGTCGAATCCATGACTAACGAAAAACTGAGACTCTTGACTCAGGAAAGAATCAAAGAGATCAACTCTGAGTTGTCAAAGCCGATCATTGACGATGACGTCTACTCGAAACTGCATACCAAAAACATGGTTCAGAAGTCTAGAAAGGTTAAGCAAATCTTGTTTTCGAGACCACCGCCTTTGCTGTCCATCCATGTTAACCGTTCGGTATTTGATCCAAAGACTTACATGGTGCGCAAGAATGGTGCACAGGTGAACTTTCCCGCTCATCTTGACCTGAGCGATTATATCGCAGAGCCTAACAACATCAACACTGACGCTCGACTGTCCTTCAAAAAGAGCAAGTCGCCAGAACTGATATACTCCTTGAAATCGGTGATATCACACTTCGGTACACACAACTATGGACATTATATATCCTACCGTAAGTACCGTGGGATATGGTGGCGGATAAGCGACGAGACTGTTGGAGTCTGCACCGAGAAAGATGTGCTGATGTCCCAGGGAACATTCATGCTGTTCTACGAACTTTCTGACAGAAACGATCCAAGGGATAACTTCGGCGCAGACGAGGAAGAGGAAGAGGAAGACGCTGAAAGCGACGAGGTCAACATGGAAGAGGATGAAGACAGCGATGCCAGTAGTCATGACAATGACATCAATGATTCGTCAGAGAATGAAGCTGACCATGACAATGAGTCGTCACCTCCTCTGACTTCCGAGTCTTCAATAATGGAGGAAGTATCCAGCCAGATAACCGAAGACACTGCCATACTCACAGCCCAGGCGAATATATAATGCGGCTGGCGAGTCTACAGGCAGAACTATGCATTACTAGTCAATTGATATACAGATCTTATCGTTGGGCCATTGCGGTTGTAAAATTAGTTCTTCTTTCATATTACTCCGGTATCGTTTTCGTCATTAGAGGCCTCATTAGAGGCCTACATCAACTCCTCCAGTCTCTTCTGCCTTTCCGCAGGGTCGTTGGTGTAATAGGCCGGTTGTTTCGCTTGTTCTCTTCTATCGTTCTCAAGCTCCTCGTTTATAATATCGTCCAGATCGTAGTCGTAGGTGTCCGGGTTTCTTCTCTTATAAACCTCTTCTGGATCGAACTGCCCAGTGGACTTCTGGGTGGTGTTGCGCTTGCGGATGTTCGGCAGATCAGCCTTGAACTTCAAGGGCAAATCACTCATGGTTGCGTTCTTTATCTTTTCAAATTTGCCCGACTTAGCCTTTCGATCCTCATCCCTCTTCTGGAGTTCATCCGGTGGTATGTACTCACCCTCGAAACCACTGTGTTCTTGGGCATACTCATCGACCGCTTCCCTCTTATGCTCCAAGTTGTACTTGGCAACACCAGCCACTGCTGGCAAGAATATCGTGACAGCAACAAGCAAAATTATCACAAATACCAGTAGCAAGATAAACATTTGGGTGTACAAAGCTCTTTAGCTCCAAAAGAACTCATGTTTAGCATCACATAGACATACAGCTAAGTATTGTCTCGGGCCGGAAAGGGCGTGTACCCACATATCCGTTTATATGCACTGTCAGTGCAGCTATGTGCCACTAAAGAGCAGAATACTTCAGTTTGTGCACTACTTTTTGTTCCGTTCTGTTCACGTGACATAATACAGGGTTGCAAAGCCCTCCTTCTCTGCCCATGGAGTACCTGCAACTTTTTCGAGCCTTCCTTTCATACTGTAGACTTGATCAACTCGTAATACCACACATCCAAAGAAGGTAGGTTTAACATCATTCATACAGCGTGAAGTCTTGTCGAAAACATCGCTTTCAGTTGTAATTGTTTCCTGTCTTTCGGTCGCTAACTCATAGTTTGTTCAGGTCAAGATGCAAATCTTTGTTAAGACTCTCACTGGTAAGACCATCACCTTGGAGGTCGAATCCTCTGACACCATCGACAATGTCAAGTCCAAGATCCAAGACAAGGAAGGTATTCCTCCAGACCAGCAGCGTTTGATTTTCGCTGGTAAGCAATTGGAAGACGGCAGAACTCTTTCCGACTACAACATCCAGAAGGAGTCTACTCTCCACTTGGTCCTCAGATTGAGAGGTGGTATCATCGAGCCATCCTTGAAGGCTTTGGCCTCCAAGTTCAACTGTGAAAAGTCCATTTGCAGAAAGTGTTACGCCCGTTTGCCACCAAGAGCCACCAACTGTCGTAAGAGAAAGTGCGGTCACTCCAACCAATTGAGACCAAAGAAGAAGCTTAAATAGATGTTGGGTTTGTGGATATTGAAGTCTATAAGATGTTTTCCAACACTATTTTTGATCACAGAAATGATATGATATCTTAGATTCTAATATATTGGTGTTGAAAAAGAGAAAAACAGATTGGACTAGGTCACTCACGATACATGAGGTTCACCATAAGGGTCCATTCTGATCGTAGATTTGTACGGATAGTCCGTTGAAGATAGCTTTATTAAGCTATTATTTGCTGCTCTTGTCCATTATTAGCGAATTTCACCATTTTGTGGTTTTCTCGTAATCATCGTGTCTCAAGTATGAGATCCAAATTCTCTCCACCATCTCTCCACCATCACGGTTCAAACAGGCCCACCCTTCTCTCCACCGACTCCATATCTTTCCACGAAAAATCACTATCAAAAATCAAAAAAGATGCTATCTCGTTTGTTCCAGCGGCGTTTGCTGTCTACTTTGATGAGAACATCCTCCAATACAAAAATTGACACCAAATTGTGTGAGGCTTACAAGTCGTTGTTCGTGATAGCTACTCCGAGCAATGTTAACGCTTTGCTGCTAGAAGTGTTTGAGATTAACATCAGGTATCCCGAGCTACAAGTAGTATTTGCAACTGTTGATTCTGTTCTCTCTAAGAGGAACTACTCTTCTCAGATATGGAGCGACAAGCTGCTTGAGGTTGGCAACGTCAAGCCGCTGGACACATCGGACGAGTTAGAGCTCATGGATGATGGTGTCTCGGCGGTCAGACTAAAAAATAATTGGGAATTGACTACATCTACTCTCAGTCTGAAAATTGGGCAAAATGTGGCTCAGATCCCCGTCGCCAATACTCTCTTCCAAACCAAGTTCATGTCTACAATGTTCTATCTGAACCCTTGGGAGTCGGATTCACAACCCGATTCACACTCACACTCTCACTCACACTCTCACTCACACTCACATTCACATTCACACTCACATTCACATTCTCATTCACCTCCTAATCCCCATAAATGGGCCGGTCACAGGTTAAATTCGCTCGAGGTGACACTCCCAATATCTGAGACCTCGCCAGAAATCGGATATTCCGATTGTTTGAGGCCGATCACCGAGGAGCTCACAGTCACCAAGGCAGTGAAAAATCTCATTCAGAATCTGGACGGCAAGCCTGCGGCTCATTTTTTGGAAAAGAACGAGAACATAAAAAGCACAGAATCGAAGGTTTATGTGTCCATTGAGGGCTCCATTCCGAACTATTCTAAGCCGAAATTCCAAGTTCTTGCCGGTGGAGGTTGGGGCGTTAAAGGCGGTATGTTAGCCATCTCCCCAGAGATAGGGGACGTGAAAGTGGGCTCCACTATTCGGTTCCACATCTACGATCCAGAGGCTAATCCCCGCATTGGTGAACTAGAAGGTGTCTTCTACGAGCGCACACTACCCCAGACCACATACAACGAAACTGAGCCAGCAGGCCCCGATCTTGAAGGTGTCTTTGGTTTGGGAAGCGAGCATGGTTTCGTCCTAAATGGCATCAGCCACACCAGCCCCAGAGAGATTTGTCGTGTGTGTGCCAAATAAGATCTGCGCCTCCTCGGATTTTTGTAGTAGCCCACGAAGATGACAACAGCGCTGATTGATACTGTTTGGCTTTCTTTAGTTGGCATATATATATATATCGATAAATACTCTCCAAAGTTGACGATGTTGGCACAAATATCCAATCTACAAGTACGTGATATCGCTTGGGTCTTTTGCGTTACCCGCCCATTCAGATGAGATCTAGTACTAACCGCGTTTCCTCAAATAGCTCCAGAACCTGAGTGAGCGCCTCAGTGTCGAGCGCCTTAAGGTAAGTGCCACGCATGCTTTTCTTGTCGATTGTGTTCTCCAATTCTAACGCCAGTCTCAGTCCGATGTCGTGACTCTTCAATCGAAGCTATCTTCCATAAGACCACCTCAGGAGTTCTTTGACGTCCGCAGATTCTCTAAACCAGCCAATTTCAGCGAGATCCAGCAGAGAGTCACCTACAACCTGGGCTACTTCCAGGCTAACTATGCTGCCATAGTGGCTCTGTTGAGTGTTTATTCCCTGCTCACAAACTTGTTGCTGTTGTTTGTGATTATTTTCACGGTTTTCGGAGTGTTTGGAATCAACAAGCTGGACGGAAGAGACCTAGAACTGCCCATGGGAAGATTGACCACGTCCCAGCTGTACACCGGATTGTTGGTAGTGGCCATTCCATTGGGATTTTTGGCCTCGCCAATTTCTACGATGATGTGGTTGATTGGTGCTTCATCAGTTACGGTTCTATCACACGCTAGCTTCATTGAGAAGCCAATCGAGACGGTGTTTGAGGAGACTGTTTAATTACAAATAATAACAGTTACAATATCTATAACTTGGCCTTGTTGAGCTCTCTGATCAACACGTCGATTGCCTCATTGGCCATTCCAAATCCAGCCTGGTACCCGTATCCACTGGCACCGTAGTTGTGGACCAGGATCTTGCCGTCTTCCACCTTTTCGGCCTCGATTCTAACACCGCCGTGTCTGCTGGGTCTCAGTCCCGCAGCAATTCTAACGATGTCCAGAGGTCTGTCAAGGATCTCAGGAAGCAGCTCGGTAGTTCTCCTCAAGATATCCTCAGTCTCGTGACCAAAGGTATCGCCAGTCCAGTTATCCTTTTGCAGATAACCTCCCAGAACGAGCTGATCTCCAGACTCTGGTCTTGGGATGATGTAAGTGGCATAGTCTCTTCCCCATCTGACCTTGTTCACCTTAATATGAGGCGCTTTGATCACAACCACTTGGCCTCTAGTAGGGTACACTTTTCCATCCTGCACACCACCCAGGTCATGGGCACCAATACCTGTACAGTTCAACACAACCTTTGTCGTTGGCAAATAGGCTTGAGAGATGTGAGTCAGTTTTTGTCTATGAAAAGTCACACCCTTGGACTCAAGGAATTTTTTAAAGTTGGCCAGGAAGTTGGGACAGTTGAAATTCCAAGTGGTATAGTTGATACCGTATGCAACCCCATCTGGAAGCTCACTTTTCGGTAAAACCTTCCAGTCTTGTAGATATGAAGACAATGACTTGATCTTCGCCGCCTCAGGTTGGTAATCCCAAAACTCGGTAGACTCTCTTTGATCCAATCCACACTCTTTACCACCTAATGTCTTTTGCAGCTTGGCCAGGTTGGTGTATGTGAACTTGTCAAACTTCAACGTTTGCGGGTCATCAGGAGAAATACACGAGAAGTTTCCACCAGCCCATGGTGAGGTATAAAACGTAGACTGGTCTCCAGGCAAATATTCAGCAAGAACTGTGACATCTGCTGGGTTGAGGTGCAGTCTGGTGATCAGACTATAGGTAGTGTAGAGACCCACGATTCCTGCCCCAACCACGACGTATTTATCTGACATTCAGTGAATAGGCACAAAAAATCACGCTGGTGAACGACGATATATGACAGTTTTGAAGACACTGGCCAGTTTATATCACAGAGCTCAGTTTCGTCATCGTCTCGTCCCACCCAGACGGAGATCCTTGGGTGAATTCTCGGGCCACCCGACCGCAAGATTACGGATAATCCGAATCGGGAAGGTTACGAAGCGCGCCCCGATTGGGCTTTAGTGTGAAATGGTGAAATCGCTGACTGGGGAAACTAATATCCGCAAGCTGGAAGCGACGGCTCTATCTCTCATTCATCAGAATATTTGAATGTCAGATTGAAATCCCTTTGGGAAATTTTTGAGGCGCAACAATGAGCACATCGGCTCAGAAGAGATCTAGAAACGGTTGTGAGTCATGTCGGCAACGCAAGTAAGTATGATCTGACTCCACCTCAAGATAAAACTGCTAACTGTTGATGTACAGAAAAAAATGCGATGAAGCCAAGCCAATATGTGGGACGTGTCTTAATAGAGGCTCACAGTGTGCATATTATAAAAACCAAAGGAAGGTTTCTAGAAAAATTAGGTTTTCGGTGGGGTTGGCTTACCCTAAGCCGCATAGGGAGTTACATAAGGAGAACCAAGTTGTGTTGAAGGTACGATCGCAAGATCAGAATCAAACTCTCGTGCCAATTTCATACGATATTCCAGATGATGCTTCACATGGTATGAAGGGTGGTATTTTATCCCCAGTGGGGTCGCTTGACATAATCCGATGGCCGCAGAACGCTCTGACCGCAGACTCCATGATCCCCAACGGTGGTGCTTATCCGAAGGACTTTGACCTTGCGAGCTTGAAATCCCCTTCTCTGTCACCTTCTGTTCTGTATTCGCTGAACGAAAACGAGGTGCTCGACCTGTGGAAAGCCTCGCCGGTGCGATCCCCATTCCATCTACCTCTTTACGATAGTCCGAGAGTAGTGCTGCCAATTGCCTTGAACGAGACAGAAATGTCTTATTTCGACTACTATTGCAGTCATGTGGCTAATGAGATCTCCATTGTTCCTGGGGAGCTCAACTACTTCCTGAAGGTGTTTCTGCCGATGGCCTTGAAAAATGAAGGTGTTTTGGCGTGTTTGATCGCATGGGGATGTATCTTCAAGAACAATAAGAGCAGAACCACCATAGACGAATTGTGGATCCAGCGGGCTATGCTCTATGTCAAAAAATCTCAGGAAACCCATGGTTTGACCGGGGAAGTCTTCCTGACATCATTTGCATGTTACATGATTCTGGTTTGTTTGGAAGTTTCAGTTGGAGATACCGATGCGTGGTCACGATTTTTAACGTGTGGATATGATTTGATAAACTCGTTTGGCCGTGGATTTGCCGTTCTGGAGAACTTCTCGACAGAAGGTCATCTGCTGGCTGATAACTTTGCATACTTCGATATCCTGGCATCCCAGTCGCATGACAATGGTACATATTATGGTGTTGAGGAGTACGCAGACACTCACAATACGAACCAAGATGGCACCATGTTTGACTCATTGCAGGGATGTATACGACCTCTTATACTCAAACTTGGAGATGTCGTGAACCTAGTGAGAAACATGAAACTAATACGAGAGGCAAATGACATTACGGATGACCAAAGAGTGAGTATGTTGACGTCGGTCCTGGAAAGAGCCACGGAACTGGACCTGGAAGTGGAGAATTCGAAACTCAATGCTTCTGATTTCGACAATCTGGTGAGAGGCGATGTTCCGCTTGAACATCATTTAACGTTATTCGAGCTCTTCCAGCTTGCAATTCAGATTCATCTGAGGCAGGCAGTTCGCAGACTACCTCCTATTGTTCCAGAGATTCAGTGTCTTCTGTACAGAATGAAGAGTTGTCTTAAGGTTATCATCAACTCTTCGGTGAAGTCGTCGCTGTGTTTCCCGCTGCTTATAGCTGGCTTGAGTTGTGTCAAACAGACTGATAGAGATGAGATCAGAGGTCTCATAAACGCTCTGATTTCTAGATACGAGTTCTCCAGCATTAACAAGGCAATGCTGGTGCTTGAAGAGGTGTGGAGGCTCAACATGGACGGGGCCATATGTGTGGATTGGTTCAAGATTACCAAGCAATTTGGCTGGCGTTTAAATTTGGGAAGATAATCGGAGTTTTTGGTTACAGTTCGGGTGTTATAGCATCTGGTGAATATTTTGTTTGTACGAGAAAAAGATAAAAGAAAACGTGGAAAAGCCTAGCACCAAAGGTCGGCCCTCAAAGGTTGGCCCAAATCCTGGAAAAAAACGATTTCTCAGTAGGATCGTCATTGGCGTGCTTCAGATCGTCCTCTGTGAGCTCTTGGTCTTTTCTGCCTGTTTCAAAGTCCATTTCATGGTATGGGATCCAAAATTTCTTGTAGTAGAACGAGTAACCTGCCCACATGATGAAAAAGACTGGGATCATGATGTAGACATCGACGAAATTACCAGCATCAAAAGGCTTCAGAGTAGACCATCCTTGCACAAGAACAAGCAAAAGACCCAAAAAGACTGCGAAAATGGAAGTCAATGGGTACAATGGCACCTGGAAGAGGATATTTTCTTTCTGATATCCATTGGCCAACCAACCTTTTCTGAACCTTATTTGGGCGAGAGCAATAGCAGTCCAAACAATAAAAGAACAAACACCAGAAAGATTGATAATGTAACCGTACGCAACAGAAGAACCAGAGCTTATCGCCAGAAGAGAGAGGAACCCAAACAGATGGCAGACGTGGATAGCAATCCATGGGTTGCCTCGCTTGTCAACCGTAGAAAAGATCTTTGGTGCGTTTCCTTCCGTGGCAAGATTGAACAGCGATCTACTGGCGAGGTAGATAGAACTGTTGATGGAAGAAAGACAGGTTACCAGAATAATTGTGGTGGAGAAATAGCCTGCATTGGCCCACCCTGCATTGGTCAAGGCGATGGTGATAGGAGCTCTCATGGTCTTGTTTGAGAGCGACAAATTGGGATCGTTCCATGGAACAGTAATACCATATGCGATGGAAGCACCAAGGTAAACGAATAGAATTCTCCAAATGGTCTGTCTCACAGCAATTGGAACAGCCTTCTTGGGGTTACGTGCTTCTGAGGTAGTCATGGAGACAGCCTCAACACCAGAGTAGAAAACTCCAGCGTACACGAACGAGTTGGCAATACCCTTGAACCCATGAGCCAATGGAAACTCCTTGAATGGGTTTCCAGGAGAATGGCCTGGAATTCCTCCAGCAGCATAGATGATGGAGAACAAATAGACACCACTCAAAAAGAGGAGCTTGATGAACGAGAGGATATACTCGCTCTCTCCAAAGGCGCTCACGCCCAGGGTTTGGAAAACGGTGAAGATAAACCACATGATCAAGAACCAGCCATAAAGCGGAACTTTATCGGTGTAATACGCAAGAATCGACGTCAACGAGACGTACTCTGAGATGGTGTTACAGAGCCACAGCATTACGTAGCACCAACCAATGGCAGCTCCAAAACCGGGGTCCACCCATCTCGAACAGTGGAGGGTGAAGTTGAAATCGTACAGAGTATTGAGTTCTCCAATACAGTTCATCATGGCTATGACCAGCAAGCCAACGATGCAGAAACCGGCAATCAACCCAACAGGTCCTCCAGAGTGTAGGGCTGAACCCATACCAACGAAGACACCGGGCCCAATAACACCTGCAAGGGCCATCATCGAGATATGCCTCGTTTTCAACCCTCTTTTAACACCTGTATTTGGATCAAATTTGCCTCTAATTTCTGTTTCGGAATTTCCCACACCTGCTTCGGAGACCTCATACTCAGAGACCTCCTCTGGGGTAGTTTTTAATCCTGACATGGTGGAGTGTTTGGAAAATGCCTTGCAAAACGCTTCTGAAATGCAAATCTCGAAAAATGTATCTTTTCCGGCCAATGGGTTAAGAGCTGCTTTATATTTATATAAAATTCTCGATACGGTTTCGGTGCCTCGATTACAATTATTTGATGTCGAATGCAGCACTATCTGCAAGGCATTGGAAGATTAGGGTCACAGGGTAATTCGCAAAAGTCTGCCTAAGATAGCTCATCTGCAAGCCCGCAAATTGCAGTTATGCAGGCAGGCGGATGCGATTTTGTGTGATTCGTCAAGACACACGACATTTGGGCGCTTATCTCGTCATTTCGGCCATTTGCGTAAGGCGGTGCACACACTTGACATCGGGGTCTGAGCAGAGGGGAAATGGGTTAGGCCAAGGGTTTAGTTTGAGTCTTGGTTAATTTGAAGTTTCGTTCAGCAATCCTGGTGTATTTTGTTGAACAGAAAGAGACTTAACCGCCAAAGCTGCGCCACTCATGAAATTCACAACTTTCGTCTCCCGCCCAGCAGCTGTCGCCTTAACTCCTTCCCGATTTGGAAATCTCGTTTTCTTATCGCATCTGGTGCGAAACTCCATACTGGTTCCAAACTTCGGGTAAAAATTCCTCAGTCAACAAAACTTTGAAGAACTCACGATCACGGTCTTGAGCCTTCTCTTTGGAAATCTCCCGGGAACATTGTGCTACTCAACCATTTCTGAATTATGGCACCAACAGCTCAACAGGACGAAGAGTCTAGATATGCCGAGATAGCGCGGTCGTTTCCTATCGTTGACACCCACAATGATTTCCCCTACCTCTTGAGAGTTCAACTAAGAAACCAGATCCACACTCACAACCCCTTCAACTTCAACGGAGAGCTCACAAGCCACACAGATCTCCCAAAGCTCCGCAAGGGAGGTGTTGGTATCCAGTTTTTCAGCTGCTTTATCGAGTGCAAAAACCCTGACTACTTGTACCAAGATTTCGACGCCGCAAACAGCGCGGTGAGAGACACTTTGGAGCAAATCGATGTCACCAAGCGTCTGATTGATGAATATCCTGATCAGATGGAGTACGTCACCAATTCGGTGGAGGCTTTGGAAGCCTTTCAGAAGCACGGGAAAATTGCAGTTACCATGGGTGTTGAGGGATTGCACCAGGTAGACACCTCACTAGGTGTTCTGAGAGAATACTTCCATCTGGGTGTGAGATACATCACTTTGACCCATAATTGTGATAACCCCTTTGCTACAGCAGCTTCGTCAGTAATTGGAGGCTTGCCAGATAAGGGCCTGAGTGATTACGGAAGATCCTGTGTGAAAGAAATGAATAGATTAGGCATGATGGTGGACCTTTCTCACGTCAGTTACAAAACTATGCATGATGTACTCGATGTAACTAAAGCCCCCGTTTTATTTTCTCATTCCTCTGCTTTCTCTCTGACACAACACGAGAGAAACGTGAGAGACGATGTGCTAGTGAGACTGAAGGACAATGGTGGGGTTGTCTGCGTTAACTTCTTTCCTGGCTTCATCGCACAGAACGGCAGTACCTCAGCCACAATTCACGATGCCGTGGACCACATCGCCCACATCATAGACATCGCAGGCTGGGACCATGTTGGCATGGGAAGTGATTTCGATGGTATTCCGGAAGGTCCCAAGGGACTTGAAGATGTCTCCAAGTACCCCGATCTTCTGATCGAGCTCATGAAGAGAACAAATGCTTCGGATGAACAGATAAAAAAGGTTATGGGAGGTAATGTCTTGAGGATCTGGAGGCAAAACGAGGATATTGCAAAGGAATTATCCAAAGAAATCCAGCCTGTTGAAGAGAACTGGAAAGAGAGATCTTGGAAGTTTTACGGTTATGTCAAGGATTTTCCAGAGGTTTATCCAGGTTCTAATAAGGTGTATGAGGAGACTACTGAATTCGACAATGAACAAACATTGTTCATCACTGAAAAATAAAGTCGTTTTGCGGTAGTGATCGTTAAAAAGAGGTGATATGACTAGCTATGAAAAATTTACATTTTCCTTTCAAATAGACAAAATTCTATATTTTTCAATAATTTACACACTTTGATAAAGCAGCGGTCAAATTTTCACTCCTTTATTCGAGTTTTGAACGCCCATATTTACTGAAATCGGTGAATATATTCCTTGTCAAATATACAACGATCTCAAAGCATATTCCAATCCCGAATAATTCGACCAGATCACCAGCCTGAATTCTCAGCTTTGGAAGTCCGATAAGGACCAGCTTAGAATATGAGTGCGGTAACAGATCCAAACCAGCCATTTGGAGCTGGTCTTGTTAAAGGCTTCCAATACGAGTCTCCATTGGTTCGACCTATCCGACTGTACAATATTTACTGCGTATATTTGTCATTTCCAAATTTATGTTTTGCATGAGACGGAGTGTTCTCTCGGTTAACTCGGTCAACGCTCTTTCGACAAGGCTATGCCAACGATATTTCACGGTGAGGTCAAACGTGAGGTCCATTTACGACACGAAAGATATAAACACCAAGGCTGGAAAACTTGTTGATGAGATTGAGAGCCAACGACTGAAAATTTCAAAAACTTTGGAAGAACCAAAGTCAAAGGAGGATAAAGACTCTAGGTTCTCGTACATGAAACATCTGGGCACTATCATAGAGAGCGAGAATTTCCAGAACCTGAAGAAAGAATTAAGTAGGCTCAATGAAAAACGACAAAGCACCACAAAGTTATACTCAAAGGATTTGTCTGACCGGCTGGACGTCACTGCAGAAAATCTCAAGACTTCTCTCAAATTTGCATCAAGACTAGTCAACGATGTAACGGGCTACACCAAAATAGAACAGCTCAAACAGAGCATCGTGCAACGCGAGGAGCAACTACAGAGAATACGAGCTCAGATTCAGGATTCTAAGGCCGCACACGAGACAGCTGTATCAGAGAGAGTGGCATCCCAGAAAGAGGTCAATGCACTGTTAGAGAGGAAACACAGCTGGTCCACAGAAGATTTGGAGAGGTTCACAGAGTTATACCGAGACGACCATAGTTTAGAGCAGACGGTGAAAGAGACGGCTGACGCCGTCAAGGAGCTCGAGGTTAAAGAGGAGGAGACTTACTCGCAATTGATACAGGGAATAATGAATAGATACCACGAAGAGCAGGTATGGTCTGATAGAATAAGGTCATTCTCCACATGGGGAACCCTCATGATTATGGCCGTCAATTTGCTGCTTTTTGTTGTTGTCCAGTTGTTTTTAGAACCCTTCAAGAGGTCACGCTTGGTGAGTTCTTTTGAGATGAAAGTCACGGATTTACTGGACGAGAAAGTCGCAACGATGCAGGCTTCGTTGGAAGAGAAAATCCGCAAATCTGAAAACCCTACACAATTGGATGGTTTCACCGCCGTTGATGATAAGCAGGCTTCGCAACTTTCAGGCACGATAGTGTCTTTCAGTCCAAGTAGCTCGTCATTTAGCTCCATTGTTGATACTTTGAAAGCTAACCTGGCTCTCATTCTGATCAACCCATGGAAAGGTTCTTTCAACCAGGAACCACTCACCTTTGAGAAAACGCAGTTGAACCTGTTCCTGGGATGTGTTTTTGCGACCGGGACAATTTTGGGGGTATTATTCACTTCACTGGTCCGCTGATAGAGACATATTATTTATATCAAAAATTTCGCCATATGAACAGCATGTAGAGAGAGAAGATATTTCTATCAAGCAAGTCAACTATTATTGCGGCGACATATTTGTTTATACACTAATACGTTGTGAGCACTTTCATCCCGGTTACGAATCTCTGGGTGGCCAAATGTCGTCTGAGGAGTAGTCCGCTCAATTCATCAGTTGACATCTGCAGTTCTACAACTGAATAAGAACCAATATGGAAGAACTCGGGATCTATCCGACTCATACACCCAATCTGACCAACCCGGTTGTGTCGAAGTTCAAACTGGCATCCAGTAGCACCAACAACCAAGATGTGTACCTCAAGCTTAAGAAGCTACAGAAGGAGCTGGAACTCTTGATTCTGCAAGAGGAGTATATCAAAGACGAGCAACGCCATCTGAAGAGAGAGCTCGTTAGAGCCCAAGAAGAGGTCAAGAAAATTCAATCAGTTCCTCTAGTCATAGGACAGTTCCTTGAACCAATCGACCAACACACAGGTATCGTGTCATCAACCACCGGATCAAACTACGTGGTCAGAATCTTATCAACTCTAGACAGAGAATTGTTGAAGCCATCTTCCTCGGTCGCCCTGCACCGTCATTCCAATGCTTTGGTGGACATATTACCCCCAGAGGCTGATTCTTCCATATCAATCGTTGGGGAGAATGAGAAGCCCGACGTGACATACAACGATGTCGGAGGATTAGACATGCAAAAACAGGAAATCAGAGAGGCAGTTGAATTGCCACTGACACAAGCTGATTTATATAAGCAGATTGGTATTGATCCGCCTAGGGGTGTTCTGTTGTACGGTCCTCCTGGTACTGGTAAAACCATGTTGGTCAAGGCTGTCGCCAACTCCTCCACCGCGTCATTCATCAGAGTTGTTGGTTCTGAATTCGTTCAGAAGTATCTTGGTGAGGGTCCAAGAATGGTTAGAGATGTTTTCAGATTGGCCAGAGAAAACTCGCCTTCCATCATCTTCATTGATGAGATTGACGCCATTGCCACAAAGAGATTCGACGCCCAAACAGGTGCAGATCGTGAAGTGCAGAGAATTCTGCTCGAATTGCTCAACCAGATGGATGGTTTTGATCAAACTTCGAATGTTAAGGTCATTATGGCCACAAACAGAGCCGACACGTTGGATCCTGCTCTGTTGAGACCTGGTAGATTGGATCGTAAGATCGAATTCCCATCTCTCAGAGACAGAAGAGAACGTCGTTTAATTTTTTCCACAATTGCATCGAAGATGTCGCTTGCTCCAGAGGTTGATCTTGACTCATTGATCATCAGAAACGATCCGTTGAGTGGAGCTGTAATCGCTGCTATCATGCAAGAGGCTGGTTTGAGGGCTGTGAGAAAGAACAGATACGTGATTCTACAATCAGATCTGGAAGAGGCCTACACCAGTCAGGTCAAGACGGGCACAGATGTTGACAAGTTTGAGTTTTACAAATAGATGTAGAAATCAAGAAGCGAAACGATTGTTATAGGAGCTGTAGTCGTGATTGGTTCAACTGCGTGCTGTCGCATGGAATGAATGACTTCCCTTTGCTTGGTTATCCGGTCATGATAATTCTATCTCTGAATGACCTTATTCATGAAATTAGCTTTCCTTCAGCTAATTATCTACTGCGGATTGACACTTTATCGCTTGATATTGCTTCGAGTCCCGTGCTCCACGTGAAAAGGTGTGGATACCCCAAAATGTGCCGCTTTCATCGCGCTACACGCCCACAACACTTCACTTGCGATCCAGTTCAAAGGCTCCGCCAAGGCCAAGTAGTGCTGCTTAGCACAAATTTTCAGTTCCAATGAAGTTTGGCCAGGAGCTTGAAAGGAACAAAGTTCCTGAGTGGCAGTCACAATACTTGGATTACAAAAAGGGAAAGAAGAAGTTGAAGAAGCTTGACAAGGTTACTGCGCTGTCATCAGGCAGTCTTCGTTCTAAAACTACTCCAAGATTGTCTTTCAGCGCCTTCAAAAGAACTAGCACGGATGGAAATATTTCCAATGACTCGCGGTTGTCTTCGCTGGCCTCCCTCAACCTTCCTCCACCAGCCATCTCACCAAGTCCTAGCAAGAAGAACCATAGCTCAAACGATACACCGGGGTCCGCAGACAAGCCCAACGATAGGACGCCTCTTCTACAGGCTACAGGCGTCAATGCCCCTGGAATATTGAGACATGCTGATGCAAACAGCTCAGTGGAGTCGCTGGACTCCGAAGCTTCTCAGCACGGTCAACGGCATGAAGACATGCCTACTCCGGTGCACTTCAAATCCCAGACTTACGGGGGATCCCACAGCTCGCCATATACTCTTGAAAGGAAGAGATCTGCGGTTGGCGCTTTATACGACTCTATTCGAAGACCGCGTTTGTCGTCCTATGGAGGGAGAACCATCGGAGGTGAAATACCTTTGGAACCAATTGCGGAATACGCCAGATCTGAATTTTTGAACTGGGTTGATGCAGAGCTTTCAAAAATTGAGGTTTTCTACAAGGAAAGAGAGGACAGTTCTTCTGAACGATTCTGGATTTTGGAGGAGCAGATTGAGCTCCTCAAAGAGCAGAATATTCGAAGATTGCGCAAGGCTCAGCAGATACGGGCAAATGAACGAATGGACGAAAACCTTGATAGTTCTAACACCAATGGCGATGGCACAGAAGACTTAGGTGACGATCAATCGGACAATTTAGCAGGATTCAAGCGTGATCTCCTGTATTTCGAGTTTTCAGCCAAAAGAGCAATCGGCTGGCTTAATAACTTTGAGACCCCATCTCTACCGAGATTCAAATGGCGCGCAGAAGGCGGCGTGGAAAAACAGTATTACGAAGAGGACTATAACGAGGAAACACCTCCGCCAGTAGAGGATCCCCGTTACAACCGAAAGGACTATAGCAGAAAGACCAATGTTCCTTACTTGGTTGCCAAGAGGCAGATTAGGGTCGCTGTTCTGGAGTTTTACAGATCTTTGGAGTTGCTGAAGTCCTACAAGCTTCTAAACAAAATCGCCTTCAGGAAGATGGTCAAAAAGTTTGACAAAACGACGGGTAGCAATATTCAAGCTACATACATGGAAAAGGTTAACAACGCCTACTTCCTCAAGAGCGACGTTGTGGACAATCTAATGACAAAAGTGGAGGACATGTACTCTTCAACTTTTGAGCGTGGTAACCGAAAAGTTGCGGTCGCTAGATTGAGATCATCAGACACTCCAGCAACTTATTACACCTCTATTTTCACTTCTGGATTGCTGCTGGGCATAGGAACCCCTTTCTTTGTTTTGGCAACCTATCTGGGAACTTACAAGACAGTCACAGGAAACCTTGAGTCCGGGAGATACATACTACAGATATGGGGAGGTTTTGCCATAGCCATCTTCATGGCGCTTCTTTTTGGTATCAACTGCTACATTTGGACCAAGTTCAAGATTAACTATAAGTTTATCTTTGAATTTGACCAAAGAACTGCCTTGGACGTCAAGCAATTTTTCCTACTACCTTCACTCATGTTTGGGCTTGCGAGCATGTTTGCCTGGTTTGGATTCTCGGACTTTTGGCCTCATATCATTGCTGCGAGAGACTGGCCCTGGTTCTTTGTTGGTATATCTCTGGGGATAATTTTCTGCCCTTTTGACACTTTCTACAGAAGCTCTAGAGCCTGGATCTTGACTGCGATCTGGCGTCTTCTCTTGAGCGGATTCTATCCTGTGGAATTCAGAGACTTCTTCATTGGAGACATTCTTTGTTCACTGACATACTCAATATCCAACATATCTCTGTTTCTTTGTCTTTATTCCACGCATTGGAGAAATACAGGAGAAACGGGACTTCCTACGAAATGTGGTTCATCCAGGTCTAGAGTCATGGGGTTTTTATCTACTGTTCCCAGTTTGATGAGATTCATGCAGTGTCTGCGGCGTTATGCTGACACTGGAGATTGGTTCCCCCATTTGGCAAACATGCTGAAATACACAATGTCTGCAGTCTATTACATTACCCTCAGTGTCTACAGGATATCTACCACGACTCCTAATCGTGCCATTTTGATCACGTTTGCATCGATAAACTCTATCTACAGTGCAATTTGGGACATTTTCATGGATTGGTCTCTGATGCAGGCTGGTTCAAAGCACATTTTCCTTAGAGACGATTTGATATTCAAAAGCCCGTGGTACTATTACATTGCCATGGTTGTCGACGTTATTCTGAGGTTTCAGTGGATATTCTACGCCCTTTTCACGAGGCAGATCCAGCAATCTGCTGTAACATCGTTTGGAATTGCCATAGCTGAGCTGCTGAGAAGATTCATCTGGATATTTTTCCGCATGGAAAACGAACACTGCACCAATGTACATTTATTCAGGGCATCTCGCGAAACACCGCTACCTTATCCCGTTCTTCACAAAGCTCACTATTCTCATGTTCACATTCCCACAGTTGATCTCGGTTCCGCAGACGAGGAAGCGACGTCAATCTCCGCTCCTCCAAAGAAAATACTCAAAAGAAGGCCTTCCATATTTCCTCAATTCTTGGAGCATGCAAGTAATGTCATCAACAAGGCTCATATCAAGGACTTCCAGAGAAAGAAGTTCGACCCAGCCCTGGCTGGCACACGTGATGACGAGAGCAGTGAAGAAGAAGACGATGATGATGACGATGATGAAAATGATGAAAATGAAGCTCTTCAAGGAGAGGTAGAGGAACTTGATAGCGGATCGGACGATGAACAGATTGCTCGACGCAGGACTGGAAGGAGCTCTACTGCAAATAACGATTAAGTTTAAACAAGTTTGTATTACCATTTGAAAATTCAACCCAAAGTCTTGGTTGATATTAAGAACTAGGACTGTTGAACCTTTGCGTAGTTAGGAGGTCTCAGCTTCCTATTGATTGTTTTTGCAGCCCATATTGGCAAGAGTGAAGTTGCAAGAATGGTCACCAATTGCCAGAAGAAAGACAATGACGCGACGTAACTTAGGTTAAAGTATTCCGCAAGGAATGGAACAGTACCGACATAGATAATAAGTGTGACCCATTCGGCTATCATCATGATTTTCGTCCAAGTATTGATCTCAAGGGCCACCATAGATAACTCGTTCAAGATCAAGGCAGTGAATGATAATGCCACCATCGAAGTGAATAGATCTTCAGTCAACCCAGTGAAAAGCTGCGAGAAACCTTGGATGACTATTCCTTGGAATAAAGAGACGGATACCCACACGAAGAACGTCTTATATGATAACGAGCGCCCTTCTGTGAGTTCCTTGTAAAGTTCGGGATATAGGTTTGCAACGCTTTCATTGACATCACAATCCAGGGCAAGAGAAAAGACTGGTGCCATGGTGTATGAGGTCGCATAGCCAACCATAAGCCATCCTTGGTACAATGCCAACGGCTCAAAAGATGACGAGATGGAGTAGACTGCTTGGCAAACGGATATTATGAGACCTCTGTGAATGACAAACTGAGACAGTTTTGCACTTCTTTTGTATGAGTTACGGCCATGCCATAAGAGCAGCTTCGTGAGGTGACAAAACTGAGTGATAGAAAAATCAGCAGCAAGAGATGCTTGTTTTCCCTCTTTTCCAACAATGCCGACACCCACGTCCGCACATTGGATCATGCTAACGTCATTTCCTCCATCACCGATACAGCAAACTCTCTTGCGAGTAGCTTCCCTGATCAACAATGCCACATCAGCTTTCTGCTGGGGTGAGCAACGGCAAGCAATGACTGTTGGCAAATGTACCACGATATCGAAAAACTCTTGCTTGTAAAAAGTCAAAAACAGTCCCAACGACTCACCGTCAATCAAAAGACAGGCGTCTCTATTGCTCTTCAGATACTCAATGGATTGCAATGCCCCTTCAGCTCTCGTCAGCTTGGTGATTGTGTGGACATACTGACCTCTTGATATTAGCTTAGCACTCACCGAAACACACTTTGCGGTCTCGACTTTATCACCTGTTAGCATCCAAATCTTGACACCTGCATTTCTCAAAAGTTCAATGGATGCCTTGACGTCCTTTTGTAGCTTATCCTCGACACCCGTCAATCCCAATAGCTCCAAATCATGTTCCATGTACTGGGCCAACACCTTTGCCATTTCTTGGTCGCGGCTGACCATTGAGAGCGAGGCCTCGTGGTATTTAGATTTGAATTCCTCGTATAGATTGGTGGTCAACTTCTTTCTGGCAATAACCAAGGTCCGTAAACCTTCTCTAGCCATGTTTCCCGTTTCCTCCTCGAGCCAGTCACTCTGTTGAACAATCTTCATCATGACTGTGTCTGCACCCTTTTGCATGAACCAGAGTTCATCTCTTCTTTTGTCGTATGTGATTATACCCATTCTTTTGGTTTCAGAGCTGAAGGGAAACACTTGGAGAATGTCATAGTCGTAATATTGACGTGTGTGGTTACTGGAAAGAGTCAGACTCGTTCTGTCTCTTTTCACCAGAGAAAGCCCCACAGATTCAGTGAATTTGACAATCGCGATCTCGTCAGGGGAAGCCGCCTGATAAGTTATCTCGCCGTCCTCCATTGATGGGGTGACGTTATGACAAATGGCTAATGTCGTCACCAGATCGCGCACACGGTTGCCCATATCTCTTCTAGTGGCTCTAACTGCGGAGTCATGGCCACCTTTCATGTAGTCAGCAACCATGTCCATGGTATCCCCAGCATATGAGACTGTACCCAAATGCAACTTTTTCAGCTCCATGTCATTTTGAGTCAAAGTTCCTGTTTTGTCACTCAGTAGGTACTCAATCCTTCCTAAATCCTCGGGGATTGTACTCGTTCTCACCACTGTTTCTGGGATCGACTTGTCATGCTCTATCTGATACGCATAAACAGACTTACCCAAATCCAGATTAACTCTCAAGGACACGGGAATGATGGTAGAGAACAGGATGAGAAATCTCATAATGTCCGTATACCAATCAGATTTGAATCCTTGGCAAGCAACCAGGATGACGGATAGCAGGAATACACAGAGGCATAGAATCTTAGATAAGCTGTTGATCTCCAGTTCTAGTAAACCTGTCTTGACACCAGGTGTAGATGTGTTCATTGCCTGTCTGGTGTCACCTCCCGTGTATATTATGCAACCAATAGCAGATCCTGATGCAAGCACCGTGTTTGCCCAAAGGGTGTTATCCACAGTCAATGGGGATGTATGAGAGTTGAAAGTGATCTTACCACTGAAAGAATGGATCTCTTTTGTTGGAGTCCCTACCGTAATGGTAACATTCTCTAGGTCTTCCAGCAAAGCCTGCTGGGTCAGGGAACTGGCAATTCTCAGTTTCCAATCTGTTTCACCATCTAACTGATCTGTTTTGATAAAACTCTCGCCATTTTTCTCGCTGGCTTGAAGTAATATCATATCTGCAGGAATCCTTCTGTCTTTGTGTAATCTAACTAGATCACCACATTTCAATCTTCTGGCCTGCACTGGCAACGTCGAGCCTATCACCTCGAACAGCTCATTGTTCTGACCTCTATCTCTTCTCCTTCTCTGTATATCATCTATAGCCTCCTTCGACATAGTCACGATCAAAACAAATGCAAGCGGAACAATGTATGAAGATAGATAACCTATCCGTAGCGCTGGAATGGCTTGTGAAAGAGCGACAAGCAAGAAGTACAAGTTAAAGAAAAACTTGAACTGCTCGTACAAGATGATTGGAACAAACGAAAACATGTTGTATTTGGCATTGGATATGGCGTTTGAAGGGTACCTAGAGTCGACTCCAGGTCTGATGATCCTCTCCTCCTCTGCAAATAACGAACTCTCGTAATCATGATCGGGCAATTTGACTGCTTTCCGGTGATCTCTACCAATCCGCGTTGAATTCTTAAGGGATTGAACACCCTTAGACCAGATCGAGGCCGTGTTTCTGCCGTTTCCATGGGAGCCGCCTTCTTCCGTGCCGATCAGAGGTATATCTCCCTCGTCAAACTCGTCGTCAAAATAGTCTGTGTTACCTGAATTCATGTTTTGTGTGGAAATTGAGTGCAGAGGAATGTTTCTTGTGAGAGATTCTGTATCAAGATCCGAAGTCGATCTATACGTGCTTGTAGCAAAAGGGTTGTAGGTGACGTTCTCTAGGGCGACGTTTAGAGAGTTTTCGAAATCCTTGTCATACAAATGGTTCAAACTGTGCTGGCGTGATACCTGCCTGCTATTTGCGGAATTGGTATCGATTCCTCTCTCTGGTTGCTGTGAAGAGATTGAATGCGTCCTTGAGTTTGATGATGACATCAAGCAATGTTTATGCCTGCCCACTGGAAGATTGGCAAAGGCAAACTGGTTCGGACCAAGACGTCACTAATAGGCAGTACTAGATTCAGCTACTGGCCTCAGATCAATATTGGCTGGAAATTATTATCACGATGAAACTATGCTGATTCCGCAAGGGCGTATGTGGCAGTTGGCTACGCCATGAGATTTCCCTTCAGTCGCCTGCGTATCAGCACGGACACGTCCTGGGTGAAAACAAAGATAGGCCATAGTAAAGTTATCATTATTCCTATCACAACGAGAGATCATCCTTTCTATAAATGAATGGGAAAAAATAGGCCCATAACGAACCTCTCATTAATAACACGTGATCATATCCTGAATGAAAATTTTGGTCCGAAACTACAATGCATGTACTCTAGAATCATAAGTATATGACTATCTAATGCGATAACTTATCACCTCGCTTCTCCAGGTCACCTCCCTCAGACACGACAGTTGGCGATTTCAAACGTCAAAATATCCGAAGCGTTTTGGTTCTTTAATCCGTCCATGATGTTTGCAATGTTCTTCTTCTCGACCATGGCCGACACAGCCACCCAATCATCGTCTTCCAATGGTGAGACTGTAGCAGCCCTTCTGCCTGGAGTCAACTGCAGCAGGCCAGGCAGGTTGGATCTTGGAGCATTGTAATTACACAGCACATACTTCTGTGCAGCCAACACACCTTCGATTCTCGACTTGATGAGCTCGACCAGCTCGGAATTCGTCTGATCCTTGGAGACAATCAAGTGTGCAGATGTGTCTATCACGGTGTCGATAGCGCAAAGACCCGCAGCTCTCATGGTTTCACCACTCTCAACCAGATCGGCAATAGCATCACCAACTCCTAGAGCACATGAGGCTTCCACAGAGCCTCCCACGAACTTGACTTTGGTCTTCATGTCTTGAACTGAAACGCCCTCCAGCTCTGCAAAGTATTTCTTGGTCAGGTTAACGAAACTTGTGACAATGGTCTTACCGATGAGCTCTTTTGGTTCTTTGAACTTTCCATTTTCTGGCACCTGAATCTGTAGCTTACATCTGCCAAACAACAAGTCCATTCCGAGCTCAACATCGACGCCGCTTTCCTCAACCTGGTCGACACCGGTTATACCGAGAGCACATCTACCTTCACCAACGAAAGTTGGTATGTCTGCCGCTGGCAAGAAAATCAAAGCTATTGGCAAGTTTGTGCAAAGAGAAATATCCAATCTGTTGGATCTGCGGAACTGAATGTCCGAGCCTTGGAGCAAAGAAAGACATTTTTCATAAAGACGGCCCTCTACGCATTATCAGTTAGTTATGACGGACTTAGATGATCAGCATTATGCGATCGCTAATAGAGGCTTTCTAGATGAAAACAAAACATGACTCACTTTTGGGTACCGCAAACAAAAGCCTATCACTGAGGTGGTTGACTAAATCCATGGTTTTGTTCTTCGTTTGACGTCCACCGTGCTGTCGAAGGACTAGACCGCCGGGATGACTCTAAGACCGGTTTTTTTTCATCACTATCTTTTGCGTGTACGCGACTCAATAAGCGACAATCGGATTAGTAAGGTATTATATAATCACATTCTAAATTCTGAAGAGAGGGTAATAGGTTACCCGTACTTGACGCACAAAATTCTCCAATAAGTGATGCGGGCACTACCAAAGGTTGTGGGTGCCGAAATTTCGATGGTTTCCTAAGACGATTGAAAAAAAGTTGATTTAGTTCTTTCCTCACGTATACAAGACTATAGTTATCATTCAAAATGGTATGTGTTTTTTGTTGAAAAGTTGCTCGATGTTTGCAAATCAGCGTTTCCATCACTTTTGAAACATTTATCTTGTCCATAGCCCAAGAGACGACTGGGGCCCATATCCAGGAGACGACGTGTATGGGTATGACCTTGCGAAATCCTGGTCTACAGACTAGGCGAAAACTGTCGAGATATCTCTGAGCTAAGCAGATATTCATTTCATTGCGGCAAACTTGAATTGTCAAGCACATTTTTGTGGACTGGTTATGGGACGGCTGATACCATGCAACGGGCATTTTGCAGACACTCAGGAAGCACGATTACTAACTTACCTCCAGGATACCAAAACTCCAGTTACCCTTGCTAAAGTTATCAAAGTTCTCGGTAGAACCGGTTCCCGTGGTGGTGTCACCCAGGTCAGAGTTGAGTTCATCGACGATGCTTCCAGAACCATTGTCAGAAACGTCAAGGGCCCAGTCAGAGAGAACGACATCTTGTGTTTGATGGAATCCGAGAGAGAAGCCAGACGTTTGCGTTAAGGCGGTTTTTTTCATGTTCAGGAAGGATATTAATAAGTACAAAAGAACCACCTGAGGGATCAGACTACTTCAAGAATTTTCATGATCGAGGATTGTCTATTGACCTGAATCCGCCCTCACACTCTTTTTGTATTCGATTACTCTCAAGATTGTTAAAAAATTTATGCATCATTCAAATTGTAGATATTGCTGTTCGTGAAAAGGCTGAAAAAGAGGATGAATAACTAACTAGCGAGTAGCACCAGCCAGTAAAACTACATCTGCTTCGATAAAATAGTTGAGTTATACTACACAGATCATTAGTTTACATGAAGTATCGGTTTGATATAATTCACTGTTGTTGCTGCTGCTGATGTTGTTGTTGTTGTTGCTGTTGTTGTTGTTGCTGCTGAGCTTTGATTTGCTCTCGCTGCCAAAATTTCAACAGCAGGTCTCCGTATTTGTACATCTCCTCCATCTGAATCATGAGCTTGAAATCCAACAGTAACAGAAACTGCAACTCCAAATGATTAAGCTCTTCCAATGGCAAACCACCCACCTTCGCGTACCTCGCGTTCTTGTAGAATACATCACTGAAGAACTTGGATGCCACCGTGATACCAGATATTATGAGTCTGTGGATGTTATAGCTGTCCATCACAAACAGCTGGTTCTTCTGCGATTTCAAAGAAGCCCTTTCGTCGTCGGTCATTGAGTCGTCGTCAGATCCGCCACTCAGTCCAAGCGTCGATTGAAACTCCCCAGCGTTGGCTCGCCTGGCGATTCTATCAAAGTACACCAGCAAACTTAGAAACACATCGTTGGTAACAGGACAGTACTTCAGTATACGGGTCAGATAGGCATGTAAGCTTATTGCAGGTATATTCCTTCCATGGAATGCAAGCACATTGGCAGTGTATTTGTTTGCGGAATTAATTCCCTGATTGGGGTCATGTTCATGGTTGTAGTGCTCAGGATGGAGTAAATCGTTTGCCTCGACGATTTTCTGCAACAACGCGGCCAACATAACAATCAGATCTTGCACAGGGTGTTCAGCAATGTTCAAATGCTCGTCACCGGCAGCAGACCTCGTGAGAGCCGAAATACTATCCCGCTGGGTCAGACCTGCGAACGAGTCGTTCGCTGGACGCGAAACGGAGCTGCTGAACGCGTTGTTTGAGTTTTGGGGGTGGTTGGCCAGTCTTTTCTGCCTCTCATTCTCTTGAGATTGAGCGAACGAAACGTGCGAAAACGTGCTGTGTGCTGGGGCTGATGCCGACATAAATGAGGAATGGCTGGAGTCTGAATGGTGGATCTGGGGAGGACCTTGGGGAGGACCTTGGGAGACTGGACCTTGGGGAAGAGGACCCGGAGGAAGTGGACCTTGGGGCTGAACAGCCTGCTGAGCATCTTGGTATAACGTGCTTGAAGAGGAGTTCGTGGAGAATGCAGTATCTTTTGTGAGATCTGTTGTCGTGGTGGCCGGTGTTGGTTGGGGCTGGAACCCCAGGTTCTGGAAGCCACCTATTGCGATGTTGCGTCCAGTATAGGAGTTCTGTCTCGAGGGGTCCATCTGCTGAAACGAGTTGTTTTCCGGTCCAACTTGACCTCCATTAGATCTGTATGATGAACTCACCACAGATGGGGTGTTGTGGAAAGGAACGAATGCCAGACTTGGGTTTCTTTCGAACTGGCTGGAGGTAAGCATGGACCCAGATTGATCATCGCGCCGCTGGCCAAAGCTCTGATTAGGAATGCTATTTTGGAACGGCATTGATTGTCTCAATGAATTGCTAAATGAGCTACCCATCTGCTCGCTACCAAAGGACCGGCCGAACGGCTGTTCCGCCTGCTGTGGCTGCTGGTGATGGTGGAGCTGCTGGTCGTACGGCTGCATCTCGCTGTGCTGCGGCGGCATGAACCGAGATTGTCTCTGGCTCTGGAGTTTTGTGGTCAACAAACTCGTCCTGTTTGCGGGGGTCTGCGCAACTGGTCTACTTGCCGTGGAAGCATAGTTGGCAGGGTCCGTCTCACCCTGAGCAGACATGTCGAAGGACCCAGCTCTGTGGGGAACGGCAAACGGTGGATGAGCAGAGGGACTATATCCGGTTATTGGACTCGAGTATGAGTTGTTCACTCCAAAGTTGGAATGATGCGATGACGGTTGGAAATCCTGGCCTTGAATGGGTTGTCCTTGCTGGCCTGCTCCTTCTATCACCTGCATTCGCTGGGAGTTGTAGTTTGTGTTCATCGTGGAGGTCTCAAGGGCTTTGTAATAATCGTGATCTTATCCCGTGATCTGGTCTCGTTATCAAAATCTTGTAGTTTTTAAAATCAAATATTGCACCAAAAAGAAACGATGTCGGACTTGGTGCAACTGAATTCGTGGGTAGCGAGCCTCAAGTAGTTAGGCAAAAATCCAGTGTTTTTGTATAAGGTTTCAAACCCAGGTTATCTTCACAGATATCTCCAGTTGCCTTGTTGTGAAGGCTTTGTTGGCGACTTTGTGTTGTTATGAAATGCCGTGTTGATAGCTCTAACGCTCCCTGATATAACACTGGAAGAGTGACAGCTGGCAGGGAAGAATTGAGTGGCGTTTTTTTTGAAACCTGAATGGGTTCGAAACGGCTTTGTTTTTGAGCTTGAAATTCCCAAGCTATATCTTGTAATAGATAAAGCTGAGTTGTTGGCAGAGGGGACACGGCCAGCAAAGACCCATGAGGGTCCTAACCTAAATCCATGCACAGAGCGGGAATGCGTGCATTCAGCCAAAACGCTTTTTGGGACCCCGGAGGATTTCGGGATGCCGTTTTTGATTGGTTATAGGGTTACATTATGTATAAATTGCAATTCTACAAGGATCAACTATATTTGGTAAGTTTTTTCATCACATTTAATACACCGTGAGGGCTTTAGGCCGTTGCGTTGGTTATCATTACCGCCTCGCCTATTAGATGAGTGCGTATCTTGATTGTCATCTCATCGGAATATGTGTGGTTATTAAAACGGGCCCCTATATTATTTTGGGCGAAGGTCAGACAATGCCAGGCACTGTGGAGAGCACATAGTTTCGACTGTTCGGATGTCTAGGGCTTCTAAAATTACATTCAGACTGAGTCTGGCGCTGTCTGCTGGAACAGCAATAGGAGTGTATTACCTCCAGCAATCCGAGAGGGATGTAGGTAAAAGTTTTACTTCCTTAAGCTCCGAGTCCAGCTACTAACATCCACAGGCTCTGAAACTTGGTCCGATCAAGGATGCGGCTAGAGTAGCCGAGAGGAGGAAGCAGGAAGAGCTCACGTCGAAGCAGAAGGCTAACGTGAAGGAGTTTGAGCTTCAACAGAAGCTGCGAGCGGAATTTGAATCTGTTCAGCCATTGAGTGGGGAGATCATAGAAGGTCTAGACCAAGACAAAAAATGAGAATCGGGACGTGCTGGCGGGATAGATGGGGTTTATTTGGAGATTCTATTATTCTCTCAGGTCGTTAAGGATTTTAGAATAGTCCTGCCAATGTCAACTCTACATCATCATACACGTACATAGTCAAAATCAAGCTCAGCATCGTCAAAAAAATACGGCCTCTCAATGAGACTTTGGCCAACCATTACAGAATAATTCCCCCCAAAAATTCGTCGCAAATCTCCCTGCACTGTCTTATCAATTCTGGCTCATTATTTTTCTCAATTCTCTGTTTATTGGTAGTCATTGGCTATTTTTCATTTAAACTTGAACTAGCCTTACTTTGGCATTTGGCATCGGGGCGCATAATCACTTGGGGTAGCACACGCAAATCAGATTTCGTCTTCGGTGTTTCTTCCCCGGCCCTCTTTGGATCATACCTTGTACCACCTAGAATGTACTCTTTGCGTTCAATTGCTAAGACTGCCTCTTCTACCACCAGACTGAACACTTTAAACTTTGCCAGAATGAGCTCCACTTTGACTACCGTATGTATTGGATTCTTGAAAGCTCGGTCTGACTGATCGGCTCGGCTAGATGTACCTGTGGCAAATGGGTTGCCTGGCTGGTTCAATTCAAAGGTGACCAGCTCTGGCTTTTACTCTGATTTTGGGATTGTCATCAGTTGCCCTGTGATGCCTTTATTCGCAGCTGGTCTTATCCTTCCTGAACTGTCACTAACACCGCTACAGGTTTCTTCCAAGAACGCCCCACCAGCTGCTGCCTCTTACTCCCATGCAGTCAAGGCCAACGGATTCATCTACGTTAGTGGCCAAATCCCTTTCACTGCTGAGGGAAAGCCTGTCGAGGGCCAAATTGGTGACAGGGCTGACCAAGTCATCAAGAACGTGTTGGCTATCTTGAAGGACTCAAACTCTTCTTTGGAGAGAATCGTCAAGGTCAATATCTTCCTGACTGATATGGGCAACTTTGGTGCCTTCAATGAAGTCTACGCCAAATATTTCAGTGTCCACAAGCCAGCCAGATCATGTGTTGCCGTTGCAGCCTTGCCATTGGGTGTTGACGTTGAGATGGAGGTTGTTGCCCTTGAAAACTAGGCGCTCCGGCTATATAAATGCCATGCTATCTAGTCGAAGCATGTGTTAATAGATTTTGATTCCTTTCGGGAAATTATTGTCTTTGAGACGGATGTCTCTCTTACACTATTGTATACGCCTTTTAAATATTTGGTAGTGTTATAATTAAGTATGAGTGTTAATATATCACGTGAGTGAATAGAGGGCTTGTACCCTTGAAGATTCTACGAAGAGGTCATGTGACTTGCGAGACGGTCCCTTCGATAGTCTGAAAAATTGAGGCTTCCTTTAACAGTTAAACAATCTTCATCTCCAATATCCATCTTCAATACATAGTTCAAAAATGGCTCAAAGAGTTACTTTCAGAAGAAGAAACCCATGTATGTATTTGACACCACGAATTTACCAGGAACCAAGGACGTATTTCAGAGTGTTGGGAGGGAACCAGAGAGAAAGCATCAAAAGTTGAACACCAAAGAACCTAAAGAGTTATATCACATTGAGTACGGAATGATTCTCAGCAAAGGACTAGGCTATGGATTCAAGAAAGTCTAGTTGCTTCTTCTCAGACCCAAGAGTGAAAAATTTACGAAAACGAAAGACGGATTAAAAGACAGCCGTTACCATCATCAAGGAGCCATTGTCAGAGCCTCGAATTATACGTTGTGAATCCAAAACCGGCTACTCTGCTTTGAATCGATGAGGGATCTTGCTCATTCACCCTATAAATTTCTCTCTGTTGAAGTCTGATCATCTGAATGTCCGAAGTCTGGAATCACTTTTCACAAGCATACTAACTTTACCCCTTTTAGACAACACCCGTTCCAACCAAATCAAGGTTGTCAAGACTCCAGGTGGTGTCTTGAGAGCTCAACACTTGAAGAAGTCTGGTACCAGACCTAAGTGTGGTGACTGTGGTGTTGCCCTTTCTGGTATCTCTTCTTTGAGACCAAGAGAGTACGCTTCCGTGTCCAAGACCCACAAGACCGTTTCTAGATCTTACGGTGGTTCCAGATGTGCCAACTGTGTCAAGGAGAGAATTGTCAGAGCTTTCTTGATTGAGGAGCAGAAGATCGTTAAGAAGGTTTTGAAGGACCAGGCCGAGAAGGCCAAGTCCAGCGACAAATCCAAGAAATAAGTAATATGACTAATAAAACGTATGATTGGTGAAATTACACAAACCGTAAATTCAAGCCTAAAATTCGCCGCGTAGTAAGAGCTAGCTAGAGCTAAGATACCACTTAACTTTTCACCTCCACCTCCACCTTATAGAGAACAACCAGTATAGGCCGGAACTACTCTACCAAAACAGCACATTTTCAAAGCAAATTTTGCCAGATATATCCAACACACTAAAATAATCTTTCAGCTTCATTTTTTATCCGTTTTAGTCCAACGTGTCCCATTCCCACCCCCCGTGTTTAACTTCTCTATTCGTAGCCTGGGGGCCCTGCAGGTGTCGATACCATATGCCAGCCCTAAATAGTAGCCCCACGATGTTTCGCGCTGTATTCTACATCCAAGACTCTTTTCTTATTTGACTCAAATAAGTTGGTAATATTGTGTCGCGGCGTTATCACGTTTAACTAAACAATGAGCGAGAAAAGATTACTTAAAGAGCTAAGGACTATCTCCAAGGAACTGGTTCAGGAAGATTCCTCTCTAGCGCTGAATGGGGTGCTAGTGCTAGAACCGGTCTCGGAAGGCGACTTGTTTGAATGGAGAGCCAGAATAAGAGGACCTGAAGGCTCGTGTTATGCGAATGGAATATGGGATCTACATATCACGGTTCCCAGTAACTATCCCACGGCTCCACCTACATTCAGATTTGTCATGAGCTCAGAAAGAAACGCAAGGTTGGCTAGTGATTCTCCCACGGCAACTAGGGGAAGGTGCTTGCGTATGCCTCATCCAAATGTGAACTTCGAAACAGGCGAGATATGCCTTGATATTCTGCAGCAGATGTGGACGCCGGCGTGGTCGCTTTCCAGTTCGGTGGTTGCGATCGTAATGCTGCTTGATTCGCCTGAGCCCTTGAGTCCATTGAACATAGACCTGGCGAATTTGCTAAAATCTGGAGACCAGAAAGGTTACGATGATCTGGTGAAGTATTATATCGAAAGGTTCACCATTGCAGAGAGCTGAATTAGGGACTGTGATTAGAGCTTGCTGTGCTGCTCAATATGTCAAAATGCATGTATTCAATACGAAAAGTTAAAAAAAAAAAGTCGATCGCCAGCCAATCGTCATATAATATGTGGAAAGCAGTCTCTCTGAGAGCTTTGGAACCATCGGAGGCCTTGAAAAAATACATCACCAGTCGTATGCCAAACCCTCATTTAAATCCAAAATACTCCTCGATGTCATCAATCTTGATAGGCTTGCTCTTCTTCACCTCGTTTCCCTTTGCAGACTCTATATCCTTCAAATACTTAGTCTTCCTACTGGCTTTCTTGACCAGTTCCTGTTCCTCCATCTCGATATTCTTCACAATGATCAGATCGTCGCGGTAGGACTCTTCGCCCGGTTTTTTCGGAGGAGTGAAAGGCTTGAGCTTCTCCAGATAGCTCAAGGGCAGGTTGAACATTTCTGTGTTGTGTTGTTGCGTGTTAAGTATGGTATTTGTGAAGATGGAGGTGTATGGAACCAGATGTGGCTGTTTGGTGAAATATGGGTTGTAGTTCTTGAAACGCGCCGAATCGTTCTCTCTTATAGACTGCTTAGTGTTTTTGAAGTCAGCTAAACTCTGCAGTACAGACGCTTTTTTCTTTCGTTTCAACAACGCAGACTCCACCGGAAAGTGGTTCTTCTTCAAAGGCGTACACAGAGGCCTGTAGTTGTTCATAAGAACATCTATCATCAGCGTATTGAAGCTGATGTTAGAGGTAGATGGAACCCTGGGCAGGCTACTCAGGTACCGTTTCTTGACTCTCGTACCGGTTGCTGGAATCTCGGATCCAGCCTCGCCTTCCTTGACTGACTGTGATTCTTTCTTGGGGATATTCAAACCAGAAGCATCAACGGTTTGAAGATTAGAGAGCACCGGGGACGTCATTTGGACCTCCCCAGAAGTCGCTTCAGTGGCCGAATCGCTCTGTGCTTCTTGGGGATTGGCAGAAGCTGTCGACGATGAAGAGTATCTGACAAAAACTGCGTTTGGCTTGAGCACCCTCTTGGGTATCTTGGGCGTTGCCACTGTGAATCTCATGGTGTGGGTTTATCGGGAATTGCAGGATAGCAACAACAAGACGCTCTGGTCGAAAACTGTGAAACAAAAAGTGCCGGATATAAAGCTTGTAAAAACGCCCAGCGTAAGATACACAAGTCGGTGAAACAGCAGAGTTTGGTATGAGGGACACGTTTGATAGATGTGGTTCTGTTTAACAAGGAAGTAAGCAAAGGGGGGTAGAGTGACAGGGAGTTGATTCTGTCATCGAACTGCGGGTCGGGATGAGTCTTATCTAATCTCTGGGGCACCCAAAATTAAGCATGAGTCAAGACACCGATGATGAAAAACAACATAAAAAATTGGAAACAATGGGGGGGGGGGGGGACAGGTTATGATGTGGTAGTGTGTGTTTTATTACGAACCTGTGTATTTAATGCGAGTGAATTAGATTTTAAATGCCGAATCGACTCCAAAAGCGGTGCTGTACAGTATATGCCGGATTTTTTGGCAGGATGTGCCTTTCATTATTCACCATGGACACTGCCATGTTCACCACTCAATGTTCATATTGCCAAAAGGCTTGCTCTCGTAAAGCTCCTTGACCAGATCGTCAACATTCGGCAAGTAACATCTCAAAATTGACGCTTTGTCCTCGGTGCTTCGCCTTATACATCCGTCCTCATAGGCTACCTTGGGCGTCGCTGTGGTGTCTTTCTCTGACTGGCTCGTTCTCAATGACTTTGTCTCTGGCACAAGATAGAATAATAAAAATTCAAGTGCTCTGACTTGGACTTCTTTAGGCACGGCTGGATCCGATTTCTTCAATAATCTGCATACAATATCAGGTCCGTTCAGCTTCTCAAAGGTACGAATGCTCGGGACGGACCTTACTAAGCAGGAAACCAGAGTTTGCACCGCTGCCTTCACCACCACAGGTTGATTTCCTGGAACTATGCAATCCAAAATAAGCTGTAGTAGTTAGTATTTGTGTGATCAGTGAAGCCATGATTACGCGAAACATTGGAAACATACCTTGAGATTGGATTCGCGGCTGAATAAATTTCGTGAAGGGGGATGAATCAACAAAACTCCCTGAAGTACGGTATGCATCAAAACCATCGATTCCGCAGGGTAATCTCCAGGATTAATGATCATCCTGCTAAGAGTCTGGAGCAACGCGCTGGCCAGGTTGAGTTCGAACCCATTTTGCAACTTGACAAACTCGCCAAAAACGTCGTCGTCAATCGTGGGAACTTTCCATACCGCTCTATGAGACCTTTGGGTCTCCACTTTGGACGTGGATTTGCGAGATCGCGTCGCTGGAGGCGTGCTCCTTTTGGAAATCAACAGAGAGTATCGTGAGCACAGAACGGCTATCATACTGTCCAGTTTCTGTAGGCCATTATGAACAGCCGAGACGTCATTTCGGCCCAGTTCCTGAAAACAGTCACCGATGAATTTTTCCAATTCAGACATGCAGAGCCTAGTGGCGTTTAATTTTAATTTGGCACCTTATGATTAGGCAATGCAGCTTAACACATTTCCCACACCAACAACGCGTGGACCAGAGTTGGTTATGAACACACGTCTTTTCGGGACTGTGTCCCGTTTCCTCGGGGTCAATCAATCGATGCTCTGCACGCCGATCAATGAGGCTACGCTTATGCTCTTGTTATATGATCAGGGTCCATTGCACAGTTGGAAAAAAATCTTCACAAGCTCCAACATTTGAGCTTAGTCATTTCATCTGGTCCAGCGGTCTGGCCACTTATTTGTTGTTTTAGTTAATTTGGTCCACTGTTTCGGAAGCTGTCAGACTCCTGGCATTGCTAACTCGTGATACACGTCTCCGCAGCAAGAGAAGTTGCCGTGCTGAGTCGTTCGGACCAAAGCTGGCAATCGTCCTTATTTTGCTGTCTTATCAAAGCATCAGTTCAAGAGGTACATTCCGAATTTGTGACTCAAGTGTGGTGCGTTGATACTGTCCCTTCTGGCATAATCCGTCACATCATGTCTCTCAACGTGCGAAACACCTTGTCGCTCATGTCTGCTTCCACCAGGAGCACGATCATACTCGGGTGTCTGGTTGGAGTTCTATCTTCGGCTTGTCAGTCGGTTGGTCTGATACTGCAGAGGAAGTCCCATCTCATCCAACAGACCAAATCACACTATAAACCCCCATACAAGAGGTCTCTGTGGAGATTGGGATTCACGTTATTTATTGTGGCAAACGTGTTCGGTTCAAGTATACAGATAACCACACTACCGCTCATTGTGCTATCGCCACTTCAGTCTATAGGACTCGTTTTCAACGCCTGTTTCAGTTCGCTAATACTGAACGAGCCTTTCACGGTTTACTCCCTGTTTGGCACTCTGGTGATCAGCATAGGGGCGTTTTTGATAGCGAGTTTCGGGGCTATACCGGAGCCCGAGTACACATTGGATGACTTCATGGTTCTATTGCGAAGAAAACCATTTGTGATATGGGCCTCGCTGGATGCTGTGCTGGTTTGCGTATTTCTAGGATGGATAGTCGTGATGAAGAATCTCGATCAAGCTGAGCATGATGACAATTTCGGGCATTTTCATCTTACGAGTCCTGTGAGAGTCTCCAAGAATTCTCGTGGAGAGACCGAGGAGCAGGATCCTCTTCTTAGCAGAGTCACTTCTGTGACTTCGCAAGGTTCTAGCACTGTTTCTGGCATGGAGCAGAATGATATGTATCGCCAGGTTCTCTTTGCATCGGGTATGAGAAGTGTTGATCGGTTTGCCCCGTTATATTCTACCTATTTCGCAAAGTTGAAGGACAAAATAAGTCTACTCAAAGGTGGGTGTAGAGCACTGCTCTTTGATATGTCACATGAAAGCTCGATGATGATGCAGGGTGCTCTATTTGGTGTGGTGAGTGGAATAATGTCTGCTCACTCGCTGTTGCTGGCCAAGTCAGTCATAGAAATCTTGGTGAATGCATTCAATGCTGGAAGTGTTCACGCCATGCTGAAAATCCTGAACCATCTGGAGTCATGGTTCATAATAGGTGGTTTCCTGACCCTCTGTCTCACGCAACTGTGGTTCTTGAACAAAGGGCTCAAGAGAGTTTCCACCTCGATCTTATACCCTCTGGTTTTTTGCATCTACAATATCGTGAATATCTGTAATGGTATGATATTCTACAAGCAATGGGGCTCGGTTACATATGTCCAGCTTTTCAATATCATCATTGGAACGATATTGGTTCTGGGAGGTGTGTTTGCTCTGAGCTGGAGACTGGATGATGCTGTCTGTGCCGATCCAAAAACACCCACACTGCAATGTACGACTACATTTGCCAGTCCAGGCTATGGCTCTACCAATCTGGTGAGTCCTATGGACCCTACTAGTCCCAGGAGCGTGAGGTCCAGCTCTGCAAAGACAAAATGGTACTCAAACAGGGCATTTCTCAGGAACTCGGTGGGTTCTATCCAGGATCACATAAACACCTCCAAGATGGAAAATACGTCATTGATAGACTATACGCCTGGCGTTGAGCCTGAATCCTACTCCTCGTTGGCAGAGGTGGTTGCCAGAAGAAAGAGTTTGAAAAATAACGAGAGGACTAGCCGCAACATCCCCAACTTAAGTATCGATACGCATCAGCAGAGTCTTGAAGAGGGATTGTCCGAGTACGTTTCCTTTGGATCCCCAAAAGATACCTCGTCTTTCACGCAGGATGCAGACTCGAATATCACGCCGATTATCAACGCCGGCTCTCTGCAGAGTGGGAAGGCTTTGCTTACCCCGCTGTCAAAATATAAGCCGCAATGGGATAAGACACCCACAAAGAGTGGAAGGAGCGATACAGGGTTTTCATTGGCACAATTATCACCGTTCAGAGCATTCTCGTCCTCCAAAACTGACCCCGACATCTCTTCGTCAACCGCACGAGATGTTGACTCCAAACCACATGCTCCGGATAATGACCTTGAGAACAGAGCCTTGATGAACGAAGATTACAATTCTCGCAATCCCTTCAGCTACAGCATGAATAACACCATGGAGGAGATTCACCACCAAATCATAGCAAATAACTACGGGCCAGGACAGCCTACTCCTGGTGTTCCTTCGATAAACGAAGGTCAAGTGGCAGCCAGGGCAAATTTGTCCGAGGACCTGGGCTCCTCGGTTGATATCAACAGAAAATCTATCAGTTCTATTTCGGGTACGCGGCACCAAAGCGAATTCAAGCCGTCGGAAAACTGGCCTAGCAAAACGCATGGAAGAAGAGTGTTGTCTTTTGAGCAAAACGAGCTGCTCAGCCAGTTGAGACTCAATTAGGTTCAAGGATCAATGGAAGTACATAGATCATTACATATTGGATAATGGATAATGGATAATGGATAAGAGGATGGCCCTGCCTCAAATGTAATTTCCCTTCTCCTCAACTGGAACCACAAAAGCCCCAGCAAGGAACAAAGCTGGTTCCTCGACATTTTGGTGCTGATATGACAAAACACCCACTCCACCAGCGTCGAGAAGAAGCTGTGGGTTACAATTGATAGGTTTCTTCACCCATCTGGCCGCAAAGCATCTCAAGATATGTCCATGGCCCACGACTATGATGTCGGAGGCTTTCTTTTCTTCAAACGCCTTTTTGTGAATAACTTTGATCTGTCTGATGATCTCATCCACTCTTTCAGTGACCTGTTGGTAGCTTTCGCCGTTTTCGCAGCCATCCTCCCAGATCTCCCAGTCGTGGTCCGGAGGATCGACTCCACGATCTTTTCTAGATTGCCGAATCTCCTTGGTAAGTTTGCCCTCGTAATCACCGTACTCCCATTCTCTAATCAGCTCAGTGGTGATCTTCTGAATGTGCTGGAGCCTGGTTGGGTCCACCTCCTTCAGCAACAGCTCAGTGGTGTGCTGGGCACGAGTACGAGGTGAAATGAAGATGTGGGTCAGATTTTCAGGCTGGATTAGATTATATGGAGAATCGCCAATTAAAGATTTGCCAGTAGCCTCCATCTGTCTCACTCCAAAAGGAGTCAAGTCGATGTCAGTGCGCGAGGTGTGTTGGCCTGACTTGGACCACTCGGTTTGGCTGTACATCATTAGTATGGAACGGCTTGAAATTATAACCAATTGCATGTAACACTTACCCATGACGGACAAAAACACATCTTGGAGTAGGTATTTTCGCTGAACTCATTCTTCGCAATAAAATTGTTTGGGTTGTTGGTCCGTGTTGTTCTCAAGGGGCAGAGGTAAGAGATTATATAGCCGGTTGAGTCGGGTCAAATCTGAAAGACTTAGCGTAGCCGGCTAGCTTACTTAATAGGCACACCCTATGGAGCCAGGCTAATGTTAACTATCATTGTGCTGAATCAGTCCAAAAAGGGAAAATATAACACGATGATAGGAACCCATGATTTATATCTGCATCAGCAAAGAATATTGTCTTGAACTTGAGCGAAGAAATTCAAGCGAGGTGAAAATCTGTGGCTTTCTTTCCTTCTTCCTTAATTTTTCAATCTCATCAACCCTGCATTCAATGGCTAGGGTAAATTTCTGGGGCTGATATATTTCAAGACCTACCAGCCATTGAAACGACAAACTGATCGCATGCAAGTAGATATTTTTTTGTTCATTTTCTGTTCTTGTTCCAAGCAATTATATTGTTAATCTAATGTTCTTCCGTTCTTATTTTATTTTCCCTTCCATTGACATTACCCTCCTCATTCTTGGCCGGACTGCCTCACTACGGAGAAGTTTCTGGAAGCTCATCGCCTCGGAAAGCCTTAAGAAGGCTTCTCCATCCTCTTCGACTGTCTCTTTCAGTTTGATACGTATACATCCTTCAGTATTCAAAATTATAAACAAAATGTCGGAAGTGAGACCAAGAGTGTTCTTTGATGTTTCTATCGGGGGCGAGCCCACCAGGCGTATCGTGTTCGAACTAGTGAGTATATCGTTGAAACTGTTCTCTCCACGAATACATGTGCTAACCAGTAATGTTTAGTTCGCTGATGTCGTTCCTAAAACCGCTGAAAATTTCAGAGCTCTGTGCACAGGTGAGAAGGGAGTGGGCCAATCAGGTAAACCGCTGCATTACAAGGGTTCCATCTTTCACAGAGTGATCGAAAGCTTCATGTGCCAAGGTGGTGATTTTACTCTCGGTGACGGCAGAGGCGGTGAGTCTATTTACGGTGAAAAATTCGAAGATGAGAACTTCCAGCTAAAACATGACAAGCCCTTTCTCTTGTCTATGGCCAACGCTGGCCCAAACACGAATGGTTCTCAGTTTTTCATTACCACCGTTAGCACCCCACATTTGGATGGAAAGCATGTCGTTTTCGGTCAGGTAATTGCTGGTAAGTCGGTAGTTAGAGCCATTGAGAAGACAGAGAAGGCAAACGACAAGCCAGTCAAGGATGTTGTTATTGTCGACTGTGGGGCACTTGCAGCGGATGCTCCATTGAGTGTAGATGACGGTACTGGTGATCTGTATGCTGACTCCATTGATGACGAGCCCACCATCGATCTGACTAAACCAGAGACCGTCATCAACGCAGTTTCAGCTATCAAGGATTTGGCTACTAGCTTTTTCAAGAAGGGCGATCTCGAGGTGTCTTACCAGAAATATAGAAAGGCCCGTTCTTATCTGGAAGACTACTTCCCTGAAGATCTCTCAGAGGAGGATACTGCTAAGGTGAACCAACTGAAGACTGCGGTTTTCCTCAACATCGCACTGGTTGCCATGAAACTCGGAAAGGCCAAGGAGACTGTTGATGCTGCTACTGAAGCTCTTGAGAGTGAAGCCATTGATGACAAGGGAAGAGCCAAAGCTCTGTTCCGCCGTGGAGTTGGCCATCTAAAGGCCCATAATGAGGATGAGGCTATCGTTGATCTCGAAGCCGCTTTGAAGTTGTCCCCTGGTGACCCCGCCATCAAGAAAAACATCGAAGCTGCTCAAAAGTCGCTTAAAGAAAGCAAAGCCAAGGAAAAAGCGGCCTACGCTAAATTTTTTGCCTAGAGAAATCTAGTAATGAGAGATATAATAGCCATTAAATAGACTTATCTCGGTTTGAAGATAGTGCGTGTAAATCGTAACATGCATCGTGGGTAAATCACAGCACGCTCGTTTGCCGTCGATGAAAACTGCTGGTCCAACACGAACAGTTTAGTGTACAAAATCAACACACAAGGACGTTTTGCCCCCGTCTGTACGTCGACTGATACAAGTTAGAATACCTTTGAAAGCGATTCATTTGTATTCTTGTCTGCTGGTTGATTGATTGGTACTCATTTATTTGCTGTTGCCGATTTCTGACCCCTTGGAGCCTGTTTCCATTCCCCCTAGGCCGTCTACTTGTTATTCGCTTCCCCAGTCTATCTGCATTTTTTTATAAAGAGACATTCCATTTCTTATTGGGCGAGACTTCTAAACCCCAAAGCCAACGAAAAATCAAAAAATCACTCAAAAAAAGGTTACAAAACAACACATCAAACTTCAAAACAACAATCCATCACCGAGTGGAAAGTGAAAAATCCAACTTGCGCTAATCCATTTCCAAAATGAGTCAATTTCCCTATTCAAGCGCTCCCCTGAGAACGGTTAAAGAAGTATGTGAAGTTGATATGATGGATTTTTTTGTTCTTTGTCACGATTACTAACGTTTTCCCAGGTCCAATTTGGTCTTCTCTCCCCGGAGGAAGTGAGAGCAATCTCGGTCGCTAAGATCGAGTATCCAGAAATCATGGATTTGACTACAATGAAGCCAAGAGATGGTGGTTTGAACGATCCAAGATTGGGATCCATCGATAGAAATTTCAAGTGTCAAACATGTGGAGAAGGCATGTCCGAGTGTCCAGGTCATTTCGGCCATATAGAGCTCGCAAAGCCTGTTTTCCACGTCGGATTCCTTTCCAAAATCAAGAAAGTGTGCGAATGTGTTTGCATGAACTGTGGTAAGATTTTACTGGATGAAACGAACCCGTTGTATGCAAGAGCTATGAAAATCAAGGATCCAAAGAAGAGATTCAACGCAGTTTGGAGTTTGTGTAAGACAAAAATGGTGTGTGAGGTTGATCCCATTCCAAGTGATGAAAACGCGGGCGAGATCTTACCCCAAAGAGGAGGTTGTGGAAATACGCAACCAACTGTTAGAAGAGATGGTTTGAAAATCTGGGGTACGTGGAAAAAGAGCAACCTGGACGAGGATACCGAACAAACTGAGAGAAGACTGATTACAGCAGCTGAAGTGCTAAATGTGTTTAGGCATATTTCTCCCCAAGATTGTCAAAGACTTGGTTTCAATGAGGACTACGCTCGGCCTGAATGGATGCTCATTACGGTGTTGCCTGTTCCACCCCCACCTGTTAGACCCTCTGTTGCTTTCACCGATACTAAGCGTGGTGAAGATGATTTGACTTACAAATTGGCCGACATTTTGAAGGCCAATATCAACGTGCAAAAGTTAGAGATGGACGGTTCACCTCAGCATGTCATCAGTGAGTTTGAGGCGCTGCTGCAATACCATGTGGCAACCTACATGGACAATGATATAGCAGGTCAGCCTCAAGCTCTTCAGAAGACAGGAAGACCTATCAAGTCAATTCGTGCTCGTTTGAAGGGTAAAGAGGGACGTCTAAGAGGTAATTTGATGGGTAAGCGTGTGGATTTCTCTGCTCGTACCGTCATTTCAGGTGACCCCAATCTTGAGCTAGATCAAGTTGGTGTTCCCAAGAGTATTGCTAGAACACTCTCTTACCCAGAAACTGTCACACCCTACAACATCCAGAAACTTACAGAATATGTCAGAAATGGCCCAAACGAACATCCGGGTGCCAAGTATGTCATTCGTGATTCTGGAGACCGTATTGACCTGAGGTACAATAAGCGCGCAGGTGATATTGCCTTGCAATACGGTTGGAAAGTTGAGCGTCACTTGATGGATGATGACCCTGTGTTGTTCAATCGTCAACCTTCTCTGCACAAGATGTCCATGATGGCGCATAGAGTCAAAGTGATGCCTTACTCGACCTTCAGAATGAATTTGTCTGTTACATCTCCTTATAACGCTGATTTCGATGGTGACGAAATGAATTTGCACGTTCCACAGTCGGAAGAAACAAGGGCTGAACTCTCTCAAATCTGTGCTGTCCCATTGCAAATTGTTTCGCCTCAGTCCAATAAGCCTGTTATGGGTATTGTACAGGACACACTTTGTGGTGTTAGAAAAATGACGTTGCGAGACAACTTCATTGAATACGACCAGGTGATGAACATGCTTTTCTGGATCCCTCAGTGGGATGGTGTCATTCCTCAGCCTGCCATTTTGAAGCCAAAGCCTCTTTGGTCTGGTAAACAGCTTTTGTCTACGTGTATTCCAAAGGGTATTTACCTCCAAAGATTTGATGGCTCTCTTTTGTCTCCAAAAGATAGTGGTATGTTGATTGTCAACGGTGAAATTATGTTCGGTGTGGTTAACAAGGCTACTGTTGGTGCTACTGCAGGTGGTCTTATTCACACTGTTATGAGAGAAAAGGGTCCTCAAGTTTGTGCTCAACTCTTCGGTAACATTCAGAAGGTGGTTAACTACTGGTTGCTCCACAATGGTTTCTCCATCGGTATTGGTGATGCAATTGCCGATCGTGAAACTATGAGGGTTATTACCGAGACCATTGGTGAAGCCAAGGAGAAGGTTCAAAATATTATTTTGGATGCCCAAAGAAATCTTTTGGAGCCTGAACCAGGTATGACTGTCAGAGAATCGTTTGAGCAGAAGGTGTCTAAAGTGTTAAACGAAGCTCGTGATTCCGCTGGTAAGTCTGCTGAATTGTCTTTGAAAGATTCGAACAATGTCAAGCAGATGGTCACAGCTGGTTCAAAGGGTTCTTATATCAACATTTCCCAGATGTCTGCTTGTGTTGGTCAACAGATTGTTGAGGGTAAGCGTATTTCCTTCGGTTTTGCCGACCGTTCTTTGCCACATTTCACCAAGGATGACTACTCTGCCGAATCCAAGGGTTTCGTTGAGAATTCGTATCTGAGAGGTTTGACTCCTCAGGAGTTCTTCTTCCACGCTATGGCTGGTCGTGAAGGTTTGATTGACACTGCTGTGAAAACAGCCGAAACAGGTTATATCCAACGTCGTCTATTGAAGGCCTTGGAAGATATCATGGTTCATTACGATGGAACAGCCCGTAACTCCCTTGGTGATGTTATCCAATTCCTTTATGGTGAGGATGGTATCGATGGTACTCAAGTTGAGAAGCAAACGGTTGACACCATTCCTGGAACTGATGATGCCTTTGAGAAGCGTTACAGAGTTGATCTGATGAACGCTTCTCAAGGTATCAAGCCAGAACTTGTCGAATACGGAACTGAGATCTTGGGCAGCGTTGAACTCCAAAAGTTGCTTGATGAAGAATACACCCAACTTTTGGAAGACAGAAAGTATCTTCGTGACGTTTGTTTCAGCAATGGTGATTACAACTGGCCACTTCCTGTCAATATCAGGCGTATCATCCAAAATGCTCAGCAGATTTTCCACGTTGATCATGCTAAAGCCAGTGACCTTGCCATTCCTGATATAGTTCAAGGTGTTCAGGAGCTGTGCAAGAGACTTCACGTTGTTCGTGGTAAGTCTGAGCTGATGCAAGAAGCACAAAGGAACGCTACTTTGTTGTTCCAGTGTTTGTTGCGTTCGCGTCTGGCAACCAGGAGGGTTCTTGAAGAGTTTAGATTGACTAAAGATGCTTTCGACTGGGTGGTTGGAACCATTGAGGCTCAGTTCTTTAAGTCAGTTGTCCATCCTGGTGAAATGGTTGGTGTTATTGCAGCACAATCCATTGGTGAGCCTGCAACCCAAATGACACTTAACACATTCCATTATGCTGGTGTGTCTTCCAAGAACGTCACCTTAGGTGTTCCAAGATTGAAGGAGATTTTGTCTGTTGCTAGAAACGTCAAGACTCCAGCATTGTCTGTTTATCTTGAACCTGATGTGGCTTCTGACATTGAAAAGGCTAAATCCATCCAGTCTGCAATCGAGCATACCACTTTGAAGAACGTTACGGCTGCTACTGAGATTTACTACGATCCAGATCCAAGAAGCACCGTGATTGAAGACGATATTGACACTGTCGAAGCTTACTTTGCTATTCCAGATGAGAAGGTTGAAGAATCCATTCATAAGCAATCACCATGGTTGTTGCGTTTGGAGCTTGACCGTGCTAAGATGCTGGATAAACAGTTAACAATGAGTCAGGTTGCAGAGAAGATCTCGGAGAACTTTGGTGATGATTTGTTTATTATCTGGTCTGAAGACAACGCTGAGAAGCTGGTTATCCGTTGTCGTATTGTTCGTGATGTCAAGGCAATGGACGAAGAAGACGAAGAAACTGAAGATGGTTTGCTGAAGGCTTTGGAAGCACAGATGCTGGAATCTATTTCCTTGAGAGGTATTCCTGGTATTACCAGAGTTTTCATGATGCAGTATGACCGTGTTTGGCCCGACCAGAGTGGTGATTATGCTAAGAAGAAGGAATGGGTTCTTGAAACAGATGGTATCAATCTTGCTGATGTTATCGCTGTTCCAGGAGTTGACACTGCCCGTACGTACTCGAACTCGTTTGTCGAGATCTTGTCTGTTTTGGGTATCGAAGCTGCGAGAAGTGCTCTCTACAAGGAGATTCTCAACGTCATTGCTTTCGATGGTTCGTACGTTAACTACCGTCATCTTGCTCTGTTAGTTGATGTCATGACCACTCGTGGTCACTTGACTGCTATCAGTCGTCACGGTTTTAACCGTTCCGATACAGGTGCTCTTATGCGTTGTTCGTTTGAAGAGACGGTTGAGATTTTGCTTGAAGCTGGTGCTGCTGCTGAATTGGATGATTGTAAGGGTGTTTCTCAGAATGTCATTCTGGGCCAATTGGCTCCTATTGGTACCGGTGCCTTTGACGTCATGGTTGATGAAAGCATGTTGAACTCGCTTTCAGCAGATTATCCAAAGCAAAATGTGCCAATTTTCAGAGGCAAGTTGACTGAAGGTTCTGCCACTCCTTACGATGCCGGTTCTCAGTATGATGACGATATTGGACAGGATGACACTTCTGCTGTTATGTTTTCTCCTATTGTTCAATCGAGTGCAAACGATGATAGAAGTGGTGGTTTTACAGACTATGGAGGATTCTCTTCATACGCTCCTAACCCAACCACTCCGATGTCCCCCTTCTCTGGATATGGGCCAACATCGCCAGGTATTTCGGCAAATTCCCCAGGGTATGCTACTTCGCCAACGTACTCACCTACGTCGCCTTCATACTCCCCAACGTCGCCCTCTTATTCCCCAACGTCGCCATCATACTCACCAACTTCTCCAAGTTACTCTCCAACGTCTCCATCATACTCCCCGACCTCACCAAGTTATTCTCCAACTTCTCCAAGTTATTCTCCAACTTCGCCAAGTTACTCACCTACTTCGCCTAGTTACTCACCAACTTCTCCAAGTTATTCCCCAACCTCACCATCATACTCACCAACATCACCTTCCTACTCACCAACTTCACCTTCCTACTCACCAACCTCCCCATCCTACTCACCAACATCTCCATCCTACTCTCCAACCTCTCCATCATACTCCCCAACCTCACCACAATACTCGCCAACTTCACCCCAGTATTCCCCAACCTCTCCTCAATACTCTCCGACTTCACCATCTTACAGTCCAAAGGAGGATTGAGCTAATACAGAAGTGATTGTGGCTTCAGTTGCTCTAATTATGCATATACAAGAAGTTGCGTTTAGTGTGTTTGAAAAATGAGCAAAAAAAAAATTGGTATCCAAGAGAAAATGATAAAAGGAATGCGTTCCAATGTACTAAACACTTGATGTGTAATTTTTTTAAAAAAAATAACAAAAAAAGATTGTATTCTGTATTCTAACTGTGTGTAGGCTCACCACCAAACATCACGACTTGGTGGAGATGAGTCCACTGAGCATATCAAAACTGTTCCCATCTGGTTGAAGTTCATACACAACGCCTGTTGGTTTCCCTTCCATGTTCACTTCCTCTGCTTTGAGCATTCCCCAGTCTTTAGTGATCCCAGTGACTCTTGCTCTGGCATTTCCTTTATTGTGAAGCCACACTATCTGACCACCATGAAGCCACCTCTTATAGTACAAGTTCAAAAAAGGCTCAAAGCCTTCTTGTTTGAACTGGGTGACCATCTTTTCGAGATACCACAAGAATCTGGCCATGAGTTTTTCTTGCGTGAAGGCGGAGAGTCTTTCTCTGCCCGATTTCTCCAGGACGGCATTAACAGTCTCCAGTACCAGGTTGAGCGAAGTGGTAGGTGCCGCATTGGAGACATTCAGACCACAACCAGCGATGATGTAATATTCTCCGTCAAAGACATTTGTGTTGACTAATATACCACCAATCTTTGCGTATGCAGCTTCTGATGAAGTCGCAGGAGGTGGACCAGAAGCAACGTACTCTGGCTTCAGTATGTATATGTCGTTTGGCCATTTGATTCTTATTGGCATGCTGGAGTGACTTCCTTCACCATCATAGTTTATGACAGCCTCCACATAAGCCATTGTCCCCAAGTATTGATAGAAAACGAGCGGGGATCTTTTAGCCTGTTCAATTGCCATCCTCATGAGAATAGACACTGCCAAAACACCTGGAGGGTTGATCCAGATGTTTCCACCTCTGCCCCTTCCCGAGACTTGTGTAGTACCATGTATGGCAAAGCCACTAGGAAGCGTCTTGAGTATGTTTGTGTTCTTGTCCAGAAGTAAGGAAGTTGAGGTCAACACCTCGCCGTAAACTAGTGGGTTTCCAAAATCACCCACGGTGGTGTCACCTCCAGCTCTCCAGCTGGCTTCAAGTTCATGGTAGTAGGTTGTGAAGTTGAAGTATGGTGTGGCCTTTCTATCCGGGAAATTGTTTCCTATAGCCACCAAGTCCATCACCGCAGTATCTGGGTCTTCGTACCCTTCTTTCAGCTGGAGGTCAAGTGCAGTGGCAGGAGGTTCATGTAACCTGAAAGAGTTCGCTGAGCCCTTCAAGATCCCCTCATCGTCCACGCCAATTTCGTTTTTGATGTGTTGGAGTAGTTTCAGCGAATCTTCTGTCCGTATAGAGGAAAGGTAGAGCGGTGTTAATGAAGGCCTTCCTGTGAACTCTTCGTTCACACTCAGTCCCAGCCTCCTGAGACTGGATTTCAAAAACATCAGTCTCGCGTTGTCAGAATCGCTCAAAGTCTTGATGACAGAAGCAAACTCTGGCTCCTTGTTGGTTGCCTTCAAAAAGGCGGGAGTGAACTCAGGATGGGTACCAGTCAGCAATGCAAACCCATGACCCACTTTAGTTATTATGCAAGCAGCAGGTATTCCAGATCCAGGGTCCACATCCAATTGCTGTTCATACGAAGCCAAGACCTCCACGTTGGAGTACTGCTCAGTATTTACAAAAACACCTCCTCCATTGTAGTAATTGTGAACTGTGTTAGGAACGTCCGGCAGAATCGAGGTGTTAATATTCAACTTAACAGCTTTTGTCCCCAATTCAGTGTGATATTCAAATCCGCCGAAGGCAGGTCCTCGGCAAGTTCCAGGAAAAAACTTGAGGTCTCTAGACCCACTCACCTCTAGTTCTGGGTTCCCTACAGCAAACTCACACCTTCCAGATCCAAAATAACCACCCGCACAAAAGCCTATGTATCTCCCACCTTTTCTCACAAACTTCACGATCTCTGAAATTCCACCCTCTGCCATCTCCCTGCACATTGGCAGATCAGCTCCTCCAGGAAACACCACAACAGAAGTCTTTGGTGCCCAAGGCTCTTTTAGCAGGGTTCTGGAATCAACAGCAGTGACTGCATAGTAAGGAGAGAGAAGATTCCGCAGAGTCTCCAGACAGTGCTTGACCGAATCTGCCGTGGTACCGGGACCTGTATTTTCAAGCTGTTAGCAAACACGTTGCATATCCGGGGTTCGCAATTGTATGACTTACCAGAGTAAACTAGTACATTCATCTTGGAGAAACAACGGACGAGTCGGGAATGTGGCAGAAATGTAGGCACTCTAAAGCGTTTCAGAGGCTTTATAAACATACAACAGCCGCACTAGTTTCTGGAGATTGAAAGCGTTGGGCAAATGACTCCGAAGACTCAATGCCTTCTTGGGTTCTTGGGTCGTGTCTCGGTACCAAGGTTTTACCAAGCTGGATCCGAAAGGCGGAGGCTCTTTTGCGTTTGAAGGTAAGAAAGAGACTTGGTTGCAGCTGGATCAGAAACGGTCTGCGATTTGCTCTGGGTAGAAGGTTTGTCATAATGCGGTGCTTTTCAGCTGCTCTCTCACTGAACGTGCGTCCCAAGAGCTTGTGGGGGCCCCGATTGCGAGTCCCAGAGCTGAGCAGTCGCCTTCACTTCCGCGCCAGGCTGATCAATCCTGTGATATATTCGAATTCCAGAAGAAATATGAGTCAGCCGTCTGATCGTGGAAACAATCATCATACCAACGCGGAGAAGCTGACGCAAAACGTTGTGAAGAACACAGAAAAATTCAGAAAGCTTACCTCTGAAAAGTCTCAGGAATTGAGAAAGACAACGCTAGAAATAAGAGACTCCATCTCCAAGATAATCCCACCTGAAATACACGAGAACATATACACAATCCCCAATTTCCTGACTCTGACTCGTCTTCTGGCTGCGCCTGCTATCGGGTACCTGATTGTGAAGAACGAGGTACTGTATGCACTGGGCCTTTTCGTGTACTCCTGCGTCACGGACTTCCTGGATGGCTTCATTGCAAGAAAATACAATTTGAGGTCTATAGTGGGCACCATTATTGATCCTATGGCTGACAAGGTTCTCATGGTGGTGTGTACGGTATGCATGGCCCAAGCCCATCAGATGCCGTTATACCTTGCCTCGCTGATTCTGGGAAGAGACATTCTGCTCGCGCTTTCAGCCGTATATTATCGGTTCATTTCTTTGCCGCCTCCAAAAACGATTTTGAGATACTTCGACTTCAGCATACCGAGCGCTGAAGTGCGGCCCACTATGATCAGCAAGGTTAACACTGCGCTGCAGATGGTCTACATAGGCTGCTGTGTGGTCAAGCCTGTCCTCTTGCCATACTTCGCAGCCGACAACTCGGAGTTGTTCCTGTCGGGGTTGCAAGTTTTTGAGTACGTTGTTGCATTCACCACCATTTCGAGTGGCTTGTCTTACGTTTTCAGCAAGAATGCGGTCAAGATACTGACGAAGAAGTTTTGACTCCAACAATGTATGCTCCAGCATAACATGTATATACCTGTATTCTGCGCATGGAACCAACGGCAATATATACCAGTTGGAAGGTATTTTCCATTTGGTTCATTCACTGAATATCACCTACATTTTCAATATAAATCTTTCACTTAAAATGGGAAATCTTGAATTTCTGAGATTTTTCAGATTTCTAACCAAAATAGACAGAGCCAATGCGATGCCTATAAGAGCAAGCTCAACGGTAATACTCGTACCAAATTCTTTTTTTCATACGTTTCTCTTTGTCACCTCGTATCATAAAGAATCATTCAATACACGGATTATTTAACGACTAAAGGTAATATCATCGATTCTAAGGATGGACTTCACACATTCACTGGCAAGGGTAATGGCAGATGTACTAACCAATACCGGTTGCAGAACATGCTCGTCGAATGTGTTAGTTGCACCAGTACGCCTGACACTTATACCGGCATTGCGTTCACCGAGTTCATGTTTGTTTCTCAATTCGGTGACGATCTCAATTGGGTTCATACCAGCATTCTCGGCCAAAGTTGTTGGGATAACTTCCAGAGCATCGGCAAACTGCTTGAAACAAATCTGCTCCACACCCGACAACGAATCAGCCTCCTTGAACAAAGTCCTGGAAACTTCAATTTCTGGTGCACCTCCACCAGAGATCAGTGCCTTCACCTTAACGAGGCATCTGATGACACAGAGGGCATCGTGGAGGGATCTCTCAGTTTCATCCAAAATTTGATGGTTGGCACCTCTACACACCACAGAAACAGTTGGAGAGGAGACGTTCTTGACACCGGTAATCTTGATAATTCTCGAGCCAGAAGATTCAATCTCCTCCACCAGGTCAGCAGATCCCAATCTCGACTCAGTGAACGAATCAACATCAGCAATTGGCTTGCATCCCAGACTCTTAGAGATGAACTCAATCTCATCCCTCTCAATATCCTTCACAACCAAGATGTTCAGCTTGGCCAAGAAATGCAATGCAAGATCATTCACAGCATCTCTCAAAATGGACTTCTGTATCAACAACACGTTACACTTGGCCTTCTTGATCTTTTTACAGATGTTCAAGAGGTACGCTCTCTCTTCTTTCAGGATCTTGTCCATCTGTCTGTAATCATTCACTACCACATTGTTCTCCATGTCTGGCTTTGGTGGGGACAATTGAAACTGAATCAAACCAATCTTGGCCTTTTCCACCATTGTTGGGCCTCCTGCAGTCTTGATGACGTTTTGGGTCAGGACCACACCGTCCACCATCTCGGTGTCATCAATGGTTCCTCCTACCTTCTTGATCAATCTGATGTCGTTCAAATCCACATTGGTTGCATCCGGAGCAACCACTTTCAAAACGGCGTCAACAGCAATAGGGCCAAGCAAAGCTGAGTGCTGAGCAACAATCTTGGAAGATAACGAAGTGTTGGCAGCACGAATCAGCTGTTGGCGATCCGAAAGATCAATCTTATGGGACATATCCAGCAAAATCTCAACAGATCTGGCAGCAGCTCTCTGGAAGGACTCGGCTATCATGGTTGGGTGTATTCCCTTATTTAACAGCTTTTCAGCTGCACCCAAAAGAGCACCGGTAAGAACAACCACCGACGTGGTACCGTCACCGGCTTCAACATCTTGGGCACCAGAAACATCAACCAGCATCTTAGCAACTGGATGTAGCACAGCCATGTGCCTCAATATCGTATGGCCATCGTTCGAGATTATGACCTCGCCTTTGCCAGTTTTGATCATCTTGTCCATACCCTTTGGACCCAGAGACGTTCTGATGGCGTCTGCCACAGCCCTGGCTGCCACAATGTTGGACTTACGAACCTCCTGAGGCTTTTCTTTGTCTTTGAACGTAGCGTTCGAAGGTGCAACTTTGGAAGCCATTATGGTTGTTTCAGTCGTAGATGCTCGTGTATAAAAGAGCTGTATGTCGCCTCTTCATGCTCGCTCGAACAACGCGTTTTTTCTTCGACGAGATCTCTAGAGTGTACCCACCAAATAATTACGTAATTGATCCCTCCCCACCTAGATGGCTTGCAGCTATCACAAAAATTTATTCATATCTGGTAACTTCCTACTTCGCATGTACTCGGACAGTTGACCTCTGAAACCATGCCGAGCTCCACAGAAGACTATACCGTTCTCTCGAATGTAGTCGTCACATCACAAGATGTTTTAAACTGTTGCTATTCATCTTGGTATCCCACCTTCAAAGATCTAACGGTATCTGAGGCTAAAATAATTCGGCCTCTACCGGCTGGATTCTTGAATTACTTGAATGAGGACGACATAAGATTACCTAAGGTGCGACCATGTGAAAGGACACCGTTTTCCGAAGTTCGCCCCACTTCTGACAACGAGTATAGCGACTGGTCTGATGATGAAGACAGTAGTAACGCCTATCAAGACCCATCGGAGGCGTTCAAAGATGTGCACAAGACGATAATCTCCACCATATCCGAATTCGGAGGAGTAGTCACTCCAAAGTTGAACTGGTCAGCCCCTCAAGATGCTACCTGGATGATGGTAGACAATAGCACAAGATGCAGATCTGCCAATGATGTCTATTTGTTACTGAAGTCATCCGATTATATCAACCATGACTTGGGCTATGCCTTTGATATAGTTACAGAAGAATCTGCTCAAGATGAAGTGAAAGGCTTGGAGTTTGAGCTGGTATTGAAAAAATGGTTTGACTTCAACCCTGCCATGGAATTCAGGTGTTTTGTTAAAGACAGGCAACTTTTGGCAATCTCTCAGCGAGACCTGAACTATTATGACTTTTTGGAGGACCTGAAAGATAAAATAATAGACAAAATTGGAGCATGTTTCGATGACTCTCTTCTGCCAAAATTTGAAAGCAACAGCTTCACTTTTGATGTTTATCTTGACCGTGACTTGAGGAAGGTGTATCTTGTTGACTTCAACCCATTCGCCAGAACCACTAGCTCTTACCTGTTTAGCTGGAACGAACTCATAACAGGAAAATTTGACGCAGCAGACCCCGAAATAAGGCTTGTGACGCAACACAATTCTGGGCGGTTTGCATGTAAAGAACACTCTCAAAACCATGTACCCAAAGATGTTGTGGATGCATCCATGGACTCTGCAGCAATGGTGGAATTAGCCAAAGAATGGGAAAGAGCTTTGAGACAAAAGTCTGACTTGGCAGATAATAGCGAGGAAAAATAATGAGTGTTCGGGGCTAGTACGACATGCAGACTAAGCTCACATGTCTGTCCCTGAAGACATGATGTTCTGCTCCTCGCCTTGGCGTAGGCCGTCGCTGTAGAATACCATCGGTCTGAAAATATCCTCTGGGGAGGGTTAGATACCATAAAGGAGTGTCATAGAATTTCATGTACATACCATGTTGCATAACCTTGGAAGTGCGAAATTTTCTAATGAGGTTCTCTTTTCCCTGGCTTGAAAAACGATGTTAATAATTTGTTACCTCAACGAAAGCATAGTTCACTCACATGTTAGCATAGACGATTGTGAATCTTTTCTCGGAGCTGCTGTGATCCCATTTCTTTCCTACCCGAGCCTTCAGCAATGTAATAATGCTTTTCGGATCCATAAAAGAGACAAAAGCATAACCCACACTGACCGTTCAATTAGTAAGTCTTCAAAGCTCTGGAAGAACAGTTCACTTACTTGCACTGATTTGCGTAGTCCATGCGGAGATCTAGACTGTTAGTGGAAGCCATTGTGCAGAATGGACGAAGTATTCATACAGAGAAAATCGTAGGTTCCCTTGTTGGTAACATCAAGATATGACTTAAGATCGTCCCGGTGGTAATTGTTCGGTATATTTTTGATCATGATCGTGTTACGATTGTCCTGGCCAAGAAGAACTCTGCCCACACTAACTTCATTCCTTTGAGAGGTTGAGGATGCAGTGTTCTCATTGCCAACAGCCCAAGCTTGAGAATTAATTTCAGCTGTATGCATCTTTGGAAGCCAGCTTGCGATGGTTTTCCACTTTGATTTTTGGTAGCGTCCGGTGCTCTGCACGCTTGAGTGTCGAAACATCATGTAGTCCTTGAACGCATAGTTTTCCAACAACCCAATCATGTCTGACGTGACGATAAGTGTGGTTTTGATAGTTTCAGCCTTGGTGAGAATATTTAGTGCCGATAGAATATTGTAATAACGACACAGATGTACCGCTGGAAAGTGAGGTACCTCACAGAGATGTTCGACTTCTCCAAACTGTTCAAGTTCGGCCCTCAAGGAACTTGGGGGAATATCTCCTCGAACAGGCAAACAAAATACTGAAGCAGCAGAGTTGGACAAAGCAGAAAGATTTGAAATATCCCCGTAGCTGTCAAGATGGCAGTCGAAGATGAAATCGCACTGGTAAAGGTGATCCATTTTCGATAAAGCCTCAATTGCCTGAACGGCGTTGCGATGATCAAACCAACCAACAATTGCCACTTGACCACTAACAGTGTTTACCAAGTCTGACACGGCAACATTGCCAAACCTCGAGCACAAAGTCCAAACATCGCGAACTCTGAGATCTTGTGCCGGTAATCCGAGAAATTTGATGTATATCGCCCTTGACACTTTTGCTTGCGTTTGTAATCTGTCTCTTACTCTAGATGTTGTCTTGGGAAGTACTTGGGTGGGAGATCCAGCATCTAATCTATTCTCTGGTACAGTGCTGGCTTGCCTAGCAGGCGGCTCGCACACAGGTGACTCGCACACAGGCAAGGTCACAACTCGAGAAGCTATTTGCCTTCCATTGAAGGGATATTGTTTGCGATGATTTGGCAAATGAGGATCCATACTTGAAGACATGCTAGTGGAATGATAACCTTAAAGAAAAGATGGGCGTTTGATGATTTAGGAAATAATGTGCGTACAACATTTTTGGTGTCGTGCAGGTGACACAGAACGAGTAAATTGAAATTTCATGCAGCTACAAAATTACCCCACATACTTTAACACAATTGAAAAACTCATTATGAACTTCAAGCCAACTTGACACTTCTTGCAAGACCTTTCTTGATACCAGTCTTCTCTCCACTGTAAGCTCCCTGTTGCCCGGTGTAAACAGCACGGACACTCTTGAGCTTCTTCTGGGCCTTGTCGTACTTCTTTCTCTTCTTGACTCTGGCATTTCTGTTTTCCTTCTTTCTCGACTTTCCAAGACCCTTGTTCTTGAGGATTTGGTAGCCAATCGCACGCTTTCCTGCTTCGCCCAGTCCACTTTCGATCTCAGCGAGAGTACCTTCCCTAGCAGCAGTGACTGCTTCTTCATGAGCACGGCGTCTGGCATCTGTCTTACCCTTTCTAGCAGAGGCCACAGCGTTGTAGTAAGACTCATCGGCATCCTCATTAAGTCTTTTAGAAAGTGCTTCGTCAGCGGAATCATATTCGTTATCATCAAGGTCAACTCCTGGAGCGTTGCTGTTGCCCTTCTCACCCCTGAGCCTGGCTTCTTCAATAAGTTTCTGTTGTCTCTCGTAAAGCCTCTCTCTGTACGGTATATCAGCATCACCGGTATATTTGTCTTCAATTTTGTTTTCCTTTTGATCGATTTTGGATGTGTAGAAACGAAGAGTCTTTCTGCGTCCTTTCTTCTCCTCCTGGTCAACCTCATCAGCATCGTCTCCTTTGGCACGCAATGCTTTGATGGTTCTTCTCTTGCTCAATATGTCAAACGTAATATCAGAGTTATCAGACTCCACGCCCTCATCGTCGACATCTTCACTGGCAGAATCAGAGCCCGACTCTGATTCCGAAACATCCACACCCTGATCATCTGAGATACCCGACTCAGAACTGTAGTCAGAAGGTATATCGGTCTTCTTGACTACTTCGATATCTGGCAACTCACTCGCTTGCCTCCAAATCTCTCTCGAATGTAGAATACCCTCCATGACAGGCTCATCCTTCATCGAGAACTGTTCACCTGACTCCAGGTTGTACATGAATGTAGCCAAGTAGGTTCCGATAGTGCCCAAATACGTGGACAGGGCGGTGAACTTCACATTACCCACTTCGTTTCTTTGGCTGGACTTCAGCTGCTCCCAGACAGGCTTGAGAGAAGAGAACTCCCTTGTCAAGGGTAAGAACTCTGGATATGCGGTTTTTAGAAGCTCTAGACGTTCTTTCGTGTCTAGGTCGTTGACATTGGTAACGGAAACCGGCTCGGAGACTTCTTCACCCTCGTCAACAGCCTTCTTCTCCCAACCTTCATCGTAATCCTCATCCATGAAATCGTCAATGTTCAGTTCAGCCAGGTGCTTCTTTTGTAACCTGATCGCTTCCTCTTCTAATAATTTGGCATCTTCTTCCTCCTCAATGTCATCTGCTCCATAGTAGTCGTTTCTTGAGCCCCACTTGTCTTCATCGTCACCATTTTCGGCTTCAGACTCGCTCTTGTAATAATCCTCTTCTTCCTCATCCATATGCCTGTTATTGCGGAAGTCGAAGTCATTCTCCGAATCACTTTCACCCAGAGACATGACATCCTCCTGATCATCTTCTTGTTCATCTTGATGTCTGTCCTGTATGCCAGATTCATTCAGCAGTATCTTCTCCCTCTCTTCATTGAAAGCGTCAACCTCATCAAGATCAACTTCTTCAGCCTCGGGCTGCCTATGCGAGACTTTGCCCCTCTTTCTAGCCATTGTGGATAATCTTAGTCTTGTCAAGCTGGTGTTTTTACAGATGCATCCCATTTCTAAAGTAAAATATTTTTTTTTCGTCTTCGGGTAGTGTATCAAACAAAATCCATGCCGCTGCGAATTCTTTTTCAGACAATTCTACCTGTTTTCTAGATCACATTTATAATCACGGTTTGGTTCGAGGAAATTCACAAATGTCAGGGTTCTCAAATATAACACCAAGTAAGGATCGATTGAACTCCATATCTAGACGACCAGCCTCTGTGTCAGGTGCGAACTCTCCGGCCAACGGCAAGCCATTGAAGTTCAGGCCGAAGGTGGTTGCCAGAAGAACAAAGGAAGAAAGAGATGCTGATGCGCCTGTGACAATTAGCGAGCCCTCAGCCTCTGATTCTAACAAACAAAGAGGTGGTGCGAGCGTTAGAGGAGGTGTGAGAGGCAGCCGCAGGCGTGGAGGACTCGCAGGCACCCATGTGGTCTCAGCAGGGCCATTATCAGGTGGGTTTGTCTCTATCAAATCCGGAAACGGCTCAACTAACTCGTCCTCGTTTGTCAAAAGTGAGTCTTCGGGAACCCCTGACTACTTGAAACAGCTTATATCCAAAAATAAGGAGGGTTCGAGGTCCCGCTCGGTCAGTGTAGGGCCTGGTGGGGAAGAAGAGGAGGAGGAATTCATAGAAGATGAAGGCACTGCTTTGATAGACATGAACAAAGAGTATGAGCTCGAGGAATCAGAGACGCTTTTGTTTCCTGTGAGGGCTCCAAGACATGAGCATGTTGAGTATAGTGAAGCAGCTGCAAATGACGCCGTCGAGAAAAGTGAGACCAATGAATCTGAAACAGCCTCTGAGGTTGAGTCTAGGTCGGCTAGTTTACAACCGCAAGGAAGTATTGCTATCGACCAGATAGCCGACGAAGAGGAGTCTCTGAACCCGCTCCAGTTTAAGGAAGAACAGGACAGGCTTTTGGACGACTCTGAGAAGTTGAGCAAGCTATTCACATCGCGGATAAAGATCAAGACCGAGCAAGATGTTGATATGGACCATCCGCCAAAGCTGGATATTCGCGAGGACTTTTTGTTTTTCCAGCTTCCAAAATCGTTGCTGCGTTATCAGCAACCAACTGAGGAGACAACAGGACAGGACGACAACGATAATGACAATGACATGGCAATCGTGGAAGACGAAGAGAACCCTGCCGGCTTAGAGGAGGTGAAAAAAGAGCCTGTAAAGGAAGTTTCAGGCAGGGTTGGCAAACTGAGAGTGCACAAGTCTGGAAAGGTTACCATGAAGATAGGCGATGTGATTCTAGATGTAACCAGGGGAGGTGCTTCTACACTTGTTCAAGAGATTGTTAACGTTGATCATGAGAAGAAACAACTGCACAATCTGGGGTTTGTGCAGGAGAAGGTGATTGCTACACCAAGACTGTATCCTTGAGTTCTGGCTTTCAAATTTTGTACATTAGTGCCATACAAGCAGGTGATTAATAAAAGTAAAATCATGAATTCATTACGATTACACGCTTCAGGCTAGTCTATCTTTGCTCTTTTGAGATCTTCCCGAAGAGAGACATCCGAGTCTGGCTCTCTCTTCAACGACTCAGCTTCAAGGGAAACCGAAACCTCGGGAGTCTTCGCATCGGTAAGCCTCTGTTTGGCCAGTTTCTTTGCAAGCTTCTTAGGTTCCAAACAGAAATGCACTTTGGTGGATATGATCTTGGCCTCTTCCAAGGAAGGGTTTAGGGCCTCGTGTATGTGTTGCGAGCATTTTTTCACTATGGTCATGATAAAGTTGTAATGTTGCTCTGGGGTTTTTGCCTTGATTTCTTCTTCTTGCACGTCTAGCTTTGTTTCCTCTTCTGTATTCTCTTCTTTCACGTCAGTGGGCTCTTCGCTAGGGTCCTCTTTAACGCTGGCAAGGCCATCATCCTTCTTCTTTTTGTAACCAAACTTCCTGGCCAGATACCTCTCCACTACCACAGAGTCCACCTCCCAGAGTGCTGCCAGAGCAATCTGAGGGGGAGTGTATAAAAAGCAGGTATCCGAAAACAAGCTTTCGTTCACGATTTTCCGAGCCCTATCATAGCCCTGTCCGAGTCTTGATTTGTCGGCTTTCGGAAGAACTGCTTGAACATCGAGGTAAAATCCGTATAACGGTCTGAAAGGATGCTGACACAGCAGCGTGAACTGTAAAGATTCTAATATTGGATATTCGTTCTCGAGTATGGATTCTGGAGTCAGCTTGGGCATAGCACCGGTGAACGTCTTGATTCCGATGAAGCTATTCTCGCTCTTAGCTGCTAAAAAGATACAGCTGTACATCACATTGAGCGGATGATACTCCATAACACTATGCATCAGGAAAAACTTCTTTAGGAAAGAAATGGCTGTAGCTCTTGCCTGCGTAGGTAACTTGAAGAAATGTGCCACATCACTAGCCTTTCTGGCATAGTATGCCACGATCTTGGCCTCTTCATCCACCGTGATAGGTTCAACGCCCGATTCTTTGACTTCTTGCAACTCAGGAGTTGTCGCTTCAAGGTCATCCACTCTTTGTTTGACAACCTTCGTTCCGTTGAGGTTGTTGTCTTGTCGCCTTCTCTGGAGCTCCTCTGAGGTGAACGACCACACTCTGTACTGAGAAGACCTTCTGTACAGGTCATCATTCGAGACCCTCTTGGTCGTAGGTTTGGTGTCATTTACAGACATTTCTTCCAAAAAAACCCTTGTAAATAATGAAACTAAGACGGTCGTTATCGGAAGAAATTCCGATTCAAACACCACTTTACTCATAAAAAGGTAGGCGTGAACTTCTACGGCCAGTGCACTACCTCCTCAACCTTGGATTCAAATCAACGCCCGGTTCTTTCACTTGACTCTTTCTTCGCTTGTATATCTCACAATTTCACGGTTGTTGAATCTCATAATCATGGCATTGACATCATTCGTGCTCTACGGTATTGGAGTGATACTGCTGATCAACTCCGGATATTCGTCATACGAACACCGCCAGCTGTCTAAGACTCTGCTGCATTCAAGACATTTCCCTCTTCCGTTGGACGTGAAGATGGAAGCAGTTGTTGGATGCGTGCTGGTGCTCATTGGTGCAATAATATCGATTCAACCAAATCAAACACATGTCGTTGACGTGGCTAGCGGGTCGGTGGTCGAAGGCTACACGGAGGAAGCCTTGAGGCCTATAGATATGGGTAAAGCCACCATCAGACAGGAGGCCATGGGGACTAGCGATTATGCCCAGATTGAGAACAGACCAGGGTACATTGATATAAGAGCAAGAAGGAAGGAATATCAGGAGTGGCTGGCCACCGAAAAGAAGTAAGTGACGACTAGAATCGAGCCCCAGTAAAAGACAGCAATGTAATTTTTATAACATAGGTAATGAAGAGAAGGAATGATCAAGACACAACTTTACCAAAGGTGATACAACTCCAAACAAGACAGAATCCGTTTCCAAACTCGCGCAAGAGCATTGAAAGGTGTAGTTCGAGAGGACAAAGAGAACTGAAGGGGCGAGACACGGCCACCGAGGTGGAGCCATACAGAGATTAGGATTGGAACATGATCCACTGGACGCAAGGGCCCAGAAGCAATTTGTTCATCATAGCGAGCGGTTGACGATTTCAGCGAAGCAGAAAAAAAAGTGGAGCGATGGCACTAGTTGCATGGGGGTCAGAGAGCAGGTTATCTGAATAGACTCTTGAATTTGGATAAGACACCACCTCTGGCACCTCCAGAAGCATTGCTGCGAGCGTTTTGGGCTCTGTTCTGCGGAGAATCGCTGTTGAGAGTTATGGAGGAATCGTCTGCCCCATCTAGGGTGACTTGAGTAGACGAAGACATATCGTCAATATCCGCATCGATAAGGGCGGGAGACCCAGAGGCCTGAGTCTGAACCGCATCCCCATGACTGGCGGGGAAGGAGATCGATGTGAACTGACTTGCCTCGGTTTCGTGTGTCCTAGTTCTGGAAAGACGATCCTCAGAGTCCACGGGCTCGGCCGACTTAATATCTTCAGGGTAAAGGACATGATTTGCGATTCCATCCGCATCAGTCTCAACTTTGGCTGAGGAAAGGACCCAATTGCCGTCGACGACAAACTGTAAAGTTAGAGAAATTTCAAGAAGCTGCGTGCTGTGTGAGTCAGCTGATGAGGCTGATGATGCATGATCTATCAGATCACAAACACAAACACAGACAAAGATCTATTCAACTTACTTTGTAAAAAACCTTCTCATCAGGAAGACTCAGGGTCTTAGAAAACTTTCCATTTTCCTCGTTGAGCAACACAGATTTGGACCAATTGTCAAAGGTCCCTGTCACGTACACCTCGTTTGCAGACGAAGGCCTGTAAGATAAGTCAGTAAAGTTGAACTATAACAAGCAGAAGTGCGGAAAATAATTGCGATCTCAAAGTTCGGCCTGAAGTTTACTTCGCTTTGAGAAAGATAAGGCCAGAATATCCTCAGACCGCGATGAAAAACTTCAGCAGAACGCGTAGTACGTTCGTAAAAAAATTCCACACGATAAGGCAGACCTTATCAGGACAAGACGAATCAAGCCATAATGACAGAATAGCCGAACTGCGCAGAAAATAATCGAAACTTACCACTCAAACGTATATTTCATGATAGGGATCTTTATCTTGTGGTTGGCAGATATACAGATCTGTTGGGTGAAAAGAATGGAAGGAAGGGGGGGAGAGAGGGGGAAAGAAGAGGCCTGGTATTTTTTGAAGTCCCCTTTGCCTCAACCCTCATCTCTCCCTGTCAAAAAGGTTAAATTAATGTCACCTTCTGATGGTCGTGGCTGGCCGAACATAGATAAGATAATAATGGGGCTGCATTGAATTTTTCACTTTACATGGAGCTTTATATTTTATTCTTGCACCTTTATTCAAACCATGCAATCGCAAACATGATAGAAATTCCCACTCCGAGCCAGAACAACTGGAAGAAGCCTCTGATAATCTCGACGCTTCTTGAGCTGCCCTTCTCCAGCTCCAAGACCTCAGGGATAACACCCACAGTAGCGATGTAGAGAAACCCACCAGCGGTGAATGGCAAAGTCAAGTCTCCAATCTCCACGGTGGTTCCAAAGAGTCCTGCATAGGCATTTTCCAGCTTGGTTGCCACATTCAAGTCTTTGCTGAACTCTTGGATTCCAATGCCAATGGCAGTACCCAAAAAGGCCCCGATAGCAGTGACGAACTGGAACCCCATGGCCTGCCATTTGGTGAACCCTCCTTGGATCAGGAGAGCAAAGTCTCCAATCTCGTGAGGAATCTCATGGAAGAAAACCGCCAATGTGGTAGTACAGCCGACACTTCTGGAGATGTAGAATGAGGCCGATATCGCCAGTCCGTCAGTTATGTTATGACAGAAATCCGAGATCAGGTTTAGGTACGCAGAAGTTTTGACGGAGGCATTTGGATTGGCGATGACTGGCTGGTCAACAATAGCAGCAACTTTCTCCGTTTTGGACAGACTCTTTGAGCCCTTACCCTTGCGTCTTTTGGATGTCTCCTTTGGCACAGCCTCGACAGGTGTAACCGCGGCACTGTGAGAGTGGCTATGACTGTGTGAATTTCCTTCACCTTCTTCACCAGTATGTTCCAAGATTCTCAGACTCTTGTCAATGATAAAGAATACTAAGAACCCGAAGAAAATGAACAGACCCAGGATACAGTTTCTCTTCTCATCCACCAGGATGAACGAGTAGCCCTCCTCGATCTTCTCGCCAAAAAACGTCTGGGGAAGCAGATGCAAAAAGACATCACCCAGCAAACCACCAATTGCAAAACTGACAAGCATGCTTAAAGAGTAGACATCAATGTCTGCGGGAATCAAAGCAAGGATGAAGTTAGGCGGACCAGAGATATAGGCAGTAGCGAGCAACGCGTTTCCAGCCTCCGAGAATGGGAAGACGTATTCGTAGAGCTTATCAGCTTTGATCTTGAACGTCGAGTGGTGTTCATGATCGCTGACTGTATTAAGCTTCTTGACGACGTCACATTGAGCCAATTGATCGCCCAATGACTCGAGGTTTATAACACCGTTTTCATAATACAGATCTGCCTGGGGTCTGGACTCTTTCGGCTTGAAGAACCCATGTGAGTGAGAAACTCCTAGAATGGCAGCCAAAGCCAGCAGATGCGTGAATCTCATAGCTGAACCTCTGAATGTACCTGACTTATCTGGATATCTGATGGTCTGTTAGCCTAACAAAGAGCAAACAGCTCTTCTTGCTGGAGAGAGATGAGATCCATCGCCAAATCCATTTCCAATATTTTGGATTCCGCACTCCCTTACAAGCAAACCGGGCTACCTCGAGACTAATTAAGCATTGTTTTATTTTTTCACTTTGCTCCTTTTTGGGATCTCAAGCGTTTGCATTCAGACCTGGTGTACTATACATGTCTAGAAACAAAACTAAAATAAAATTTAAGGAACAAACTTCAGAAGGAGCGTGCACTACACCTGACCTTCATTCTTTCTATCTAACCACTCCAGAACTTGTAGGCCTGTGGGTTACCAATACTAACAGGCTCGAAGTCCGGTGCAATGCTTTGTTCCTTGCTGCCATTGACAAGTTCAGTTTCGCTGACCAACTCGGCAGCCGTAGGCTTTCTGGTAACGAAAACCTTGGGGGCTCTGTTCGCCTCGACAACGGCCTCACTGCATAGCTGCAATCCTTCTTCGGTAGCACCCAACTCAGCTGCTTTCTGTAACTTTTCATGGACGATAGAGGCCTGCTTACGCAAAGCCAGTCTGTCGATCAACAGATCGCGCTTCTTCTGGGCTAGCGACTTCTTCTCCGTTTCCAGAACCTTTTCAACAGTGACCAGTTTGCTCAGCTTCACCTCTATTTTCTTCAGCTCCAGCTCAACCAGTTGGCGAATGATCTCCTCTTGGGATTTCTGGGACTCGACTAGTTGCGCTTGGGCCGAGGCGGCTAAGACCCCTAGAGCGGTCTTTGCACTGTGAACGATGGTGTCGTCAACACCCTCCTTGTCGTCACTGCTTCCGAGAGCAACAGCAACAGACTTCTTGGCGACTTCAGCACTGACTTTGCCTGTCAGGAACTCGATGGTCTTGTCGAACGCCTGTAGAGGTGAATTAACACCGTTTGAGACGCCATTAGAGTGTGCTCCATTGGAGTACCCTTTCTTCTTTTCATATATCTTTCTTGAAATGGTCTGCTCTAAGTATCTGTCCTCAATTGGAAGCTGAATAAACTTGGAGATACATTGTTCTTTGGTCCTGGATCCAACATGTCCGCAGATTTTGTTCCAGTCTTCGTCGTACATCTCGATACCTTCCAGAAGCAAAAGCACCTCCTGAGACGACCAGCTTGTGGCATCAGAGCTAGCTGATGCCTTTTCAAGCTTTACAAAGTCACTGGACTGGAAGTTGGAAGGGAAGTGGCCCTGCTCGAAGCATTTTGAGCACACATTGTTCTTGGACCTCAAGTTATGATATCTGGTGACAGTGGCATCATTACCACAGACGTTACAAAACACCTGCTTGATGCCGATGACGCTGCTAGAGAAACGTTCTTTCTCCTCTCCACGCAACGTGACACTGTCCAAGGTGGAATCGTAGACGTTACGTCTCACTTCCAGGTTGAAGGGGATATCAGAAGGCTCAGCCTTGACTGTTGAAGCTTCAACCGATCCGTTTGACTCGCCGTTGGCAGACTCCTCCTTCTTGACCAAAATTTCAGCGTTTGGTGGAATAAATGGCGCCAGACCCTCGGGTGTGTCCAATGTGATTTGGAAATGGCCTGTGTATTGAGGTCCAGAGAGAGAAGGCCTCGTCCTGGGATCCACCTGATAATTTATCAAACCCCACTTCTGCAAAAATCCATGGACTCTCATTATGGAGGCAACATCTCCTGCCAAATTTCTTCTGGCTGCAGTGACTGTTAGGAATTCCATTGGATTCAGTCTGTAGGCATTGATCATGAAGTCCCTGAACTCCTTGTAGATCTTTGCACTTTTGAATTTAGAGGTCTCAAAAAATTCGGGAAGTGATCTCTTCTCTATCTCATGGATCGAGTTCATATCAAACCAAGCAGCATATGATGGAATCACCACAGGTCTGACCTGACGAGCCAAGTACTGCTTGGCTTTCTCATCCAACTTCTGCTGTTCTTCTTTCAAATCAACCACATTGGTAGTTTCAGTCTGAGGAGGCACTGAGCCCTCGACCTGGTCACCCGATTCTTCCTCGACCTCTTCAGCTTCATCGTCCTCGTCACCCTTGACATCCTCGGGTGCTTCCGAAGTCGCGTCCTTCATCTCGACATCGGGTGTTTCCACAGAAGAACTCTGTTCCTCATCTTTTATTGAGGAACTAGCCGCCGTATCAGGTGAGTCAGACATGTCGCGCAGAAACTTAATGGTAGATGGATTTTCACCCTCGAGCTTCTGAACGTGTTTGGTTATCGAGGTAAGATTGAACTTCAACCAACAAACTCTTCTTCCAGTTTTGAGCCAGCACTCCAAGGATTAGCAAACACACTACCCGAACGCGACCCTGAATTTTTCAGATCGCTCCTAGATAAGATATGGGATAAAGACGCGTGAAATACTGTGTGACTAATTTTTAGTCAAATATGACTGTAACAGAGGTTTTGGAGCTACAAGAGGACCAGGAGGAAAGTGCTCGGATCTTGGCTGCCATAAAAGAGCAGCAGGATCTGGAATCTGAGATTAAAGATGATGAGCAACAAAGAGAGTTCACGGGCATGTCTTCCAGCAAAAAGTTGAAGCGGCTGCAGGATTTGGTAAAGAAATCCCAGGTGTTCTCGGCGATTATCGCAGACACGTTATTGGAGAGCACTCTGAACAAAAAAGAAGAGCCCAGAAACGAAATTAAAGAGCCTGTCACTAAGAAGGCTCGGCGTGGTAGAAGTGCCACCGGGAAGAGCCATCAATTTGTTCCATTAGGGCTTTCTTCCGAGTCAAGTTTAACCAAAGACAAACTGGAGCAGGCCTCAAGTTCGCAAAAAAGTGATGCCAGGGGCTATTCGCAGCCAAAAATGTTAAAGAACTGCACTCTAAGGGACTACCAACTATCAGGAATGGAATGGTTGATCACTCTGTACGAAAACGGATTGAATGGAATACTTGCGGACGAAATGGGCCTTGGAAAGACACTTCAGTCTATAGCGATGCTAGCATTTTTATATGAGCAGGGCATCAAGGGCCCTTTTCTGATTAGTTGCCCTCTATCAACGCTATCTAACTGGGTTGATGAAATCAAGAGATTTGCACCCTCAATGCCCGTTCTCGCTTACACAGGAGATAAAGCCACCAGAAAGTCCCTCAGAGACGAACATTTTAGTCGGAATGAAGACCTGGGAATCGTTGTTGTTAGTTACGAAATTTCCATCCTGGATTCAAAGTATTTCAACGGTGTGGATTGGAGATTCCTGATTGTTGACGAGGGTCACAGACTGAAGAATGCTGATTGTATGCTGATAAGGCAATTGAAAAGAATACGAACGTCAAACAGACTACTGCTCACGGGGACTCCACTTCAGAACAATTTGAGAGAACTTTGGTCACTGCTGAATTTCATCCTGCCTGATGTGTTTCCAGATGTTCAAATGTTTGAGCAATGGTTTGATTTTTCATCCTTGCAGGAGCTCAAGGATGACGATGGTGATGACCAGTTCAACGAGTTAGTGAATGCAGAAATTCAAAAGAGCTTAATCTCAAGCTTGCACACTATTCTGAAGCCATTTCTCTTGCGTCGTCTCAAACGAGACGTCGTGAAAGGATTGCCTCCAAAACGGGAGTATATCATCTATGGAACACTCACAGACTCACAGAAAATGCTTTACACAGCAGCACTTAAAAAGGAGCTTTCTCATGAAATTTCCCGGTTCGGATTCAAGGAGTATCTGAGGGCAAACAAAATCAGATTTGCCAGAGGTGGTGATAAGAGCACAGTTGATAGTTTCTTGAACTCTGTTCTAGAAGGTGAAGAAACACCCACGCCTCGCTCGCTTGTACCCCATTGGAATAAAGTGAAGCACGAAATAGATCAAAAAAAGACTCTGAACGCTATCATGCAGTTGCGTTTGGTGTGTGACTCTCCCTATCTGTTCTATTTCCCTTGGGAAGATGAAACCAAAGTGGATGCAGCTTTGGTCGAGAATTCTTGCAAAATGACCATTTTGAACCAACTAGTACCAGCATTGATCAAGAAAGGTCACAGAGTGTTGATATTCACGCAATTCGTCAAGATGCTGGACCTCATTCATGACTGGTGTGCTACTTACATGGGATATAATGTTTGCAGAATAGACGGCTCCTCCTCGCAGGAGGAGCGTCAATCTGAAATTCACTCCTTCAATAACACGGACGAAGGTAGCGAAAGCCCACAAGTGTTCCTTCTCTCCACACGTGCTGGTGGTCTTGGTATAAACCTGACTGCGGCTGATAGTGTTGTTCTATTTGACAGTGATTGGAACCCTCAGGTCGACCTCCAAGCCATGGACAGGGTCCACAGGATCGGCCAGACGAAACCGGTGGTTATTTATAGACTTGCAGTGTCCAACACAGTCGAGGAGGTTCTTTTGGCCCGTGCTGACTCAAAGAGGATACTGGAAAAGCTGGTGATTCAGATGGGACAGTTCCGAGCGTTGACCCGTCTCTCCAGCGACCAACAGAAGATGTCCGCGGGAGACAAGTCTAGCAAGCAGCAATTATATGAAGAACTGGACACTTTGTTGAGGGTAAAGAATTTTGGTGGAAAGCATGTGCAAGATAACGAGTTGAGCACGGAAGAGATGGAGGAACTGTTGGATAGAAATTCAGCAGCCTATGAGCCAGGCCGCGAATTGAGTTCGAAATTTAGCCATATCACTCTGTTTGAGACTGTGAGCTCACTGGAATAACGATAAACCGAATAGACCATCATTGATACATTGTTGCATACAAACTTGTAGGTGTTGTGTTCTATATGACGATCTCTCACACTATAAAATTTGGGTTGTGAGCCCTGATTTGAGTGCAACCGTCAGAATTACGGTGCGCACGGGATAACGGGGAAGCCACCTCCCGCCTTATCATCCTCAATCTAACTACTTACCACTCCTGAAAACGTATTTGTTGCTCTTAATCAAGTGAGTTTCACTTGATACCCATCATACTACTTGCAAACCATGTCTTTTATTCAGTACGTGGACGAATTAAACGAATTGAACAAGCAGATCAGGACCAAGAGTCCGGTCGATGTTATCCAATTCTGTGCCAACTACTTCAACAATCGTTTGGAGGAACAAAGAAAGGCTCTTTGGGAGCAAAAATCCAAGGCTGAGGCAGCAGGAATTAATCTGTTTCCATCTGGAACTCAAATAAAGGAGCTGCAAGAAAACCGGACCGTTCCAAGTTTCAAGACCCCTTTCAGCGATAACGATCCCCACTCAGCAGCTGATCATGGGGCTCCCGCCAAATTGACCACCGATGCTGCCGGACTCTTCAGGGGCGTTTCCGGAGAAGGATCCAATCCCTTTGGTGCGTCAGCACCTGTCGACCCCAGCGACCCTGGCGCAAAGAGAAGCACGCCTCAGTCCACCGTTCCAGGTGCTGGGTTTGCCGCCACCATAGCCAAGCTTCCAACAACCTTCAATGCAAACAGACGGACTTCGGTCAGTGCAGAAGCCATGAATCCGGACACTTTCAGCGGTGATAACTGGAAGCCCCCGGTGCATAACTTTTCGCCGGAGCAGCTCGAGAGACTCAATGCGAGCGTAGCCAAAAACTTTTTGTTCAGCCAGCTAGACGAGGAGTCTTTGAGGACGGTCATATTTGCATTAGAGGAAAAGAAGGCTGCCCAGGGGACCAATATCATCTTACAGGGAGATGAAGGAGACTTTTTCTATGTCGTTGAGAGGGGAACGGTTGATTTTTACGTTAATGGGGCTAAGGTGAACTCGTCTGGTGCCGGTTCCAGTTTTGGTGAGTTGGCTTTGATGTACAACTCTCCAAGAGCTGCGACTGCTGTTGCCGAGACAGACTGTATCTTGTGGGCGTTGGACAGAATGACATTCAGACGTATACTATTGGAGGGCACTGCCAAGAAGAGATCCATGTACGAGGGATTCTTGAAGGAGGTTCCTGTTTTGAGTGCTTTATCGTCGTATGAGAGGAACAAGCTGGCAGATGCCTTAGGAACAGAGTCTTACGCTATTGGCGAGAACGTTGTCACTGAAGGTGAGGCTGGAGAAAACTTCTATTTCATCGAGGCAGGTACAGCTGAGATCATAAAAGAGGATGAAGGAGTGATTGGTACGCTTCAAAAGGGAGATTATTTCGGTGAGCTGGCTCTTTTGCACGATTCTCCCAGACAGGCTACGGTCACGGCAACCAGTCCACTGAAGGTTGTGACGTTAGGAAAGAGTGGGTTCCAGAGATTGCTAGGACCAGCAGTGGAGATATTGAAGCGTCAAGACCCTACCAAGCATTAATCTCCTGAATTCCAGCCATTTTCCTCCTTTAAGTCAAGATGTTTTTGTTTGTAATTCAGTTATTCAATTAAAGCCCAATGCTGAAATATACTTCTTACCTACAAAGATTGGTAGTACCCTCTTTGCGAAAGCATCCAAGTGATACTGGTGGTAGCCACTATCAAAGGTCCCAGCAAACCCTTGCCAAATTTTGCAGTCTTGTAGACAAACCACTCCAAACCGAAATGGGCAATGGCAATGAAGTACGAGCAAAGCGTAATGTCGTAGACCTGGGGATTGGTGATATAGTAGGCACCGTATCCCCTGATGACTGCACTGATAAGAGTCCAGGTACCAAAGGTACGAGCAGAAAGGCCCGTAGTCTCCAAAGGCTTGTTCTCATAGACTCTTCTGGTCAACTCCAGGCCCGAGATATACGTTTGGGCTGAGTTGAATATTGAAACTGCAGAGATCTAAGATTGGTTAGTATGCCTCGTCCCCAAGGTCACCTCTGACGGCATGAATTGACCAATCAAAAGCAAATGCAAAAACTCACAAAGACCAACCATTTGGGCAGCAATCCCGACGTTTGAGGCAAATAGGGCACAATTTGCTCAAACATTGTGCGATTGGTTCTCCACTATTGACTGGACGGTGATTCCGGGTGAAACTTTCTTGGATCGAAAGACTCTGTCAAGTAGCAACGTGCCATCAATCGAGACACTATGAAGACCACCCGGGTTTACTCGTTAACAGCAGATCATCCTTTGATACAGACTTATTTAACTCCGATAAAATCTGTTTGAATCCAGTTTTATCAAAGATGGTATGTTGATTTCTGACCCGTTTGCTACTTCAGTTAGCATCATATTAACGATTTCTTACCGCTAGTCTGACGAAGCTCTCGATGCATCCCTTGACCTCCTCAGAAGGTTAGACCCCAAAAACATCAGCACACATCTCGAAAACTTGTGCCGACTGGTTCCGGATCTTGCTGAAGACTTGCTTTCCTCGGTAGACAAACCATTGAAGGTGCAAAGATGCCAGGAAACAGGTAAGAACTACCTGACCTGCGACTACAATCGTGATGGAGACTCCTTCAGATCGCCATGGAGCAACAAATATTACCCATCAATAGAAGATGAGGCCGAGGCTCCTCATCCTTCAAAAGTTCTGAGGCAATTGGAGCAGTACGCGAACGACTCCTTCGATATTTACAGGGACCTGTATTACGAGGGAGGTATCTCAAGCGTGTACCTTTGGGACCAGGACACAGATGTGGATGAATCAGGATCAGTGGAGTTTGCTGGAGTCGTTCTTCTGAAAAAGGAAATTGACGCCAACACCAAAGATGCCGGGTCTTGGGACTCTATCCACGTGTTTGAAGTTGTCCCGGGCTCCGGAAAGTCCGCCGCATACAAGATCACATCCACTGTTATCTTGGACCTCTCGACAGAAGATAACAGTGACAATTCCATTTATCTGTCAGGGAATTTGACCAGACAAACTGAGAAGTCACAGACGTACACTGACAGCAATTCCCATATCTCCAGCATAGGCTCCATGGTTGAGGAAATCGAGTCCAAGCTCAGAAACATGCTGCAGGAAGTTTACTTTGGGAAGACAAGAGATATTCTGGGTGATCTTAGATCCACTCAGGATATAGAGGTCACCAAGAGCGAGAGAAATAGGCAACAGGAAGTTGTTAAGGGAATCCAAGGTCTGTAAGAGCCTCACCACCGTTTCACATTATTTCACCTGGACAATTCCACGCTCATGAATAAATTTTTGACCCAAAATCATAAAGATGTAACTATTTCTTTTACCGTGGCTAAGAATATAAACACTTACTGAGCATTATGCATCAAACAGTTATATCAAATCTGATCACGTGATCCATTTGCGATTACGTAACAACAGTTCAACAATTCAGCGTAGTCTATCAGAACCATGGACAAAACCTTACACTTCAGCACCCTATAGAGGCCTGACGATAATTCATCAAAGGGGCGGTGCTAGTAGTGATTTTGAGATAGTTGGGAGCTTTTTGTTTGAGTTTTTAATTTGATTGTTTCAAAGAGTTTTTCGGAAGGCATTTACGGGGCTCCATTATCAGATCGTTACGTGAGGTTGAAAAAGATGAGCCACAAAAAGACAGAATCAGCGGCATCGCCCGTTGCCAGGGTTTACACTTGGGCCAACAAAAACAAGCCTGAGGATTATTTTGACTATGAGAATATAAGCATATCCTGGGGTTCGCCAGAGAAGTATGAAATCATACGGAAGGTGGGGAGAGGAAAGTATTCAGAAGTGTTTGAAGGCTACGAGATCCCGGCGGGGAACAAGGTAGTATTGAAAGTCCTGAAGCCAATTAAGAGGAAGAAGATCAAGCGTGAGGTGAAAATATTGCACAACCTGAATGGAGGACCCAACATCGTTGAGCTACTAGATTTGGTGAGGGATCCTATCTCAAAAACTCCAGCTCTAGTCTTGGAACATGTCGATAATGTGGAGTTCAGAATACTATATCCGAAGCTGACAGATTTGGATATCAGATATTACATGTATCAGTTACTGAAAGCCCTGGACTATTGTCATTCCATGGGCATCATGCACAGAGATGTCAAACCACACAATGTTATGATTGATCATTCCAAATCCAAGCTGAGACTCATTGACTGGGGATTGGCCGAATTTTACCATCCAAACACCGAGTATAATGTTAGAGTCGCCTCCAGGTATTTCAAAGGACCAGAGTTACTTGTTGACTATAGACTATATGATTACTCGCTAGACTTGTGGTCCTTTGGAGCAACGCTTGCCTCAATTATCTTCCGGAGAGAGCCCTTTTTCCATGGAAAGTCGAACACAGACCAGCTTGTGCAGATTGTGAGAGTTCTAGGGTCTGATGATTTTGAAGAGTACCTCGCAAGATACAACCTCTCCCTTGGTCCTCAATATGAGGATTTGGGATACTATGGAAAGAAGCCCTGGGTGAGATTCATCAACACTTCCAACCAGCACTTGACTTCTGAAGAAGCGATTGACTTCATTGATCGACTCCTGAGGTATGACCACCAAGAGAGACTTACTGCAAAAGAGGCCATGGCCCATGCCTATTTCGATCCAATCAGGGAGAAAGATGCCACGATAAACGGAGCCTCTAGCTGACTTGAGCGGATCTAGGCTATATGTAAATAATCTTAGTTAGTACCGCTCCTGATATGCACTCAAATGTTTCTGGTTTCAAAGAAGTTCCAATCAATGTTGTAGAACTGCCTCAGCGCTTGTGAATCCTCGGCTGCCACCATCAGCGAAAGTAGCCTATGCTTTAGTCTGAGAATGTTGGTGATCTGGGAATCAGTTACTAAACTTGCCTGCTGTGCAGGAATAAGTTGACAAACCAGTAGCCGAAGTAAGTTGATTAGTTCGAATGACAAGAAACAAATCAATTTTGAATTAAATGAAATCCGATTCAGTCTTGTCCGCAACCTGGACCTCTCATTTTCCAACTTCTGCGTTGTTTCTCGATATGTTTCCCAAGCTGAAGAATTTTCAGTCAACTGAACCTCTTTTCTCAAACACACTTGAGTAAACACCAATTCAAGAAAGTGAAAGATACCACACAGTTCAGAATGATACAGATTTGTAAGATAGACTTGACTCTCGCGAGAGTTGGCATGACTAAGCAAAAGCTTCCTCAGAATCGCCGCATAGACCAAACTGCAAAATCTCAATTTGCTCTCAAGATGAGACTTAACACTAGTCAAGGTATAAAGAAAAATTGTCTTCATGTTGAAGAAAAGTTGCGAAATTTCCCTGGATGTATCAGAATCGTCTATCCTCAAATCTGATCTCGCTATTGTTCTTCTCAAAGAGCGAAATATTCTTTGCGTCACTTTATGTGCTTCTATATGTAACAATGTCTTGCAAAAACGAATGATTTTTTGAACATCCTTAATGGACTGTATCCTTGAAGCAACAATAGTGGCAGGCTTATCACCAAGCGAGATCCCGAGCGTGCTGAGTAAATCATGATGAGAAGAAAGAGCCCTTGTATCTTTCTTGGAAAGTTCTATACCAGAGGAAGGAACAATATTCAATCCCTTTGATATTGGAGCAAGACTGTTTATGTGTTTCCCTATTTGACATGATGAAAAATTGGTGGTTGAAACCAGAGCCAAAGCAGGATCATGCCTTCTTTTGACACGAGCATAAGCAACAGCCTTGTGGAAAATGTCAGCATATCGAAAGAACACGAAAACCTCGGAATGAACTTACTAATGCTAGTACAAATATCTTTTCACCCTTCAAATCCATGATCCGAGGAAGAGTACAATTCAAATCTTGCACAACAGGTTTCGATGTTGTAGATGAACCTTCCAATGCTGCAATGCTTTGGTCACGTGACCCATATTTTAGAGAGAGCACATATACTTCGATGCCATTTGCTTAAATCATCCGCGATTCCAAGAACGAGTTGTACTGATCTAGCCGCATTGACAGTATATTTCCTCCAACAAGGTCCCAGATCAAAATGAGACACACGATTTGGCGGCAAGAGCTTTCAAAGTTACACGTTTTCAAACGTAGCATTACAATTCTACAGACACCTTCAGTGACCTCGGCCGCAACATTGACTACAACAACATCTGCTGATCAGACTGAAGTTTCGGCCGTTCCTAAAGCGGAGTCAATTCCAAAGACCATAGCCAGCGGAGATGGTAAGTTGAAGTTTCAGGCTTCATCGCAAAATATTGATCTAACATTATTCAGAGCCAATTTTCACAACCATTGGAACACCTCCATCTATACTCACAGTTAGTATACCACCCTCGGTGCCTATATACTTGAAAAAAGGGTCTTTAATGTCACTCTATGGAGGTGGCAATGGTTCCATCATTAACAAATTGACGTCAAGTTTGGAGATCCGTAATGCGGTCAGCAGATTCTACTACGGTGGAATTTCTTCAACATACCAGAAGATTACTTCTACAGTTCCCCTCAACGCTCTCGTCTCAGCATTCGAGGCTCGCAAACTTTCTCGCTGGATACCTAACAGAAGCGACGCACAACGCTCGTTCGTGAACTTGGTCCTTGATGGTCGCATTGATTGGGTTATAGTACCACCAAAAGCCATACAGTGTTACACTGGAGCTTCTCTATTCCTGAACCTCCATGTTTTTCCTCGCGCTTCCGGATTATTCAGAGCTTGGAATGCTGGATACACATTGGCGAATGGAAGAGGAACCATCTCGTTGGTTGGTGACGGACAGGTGTATAAAATAACCCTGGGTGAGGGCGAAGAATTACTTCTCAAGCGTGAATCAATACTGGCAATCAGTGTCAATGGTCATTCGGAGCTGAGCAATGGCAGCATTAGTGGAAAGACTCTTTCGAGAAACTTGAAAGAGACCGAAAAAACCGAAGAAACTGGACCAGAACCCATCATAAACCCGGACGATGCAGTTACTGAGAACAAATATTGGACGCAACTGAAGACGGTCGCTAGTTGGACAACTGAAAAAGCTGCGAAGCTGATCGGATTTGCATCCGGCTCTCTGAACGAGTCTCTTGTTGGTAATGGCGGGTTCGTGCAAGTGAAAGGCCCACGCTCCATTCTTCTGCAGACCGGTTCAGGTACCGACAAGATCAGCCTGGGAAACCAACCAGGGATAGCAGACACGGAGAAGTTCATCACTGAAAAAGGCAAGTTTTTGCAGCCACAAAGATCGTCCGCAGACTTTTTGAAGTACGCAACGGTGAAGGACGGTAAGGTGGAGTTCAAGAGTACCCCGGATTTCAGCAAGACAGTTGCCGAGATACGAGGCCAAAAAGCATAGAAATATAGATGGACACAATACGTGAATGATCATACTACTAAAAATTTACCATAAACTGAAACTTGGTTTTTTTTATTTTCAAAAAATGGCGAGTCCGTTTGGAGCTGAGGACACACCTCCGACCACGTTGAAAGGAACAGACGAGAAGAAGAACGACCACCTATTGTGTTTCTTACACAGTTCACTCAATCCTTCAAGATCGAAGAGTTCACCTATTGGCACACCCCAACCGGCAAGGAGAAATTCGTGGAGATGGAATCCAGGGTTCTGAGTAGGGTAGACCTCCCATCCAATAGAGTCACTAGCCACGGCAGCAAAATGGTTATCCCATAGGAATCTTGCAACTGCTTCGTTCTGTTCAACTCCACAATGGTGGTAAGGTCCGTTGTCACCATAGGCCTTCTGCTTCTCGGCAGACATGGCTTCCCACTCCGGGATCAGACCAATTCTGATGAATAGAATGTCGCCTTGTCTGAACTCGATGTTGGACTCTTTGGCAATCTCAAGGATATCAGAGAGTCTGACTTGGTGAACAGAGAAACACGAGTACTCAATTCCTTTCTTATCGGCCCAAGACTTGTAGTCAATCAAAACACCGCGACTGACAATCCCTTGCTTGGCCCAATGGTGAATCGAGATTCTATCAGAAGAAGAATCCAAGATCTCGGAGTGCTTCGTACCCCCATAAAAGACTCTTTTTTCCCTCTCACTCAATGAGGCTTCTTTTTCCGCTGTAGCCAATAAATCGTCATCTCCAGATCTAATCCGCTGCGAATAATGTCTGAAACCGTCCCATTGACTGGTTGATTGTGGATTGATGCTGATCTCGTCGTCAAAAGCTATCGGGTCGTTGATGTACTTGATGTCTAGCTTGAACTCGACTCTATGAAGGGGTGGGTAGTCTGGTTTGTTGAATTTCCACCCAATTGCTACCCTTTCACCGGTTTGAATCTCTTTAGATGCAGCTTGAACAACATCTGAGGTTAGAATATTCAGCATACCCTTTCCTTCAGCCTCGGAGCCCGGAGGACCCCACTTCCAGTACCTGTACTTATTGGGCAACTCATCAAAAGAGGGAAGCGTCACACCCATTGCAAATCAAGTCTATTCTATTAATTGTGGTAATTTTCAAGATAATTTCCTGCTATCTTCAACCAGAATTGGCGAGCGGAGAACTTTTATCCCTCAAAAATTCTGTGTCCCCCACCTCTGTCCCCCCCAGCGCTACGCGCGACAGGGGCACATCTTTGAACCGAACGCGGCGTATTTTTACTTCTTGCAGATGACGCACAGCGTTCCCCGCATTTACACCATGCATTAGCTGGACATAACAGTTACGTCTAAGCTTATAAATATGTTGAGGATGGCTTGGTATGCATAGAAATAAGATCTGAGATATTTACTGGAAAGCAATAGAACAATATGGAGCAAAAAACACCAAAAGAGGACCAAAATGGCGCCGAAAATCTGGAGTTTAGCCCTGTGCTAGAGGCGTCATGGGCGAAATACGTTCCCGGCCCTAGCATCAACAGATTGTTGAAGTTTGAGGGCCGGAAGATGATCAACTGTATCTTAGCCCTATCAGGATCGTTTATCATCTTTTTCGGTTATGATGCCTCTGTTATGTCACAAGTCAACGACAACGTGGATTACGAACGGCTGATGGGCGTTAACAATGGAACCGATAGAGACTCTGCTGCGAAAGGTGGAATTGTTTCGATCTGGTTTCTTGGTTTTGGTCTTGGTGCGATCATGGTGGGTTCGTATGCTGATAGGATTGGAAGATTGAGAACCGCTTTCCTGGGATGCCTTTGGGCATTGCTTGGGGCGGCTCTGCAGTGCTCAGCCCAGAACATTACCTGGATGATGTTTTCACGTATTATCAACGGAATAGGTTGTGGCCATTTGAATACGGTGGTTCCTCTTTGGACTTCAGAAATTGCAGAACCTCGGATGAGAGGTATGTTTGTGGCTACTCAATTCACCCTGGCACTGGCTGGGTCCACCATTGTGTACTGGATGGAATATGGATTGTCTATTCATGAGAGTGCACCATTAGCGTGGAGATTTCCAATTGGGTTCCAAATGCTCTTTCTATTCATCAACATGTGTGCCATTCCGTTCTTCCCTGAATCTCCAAGATACCTTTTCTCTGTAGGCAAGGTTGAAGAGGCCAAGTTGGTTTTGGAGAGGTGTCGTCTAGATCCTTCTCCAGAAGCAATTGACGAGGAGATGAGCGCCATTCTTATGGACTTGAACTTGGAGGTTGGCCATGCTGTTGGCTGGAAAACTCTTTTGATGCCCTTTTTTGGCCAGAAAGATCCAATGCACAACCTTCGCCGTGTTGTACTCGGTGCTGGTGTACAGGTGATGCAGAAGCTTACAGGAATCGACTTCATTGCTACATATGCCCCGCAAATGTTTCAATTGTCTGGATTCTCAGCAAACAGATCCACATTGTTGGCTGGAGGTAACTTTTTCGTATATTGGCTATCGCTGGCCACGGCAATATACACGATTGATAACGTTGGTCGTCGTAAGCTAATGTTGTCGGGCCTTGTCAGTATGTTTGTGGTACTTTTTATCGGTGGTGGCCTTGCCTATAAAATTCGTGCTGATCCAGATGCGTCAAACATAACCGCCATGGGCAACGGTATTTGTGCTGTTCTGTACCTGTACACGTTTGCGTACGGAAGTACATGGCTGACTGTCTGTTGGCTATATCCCTCTGAAATCTTTTCGCTTCAGACGAGATCCAAGGGTGCTGCCATTGCTGTGATTGCATTTTCTCTTACTGGAGGAGCTATTAATGAGATTGTTCCATACCTCATCAAAGCTGTTCATTATTGGGTGTTTTTTATTTTTGGGTTTTTGAATCTGGGAATGATCGTGCCTGTCTATCTGTTCTACCTTGAGACTTCCAGGAGGACTTTGGAAGACTTGGACATTCTCTTCATGTCTTCTTCGCCATTTGTATGGAGGGCAGAAAGAGATTATGAAAAGAATAAGGAAGATATCCAGGACAGAGGTCTTCACCAATCGGATACCAAGGAAGAGCTCGAGTACATTGAGGAAGACACATAAACGCAGATATTTTTTGGAGTATATGGCTAGTAAGTCACATGAATGGGTCAATCTCAGTTGTTTTTTATTCCCTTTCGCGTTAATAAACAGTACTATTTAAGGAGAAGTGCATGAAGAAGAAATCTGTGCGGCTTAAACCAAAAAATTGTGCCGCGCACTTTGTCACCTCACAACCGTATTTTTTAACAAAAGCACAAGTTAGCTTTGTTTATGTGGATCAATTGTTCTCTAAGCTAGCTAAAACCATTATTTTTTCCACATTACCAGATCTGTGATACTCCTTGAATTTTTGCGCTTCCAAAACAACAGCCGCGGAAACTTTCAAGTGTGAAACTATCTGGCTTGCAAGATCTTGCCGAGCATCAAACTCGAACCGGGGGTAGACAAGACAGTGTTGGAAAACCAGGGCTGATATGCAAAGCGAATCACCAGAAACGCCGCAACCGGCCAGAAGAGGCAGGGGAAGGCCCAGAAAATACCCGTTACCGGAGGGAACAAAGCCCAAACCTTCTGGTCCCAAGAAAACAAACGGCTTGGATATCGATATGAACCTAGACATGACCATAGACGCGAGGCCGCGTCGCGCAAGGACAACTAAGAAGGTGGTCTACGAGGAAGATACTGGCGGCATAGAAGACGATGGAGTTTTTATGGATGTGGACGATAACTCAGCAGACGATGCCGAATTTGACAGCGGTAAGGACGAGTCTGAAGATGATCTCGTTGAAGACGACCTAGTCTCGGAAGACGACTACGCCGCACCTGCTAGGACTAGAAAGAGAACCTCTGCACCTCCTCCCATCAGATCGAAATATGATGGGAGTGCACCTACACGAGCAGAGCTTGAGGAAGAGATACTGAAAATGAAAACTTGGGTACCTGTTTTTCAAACAAAGTCAGGTCCAAATTTCAAAGCCAGGCTGCTGAGGTATCATGGGCTGAACACTGATATCATCGCAAAGATTGTCAAGGCCCAGAACAGGTGGAAAGTGTTTGGAACTCATCTTTCTGACCAATTGTGCTCGGAGGTGGAAGTCTTTCCCGAGGAATTTGAAATTCTTGACATTCCCTTCGCTCTCACAAAGGGCATCGATGAGCAGACGTTCTATGAAACTCTGCATATTGGCGGAGACTTGGGGATAGCCTTCAATAACGAAACAGTCCAGCAATTGCGCATTTTTGAGTCTATAGAGATACCAACAGCGGGAATAAGGCACGGACGGATCGTTAACTCTGGAGCCCTTCCTCTTGAGCTGTCCTGGATGAAAAGTGGTCTACCGGAATCTGCTTTCCAATATTTATTTGTCTCCATAATGCCTCGCACTAAAGGAGTTGTCCACGAGGAAATATCTTTTTTATCTGATATGGTGCAAACATCAGGATTACTTATTTATCGAGTGGGTACATCTGATTTCTCCACCGAGCTGGTCAAGGTGGTGACCATCCCGTTTGGTGTTATGAGAAACATGAAATGGAGTGCGGGACTCACGCAATCGAATACATGTTTACTAGGAGCGTGCTTTTCTGATGGAAGTTGCCGGATATTCAATTTCGATACGACGATTTTTGAGGAGCCAAAACTGGCCCTTGAGCTCACCGAGGCTTCAGTCACGTTTAAACTGCCCGGGCAGAAAATAACGTCTTTTGACTGGATATCAGAATCGAGAGTGTTAGTTGGAACCTCAGATGGCTCAATTGCCGAGTTCTCTCTTTTTGAAGAAGCGCCATCCTACGTATATCAGTTGAACCTCAACGCCATAACTGGTGTCACTTCCAATATATCTGATTTTGTCCATACCTCAGCAGACCGGCGCCAGAAACAGCAAGAAATCAAGTGCAATGTTGTTTTCCTCACTACATTGGATTTTGTCAATGTGGTGCTCAATCTGAATTCTCTCACATACGAAGAAGTGGGAATTGCGCCAAAGATACTGTCCCGACAGGTGACATACTCTCCTCTCATTGACATGTTCGTATACGAAGATGGTTCATACACGGTAAAGGCTGTTCCCAAGAAGCTTCCTTCTCTCTCTTACCCCTTGGTGGGCCATGATTCTGTTGCTTCGGCGGTAGCATCTTCTATACTGCACCCATTATTGCTGACTTCTTCATCAGATGGCACGCTCATGATCTTCAACCCCACCCCAAAACTCTCAGCCCCTGCTAAATCCTCCGCTGTGTCAGTATGCGCACAGATACTCAAGCTGGACTACAACGATTCCTTGAAGGCTTTCCGAATCTCAACAGCGCAGGAGTTGATTGCAGCAAAAAAGGAGAATGCCAGGTTCTATGTAGAGCTTTTCCCCGCTGGTGTGAATTTGCACTGTATTGCATGGAACCAAAACCCGACTGCCGGATCTTGGTATGCTGCGTGCTCCTCATCGGGACTGTTGGTGATCGAAAAGATCGCAAGCGCTGAGATCCAGTCTGTATAAATTACCTGTAATCAAACGATCAATACCTCGGGAATGTGTCATCGATCTCCTGGCTCCATGCATTTAGCCCCCCGATGAGATCCTTGACCTTTTCAAATCCAAACTTGTTGCGTAATTCTCTAGCAGCCAGTTGGGAGTCATTGCCGTAACGACAAACTATATACAATGGCTCATAGAGGCCCTTCAGGTCCTCGGAATGACATCTCTGTAGCTGGGCAAGAGGTATACTCACTGATCCAGGAAGTGAACAAATCTCAAACTGTTCCTTTGGTCTGACATCCAAAAGACAACCCTTTGTCTCGAGAGAGGTATATTCAGAGACCGTTATTCTCTCAGTACGTTGATCCACCACATTATAGTCCACTTTTCCACAGAAAGCGCTATAATCGATTGCACCAGATTCCACCATGTCTCTGGTCAGAGTAGCATTTGTGCTACAAACAGCGCACTTTGGTGACTTGCCTCTCATCTTGAAAGTCCTCAGCGACTGTTGAGGGTATCCGGAGTATAACGACAAAAAGGGCTGGAAACTCTCAACAGTGTACGATCCCGTCACCACCTTGATGGCTTCTATGGCCATCATGGTTCCTACCAACCCAATTATAGGCCCTATAACACCGCCGTCAGAGCATGCTGTGACTGAGTTAGGAGGTGGTGGAGAAGGATAGAAACATCTATAGCACGGACCCGTTTGTGAAAAATTCAAAATTGACAATTGCCCCTCCGTTTTAACACCTGACCCAGAAACTATGGTCTTTCCCAAAATCACAGCTGCATCGTTGACTAGATATCTAGTGGCTGGAGTGTCTGTGCAATCCAGCACCAAATCGTAGTCTTTCATGATCTCGAAGACGTTGTCATTGGCTATAGCCACTGGATGGGTAATAATTATAACGAGAGGATTCAACTCGTTCAATTTCTTCTGCGCAGAATCACATTTGAGCATCCCCACAGTTTTGTTGGAGTGTAGTATCTGACGGTGCAAGTTTGAAATATCCACCGTATCGTGGTCCACTATGCCTATGGTCCCAACACCAGCACCACACAGATAATACAGAGCTGGACATCCAAGTCCACCAGCCCCCACTACCAATATTTTGGCTGATTTCAATTTTAACTGTCCGTTGAGACGTAGTTGAGGAACTATCATCTGACGACCGTATCTTTTGTATTCATCCAGGCTAAGAGGTAGGTCTAGGTCTGGGGTTGTCTCTTGGCTTGTCTCTCGACTTGTCACTGTAGGTGTGGCTATTAACTCCGAAAGTCTCCTATTTTCAAGTTTGAGCAGTTCCAGCTCTTTTGCCAGATCGTTTATACTCTTTTCTCTCATGGGGCAGCAAAATGTCTTGTTAAGGAGGGGTTTAATAAGATGATAGGTTTGGGCTGGCTGGGAATTTTTTGAGCCCTGAAATCTGTAGGCACCCATCTCATCTCGAGCTCAAGCTCATCACGGGACAGGCAAAATATCCCACTACAAAGTCTACGCCCTTTTATTCGAATGATATGAACGGATGCTTGGATCGAATTAGACAATATATCTGATTCAAACAACTTTTTGCTTAACAAAGAAACCCTTGAGATATGTTAATTGCCAGTAGCAGGTGCCTCCCAAGACAATCAGTTGTATGATGGTCCATTTGACGACACGGGCGTTCGTAGATTCAGATTGATCTCTGAAGGCGGCTTCCCTTTCCTAGAAGGCGTTAGTATTATTGGTTTGCATGAAGCGTATTTCAAAAAGGAGAAGACACTTACCCTGAACAACGATTGCTCTCTCTTTATCTCTTGCAACTTCTTATTCAGCTCATTGGTCTTGGCTGTCAAGTAGTTCACATCTCCTTGTCTCTTGCTGTCTACGAAATCCTTGGCATCGCCAACCACCAGATCAAAGAAAACTCTGTGTCTGCTTCTCTTGGACCAGTCAGTGTGTCTTGGAGTGAGACAGAACTTGTGTTCACCGGCATCCAAGGAAGTGAAGGTAAATTGACCAGTGGGCTGATTTTTCAGGGATACAACTCTGTGGTTGTTGTCGAAAGTTTCCTGGAAAAGAAGTTAGTCGCGGTTCTGCCAACATCAGACATTTCCAAATAGGTTGGGTTATGTTCAACTTACATCCACAGTTATCTCCACCTTCAAGTTTGGAACTTGGACGTATTCTCTGGTAGACGTGTCTAGTTCGTAAGCCTCAAATTTACCTATCCAACTCTGTTAGTATACCAATTGGTTTATACAAACGTTCCTCCAGATCAACTTACCAACTGCAATTGTGTCCTTTGGAAGCTCCTCATAGAAACACTTGGTTTCATCCGTATCGACATAAAAGTGCAATGCCTGGGCCAATCCCAAGAACAACAAGAACACCAAACCTCTCATTATTCCGTTTGTTGCGTGATTCTTCAGAGTATGAGAGATGTTTGTTCAGACGAAAATGAACACGTCCTTTGAACCTCGATGCACGGGTTACCCTGCTATAAATACACAAGTCGCGTACTTTACGTAATCAATATTGCCAACGAGGACAGCACCTAGTATTTACGTTGGAATGGACGTGAAATCCAAAGTGATGCAATCAAATGCCATTGAAATATCCGGCATACTCTATTGACTGCACAATATCCTTTTTTGTAATTGTATTAGTGTGATTTCCTCGACGGTTCAATTACGAGCCTCTTGGTTTGCCATGCGGCTCAAAATATATCTGTTAGCACACTACCTTTACTACCATTGTTGTCCAGCTCTAAGATTGAGTATTCTCGTTCATTCATTCGTCTTTCCTTGTTCCTTTAATTAGCCATTATGAGTGTACCAATAACTGAAAAGCTGATGTACAGCTTTCAGCCCTCGAAGATATTCAAGTACCACAAGGGATTACCTATTACGTCATTGGATTATGACGATTCTGGACAGTTTCTGATTTCGTGTGGGTCAGACCAGAGCATACAACTATACGACGTTTCTAAGGGCAAACATTCGAAAGCTACTTATTCTAAAAAATACGGATGCCATTTGGCGAGATTCACTCATCACGAGAAAAACTGCATTTATGCTTCTACGCAAGAAGACGACACAATACGATACCTTTCACTCCATGATAACTCGTACATCAGATATTTCAGAGGACACAAGAAGCAGGTAAGTGCGCTGGAAATGTCTCCTTTGGAAGATGTCTTTATCAGTGCTTCGTATGATGATACTGTGAGGGTTTGGGACACAAGAACGTCAACTTGCCAAGGTCTCTTGAACGTCAAAGCCCCAAACTTCATTGCATTTGATCCTACTGGTTATGTCTTCGCGCTCGGAAACCAAGAAACGAAGAAAATTGGCTTATACAACACGAAGTGTTTCGACGCGGCACCATTTGACACTTTTGATTGCGAAAATTATACGAAGAGCGACATCACAAAGTTAGAGTTCTCCAATGATGGAAAGAGACTGATTGTTAGCACTACTGATGACCACCTGGTGTTCGATGCCCTCAACGGAGACTTCCAAGGTTCTCTGACAGGTTCCGAACCTTTGAACTCCAAATTCTTAACATCTGGCCAAACCTCGCTATCACCGGATGGCAGATTTGTGTATGGAGGCTCGGGAAACGGGAGGGTGAATGTGTGGGACTTGCAACGTCTAAACCCCAAAGAACCACTGATACCGGGGAAGTCCATCAAGTCAACCGAAGAAGTGCCAAACATCCTCCTATTCAATCCTCGTTTATGGAGCTTTGCATCTGCCGACAAAGGTGTTACCCTGTGGCTGCCTGACTTCGATGAGACCCTATAGTACATCTGGATACCTTATCTCTGCATTGTCTTCGCACCATTCTACCCAGTCCTTCAAAAACTTGTTTTTGGAATTGGAAAGACATTCCATATCGCCAACCACACACAACTGTTTCTTGCATCTTGTTATCGACACATTAAGCCGTTTGAAATCAGCCAAGAACCCAACCTCATTGTTATCGTTAGATCTGACCAGAGACAACACGATGATTTCTTTTTCACGTCCCTGGAACCCATCGACAGTTGATATTTCCAATCCTGGATAATCGTCCAAAAGAATACCCTTCAGTTTGGATATCTGGGCTGAATATGGTGCAATAATACCAATTGCTGATTCTTGGACACCGGACTTGATCAGAGATTCGACATGGTTGAGCACCAAGGTACATTCGTTCTCGTTGAATTTGGAATATTCATCTTCCTCCCCGTATTCCTGATACAGCCCGCCTTGGGTGTCATACCAGATATACACTGCAGTTGTGTCGTCGTTCTCTTTGACGTCCTTTAGGTCTAGGCAAGTTTGGTCTTTGACGCTTTCGGCAGAAACTATCTGGCCGTCATACAGCTCGCTGTTGGGAAACTGCAATATGAGATCATTCATACGATATTGTACGTTCAGAAACTTGAGGAACTTGCCTCCATGCAGTTTAACCAGACGGTCGAACAACGTATGGGTCAGAACCTTGGAGACCTTGTGATCCTTGGAGTTTACCATTGGCGATAACTGCTTGTCATCACCAGCAATAATAAGTCGTTCAAGACCAAGATGGGTCATCAGCGGGATCCAGCATTGAGGTTCAAGAGATTGGGATACCTCATCGATTATCAAAGTGTCAAATAGCTCGCCATTTTTCACAATATCAAACAACTCTCTGGAAGACGATCCATGGAGTGTACAGATGACAATCTCGCAGTTCTTGATAACGTCTGAAATTGCACTTTTCGATCTGATCCTCAAATCCTTCTTAAGTAGTTTAATCTCAGAATATGCCTCCCTTCTCTCTCTGTAGCTTTTCATCTTTTTGACCTTGTGGGTGGTGGTGTTGATCTCCCTGATTATGTCTTTTATAATCGCACTTGTGTCATTGTTTTCAACTATAATGTCCAATGAGTGGTCCAAGATTGATTTGAGTAGTCTCGAAGGATGTCCTAGACGTAAAATCTTGGAGTTATCTTGGTAAACGTCTGTGAGACGTTCCAAGATCGTATCCACTGAAACGTTAGACGGTCCACAGATCAAAATCCTGTGATTGATCTTCGCATGGTCCTTTCGCTTAGCCAATTGCCTCACCATCTCCACTATCGTCGAAGTTTTACCTGTCCCTGGAGGACCATGGACAATTGTTATGGGCGAGACCAGGGAAAAGTTGACTGCCGCTTTCTGCGATTCGTTCAAGCCCTGGTTCACAAACTGTACTGATTTGAGGTTGTCAGCAAGTTGCAGATCGGTTGGTGGTTGATAGTCATCATCACCAAGAAGAATTCTCATGAGCCTTGTTTTCGATTCAATGGCCTCCAGTCGTTTCAGGGATTGGTCCATGCGATTGTAAGTGACTGAGTTTGACAGCTTCACCAAGGAGACCTTGGATTCTGCATTATACAGCTGATTTAGCTTCTCTTCAATTTTCTCCGAGGCAGAAGTCTGGTCCAGGTTGATAGAAACCATAATTCTCGTATCATTGGTTTTTGTCACGATTCCGCTGATTTCTGCGGAGTCAACCTCATGCTGCTCGTTATCCTTGGACTTGGATGAATTTTTCAGTTTCGCTGTAGTGTCTTGTTTCTGGTACTTTTGCAGTTGAACAATGTCACCAAGTTTGAAGTCGCCTCTAGAGAATCTTGGTTTTTCCTTAGAGGATTGAGAAACACCAGAAATGCTGGGGTGGATGATCAGTTCGATTCCAATCTTTCCATTGAGACCCACGTTAAGGTTGGATATGCACAAGTTCAAGATAGCCAATCCTTTGGCCTCGAGCTTCTTCAGCGGCGAAGACGCTATTAACTGAGAAGTTGCCTCATAATCATCTCTCTTCTCTATTTGTAGAACCCTCTGGAATGCCTGAGCCAAAGTTTCGTGGGTGGACATATCTGTGTGGGAGGAGCGTGAATGTGGAGTTGACTAAGGCAGCCTGTAGCTCTCCAAAAAGGGCTCTGTGCAGTGCCATACTAAGGGTAATGTTGAGGCCTCTATATGGACACTATATTATACAAAATATTAACTTTCGCAGAATACCTAACAATGTTTTATATTTTTTCTGACAGCCATAATTATATATTTATCGGGCCCGGAAATTGCCCAGACTAGGGCCTCCATGTAGACCACTCCGCACCTCTACATTTCTCTACGCCTGACAGTATCCTTTTCGAATCTATTCGGTGGTCATAATATATGAATCACAAGAATTTTGTGCAATTTCTAATCTTCAAACTCATTCTCTTACATGATGGTCAAGTCACCAAACTTCTCCTTGTAGCCTGGCACCTCCCATCTGCCCTTGGTGACCATGTCCTTGACCTTTTCGTTGACGTCTGGTCTAGCCTTGACGAAATCATCGACAGTCAATTGGTCGAATGGTCTGGCAGATTCAATGTTCTCCAAAGTCTTCTCCAATTGGACGAGCTCGTCCAGAACAACGGACTCGGTGGACTTGGCGTTCTCCAAGGCCTTGGCCTCGAACGATTGAATCAAGTTCAATTGCTTGGAAAGGTTGGCCTTGGATGGCTTGAAAGCAGCGATATCCTTCTCAATCTGGGAGACGATCTGGGAGTTCTTCAAAGTCTTCTTGTATTGAGCGAAGTCAACGGAAGTTGGCTGTTGCTTCAATTCGAACAACACTCTCTTGGCCTCGTCGTTTCTCTTCTTGAAAGCGGTAAGGGCGGAGGCGGTTTGGCCAGACAATCCCAACTTGGTGATGATCTTGGACCAATCAATCTTGACAACAGCGGTAGACATGTTAATGGATGAATGTGTAGAGATGGGTGTGATACAACTCTATCTCCGATATCGAAGAGGGAGTTCAGGAAATTAGTCGAAGAATGCCATTGGCAGAGCACCAAGCAAGTGGATGTGCGCGGCACCGACATCGATCTTTGCGGTACACGACCTGTAACAGCAAAATTTGTCAATGCACGTCGAGAAATTTGAAGACCAAATGCAGAGATAGACATGATTGATAACAAAACCCCGATCTTCTGCTTCTTCTCCACCCAAAATGGTTGCGAGAAAACCACCAGCTGACTACGTTAAAGTGCAGCCGACGCTAGATGCATTTGCGAAAAAGCTCAAGGACCTTTCGCGAGATGACTCGTTATGGGAGGTGCTGAAGATAAACCATCAGCGATCGAGGTACATATACGAGATGTACTACAAAAAGAAGCTGATTTCGAAGGAATTATACTCGTGGTTGGGCAAAAAGAAGGTGATAGACATAAACCTTATTGCCAAGTGGAGGAAGCAGGGCTATGAGAATCTGTGCTGTTTGAAGTGCATTTCAGAGAAGACCTGTATCTGCAGGGTACCTCACCAGAACGATTTCAAGCAGTGTGTAAATTGCGGGTGCAAAGGGTGTGCTAGTTCGGACTGAACCGGGAGTGTATATTACGAGAGAGCGAAATAAGAAAATTCATAGAAATATAACAGTATAGAATTACGCACTCCTCTCTACATGGTGCACGCAAGCATCACCACTTCCAGAGAGAAGAGAACTTCAGATGCCACAAAACGGCAAGAACCTCTTCCAGATTGTTCCAAAATTGAAAACCCATAGTACAGCGCAAACACTCCAAAAACCGCAACACAGACGGTTGCGAGAAAAAAAAAAACCAAACGATAAAACCACCACAAAGATACAAAAATCTAGTTTGACAGCGACAGAAGACAGTCATGTAAAAGATGCTTGATCGACAGAAAAGACGTTAATAAAAGTATCAACGACTCGTCTATATGTCGTTCTCCTTTCTGTTGAAGAATCCAAACAGGTCGGTCACCTTCTTCCTTGGAGACCCATCGTTCACCGGAGAAGTGTAAAAGTCATCCAGATACGAGGGCGAGTTCCAAAGTTTTTTGACGGAATTTGGAGTCTTTGTCAGATTTGTGGACTGCCTGAACTGGCGGGCTGGTGTGATCGGTTCAAGCAGTGGGCCGGTCTCTTTAACCTTGACAGGCGACAGCTCGAAGTTGCAACTGAACGAAGAGGTGAACTCTCTGTTCGCATTGCCATACAACGGCCTGGGCGAGTCGAAGATAGTTGTGGTTGAGGAGAACTCAGATGTGGACTTGAAGATCATCTGGGGCTGGTGATCGTTCGACATTCTCCAGTTTGGACTAGGTGCACCCAACGAGGGAATGTTGAGTAATTCACCGTTACCGATCTTGATATCGGATGGCTTATATCTCTTGACAGGTATGGGGCTCTCGTCTATGTGAGCTCTCGGCAGAGGTGGCAGTAGCGAAGGTTTCGTCTCGTTCATTGGCCCATTTGCATCGTCAATCTTCCTCTTCGACGAGGCCTTATTCTTGAGAAAGATGTGCTCGTAGCCGGTCTCGATCTTCCAGAAATGGCCCTTTCCGTCCTTGGACTTTTCAGTCTTGGTGAAAGCTTTGTTCAATGAAAGGTTGTGCCTAATCGAATTCTGCCAGCCTACATCCTCTTTCTTGTAGTACCTGAAGGTCTGAGAGATCCAACCGTATATCTGGGACAGAGTGAGCTTTCTCTCTTCCGATCTCAGTATGGCCATTCCAATCAGCGTGGCATACGAATAAGGCGGCTTTTTGTGGTCAGGCTCGTCGTAGATAACCGGTAATTCCTCTGGAGGAGGGATTTGGAAGTCCATGATTGGCCCTTTGGCCTTTTTCTGTTTTTTCAACGAGGACTCCTTGTAGGATTGGTTGATGCCCAAGTGCTGGTCTGGCGATCTGATCACGATCGTCGGGGTTATTGGATCGGCCTCGTCGGCCTCGGGTGGAGTCGAAGGCGGGTTCATGCTGACCTGAGGGGGCAGACTGTAAGTGGGCAGGTGGACGGAGTTCAAAGACCTCAGAATGTTCGACGCGGAATGCATGGGTTAAATCTCCTGGCGTCGTTCAGCTCCGGTGGATTGTTATTCAATATTGTATTGTTTTGATGGGGAACTGGTTTAAACTTTGTGCCAAAGGAAGCAAAGGAAAAAAGGATCCGTCAAGAGGAAAGACTCAAAAGCAGGTTCTACACATATATCGTTTCAGGGCAAAGATTGCAAAAAGACGCGCCATACCGGCACGGTAGCGCGTTTGTTTATGTTTAACCCTTTTAGGCAAAGGGGGTGTGTGCCGCAGGAAGGTGTCGCGCCTGAGCCTCGGGGCGGCTCGAAAAGCCGCAAAATCAAAAACGAAAATGGTAAGCGCGGCACCGGGTCTATTCTGGAATTCTCGGCATTGGTGTTCCATGTATGCTGCTGATTCAGTTCTGAGCCTCATGCCTGTCATGTGGAATCTGTACATGTGATAGTTGATTGCGATGTCAATGGGGTCAAAAGTGTAAAGCTCAAATTGATTGGTTATTGGACAACTGACTGGTCATCTGTTGGTAATCTGGTTATATTTTAATGATTGCTTGTCAATATTGCGATCACTTTACGATTCCACGGATGTCGACCAAGTACATTCTTTGAGGCGTTTTTGGGTGCGGCTTTGGTCTCGCTTTTCAAGCGAGCTCTGCTGTGGAATCCTCTCCCGGTTTATCCGTGAAACTCCCACGGAACCGCAATACTGATTCACGTGCATTCCTGCCTATTTGATCATCTTGGATTGGTGGAGCAAAGAGCAATTTGCACTATCTCGTCTATTTTCAGAATTCCCCATGGTTTGGACACACTCGAGAGGCCTCTCAGCCATATAGCTGCCCGGGTAGTTCACTAACCGTTGAAATTTCTCTCAATGCTACGATAAGCATTGCCGTTTACAGGAGATCTAAAAAGTTATCCAAAGATATAACAAGACAAAAAAGGTTGACTAACTGGATACCCACCCGACTTCCGTTTTGGAAACCATTGGCACATTATAGGTGCAATGGATATATTCGAGGAGGACTATCAGTCCTTGGACGAAACAACTGGTGGGTTGAAGAAGAGGTCCACTTTGGCGTAAGTATGATCTTGTGGATCCAAGGAAGCAAATTGCTTTCCATTCGCTAGAACTACCACTAATACAATTCCAGTTGTCTACGGTGCAGACGAAGACATATAAAATGCCCCGGTGGAGAACCGTGTGTGAGATGCACTCAGGCAAACGAACCTTGTGAGTACATGGAAGGTGATCGCAAAATTGTCATTTCTGTGAAATACCTGAACAAATTGCAGGCGGATATAGCACAGTTGAAAATAGAGAACGCCAATCTCAGAACTTCGTTGAAAAATGTTAGCAGAGATGAGGTGATAGAAGAGGAAGCACCTAGAGCCAGTGTGGATCCTACTCTTAACAATCTGGACCATCTTTCTACGCCTTCAATTGATGATCCAAAGATGATGCCGAAGCCAAAAGCGGTCTCGGTGGAAGGTGAAGTGATTACTCCCTATCTGGATAAGTATGGTAGAATTATCCACTCGCGAACTGGTGAAAGAATCTACGTGGGTGCTTCATCAATGACTCTGTTTGGTCTGGAGGTCAATAACTTGATCACACCTATACCTACTTCTCCAGAGTCCGTTCACTCTAGTGAGACTCCAGGACCCATTCCACGGTCTACTGAGACTATTTTGGAAAAAGAGGGCAACGCCTACCGAATAATGCTGGGAAAGACCTATTCCCGACCCGGGATATCGGTAAATTTCACCCTCCCGAGCTACAGTTACGCCATGTTATTGGTAGATACTTTTGTCTCCTACAACGATGGGTGTTTCTATTTCTTCAATGAGGGTTTGGTCAAGGAAAACCTCAGACGCATATACAACGACGAGCCCACGCTCAAACCTGAAAACTACGATGATATCAAGGAAGACCAGACCCTTTTGGAGACCATGTGGTTTTGCAAGGTGCTTTTGATCTTTGCCATTGGTGAGATGTATCTGGGTACCGCAAACAGTCCTGATGGTTATAAACTCAAGAATAAAGGGAATAAGAGGATGAAGGCGAGGAAACCAGTACCTAAACTACCCGGATCGGGTTTCTTCAACCAAGCTAGTGAACTGTTCACAGGCCTTTTTGCCAGTGGTGCCATTGACAATTGTGCACGTGAGAGTGGAATAGAAGTCTTACTGCTTTATGCATTCTACCTCCAGGTTGCTGATTGCACTGTTGCTTCCTATTTCTATTTTGGCATTGCCCTCAGAGCATCGCTGGTTTTGGGAATGCACGTGGATATTGGCAAAGAAACATTCAACAGATACCAATTGGAGCACAGAAGACGCCTGTGGTGGACCGTGTATATGTATGAGCGTATGCTTGCGTCCAAGGCTGGTCTTCCTCTCTCGTTCACCGACGACAATATCTCTGCCGATCTACCAGACGACTTCGACATGTCCAATCCCGAGAAGAACTGCGAGTTCTACATATTTCCCGAAGCAGAGTTTATCAGAAATTGCGTCAAGATTACGCAAATCAATGCGGATATTTTGGGAAGGCTCTACAACAGACAGCCCAAATCCAATATTCTTCCTGTGGTTCACGAGTTGGTGATGAACCTTCTCAAATGGAAGAAGAGTCTACCGGAGTACGTCAACTGTGACTATACACAGCCTGAGATCCAAATCTCACGGCTGGTAGTAAACATGATGACAGAATACTTCCAAGGCATAAACCTCGCAGTGCGACCACTGTTGTTCCATTTTGTGGTACTGCAATTGAAGAGCTCAAACACCAAGCTGGGAGAATACATAAACCTGTCCAAGTGTTCCTCAGTGATTCTAACCCTGATAAACGCGTCGTTTCAGGCGTCTATCAATACGGTGAGATCGCTTTGGGCACTAATGCCAGAGAACATGGTCGCGCTTTTTGGCTACATGGATAGAGAGTATTTGTTCACCTCAACGGCAACGCTTATTCTTTTCAACGCTGCATTTGGAGTCAACGAGATCACAAGGGAGCATCTTGATCACGCGCTGGTGATTTTTACCAAGATGCGAAATTTGGGTAATCATCCGGCTGCACTAAGAAGGGAACAGTTGTTGAAGCTGTTGGAATTACTGAATTTCAATGGTGTTTGGAACGATTTGTTGGAAGCCCATCTGGATAGCTTCAACACACCCCTTCCGATGTTTAATGAGAGCACTCAACAAAATGGTGCCAGCTTCTTGAAGTCTCCGTCTTTGGGCCCCGTCAATTCCGAGGCCTTTCAGGCTATAGAAAAGACCTGGAACAATCCCACAGACTCCGACGTGAAGCTTTGGAATGACATCACCACCGAGGCTATTTGGCTGAACGACGACTTTGGCGAGGAATTTGAGTCTCTCCTAGAAAGTTGCAAGCCTTAGGACATTTGTACAACTAATCAGAACACCGATGAACGCTACGCTTCAAAGAGCATATTTGCTATGTAGACAAAATTGTGTCACGTGATCAGATTGGGCTGTTATGTGGCAGCTGAAATCGAGTTCAAAGATCTGCCCCTATATACACACTCAACAGACCAAAGATGAGCAGATTTGAGGCAGATATTCCAGTAACGGATCTGGATGACCCTGAGGATGACTTTATTGTCACTAGAGGTGATGCAGACAGCGGGATTTTCTCCACAGATAACTACGACATAGACAACGACTCTCTCAATCTGAATGACCTAGATGAGCCAAGTATTGCTGAGAGGATCAGAACTACTTTGTCGTCATTTCTACGGCCCAATAACAAAGGATTTGAGTATTTTGGTGATTCCATTGAAATGCGCGATAGGAGCAGATCTTTGTCGAGTTTCGCCAGCAGTGAAGACTACTTGACTTACCCCAACGATGGACTCCAGATAGGTGGATACAAGAGAAAGTTTACCAAAACTCAATTCAATTTTCTTTTGATTGGCTTTGTGACTTTTCTGGTGGGATGTGCTGTTCTTCTTACAAAAAATAAGGCTAAGTTTGACAGCAGCGAATCTTCTCCATCTCAGGGTGCTGATCTGAAGACCAGGTACTCCAATGGAACGGATATCTTCTACCCTACTACCATTCTGATATCGTTAGACGGGTTTCATCCTCACTACATTTCGAAGCAGACAACGCCTTTTTTGCATGATTTGCTGCTGGAAGGTTACGGTTCCCCATACATGATTCCATCCTTCCCATCTTCCACATTTCCGAACCATTGGACTTTGGCAACGGGTTTATACCCATCAGAACACGGCATTGTGGGTAACAGCTTTTTTGACCCTGATTCTGGAAAGCAGTTCATCAATACGAACCCTGAACTTAGCCTGCTAGAGCAATGGTGGGGAGGAGATCCAATATGGCAGACTGCAGCTCTGCAGGGAGTGAGTTCTGCAATCCATATGTGGCCTGGAAGTGAAGTCCCAGTCGCGTCTGGAGAACCATTAGAGGTGGATAAATACAATGGCAGTGAAGTTCTGTCTGTGAAAGTGGATAGACTGTTGAGCTGGTTGGACCGTGATACGGATACTCGGCCAGAGCTATTGATGTCATACGTGCCAACGATAGATTCGCTGGGTCACAAATATGGGGTTTCTGGCAATCAACTCGAAGAAGGCTTGAGATATGTGGATAACTTCCTGGATAGTATCTATATGGGGTTGATTCTCAGGAATCTTACGGAAATCGTCAACTTCGTTGTGGTTTCTGATCATGGAATGTCTCCTACTTCCAACGACCGTCTGATCTACCTGGACGACTTGGTTGATATGAAGAAGATTGAGCACATGGACGGATGGCCATTGTTTGGGCTGCGTCCATTTAAGCAATATTCGGTTGAGGAAGTGTACAATGAGATCCAAGGAAATCGCCAAAATGGCTCCCATTTCACCGTCTATAAGCGAGAGGATCTGCCAAAAGAATGGCACTTCGGCTACATTGAAAACCAATACACCTCTAGAATTGCACCTATATGGGTCGTTCCCGAGGTTGGGTATACTGTGACCACCCATGCCGAGATGAAGCGTAAGGGCTTCGACTACCATCCTCTGGGAATACACGGTTACAATAACACAGAGGTCTTGATGAGGGCTCTTTTCCTCGGGGATGGTCCTTTTTTCGAGAAGAAGCTTGGTAGTGCTCCGAAGAAACTCAAGCCATTCCAAAACACAGAGATTTACAGCATTATTTGTGAGAGTCTGGACCTCATTCCTGCTCCGAATAACGGTTCTGCGAGAACAGCCAGAGGTGGGTTAGTGGATTCGTACGTGTCCAGTGCCAACCTTCTGGAGAAAGATTGGCAAGACGCATATGATTATCCAAACGTCAGCTTTGAGCATGACATGACGATGCTGCGCACGGAAGCAACTTACGACTTAATATGGAGGAAGCACATGAGCGACCTCGAGGGGGGTGACCTTCCAGTTGATCCAACTTCGTCTTTGCTCAAGTCTGAGTCCTCGTATTCAACTTTCATTACTCCGGAGTCTGTTCCTGATCCTTCTTATTATAGCAGTATCTCGTCAGAGTCTTCGACTGCTGCTTCGACTGCTGCTTCGACACCCTCTCCCTCTACAGAGGAGGGCGACGCTGTAAATGGTGGCGAGAGTAATAAGGATGACGATGACAACGAGGACGAGGATGACGAGGATGACAATGATGATGACGAGGACGACGATGACAAGGACGACGAGGACGACGAGAAAGATGGTTTCTTGGGGTTCCTGGAAGATGTCTTTGACGATCTCGAAGATACCGTGGATGACATCGTGAATGACATTGTGGACTCGGTGCAAGACACATACAACGATGCCGTCAATGGAAAACACGGAAAGGATGATTGAGTGCATTGTATTCATATATTAGAGGATTTTTTACTATTTGGCGTTCCTTTTTTAGTGCATCGTAAATCACTGAAAACTTGTTACAACTTTGGTTTGTTCTGCCATCCAAACTGCAACTTTTTCTGGGCTCCATTCTCTATTATCACGTTGATAACGCTGGTCTGGCCAGACGACAGGTATTTGGTCACAGCTTCTGTCATGGACTCCTTCAGTTCATCAAGGTTAGCAACTCTGTAACCCGTGGCCCCCAAAGCTTCACCCAGGAGTTCGTATTTGGTATCTTGACTGAGAGCAGTCGAAGGCAACTTCGTCAATTTTGCTTGGGGGTCTATCCCGTGATAAACTCCACTGTTGTTCATGACTACCACAATCACTGGGAGATTCGACCGAACACAAGTCTCGATCTCCATTGCCGAGAATCCAAACGCAGAGTCTCCTTCTATAGCTACCACAATCTTTGCGGGGCCAAACACGCTTTTAGCACTTATTGCATATCCCATTCCCACCCCCATAGTAGCATTTGTGCCTGCGTCCAACTTGTGCTTGGGTTGAGTCATGGGGAAAGAAACTCGGGCAACGTCCATGGTGTTGGCACCCTCGGAGATATAAACAACGTCATCATTGTGTTTGTCCAGACATTCTCTAATAACTGCATAAGCTTGGTTATAGTTCATGAGGCTTCCCTTTTGAAGAGGTTTGGTTTCCTTCTGAGACTGTTTATTCTCGTTCAGAGTCCGTCTCTCAACTATCGATTTGGGGACCCCATTGAATTTGTGAGTACGCAGCCTTTTGTCCAGTTTTTCCACAGTCAAAGCAATATCACCGACAAGTCCAAGGGGATACGATCCAGGTAAGGCGTTGTCCCCAATATCCTCTGCGGATATATCAACTTGGATGAACTTTACATTCTTTTGAAACCGAGGGCTTTCTCCGTGGTGTAAGATCCAGTTCAACCGACCTCCTAGTAGCAAAATCACGTCTGCACTCTTGAGAATTGCAGATCTCGCTGATGAGGTGTTAAGCTCCGAAAAGTCAGAAACTACACCCTTTGCCATTGGGGTTGGTAGGAAAGGAAGGTTGTGGCCTTCAACAAATTTGCGGATGATGTCAGCTGCTCCAATGGAATAGGCAGCACCTTTTCCTATGATCACGAGAGGACACTTTGCCTCTTTTAAATGTTCGACAGCAATTGTCAAAGCTTTCTCGTCTGGAACAAAGACAGGAGCCCCCAAACGGGTCACTTCATCGCTGATTTTCTCCAGAGCCTGAGACGCAAAATCTGGTTCCAATTGGCTCTGAATCAAATCAGCAGGAAAATCCACATATGTTGCTCCCGGAATACCCACAGTGGCTTTTCTGTATGCTTTCGAAAGCAACTCCGGGATCCGCTGGAGGTTTGGAGGCCGCGCCGCAAATTTGACGTGTGGAGAGATGTATGAAACCTGATCCAATTCCTGAAATCCACCCTTATAGATCTCAGCAGAAGATGACGACCCAGCCAGGACTATAATAGGCCATCTGTTCGATTGCGAGTTCAAAATACCTGCTGAGGCGTGAACCAGACCAGGTCCGCCTACCACTAGCAGAACACCGGGTCTTCCAGTAAGATAGCCGTAAGCCGAGGCAGCGTATGAGGCAGCCTGTTCGTTGCGAAATGAAATGAACTCTATTCCTAGTTCAATACAAGCATCGGCAATCTAAATTTTCGGTTAGTTGAGTGGACTGATATACATGGGTTGCTGACGCTTCTGAACACCTCACTTACCTCCACCACCGGAATCCCCACTATGCCGAACACCGTCTTCACGCCCAGCTGTTGAAGGGACTTGGCAATTATATTAGCACCTTCTACCATTGTAAATCAGGTGGAAATATGTTTGACAAAAAGAATGAACGAGAGAAAAGAAGCTGATCTAGCTGGTTTTTGGCTCGCACATGCTGCCGCGATTGCGGGATCCGGGGCCCCCATCCTCTCAACTGCCATATTCTTCGTGTCTGTAGGCTATAGGGGAATGAATGGAGACTGAGGCTTTGCATTCAAAAATCAATAAAATTGTGCATTTTGGTAGTTATTTATATATATATATGTATGTATATGGAATTATATCATGCCATGACCCATTTAGATATTGTTTTTTGGTAGGATAAGATCATCCGTTTCGTCGTAGTTCCGATGTATACATTTCTATATGCACGTTATATATGCACCTCTGGACTCGCATATGAACAGACCTCTAAATACAGGCTTTATACTTGAATTTCATATACACATCTCCAGAAATACACCAGATATATACACACCTCATCTCAATTGTCTCCCTTCAACACACACAACTGTCCACTGCCCTTGGAAAGGGAATTGCATCCCTGATGTTGTCCACGTTCCCCAGATAACATAGCAATCTCTCGAACCCCATACCAAAACCACCATGAGGGACCGATCCGCTTTCTCTGAGCTTTACATACCACTCTATCTCCTCCGCATTCATCCCTCTCCTCTCAATTTCATTCTGCAGCTTCTTGAGATCATGTTCTCTAAGAGACCCGCCTACCAACTCACCAATCTCGGGAACCAACAGGTCATAACATGCAACAGTTTTATTATCCGAGTTCAGCAACATGTAAAAAGGTTTCTGTTCCTTCGGATAGTCTGTCACAAAAACTGGGCCTTTGAAGTACTCCTTTGCTAGCCATTTCTCGTGTTCTGACTGAAGAGAGTCTCCCCAAACTGGTTCGTATTCGAATTTTACAGTTCCGTCACGTTGGGCCCCGGCAAGAATCTCTATCGCTTTGGTATAAGTGATGCAGTCCCAGTCTTCCTTTGCTAGAAGCTGCTTCCATCTCAGTTCCATTTCCTTAGCAACTTCGGGGTCTCTTTTGGAGTCCTTTATATCCGTGCCGATTCCGTTGTGGTCTTCCAACAAGGGTCTAACAGTGGCCTTTATCATCTCTTCGGTAAACTTGGTTAGCTGGTGAACATCTTCCACAAAGGCAATTTCCACTTCCATCATCCAGAACTCACTCAGATGCCTATTTGTATCGCTTTCCTCTGCACGGAAGCACGGTGACAGCGTCCAGACTTTGCTCAGTGCCATACATAGCACTTCCAAATGAAGTTGGGTGGAAACGGTAAGGTACGCTTTCTTTCCAAAAAAAGCTGTGTCTCCTTTTTGTCTGGAGTTGCTCTCAATGGTGAACAACTCACCTGCACCCTCACAATCAGATGAAGTCACCAATGGTGGGTTGGTTTTGTAAAAGCCACTAGTGTTGAAGAACTGATTTAATGAAAAGTCCACATTGGATCTGAGCCTCATCAAAGCGCCTAGTGTGTTTGTTTTATACCTGAACTCCGGTATCGTTCTCAAAAACTGGCTACTATGAAATTTCTTTTGTAACGGGTAAGTTTCGGAAATATCACCAAGTATCTTTACCGTATCTTCAGGACCAACTTTCAACTCATAAGCACCGTTACCCTTTGACTCACTCCATGATCCTTCAAGCTCCACGGAAACTCCTGTTTTCAGCCCCTTCACCAGCGAGGGGTCTAAAATACACTGAAGAGTCTGTGAGGTGGTGCCATCTGTCAATTGTACAAATGCAATCTTTTTCTGTGCTCTGACTGCCGTGACCCAGCCTCTCACACTTAATCTGGAACTCAAGGGAGGAGGATATTTGAACACGTCCAAGATGGAAGCGGGAACCGTGCTCAAGCTTCTGAAATTAGCTGTAGCAAATAAGCCAACTCCTCGAAAGCTAGGCCTTGTTACCAACATGATGTTGATTATGACTTATTCTCAGTTCTGGAAAACGAGAATTACGAGAGGAATATCGAAGGTCATTGTGTGGTAGTGTACCAATAGAATAATGTATTATGAATGCTTAAGCCGCACATAGGATGATATAAGAACGAATAAAGTGAAAAATTAAATCAACTTCTTCATGATCAGCATATTAGCAACTTGGAGTTTGACTGTCTACAACAGAGTGAGAGTGGCTTACACTCATAATCTTCCTAGTTTATGAAGTAATGGCCCATGATGATTTACAGAGCCACACCAGGCTCCTTATGCGATTTCAGGAACTCCAAACGAGCCTTGATTTTCTCCTGTGATACCTCGAAGCTACTACCACCTATTTTCTCCCAATGCTTCGAAAATTGCTCCAGTAAGCCCCCTAGCACGGTCCAAATCTCGAGCTCCACATCGCGGCCCACTGCCTTGATAAAGTCGGTATCACCATCCTTTTTGGCATTCCTAACAACTTGGAAGGACCTATGTTGTTCTGTTGGTTTGGTTAAATAGTTAGTATACTTTTCGTCTAGTTCCCAGACCTTCAGTTTGGGGTAGTTGCAATGGAGGAACACAAACGAGTTGCTCTTGCTCGGATCGGGCTGCAAAATGGCCTGGCCATAAAAGACATCGTCTATTATTTCGTTGTATCCACTGATTTGTGTCTTTGTCACTATGAAGTGATATGGCTCGTCTAGAGCAATGGAGGCAAGCAAAAAGGTCTCTTTGTCGCCTTCTCCTGGAAATCCTTGCGAGAAGAGTGGGTAGAAGTAGTCAGGTCCGTGAACATTGTAGTAGTATGCAAGAATCAGCGTTCGTAAATGTTTTTGTTTGTTGACAAGCATCTGGCCAGATTCAACCGCTGGCATTGTGCCGAGGTGAAGCAATTGCATGAGATGATATTTGCTGATCATCTTAAAATAAAGCGGATTGGTCGACCTTTTCCAGAAGTCTGGCCAAATTACCAAACCGGTAGATACATATTTCTCATTTGTGAACAACTCATCTGCAGGTCTCAGCAAAAAGTTATCGGAATCCAGATACAGCGTGTTCTCGAATGGAGAAAGCAACAAAGCCAGCGACTTGTACTGGTAACCCTCCTCAAAGGTTGTCATGATGTCTATAGGTAGAAACTGGTCGAAAGACGAACAATGAACGTTTTCAAACCCAGAAGCCAATTCAGAGCAAATACTCGACTTGAGAGGTGTAAATATTTCGATCGAAGTCAAATCCTGGTTGATATCTCTCTGGTACTTGATACTGGCGAATGTGAGCCAGAACAGCCTCTCGTCAGAAACATACACTATTCCGTTGGTCTCGCGAATCAACTTGGATTCTTCTAGCGAACTCTTGAAAGATGATAAAAATTTTGATCCTTTGGCCAGGTACGAGATCAGAGCCTTGTTGGCTTTGGTCAGCTCTTTCTCCTGGGCCTTGGAAATATCTAGCAGCCCGGCTAAGATCTCGTCATCCAATCTGACTTTGTAGTCATCATAACCGAAATACTGGTGGTAATCCTGTGAATCCTCGAGATACTTATCCAAGGGATTGCACTTGGGCTTCAAATTCACAAAGTCGCGATGTAACTGTGTGAATTGGGTCCGGAATAGAGATGCTTTTTCTGGTTCTGGACTGGGTGTGGTGTTATGGGAACCTAATGAGCTCGTCAGAACCGATGCAAATTTGTATAAGAATCCCACTACTGCCAAAGCCTTGAGCAAGGATATTGCACGTTTCGGAACCATTCCCTACTCTCTTGCTCGTTTGGGTAGCAACAACACACCAACTGTATTGAGAACATTGATCTCAGATCGAGATGTGGTTGCCGCAGATCTGGTGGCACGTGACCATTACGTCAGATGCGGCTCATGACGAATATAGCAATCTATGCACGATTGCTATTTTGCGAATAATATAAATAGTGGCGGAAAGACCAATGATAATTTTAAAATTAGTCAACTTCGATTAAATTATTTGTTGCCAAAAAATGCTCAGACAATCATTCACTCTCCTCAGAACTGCCAGGCCATCGGCCATGCTACTAAGAACCAATGTCAGCCAAATCCGTGGCAAACAGTCTATTGTAGACAGTGCCAAAGAGACCTTGGATAATCTCAACAAGAAGATTGGAAAAGCGGCGGCGGCTGGTCTTGAAAGTGCCGAGCATGTTGCCCATAAGACCTCGGATGCCGCCTCTGAGGTGGCCTCGAAGGCCCAAGAGCATGGTGCTAATGCCGAAAAGAGTGTCAAGGAAGCAGCCTCAGATGTAGCTTCCAAGGCCGAAGAGGGTAGAGAGTCATTCAAAGATGCAGCCTCTGCCACTGCCAATGCCGCTAATGGGTTTACTAACGAGCACACTGACAATGTCAAGAACAACTTCAAGGGATACAGCTCTTTGCAAGATAAGGGCTCGAAGGTCGAAAGCGAGCAGAACAGAGCTGACGACGCTGTTGGTCCTGGTCCTGGTCCTGCCTGAGCTGGGTTTCTTGTGATATATGGAAATTGTTAAACAGCCTGAAAAATTAGTATCAAAAATCTCGGAATAAAATGGAAACCTGTCGTAATCGTTACACATAAGTGCAGTAGGAATTTTAAAAATGGGCTCATGTCTTCAGGTTTTTGAACTCATCGGCGTCGATTTTGGCGGTTTTGGAAGAAGCGGCGGTTTCCTGTGGAGCGTTAGAGGTGATGCTTTGGATAGCGTTGCCATTTTTGTTCCGCTGTATCACTTCCAAATAGTTATACGGAACGAATCCCAATCTGCTGTCTCTAGATCTGCACTTCCACCACTTGGACTCTTCTCCGGTCAGTGGATCTGCTCTTGAAAGGATGGCCACCAAGTCCCCACGTCTAAGAGCCAGTTCAACCTCGTTGTTTTCTGGGTTGAAGTCGTATAATGCACGAGCAAATTCGAGCCTTGTAGGGTCCACCTGCTGAGCTTGATTCTGAGCCTGTAGCGGAAGTTGTTGTGGTTCACCATTTTGCAGCTGGTCTGGGCGGAGTTGGTGTGCGACACTATTCTGTTGCTCCTGAGCAAGGCGTCTGATGAGCTTGTTCATCAAGTAGGGCAGTCCAAAGATAGCAGCTAAAAAGAACACCAGTGGTTTCAACGAGATGCGATTGTTGTTGTTGTTGTTACTGTTGTTGCTGTTGTCTCTCTCTTTGAGCTGTTTTTTCTGGAACTTGGCAAATTCTGCTGGCGTTAAAGATTTCTTGATACCCACGGCTCTTCCCAAAAGTTTTTTTGCCCATTTTATCAGTGTGAAGATTCCTAATAGTGATCCAAGTGCATTCTTCAGATGCGAAAACTGTTCTGCCATGGATATCATTGTAAAGAAAGAGTTGTGTGTAGCGTAATATGTCGATTCCAGCATCTGCGCAAAACCACCAACAGCACCGATCATCGATTCTATCAATTGGAAAGTTGCCTCAGAGTTCTGCGCCAAACCCCCGAGCTCGTTGCCGTTGCCCATGTTCATCATGTTGTTCCCATACATCCCACCATAGCCACCGCCATACCTAGACCCGTACATTCCACCACCATAACCACCATACGAGCTTGATCCAAACCCACCCAAACCGCCGTATCCAGAGGACCCATATCCTCCGTAACCGCTGTATGCACCATAACCACCCGCGGAACCGTATCCGGAAGAGTAGGGCGACGTGTAAGAGTTGGACATCATGTTGCCAAAAGTGTTGGGGTTTGAAGCCAACCCCGTACTCGCTGCAGAAGCTGTATTCAACGAACTGCTCGTCATAGAAGAAGGCTTGCTGGGAATAGCAGGTGCGCCCGATTCCGATACCGTGGCAGATGTGGCTGGAGTAGTAGAAGCCATCGAAGTGCCAGACGAGACTTCCCAAGGTTTCGCTCTTGGTTGCGACATTTTGATGTATATGTGATGATAAAGAAAAGGTTGTTGTTGTTTGTAAGGTTGAGTTTGTGTGGAGTATAATCTGTTTGCTTGTTTGTAAGCTTTGTTTCAATTCTTTGTGGTGTGACTTTCAACAAAGAAGAAACAATACAACACTAGACTGTATTCACAAGATCGGGTATTTCTGATCACCAAGCGCTTGATCTGATACCAGGTGGTAACAATACAGTGCAAAATTATAGAAAACCACGAGTTTGACTTGGAAATCAGAGAAGAATAAACGCAACCGATGATACTCGGCTCACTTCAAATGGCCTCCTCCCTTCTGCCATGTGAGAGAGGGGTGAGGAGAATCGGCGCTCTCCCCAAAAGGGTAAGCCTAACCGGCGTCGGCTACACTTGGGAAGTGCACTACTCAAGGTCACGTGAACGTCTTATCATATATTTAAACACCATTTATGGCTCTATTGTCTTTGTGGTATCCATTTCCCTTTGGAAATTAGGAAGCACAGGAACCACAGTGATTGTCCGCAGTCCGGTAGTGTGTTTTCGCACAACATTGGATTCCTTCAGAGCCAGGTTGAAGGCTCCGCTGACCAGTTTTAGGGTCTTCCTCTCCAAAGCGAGCTGTTTCTTGTATTGCGTCTCTAGCTCCTGTTTTTGACTATTCACAAGCTGTAACTGGTACGAGAGACGTCTTACCTCCTCTCGGAACACCTGCAAAAGGTGTGGCTGAATGCTAGACAGCTCTCCTTGATCGTACACATTGACGCCGTGCTCTTCCTTAGCGGTGGAGAGGGCCTTTTTGATATCACTGTATTCAGCACGCAGTTCCGAATCCTCGTATCCCAAAGATTCTATATCGATAATGCTTTCAAAAAGGCTTTCATCTTTCGTTTTGGATTGTACATGCCTCATTATTCCTGCCACGTATGTTCTCAAAGTCCTGTTCTGGTGTCTGGTATCTTCCAGTAGTACACCCATTTCTTCGAGCTTGTCCCTGGTTGTATTAAATTCATTCAGTGTGGATTCTAACGTTTTGGTCTTGAATTCGTGTTCCTTGTTCTTGGTTTTCAACGAGACCTCCAGAGATTCCAGATTGGTCTTCAAGTTCTGGTTCTCTTTGACCTGAAGCTCATAGTTCTGGGTGGTGGTTTCGTGTATCTGCTTCAAGCTGCTATGTTCCTTCTGCAAGTCCTCGTGGGCTGCCTTTTCCTTTGCCAGAGCTTCGTGTGTACTTTCGATTGCCTTCTGAGCATCAGAGATGGCAACATGTTCGTTCTGGAGCTTCTCATGGGAAACCCTCAGGTTCAAGAGATCTGCTACAGAGTTTTGCTGGACCTTCTCCAACTGCTCATAGTCTCTCTTCAAGCTATCATGTGATTTCAATACAGCGGAATGCTGCTTTTGCTGACCTTCTATCGTCTTCAAGGCCGATGAGTACTTTTCCTGGTATTCCGAGATCTTCTTCGCAAACTCCTCGTTCAACTTGGTGGCCTCGTCAAGATGAGATTCCATGCTCTTAACCTGAAGTTTCAAGCTCTGATTTTGACCGGTCATCTTGGCCTCGAGTTTGACCTTTGCTGCCAATTCTTCGTTCCTTGAACTCGCAATGACCAACTGTTCCTCGAGGCTTGAAACCTTGTGATGTAATCTCTCATTATCTGAGTGCAGGCTGGTCTCATCATTGTGGGCCAGCGTTTTATTCTGAGACTCTTCCTCGAGTTTGGCAATTTGGGCCTTCAATAGTTCATTTTCTTTGAAAAGGCTGGCCTCGGCGGCCTTCGTCTCGTCTAGATCTCTCTGCAGCTCCAATGTCGTGGCGGACTCTTCTTTTTCCTTCGTCGAAGACTTGAACACCCGGTCCAGTTGCGCACCAAGTTCCATACTCATCTCGAGATCGTTGAGTGATTCTGGGGTGTACTGGCCTTCGTTCGCACCATGCGACGAACTCGCCACTCTGGAAGGTGAAGTCTGTTCCACTAGGGCAGAAATCACTGACGATCTACGATTGAGTGAAGGTGATGCCGGAAACGACGTTCTTTGCTGGGACAGGCGACGTATGTGTTGGTTGATTGGTTGTGCAGGCTGTAGGGAAGGCTTTGCATAATGCTGATACTGTTGGTATTGCTGGTGTTGCTGAGGATACTGCTGGTGTTGCTGCTGATATTGTTGCTGGTACTGCTGGTACTGCTGGTATTGATGGGGATCTTGTTGTGCGTGTGGTTGGTACTGCTGATAGTGTGGCTGTAGTCCCTGAGGATGCTGGTAGAATTGGCCTGGCTGCTGTTGATATCCGGACGATGTGGAGTTCAACGACATCGTAGATCCACTTTGTGGAAATCTCGGCGCTTGAAATCCCGGTCCTGCAACGGGTTGAGCATAAAACGAACCACTAGAGTTTATACTCTGGGCCGAACTATTGCCGAGACCCATTCCAACTCCCATCCCCGAAAGCAGCGTAGTCTTGGGCCGATACTTCTTGTTCTGACCAGCAGCAACATTGCTGAGGGATGTCTGCTTCAATCCGGCAGATCTCAGAGCAGATTTCTGGTCGTCGTATATGTCTAGAGACGGCTGCAACGTCGGTGGTCTCCCAGTTCTCACCGACTGTGTGTCAGACATTGTTTCACGCAAGGCTTAATGTGTAATCCTCGTTATATGTGAACACCTGAACACTCCGTAGCCAAAACTCCTCAAACCCTAGAACCAACAAAAAGTTTATACTGTATCAGCTTGGGATACTGGGGGGTCAGAGTTCAGATTTTAATGGTGGAAGCCAAAATGGGAAATTAGAGCTGGGGCGCAGTGCACGGGGGGTCGATGGCAGACGCGTAAAGACGCGGTCGTGGACAAAGTCTAGATTTTGGAATTTGGTTATGGGATTGACAATAAAAGGAAGCGAGCGGGAAAAATCAGTCATTCATGAAGGGGGGACTGGATTCAATATAGGTGCGGATTTTCAGCTAATTTGGGAGAGGTTTGGGCTGGGAATTGGGGGGAGACTATAGGGTCTGATGGTGAAGCTAAGTGAACTAGGAGTGAATTTTGGTAAGTCATCTTCTTAGCTTGAAAAATTAAACATGCTTAGACGGATACTTGAGAATGGCCTTCAAACCCGTTCCCATTGGCTAGCTTGTTGCATTTCAAGGGTTTACATTTCATGCATGTACTAAAAGTTTGGCCGGATTATTTAAGAAATCTTTTGAAAGACTCCTAGAGATTAAGTTTCTGTACTATGCGCATTCTGATCCTGGTCTGCGGCTGCCACTCTTCTGGTCCGGTGTTCTCGAACTTTTAAATTTTCCTCTATAATCTCTCTAATATTCAATCTTATAGCCCGGATCTGGTCTTCTCTCAGGAAGCTCAAAGAACTTCTTCTCCTCCTTAGTCCTCATCTGAACTATCGAGAGAAGATTGTACAGAACGGTCAGTGTAGGGGCTTCAATTCCGTTTTCCCGCGCAACATCCAAGGCGTTTCCCAGAATCACCTGATTCTCGATCAGATTGCCCTTCCTGACATCCACCAACATGGAAGGCGAGTACCAGATCCCGTTATCGGATTCAATCATCACGTCCATGTCTGCCGGTGAGAGTTCTACTCCATCCGACAAAGCAATCGCGATAATCTCACGCATAGCGGGCTTTGCTACAGACTCGATGCCGCCAAACAGCTCGAGTCTTCCGACATCGACGTTGGTCAAAGCACATGCAGAATTCAACGTCGCGTTGTAAATGAGCTTCCTCCATCTCGTGTACTTGACATCAGGATCGTAGGTAGCTTTGTTCTTCGAGTTGGAGTATAGTTCCAGGAACCGGTGACAACTAGCCTCCTGCTGCTCACGCGGGGTAACCCCATTGTAGAATACGCCGAATTTCACAAGATCATCGTTCTCGTGGTTCACCACTCCGTGGTACAAAGTAGACGAGATCATTGAAACTCCGGACAAAACTGTTGCGCCTGGTAGCATCTGTAACAGCGGCTTCTCTATTCCGAATCCATTCTGCAACAACACGATGGTTGTCACACCTTCAGTGTATGCCTTGCCAATTGAGGCCTCCACGGGATAAGCATCTGGAATGTTTTTGGTCGAAACAACCACGTAATCGTAAGGTCCTTGTCTTACTGCCTCATCAATGTTTCTGTAAACATGGGAGGGCTTATATGAGTCAATATGGCCATAATCACAAGACTCGATAACATAGCCCTTGTTCTTCACAAGGTCGTAGTCGGACCTAACCACCGCCGACACCTCAGATTTCCCTTCGAATTCCAGGCCATACGCTGCAATGGTTCCCACACCACCCAGTCCAATGAGTAACACCTTTGTCTTAGTCATGGTTGCAAAAGCGCGAGAAACAAGGAGCATATGCAACACGGATTAGGTGTCGTTATCAAGCTGGACTAACACTTTCGTGTGGAAACCAATTAGTATCCGCATAGCGTGTGAGTCTCATCCTGCCCAATGATGAACTCTCGTCTTTCGTAACATCACCACAGGGACATGATCTGACCAAACGGCCCGAAACAATCCCAGATTTTTGCTGAAATTGGCCTAGGAACATTGAAATGAACCAAGATGAACATTCCAGTTTCCTTTTTGCGGAGTCAGCGCAAGTTTCTGAGGAACAGCTTCAGGCACAGAAGCTTGATATGCTTCAGAAACACAACTATAACCTGCTGAACAATATCCTGGGGCAAAACAAAACGACACCGGTGAGAATCCAAAATGTCAATCTAATATACAATGCTTCAGAAAATGAGTATCGTGACTCGTTTCTGCAGAGACAATTAAGACCATTACTTAGTGACAACAGTGGACTCACGCTCCAGCGATTCGTCCAGAATCTGGACCAGGTGTCTGAGAATTTTGCCAAAACGGGAATGGTGAACAATGTGGTGATGTCAGTTGACCATCAGAGGACTCGTCCCGGATTTCGCGGACAGCCGAACTTGTATGGTCCCAACCTCGTGACAAACGTGTACATATCTTCTGTGAAGAAACTGTTCATGAAAGTTGGAACTAACATCGGCAACGGCGAAGGAGACGGGTTTTTGACTCTGCAATACAAAAACTTGTTTGGTGGTGGTGAAACGCTCAATTTCAACACCAATGTGGGTTCCAATTCGATCGGGTCTGCTTCAAGAACGACGTATTTACTAGACCTGTCCAGTCCGATCTGGAACGAACCCTGGCTTCGTGGGACAATACTTGGTTATAGTACGAGTCGGACTGTTGATTGGACCACGAAGCACGACCAGAGTGCGGTGGGTTTGTCCTTCAAATTACACACTCTGAACAGACTGATCAACCATGAGTTGACATACGACAACGCCATGAGAACGATCCGCGTTCTTCCACAGACGGGACGGGTGAGCAACCAGATGCTGTTTGAATCTGGTGAAAACTTCAAGAGCTCGCTCAATTACTCGGTGAGCTACGATTCGAGAGCCAAGAACACCACGTTGCCTTCAAGTGGTACTTTGGCCAGATCCGAAATTGAGTTGTCCTCGCTGAAAAATATCAAGTTTTTGGTTGAATTCAACAAGCTCTTTGCGTGGGTAGGTCAAATTTCAAGTTTTTCATGCAAAATCGGATACATCCATAGTTTGGCTGGAGGGCAGGGGATCCACTTCATGGACCGGTTCTTCATCGGAGGATCCAACGATGTCCGCGGTTTTTCACTGAATTCGCTGGGTCCCAAACAAATGGGATTACCTGTTGGCGGGAACCTGTTTTTGGCTGGTGGAGTTTCTAACTTTTCAAGCCTTCCGTTCTACCCCGAATCGAACTTCAAGCTGCACCAGTTTGTGAACTTTGGAAAACTTGTCAACACTCGAGGCCAGAGCCTCGGCGAGAAAGCAGCTCACTTTGGTGCCGAGCCTATCGCTCTGAGCTGCGGACTCGGATTGGCATATCTACATCCAGCGGCGCGTTTCGAGCTCAACTTCGTGCTGCCGCTACAAACGGCAACTACAGATCTACCCAGAAAGGGCTTCCAGTTTGGAATTGGCGTTTCGTTTTTATAGACCAACCCTCTTCTTATCCTCTATCCAGCTTTCGTGTAGTGCAGCAACTTCCGGGACGATGAGACCTTCGATGTCGGATGCCGGGTCTTCCAGCTTGATCCATTTCTCGCCGGTTTGTGTGACGAACACCACCTCTCCTTTCCTCGTCTGAAGCAGGTTTCCAATCACAAGCTGGTGAGAGTATCGCTCAAGTGCACCACGAGCCTTTTTGACCAGAATATCGATATCTGTCTCCAGCTTGAAGGACACTATCATGGAAATTGGTGCCCATGAGTCCACCAAACGACTCAGAAACTTGGGTACGGGCTCTAGATCAACAACAAGCTTTCCTCCAGAGTCTTGGGACTGGATCTTGTGTTCTGGCATCCGCGAACTTGGCAGGAAGAAATCTGAAACGGCTGCTGCCAGATAGAATAGAGCATTGGACCCACATACAGAAAGCTCTTGAGCGATCAATTTCAAAGTGAAAAGGTACTGATGCACCGTGGTGAACGGGATCATCAAGATCTGGTTGTTGTCTTGGGCATATTTGTATTTGCGCAGAGTAACGAGCATCTGAGCCTGGTATTCATCACCAATCGACACCTTCCCGTCCTTCTCCGTCAAATAGTCAAGAAAGCAATTAGTCGTATGTGAGTAGTGTCTAGAGTATGGCAACAACGAAAATTCACGGTGCAAAAATATGACTGCATAGCCGTTTTCCAGAAAGTACTCTGCGGAGGTGGCTCCTCTTGTTCCAGCACTGAAGTTGTCTATGAATCTGACGGTGTTGTTCTCCAGCGGCACAGTCGTCCCGCCAGATGTAACCAGCACAATCTTCTTGCCGGTCTGCTGTTGGTGGAAATTAATGAAGGTGGCACATTCTTTTGAAATTTCTGAAAGGTATGGAGGTGGTTTATGCTGCTTGAAGTAGTTGTCTTCGTCGATGGGAAGCGCTGCCGGAAACTCTGGGAGCGACCGGTCAATAGCGGACTCAGTATCCGGCACCGATGTGTGCACACGGTTCAGTTGAGGCGACGGCGGAGACATTGGTGGAAAGAGGAAAGATAAACTGTAAACTATTTCCCCAAGCTCAACGGTTTCTATTTGGGCGCCCGTCGTTCCCCATCAAAAAGTTATGGGCCCTGCGAGTCGTGTGTAAGCAAGTATTGGATTCCCCAGCCAAAAAAACCAAAAGGCTCAAGACTTTCAGATCTTTTGACAACACTACGTACGCAACGCAATGGACTTTTCTGAGCCAATAGTGTTTCTCGATGTGAGTTTTAGAGACAACAGTTGATAACACTATTCAGGATACTAACTTCAACAGATGAGGATCGGGCGTGAGTAGAGTGTTTGAAGCTAGTTTATACTAACTAAACGAAACTAACCAAACGCAGCAAGAGACCTGGGCCGGATCAAGATTCGACTGTTTGCCAAAGACCTCCCAAAAACATGTGAGAACTTCCGTCAATTTTGCACCGGGGAGTACAGGGAAAATTTACAACCTGTGGGATACAAAAACAGCAAGGTGCACCGGGTAGTCAAAGGGTTCATGATTCAAGGTGGTGATTTCACCAAGGGAAACGGAACAGGGTCGAAAACCATTTTCGGCCAGGACGCGTTTGAAGATGAGGGGTTCATGCACAAACACAATAGGATGAGTGTTTCTATGGCCAATTCTGGCCCGAATACAAACGGAAGCCAGTTCTTTATATGTCTTGAACCGCAGCCGCATTTAGACGGTAAACATGTTGTGTTTGGCGAGGTGATAGAAGGTCAAGATATTGTGCGGCAAATAGGCAGTGTTTCAACGGACTCGCAAAGTCGGCCGAGATTGGATATCACGGTAGTTGATTGTGGGGAAATGTGAAAATAAAGGGGGCATTTAATGGAAATAGATTGGGTATAGCTATGTAGTAGCTCTTTCATACTAGATAAGCACATTGAAAGCCAACACGCGATAAACGTCTCCTCTTGTGTTCCAAAATAGAGGGAGCGCTTATGCATTCAAGAATAATATGCAGTCCATGGAATTATTGACACTTTGCCTAGCTTAATCATCGCTTAATATCCCGCTTCCATTCTTAGCGATTTTAGTGTTCTTCACTTGCCATTTCCAGTTTGGTCTGGTTCCAGGTAGAATGCTTAGTCTCCACACTACCAGGAGAAATCACATGCGAACTGTCAAGAAACAACTTTTTGCCCCTTAACCTTGTTCGTTCATTGTAGTTCTTCCTTTGTTTTTCTTATTATTCTGGAAGTTATTCAAACATACTTTGGGAGGTTTTCATCGATTCTGTTCTCTGGTCTTGTCCAATCACGTTAAGTTCACTTGATTTCCCTTCGGCTTGCTCTGTGCCCGCGCCTCACATTTAACAAGGGGTCTTCTACACCACCTGATTTGAACTCATTTTCACAATGGTCAAAACTATCGCTCACATCAAGTCGTATCCGCTCGTGTCAGAGCTAATTGCGTTCCTTTCATCGTTTGCGTTTGTCTCCTACATTTTTGCCCGACTTAGCGCGCTCTTCAGCTCACTTCCAGCTAACAAGTACCTCTACAAGCTTGACGAGTATGCGGACAATCGCGTGCTCACTTCACTCGATAAGACGTTTCCTAAGATCACCACATTGACTTCTGAGCAGGTTATCCAGGTCCCAAGAGACCAAGCTGTGGCGCTGAACAGGAGGCTGAGTGGAGCTGTGGCATCCTCAGTCAAGCAGGTAGAGGACCTGTACACCACCAGAGCCAAGCCAAAGATTGACGGAACTGTCAACCCGCTGATCGAACCTGCTAATGACAGGCTGGAGTCCCTGCTGTCATCATACCTCCCTGGCGAGGCAAAGCCAGCGGCGACCTCTGATGATGCCAAGATTCCGAAGGAAGTTGGCCGCACCGTCCTTCTGACAGGCGAAATTATTACAAGGCTCAAGCCAAAAATTGGTGAATACACCGCGGGTCTTCAAAGTCAGGCTGCTGGTTTCCAGAGCCACGTGGTTGACACATACCATTCTGAGGCCACGGACGCTTCTTTGCCAAAGGGCGTTTTCAACACAGCCGTCAAATTGTCCAAGGAAGCATATGGCACTATCAGACCAACTGTTGAGCCAGTGGTGGCCAAGGTTGATGAAGACATTGTTAAAGAGCTTAATGGTTCCAAATAATACCCTAATTGGCCGATCGGCCTCTTTCTTGTCTGTGCGACGTTGCTATCTATTATCCCCTTGCTAACTCTTTTGTCTTTTATCTTTGGAACTTTATATATCATACGTGTATCCTTTTCATCTTCCCAGCTTCTGATCTTTTTGTCGTTGCACAAAACTTATGTAGTATTCATAAAAATCCATATTTCTTCTCAGTATTCATAGTATTTGTACGACTTTTTCAGCTCCAAACTTCCAAACTTGCTCGCTCAAACCCGGATACCATCTAGCAGATTCCTCCTAATCCCAGTGTTAACCTCATTTTTCACTTCAGTCTTCACCTCAGTCTTCGCCTCAGTCTTGATTTCCACTTTCTCCGCGTAATGCCTCATCCGATAATGACTAGCGAGATCACTCTCGAAGTGGAAGCTTTTCAAACACTCACCACACTTGAACTTCCGACTATGAGTCTTATAGTGTTTCGACAGATTGCTGCTGTCGTTAAAGCTCTTGGTGCATCCGGGCCATTTGCAGCGTATAGGTCTGTCGCCGGTATGGATCCTTGTGTGAACGCAAAGACTGGAACTTGTCTTGAACTGTTTTCCGCATGTGCCACAGACAAACGGTCTTTCCCCGGTATGTGTTCTCACATGCTGCTCCAGCATCACCTCTGTGCTGAAGGTTTTATTGCACGAAGGACATCCAAACGGTTTATCCTTAGAGTGGACCAGTATATGCCTCACAGCCTTCTGCTTCTGCGCGAACGTGCGGCCATGGCGAGAACATCCGGCCCATCTGCACTGGTATTGTGATTTCCCCGATCCAATGTGATCTTCCACGATATGATTGTGCAATTCTCCTGTAGTTGCGAACACACGTCTACACCGTATGGGCCCCTCCTCCCACTGGCACTGTACGGACTCCGAACGAAATAAAGACTTTTGGTTGCCAATCTCAAACTCACACTCAGCTCCACATTTAGAGCATTCATCACACTCCATACCGCAAGACTCTTCCGAGCAACAAATCCCCATCCGATTGAGATCACACTCGGTGCAGCCCAAGCCTTGTGAATTGCACTCCACTTCCTTGTCAGCAGTATTGGACGCTATTGGACAGCTGGTGAACAGAAGTTTTTCCAATTCGCTCAAGTCACAGTCGAGAGCACATGCAGCTTCGTGCAGGTGTGATATTTCCGGTTCCGGCCGGTGTGGTTCGTAGCAGCACTCCAAGAAGTTGTCCAACACAGTAGCATCAACGATACCCCCGTGCAAATCGAGGGGATGGCAAAATTGGTTCCAGTCACAACTTTCGAGTGACTCTTTGCTATCTTTAGTTAGACCATGATGCACCAGATGGTGATGTACCTGACCATTGTCGTTCGAGTGCTCCAACACATGGTGGTGATGTTGTGGGGGAGATCCGTGTTCCTCGGTGTCCTTCTCCAGCTCGGGTAGGGGTCTATTCACTCGGGTGACCACATGGTGGTGATGGTTGGTTGTTTCACCCATTGTGAGATCTGATCGTTAAAAGTCTCAAGATTTCACTAAGGAGATCTCTGTTTCTATATATATGCATGTGTTAAATGACATAACCACTAGTGTCATCTTGGAAAAATCGGCACCCGGCTGGTTAGGAAGGACACGCCCGTGCGGCTGTCCCGAGGACTGCAGAGGGTGCTTGAATAGGAATGCATGGGATTGTACGGTCCGGCTGGCTGATATTATAGTCTATCGTACGTTTCATATTGCTGCTGTTTATCATATTTTTTATACTGTTATGGTGAGGGCAACGACGTGTTCACGCAGGGTTTAGGGTGAGATAGTTCAGTTACACCCTCTGAGTCGACTCACCGGACTCCTAAATTCTCTCTAAAAATCTGATAGGAAAACCTAGTGGTTGTAGCCTTTGTTTGTATTAACTGTAAGCAAGAATTGACATTGTTCACATTGTCAAGTTTCAGTGATAAATAGAGATTTTTCAAGTTATTTCATAAAGAAGAAACGGACTAATCTCCTCTATTATTAACCATCACTACTGGAAACAAAGGTATTTTCTAGCCTGTCACCTTAGTTTCGAACAAGGTCTCGAAGTATCATAAATCGAATATTCTGCAATATCTCAGCTTAAATTGCAGAGATATATGCCACCAAACGAATACCTTCTGATAAGAATTATGTATTAGCTATTCATCGCACTACCTCATTAAGCATCGTCTCTGAAATTTTTTTTAGGGCTTGTCTAAAACTCTCAAGCACACCAAACCGTTGTTTCTTTACTGTATAGAGTGCGACTTTTCTGCAGGATTTTGTGACCACAATACCACAGTATGTCAGTGATAGACTCTAGGAAAAGAACAAACGATACTTTCACTGCTGGTGACAGCTCCTCAAAGAAGAGACGGCTGGACTCGGCCACATCTGTCAAAGGAACTACCAAGTGCTTCAACCGTTCCATTGCCAGGCTTTACGTCTCATTAGCACCTCAGTATCTTTTGGATCCTGTCAATGGTATTCGCTCGCAGCATTTAGACCCAATGATCATGACATATTCCTCCAGCCTGAACGGTGTGATCTTGGGTTACTCCAAAGTGAAGATACTAAAACAAGGCTCCAACAAGGAGGAGATCTTGGCCAAGATATCGGCAGAGTCACCCTTCACTTTTTTGTGGATATCCGTTGAATTCTTGATATGGAGCCCTTCGGTGGGCGACGTTGTCGAGGGCTGGAGCTACATGCAGACCCAGTCGCACATCGGTCTGCTGATTCACGACACTTTCAACGCGACCATAAAGAGAAACTCGATACCCACAGATTGGACATTTGAATTCAGCCCGGAAGAGGAATATGAAGAGGCAGAAGAAGGTGCTGAAGAGGAGGAGTCCGCCGAGCAGAGGCCACGGGTGAGGTCCCAAGGCCAGTGGAAGGACGGCAACGGGCTGTCGATCGAGGGAAAGATAAAGTTCACAATTAAGTCGGTTAATAGAGCTGGGAGAGTGATTTCTGTGGAAGGTAGTCTTGTCAAGGTCGACAGAGACACTTTACCAGTGGAGGCTACAGCCGCATCCACTCAGAACACATCTCTTGTGAACGTTCCATTCCAAGAGCCCGAACTGGAGGCAGAGGTCAGTGAGATAATAGTTAATGCAAGCGAAGATGTCATAGCCGCTGCGGAAGAGGACAGCTCCGAGGAAGAAGACTCTGATTAGATAGTCCGGGGTTGACTTGAGATTTGAATTTCTGGTCGTCCGAAACTCAACTATCGAATCAGCATACCTCATGTGTATGTAAAAGTAAACAAGACAAGCAGCGCAGAATAGCATCTCTCCATTATTTTTTCAAAGACCTTTTGTATTTTGCTGATCGTTGGCACCATGAGTGATGAGGCAGCCGAATCCATCATCACAGAGCATTTGGATTACTCTGCGTTGTCGGTTATTGACGACGTGATCAATGCAGTTAACGAGATAGTGTACAAATGCGTGAATGCAATGGAGACATATTTGAAGGCTAAGGAAGAGAAGAAACAAGAGGAGCAGGAGGATGATGATATAATAATGACTGATCCATCTCAGACAGACATTATGAGTCGAATACAGCACGGATCAGGAGCAATGGAGACCCTGCTTACAGCTGCAGTAGATCGAAATTTTGATCTGTTCGAGCTGTATGTGTTGAGAAACATTTTCAGCATACCGAAGGATCTAGTGGACGGTGGATGGATGAGATTGGAGCATCACGAGGATATAAAACCAGTGGGTGAGAATTTTTCCACGGTGAATCAGAAAATCAGAGCTTTGACAATACAGACGCAATTTCTTTCGGAATTGAAAAAGCTTATGAGCAGGCAACTTCACGAGATATCTCAATTACAAGCCAAATTGAAAGGCTACAAGCTGATAATGATGTACTTTCAGAAAAAAGCTGGTGAGCACAGGGAGTTGGAGCCACTGAGGGACTCCCTACCATTCCTGATCAGCGAGACCAAGAAAAGGATAGGACAGTTTGAGAAGTTACATTTGATTATCTCAAACGGAGATATGGCTCTTGAAGAGACTTATAACGAGAAATTCCTAAAAAGGCTGACAGATAAACAATTGGAGTCTCTGGGACTCTCAAACAAGGACATGCCAAACAAACAACCAGAGATCGACCACGAGGAAGAATTGCTGGCGATGTATTCCGACAAAGACGAGGCAGACCTGAAAAATCTTCCCAAATGGGACAAATCCTGAATTAATTAAGGTTCCAGAGTGGAAAATTTCCGAGGATGTTTGCATCCTTTGTGTTTGGGGAACTTTAACGCCTCGTGCATGGAGCAGAACATAACAACGGATGTTCGCCTGACGAGGTCACATTTACGATTAATGATGTATAATATGTGTGGAAGATTACTGGTTTATTCTACTTAGAGGTTAAGTTGTGTCCATGAGTGAAAATCCCTTCGAACCCAGCGAAACAACCCCGCTAATAGAAGAAAGCCCAGAGGCTCCATTTGTTGGGGAGCATCCTGTCAACTATACTTCATTAGCTGGACGGAATTCTGTCACAGAGGAGGTGCTTGAGTACTACAGTGATGATCGGGAGGATCAGCCGCAAGAGGTTGAGAGGGAACCAGGACCTTCGCAGACGCAAGAGGTAACGCAAGAAGCACCACAGGAAGAACTGCGAGCACCGCAAGAGACACCACAAGTCACCACTCACCTGCGTTACAGGCGTCCAAGAACCAACTCTCAGTTCCGCTACAGGCGTCCAAGAATCCCGCCACAAAGCATTGGAATCCGACCTGTCACAAGTGTATCACCTCTTAGAGACCCTTCGGACGCTTCTCCCATCATCAAATTCAACGAATATAAACTGAATCCCACCAGCTCGAAACGCTACAACACCAACCAGTGCCAAATCATGATTTGGCAAAACGGCAAATCGTGGCTCTACTCTGAGAAAAAAGGTTGCATTGTCGGACTCATGGACTCCAATGGCCAGCTCTTCCACCGTGTGTTTCTGGGGATGTTCCCCAATGAGCTCAACTCCAAGATGGCCCAGGGAGATTGGCATTTTGTCATGCAGAACGAATGGGTCAAAGAGCTGTCAAGTCGTAAAATTCACAAACCACGCCAGCGTATGGTCCACGTTAAAGGAGCCATAAAGGCAAGAGACATATTCAGGATTGGAAGACCAACGTCATAAAATATTTCGAAACCACATTCACATTGATATGTATATATGTACAAATTGGAAAGGGCCCCACTTTTTCATTCATAATTGGAGCTCACTTCATCTCCTCGAGCTTCTCATAAGGCCTTCTTCACAGCATGAATGAGGGTTGGAACTAGAAAGAAATGTTAGTATTCTGTTCTTGACCAAAGGTACTCTGAATGGCAAGACTTACTCAACCAGAGGGCAGCACCAACAACAACGGCGTTTCTGATGACCTCTTCGCTAGCCTTTTGTTGAAGCTTCATTTCCTCCTCGGAAGGAGCACCTTGACCAAATGGATCCATTTTTCTTGATTATGTGCAGGGTTAGATGTGGTAAATGAGACCAACCGTTGAATAGCCGAAGCAAGTCGAGATCCGAAAAAATGCTATGGTAGTGTGACGGTCCAAAAATTGAGAAGGGCGAGCAAGTCGTCTGTAGATGTTGTATCTCGTATTCTAGTCATCAGTGTATTCTGTAGTTCACGCGTAGAGGCATCCAATCATCTACTATGTCAGAAGAAGAAAGAGCAAGTACTCCCGAGTTGTCGGATCATCAAAACGAATCTGATCTGTCTGATCTATCCGATGTGGATGAAGACAACTATGAAGCACCAGAGTTCGATATCGACTTGATAGGAAAGCATAAAAGAGCCGAAGATGACTCTGCCAAAGACTCGGAGGGGTCCAAGAAGCTCAAGAAGAGAAGAAAGGACGTAGCAGCTGAGCCAGTGGCGGATGATATTCCTACAATCGAAGAGGAAGACGAAGGTGTGAGGAAGAGACGTGAGTTCGAGGAGAGATTCGCCAAATCCATAACGAAGAAACCCAGCAAGCGCAGAGCGGGAGAGGTGGATTTGGAGCAGATGCAGGATGAAGCAATTGCTCATCTGAAGATCCTAATGAGAGAGGCAGCTTATAACGATAGTGAGAATGTCAAGGCTGGTAAGCCTTCCACGGAAAAATTACTACTTCTACCGCAGGTGCGTGATACGCTGATGCGTGCGAATCTATCAGACTCGATTTTGGACAACAATATGTTGGAATCTGTGAGGCTATGGCTGGAACCTCTTCCAGATGGATCGTTACCAGCTTACGAGATCCAGAAAAGCATGTTCCAGGCAGTGCAGCAGCTGCCCATCAAGACGATCCACCTCAGAGAAAGCGGTCTTGGAAAAGTAGTGCTGTTCTATCAGAAATCAAAGAAGGTTGATCCCTCTTTGAAGAGAGCTGCTGAGAAGATGATTGGAGACTGGACCAGACCAATCATGGGGAGATCAGATAACTACAAAGACAAGAATGTGGCGTCGGCAGAGTTTGACTACACCAAGTTCATCAACGCCATCCCTTCTGCTGAGAAGACCAAGAAAGTATTGGATGGTCGCAAATCGTTGTATGAGGAGAGTGCTGCCCGGAGAAACAGAGCGGCTGCACCTGCTGCCAGAACATCTGCCTACACTATTGCGCCTAAGATGAACAACGACGTGATACAGAGAAGAAAAGAGGCTGTCAATTCTTCCAGAGAGGGCAAATTCAAGAATATAAATTCGAGAATGAATCTGTTGACGCATAGAAGGGGAACCACTAAGAAGGGTGGTGTATCCATCCAGGGGAATGGGTTGGACTAAGTATAGCAATGTAACCAAACCAAATCAGTCCTAAATGTTACCTACAGTTTTATTGTAAAATGATCAGTTAGACATTTGAACTGACCATTGTTGCTCTACTTGCTTTCGTCCTAATAGAAGTGTTTTTCTTGTATTATCTTTGATCGAAAAATTATAACATGACAGACAAGATGCTTATGATCTTGGCTTTTCCTTCTTTTCCTTCCACAAAGCCAACAAAGAGACACCGGAAACTTTGACAACCTTGAATCTAACACCTGGGATATCTCCCTTAGCCTTACCTCTTCTACCGAAACCGGCAAGCAAGACTTCGTCGTTCTCATCGACAAAGTTCAAACAACCATCGTTTGGAACGAAAGCAGTAACCTTCTTACCGTTCTTGATCAATTGGACTCTGACACACTTTCTGATAGCGGAGTTTGGTTGCTTGGATTCAATACCAATCTTTTCCAAAACGATTCCCTTGGCGTGAGAAGATCCACCGAATGGAGACGACTTGAAAGCAGTTCCCAACAGTCTGGACTTGTAAGCCTGATCAGCCCATCTGTTGTTACGACGGTGAACTCTCAACTTTCTAGCAGAGTTAAGACCTCTTGGTTTACCTTGACCCATGGTTGTATGTTGTTTGGTTGTAAAGTGGTTTGAGAACTTGGTACAGAGATTGAAGTTGTAATGAGTTGAAGGAGTTTTCCAGGTCTTCTTTTGGTTTCCGGTACACTACTAACATTAATGCGAGCTCTGAAAAGGCATATAAGGGTTACAGCCCTGGATTTAAGCACGTGATTAAAGGATTCCTTTTTGGGTCAAATTGGGATTATGTAATATCTTACGTAATACTTTTGGCACGACCTTTACCGATAAGAAAGCGGTCTTGATTATCCATGCTCCGCATGCTAGTTGGAAGAAGTCCCAAGATCGCTCAACATGTCTGATTCGCTTGAAACGCACATCAATTTGCTGGTTGCAGACTATCTCCGATCTAAGGGACTTATCCGGACGGTGGAGACGTTCGAGCAGGAGACTAACAGGCCTCTACTGCACAATGTGTCCAAGCTGGACGAGAACCTGGTGAGCATTGTGACTGATCGTGTTGACTTTTTGAGGTTGAAGGAGAAGTACTCAAGTGATGACAATTTTGAGCGTGTATATACACCGCAGCAACTGGCATTAATCAAGAGGAGCAACTTGAAGCTGTCAAATTGGACACCTGTCGTTCCCAAGAATAGATCTATACTGCATATTGCTGGAAACAACAAGTCTCTTATAATCAACTCCTCTTATTGGAAATTTGGCGAATCCAATCTCGGAGTGTTCATAAATAGTGAAAAATCTCTTTTTCTGGTGGATCTGAATTCCGAAGAGGTTATTTTCTCCGTGGCAAAGCACCATGGCACTTCTAACATCAAACTGGCTATTGGAATTCCCGAAAGTGATGTGGTGTTGACCTTTGGAATGAACGGTACTGTGTTTGTGAACAAATTTGAAAACAACATGTTTACTGTTCTACAGGAGTTGGTGTTACATGCCAGGCTTATATCTGATGCCAAATATCTGCCAATAGATGAAAAATCGGGCTACATCTGTTCTATTGGCTGGGACTTCAAAGTGAAGGTAACCAAAATCGAGATAGGCCCGTCCACTAAGCTCACCCATATTGGAGAATACAAATTGATGACCAACGCATCATGCTTAGAATGTTTTTGGTTCAAAGAGAGCGCTTTTGTTGCAGTAGGAAGGTTGGAGACATCTACGTTATCGTTGATTTTAATAGAGCAGGAGAGAATAGTGGAGCTGGCGAAACTGCCATTAAATGACTCCGAATTCTCGAACCATTCGTTCCAGCCGATGTCAATGGTTCAGTTTCAAGAGGGGGATAACCATTTACTTTCAATTGCTACGAATCACGTTCCTTTCATGAGAATCATCACCATCATCCTACCCAACCTGGACACCCTTTTAGAGGAAGCACCCGGTCTGCCCACGTCCACTGAACAATTGTTCACGTCAAGCGTTCCGATGCTGCGAGACATTATCGTTTCCAATCTCAACAGTTTCTCTCCCCAAGATAAATATTCCTCGGCCCAAATCCTCAAACGGCCCGTTCCCAACCAGGGCCTGTGGATTGTGGGAGATGATGGTAAAATCCGGGGAATGGACCTCAAGTCTGGGGAGATTGTAAAGGAGGAGGATACCCACGAAGGAAGAATAAAATCAAGCTTTGTGGGTTCGGACGATATTAATCCAGAGATATTAGTCACGAGTGGAGCCGTCGATAGAAGAGTAGTAATATTTCGTTAATTAGGCACGATGAATTATAACCGAGGAACCAAGCTGGCATATGATATGACGTTAGATATGTAGGCGGGATGAGGGGGTGGGGAGGGCCTGCTTATCCGAGCCGGCCATTGCATACGTGGAATTTTCAAATGAGGATATAAATATAGTTATCCGCTGATTATATATTTAAGTCGATTCGATACTTGCTTTTGAATTAGTTGTTCTCCGATTAAAGCTCCTTTCAAAGCTTTATGTCTCGACAACTTTCTCCCAGTGAGAAGGCACTTTTTGGGTGTTGCTCTGCTATTCTCTCCAATGCAGCCGTTTACCCACTGGATCTCGTGAAAGCCGTAATACAAACACAGTCTCCAAAGGAGAAATATGCCGACTCCAAAGATGCCTTGAGACAAATATACAAAAGGGAAGGCGTCAAGGGCTGGTACAAAGGTATCAACTCTTCGTTGCTGTCGACTGCGGTAACCAGCTACTCGTACTTTTACATGTACAACCTGGTGAAACGATCGTACCAGAAATTTTCCAAAAGCACAGACGTTAAGGTATTTGATGAACTTGCAATGGGCGTTGTTGCTGCTGCATTATCTCAACTGCTGGTTACGCCTCTTTCGGTTATCACTACTGAGCAGCAAACGCAATCCTCCAAGGACACGCAGAGCGCCTACGAGGTGGCAGAGTCCATAGTGTCGAGAAGTGGTATAACGGGGCTATGGAAGGGTTTAAAGGTGTCATTGGTGCTGACTTTGAATCCATCTATTACCTATGGGTCTTTTGAAAACTTGAAGAGCATTTTTTACAAGGACCGCGCCTACCTGAAGCCTCAAGAATCTTTCCTCCTTGGGGTACTGAGCAAGGTGATTGCGACGCTCATCACTCAACCACTGATCGTGTCGAAGGCCATGCTTCAAAAACATAAATCCTTAGAAGAGGAGGAATCCGAAAGGCCAGACACGTTTCAGGGCATTCTGGTATATTTGTGGAAGACCGAAGGTTTTGCTGGGCTTTGGAAGGGACTCAGACCTCAACTGCTGAAAGGAGTGTTGGTTCAAGGCCTGCTCTTCATGTTCAAGGACCAGATTGAGCTTCTGTTCCTTTCATTGTTCAAAATTATCACAGCTAGAAAGCAACTTCGTGCGGCAGGACGTAGCACTTATCGCCGTCTGTCCTAACGCTCTCGTTGAACTTATCTCTTTTCAAAGACTTTCTCATATCAAATGCATCGACCCCGTCATCTGGTTTATCACGATCTGCACTCCCAGACCCGTAGTAGCCTATCACCCTTCTATAGATGGAATATCCTAGTTTCTCGTATAACGTGATGGCCAATTTGTTGGTTACTCGCACGAACAGATCAATGAAATACGAGTTGTAAGGCTGTTCCTGTTCGGTGGATATCTGTAGATGTTGGCATAGTTGTGATGCTAGTCCTATACGACGATACGACGGATTCACGGTCACCGCCGTTATATGGGTATGCCATTCCTTACCTGTTCCCTCTGTCTTTCCCATCATGTAGCCCTCCACATCTTCGTTGGGGGCGACTGATTTGAAAAATAGGGACGGCCAGTTCGTGAGGTAGGAGAGGTAGAACTGGAGCTGGAAGTTTTCCGTCAGGCAATCCAGATTAACGGGGTTCAAATCAAATAGATCTGTCGCCTGAAATGGTCGTAAAGAAGTCATGAGGATGCCGAAAGATGTGTGGAAATTGCAGACTGGACAAGACTAGCACAGAATAAGTGTTGTGCTTGTCTCCGGAGTTCAAGCTAGCAGGTCCAATTGGGTCCAGCACTATCACCAGCCCAAGAGGATTTGTCTACTATATATTCCTGAAAAATAGACACAATGTTACTGTACGGGATATTGAGAAAGAGTTCTGTGAAAAGTGCAATTAAACTTGAATTGAAATCATCTGCTTCTCAAATATTATACCTTACAACATATCAATGGACTATATCGTGAACGTCTTGCGCTTCATTTAAGCCCACTCAGGTTGCCTGTCACTGCCTCTAAAGCCACCTCTTCTTCCTCTTCCACCTCTTCCTCTACCACGTCCTCTACCTCTACCTCTTCCTCTCGAGACCTCGCTCTGGCCGAAAGTGTCGAAGTTGAGGCTCTTCTCTTCGGACCACCTCATTCCCTCACCACTGCCTGGCTTGGTGGAAGAGGAGATCGTGTCGAAGAAAGAGGACTTCTTATTGTAAAATCCAGTGTCATCGTCCTCGACGTCAACCTCTTTGGTGAATTTGGCGTTGCTGGACTCGAAATCAAAATCCTGTTTCAAATCCACCGTCTGTTTGTTCTCTTGAGGTTTTTGAACTCTAGGTTTTTGCACGTTTGGAGCAGGAACTGGAGCTGCTGAAGCTGGTGGTGCTGGTTTGGTTTCTTGTCTGGACTCTGACTTGGACTCGGGCTTTTGAGCTGGTACCGGCGCAGGTTTTGGTGCTGGTGTTGGCTTCTGTTGGGCAGGAGGCTGCTGTGCTTGTGGCTGTGGCTGGCCCTGAATTGGAGCCCCTGGACCCACAGGCGGAATCCCAGGATACCCGTTGAAATTTGGTGGAGCTGGAACCGGTTCAGGTCTCACCTGATCAATGCTCTGTTCCAAAATGCTGAGGTCCTTTACGTCTGGTCCACGCAACATGATCTTAGTGTAGATTTCAGTGGATGGGAACACGATTCTGGAAGGATCAGTCACTCTTCCCTCGGTTCCAAAGACTCTCACATCTTTGAGAGAAATTGTGCTTTCGTTGCCATCTATGTCTTCCAAAATACCCACATAACTGAATTGCGTTAGTGATGGCTTCCAGTACGCAAAGGGTCCTCAGCCTCAATCAAACTGCCACTTACCGAATATCTTTCTGCGATATCAGAGCAATCGTCTTCCCAATAAAATCAGTCATTTTCAAACTATTGGTGATTTAAGCGGTTTGAATATGAACGCCAGCCATTCTTCAGAGATGAGAAGACCGGCACTTTGGAGGGGGGTTGGATACCCGTCTGATAAATGACAGATAGAAAACGGGAAAAGCGTCAGAGCTCAGAGAGTCGATATCAATCAGATAATAGTCTGGTTTTTTACCTTTTTGGCTTTTATATATAGTACACACGAGCATGAGGCCTTTGCCGCTCTATTACCATGGGGTGGCACTGCCATTACCATAGTTCGTCAACCCGCCTGTGCCATTGCCATAGTCCGTATTGGCAGCATAGGCGGTTCCATAGTTGGTCTCCCCGCCATAATTGGTCTCCGCTCCACTTCCATTTGCCTGGCCATTTCTGGATCTGTCGAACTGGCGGAGTTCCATTACAATGTTGGCAATCTTGTTTTGAAGCTCGATTATGCCCTTGTTCACCACCTCGTTTGGCTTCAGCGAACCAACAGTTTCCACGTTGAAGTAGAACTTGTCCGGCTTAGCCGCGTAATCGAACTTTGCATCCGGCACCGGGGGCTCTTCCCAGTCACGGTTTGAACTGGCTGGCCATTCGGCCTCGACGTCTTCTTCGTACCATAGGTCGGTGTGCTTGAGCTTGTTCCAAGGGTCGTACTCAAAACCAATTGCAGAACAAGGCGACCACTTTGCGTGCTCCTTGGCAATGCCCTTCTTGGCAATGCATCTGATATCCAGTTCCTGGTAGCGCTTCAGCTTACAAAGCAGGATACCGTTTCTGTCAACCTCTCTGATAACAGGTTGGCCAAGAGACAAACCAGTAGCTCCATTAGTTGGAACTAACGCTGTTGAGTATACGTTCATGGTTTGATCGCTGTCGCATCGCGCCTTCAATTCCAGCACAACAGAACACTGATCGCAGTACTCCTCACACGTGCAGTCCCTGGTGTACTTGAGCTTATCGATTTCCTCGCTCTCCAAGGGAACCAGTCCCAGCCTATGCGACAAGAACTCGTCCGACAAAACAGATGTGTTGATCTTGATCTCTACCAAGTCCACCGCCAAGGTGGGCACCTCAGCCAACATTGTTCTCCTCAATGAGTTGGCCAGAGAAAGATCAACTCCACTTAAAATGAAATCAACCTCATCTCTTCCAGCCTTCCTTATCGTAACTTGGGTCTCCTCAGACATCTTGAGTTGAAGGATATATGATAGTTCGAGCCACGATGGAGGAATAGTCGTTCTGTTGAAGCAGATGATTAGTTATCCGGTCCTCAAAATTCGACGATGCCTGAAGGTGAGATGTCGTGTGTGAGCAGATTGTTTTAAGTCGTGCATGGGATAGCTTAGAATGTAGTAGGCTTGAGTTGATACCCGAATCCTGTCAATCTTGTGAGCTTATTTTCTACCACGAGACACAGTTTTGATCATGGAGAAGATACAAATTCCAGATATGCGCTTTGAACAGGGGTTCAGGCGAGCTCTCACAACCAACGCGTTAAGGGTAAATGGTCAGACTGTGAGAGAGAAGTCTGCAGGCGAGCAACATCCTTTGCCTGTGATTACTCCAGGAATAGTGATATATACCATCGTGAAAGACCAGTTACTCATGCCGTTTGTACAGGGATTTGCTTGGGCGTGCATCTTGTTGGCAATGAAGCCATGGCTGTTTAGATGCATCCAAAGCGGTAGGAACGCTGGTGTATGGATATTCTCCAGTTTTGGACTCTACACCAAGCGCAAGGTGTATTGAAGAGCATTACTATTTTGGCACATAGTGATTTTGACGATTTGATTAACCGCCAGTTGAGTCCTTACGATGTTTGCAGATATATATTTTACGGTGAATTGACGATTTGAACGAGCTTTCCATTTCATGACCTATAACTCTACTTCCTCAATCTGTTCCATTCGCAACAGTCTTCAAACTTAACTAGATTGCCACCAAAAATGTCCAAAGCACTTCCAAAAGTTAGATCCACTTTGCCATTACTCAAATTGTCCACCAATCTCAGATCCTCCAAACTTTTGGCTCCTCCGGCATATGTCATGGGGAAATCAGTCCATTCACTCAGCTTCTTCACGAGATCCTGGTCTATACCCTGACACAATCCCTCAACATCGGCGGCATGAACTAAAAACTCCGAGCAATACTGCTCCAAGAGATCGAAAAGACTTCTGTTCAAGACAGTGCTGGTTAGAGTCTGCCATTTGTTCATAGCTACCACCCATTCCACTTTTCCACCTTCTATTCTCTTGCGACAACTCAAGTCCACAACCAGTCTATCCTTGCCTATCTGTCCGCTGATCTTCTGTAGTCTCTGTAGACTAAATTCTCCCTGCGGAAATAGCCACGATGTTATAATCACCTTCGAGGCCCCTAATGCGATCCATTCAGCAGCGTTGGTATCGTTGATGCCTCCTCCAATCTGCATGTGGTTTGGCCAAGTCCTAAGAGCCTCTCTTGCTGCCTCGTCATTTGTCTCGAGCGATCCAAGCTTTATCACATGTGTGCTCGTGACATTGTTGTCTTTGTACAACTGGGCGTAGTATGATGAGGGTTTTTCACTAACGAAGTTGGTAGCCAGCGACTGCGATACATCCTCTTCTCTGTCATCTTTCTCCAAAGTTCCGCCCACTATTTGTTTCACCTGACCACCGTGAATATCAATGCACCCAACGTACTTTGTCATTCTCTATAATTTAATCCTTCAGTCAAAGAAAGAGAGAAAGACAATGAAAGACGTACTCAACTGCCATGGGGCAACGTGAGAGAGCAGAGCTATCAGCGATGCCCTCCAAAAAAATTTCAAGCCTGCCTCTATATCAAGCTTAGTCAATCATATTTGCATACCAACAATGACGGGTCCCGTGGTTGTGAAATTTGTTGATAAATATTCAGAAAAACCAGCGGAGCAATCCAGTCTGGAGAAAAAACTGCTAAAATCGGGCAAGGCGCTAAAGTTGAACGAAGTGAGAAAAGAGCCTCCTAAACCTAAGGGCAGAAACAGAGCAGAACCCGAAGACGAAGAGAACCTGAAAAATGACCTGGCTTTGCAGAGATTGCTATCCGAATCACATATACTGAGCTCTGTGCCCAAAAGTCATCATTCTGGAGCCGAACTCACACTGAAAACCTTAGACTCTGATGGTCCCATAGGCAATGCCAGAATACGAACATTGGACGAAAGAATGAAAGAGATCTCAGCCAAAAACGGGACTTTGAAAGCCAGGAATTTGGAGAAGATGCCAATGGCCATGAGGAAAGGAATGATCAAAGCAAGAACACTCAAAACTGAAAAATACGAGAAGGAGGCTAAAGAGGCTGGTATCGTTCTTTCGAGGACTCGTAAGGGCGAACTCAGAAGTCTCGATAACGGAAGAGGTGTGACGTCCGCTTCAGACCGTTTGGGCCTTAACAAATCGAGGGTCACCAAAATGAGAGACAGAGGTCTGAAGATCAACACCATTGGTAGAAGTACCAGAAACGGATTGGTTATCTCTAAAGCTGAGATAGAGAGACTATCTAGCAAGCCCAAGGATGGTAAGAAGGGCAAGAAGGGTGGCAGAAGACGCTGAAAAAGCCCAAACTGCAAATTAAGTGTACATTACATATTCTGTTGTATAAGACATACAGTTTAATCAAATTCCAGACGCGATTCCCGGATCTTGTTGACCTTATTAGCCAATGCCGTCAACTCCAGTCTCTCGGCAATCCGACCAGCAGCAGCCAGCGCTTTGTCGTCTCTGAGATGAACTGCCAAGGAGATGGCCTTGAGTGAGTTCTGTTCGGTACAGGCGGTAGCGAACAGTTTCAAGAGAGACTTGTCAAACAACAGTGAGTATTCACGTAGCCTGTCGGTGGCCTCCTCTCCTTCAAGTTCCTCGCTTGCAATAGCATCGTTCAAAAGCTCTCCCATGGTTCTTGATCTGGCAAGCTCTTCCTCAGCACGTTGCTCGTCGTCTTCTTCGTGTGATGAATGTACAGGAATTTTGATTTCAAGCTCTGAGGGGATTGTGAGTGGGAAACTTGGGTAGTACGAGCCCTTGACGATGATGAAGGCAAACTGATCCTTGAAAAGACCCAAGGGCCAGCATCTCAAATTAGTACCAGAGGCCATCTTTTCAAGACCCAACTGAGTGTCCAATATAGGCATCCACCGGGCCTGCAAAGGTTCTCTCCATCTCGAGAGAACGAGCAGCATGTCGTCTTGACCCACCAGACATGGGTCACCATCATTACTGAAGAACAGTCCTTTGAGAATATGACGGCCCTCCTGCAGCTCAGATGGTATGTGTAAGGGCAACCCGGCATCTCTTTGTAGGAATTTTCCATCCAGATCCTGCAAGCTGTAGGAGAACTGGTATGGTCCACTTAAACTGACTGTGAACACATATCTATCGCTAGTCACACACGCAACCACCGGTTTGGCCTTCTCAATGGACTCCAGCAAGCCTTGTAGAGTGAATCTTCGGATATAGCCAAAGGAAGTACACACCACGATGGAATTGGAGCTCAATGCCACGGACGTCAAGATTTCGCCCTTCGCAGTGTTTATCACTCTTTCCCAGGATTCATCTGGCCGCTCGTGCGATCTAAAAAAGATCCTGGACTTTGGGGAAGATTTGGAGTCTTTCCCGCTAACACCAAGCAGGACAGCATTGTCGTCCATAGAGGCTACATCATAGCCAAAGGTATCCTTGAAATAGTACTCCTTGTGAGATCCTCTGTCAAAAAACGAGACCGTGATAGTGCTGTCTTCGTCCTGTTTCACCGACCAAGTGTATCCCACCGAGTTCATTGTCAGGTACCGTTTGCTGTTGTTCCAGGTAGTTTCACCACATGAATAGGGGACGATCTTGTATGCGGGAGTATGTTCTGATACCGAACGGACGGTAGGGTCTCTTCCAGACACTTTGCGGGCTTTCCTGGGACCTTCTCCAAACAAATCGTCGTGATCTCTCTTCTCGGAAACGTAGCCCGCGTTGTCGTCATCAATGATGAAATCGTCACCTAGACCGTAGCCCGAGTCGTCGATACCAGGCGATGTTCTTGAAGAACCCTTCTGTCTAACTTCTTCTTCTTCTTCTTCTTCCTCGTCAGAATTGCCCTCGTCGTCGTCAGACGCTTCGTCATCTACGAATAAGGAGGCTGCATCTCTCTTACTGGAGACTTCAGCAGGGGTCTGGTCAACCACCTTCTCGTATTTGACGATCTGGCCTGCCAAACTTCCCAGTACAACATCATAAGATGTACCATTTTTGCGCCACGAAACATTAGTAATGGTCTGTTGCAAAGCTGAAGAGTTGACAACCTTCTGAGAGGTTACCTCGTAGATGCTCAGCAACTTGTCAGAACTAACAGCAGCTATGTATCTACCATTGGGAGACCAATCGTATGAAATGACGTCAGATTTGAACGTCAAGGTCAAGCTTGGCTCCTCGTATTCGCCACGGTCAAATATTCTGAGTTCTCCAGAGGCGCTGGGGACCGCTAGGTAATCACCATCCGGACTCCAAGCACATCTCAAACACCTAGAATCCTCTTTTTCTTCGTCGTAAAAGGCATTATGAGTAGGCAGATACATCTGAAGACTGGCAACAGCCTGTGGCTCCGAGGAGGTCAAAGAAAAGATCCTCACCTTTCCACCGAATAGTGTTACCGCTGCCAGCTCAAAGACCTTGTTGTAAGAGAGACTAACCACCTGATCTCCAGCCGGAAACTTCTTAGACGTCATAGGCTCTGATTCCAGGTCTACCAGGATCAGCTCACCATCATCTCCACCGATCAGCACACTCTTACCGCTATGTGTGAAACAGGCATCTCTCAAGGGCAGCTCTGATCTGACAAGCTTGCCTTTGGATTCAATGGGCTCTGTCAAGGAAAAATATTCGGCCTCTCCAGAATTCGATGTAACCACAAAAACATTATCTTTTGGACCAACAACAAACGACGAGAATCGGTCAGGAATGTCAATCACTGTAGGCTCGTCCTCCGGAGTGCGTGTGTTGAAGATCTTGGCCAAGCCAGAATTACCGGCCACGATCAACGTGTCTCCAGACGAGCTGTGCTCGGCCCACGTCTTTCCACCAAGGCTGAATACGTCCAATTTCGCTCCCTGGACCATTTTTTGTACTTGAAAAGGTCTTGTTGAACTGTTCTACGTTGTGCCAGAACGCGTTCCTTTGGTTCGCGTCTCCATCGTGCATCCATATTTTAGTGTGCCAACCATTTTAGTGTGTGGCCGAATTTATTTCAAAAAAATTTGAATTTTTTCTTAGCCTTGAGACAACGCTGTGAGGCTTGAGATAGTTGGAAGCAACGCAGTGGCAACCAATTCGAGTCTTACAAAAATGTCTGATCCGTTTTTTGCTTCGGCATCCAAGAAGAGGAAGAGAGACCCGAAGACAGATACCCGTTCGCATTCCAGGAACGGTAAATCAAGGGTTATGGATCAACATAAGAACAAGGCCCCAGCAGTTTCTAGAAGACAAGACGAAGATGACGACGAAATCACAGACAGTAGTGGCAGCGAGAGCGGAGATGTTGATTTGAACTCGGAGACTGAATTTGAAGCTGACAGTGCAAGTAGCGAAGAGGAAGACCTCAACGAGTCTGCCGCAGACAAAAGGCGAAGACTGGCCAAGCAATATCTGGAAAATTTGCAGAACGAAGCCGGTGAATACGACTTCGATGCCAAAGACATAGATGAGGACATCATTGCCTCAAGGCTCAAGACAGACGTGGCGGAAGAGAAGGGTTACGTTTACCGGTTCATTGGAGAACATATGCTGTTTGAATCGGCCCCTCAGATCACCAGGGTCCAGAACATTGGGCTGAACGGGCTCTCGGTGAGATACCCAAATGCATACACAGTAAGTAAAGACATGGAACTGACGAAATGGGATATTTCCGGTTTCCAGAAGAAGCCAAGGAAGGTAAAGTACACCAAAGGAGGAGCCCGGTTTGCAGAGGTTTCCAAAGAGCATAGTGAAAACGGGCACTGTGACGAAATTTTTTCGGTAGCAGCTAGTCCTGATGGGAAGTACGTGGCCACTGGAGGAAAGGACCGCAGAATTATAATATGGAGTACGGAAAGTCTGGCTCCATTGAGGGCCTTGGTGACCAATGTGAAGAGAGGAGAAGTCATGGGTCTGGCGTTCAGGCGGAACACAGACCAATTGTACGCAGCATGCTCAGACCTCAAGATCAGAACTTACAGTGTTGGCCAGATGGCCCAGCTGGAGACTTTGTATGGTCATCAGGATTGCGTGATTGACATTGCTGCTTTGGGGCAGGAGAGATGTGTGACCGTAGGGTCCAGAGATAAGACTGCCATGTTATGGAAGATTGCCGATGAGACAAGACTCACGTTTAGGGGAGGTGACTCTCTGGAGAAGGTCCAAAACGATTTCCGCAGAAGGAAACTTGCGTTTGATGAGTCTAAGTTCTTCGCAGAGGGAAGCATCGATTGTGTCTCCATGATCGATGATTCTCATTTTGTCACGGGCTCCGATAACGGCAACATCGCTCTTTGGTCTACGGGCAAGAAGAAGCCCATCTGGATCGAGCGCCAGGCGCATGGGCTCGAACCTACTCTTCCTGCTTCGCGTGCTTCAGGAGAGGCCGATGTTGAAGCGTCTGAGCTCCAGGTACCAAAGAGCCAACCTTACTGGATCACCGCAATTCACGCGATCCCATTCTCGGACGTATTTTTCACAGGATCTTGGAATGGAACCATCAAGGTATGGAAGCTGAGCGAAGATTTAAGAGGATTTGCATTGCTCGCTGAGTTGAACAATGCCAGAGGTGTAGTGACCTCTATCGACGTTGCTGAAGCCAAGAAACTAGAACAGGGCAGGCTAAAGCTCATAGCCACGCTTTCTAAGGAGCACAAGCTTGGAAGATGGATCAGAAAAGGCGAGGGATTTAGAAACGCATTGTACTCTGTTGTTATAGACGTTCAAGTGGCGAAGAGGTGAGTTTATAGTATGCCATAAAAGTAATTGAGGTATCAAAAATGTAGAAGAACTGGAAACAGAGGCATTCATGATTTTCTGTCCGGAAAATTGAAGACGCAGCATTCATTTTACCGGCAGATTTGTTTATCCGACATCCACCAAACCTGTGAATTATAAGCAAGTCAGCTCAAAGGGAACAAAGACTTTATGCTGGGCAATGCCATTTATCTTGATCGGTCTACTAAACGTTTAAACTTATTGTCCGTTAAGAATGGTATATAAATACATCCCGTTGCCAAGGAAAGAGAAGCAACGGTCTAAAAGGTCGGTCGAAGGAACAAAGGAACTTGGAAAAGAGAGAAAATAGCAAAAAAGCCAAAAGCGGGACGAACTGGCAGAAACGCAATGTTGCGATCCCGGTTTGAGCCGAAAGCTTTCATCAGATATTCGCGTCAGTCCTCACAGCAACGCTGCCACGATCATACCAGCAACTCCCAAAGTGAGACCAGACACCTGGAACTTGTTTCCCTCGCCCGAGGAGGAAGAGGAAGCTGCAGTCGAGGCGGAGGCAGAAGCGGAAGAGGAGTCGGTGGTAGGCACAACGGAAGACGAAGACTTCTTAGATGTGGTCTTGGTTATCAGCGTCGTCGTGTTGTGCAGCGTTGTGTGGTTGCTGAGGGTGGAGGTGATGGTGGAAAGGTGTGTTGTCTTGTTATGGTGGGTAGTCGTAGACGACACTGTGGATGTTCTGTTGGTGGAATCGTAGGCAATAGCCAACAGTCCGTTTGCAGCAGACAAACTGCTCACGGAAGCCACAGAAGCAGCGGAAGCGGAAGAAACCGAGGCAACTGAGGCCTTCGAGATCGACGAAGCAGCTGCTGCTGAAGCCTTCGAAATGGAAGCAACAGAAGCAACAGAAGCAGACGAAGCAGACGAAGCAGAGGCAGCAGAGGCAGCGGAGGCAGACTCGGCAGAAGCAGCAGAAGCAGCAGAAGCAGAAGAAGCAGAAGAAGCAGAAGAAACAGACTTAGCAGAAGCAGCGGAAGCAGAAGAAACAGACTTAATGGAAGCAACAGAAACAGAAGAAACAGAAGCGACAGAAGCAGAGGACACGGAGGCGATTGACTCAGCCAAGGCAGAACTCTCTGAAGGCGTCAACAGAGTCTCGGTAACCGTGACAGTGCTGGTGATGATAGTTGTATCCTCGGCTCTGGCAAGAGTAGCCAGCATCACCATTGGAACTAAAACGTTGGAGAATCTCATTGGTGTTGTTGTCGATGTTGATTGGCACGGCTGGTATGGGTGTTTGTTTTCAGGGGTTGAATCGATGCTTCTAGAGACTCTGGGTATATGCTAATTTGCAAAGGAAGACAACTGAGTAGCGCGGTTCACCTGAAGTATAAAGGAATGACTAAAGTGAGGTTTTCAAGGACGTTGACAAATTCGTGGGCAACTTTGTTAGGAAGAGTAGAAGGAAAGGTGATGAGAATTGTTGCCAACGGGGAGTCAGAAAAAATCCTCCAGTTTTGGAGGTCTTGGCCCCGATCTAGTTGTTTATGTTTACAAATCCCTCGACGAGGAAGTTGACTCCCGTTGCTATGGTGATCATGCATCGCGCTGCCGCTTACGGCAAGTCACCTTCCGCATTTGTATAGTAAATGCTCCCTAACGTGCATGAAGCCTGCATATAATGCGTATGTTGCCATGGCAAATCATTGGCGCAATAAACAAAGTTTGTTTTTCGGTCTTGCGACAATCCTCAGAGATGGTGAATTGGGCTTATTTCCGTGTGGATATTGTATATTCATTTAGTTGATACCCTAGCATGTGGGCAACAACACTAAGGTGAGGCTTAGGCTGCGTGTCTTGAGACGGCTTGTTGTTTCGATACCTAACAAAAAAAAATAATGGGGCATTCTGGGAATCGAACCCAGGGCCTCTCGCACCCAAAGCGAGAATCATACCACTAGACCAAACGCCCTTTTATAGCGGTTTCGGAAAGGATGGCCCAATATACAATGGTTCGTTGGTTGTTGAACACTACGCGGGGCTCATAACCAAAACAGACAGATTCATTTATCTGGAGCAATAAATGATCTTGAAATCAATTAAATGTTGCTGGTGAGTGAAAATGAGTGAAACTCTCGTGCTCTTATGACTAGCTTCTTGGGGTTTAAGTGAAAGGTAAAACTATGCTAGTGCGCTGGTGCGGCTTTAGTGGAGCTTTCTGCGGTTGTTCGTAGGCCCTAGGATTTGAACTCTAATTGAATGCCTTCATTTTTCGTTACACACTTAGTAGTGCTATATATAACATAACCTAAAGTGTTGTAAGCTGATGCAAATATCAGCTTTCCATATTTGATGGTCTGGTTGTTAGCAAGATGCCAACCAGTCAATCTAGTCTGAGAAATTCAGTATCGGATCTCTCGGTATGTGAGACACTTATACGCTTCATATCACCAGAAGGTGAATTATTTTGACCTTTCAAACTTATATTTCACCCAAAACTAGGATCTGGTAAGCGTTTCTTCCTGTTTCGCTTCACTTCAAGTCTCGTAAACCCCTTCTCTGCTTTAGTCAATCATTTTACAAGCTAATGGGTTGGTTATTCCTTCAAAAAGTTACCGAGTCAAAGCTGAAGTTCTAAGCTTTCTCATTAGTTGGTTTTCTTGTCAATATATCTTCAACTTTGCTTTATTTTCAGTTCACAATTTTTATTACGTGTAATAACCAGGTGATCTACAGCCAAAAGACAGGATATTTTCGGTTTTTTTGAAAGGCACTATGGCCGAGCGGTTAAGGCGAAAGACTTGAAATCTTTTGGGTTTCACCCGCGCAGGTTCGAGTCCTGCTGGTGTCGTTTTTTTTTTTCACCCGCTGTCTCTACACCTCACGATCTTCAATAAACTCCCTTGAAGTCATAGTTCGTTTTCTTGTTCCCTTTACATCATATCACCCTTTCAAAATGTCCAGAAAGTCAGAGATGGCGCAGTCGCTGCTGCACAGATACTACAGTTCACAGGGCCCCACGCTAGAGAGGCCGAAGAGCGTGCGTTCTGTGGATAGCTTATCGGAAGCCCAGAGGTTTCGCTCGTTATGTGTGAACGACATTTCCATGCGGGTATCAAGGATACATGACCCTTTGCTTAGTGACTACCAGATACGTGATCTCAATGACGAGTTGAACAAACTGATGAAAGAAAAGGCTGCGTGGGAGTATCGTATACTAGACCTTGGAGGCCCTGATTTTATATCTTATTCAAAAAGGCACCAAGGTGGAACATATGAGAAGGATTCCACTGGTTATAAATACTTTGGGAGAGCCAAGGACTTGCCAGACGTGAAGAGCTTACTGGAAGCCAAGCAGAATGAAATCAAGAAGGCTAATCAGGCTAAAACAAACGCTAAGAACGACGCGGAATTAATACAGCGGATTGCCGAAGCTGAAAAGAAAATAGATCCGGTTTACTACGGCATCTACGAGGAGACCAGAGTATCCGGAGGGTTGGTATCACAAGTGCCTACCTCAGACGAAGTGGTAGACGAGGCTAGACAGATCCTAGAAGACGAGACTCTTTTCGAAGATTTTTTGTCAAGCCAGGATTTGCAGGAAATGAATGGAAGATATTTCCAAAATTCGGAAGATGATACTTTGGTTGCCTATGAGAGGGCTAAAACAAGAGAGCTGTTGCGGGAGTATAGGACTAAGCATTCCAAGCCTGGTCCCAATAAACTGGTCCATTTCGATGAGAGTATTCAAATCCCCAACGACGCAGTGGAAAAGAAGCTGGTTCAGTTGAAGATCGCGAGTATTCAACAGAGGCTGTAATGAGATTTGACGAAAACGATAAAAACAAGTTATGTAGGACCAATATGGCTATCATCATAGACGTGCTGCCACAATCGACCACGAGTTGCGGAAGCCAGTACAACTTGACTTGTAGACATCTATCAATGGGACACAATCAAACTAACCGGGCAGACACGTTTTATCTTTCGGAGGCACCTTTGGTCAAACGGTATGGCTTCGGTATCCTTGAACTGGTATCTCTTCACGATCCCCCAAGGAATCTGCAGATTTTTCGGAATTTTGCTCTTTTTAAACACTTGCGCTGAACATGTACTGATAAGCATTTGGCAGAACACGAAACCAGAAAAAGCTAAGGTCATTTTCACAAGGCTACGGTTGTCTAAAAGTTACACATTCTTGACTTGGTGCGGCTCAAAATTATGCTATGCACATGCGTCATTGTGCATATTCGATTAAATATCAAGCTTCGTTTGCATGATAATCAGACTTGACAGACTCGGGCCATACTGATTCTCCGCAAAATAAGTGTCTCATCATTATCATTACATAATTGCCATACAATTTGCATCTCTACTTTAACCACAACGTGAAGAAATCTAAATAACACCTTGAAAGCCACTGTGGCAGACTAAAACTCGAAAACTAAGAATGGTTGGCATCATCATGTGCTACCACAGTGGCTACACCGTTCCATATAAAATGTGCGGCAGCGTTCAGAACACATGGCTCAAGAACCTTTCGATATACTCCTTGAAATTTGGCACGTAATTCCTGTCTTCTTCCCAGATGATCCTGTCAATTTCACGACGGCCTGAGTCAAGATCCAGTTGGTCTAAGCGGTGGATCTTGGTTCTCCTTCCGAATTTATAGACCACATAGCATAGAATAAATAATATCAAAGAGCCATAACTGGAGAAGAAATATGCCGTGGACCACGATCCCCTAAAAAAGACGATAAATCCATCCACCAGAACGAGCAGGAAAGCCGAAATCATCCCGAAGTAGGCCAGGTATGGCTGGAATGGAGACCTGTAAGGATAGTTCTCGTCGTCTCTTCCAATGATATCCGGTCTCAGTTTAAGGCCATAGTAGAACCGGATAAACGACAGGCACATTCCGGACCACACCAGCAGTCCAGTGGTAGCACAGACCGACAACAGTCTTTCAAACACCAAGGCGGTGTTATTTTTTACAGAAAGATATGCTAGAGCACCCATGAAACCCGTGAAAAGAACGCTGACATAAGGCACTCCTCTGGCAGAGCAAATGGAGAACATCTTGGGGGCCTTTCCCTGAATCGAAAGATAGTAGAGAGTCCTCGAGGAAGCATATAACTGCGAAGATCCAGCAGTGAGAGCAAAATATACCAGAAAAGCATTCATCACAGAGGCAAAGTTGCAAAGGCCTGCACTCTGTAGGGCGATGATCCAGGGCGATTGGTTACCGTTAGCAAAGCCAGCCCACTTCAGCAATTGAGAATGGCAATTTTGACCTCCATTCAACGCTATTATATTTTCTACCAGATCTGAGTCCACAGAGTTCGCGCTAGAGTCGTTGGTAAAATAACGCAGCAATCTAGGATCTCCAGAGTAGATATTCAGCCCGACCACGAAAATGGCCACCACATAAAAGATGATGATTCTCCAGTAGATACTTTTGGTGGCACTGGGGATGGCCTTTCTGGGGTTACGAGATTCTCCTCCAGCAATAAGAACAATCTCCGTTCCAACGTAGGCATAAGCCGCAACTATAGATGCCACCAAAAAAGAACACAGCCTGCCTTTGGCCCCTCCAATTCCATCCAGAGATCCAAGTCCCACATCGGTAACATCGAAGGTCGGCCTGAACAGCCCATAGAACAGAAGATCGGTGGCGTTGCTCTTTCCTGAGTCCCAATATCGAAATCCTATCACCTCATGATAAGGCGGGCTTCCTCCTCTATTCAGTATGATCATGTAGAGGATGAGCACTGTCAGAATCAACAGCTTGATGATAGTGGAGAAGTACTCCACCTCTCCATAGACTCGGATATCACACAGATTAAGGCCAATCACCACTACCAAGAAAAATGAAATCCACCCAGCGGTACTTGCTCCTGGGATCTTCAGCTCCGTATAGAAACTGAGCATGATAGTGGCCGCGGTGATCTCGGTAGGCATTCCGATCATATACGAAAAGTAGTAGCCCACTCCAAGTGCAAAACCAAAGGCATCATCGACAAAACGCGACGAAATCCCACTGACTCCACCGGCCAATGGAATAAGCGTGATCATCTCACAGAACGACAGCATGGTGGCTATCACTATAGAACCAGCAAACATGAAGCCCAGAAGACATCCAAGTGGACCTGCGATGCTAAAGGCTTTTCCAGATGAGAGCAAAAGCCCCACACCAAGTGTTCCTCCCAGAGCGATCTGGTGAAGATGTCTAATCTTGAGCTTTCGCTGGATCTCATGGCGATACCGCTTCTTATTGAACCTAAAGTACCACTTCCAGCCCTTTTCTGTGTCTTCAGCATTGTTATAAGGGAATCCTTCCAAGGGTTTCAACGAATAGTCAACGTTTTGTCTTCCAGAGACGAAGATGTCAGGTTCTTCGTGGATCATCCCGCTGTAGATGTTGGAGCTTGAGCGATCGTTATGCATCTCAAACTCGTCCAGCCCTTCCTTTGGATTCTTCCTTACTACTGCCCGCGGTTGGAGATCTATGGGTATTCTATCCATTCCCATAACATCATCGATTGCTATTGTGTTTATCGAGCTTGGTGAGATCTGAACCGAGAGTGCCGAGTCCGTGCTTAGGTTTCGCTCCCGTTTCTTCTTCAGTTTGTTCTGTTTCGCCTGGAGTCGCACCTTCTGAAACCAGTTTGTCGTATTCGTGACCGGAAGGTCTTCGTAGCCGCCTTCGTAATTTGTGATTCCGGCCTCGTCAATCACGTTAACATTGGCTTTCAACCTCCTATTCTCTCTTTCCGCTTGCTTCTGCTGCAGAACTTTTGCATGTTTCTCTCTCAACTTGGCTTCTTTCCAGACATTTTTCGTGTACATCTCATATTCAGAAAGGCCCTTTTCTTCGTTACTGGTTCCGGCATACCGCTCGTATAGCTTGGTAAAACGGAACCGATCTGAAGTGTTCACCAGACCTTCGGTGTCTTCTTCGCGGATCATCCTGTTTACCACCGAGGTCCGTATCGACTCATCATATTCCGGCTCATCTAGAGAAACTGATATCTCATCTCCGTCACTTGCCACTCTCTGAGACCCAGAGTAACCGGAGCTCAAGCTCTCGGAGAAGTCGTATCCAGTAGAGTGTTCAGTGACACCCTTCAGAGTGCCACCGTGGACTCTCGGTACTACCTTGGGAAACAGGCCATATTCTTCCTCTTCTTCTTCAACGTAATCTTTGTCTTCGTCATATGAAGCCGTTTCTTCGTGAACTTCCGCACTCCGCGTGCTGCTGCTGTCCGGACTTCCCCGTGATGAGAAGGACCTAGAGCCAAACATCTGAACCAATTCACAGAAATAGTCGCATAAAGCTCAATCCAACCAACAGTAAACAGCAAAATATCCCACAAATAAATATAAAGAACCCCTGGCTGTCTGCGCGAAATGAACCGCAGCTTGTCTTGTCACCATGGAGCAGCGTTATCTCTCCCTCCGGATTATGACTTGTACACTACCTTTTAGGTTTGACTTATATAATCCAAACATAGTTTGCTTACTAATATATTATTCAGTCTTGGCCATTCCGTTCTCTCCCGGGTACACGCCCCCGTCTCAGTTCCCAGCCAATAAGCTCAGTGGAATTGAAAATGGAGCGGATGCCATTGCAGCCGGCTCACTCCTGGGTGGGCCGTATAAAACTGCCAACTCTTCCTTTTGCTCTTTTCGAACGCAAATCAGATTTTTGTCTAGATTTCTCTACACATAAACAAAATGCCTGCTCCATACGAAAAAGGTGAGTGATTTAAATTTGTTGGCGAGGACCGTGGATGGTTTTACTCGAGGCTGGCTTCAGTGAAAAGTCGCTGGCATTGCTTGTGTTGGCAGTTGTTTTATTGTTGATCATCCATGTTCTGGTGACTTGAAATTCAGGATTTTGGTCTAAAGCGAATTGTGATTTTACTCTGAGCTCGAATATGAGCCGGGTATGAGTTTTGATTGAAATTCAAGTTTATATTCATATCGCCTCCTCCTCCAAGCCACACACACAGTGTTGTTCTCTTGCGTTCATACTAACTCGTTTTTCAGGTTCTGAAAAGAAGGGTGCTACTCTGTTCAAGACTAGATGTGCCCAATGTCACACTCTTGAGGCTGGTGGACCACACAAGGTTGGTCCTAACCTGCATGGTGTCTTTGGCAGAAAGTCCGGTTTGGCCGAGGGTTTCTCGTACACCGATGCCAACAAGAGAAAGGGAGTTTTGTGGTCTGAGCAGACCATGTCTGACTACTTGGAGAACCCAAAGAAGTACATTCCAGGTACCAAGATGGCCTTCGGTGGTTTGAAGAAGCCAAAGGACAGAAACGATCTGATCACTTACTTGCTCAATGCCACCAAATAAGCGGAAGAAAAAGGACCAAAGATTTGCTGAGGTTCTCATTATAGAGGCAGTTCAGCGCTAAAGCGAGATTTATGGTCTTGGCTGCTGTTTTTTATAGCTGTACATAGAGCGTTGAATGCCACTCCCAATTTGAAGAGTAGGAGAAGAGCGTAGGTTAGCAGCACATCATGTCTGTTCAGGTCTTGACGGTCTTGAAACTGGAAATTGGAGAAGCATTACCACATTTTCGGAAGGCGCGGTTCTGTTTGTGAGAACAGCCAAATTGGTTTGGTAGCTCACAGATCATGTTGCGTGGTGCGTCGACATCGAGATTCTCTCAAAACCTATATCAACGTTAATGAAACAAAATAATTTTACAGCAAACAAATTAAATCGCCAACGTGCGTATTCTTGGAGCATGATGAGTGCTTAGTTTTCTGGAACACAGATGTGTTCTTCTCTGTGGGGCGGACCCACAATCACGCCTACACATTTCAAATTATGCTGATCACACGCAGATCAAACACAGATCAAGCTGATTCATTCTAGATTACTTGCAGGTTCTACACAAGTCAACTGCATTGAACGAGGTGCGAGTAAGAACTGAATGTGTCAGCTGTGCAGCCCACACGTTCGCTGCTCATCTTACATGAACCCTAGATCGGCTCCACAAACTCGTGATTCTGTACTGAAATCACATATCATCTCCGTATCTTGGGGGCTGTATCGTGTAATTGTTACGTTTTTTCAAGCCTCAAGTCCCACGCTGCTTTCAGTGCACACTGTTTTGACGATCAATTCAATGCCCCATTCTGAAATTGTGACGTACGTCAATGGCTCGGCCCAGTTGTGTGTAGCAGGCTCGGTGTATTTCTTAGTTGTGACGATGCATCCTTATGTGTACAGGATGTCATAGCAGTCTCAATTGCGGATCATAGCCTGTTAGTAGGAACCGCTCTTGGTTGTGCGACATGCGTTAACTATGACAAAGTGAAGGAAATCTGTAGCTACTTCCACCGAAAAACCAGTACTTTCCACATGTCATAAGCATTCCAAAATGTGGCAAACTTCCTGTTATATCTCTTCCTTGATATCAAACGTTTCATCTGAAACACCAAAGGTTTTGTTCACTATTTCACATTTATAGCAGCGAAGCTCAATCGAGTATGTGCGACCCAGAGTTTTCCCTAACATGAAATCGGGCGTGTGGCGTAGTTGGTAGCGCGTTCGCTTAGCATGCGAAAGGTCTCCGGTTCGACTCCGGACTCGTCCATTTTCTTTTTTTTTTTGCACTTTCCAACATATAAGCCAGGCATGAAGAGTATAGGAGTTTACCCGAATATATTTGATCACGAGTTTCGGCGCAAGTGGTGCAAGGCGATGAAAGTCTGCGTTCCAAGTTCTACAGAGAGTTTCAGTAACTGCATGAAACGTTTGGGCATGCCCTTTCATTTATTGAGTACAAAAAATCAAAGAGGAATATATCAGATGTCTAAGACATAGCTATGGTGTCTGAGACAAGATTACTCTTTGGAACAATCTCTACCAAAGATACCCACCTTGAGCCAATCGAAGCAGACCAAGATCTTGCTTCTGACACCCAAAATCATGCTCACGTAGGCTGATCTCCAGAACAAAAAGGTCAAAGATCCTCCGGTGGAGACGTTGGAAAAGTCACCCCAAACCAAGTCAGCCACAGCTCTTTCGGTACCGATGTAGGCCAAAGAACCCTGGTAAACGTACTCAAATGGTCTCAAGGACGCCTTGGCTCTCTCCAAACGACGGTTGAGCTTGTCCAACTTGTCAGCCTCGGTCTCAGTTTTAATGGAATATTGTAGGTCGTCAATCTTAGAAAGCTTCTCAAAGTGGCTGGCCAAAAAGATACCTTCCTGATGTGCGACTTGAGCGGTGGGTGGGTTCTTAGTAAAGGTACAGTCTCCAAGAGCATAGATGGAATCAGAGCCATCAACCTTAAGATAAGCGTCGATCAAGAGACCTCTTCTGGCGGTCTTTTGCTCTTCGATCTTCGAGGCCAGGCTCTTGGTGATTTCCCTTGGTCCATTACCAGTAGCCCAAACCAGTGTTCCGTAAGGAATAGCGATACTTTCCTGCTCACCACTGGCATTCTTGTGAACCGCATACACGTTCTTTCTGTCAACTTTCTTGACCATGGTGTTGGTCCTCAGGTCAAGCTCCTGTCTCTTGAAGACTTCCTCGGTGTACTTGATCAGCTTCTGGTTGAAAGCGTTCAAAACATTGGGAAGAGCCTCTACCAAGGTCACAGTCATCTCCTTCTCAATACCAGGCAGCCATCTGGACAGGTCTTGGTCAATGTAGTCCTTAACCTCGGCAGCAAGCTCAACACCTGTTGGACCTCCTCCGCACACGACCACGGAAAGCAGTCTTTTTCTTTCCTCGGAGCCCACTGGCAGCAATTGCGCAGCCTCAATTGAGTTGAAGATCTTTTGTCTGATCACAACGGCATCGTGGGCCTCTTTCAGGTAGGAGGCATTTTCGGCCACACCGGGGATTCCAAAAGTGGTTGTCTGGGCACCAACACCGAACACCAAGTAGTCGTAGTCTACGGTGGTGATGATTGGCTCTTCCTCATTGATCATAGCTTCTCCAAAGGTCATGGAGTTGGACTTGTGCTTGATGGTGACCTTCTTGGAGACTGGGTCCACGTCGGTAGCTTCGGCCTCCAGATACAGCACCTGGCCTGGGGTAGCACGGGCAACGGTGCGGACCGGATCAGTGATAGACTTGACATCAACGGTTCCAGTTGGCACAGAAGGAAGCAGCGGGGTGAACAAGAAGTAGTTTCTGGGCGAAACAATGATCACGTTGTACAGACTGGTGTCGAGATGCTTCAAGGTGGTGATGGAACCCCAGCCAGAACCAAGAATGACAATTGTCTTGCGCTTGTTCCCGTTGGGCTTAAGATCACTTTGAGGGATCTGTTCCGTAGGATGGGCTTCCTTGTAAACTTGGTAGCCGACATAAGCGGTTCCTCCTAGGGCAGACAGCAAGGCAGCCCTCCAGGTCCACTTGAAGACGGACCGAATACGGCCTCCCTTTGGTGGTGGTGGAGGAGGAGGAGAAATTGGCGCAGCGGCAATTGGAGAGGCCTCCTTCACGATCTTGGCCTCTTGGCTAAGAACTCTCGAGGTCGAGACGAATCTTGTGGCATAACGGGAACTGGTCCCAAACACACGAAGCGCGGAAACCATGGTTGCTGAAAACCTTCGCAAACGAACCTTTCAGGTAAAATAACAGGCCTTTGATATCCAGGTCGAGATATCACGAGTTTGGCTTGCAATTCGCCACGAAATTGAGTTTATTCAGGAAAAGAAGCTTGGAAAACAACCAATCGTGCTGGGAGGAACTCTTTCAGCCGAATTGCCCTTGGCCGAAACTTTGGGAGATGACCTCTTTTTCAAGGCGCGCGCGTAATCGGTGGAAGCGCCTATCGGTGAAAAGTTGGTTTTCTGCGATTTAATTGGTTGATTCTGGCCGCAGAAAAAGAATTCGTATGGATATTACTTGCTGGTCAATAAATTTAGGTTTAAAGATATTTTAAAGGCATTGTTGGCCTTGTGGAGTGTCCTCTTTTTTCATCTTTGACTTGGCTTTGAAGACTCTGGCCCACCAAAATCGGAGCTGCAAACGGTTGCATGCGGCCCGCCCCCCGCTGACCTGCCATGGTCTTGCCGCGGCTCATTAGAAGGCTTCAAGGTGGTCAAAAAAACTGAAATTTTTCGAGGTGTTCGACTATTTTTGTGGACGAGATATCGAAAATTGCATAAAGAGTTCTTTTTTTCTGTAACAACAGTTAATTGGAGCTGTTGTACCTGCTTCCCTCTGTCGTTCTTCGTCACCCCTCTTCCACCCCTCTTTCACAGTGAACATCTCCGGTAAAAAATAGTGTGCCGTACCCAATATGTAGTCCGTTACCCTTAATGGAAATCTAGCCGGATTCGCTGGATCGCGTAGATCAGTTTTTTTATTGCGATCTGCAATGTGTGGCTATCTCTAATGGCTGATGTCGCGATCGACACTGACTGTCCTCAAAAAAATCGATGGTCAACGAAAGGCTGTCTTTACTGCAAACACTCAATCTTGCCTGTCGGTGCGTTGTACTGACCCTATCCTCTTTGGCAGAAATGCCATTCGTGTGCGGCTCGAATCAGAAGATCAAGACCTTAAGATTCACCCCAACAACACTCAAAACACGCTGCAACATTATTTCTTCCTTGATCTCATAATAAACAGTGAGTTTTCTCTTCTACTGGGTTGTAAATGCCTCCTGTTTGTGTTGAGGTCTACGAAGAAGGTCTGGTGAGTGAGTTTAGTATTTTTAGCATGGTCTTAGCTAACACCCAAACAAGGCGCTAGCGCCTTCTGGGAACGAAGGACCAAAAGCACTTTTCAAGTTCCAGCGAGCTCGCTCCACGCTGGAAATTGACTGGTGTTACACTCCCCGTTCCAGCCCGGCTATTTCGCTTGAATTTGGATGTCTGGTGGGTTATGTGGATCTCACGATTGGCCATCTAGTCTTTGTTTCAGAGTATGATGATGCGGTTTCGCTCCCGCGATTCCACTTCAAGTGCAACAGGGTGCGTGATGTAGTGATGGTTCCGCTGGTGAAATCTTCATGTCTTGAAACGTTACAAAGATACGCAAAAATTGGCGCTGGAACTGAAGATTGCGACGAAGAGACAAACGAAACAGACAATGTCAGTCTCAAAGACGAGAACCAGGAACCGGAAGTTGCCCATAACCAACCCGGAATGATATTCACTCCTACAGGCATTCTTGCAGACTCATTCAAGTCAAAGCCACAGCTCTCTTTGAACAGCCAGCGGATACTTTTGGAGGAATTCGAATATATTGATACAGGAGCTGTCGCCAAACCAAATCCAATGCTGGACAACCTGATATATAACAAGACATTTGAACACGCACGCTCAGTCAAGAACTTGCAGCGAAATGCAGGTGATTTCAAACATGGATATAGGATACCACCTGCGCTTATCCGGAAGTTCAAGCGTCATTTCAGGAGGTTTTTTAGAAATGGCGGCTTTTACTTCAGTGGGGATGTAAACCTGACCCAGAACTTCTCTGTTGTGGCTGCAGCCAAAGGAACCAGTTATATGGTTGTCCCCAGTTGCCACGAATCTATGAAGGATCTCAAGGAAGACTCTGGTGCCTTTTTTTGGAACAGATCGATGCTCGCGCCCATTCTGGAATCTTGCCCTGATACGTACCCACATGTACTGTGCACACTTCTGATTCAAGGCTTCGTCGGTACATTTGACTGCACTTTGAAAAAGTCTTCTCCTCGAAGATCCTCGTTGCTAGCAGGAAAACGCAACGAAGATTCTCAGACAATTCCCGCTTATATCGTTCTCGTCTCTAGAAGAAGCACCGATCGTGCGGGTGTGAGATACATGAGACGCGGAGTTGACGATGCCGGCAAGGTGGCCAATTTTGTTGAGACTGATCAATGCATATTTGTTGATGGTCCGCAAGAGACCTTCTATGGCAGGTATACCATAATTAGAGGTTCTATTCCCCTTTTCTTCAAGCAGGATCCCTCCAAACTACAGCCTGCACCAATAGTGCAAAGATCCAGAGATCAGAACCGTGACAAATTACAGATGCACTTCAATCATTTACTGGGCCATTACGGTGACTTCTCGTGCATATCTCTGATAGAGAAAGGCAACAGAGAACTAGGGCTTGGTAAGACATTTCAAGATCTCGCTGCAGAGACAGATTTTCCTTTGGCATGGTTTGATTTCCATGAAGTCTGCAAGGGTATGCATTTCGAGAATGTTGAATTGCTGATGAAGGAGGAAGTGGAGAACTCGTACCCACCGGGTTCTGTATCGATGAAACTCGACCAGTATGGCTGGTATGCAATGAGGTTGGGTCGTAATTTGAAGGAGGAGTCACACCAGAAGGGAGTAATGAGAGTTAACTGCATTGACTGTCTTGATCGAACTAACATTGTCTCAAAGTTTCTTTGCCAGAAAGTCCTCGGTCATCAGCTCGAGTCCTGGGGCGTGGTTATCCGGAATAACAAAGACTTTCAGTCCGCGTACTCTAACCTCTGGGCAAACAATGGGGATGCGATCAGCACGCAGTATGCCTCCACAAATGCTTTGAAGGGTGATTTCACCCGAGCCCAGAAGAGACATTACACTGGGGTTTTGAACGACGCTATTTTGACGCTGTCCAGGTATTACTATGGATACTTCAGTGACTTCTTCCGCCAGATCATGATAGACTTTCTGCTTGGAGGTGTTGGGGAAGAGGTGTTTGAGCAGTATGAGTCGAGTCTTAACAATCTGGATCCGAATTCTGCTCACGAGACAATGATCACTCAGAAGGTCATCATGGACAACACAGTCAGTTTCCTATTTCGAGACTCGACAGAAATGCTTATTGGCTCATGGTGGGTTGATTCCCCTTTCAAAGTGAACACTTTACGCAAGGCGGAGATGGTGGGTTCAATGTTGTTGCTCACAGACAGATACGTCTATCTCGTGGTGTTTGCAGAAGCCGATAGCGTACTCCGTGTCTACAAAATTGCCACGGAATTTGTTGAGAAAATACAGTATGGCCACTATTTTTTGTCGTCACATACCCCACTTGCCAAAAATCCTCAGAAGAACGTTGGAATCCAACTCAGTTTCCGCAAGCACGAATATCGCACACTCAAGCTCGCAAAAGACGTCCATTTCGATCGGGAGAACCTGCGAATGAGACAGAGGGCCGACGGAGCAGTACTCGCCACTTCCCTCTCAGCAGAAGACTTTTCAATTCTGGGAATCTTTCAGTCTCAGGACTCAGCTGATTCGCAAGTCTGTGGCTTGCATGAGTCTCGGGACCAGCCTTCGACTCTCGCAATCCGGTTTCAACAACATACGACACACACAGAGGTTAGACGTACGGTGAGTCTGCTGTCAAGAATGTGCTACGGGTCCAGTTTGGTCCAGTCGGATCTGGTGACTCTGGAAGAAGCCAAATCGGACACCCCGTTTTGGAAAGTGTTAGACCATCAATTGAAGAAGTTCATATGGGCATGAAATAGGGGTCTGAGATGGGTTGAAGTTGGCCCAGAAATGGCCTATAATTGCTGATGATATATAACGAACTAACGACTCAATAGGATCGATGAACGAATAAAACTAAGATGCCAACAAACTAAGTAGTATTTGATAACTGACTGTACGAAGTGTATTAGCAAATTTATAAACGATTTGAGTTTCCCCAGATTTTCATGAAAAACTCGAAATCTGAGATTTTTCAAATTTATGACCAAAATAACTCGCACTTTACAGAATACGCGAACATTCGGAAATATCAAAGATCAAGGAAAACAACCAATAATTGTTTCTATATTTGAAACCTTTATTAGTTTTCCTGTTCTTACATTTTAAAAAACATTTCGAGCTCAATAGCCTTCTTTAGATCCGTCCTTTGGATACGTGCGGCTCAAACACTGGGAAGAGCCGAGAATGCCTTAATTTGCAATTTACTTACTTAATGAATTCCGATTTGGTTAGTAACTGAGCAAAATTGTACATTAAAGAGTCGAAGCTTACATTTGTGTCATAATTTGGCCTTTCTCGATCTCTTTTCTACATCATCGTTTAACGTTTCAGTCATTATATTCACTCACATTTCAGAACTAGAAATAAGCATTTTGCAAACTGTAATCCTTGTCAGTCTCAGAATTGATACAACGAGGATACCAAGGGTTTGAAGTCAGTGGAACGCCAACTCCACTGGGAAGATTTGAGGAACCAAACAGGTGATTCTGAGAAACCTCAGTCACTGGAACGACCTTCTGAAAGCTTAGATTGTTGTTTTCTTTGTTAAACTTCATGTTCAGAAGGTGAAGAAGAGCTAGCACAATCCTCAGGTTCTCAAAAAGACCCTGAGGAAGATTTGTCTCCAGTACCCTGTTCGGCACAATGTTGGTGTGAACTATGCGTTTGGAGAGCTTGTGGGAGGAGTTATTGTCAGATTCGAGCTTTTTCGTAGCCTTGGCATCTTTTTTCTCATTAAACTTGTTCTTGAGATTGAGTTTGTCCTTGAAAGAGTTTTTTTCCTCGGTATTGCGTAATCTGTCCTCGTCCTTCGTCTGGGCCAATGCCAGTGCGTAGTTGACCAGGCCTATGGACAGACCAACCTGGTTCTTCTTGTAGTAATCCAAAGACAAATAGAGACAAACATAACATTCTAGGAATGATTTGAGACACGCAAAGTAGGTTTGGACCTGAATCCTGGGAGGCAACAGCCTTTGAGCCACATTAATTTCATCATATGTTTGTATCACAATTCGCACGTACATCGCGAAATTCGTGCTTTTACTCAGTGAGTCCACACTGAAATCTCCAAAACTGTCATCTATGGACTTTTCCAGATTCCATACATTCTTAGACAGAACCGAGAGTTGTAAAGATGCATTGTTCAAATGCCCCAGGAACGTGACAGAGTTGAAGTCAAGCTCAAAAAACGAGCTAGGAACCTCCCACATTAGCGCATTCTGGTGAAGCTGAAGCATCTCCAAATAGCAGTGAGCTCGTTTCAACAGAACCCCAGGTTTTTTCCAAGCACGATCGGCTTCCTCAGAGGAGGCGGTTGCGGAGAGAAGTCTCGGCAGTCCATTACCTGTGACAAGTCCAAAAACTGATACAAGTGACAAGCTAGAAACCATGATCTCATTCTTGAGTGTCCAATCAGACAACTTTCCGAGCTCTCCGTGTATATTCTTCCATGGCAATTGGTCATTCTTCAGTGCGGAGAACATCACTATCGAGCCTGCTTTCAGAAACAGTTGATCCATAATCGCATCTGGGTCCGATCCAGGCGGCTGCACCTCAGGGAATCTGTATAGCACATACTGGAAGATCTTATCAATATATTCCTCGGTGCTCGTAGCCAACTTCAGAAGGTCGAGTCCCACCAGATTCGCTACCACTAGGGAAGCCCTAGCAGAAACGAGTGAGTGTGGGATCTCCGCAACAGGCTGCACCGCACAGGCCAAAGGAGGCGGTATGGGAAATCCGAGCATTCCTAAGGAGCTAAAACACCGTTTATCCCCCAAAAAACTGACAAAACTAGTCTGACCTGTACCTATCATATCAATACAGTACACTGGCTCAAAAGGGCGAAGCACTCGGTATCGCACTACCCCACCTTCATAATCGAAGATCACAGAAACCTTAGCCTTCTTTGTTCTTCTCGAACAAGAAAACAACAAGAACATGAAGCAGATTATGGACATACGACAAGTTTTGACATTAGTTTTGGTGTTTGTAGCTAGTGCATGTCGGGGCTCGGTAGTTGAAGAGATTACCAGAGTGGACTCGAAGCTATCGGCCTTGGGTCCAACAATGGAAGTGTTGCAGGAGTACAGTGCCCTTGTTCCTGAGCTTCAGAAATTGAGTGACACAGATCCAGGCTCGAGGCTGCATTTGGCCAGGGTCTATTATAAAAAGGGACTGGTGGAATTTTCACTTTCGCAGGACAATTTGGCTGTTCAGGACTTTGAAAGCTGTCTGGCATACGATGCTTCGTTCAAGCCGTGTCAACAAGAGTTGAACAAACTCAATCTGAAGTTGGGTCGTCTGACTGAGTTGGAGACCTATATTTCGAGCAAAGAGGGCGAACGTGATTCACAATTACAAGAACTAGAGGACCAGTACACCGAACTCAAGAACATGTGTTCTCTCATAGAATCATCTGTCATAGACAAGGATTACGACCAATGTGTTGATCTCACCACCAAGGCTTTGGAAATTTCCTCCAGTTTCCCAGCAATAAGATACCTGAGATCACATTGTCTTTCTTCGAGCAAGAATTATAGCCCAGATAAATTGACCATGCTGGTTGGGGACTACTCGGATCTGCTCAAAAATTCCCATTACTCTTTGAATCTGCCCTCTCATACGACTTCTATTTTGCCAAGACTGGAAGAATTTACAAAAGAGAAATCTCCAGAACAAAGATTGGGGAATTTTATTAGACTGTTCCAATTACAGGCGTTCGTGACTTCGAATTCGCCGCAACCACAGAAGATTTTACAGAAGTGTTTAAGGGTTGATAATGATTATCATCCATGTGCTGCTTATTCAAAGCTTTATTCAAAGCTGGCAAGATTCAGAGAACTGTTTGCAAAGGCTTCGCTGTACTATTCACATGTGTACTTCAAGTCTCAGGATGAGAATCTACACCAGGACGAAGAGACGTTCAGGGTGGACGAGTTTGAACCTACGGAAGAAGAATGGCAGGAATTACACAGGATTTTATTTCAAGACAAGGTTAAATTCACTCCCAATATGTTGAAAGGAATGATGCTAGACAAAGCTCCTGGCAACTACCATGACCTTCTTGAGCTCTTGGGCAAGAGGGCCGATGCTACCTTCAACTTGCCCGAAGAGCATAACTCGTTTTTGCTGGATTTGAGACGGATATCCATCGAGAGTACACCGAATCACAAAGAGGCTGCAAAGAGATGCAAGAAACTTCGAGATCCGAACACGTTTTTGCCGTGTCAGATAGCTAACATAGATAAGGCATTGCTGGGCAAGTCGTATGCCAAAGCGGAGGAGTTGCTGAACCAGTTCGATAGCAGAGTAAAGAAGACACAATTGTGGAAGTCGCGCTACGATGTTTTGGACAAAGAGTTTTTGGCCGCTAAAAGACAGGACCAAAAAAGACGCGACCAAGAACACGAGAGACAGAGATTCAAGCAGCAACAGCAACACCAGAGGCAGCAGCAACAGAGGTACCAACAGTATCAACAACAGCAACAACAACAAGCATCCAAACCTAAAAATGACTACTACAAGATTCTGGACATTGCAAAAGATGCAGACGAAGCCACAGTGAAGAGGGCCTACAGAAACAAAGTCAAGCAGCACCATCCCGATAAGGTCAAGGGAACCAACCAATCGCAGGAGGAGATGGAGGCAAAGATGGCCTTGATTAACAGTGCATACGAAGTGTTGTCGGATAAGGAAAAGAGAGAGCAATACGACAGAGGCCATGACGTGAATGATCCGGAGTCCAGAGCCCAACAGCCTCCTCCAAACGCCCAGTTTTTCCACCAAGGCCAGAACTTTGGCTTTGGGGGTCAACAATTTGGCTTTGGAGGTCAGAACGGGTTCTTCCAGGGGTCCCAGGGGAACCAACACTTCAAGTTCCGGAAAATGAAGAAGGGCGGAAGGTAAAAAAAATAACGAGTCTAGCGATTAGAGATGAAAAAGATTATATTGTGTTATGCCAATGATGAGTCTATTCATGGTCTTTTATCTAGACTACCATATGTGGGCCGTGATACTTGTACTTGGCTTTGACCGACTCCACCCCGACAGACGATCTTTTGGGAAAGCCATCGAATGACTTGGCGTAGGTGGCAACAGAATGGGCAATCAACTTGGTGTTGACCTCCCACGCGGTGTAGTTAGGGTTGGACAGATCGTCACACAGCTGGTGATAGCATGGATCGTACCATTCGCCAGCAGTTCCACCAAACAGCTTGGCCTCCTCCTCGGTCTTGACACCTTCAGCACCAGTCGCAATTCCTCCACCTGGAATACCATTTTTAATAAAAGCATCGTAGTCGGATCTTCCGTCGAATGGAATCAAAGTGTAGTCCAGGCCATGTGAAAGATAGTAGTTGATATACAACTGCTTAAGTTCCTCGGAACCAGCTGGGTTATCAACATTGTTGGCGTCGTACACCTGGTAAGCAAAGTTAGGAGAAGCCATCATGTCGTAATCCATGAACAGTCTGATCTTGGAACCTTCTTCTGGCGAAAGTTGGGAGACGTAGTAATCAGATCCCAAAAGTCCTTCTTCTTCACCAGCCCACCAGGCGAATCTCACCTTATTGGGAACGTAAAACTTGGAAAGACCCTTAGCCACCTCCAAGAGCGAGATGGTACCACTTCCGTCATCGTTGATACCAGGACCGGCGGTCACAGAGTCACTGTGAGCTCCAAGCATCACCACGTTGTCTGGGTCGCCCATCCAGGACTCTGCAATGACATTCTTGGTGGTGATGTTGCCGACAAACGATTTGACCTCTATGGTGGTGGGCAGATACTTGCCCTTTTGCAGCAAATCAACGTAGAATTCACCATCAGCCTGTGACAAACCCAAAGTTGCTATTTCCTGGCCAGTTGGAGAGCCCAAAGTTCCCTTGATGGAACCAGGCTCATTGTTATAGATGACTGCTCCAACGGCTCCAGCCAAACCGGCGTTGCGGGACTTGTCTCCAAAAGGACATACACCCCTCTGAATTAGAGCAATTCCACCAGTAGTATTCTTAGGGAAATCAGCCAGATCACAGCCTTGGTTCTTGACGTGGAACAGCGGGCCGGAAACAGGTTTTTGGTGTGGGGTTGGTGGAGTCAAGTCAAAGGCGTCTAGACTGTCTGGCTGTCTTCCGTCCACCAACAGCTGAAAGAAGAAGACTTCTCCCATAACAGCGTCAAAGGCTTGTGTTGAGATGTTGTAGTAGCCACCGAGTTTGCGGAGCTCACGTTGGACATACTCAATGGTTCCCCAATGGCCCTTGGAACCAATGACTCTGGTTGGATGGCCAAACCGGGAAATCGACTCCTCGGCAATTTCATAAAGGGCAATGGCACTCGTGTTCAAAGCATCCACAGAGATGGTATCCTGAAGGGCTTCAGAGTCAATGAACTTCAGGCTCGACAAGTCCTGGACAGTTGATATGGATTCCGAGTCAGCGGTTGAGTCAAGGAGTTGGAACGCCCATCTAGGCAATGCCGGAGCAGCATTGGCGATAGACCCAAATGCCAGAACAGCAGCAGCAGCAGTGGTAGCAACCTTTCTGCAGTCTAGCTTCATGTTTAATTTGGTTTGGGAAAAGAAGAAGGGAGAAGAGTAGCGAAGACGGCTGGAAGAGCATTAAGACGCTAGACGCCGTTCAGGATGCCTGCCCCCTTCCCGAAGCGGTAGTTACACATCCATATCGAGACAGATTAGGGGCGGTGGTAGCCGCTCGTCGGCTTCTCGTCTGGGGATTTCTCGGGCAGTCTACGGGAAAATAGGATTTGATGCAGATAAGCGTATTCATTGGACTTGCTGCTATCAATGGAGTCATTGAGTCAGAGTTATCATGGCATAATGAAGACTCTCATACGAATACTGGGTTCCACGGGTACGGCCGCCCGGAAATGGCCGTCGTGCGTGGGGGAGAATTCATTGAAATGGCACGTCTGGAAATTACATTGTTCGTCTCCCAATCGGCTCAGATTTATGATTATTAAGGCAAATCGCCTCTCTTAAATCAGATCCGCCCTCGGAAATCAATCTTTCCCGAAGTTTCTGGTCTTTCAGGTGAGTTCGTTGTGTCTCGAATCTCATACCTTGTGCCTTTAGACGTGCGGCAACCAGCAAACTCAAGGGAACGAGCGAAAAGGGGTTGTCTGGCCGTTGGCAAAGAGGAATAGTAAACTCACTCAAAAATTTCGGTTTTATTACAAATATTATTACTGGACAAAAAGTTCCCATCAATGGCCAGTTGGATGTAAAAATGGTGTATACTCACCAAGCTGAGAGCTTCGCGAAGTTCGCTTCCCCCAAGGTCGTGTTCTCACCAATATGACGAATTCTTGGTCGACGACTCCTCGACTCCTCAACGCTTATCTATACCCAATGGCCCCGTCATTGTTCTTGCCTTCTCCACCAATTTGCTATCAACTGTCTAGAATAGAACAATGGCTTTCACTCCAACTCCGGCAGAGTTCGCCAAAATGACGATTCTTGAAAGAATTGTCCACTACGACTGGAAGATAGAGCTGTTGGCTCTGGGGCTCATTGTCTCCTATGTGGTGTTGTATTTGATTGGCTCTAAGTACAATGATTCCAAGGCCAAGAACTGGATTGCTGCCTCTGCCAAAGTGTTGGACGAACAGTTTGCGCTTGTTGGTGTTGCGAGTAATAAGTTGTACATCAAAGACGACGGCGAGCACTATGCGTTCTATGCCTCTGGTAGACTGAACGTTGCAAGCTTTACGGCCAAAATCAAGCTTTGCGCCAGACACAACTTGTTTGTGTGGGGTATGGAGACGGTGCTGTCATTTTTTTTGGAATCTATTGATTATCCCGAAGATACCGTCACTGTGACAATCGATCTCGATGCGGAGGCCAGTGCAAAGTGCGAGAGCTTCATCTGGTCCGTTGTCTCCAAGGATAACATGAACAAGTACCGCAGCGACAACTACTTTTTGTCTTTGACCAAAACTGTGGAGTCTCCCAAGTTGCCTATTGAATACGTCTTCATGGCTGAGAACGCTGAGACCACAGACGTGATGTACAAGGAGTCGTACAAAGACGTCCTCAAGGATTCCGCTTCTTTTCTCCAATTCCTTGCTGTTACGGACTTGCCTGTCATCAAGCCTGAGACCCTTGAGGAGGCCCAACCTAAGAAGAAGGTAATCTTGTCGATCAAGTTGCCTAAGTCGAAGAAGGACCTCGAGGCCTATGACAGACTTCTGAAGCTGACGTTGAAGTTGGTTGACTATGCTGTTTCCAACACCTCCTTCCGTCTTGAGACTTCCCGTAAGATCAAGAAGACCAGAGAGACCGAGATTTCCAAGATCAAGAAGATTTTGGATGAGAGGAAAAAGGAGGAGCTTGATGAAAAGAAGATCGAGGAGAAGAAGAAGCTCCGTGAAAACTTCAGCAAGCTCTCGCTCGAGGAGCAGAAGAAGCTGGAGAAGAAACAGAACGAGAAGAAGCAGAGAAAAATGGCCAACAAGCAAAAGGTAAGACAATGAGGCTGTGCCGAATTCAGCTACCAAAACGAAGCTTTTGGCCTTTCATAATTGACAATTTCCAACTCGAAGATCCACTGTCTGGAATTATTTGCCGTAATCAATTGGTTGATCCGTATTTCCAAGTATTTTGACTTTCAGAGACTATTAGGTGTATCACCAAACTAAAACTTCTTACCAGTCTTCTTCCAACCAGGCCCCATTGGCGTATTAAAAACCTCCAGTAACCCGTAACCAAGACAATAACTCAGCACAAAATCCAGACTCAAGCCTCCAAACTTTATCCAATTCTGGTTCTTGTTCTTCCACTTCGTCTCCAGCGAGCTCTGAAGCTCCTCTTTGTATTTCATCTTGGATAGCTGTTTATCGATGAACTTGATTGACTCATGCACCAGCTTCAAGAAAGAACCCGAGTTCGGCACGTTTAAGTAATAATCCTCGTTAATAAAGGTGAGAAGCCCAAAACCAATCAACTTCATCGTATCTAGATTATAGCGTTTCGCATCCATTTGAGAGACTACCGAGAGGCCTTTATTTTCTTCCAGAAACCTTCTGAAGTTAGCCTCTTCAGAGGCCCCGATCTTGTCCAGAAGACCGAAGTAACTGTCAGATTCGATCAATACCTGGTTATCCACTCCGTTGATCTTTATTGTGACTCTCTTTAGCCTTCCATGTCGCACCAGCTTCTCCACCTGTTGATCCACGAAAGTGTGGTTATTGATAAACACCGAATACAGCTGGTACAACACCACTATCCTCGGATAAGCGGCTCTTTTGACCTCAATCTTCTCCTTTGTTTTGTTGGAGATTCCACCTTTTCCGACGGGAAAGTCGGTCTCGTATTGCGACAGAAGAATACTGCGAATCGCAACTAAGATCGTCTCCTCGTCTCTGCCAGTATCGAACAGAGGAAGATCGAATAACTTGACATTGTAATTTATCTTCTCCAGGGGCTCCTGCTGATCGATCAGCTCCTTTCGTAGCTTTCCAGATTTCGACAACTCTTTCAGATATTCAGCTTCCGATGGAAGAATGGGCCGCTTGGCTTTGATACCGAGTTGACCCAGTCTCTTGATGGTGCTGTGCTTAACCTGTGACCGCACCAGGCTTTTGTGGTTCATTCGCGACCCATTTGATCCTGTGAGATTAAGACTGACCATGGAAGAACAACAAAGGAATCTAGGCGGAAAAATGGACAAATATAGAGTAAAAGGAATCTTGTCCTCCCGCCTTGCGGCTTTCCAGTAACTTTAACTAAGATTCGATGCCAATTAGCACCCTACACGACCAAAGTGAAAAATGGAGTTTCTATATACAATTGGCGAATTCTCTGAAAACAGCAGGTTTATCTGGAGAGAAAAATCGCTCTCTAACTTGTCTCCAGTTCTTTTGAAACGCTGATCACACGGGTAATTGGCTTGCTGCTGCCAATCTTCACAGTGAGGCTGTAACGACCCAAGGACGCGATCTGGTCCACCTTCTCCAGTTTCTCATTTTCGAGCACTTTACTCAAAGTCATCGCATCAACGGGTATCTTGTGTCCCATGAACTGGTAAATCTTTTCGGAGATCTGTTCCAGTGAGAAAGCTTCCTCCGCTTTGGACACCTTAAAAAACAGCGTCGAGGGAAGCTCTCGTATTTGATCAACCAGCGACTCAGTCGATTGCTCAGTCTTTGAGGAGTAATCAAACTCCGTCGAGATACCGGTGAGCTCCTCCAGAGAGAACTTCTTGACCTTTGGAGCCTGTTTAGCAGGTTCCTGGAGAACCTTGATCTTGGGCTTAACAGCCTTCACGGTCGCCGTTTTCTCCACCTTAGTGTACACAGGAATAGGTGGCTTCTGCCCCTTTAAGATATAGGCAGCTCCGTTGTTCTTGTAGAGTTTGTTCGTCATCAAACAAGGCATCACCGAAAGAACCTCACCGCGCTTGCCGATGTTCTTGAAGTCCTTGAGAAGCTGGACCTCAATCCGCTTGGGCTTTCTCACCGTCTTGAGTGTACGCACCTGTGTGAATGCAAGAAATGTCCTTCTACCCAAAAACTCCATCTTGGTGGTTGTGCTATTGGAGATTTAACAAGTACCTGCAATCTTTCAACGTCGAGGCAGACAAAAGGCAGAGTAAGACTTACACGTAATCAAAATGGCAGAATATTTTACACGTAACTCAAATGGCAGAGATGCTGTTGGCGACACGAATGAAATTTGGCAGTGAGACCTACTCTAGATCGATCGTTTTCAGCTCACTCTCTTCATCCTGTTCGTTTACAAGTTTGTCGCTGACTTTCCAGACATGGACAATATTGTCATCTGAGCAACTCGCCAAACACCATGGCACTTCAGGGCTAAAGTCGAAATCGTTGATGGCGCCGGTGTGGCCTCCATGCATCATCAACAGCTCGGGAACTCCGTCATCGAGCTCGTCCTGGGGTTGCTCCTCTCCGATTTTGGTGATATCCCACAAAATCACCCTTCTGTCCTGAGATCCCGAGGCGAGCACGTTTTCATGGTGTGGATCCCACTGCAGACCGGTGATTGAGGCGGTATGGCCCATCATCACATGTAGTGCTCTCTGCGTTTGGCGTAAGTCAAACAGAGAAACGTTGTGGTCCTCACCTCCAACGGCGAACAAATTCCTTGAGAATCCTGAGAATGCCACTGAGTTCATGATTTCCGGGAAATCAATCGTAGAAGCGACGTTCTTTGCCCTCACATCGTACAGCTTGAAAGTTTTATCGTCTGAGACGGAACCGAACAGATTGGCATCGAACTTGTGCCATTGGACATCATTAACAATTCCAGAGTGATGCTTGAACACTTCGACAGGACTCAGTTCGGTTTCGGTGGAACTTACGTCCCAAAGAGCCACGGTCTGATCGTCTGAGGCAGTCAAAAGCTGGTTCTGAACTATAGGATTCCAGCTTAATCCATATCCGTTCAAAGTATGGTGTTTTAGACTCTGAACTACAATATCCTCATCGCTTTTGGTAAGATGGTACACGAAAACTTCACCCTGGTCATTGATAGTAGCCACCACATTGGGTTCTCCAAGCCTGTATCTTGCCCTGTTGATCTCGTGGTTTTGTTTGTATTTTTTGAAAACCCTCAGTCTGGAACTTGTCTTCTCATCACTCTCTTCACCAAAAACTGATGCGGGGAACTCCAATGAGGCCAGTTTGAGGTGGTTGGGCGAATCGTCAGAAGTGTGGGTTGTAATCAACATATCGCGGACTCTACCAGTATCGTTCCAGAGCGAGCCTTTGGGAACCCATTGAACAGAAAGAGAAGGCCATGTGAGGGCAGTTTCACTAATAAAGTCGTACATGTACCGACAGTTCTTTCTCCAGAGCGCATACTCTTCCTGAATTGTGAGCTCTACACATTGTTAGTAAACTCTTGAAGGACAGAAAGATATGGGGAAAATACTAACCCTCATTTTCATTCTCGCCATTTTCACCCTGGGAGACATCCTCCCAGTCACCGTCATCTTCGAAACGGACAGATTTGCTCATATCTGTGAAGGATAACGCCAACAGCTGATTTTTCACTGAGGTTTCAAAGGTCTCTGCTAGACGCGTCCTTGAAGACTTGGTCGGGGTTGACATGTGCGAAAACCATTTTGAATGCTTATGTAACAAATTACCAAGCGATTGAAGATTAGGATCTCACGACAGTTCTCACCGCTATTTGGGCTTTAAAATAGAAGAAATCTCTTCAAAGTGCCTCGAGGTAATTTCGTCCAACCTCTCAGAAACATTTCCAGCCTCAATGGCATCCCACAACTCGTGTTTGTTCCTTTCGTAGTCGACCCAGCTCAAACCGTACAACAAAGAGTCGGCAAGGTCGTCTCCTTTTGCTTTAGCACTGCTTTCAGAGACGCTTATTTTGTGCTTATTGTTCTCATTGAATATTTCCATAAAGTCATAAAGTCTTCGAGAGTCGGACTTCGCTTTGAGCAGCTGTGAGGGTTGGAAAATAGCAGAATCTACCAGCCGAAACCGACTCTTCGAGCCCACCAACGCCAATTTCAGCCAGTGGTCCACTAGCTTCATCCTCATCTCTTTGGACTGTTTTGCTGTAACAGGGCCTTGCGTCTTAGGCGGAGCCCAGTAATGCACCATGGTTTGTGGGGAAGACGGCACCAGCTGAGTACAGTATTTCTTCGGATTAACCCTCTGCAAAGTCTCTAAACTTGAATATAACATACTTTCCAACACATTTGTTCTCAGGATATGCTCAAAAACGTTCTTATTGCCCATTGTGCGGAATCGTTGTCTCTCCACGATAACTAGATCTGGTGCGGCAGAACCGTATATCAGATCGAAAACAACCTTATTGACTAACTTAGCAAATGAACTGGGATGGAAGTCTCGTGGAACTTTGGACCACGCAAAAAGGTCCATTTTGTACCATTGTTGTAGTATGGGAGTTGAGTATATCCCATGGGGAAGAGTCAATCTGGCAAACGAGAAGTTGACCAGTCCAACATCAATAGCAACTAGGTCAATTTGCTTGTCGCCAACAAATCCAGGCGTCAAATTATGAGCAATTGCACTTGCAAGCTCAGTTTTCTGCGTTGCAGAGATCGCTAGTGCTCAAACTGTTAGTAGACTGAAAAATCATAACACTGGTTCTCCACACTCAAAAATCCTCCGTTCAACCGGACTAACTTACCCATTCCACAAACCTTCGCTATATTGGCAAGCTCATTATTCTTCAGCTTCAACAGTTTATCCATACCAATAAAACTCGTGGAAAATAGCCGCGTTCAAAATGCATGATCGTGACATAATCGGTCAAGTCTAGGGCTAAAGGGGTTACCCTACCACCTTAATTAGAGCTCTGTCTTTTTCAGTATTCGATGAATCGATCTATGTGATCAAAAAGGGTTACAGACGTCGCAATCCAACCGTAAAAATGAGTGGTAAGAGCAGATTTTTGAGAACATTAGACACGTTGAATTGTAATTTACTGACATATAGCAGAAGATCAGACACAGGCAGCCGATGCCGCCAACCTGCTTGAATCACTCTCTCTCGCCAACGATAAGGTAGAGGAGTTGAAGGAAACGCCCACGACAAAGCCAGAAGAAGCTGCAAAAATCGTCGAGCCAACTAAAGATGCCACTGCCAAGCCTGTGACTGAACCAGAGACAAATCTGATAAAATCCACGTACGAGGTCAAGGTCAAACTTGCTGATCTCCAAGCAGACCCAAACAGTCCCTTGTTTTCCGTGAAAAGATTCGAGGATTTGGGACTCGCAGAGACGCTACTCAAGGGTCTTTATGGTATGAAGTTTGAAAAGCCTTCCAAGATCCAGGAGAAGGCATTGCCTCTTCTGCTTTCGAACCCAGCCCGGAACATGATTGGACAGAGCCAGTCGGGAACCGGCAAGACGGCAGCATTTTCTCTCACGATGCTTTCTCGTGTTGACGAGAATCTTGAGCAGGTTCAGGCGATATGCCTGTCACCAGCTAGAGAGCTTGCTAGACAGACTTTGGAGGTGATCCAGCAGATGGGCAAGTATACCAAGGTTAAGACCAGACTGGTGGTGCCGGAGTCCGTGGCCAAGGACAACTCCAAGATTACAGACCAGATCATTGTGGGAACCCCTGGGCTTGTTTCAGATATGATTCGTAGAAAAAGGATTTCCACCAAGGATGTGAAGGTGTTTGTGCTTGACGAGGCCGACAACATGTTGGAGGGTGCTAATACCGGAGGAGGAAGTCTCGGTGACCAGTGTGTCCGTGTGAAACGTGAATTGCCCAAAGAGACCCAACTGGTGCTCTTTTCAGCTACTTTCCCGGATAAAGTGCGCGCGTTTGCGGAGAAATTTGTCCCGAACGCCAACTCATTGGAGCTGAAGCATGAGGAGCTTAACGTTGACGGAATCAAGCAGTTATACATGGATTGTGAGAATGAAGAAGACAAGTTCAATGTTCTGTGCGAACTTTACGGTCTTTTGACTATCGGATCTTCCATCATTTTTGTTCAGACCAGGAACACCGCCAACATGCTCTATAAGCGTATGGAGCAAGAAGGTCACAAGGTGTCGATCTTGCACGGTGATCTGGTGCCTAGCGAGAGAGATAGACTGATTGATGACTTCAGAGAGGGCAGGAGCAAGGTGCTCATAACGACCAACGTTCTGGCCAGAGGAATCGACATCGCGTCCGTTTCAATGGTGGTGAACTACGATCTGCCCGTTGACAGACAGGGCAACCCAGATCCTTCCACATACTTGCACAGAATCGGAAGAACCGGAAGATTTGGTCGTGTGGGTGTTTCCATCAGTTTTGTACACGACAAAAAGAGCTACGAGCAGTTGATGGCAATTAGGAGCTACTTTGGCGATATCGAGATGACCAGGGTCCCAACAGATGACTGGGATGAGGTCGAAAGGATCGTGAAGAAGGTTATCAAGAGTTAATAGACGCAAAATCGTTCTAATGTTCATGTAATATTTCCCCGGACTCCCCGGAGCTGCAGTTTGTAGAATGCAGTTTATCCGACCCGTTCCCTTCCACTCTTTTCTTTTTTCCCAGCAGAAACTTCCCTGTCAAACCAGGGACAGTTTATCCGGGGCACCCATCTGTAGATGACCAGCGAAGTGAAAAATGACCTTCGGAAGGTACCAAAAGCTGATATCATCTGCTGTGGTTTGATTTTATTACTGTGAGCGAAGTGGGTTTATTGCTAAACCCCATGGCTAACCCCAATGGGCCAGACGCTTAGACATGGTGGCAGGGCAAGGCGCAAACGCCCGCACAGCCCCAATTACAACCCCAACCAAAAAAAAGACATTTATGTTACGAAACAAAGCTCCGCGCTCAGCCGAACACAGACGCATGACCCAGGCAACAATAGTACCCGATCCGGGTTCTATCGATTTTATTACCCCATGCAGGCCTATGTAGGCTGAGGTTAAGAAGCACCGGCCCCGAGAACCCGTTTTGGACTCAGAACCAAACCCTGGCGATATTTAATCTTAGGGATGCCCCCGTGTTTTTAATTCTGCCTCTTTTGAATTTGTTTAATTCAATTCGCTCAACTACCCATCAAAATGGACGCCTCTAAGATCATCGCTGTCATCATTGGTAAGTATATAGACCGGAAACGATCGAGACCTGCTAGAGCAGGAGAATCCCGAGGTTTGCCGAACCTTATGTTGGGCCATGCTGAATCGTTTTGCTAATATCTTTTTCCCAGCCCTTCTCTTGCCTCCTCTTGCTGTTTTTATGGAACGCGGTGCCGGCAGAGACCTGTTGATCAACATCATTCTGTGTATTTTTGTTTGGTTCCCTGGTATGCTGCATGCCCTCTACGTCGTATGTGCCCTTTAGCTCCTTTAGCTCCTTTAGCTCCACGAGCTTCATCAGCTTCAAGCAAATTACTAATCCTTTTAAACAGGTGTTGTCCTCTAGATAAACGATTATCTGACGCCGAGGTTCGAACTGATTTATTCTAGGTAGCTGACTTTCAACCGCTATTCATTGGGGAACCAGTTTTAGATGGTTCCGTCCTACATTCGATGTCTACCACTGTGTATTAATTACGTTGATAACAACAAGCGTGAAAAGTAGTTAAGTAGCTGAACTTTAAGTAATAGCTTGAATTGTCAAGCTTTAGCCTATGTACATCTTTGAGTGTTTGGCTAGACTGTCATCCGGCTTACAAACCTGGCAACAAACCCTCAGCCAACGATGACTGGAGGAACGCGACACCGGCCTGAAAAGTTAGTATTGCTGAAAAAAGTGAATGGTAAAAAAGGCAGTAGGGTCGTAGTAAAACCTGGTGAAATTGGGGTTCTGCTGTGGTGAAGTTAACTGGTGAAGCTCCGAACTGACCAGAAAGGGGCTCTCCAGAAAGATTTCACAGACAAAATCATTGAAATGGGCACTTGAGGTCTTATCGGAACCTCACAGAGACCACAGCATAACCCATAATAGCTTGGCAAGCCCTCAAGATATCACAACCTCTAACTCTTCCTCAGTTAGCAACTTACGGCAAAGATGGAAACATTCAGCACAACGGTGTAAAGTGGGGTCTTTCTGAACTCCTCAAAAGAAGAAGGCTTCTGCTGTTGTGGACGGCCGGACATTTGGATTTTAGTTTGATATGTGGATGAGAACAAGGGTAACCAAGGGCAATCTTCTTGAGCTCGAAGTCGGTGAAGATTCAGCAAAAAGGACGTGTACAAAGACAAATCTAATATTATCCCGCACACTACAGAATGTAAAAGAAACGAAGCTACGTGCACAGATCAATAATATCGCTTGCATCCCGTGCTGTGCTCCTGACTCACCCGCCTAAACAGAACGAGCCTGTTTTACCTTGTCATCTCTTATCCGAAACAAGCTGGTTCTGCCAACGCCTCCTACTCTTCTGCTCTATATCAAAGATGAAAGTGTCTATCAAATTAGCCTCGGGATCAGGTGAGTATTTTTGCGGCTTTCACGACTTCGTTGCGGGAGTTTGGGATGATTTGCGCTATCCCCATCTCTTGTGATGTGTCTTATCGCTGTTTTGCCCCCCTGGTTTGAGATGGTCATCTTGCGAACTCCACGCCAACGCCCAGGATAACCCCCAACTATGCCTAGTTACTAACTCTCGATTACAGATTATTCTGTCACCATCCCGGATAATTCCACAGTCAACGACCTGAAAGCCGCCGCTCTGGTTGCTGCCCCCTCAGACGTTGTGTTACACCCACAAGGTTCTGCCGAGTCCAAGAGTTACAAACTGTTCTACTCTGGTCACAAGATGGAACTGCAGTCTTCGTTGCATTCTTATGGAATTACCCCAGTGTCAAACTCAACCGTTTACCTGACAAATGGCTCGCAGTCAGACGAATCAGCGGTGGCTGAAGACGCCATGACAGATGTGGCCGTGGAGGTCGCTGCCGCTGAGGCAAAGTCTAAAATCCGCAGAAAATCTGCCAACAAGCGCAAATGTTCGTCACGTGGCTGCACTTCTGCACCATTACGGATTGTGGGTGATTGCTCGCTGTGTCAGGGCAAGTTCTGCTCGAAACACCGTCTTCTTGAGAACCACAATTGTTCCGGATTGCAGTCATGTAAGGATCAGATGCACGAACGCAACGCTTTAAAGCTGCAATCGGAGCAGACTGTTGCCTCCAAGGTGTAGGCACCTCGCTAGTGATCCCGGTTTGACCCGCAGATCCCTATCCGATCCGCATCAACGCATCATTTTTGTCCGATTTTGTCCTTTGGTTGTTATTGTTGTAAAGGTTAGAACTTCCCAGCATGGTTACGCCGTTTTGGAATGTGCGTACAAGCCCTCCAAGGCCTGTTTTACCCATTTCTACATCTTTCTAGAGTTTGTGTTTGTTTTAGTTTATGTTCTAGTTTGAAGCTCCGATTATACCGTTATCCTCCAGTGCTTTGCGTACTCCTGTCTCCACGTTGTCGAAGATACCAAGCGTGGGAAGGTGATCATAGTAGTCAATCTCGGAGTCCTTGAACACCCCGGTCCGAACCAGAATGCTTTCCCAGCCAAACGCATTCGCGCCATGAATATCGCTGTTCGGATTATCCCCCACCATGTACACTTTATCCGGGGTTGTTCCGCTCCAATTGCAAAGCACGTGGTGGGCGAACTCATAGGAAATTCGTTCGGGCTTGCCCAAGGTAGTGCTTTCCAATGGGACCCCGTTAATTTTTTCATAAAGAGCCTCCACTTGTACTTTGAAGCCACCCTGGCCAAATCTGGGCAATTTGAAGTCGTTTGCCCATAAGAAATCTCCATTGGAGAAGTAAATAGGAATGCTGGGTCTAGCGTACTTTCCTTCTCTGAAAGTTCCTATCTTTCCATGCTCAGAGTTGAGAAGGTCGAGCACGATCTGTATGTCTGCAGAACTATCCCACGAATCATTGAAAACCAAAATACAGTCCACAGGATCATTTATCGAATCTTTTGAGGCACAAACGCGCGAGTTTTTTGGGTCCAAGGCAAGTTCGTCGTCTGCATGGTACTTATGGAAAGGAGCTATACCTGGATTGCACGCAATATAGTCGGCTGAGATCAATACCTCGCGAAACCCGTAATCCAGAGCAACTCGGCGACACCGATCAGCTTTACCACCAACAACAAACACCCTGCTAAAGGACTTGGTGAGTTTCTTGAATGGGGAATGTGAAAGTATGATTTGACCAGGAGTGAGTGTTGGATACTCCAGTTTCTTAGCCACCTCTCGGATCTTATCAGATTCAGAAACACCACCACCGTTGGTGAACAATACATATGGCACCTTATGTTCATCCAAGAGAGTCAACGCAGTCTTTGCGTACGGGTTTAACGGTTTGGAACCGCGTAACAAGACCCCATCGATGCTGAGATTTGTTAGCCTATGGTGTCTTTCTCCATCTTGGCTCAACAACCTTTACTTACTCAAATGCAAATGCAATATTATTAGAGGAAGAGAACCTCACAAATTGACGACTAATAAAGCGTAGTTTGTTCATGCGGACAGATATCGGTTGTGGTAAACATTTGGTGAATGTTGATAGTCCTCGGGCTCTTAGCCTGTCAGAGATAAGCGATTTCATTATGTGGGATACACGACCTCCTTATCGGGTGACTGTGGCCGGCATATTTTTCAGATAAAGCATAGATAAGTGCAGAGTGTGAATCGAATAGAGGGCCTTATCACGGCACAAATAAATTAAGTTGACCAATTCCAAATAGTCTGTTCTAAGTTCGATTTTGATTCTTTCAATATGTCGTTACAGTATGCTATGATATGCCGCAAAATTGCAGATATGCCTATTAATATGCAGTTCACCTCTCTCGTCCTACATTCTCAACACTTCAATGTCTCAAGTATACTTCCCAACTGAAGACCTTCCAAGGCACAACCTTCTTCAACATGCCATTTGGCTTCAACAGGAGGCTTCATAACTTGACATGCCCAACCCACGACCAACAACCCAGGTGGTCTTGATCCAACGGCCTCGTAGGCCTCAACAACGTTTTGCAAAGTAGTTCTCACCACTCTCTGATCTGGACACGCGGCTCTCTCGACAATCGCTAGAGGGACAGTTGGATCCCAGCCTCTGGCAACCAATGCTGGGGCTAGCTCCGACATCCGATGCAATGCCATGAGGAACACAGTGGTTCTGCTCTTGACATAGCCAGGCAAATCGGGCAAAACACCCCGACGTCCTGTTCCGGTGCAAATAAGCACCTGATCAGCCACTTCTCTGTGTGTGGCTGGGATCTGAGAAACAACCGGTGCAGAAAGGGCAGATGTGATACCAGGAAGAACCACCGGTGTGAACCCATTGTCCTTGAAGAAAAGATACTCCTCACCACCACGACCAAATATGTAAGGATCTCCCTGTTTCAGTCTGATTACCTTCAGACCATTGCGGAGAGCCTGTAGTCCCATCTGGAGCAATTCTTGCTGAGCGGCCTCTGCGTTTCCTGGAAATTTGCGGGCTATGAAGACGTCCGTATTTCTGGGTATAAGATCCAACACCTGCTGCGGCACGAGTTTATCTGCCAAAATCAAGTCAGCTCCATGTATCTCAGAAAGGGCTCCTATCGTCAACAACGACACGGAACCGGGTCCGGATCCGACTAGCGAAATCGACCCCGTTCCGGTCGATACGGTTTGGGTCTTAGAGTCCTGATAAGCCTTGGAAAGGTCTTCAACGGACACCTTCGATAATTTGTTCAAAGGATAGTATTCAACAATTTGAGATAACCATCTCATCCTCTGCTTCTTTTTTTGTTCTTCTGACATCTCAAATTCGGGCACAAGAGCATTGAGTCGTGACGTCTGCAACGCATCATCGTCCTCTTCTCCAGGTAAAGTAATGTGATTGTCTTCTTGCCGTATTTTTGTTCTGAGATCTCCAATATTCTCACAGATCTGCGCTATATCACTCGGTAGTTGCTGGGTTAATTCCCGCTTGATCCTAGAGGCAAGATGACATCCTTTGCCGTTTGTAGTGACACCCATCTGGAAGTCCCCAGAGGTATATGAAGCGAGCATGGTGAAAGTGCATAGTTCTGGAGAATCTGAGCAACTTATGGGGATCCGCAGTCTCTTACAATTCTGATAGACTTCATTTTTCAACTCCAGATCATCTGAAACCACAAAAACTCTATCCACCACATTTTCAACCTCCGGTCTACCCAGGGTAGTCAGATCACTTGTCTGGAACGAACGCTGGATCCACAAATTGGGCAGGCCCTCACGTTCTTGGTCCACAAGGTTCTCCAATCCCACTGAATCCAACCTGGGGCTTATCAGTACTGGCTTAGCACCGCCATCCAACGAGGAACGTATCCTGGTAGCTGCTAGACTGGAGGAACCTATGATGAGATGAACCTCGTCTCGGCAGTTCAGAGCAACCAGCAATTTCGTCATGTGTGAAACAAGGCTTAATAAACTGGACTCCAAGATGACTCAGATAAAGTGGCCTTTCCCAATATATACAAGATTTGGAACGAAGAGGTGGAAAAGATATCAAGGTCGAGCGATAAGTGGAAAATAATTCAATCTCCGCCTTTTTTTTCAGAGCGAAGAGATTAGGCATGATCACGTGCAGATGGATTTGATCTGTTAACGATGTGAGTGGCTGCAAAGTTAATTGCGAATAGATCTTGCAAGGTTGTGATTATGACATTGTCGTAGGCTTGGTGGTCGCGGAGAAATTGTTTAAGGTTTGGTATTTATCCAAAATCCGAAATAAGGAGGCTTGCGTCTCGTCTGAATGGCCTGAGGATACGGTCTGCTCAGTATGCTGACCGGGGTTTGAAAATAGAGTCGTTTAAGCAGCCCGAGCAGAACCGAGCCAAGCGTTGTAGATTTTCAAACCATCTTCAAGCATGGTTTGTACTGTTAAGGGTTGTGACACCATACTGAACACTTCAAAGATAGGCACTTTCAATACCATTATACCCAATTAGTCACGATAAAACCATTACAGCTAGTCCGAGTGAAACTAACTTAGTGTATGAAACAAATGACCGCCGCACTTCATGCAAGTTACTATCTTTCATTCCACCGAATCCCCTCTATGCTAATCAGTATTATTCTTACGAAGAAGTTCTATGAGTTTTATATGACCAATGACTTTCCTGCAAACGCAGCCACATCTCCAACGGTTTCGACACGCGAGAAAACGACGCCGTTACCACTAAGCTTTTCCAGCACTAGGGACCGGTAATCTGACCTCATCAATAAAGATCCGGTTACCACCAGGATTGAGCTCTGGGGTCTGAGTTCTCCCGTGACCAATGGGTAGACATACTGAGCTAGCTCTTGGGCCGCTGTGTCCAATATGGCAGCCGCCGAGGCGTTGTTTGTGTACTCTTCAAAAACATACTTGGCAATGCTGGCAATGCGGGCCTTATCGCTGGATGTGTTCAAGAGCTTTATCACATTGCCCAGTAACTGCTGGGGCTTTCCATCAGCAAGCTCACCGATGATTTTGAGGTCCAAAGGCGAAAGAGAATCTGCAGATGCTTTTGTGATGTTTATCTTGTCCAGGACGGAGAGGGTATTCTGGATGGCTTTGACAGCAATGTCGAAACCACTGCCTTTATCTCCCAACAACGGGCCCCATCCACCTGATTTGCCAATGTTAACCACCTCGTTTTTGGACGTCCTGAAGGACATTGCTCCAGACCCGGTTCCAGCAATCAGAGTGATGCATGAGGTCTCTTTGCAGTTACTGCTGGTGAGAGCCCCAGAGAGCAAATAACTGTCTCCAGTGAGTTTGACATCGGTTCCGAACTTTTCGTCAAACAGTCTTTTAGCCTCGGAAACAATTTCTGGAGACGACGACGAAACACCAGCGAGTCCGAGCCACACTTTGCTGAAGAGGAGATCTTCAACCGGAGTAGTCAGGCTTCTGTTCAGTTCTTTGATAGCGTTGCCAACAGCTTCTGAGACAATCTTGAGAGATCCAGATGGACTGGCGGTAGCAAGATTAGAAGCTCCCGAATATCCAGTATATTGCAATCCTGTAGAGGTGGTGATTACGGCCTCAGTCTTGCTTCCACCACCATCAACAGCCAGATAAAACTCCTCATCTAAAGCATCCATGACCAGACTCTCCTCTGACGAGCTAGAACCTGAACGCTGGGCTGAGATAGATGATTCTGCACTGTCGGAGTTCTCAGAGGAATATTTATCCGTAGCTTCAAGGGCCAACCTAAGCTTTCCTTGGTGTTCTTCCAACAAAGCCCTAGATTCTTCAACTGACAATCCGGTTTTTCCAACCACAATCGCCAACTTCAAGCTCTTTCCACTCAAAGCAAGCAGACTGTCAATCTTGTCAGCAACCACTTTGGAGTCGTCGACTCTCACGAGACTTTTTTCACCTTTTTCGGTGACATAGTAGAACTCGGCTCCAGAGATCCTTTTGAAGATCCTTCTGGCCCGCTCTTCCAGCTTGAGATTTGTGGGTTTCACGTCAACCATCAAGTTGTTGTAAGTCTTGCCCAGCTTCACCATAATACCAGTACTCAACATGTTCAGCACCATTTTTGTAGCAGTACCAGCCTTCAATCTGGTGCTACCGGTAATAACTTCAGGACCAGTGACTACCTCTATCAGGTGATCACAGCAGTCTCTGGTCGCAAACTCGGATGGACGTACACATGTGATACCAACGGTCACAGCCCCAATACTTTTGGCAAAAAGTAGCCCGCTTATGACGTAAGGAGTTCTGCCAGAAGATGCGATTCCGATCACGGTATCGGTGGCAGTCAGGTTGATGTTCTTGAGGTCCGCAATAGCGAGCTCTTCGTCATCCTCAGCGCCTTCCTGAGCAATTCTGATCGCCTGGTCACCACCTGAGAGGATAGCCACGAATTGGTCAGGCGAGGCAGAAAACGTTGGTGGAATCTCGGCGGCATCCAAGAGACCAAGTCGACCACTGGTACCAGACCCAATATACACCAACCTTCCACCGGCAGCCACTCTAGGATGCACAGCATCAATAGTGGCGGCAATAGAAGGTAAAGACTCATTCACCACGTTCACAACCTTGGTGTCTTCGTTGTTCATGGCCTTGGCTATTTCCATGGAAGAGAACTGGTCGATTCCAACCGTGGCCAGGTTGATCGACTCTGTCTGCAGCACGTTGAGGTTCATCTTCACGGATATAAACTTGAGTCTATGAGCAGAACTAGCAAAATGAATTTTCCAGGAAAACAACCGTTCACTCGCCAAGCGACAAGCTTTTGCGAACGTTCGTGTTTTATTGCCCCAGCCCTTATAGAACATCATCGGGTAAATTTCCCGGAGGCCTCATTCTCTGGCTTATCGTGGAGTGCGCTACTCAAAACATCGGCGAGATTCTCCGACCGTGTTAGGCGATTGAGCCGCTCCACGACGATTGATAGAGTCAACAGGGCACGGCCACAGACGAAAAGCAACCGGGTTATATCTGAGGTAGAAGTCGAGGTCGAGGTCGGAATTGGTTCGAGGTTGTTCCTTAGTGCATCGACTAGTTTCACGATGAATATGAGAATGAAATTCTCGAATGCAGAGCTCCAGGCCCGTGTGGAGCAGGTGATGCGGAAATGGATCCAGAAGGATGATATCGAAACCGATCAGATTACGGAAGGTTCGATCCCCGGGGCTTGTGTTTTCGTCAAAGCGGGTGATAATGAAGCTCAGTACTGTGCTGGCTGGTCTTTGAGATACAGTGATGCGGAGGGTCACAATTTGGACAAGAAGGACTGGATTCCAATGGCCCCAGACAAGATCTTTGATCGTGAGTTGCCGTGATTTCTGAAAAGCTTTTCCACATTGACCGATACTAACGAGTAATCCCAATAGTTGCTTCCATCACCAAGATCTGGACTACGCTGTGTTTTTTCATCCTGCAAAAGGAGCACAATATCTCGATCGAGACTCCCGTCTACGAGATTCTGCCAGGGTTCCTCGAAAACAACGAGGAGTCTGTCTTTGACAAGAAAACCGTCTTAATAAGACATATCATGGCACACATGAGTGGATTTCACCCGGAACCAACTCCGCTGCTTGATTCTCCCGAGATGTGCTGTCTCCCTGTCTCAGAACTCCGGAAAAGCGTTATCTCCAACTCGTTGGTGACAGAACCAGGAACCCACGGTATCTACAGTGACGTCAACTATTTGCTTATGGGGTTTATCATTGAAACCGTTTCTGGCACATCGTTAGACAAGTACATGAACGAGAAGTTGATTGTACCAATGGGACTTCAAGATTCTGGGTTCAATGTGGGGAAAGACAAGTTTGCGCGAGTCGTTGCCAACGAGTATAGCAAGCCAGAGAGGGTATTAGGAAGGCCACAACCAATTCGCGGGACGGTTCACGACGAGAAGGGTCATTTGTTCAATGGAGTGGCCGGTCATGCTGGAATGTACTCTACTCTCGAGGATATGAAGGAGTTCTGTGAACTGTTACTAAATAAGGGTTTCTACAATGGCAAACAGATCGTTGATGCGGATCTTCTGGAGAACGGCCTCAAGTGCTACACCAGCCATCTTCCCGGTTACAAACGGGGTCTTGGTTTCGAGCTGGATAGCCACTTCACTATGGGGAAGGAATTTTGTGCTTTACCTGGAATCGCATATGGTCACACTGGGTTTACGGGTACCTCCTTCGTTATCAACAACGCTACCAGATCTTATGTGATTCTTCTGACCAATAGGACGCATCCCAACAGGGACATTAGCGGATCGTGTAATCCTGCAAGAGTGGAGTTTGCAGACCTGGCTGCTGAAGTTGCACGGTCAGAGTGATAAGGGAGATCAGCTATGATAACACTAGATAGACATCTTGGCAGAGTGAAAGCGATGGGATGAGCTGGGTTTTCCATAGATTTCCAGCTACCAATCGCCTGGTCGCGTTTGTAAAATATTCCAAATATTAATCCGAATAATGCCCCGTTTTTATTGCAATTTTTGCACTGTTGTGCCTATTAATCCCGTAGTTCATCTCTGCTTTAATCATGTACTCCACTCATCACAGCCATCCCACGATAAGGTTCAGAACTGCAACCCACTCGCCGTCAAAAAAAATCCTAACATTGTGCAACCAAATTTCTTTGAATTCGGTCATATTCCCGAAACCACGGCGACTTTCACACCCGCTCTCCAATATATTGCATTGTGATCAAACGATCATACAATCAGAAGTGGAACCACGGAGAATTTCGCCGGAGTGGCCAAATCGGGAAGGTCAAAATCGTTATCTGATGCTGGGGCTGCCCGAGGGGACATTGAACGCGTGGCAACCGGTTAATTAAGCCGATCCGTGCATATCATGTATACAATCATGTATATATAGGTGACAGACCTTTGCTTCGCTCCTCGAATGTGTGGCTAACCTTTCGTCATTCAATTTCGTGATGTCTTCCAACGGATCTGATATCGTTGCCAAGGCCTCTCTTGACCAGAACGTGGTCGCGGCCCAGTCGCCAGATGAGCCTGAAGTGACTCCATACTTGCAAAAAACCGGTCCATTGGCCACTGTGCTGAGGTTCCAAAGAGAACCCTGGTTCCAGATCTTGCTGATTTCTTTCGTGTGTTTCTGCTGTCCCGGTATCTACAATGCCCTTTCTGGTATGGGTGGTTCGTGAGTAGACAACATTTTTTCTTTCTTTTTTCAATTACCCCGTCGTGCCCTGCTAACACCTTTTAGTGGCCAAGTTAACACAGATGTGGCCTCTAACGCCAGTGTCGCTTTGCTCTCTGTGGGAGCAGTTACAGCCGCGTTTATTGTGGGTCCTATCTACGATCTTCTTGGATGCCAGATCTGTCTCTTGTTAGGAGGATGGACCTATGCTCTTTACGCCGGTTCGCTTCTCGCATATAACCACCACCACAATGGAGGTTTTGTGATTGCTGCAGGTGCCATTCTCGGTCTAGGTGCGGCTTTCCTTTGGATCCCCCAAGGTGTTATCATGACCACATACGTCCCAGAGGCCCAGAAGGGCCGTGCCATTGCGGTGTTCTGGATTATCTTCAATCTGGGTGGAAGTGTTGGTTCCTTTGCCTCGCTCGGCTTGAACTTCCACTCCAGCAAGGGAACCGTTTCGGACTCCACCTACATTGCTTACATCGTGATCATGCTTTTTGGTTGGGTTGTGGGTTCGCTGTTGCTTGTGACTGAAAAGCAGCTCAACGGCAAGTACACCGGTGCGAGAACCTCCACCATCAAGGAGAAGTATGCAGGTATGTCTCTTTCGAGAACCTTGGCAACGTTCAAGTTTGCATTTAGTGTGCTCACTCAATGGAGAATGTTGTGTCTGATTCCAATGTTTTTCTATGCGAACGTATTCTACACCTACCAGCAGAATGCGGTCAACGCAGAGACTTTCAACATCAGGACGAGATCGCTGAACTCTGCCCTTTATTGGCTTGCTCAGATGTTTGGTGGTCTTTTCATGGGTGCCGTGCTGGATTTCGGCAGATTGACCAGAAAACAGAGAGGATGCGTTGCGTGGACCATCCTGTTCGTTACTGGCTTCTGTATTTGGGGTGGTGGATATGCGTTCCAACTCTGGAGCAACAAGCGCATTGCTGCCGGCCATAAACAAGACGTGGACATGAGAGACAGAATATACATCGGCCCAATGTTCTTGTATATCTTCTACGGTATGTATGATGCCTTGTGGCAGGGATTCTGCTACTGGATGATTGGTGCCAACTCCAACAACCCAGCCGTGAATGCCATCATGGTCGGTGCTTATAAGACATCGCAATCGTGTGGTGGAGCCATGGCATGGCGTCTTAGTTCAACTCACGTGCCAGCTATGAACCAGATGGCCATGAACTGGGGATTGACAATTGGAACTCTTTTGATTGCCGTTCCATCGGTCCTGACCATCTCGCTCACCTCGCAGGATCCCGGGAACACTATTGAGGGCAAGGACGAGGAGGCCGCCCCAGAGTTTGTTACCGCCGATGAGAAGGTTGAGCTTAAATGATGGCAAGCATAGTTTACATAATATAGTTTAGTATCTATTTCTTTTAGTTGATATCTGCAATGTTGAATAAGCCGCACGTAAGGCTAGAATCGTGAGTGAATGGTGGGCGAGTCAGCTCTATGGGGCAACACCTTCGATCACTAATACTGTCTGTAATTACATAATTTGTTCCATGCTTTGCTTCCTTCTTTCACCAAAAAGTCTTACATTTGACCTGGAATCTACGATAATTTGGTGATCCACCTAGAACACACCAGCCGCACCAGCCACATCTCTATCGCCAAATCTCCCAATATCAAAGGGTCTCCCAAAACCACAAACCTCATATAGACCCTTTTCCTACCTCCGTCTGTGGGACCACCATTATGGCCGCACTTTAGACAAACGAAAGGTCCCGAAGACTCGAAACAAAAGACTGAAAAATGTCGCAGGTAGCCACAGCAAAGAAGTACAAATGCTGCACGCGATGTCGCTCATTCAAATTGCGGTGTGATCACGACCCTTTGTCAAACCCAGTGGTGTGTAAGACATGCCAGGCAAAGGGTTTGGAGTGTGTGTTCGAAGACAAGATCAACGAGAAACAGATGATACAGACGATTAATACCAAGCTAGAAAGAATCGATAATATAGTTGGCAAGTTGGTGAGCCATCTTTCCAAGGGTGGAGCCAAGGTGTCCAAAGAGAGCATAATACAAAGTCTCACACAAGGGCTAGAATTTAGTCCGAACCAGTTCTCGCCCTCAAAAGTGACCACCATGTCGTCGCCTGAGCTCGAAATCACTCCCAACAAACGAAAGTCGTCTTTTGACTCCGACAGGAAAGATACCAAGAAGCCAAACCCAAACAAGAAGCTCACCAAAAAGACAGAACAGATGTTGCTTGACTTTTTCACCAACAACATATCGCGATATTTGCCTGTTCTCATATTCGAGGATATGCCGAAGCCGACCTCTAAATTGCGGAAAGATTCTCCACTGCTGTTCTTTTCAACGCTATCCGTTGCCTCTCTGTACCACACAGACCACAGAGACCTGCATGAGACTTTCAGTGCCAAATTTGAAGACCTGGCACGAAAGCTAGATCCAAGCAGCCTTAATGAATCTGTTAAGGATGAGGCTTTGAAACGGGTGCTTGACGATGTTTTGGGACTGGTGATAGCCGGGGCTTGGTTGGGTACCGAGTTCGGGTTCAGGATGAGTCTTTTAGCCGGAGACATTCTGGGAAGATTGCTACCGGAGGTTTCTCAGGAACTGGACATGCCAGACAGTCTGAAGAAGTACTTCTGCTCAGTTGGGGTTGGCAGCTATATCGTGGAACAACGTTTGCGAATCATTCACAACCGACCCATCATGCCTGCTTCCAAGAGCGTGGAGTATCGCGCACGGCGAGACGCTTACCTGCCTTATTTTCTGACTGCTAACTCCAAAGAGAGTTCTATAACTCACAAATTGAGTCCCAGTGAACTCAAGGCCAATGCCAATGTCGAACTGTGCACGATCATTATGTCTTACCAACAGCAACTAACACTAAACGGGATAAACTCTGGTACATTGATCTTGTGGAACGAAAGACTGAACTCTTGGCTTGCTGATTGGCTTGGAAAAGTTGTCACAAGTCTACGTCCTTCCAGTTACAAACCGCTTTTGCTGACTTTTCACTTTGCCAAACTGTTTTTGAACTCAAGAGTCATCCAGAGCACCTCGTTAATGCATGAAAACCCGGCTGCCTACTCGAGTATTATAGCGCTTGCCCAGAACTCAGCCGTCGATATTCTGGAGATGCTAATCAATGATTCAGACATGAAGCGACTCATCAGTGTGAGTCCTGTGTTCTACCCTACCACTTTCTCTACGGCTGCTGCATTTTTGCTCAAGCTCTTGAAGGAAGCACCCCAGATCAATCATCGCGTTAACGCCCCGTTCATCCTGGATATGATTGGGAAGACCTACCATCTTCTCAATGAAGTAATTGATTCCCCAGTTCTTCCGTGCTTTGAAACGGTCACGAATTTGGGTATCTGGTTTGAAAAGGTGAGCTCTAGCCTACGTGAGACTCAGTATAGTGAGGTATATCGTGGTTCCAATGGGCCTGATCAGGCTCCCAAGGGCCGTGAGCCTGTTTTTGTCCCGCCTTTAACAAAGGCTCGTGAGCAGACACCAGGCTTTGACAGGCCCTATTTCAACATGACCCTTTCCAAAAGCATGGAAGGTGATAACGATTTCTCCAGAACAGTGATTGGACAATACCAGCCCCTCTCAACACCCATGTTGACTGCTACTAGTATGGAGATGCCGGTGTTTGCAGTTGGCGATCACGAGTCTGTTGGTGTTGGTGTTGATGTGGAGGCTGATGATATTTACGGTAATGTGTGGAGTTTCGATAACAATGATCCGAACTTTTTAGTGGATGCGCAGGGAGCGAGTATATTGGATTCGTTGATGGAGGACATGCCTTTGCCATTGTGATGATGAACGATTATTTGGTGAAGTTATCGTTATGAGATTGGATTTATGGAGTTGGTATTATAAGTTGGTGAACAGCTCATGGGTTAGAATGCCATTGTGAGCTGTTATTGAGTTAGGTTGCTTCTCTAAGGCTAGGACGTTGAGTAACCGGTTGGTATTACCTGCAGATCAAGCCCGTCAAGACCAATTAGATCACCATTGGAATGCTTTCTTGCAGCTTTTGTTTTTGATTTATAGAAGAATTACAAGTTGGAAATATGGTCTTCTTGCGCTTCACATTCTTGAACTTTCTTTAGTCCTCGCATCTACTTCTTCAACCCAAAAGGATTTCCCGTTTCGGCGACCCACTCGTTGCTCTTATAGGTCTCCGTCTGATCCGCGCCCGGATACAAATTTCCAAGACCCTTGCTGTAAGATGAAAAAGTCCATTTTCTTCCATCCCACTCCTTCTCAACAACCGGAGTCTTGGCCAGCTTCATCTGTTTGGAGACTTCTTCGTTGGCATTCCAAACACGCAAAAGGTTCCCACCAATCAGACCCTGGATCTGCTCATCGGTTGCACCTCTGGCCATACATTTATAGATGAGATCCGGGTATTTGGTGACATCTTCGAGTCCCTCGGGCACATATTGAATCCCGTCAAAGTCGGAGCCGAACCCAACGCATTCCCAGCCGGCCACGGAAGCCACATGGAAGATATGATCAACAGCATCGTCGATGGTGGCTATGGAACGTCCGTTGGCATCTTCTTCCTTGGTCTGGGTTATGAAGGCTGGGAAAAAGTTGACTTGGACAACTCCGCGGTTCTCCTTGACCCTCAGCAGTACATCGTCTCTGACATTGCGCTCATGGGGAGTCAATGCATAGGCAGATGAGTGGGAAAATATTACAGGAGCCTTGGTAACATCCAGAACATCTAGCATCGTCTTATACGACACGTGCGAGAGATCCACCATCATACCAATGCGATTCATCTCAAGCACTCCACGGACCCCGTACTCGGAAAGCCCCTTGTCCGGAAGACCACCAGTTACCGAGGAAGCAGCTGTGGCAAAAGGATTGTCACAATTGTGGGTCAATGTGATATATCTCACGCCCAAATCGTAATATTGGCGAATAACAGCGAGCGAAGTATCCACCTGATGCATCCCCTCCACACCCAGGGTAACAGCAATCTTCTTGTTGGTACGATAAGCACTCAGGGCTTCCTTACTGGAATTCACAAATTCAAAGTCCTCGCTGTATTCTTGCATCAACCGCTTGGTTACGTCGATCTGCTCAAGCGTATCTCTGACAACAGTGCTGGTGAGGTTGAAGTCCTGGTAGTATGGGTCGTTGCTCTTGACCTCAATGTAGCAGCTGAAAAATTGCAGTCCCAGTCGACCCTTCTTCAGTTTATTGATATCTGTGTGGGTGTTGAGCTTGTGAAAATCGAAATCCGGGCCCTGGATCTCATTGTGCAACTGGATACGAACAACATAGGGAAAGTCGTTGTGCGTGTCCGTGATGGGCGTATCCACCAGAAGCCTATTTAGCCTTTCCTCGGGAGTTTGTTCAGTGGAGTTCGTCATGCTTTTGAATATCCGTGCTAACAGTGCAAGCATGTGTAATAGCTGGAAGAATGGCGAAAAGGAGCGAGAAGAACTGAGTTTCAACGAGTCCCCCCAACATTCGCATCGGACCAATCGAGCAGCGTGTGCCACACGGCTGGAGACTATCTGAAAATACTCGGATAAAGATTCCGAGGAGGCCTTTCCACTTTTTTCGGCCCATTTCTGGATGGATTGTGGCGCATTATTGCTTGATAGATCCAGGAGGCTATGTGAATGGCACAAACAAATCAAATTTGCAACCTCTGGACTGAGAGGCGATTTCAACTTGACCCTTCAAGTGTTTGTATGGTTATCTATGGGCATTATCAGTGGGGAAATATATATCGTGTCTCCAACAAGTGTCACTTTGGTAAATGCACACTGGCAGATTTTTGAAAAGTGATTCGAGAAGTTTATAGAGCCGTTGCAGTTAGAGATCACGGCAGCTCCGCTACATATATTTCTCCATTCACACCGTCAGCCTTTTCTCATAATGGCTCCAAAACGCCCACTTGGTATAGGTAAAGCTCTCAAGCGGAAAAAGCTGAATGCTGAGGAAAGGAAAGAGGAAGGCATCTCTGCCCCCACAGAGATCGAAGTTCAGCTAAGTTCAACTGCAGATGCCGATGACGAGCTCGACCAATTGCGCGCATTATGGCTCACATTTTTGGACGCCAGTGATAATGAGCTTGTTTTGAATGGTGTGGTTCACGAGTGTGATAGACTATTGCGCAACGACACCGAGTCGGAGTCTAAACTTGGAGATGACTTCCATGCCATCTACGCACTGGCATTATCCAGACTGGCATCGTTTACACAGGATAATTCCGAGGTAGGAGATTATTTTGAAGCAGCTCTCGAAAGGGTGACCTTAGGACTTGAGCGGTTTCCCAAGTCCGCAAAGCTGTTGTTTGCCAGAGCCGCGATCATTTTGAGCCGCATCCCATTGCAGTATGTGTCCCAGATGGACCTCGACACCCAGATCTCCAAAAAAGTGCCTAAGATGGGGTTGCTCGTCGATGAAGCTTTGCAAGCTTATTCTGAGGCCGAGTCTGTTGCTGAGTTGGCCGATTTTGATGCGCAGACGTTTGACGTCCTGGACGCTTTGGATGATCTGCTGGATCTGGCCAAACACTACGGAAATGACGAAATGGAGCATGGAATGGATAGTGACGATGAAGATGAGGATGACTCTGCTGATGAAGGTGGTTTGGCAGAAACTCATCCCCTGAAATCCCTGAAGGACTCCAAATACAACGAGCATTGGAGAGACCATACCCTGACGTTCCTGGCAAAGCTGGACGAAAAGGCAAGCGGAGAAGATGTCGAGCTAAAGAGGAGTGTTTTGAAGAAACTGGGTCAGTTTTATCTGCTTGAATCTGAGACTCCAGCCTCTATCTATATCTCTCTGGCATTTGGAGAAGGAGCAGACGAAGCCACTCAGGACGCCAAAACTGCCCAAAAAGACGCAAAACGTTTCACAAAAACTGCGGTGGACTATCTGATAAGAGCACAGAATCCAGACGATCCACAGAGTCTGGTGGACGTTGCTGAAGCGAAGATTTCGCTTGGTAATTTGTATCCACTGGAAGGTGAGGACCAGGAACGTCTCTATAATGAGGCCGAGGCGCTTCTCGAAACAGCCAACAAGGCTACTCACGGAAAATACGACAATATCTTGGAGAACCTACGTGGTGAAAATGCAGACATGACGTCGGTAAATGCTTAAACATGGTCAACAATAAAAAAAAGTGCATACCCTAGTAACGAGTGAATGTAGTGCCCGGGCAAAAAGTACACGGGTAGTGTAAACCAAACATCTCCTTTAGACAAAACCTTAGAGACCGATCTCGATTCTCTCTCGTCACCAGCTAAATCAGACTCGATTTCCAAAGCATCCCAGGATGAGCAAGTCGTTGAAAACATTGAGCGATGATTTGTGGAAAAATCGGGTGGAGAAGGTGGTGAGTATATGAAGAGCCGGGTACGACTGTGTAGCAGATGTGGCAGGTGTGACCGGTATGATGAATAAAGCTTTGATCAAACAACTAACATCTCTTTACAGAACTCTGAACTTTTTACGTTGACATATGGCTCCTTGGTGGCACAGCTGTGCCGGGATCTGAACTACAACTACGCTGAAGTCAATGCGCACCTCGAAAAGATGGGTTATAACATCGGACTGAGACTGGTGGAAGAGTTTTTTGCACAGACCAACCTGGGGCGATGCCAGACGTTCCGTGAAACAGCAGAAGTCGTAGCCAAGGTCGGATTTCGCATGTTCCTCAACGTGGTGCCGCAAGTCGTGGGTGTGGATGAGAAACAGTTCAGCCTGGTGCTGGATGAGAACCCGCTGGCCGAGTTTGTGGAGTTGCCCGATGATGGCAAGGCCTTCAAGGAGCTGTGGTACTCTAATGTGCTTGTGGGTGTGTTGAAGGGTGCCTTAGAAATGGTCCAGCTAGAAGTGAACGCGTTTTTCGTGAGCGATGTGCTAAGAGGGGATGATACCACGGAGTTGAAAGTGAAGTTGGTGCAGGTATTGAAGGATGAAATCCCAGTAGGCGAGGATTGAATTGGTTAGTATGCAATATAATTCGAAATACAGTCTCTTTGATACACGTTTTCTCTCTCTCGGGTCTTCTCACCAGACTATCCAGGAAGCGTCTATCCGACTGGGGTTTGTTGTTCAAGCTACCAATTGAGTTCATAACTTTCAGAAGAGCTAGCATTCTTATATGAACAATCCAAACCATGAGATATATTTCTGGTGGCCCTACTGTGGCTTGCTAGTGGGTGTTTAATCATGGGCCCTTCGTCGTGTACACCCTAAAGAAATAAGAGTTGTTTGGGACAATCAACACGACCAAATGGGTATTGAAAGATGATATCCTGGTATTATTCTATATCTCTAGACTGGAAGAATTCAATGAATAATCAAAAAATCGTCAAAAATTGCTTTCTCAGTCAGCCAGTGGACAATCAATGAAACTCAAAAATGTCGTGTATTAATCCAAACCCACCCAGAGGCCTTAGCTCATCTTCTACGTCAACTTTATTCTTGCTCTCCGCTTTTTCTCCGCGCCTATTGTTCGAGGCATATCTGTCTTCGACTTTGGCTGTTTTTGGCCGATTTTGGCCCGTTGGTTTTGCAATATAAGAAAGCGAGACTCAATTGATCTGCCGTTACCACAAAATTCAATCACAACTGGCCATGGGATCAAATGATGCACAAACCGAACAAAAGCCTCTGCTCGCCACTGAGTCAGAGGAGAAAGATGTCAACAGATCCAAAAAACGCCAGCCAAAACCCACAATTGTCTACGACTTCTTGATGTGGCTGTCGCTGATTGTAACCGATATCTTCTTTAGGGAAGTCAAATTCACGGGAACCTTCAACATACCAGTGAGTGGACCGGCTATCATCGTGATAGCACCACACGCTAATCAGTTTCTGGATGGAGCGCTGACTATGCTGGCACTCAAAAAAGCCGTCAACAGACCACTACACTTTGTCGAAGCTGCTACTTCGTTGAAAAGGCAGATAGTTGGCAAGTTATCGCGGATGTCTGGCGCCATCCCCGTCGAGCGACCCCAGGACCTTCTCCGGCCCGGTCCGGGAACCATCACGTTTTCAAATTACGAAACAGATCCTTGTCTCTTGGTTGGTACTGGCACACAGTTCACCAAAGATTGCGAAGTTAAAGGGCTGATTGGCCTTCCTCATTCGGCCGGGTCATCCAAAATCCAAGAAGTGGTTAGCGACACAGAAATCCGCATTTCCAAGCCTTTCAAGACAGGGATTGCCGTGGACATGATCAAGAGTGGAACTCCTTACAAAGTTGCACCCAAAGTGGATAACGGTCATGTTTTCAATGCTGTTTTCGCCCAATTGCACCGTGGTGGTGTTGTTGGGATATCTCCGGAGGGTGGATCTCACGATAGGACAGATCTATTGCCTTTGAAACCTGGCGTTGCCATCATGGGGCTCGGTGCCGTTGCCGAAGACCCCACATACCCGATCAAGATTGTTCCTTGTGGCATGAACTACTTCCACCCTCATAAGTTCCGTTCCAGAGCTGTGTTGGAATTTGGTACACCCATCGTGCTCACTGCAGAGGATGGTGCAAAGTATCGTGAAAATCCAAGGGACACAGTGAGTGCCCTTCTGAAGACTCTCACGGATGCCATGAAGACAGTGACTGTGACATGTCCTGATTACGAGACTTTGATGATCATCCAGGCCGCCCGTAGGCTTTACGACTTCCCCATCAAACCTGTACCCCTGGGTGCTGTTCTCGATATGAACAGAAGGCTTATTATTGGTTATACAAGATACCAGGACGATCCGCGAATTATGCACTTGAAAGATTCTGTTCTCAGATACAACGCTAAGCTCGAACAACTCGGGATTAGAGATCACCAAGTGGAGATCGCGCGCGTGGGAAAGCCAAGAGTATTTTTCAGACTTCTTCAAAGGGTGGCCAGTCTTGCGATCATGGCAACACTTAGTCTTCCTGGCACTCTTTTGTTTTCACCGGTGTTTATAGCTGCTAAGGTGATATCAGCCAAGAAGCAGAGAGATGCATTGGCGAACTCTACAGTCAAGATCAAAGCCAACGATGTTTTGGGCAGTTGGAAAGTTTTGGTGGCGATGGTGGTGGCACCATTGTTGTATTTCACATATTCTCTTCTTGGTACAATTCTTCTGAGGAGATACGAAATTGTTCCGGTTGTTTCCAAGTTGCATCCTCTGGTCATATTTTGTTTGATATGGGCTGTTCTGGTAAGCACCACGTTTGCAGCCTTCTGGATTGGTGAGGTGGGTATGGATATCTTCAAGTCGATCAGACCATTGTTCTCAGCTCTTGGGCCGAATCAAAACATGCTGCAGGAAGTCCAGGAAGAAAGAAGAAGGCTGACCATGGAAGTGACAGGGGTTTGCAATGATCTCGGACCGAAGGTGTTCCCCGACTTCAACCGGGTGATCCAGAAGAGCATTCATAAAGGACTGGATGAGGAGGAGGAAGAGAGAGAAGACACTGCCAAATCTGTAAGCATGCGGTCACAATCATCCTCATCACTGAACTCGATTGTTTCGACTGGACCCAGTTCTATTGCGAGTGTTGGTCCTTTGGAAAACCTTGGTGATATCCAAATCTTTTCTGATACTCCGGCCCGGACCCGTCGACCATCTGCAGATGTTTCGAACTGGATTGAGCAGGCGGTGATATCAAAGAACAGAGAAAAGTTGAAAGAGCTTTGAGAGGAGACAGGAGCAACACATTGGTTCAAAAAAAAAGGAATATTCATTTAATTACACACATAGGGACGTTTCTTATCGCAAAGATACCAAGCTATCGCATATAGGGACCTATCAAGCTTTATTTCGCGTAAATCATTTCCTTTTGGCTACTTTTTCACCTCGTCTTCGTCCTCTTCGCTGTCGGTAACCAAAAATGTGTCATTCGATACAGGATCTGGCTGGACAGTCTTCAAGGGCTCCCACTTGGTCTTCGTTTCCACTGGTTCCTTAGCCTTGGGTGTGGTTGGAGTTCCATATATGTCTTCTGGGGGATTTGGAAGAGTCTTTTCGGGTAAATCGTTGTCTTTCAGTGTAATTCCGTGAACTCCTTGGACGGCTTCATCCTCGCGTCTGTCGCGGTTGTAACTGATGTTATCGTTGGACTTGTTGGAGTTACCAGAGCCGGTACCAAATGCAGAAAACAGCTCGTTGGAACCGTCAGTTTGTGAGTTAATTCTCTGCTTGAATCCGCCGATCCAGCCTCCCAGTTTGGCTCTTGCCTCCTCCACATTCTTGTTGAACTGCTCCTTGATCTGTGGCAAGTCCTTCTCAATAAACCTATCCAACACATCGTCATCCTCACCATCTGGGCCTTCCTGGTATCTCCTTCTGCCAGCAGCTCCGGTTCCCGAGTGTGGATTTGCGGAACTTCTCCTGGATCCACCACGGCCCGATTGACGCTCGTACTCACGTGCAAGTCTTCTGGCCAATGCCTCGTCGCTTTCCAATTGCTTGTTTCTGGAAGGAAGTTTAGGCTTTGGCACAACAGCTGGGATGACTAGCTCTTGCTCGACAGTTGGATCGTTCAAATACAGCAAAGCGCTGAATGCCGGGTCCATCTCACCACGCGAAGCAATCAGAACCATGGTGATGTACTTATCGTCAACGTCGGGAAACGCATCCTTGAGGGTCTTTTTGGCCAATGCTTTCGGCGAAAGAGGCCTGGGTGGTCTTGGGGGTGGAGCGGCCTCAGTAGACGGAGCAGAGGTAGTTTCGGTTGCTGGAGTGGTCTCTTTGACAGTGTCCGGCTCTGTAGTGTCTTCCGTTACCGGCTCTTTCTCCAATTCTTTCTCCGATACCGGCTTCGACTCTATGGTTTCGCTTACGGGCTCTGCGGCCGTTTCTGTTGGTTTTTCTGTGTCACTCATTGTTCTTGATGATGATTGAAGAAATTGGGTTGGTGCTTAGAGCTGGTGTGGCCAGTTGTCTGATGGATCCTTGCCCCTTTACGGTATGGTGTGCGTTGATTGATTTAAGCCGCATGCAATTAAGAGAAGTTAACTATGGGAGGAAGGGCTAAGCTAATACCATCATTTTCGGGATTTTCGAGAAAGGGAAGCCAAATAATACATGGTTTCATTTGTTTAGAGTAGGATTGCATTATTCTATCACTGATTTTGCTGAGAATAATGCCCCTTCCAAAAGGCCACTACATTTAAAGCTCAGATAGAGCCGATTGAAGACCCTTTGAAAAATGGCAGTCTCCAAAAAAGCTCGAGAACAACATGAACCGTTTGTGGGGCCGACTACGATTCTTTCTCTCACCTTGGCTAGTGTATCACCCCAAAAAATGAGTTCACATAGAAGCATATCTAGCTTTCTACCACGGTTCAGATATGCCTCGACAATCGCCTTTGGCAGACGTGTAGCGGAACTGGATGCAAAGGCTATCCGGGAACTGCCCACTCACGAATTGTTGCAGAGACTCGGATACATCCGCCAGGACCACGCTGGGCTCGTGCATTGGCTTCCTCTTGGATTACGGACTCTTCGCAATATTGAGACCATAATTGGCAAACGAATGACCGAATGTGGGTCTCTAGAAGTGGCCCTTAGCAGTATCTCTGGTTCAGAGCTATGGAAGAAAACTGGCCGCTGGGGAAACGAAGAGTTGTTCAAGTTGAAAGGTGATTTTTGTCTCGTTCCAACATGTGAGGAGGAAATAACGCGATTGGTCAATGATGCTGTAAGTAGCTACAAAGAGCTTCCCTTGGTGGTACACCAGATCACGCGAAAGTACCGTGATGAGAAGCGTCCTCGAGCTGGATTGCTGCGGGGCCGCGAATTTTTGATGAAAGACGCATACTCTTTTGACTCTGATGAAGCCGGTGGTCTCGCTACTTTCGAGCGACTAAACTCGGCTTATCGTGCCATTTTCACGGATTTACGGGTTCCCTTCGTGGCGGCCAATGCGGATAGCGGCGATATAGGCGGTGATCTTAGCACAGAATGGCACTATCGCCATTCTTCTGGTGAGGACGTGCTGTTTGAGTGTTCGGGGTGTGGGTCGGTTAGCAATTCTGAGAAGGCTACCTCGGTGCCGGCTGAAACGGAGCCTGCTGCTAGGCGTGCCAAAGCAGCCTATTTCACCACCCAGAGTCGTGACAAGCTGGTGGTGATGTACTACCCGGAAGACAGAGTTCTCAATCCTCAATTTGCACGCAGCGAGATTCCTGATCTAGACCTTTCTTTGCGAGATGAGGCTGCTGTTCTTGAAATTTTTGAAGACGAGGATGCGTTTCTCAGCAAATGGATTGTTCGTATAATGGATCCGAGAGTGACGCGTGAAACTGACCTTCCTGATCTCAAAGTTCCTTACCACCGGAACGCGATGTCCACGTTTTTGGACGTTCCATTGGTGGAGGCCCGTGAGGGTGAAGTTTGTGGTTCATGCTTTGAAGGAACGCTTTCTGCATCGCGGGCCATAGAAGTCGGTCACACCTTCTATCTAGACGAGAAGTATTCTTCCGCACTTGGAGCCGGGTTCACTGACGAATCTGGAGCATTCACGCCATTCAAAATGGGATGTTACGGAATTGGGGTATCACGATTGGTGGCTGCAATTGCAGAAGTTTTAAGAGACTCTCAGGGACTCAGATGGCCGGCTACAGTTGCCCCATATAAGGTTGGAATTGTTCCTGGATCAGGAGCAGATGAAGAGGTCATAACTAAGGCAAAGACACAGCTCGAGGAAGCAGGTTTCAGCGTGCTGGAAGACTCACGTCCAAAGGTGTCTGTAGGCAAGAGACTTCGTGAGAACAAATGCCTTGGACTTCCTCTCCAGATCATCATTGGCAAGCTATATCCGCTTGTGGAGATTGAGGTTCGTGGCCAGAGGTTTGGCACTACATCCGAGGAGGCACAGAGGTCTGGAAAATGGAACTGGGAAGTTGTAAGCAGCGATGTCGGTGAAAAACATTTGGTTCATGTGGACGATCTCGTGGAGGTGGTGGGAGTGTTACTGAAGGATCTTTGAGGTTCACATCCCTATGCCATCGCAATTTGTACATATCAGCATTATGACGGAAACGTCTACGGTTAGGACCGCAAAGAACGCTCTCAAAGGTTTGAAAGCCCTGAAATATATTTCGGGATATAAGTTGTTCTGGATTTTACTTTAAAATAGAAGGTCTCAATCATATAAGCTCTATCATGCTAATATCCCAGAACAGAGCCAGCGTTTTGTACGTAGATTATGGATGGATAAATTTTTCAGCTGCAATCTCAAGCAGTCAATCTTCCAGTTACCTTGGCCAACACGTGCAACACAATCACCGAGAAAATAAACCCAACGGCAAGCACAAGCACCACCAATGGGTCTACCTTGAGCCCCTGGGCCTCGTCGGTGTATAATTTGAGCATGGTCGACGACGAGCCACCCGCACCGGCAGCTCTCGACGAGGTTGGAGCCTGAGCAGCCTGCTGCTGCAGCTTCTTGTCTTGTGTAGCCTTTCTCTTAGCCAGCGTACGGGTACCACCTGGGACCGAAGATGATTTTCCAGACTATGAGAGTTAGCAGCTGGGATCGCCCGAAATAAAGTGACATAGACCAGATCAATAGATCCTGATTCTATCGTGTTGCATTTCATGAAAACACTTACCATGATGTATCGATTGTATGTTACTGATATCTAGTTGAACAGCCTCGTCGAGATCTCGCTGGCACATTTGAATTGCCCGTCGTATCGGCGATGTTGGTACACGACGTGTGTGTGAAAACTAATCTAGCCGTGCACCGCACGTGATTGAAGGTGAAGTCCTGGGATTGGCTATAGCCGAATATTTTGAATTGAGAGAATCATTTTGTTTATGTTTCCGAAATTTGGAAAGGTACTTTTGCTTTGATCCAAAAATATCAGAGAAAATCTGACGTTGTGCATCGATTTGCCGTTGGCTGTGATGTTGCTTGGTGGATCTGGATTCGAAGGCATTTTGTGAGGCTGTAATGGTTCATTTTTTAAAGGTTTTGGTTTTGATTAACATTGGTAGTCTTGAGCAATTGCTCGTTTTGTTCTCTTTTTCAGTAGCATCACCATTTTTCTAGAATACTCGACTTTTGCAGATTTCTGTACCTTCTGGAATCCGTGATATTGCTCATCTGTCTGAGCCGCACACCACTATGCACTACCTACTTACTGAAACTTTTAACTCACCACCCAATTCATCCTCATCAACAAACTGTTGAAACAGAAAAAACTTTAGAATATTATAGACTTCACTATGCCAAACCGTCTTGTTTCTTTTTGACCAAAATTTCCATGTGAATTTATGATATTCCCGCATCCTTTGCACATTCACATTGCCCATGCAACCTGCAGTGCAGCCACCGTAGTCGTGTACCGTCATGTCGTGCCCAGCCCACGCACCAACCAATTGGAGCCGGAAAGTCAGCGAAGCTGAAAATGTCGAACAGTTTCACGCTAAACCAGCTCAACCCCAAGAGCCAACCGTCCCAGTTCAGCCAATCAGTCGCCGTTAAAAGCTAGTCGTCACCCGTCTGGAGCGTTACTCGTCAAACGCTTTCCGCAACTGCCCCGGACCCCCAAGCCCCGATAGATTCGTGTCGCTACCCCCTGCCACCTACAACGCACGCCCCAACAAGGCCAATCACGCACAGATACGCCCAAATGGACATCAGACAACTCTCACAGACCCCGTTAATGGAGCCAAATTCGGTACAGCGCCGGCCATCTATTTCGTCGCTTTCGTCGGCTTCTGGCTATGCTAGTTCGACCTACGGCAACAGCAATTCGTACTCAACTGCCGCCATTCCACCCAATACCACGGGAAACTCATTCTTGAGTTCCCGTGTAACTCAGTCGAGACACTTCGGCCCAACTTCAACCCAAAATCTGCAACAGTCGCCGCGCGCCTCCCAGAATGCCCAGGTTTCCATTAATCAGATGGGCCAACAGCAGGGCTTCAACCCGAACTGGCTGCCGCAGACAACTCCGATGATGAACGTTGGCCCATGGATAGAGCAGCAGGCCCAGGTGGCCCCTGACTTGAACCCTCTAGCCCCAATCAATTCCATCAGCATGGGTGCTCTCAGCCAATCGATGCAGCCTCACCTGTCCGACTTGGACCAGCTTTCGATGCAGGTCCCTTCAACTGCGCCATCTCGCAATAACAGCATTGGTACAAAGCCCCAGTTAGATGACAAGAGCGGCAGCGTCAGTGACGATGAAGCCAAGGATGACGATCTGATTCCTACAGCCATAGTGATCAAGAACATTCCGTTTGCCATCAAGAAAGAGCAGCTGCTAGATGTGATGACCAAACTGTCGTTGCCTTTGCCATATGCCTTCAACTACCATTTTGACAATGGTGTCTTTCGGGGACTGGCGTTCGCCAATTTCACATCCACCGACGAGGCCTCTTTGGTCGTTAACCAACTGAACGGTCGCGAAATCGGTGGGCGTAAGCTGCGTGTCGAGTACAAGAAGATGCTTCCTCTTGTGGAGCGTGAAAGAATCGAGCGCGAAAAACGTGAAAAACGTGGCCAACTAGAGGAACAACACCGTTCTAGCTCGGCGACTTCGTTGGCATCCATGTACTCAACAGCCTCGGCTCCAGCCGGAGCTCCAGCCAACAAGTTTGCTCAGCCAACGGACACACCCCAGAAGGGCCAACAGGGCATTTCTCCAAGCTCGGTTTCTTCAGCTGTTCCAGACAGACTGTATGCTGCGATGCCACAACAGCCACCTATCCCTCCAGCGGGATTGGATTTCAACGACCCAGAGGTTCTGGAGCTTTATTCACAGTTCCTGGTGTTCAGAGACGACAAAGAAAGAGCACACTCTGAGTTGGCATACGCAGCAGCATCTTCAGCATCTCAGCGCAGAGCTATTCCTCAGCTGTGTGCTTTCATGGGTCTGAGTGACTCATACGAGAACGGGCTCGTGATTGTGAAGCGACTTGCCCCAGTCAACCCGGGCTTGATCAGATCCCACTCTTTTACTCTCCAATCGCAAACAGGTGCGATTGCTGGCCAGGGCGGTCGCTACAGACAGCAATCACCCAGAAACGTGGGTAGCTCTGTACCTCAATCGCAGAGCCAATCACAACAGTTCTCTGGCTTCCCTCCACAACAGCCACAACAGCAATCACAACAACAACCGCCGCCTCCAGGACTCCAGTCTAATTCATCCACGTCGAATTTAGCCCTTAACGCTGCCATGTTGAGAGGCCCAAGACCCAACTCACAGCTGAATCTGTTGGCACAGCCACAAGGAGCCAAACCGGGCGACTTCCGGATACAGCAGCAACAGCAATCTCAGTTCGTGGGGATGATGAACAGTCCTAACCCTCAACAACAGCAGCAGCAAACGCCCTTTATGGCATTCAATAACGGTTCCTCGTCAAGCGTCCAGAAGACTGACGATTTGCCCATCAGACTGGACTATCTCAGCTTCAACTGAGCGAAAATGACCACAAAAGACAAAACAGGTAATGCGAAACGCGGTTTATGCTTTTAACGATTTAAAATAGGCCTCGCGCCTTTTTTCTTACAAAACTACACTTTCTTGAAGCTCATGATGTCGTTGCCCTTCAGAAGTTGATACATTCGGCCTGAACTAGGTCTACAAAGGCTTACACCGAGGCCTCCACTAAGACCAAACCAAGACTTTTACCCCTTTATTTCCTTTGTTCTTCCTATTACGAGATGATATAATGTGAATGACGATTATATAAACACACTAATGTTCCTTCACTTTGAAGAACTGTCGAGATAAACTGTAGATGTCAATGCAGACCAGACTGACCAGCTCAGATTCGTGTGCAACACAAAACTTAAAGCTGTCCACGTAGGAAGGAGGTTTGAAGCAACGAGAAAAGCTCCAAGCAAGTATTTTTTCGGCAAAAAAGGGCATAATAAGTTAAGTGACACCCGAAAGATTATAATTCAAAATTTATATCTTTTTAAGAGACAAATTTTGCGCGGAACTCCATTCCTTGAAGGCAGGGCAGTATTAGCTCAGTTTCGCTTGCACACGACGCGTGTCTCTTACTTTCCTCACGCGTCGTATCCAAACAAGCCAAAGAACTGTTAGACTTCAGCGACGACCCGAAAAAAACCTCACAGCATTGAGAAAAACCACAACATGTCATCTGTGGTGATATCGACCCCGACTCCACCGCGGAGATCGCGTAGAATCCAGTCGTTGAGTACAAGGAGACCAACACCTCAGCCTCAGGTGTCTGATTTGGACGAGTCGGAAGACGCTGAGGAAGACGAAGAGGAAGATGGAGACGAAGATGGCGAAGATGAAGAGGATGAAAGTGATTATGGTACGACAAACAAAAAGCGGGTTTCTTCTACCGCCAGCAAAACACGCGCCAAAGGGACCCAGAAGAGACAAAAGACTCTCACTGGAAACATTGACGAGATTGAAGATTTCCATGAAAACTATCTATTTCAAGCGCTCAGTGATCCAGATACTGCACTGGTGGAACTTGTTGATAATTGGATGGAGGAATACGCCGAAAGCAGAGATCTGGCTTTAATGAATATCGTGAACTTTGTTTTGCGGAGCTGTGGATCTGTAGTTCAGATCCAGGAGCACGATGTGGCGAGCGCAGACTCTGTAGAGCAGACTGTGGCTGAGGTTCAGGATATGATGATGAGACAGAAGTACCACGAGTTTGGGATGATGTCTGGAACGGCCGTTCGCCCCGAGTGGAAAAATTTCAGAGCTAATAGTTTGGAGTTTTTTGATCGCGTTCTGCGCGTAGCGGCGGAAAAAGGATTGCTAAACCCAGAGACTGCGCTAGTGGAAAACTTCTTGGAGTGGATCAGCTCAATGTGTACTTCAAATCTCAGAAATCTGAGGTTTACTGCAGTTCTATTTGCCCTCCAGATGGGGACGACTCTATCTGAGATCACGGCAAGATCATCCCTTAATGCCAACAAGCAGCAGACGCGCCTGGATGCTGAGATAAAAAGATTGGATGAACTTGAACGGTCGTTAACCACGGCAAAAAGAGGCGAAAAGGCAAAGATACAGAAGGAAATCGAGATTGTTGGCACCAAGCAGAAGACGATAGCCGAATCTGTGGAGTCTTACAAGAAGGATAAATTCACGTATGAAACCTATCTCAAGGAGGTATTAAGCGCGACATTCGCTCACAGATATCGCGACACAGATCATGCTATAAGACAGGAGTGCATTGTTTCACTTGGTAGATGGATGGAACTGTATCCTGAGATGTTTCTAGAGAGCTCTTATTTGAGGTATATGGGATGGTTATTGTCTGACACAAATGCCCACGTGAGATTGGAGGTTACCAGACATCTACTCAAATTGTACAAGAAATCGTCAGCAGTGACTGTCCTCAGTCAGTTCACTGAAAGATTCAAAAAGAGAATGGTGGAGATGGTGTTGTATGATGTGAGTTACCAGGTAAAGATAACCACGATCACGCTATTGATTGAGATTTACAAAAAGGGACTTTTGGAAAACGAGGAAGTCTTGAGGCTATCTGCGTTCATGTTCGTAGATGAACACGACGCCAAGTTCAACTTACGTGCCGTGATTGAGTCGGATACCAACAGGCCTTACAGATGGAGAAACGAAATTGCGAAGCTCGTTAGCTACTCGATCGAAGACCGCGTAAACGAGGTGATTAAGACCTATTCGGACTCAATTGAAGAGTGTCAAGAATCTTTTGTGGTTGATGTCAAAGAAGCAATCCACGCGAAAGCAACTCTGAACGTCATGGCGGAGTCCTATCACTACTATACTGACAATTTCTCGACGCCGCTTTCTGAGAAAGATTCCCCGGAGGTGTGTTTTTCAGAAAAGCTTGCACTTTTTGCCAAACATCTGTTCGTTAGCAACCTTGGTCCCACATTGGAGTTCTCGATCAAATACCTATCTGCTGATACATCATTGTCTGAAGATATTGACGAGGAGTTCAGAAGCCAGGTCACACTATCCTCCAATGAAGCAAGAGCGTTGCTGAACTATGTTTACGGCTCTACGTCTGTCTTCCTCAAGGGACCCAGCAACGGTTTCTACGTGACTTTATTGAAGAGCCAGCTCTCGAAGAAGTTGAAGAGAGATTCAAAGGACGGCTCAACATTGACCGAGGCTTACAACTCACTTTCCCATACCACTGTTTTCAGCCTTATCAGCGCATACCCAGAGCTGTTGTCCAAGTTCAAAAGCGTTTCTATTGCGCTACCAATTCTGTTGACCACTTTTAACAAGCTGAGCGATTCTGACTCTTTCACGATACTGGGAATGGAGTCAGCGTTCGATAAAATCTGTTTGACTTTCATGAAGCTTTTTGGTGAACTGCCCATTGGATTGGTGTATTCAAAGGGAGCGATGCAGTTCGACTCGTTGAAATGGTTATTCAAAGGTTTCTTCTCTCACGTAAGTTCATCTCTTTCTCAGCACCCGGAGCTAGCGCTCAAGTTGGAGGACTTTCTGATTGAGACCGCGAAAGGTCTGCGCGGAAGTACTGATGAACTCTTGTCGAGTGAACCCTTGGCAAGATATCTTTGCTTATTACAAAGTGACGGAATAGAAGTGAAGGCTGGTGATGCTATTGCAGGATACATCTCTACGCTCAACAGTGAGCTCATCAGATTACAGGAGCAGGTAAAGGATGGAATCACCGAGGCCGCAGAGCTCTCTGATGCTGTTGAGCTGGTTGAAGGTCTGATGGATTTCCTCATGTCGTTTGCGTTCTCTAGATTGCAGAAGCTGAATCAGGCCATTCGGACTAATTCCTCTGGTGATCCTCTGGAACTGGAAATGTTCCAAACAATCATGAGTTCTCTGGGAGCGAGTGCCAAATCCCAACATCTGCCAGACCTGGAGTTGCGACTCAGTGCTATTTCATTTTTCCTCGATTTCTTGACGGCATTCAAGCTATTTGAGACGTTTGTCAACGGGAATACTGACTCCGAGTTATGCGCAAGATTGGAACATTTCATTGATACGGAGTGCCCCGCTGTGTTAGATACGTCGGTCGAGCGCAGTCTTTTACAACTGTTTCTGAAGCTGGAAGCCAAGCTGGGATCATTGCTGAAGGTGGAATTGGACAGAGACGAATTCGAAGACGTCAACTTCCACATCGAAGAAACCGATGTTGAAGACGAGGAAAGGCAGAAGCGGATCTGGGATTGTGAGAAGCCACTGGTGGTTCTGACATTGAAACTGTTACAACTGGAGTCTACTGGATTGTTAAGTAAGCCTGTTGCGAAACGGCTGAGACTGAATGCCAAGTATCTTGGTGATGTCTACAAATCTGTGTTCTTCTTGGCAGGTAAGGATGAAAAGACGTCTAAAAGATCGCGCACAGAGACCCCTGCCACGTCTGATCCGTCTGAGCTCGAGGATCTAATCGAGGAACCAATGGACGGACCCAGTGACGATCCAATCGAGGAGATGTAGAGTCACCAATTCCTCGTGCTCTCAGCGTCCCCAGCCTATGAATATCTACAAGTTCGTGTTTAATATAGCTGTTTATTCAGTAGCACCTTGATCGGTGATCTAGTTTTGAACCTTCTTCGTATGGGATGATACCAATTTTGGCTTGTATTGTTTTTTAGATCAAAGCTACACACCTATATGCAACGGTGTGCAAGATAATATAAAAATGACATCATAAATTGCTTAGAAGGTGGCAACGAAAGACTCGGTAGCAGCCTTCAACTTAGCCAAGTTCTCAGTGGAAAGAGATCCCTCGTTCTTGATGGCGTCCAAGACACCGGACTCGTTGGACTTCAAGTAGGCCAAGAACTCATCCTCAAAGGCAGCAATTCTGTCCAAAGGCAAGTTGTCCAAGAAACCGTTGACACCAGCGTAGATCAATGGAACTTGCTCCTCAGAACCCATTGGGGAGTATTGCTTTTGCTTCAACAATTGGGTCAATCTCTCACCTCTGACCAAGGTGGACTTGGTGGAGGCATCCAAATCGGAACCGAATTGGGCGAAGGCAGCAACTTCTCTGTACTGGGCCAAGAAAAGCTTCAAGGAACCGGCAACCTGCTTCATGGCCTTGACCTGAGCGGCGGAACCGACACGGGAGACGGACAAACCGACGTTGATGGCTGGTCTGATACCCTTGTAGAACAACTCAGCCTCCAAGAAGATTTGACCATCGGTAATGGAGATGACGTTGGTTGGGATATAGGCGGAGACATCACCACCCTGGGTCTCGATGACTGGCAAGGCGGTCAAAGATCCACCTCCGTGAGCGTCGGACATCTTAGCAGATCTCTCCAAAAGACGGGAGTGCAAGTAGAAGACATCACCTGGGTAGGCCTCTCTTCCTGGAGGACGACGCAACAGAAGGGACAATTGACGGTATGCAACGGCCTGCTTCGACAAATCATCGTAGATGATCAAAGCGTGTCTGCCGTTGTCACGGAACCACTCACCAATGGCAGAGGCGGTAAATGGAGACAAGTATTGCAAAGGAGCAGCCTCAGAAGCAGTGGCAGCAACGATGATGGAGTACTTAAGAGCATCGTGTTGCTCCAAGGTCTGGACCAACTGGGCAACGGTGGAACGCTTCTGACCAACAGCGTTGTAGACACAGTACAACTTCTTGGACTCATCAGCACCATCGTTCCATCTCTTTTGGTTCAAGATGGTGTCAATGGCAACGGCGGTCTTACCGGTTTGACGGTCACCAATGATAAGCTCTCTCTGACCTCTTCCGACTGGGACCAAAGAGTCAACCGATTTCAAACCGGTTTGCATTGGCTCGCAAACGGAGGTTCTTGGCAAGATACCTGGGGCCTTGACTTGGGCTCTGGAGGTTCCAACGGATTCAATTGGTCCCTTACCATCGATAGGGTTACCCAAAGCATCCACAACTCTTCCCAAAAGACCTGGTCCAACTGGGACATCGACAATCTTTCCGGTTCTCTTGACGATCTCACCTTCCTTGACGAGGGCATCGGAACCGAACAGGACGATACCGACCTGACCTGGCTCCAAGTTAAGGGCCATACCCTTAACACCGGAGGCGAATTCAACCAACTCCTCGGCTTGACAGTTGTTCAAACCGAAAACACGGGCGATACCATCACTAGAGAGGTGTTAGTAACAAAAAGTCTGAGACGAATATGGATAAGATCAAGCAATTTCCAGTCATCTTCCAGAACAAAATATATCCCATCGGCATCAAAAAAACCCAGCCACGCGATATTACCGTGATCCCCATTGGCGGTCCCTTTCCTTTCCTAGATTGGTGGTGATGGTAGTGTACCACAGAAAACTCAGAAAATGAGAGCCTCTCATTGGTCGAGAGCGGCGCCCGAGATCGCATCGACGGGGATCACCAGCAAAAAGGGTCTGAAAAAGCGGGCAAAACTGTATTGAAACCGAGCAAAAAGTGAAAGAAAGCGACGACTGGATTGCTGTTCTGGTGATGGATAGGACAATTTGTTGGGGATTGGCGAAGTCGTTGGCATGGACTCAGATGAAAATCTTTTGCCCGACATCACCGATCTCAAAAAGACACCCTGAAAAATCAGCTTTCTGATCGGAAAAAAATGTAGATACATACCCAACGGACAAGACTCTTCCAGTCTCGTTCAAGTTAGCCTCTTCAGAGACACCTCTGATCTTCTCCTCCAAGATCGAAGAGACTTCGGTTGGAGCAGCTTTGGCAGAAGCGTATCTTCTGGCGGCCAAGACAGGACGAGCCTAGTGGGTCAAAGTTAGTATTGGGAACATAAACTGGCAATATCAAAGTATTAGAGCGTCCAATGGATATCAATTGATGCTCAATTGGTTGGCAGAACCGGATTCAACGGGGTGGATACTTACAACACGAGGAGCTGAACGGGCAATGGATGCAACAGCGGCAGAACGAGCAGCAGCTCTTAAAACACGGGCTGGGAGCATCTTTGTAATGGAATATTAGAAATAGAAATATCGAATTACCACCGATGTGTAATTTGAGAGCTAATTCCAAAGGTTGGTGAAGAAAAAGAGAGACTTCGGAAGTAAATAAGGAGGAGGTGAGAGGGCCAACGAGAGGCCCAGAATGGCCGTCAGAGGAATCTCGCCGTTGGTTGGTCAATTCCAAATAGGTTCAGACACTACCTTTATTTGGATTTACACGCAATGCACGTTTGTGGGTTTGCACAGCCATGAACTGGAGCAGGAGTCGGGTCTATGCAGGCTTTTTAAGATGCCCCAAATATGGTTGTAGTCTCACTGTTCTCATTCGCCTAAAATATTGCATTTTTGGTGCCAAAATTCCATAATGACAATGGTGGATTTTGCCTATATATGGCCGTCTTGCCAAGACATTGAAAGGCCCATCCCTAAAGGTCACCCCTACAGATCTGTGGGGGATCCCACCACAGTCAAGGCACTGATAGCACCAACACGGACTGGAATAAATAAATATATAAATATAAAAATAACTAAAGAAAAATATATAAAATCTCGCCTGCTTGTTCACAAGCCCTTATTCAAAATGGAAATCGCCAAGAACACGCCGCGTAAACTTCGAGATCTATTTTCAGCTCCTTCCATGGCGCGATGGATCCTCGACGCGTCTCGACGCGGAAAATTTGTTGGAACCAGTGTAATTGCCCGATCAGGTCAAACAGCAGTCGTTTAAGTTTAGTTGACCATTGTAGATTCTCAAGAACTTCGCGAAAGCTCCAGATTTTATCAATTGCTAGTTTTAGTTCATTTCTACCGCGAAAATTGTTAGCCTTTGAAGGTGGTCTTGGAACTGTCTTGAAACTATTCACACCTGTTGAAGCCATCTTCTGCCGAGCCGTCTAAGCCTTTTACTAATTTGGAACCCTTTGCCTTCAAAAAAGACCTTCATTTGTTTCGCGTTCACCATATTTTTTCGCTCTTTTCCTCGAGAAAAAATCGCTCTTTCATTACTTGACGTACCCACTCTACTGGTGCTAGAGACCTCCACAACATGAAACACACCTCGCTATTTCTTCTTACTGCGTTCTTTTTCTCCATCGCGAGAGCCACATACTACTGCAACTCTTCATCAACATGTCCAGACGACTACCCATGTTGTTCCCAGTACGGGGAATGTGGAACAGGCAATTACTGCCTCGGTGGATGTGATCCTAGATTCTCCTACAACATCAGCTCGTGCATGGCCATGCCGGTGTGTAGAGACATCGATACCAACTTCACCTCTTTGGACATTTTGGAAGATAGTTCCTACTACCTGGGAAACTCATCAGAATCCGATTGGATCTACTCGGGTTATCTTCTGGAATACGAAGACAGTTTGGTGCTGGCGATGCCCAACCAATCCACCGGCACTGTGGTTTCGTCCACATTCTACGTGTGGTACGGAAAAGTGTCTGCCAGATTCAGGTCTTCCAGAACTGCCGGTGTGGTTTCTTCTTTCATCCTGTTTTCCAACGCCCAAGATGAAATCGATGTGGAATTCGTGGGTAGCGAGCTCAAACAGACCCAGACCAACTTCTACTTCGAAGGCATATTGAACTACACCAACGGTCTCTATCTCAATACCTCCAACACGTTCAGTGAATGGCACGACTATGAGGTAGACTGGACCGAAGACGAAATTACCTGGTATATTGACGGAGAGGAGAAGAGAACGTTGAGGAAAGAAGATACCTATAACGATACATCCGATACATACATGTTCCCACAAACGCCTTCCAGAATACAGTTCTCTCTTTGGGCTGGTGGAGACTCCTCCAATGCTGCGGGTACAATCGAGTGGGCCGGTGGAGAAATTGACTGGGATGCTGAAGACCTGACCGATCCGGGCTACTTCTACTCCATGCTTCAGTCCATCTCTGTTGAATGTTACGATCCGCCAAGCTACACCAACCAGAAAGGTTCCAAGGCGTACGTGTATAACAGTTCTTCGGAATTCCTTTCGGAAAACATCGAGATCACCAATGACCGCACTTATCTATACTCTTACGAAGGAAGTGGCCTCGATCCTGACGCAGGGAAGGTATCCTCCTCCTCCACGTCGAAGTCAAGCTCAAAAACCAAATCGAAAACTACGTCATACAAGAAAACCACCGTCACCTCTTCGGGAAAGACTGAGGTGCTCTCCACGGCAGTGACATCAACGATTGTCGACGATGGTAACTTTTACCAAAGTGCAGAAGGGACTGGTTCCACCAGCCAAACCGACGGTGCTTCCTCAAAGAACGAAGCCACCCCTATGCAAAATTCACTTTTGGGACTGACTTCTTTATTTCTGGGGATTTTGATGATCATATAAGACATAAAAAAATACCTTTTAGACCATGATATTGATTTACTCATAGCTAACAAACTGCACAAAATATCCAAATTGCAATAGGCGTGCATTAACCGACCCGAATCGGATATTTCATCAATGGTTATGAAGCCCACCCCGAGTCGCTTTTGAACACGAAGATCGTTAAAGTACACAAGGACAGCTGTCGAGCCTCTGTTGTTGAACCCACTACGTCGAACATTTCTTCTGCAAAATGAAGATGCTAACGAAGGTAGGTACCTATTAACTTTTATGTATTGCCAGATCCGTGCCAATTGATACGTATATACCCGGAATCGTGTTGGTTCCTAACCCTGGATCCGGTCGACATCTACGTGTACCTTAAGCACAAACTGGAAGATTTGTGATTGTTTACTAACCAAAATCGCCCCAGTTTGAATCCAAGTCCTCCAGGGCCAAGGGCGTTGCCTTTCACCCTAAGAGACCATGGATCTTGGTATCTTTGCATTCGGCTACTGTTCAGCTATGGGATTACCGCATGGGTACTCTGATCGACAGATTTGAAGGACATGATGGTCCAGTCAGATCCGTCGATTTCCATCCTACCCAACCGATTTTTGTATCTGGTGGTGATGACTATACGATCAAGGTTTGGTCTCTTCAGTCCAGAAAGTGTATGTTCACTCTGAGCGGCCATCTGGATTACGTGAGAACTGTCTTCTTTCACCACGATTTGCCTTGGATCATCTCCTGTTCGGATGATCAGACCATTCGTATCTGGAATTGGCAGAACCGTCAAGAAATTGCATGCCTTACTGGTCACAACCATTATGTCATGTGTGCGCAATTCCACCCAACTGACGATCTGATTGTTTCTGCATCTTTGGATCAAACAGTCAGAGTTTGGGACATTTCGGGATTGAGAAAGAAGCACTCTGCACCCTCTGGCCAGGTGAGATCTTTCGAAGATCAGTACAACAGACAATTGCAAGGAGGCGTTCCCCAGCAAGATATTTTTGGCAACACCGATGCTGTGGTTAAATACGTTTTGGAGGGCCACGATAAGGGTGTTAACTGGGCCACTTTCCACCCTCGCCTGCCCCTCATTGTTTCAGGTGGCGATGACAGGCTAGTCAAAATATGGAGAATGAGTGAGACCAAAGCATGGGAGGTTGATACATGCAGAGGTCACACCCACAACGTTCCATGCGTCCTGTTTCACCCCACGGAGGATTTGATCCTCTCCATCGGCGAGGACAGAACCATCAGAGCTTGGGATTTGAACAAGCGTACTCCTGTGAAGCAGTTCAAGCGCGAGAATGATCGCTTTTGGCTGATCGCTTCCCACCCAGAGATCAACCTGTTTGCTACATGTCACGACTCAGGAGTTATGGTTTTCAAGCTTGACAGAGAGAGACCAGCCCACACACTGTTCCAAAACAAGATTCTCTTCATCAACGGTGAAAAGCAGGTACAAGAATATGAATTGGGAAACAAAGGTCCTAGTTTGCCAATGCTCTCCTTGAAAAAAGTTGGTAAGATGTACTCCAAGATCAGAACGCTTTCCTATAACCCAGCAGAGCATTCTATCCTGATCACTACTGGTGAAAACGATAGTTCCACATACGCCTACATTCCGTTGCCAAAGGATGTCACTGGTGCTATTGAACCAACTGATATCCGTCAAGGTGAGGCGAATGCCGCATGTTTCGTTGCTCGTAACAGGTTTGTCACATTTTCAAAAACCACGAAAACATTGGAGGTTAAGGACCTGTCCAACTCGAGTACAAAGAGTACCGTTTTGGACGCCTCTGTCAAAGACGTTGTCTATGCCGGCCCAGGGTCTGTATTACTTCTCAAGACCAACTCCGTCATCCACTACGATGTCTTACAGAAGAAGGAGTTGTCGGAGATCCAATTGAACAATGTGAAATATGCCCAATGGTCTGTTGATGGACAATATGTTGCGTTGATATCCAAACACACGATCACAATTGCCACTAAGAAACTCGAGACCGTCACATCTCTGCACGAAACAATTAGAATAAAGAGTGCTGCCTGGGATGATACTGGAGTCCTGATCTACTCCACTTTGAACCATATCAAGTACATCTTGCTCAACGGTGACAGTGGAACTATCAAGACACTTGAGAACACTCTTTACGTTGTTAGAGTGATCAACAAGAACTGTTTCTGCCTGAACAGAAAGGGTGAGATCGAAATCATCAGCATCGATCCAACAGAATATCGTTTCAAGAAGGCTCTGATAAACAAAAACTTCACTGAGGTGCTGCGTATAATCAAGAACTCCAATCTTGTTGGCCAAAATATTATTGGATACTTGCAAAAGGCTGGTTACCCAGAGATCGCTCTGCAATTCGTTGAAGATGCTGAGACCAGATTCGACCTTGCAATCGAGTGTGACAATCTGACTATTGCTCTCGAGGAGGCCAAAAAACTCAATGATAAGCAGATATGGGAGAAGTTGGGAAATAAGGCTCTTGCCCAAGGAAACGTCTCCATTGTGGAGCTGGTTTTCCAGCAGTTGACGCAACTTGACAAGCTGTCGTTCTTCTACTTGATCACCGGTGAAAATGCCAAGTTGGGCAAGATGGAGCAAATTGCTGAAAGCAGAGGAGACATGTTATCACTGCTGCAGAATTCTATTTTCTTGAACTCTATCGAGAAGAGAATCTCTGTCTTCCTGCAGGCTGGCCTCGCTCCATTGGCTTATGCCACTGCCAAGACTAATGGATTGGATGAAGTTGCTCAAAGTATTTTGGAAGAGTCAGGCTTGTCTGAGTCAGATATTCAGATACCAAGCACTGGATCTAGAGCCTCAGTGTCGCAACCAAAGCAAAGCAGTTCGGCAAGCTGGCCTTTGAAGGCACTGCCACCATCTTTCTTTGAGCAGGCCCTTTCAGGAAAGCTTGAAGGGTTGAACTTGGAACCAGAACCTCAACCTAAGGATATCGCCGAAAGTGACCTGACTAATGATGGCTTCTTTGAAGATGAACCTCTCGACGATGACGAAGGCTGGGACTTGGATGAAGACGTTGACGTCGGAAGCGAAGTTGAAGAGGCTACTGAACTTGATGATGATACTCCAGCCATTGGTGCAGGTGAACTGGGAATCTGGGTGCGTAACTCGAAGTGTGCTGCGGGATACGTCGCAGCTGGTTCATTTGATGCTGCCGCTCGGATGCTGAACAAACAGCTGGGTATTGTTGACTTTGAGCCTTTGCGTAAGCGTTTCATGGAGGTGTATGCTGCTTCCAAGATCTTTGTCCCTGGTGCAAGCGGCCTCGAAGCGATCAAGGGCTATATTCGTTCGGATCCAGATGAAGAAGTTCCAGGCAAGGTCGCTCCGTATATCCCTGGATTTGACACACTGGAAGCCACTCTGCACGAAGCGTTCAAACAATTCCGTGCCAACAAGCTGGAGGAATCCATCGAGACTTTCAGGTATCTTGTATACACTATCGTTGTTCTGACGGTGAATACCAAGGACGACGAAGATAAGTGCAAAGAAATATTGGATGTCTGTCGTGAATACATTCTCGGTTTGTCGATCGAACTTTCCCGTCGTTCCCTTCCCGCCGAAAATGTCAAGCGCAATCTCGAACTGGCAGCTTACTTTGCCAAGTGTAAATTGCAGCCTGTACACAGAGTCAATGCGTTACAGGTGGCAATGACCCAGTCCTTCAAGCATAAAAACTACACATCTGCGTCATACTTTGCTTCTGAGTTTTTGAAGATTGTGTCTACTGGAGCCAGGGCCGAACAGGCTAAGAAGATCAAGGATAAGTCGGACACGATATCCACAGATGCGATCGAAATAGAATTCGACCCATACGCACAGTTCGACATTTGCCATGCGACATACTCTCCCATCTACCAGGGTTCTCCAATTGTCACGGAGGCTCTCACTGGTGCCAAATACCGCACTAGCGAAAAGGGTAAGGTATGTTCTATTACCAAGATCACACTGATTGGAGCCCCAGCGTCCGGATTAAGGATTTTGGCATAGATGTGCTCGTAGTTTTGATTAGCACCTTGAATCTTTTTATATGTACCCCTGAATATTAATCATTCTAAAGTGAATCCCAAACAGTTGCGTTAGCCATATAAGCAACATACCCAATGATCATACCTTGACTTTGGCTGCAGGGCCACGAGCGTCAGCAGTCAGACTGGATCTCTTTTTTCGGCGAGGACTCTCGGATAAACTTTCGATGTCATGTTTCCGGTCGGTTTCCAATTTAATAGTTGAAGTGCTTGGTTCACTGTCAGCTGCTCTTAAAGCTCCGATCCAGGCTCTGTAGTTATCCACAAACACTTGAGGCTTGCCAATAATCTTGGTCGGGAGACTCAGCTTGATATGTTTCTTCAACTTCTTTGAGTCACGACCCGTTGTCGCGTCGCTGTTGATCAGTTCTAGCTGGTTTTCGTAGAATGGTAGCAATCTCTCTAGAGATTCCACGTCTTCCACACTCAAGTCAGTCGAGGACTTATAGCTGTAAAATCCAATTAACCACATGATCTTGTTGAAGTTTGGAAATTTGAACCTCTCAGGAACTTTTGTAGCCTGCTCTATCTCAAAAACTTTGAGTTGTGTCTCCGTACTGAAACTGCTTAGGTAGTTACCTCCAATAACCACACTATCAACAGGTGTGTAGACGGCATGAATCCAACCAGACGGCAAGACAAGCAAGTCTCCTTGGAAAATATCTATCTTAACCCCACGGTTCTGTTCGGATTTGGTGTCGATCATATCCCCAAACCACGTCTCATTCTGATCTGACCTGAGACACCATTTCTGATAAGCAAGCAAATTGTCGTCTGTTGGTGGGAACATTAAAAAGGATTTCTGACCTTTGAGAATGGTGTAATAAACGGAAGTACCACCGAAATCAAGATGGAAATCAGTGAAAGCATCCTTCACACTCATGAGACAATACTTGGTGACTTTGGGTCGTTCTATCCAGGAGGGCGAGTCCCCGTCTATAAGCTTCGATGAAACTATCTCTCGCCATACTCTTTCGACGATATCTATATCCTGGACAAATTTTGGGATCCTGACAATGTCACCCAAACCAGTGTCAGAGACTTCCAGGCTTAGAACGTTTCTGATCTTTCCACGTTCGCTCGCATCGAGGTTGTAATAGTCTCTCCATCGGCCCAGCGTCCATCTGTCGTTATCCTGAGTCAAAACATCCATAACTTCAACCGCATGGTCTTCACCCAACAATTCAGTAATTTCCGTAACTGTCATTCCACCAGGGAAACTCAGCTCCAAATTATATCCCTTTTCGTGGGCCATAGATTTCCCCACAGCCGAAGGCATTATGATGGGAACGCTCAACTTTGTCTTTTTGATCAGCTCCTTCACGAGAGCATCATCCAACACCTCGTACTCACTTTTGTGATCACTTGGGTTTATCACAATGACTTTTCCCTCGTTATTGCACTCATACTTCGTGAACCTCTTGATGTGCATGTGTTCTTCTATGTACCTCAACTCTCCTTCCTCATTCAAAGCCTGGTAATCCACCACATGCCTTTGCCGACCACTTCTTCTCTTTAAAATACTGGGGCCAATATCCGGATTGGCTCGAAGACATTTCTCACAATGGTAATTTTTTATGCTGTTAGCTTGGGTCTTGGGCAAGGAAAGACATTGAGTATGGTACCACTGGTTGCAAATATCGCATTGGATCCAATCGATTTCCAGAGTTAACGAAGACTCTGGGTTGTTATCACACAAGGGACATTCGTTTATAGTCATATCGCATTGCATGGATGGGGATCAAAAGTGCTCATCAGTTGAATGCCAATCTAGGCTAATGACCTCTGACAACAGACTCTAGTTGTAGAAGCGGATGTTGATATGCGGCGTTGGAATGAGTGGTACACATACAATGTACAAGGCGTCTTCGGAGTTTAATAATTATCTCATACGCAACTAGGTATTAAAATCAAAACTAGACATACAAAAGAAGCCAAAACCAACCAAACCCATAAAGTAACTCTCCAGGAGTTCTAAGCAGCAACTGACGTCCGCTGTTGTTGTTGCTCCAGGGCTCTTCTGGATGGGAGAGTGTACTTCATGAAGGATCTCTGCAATTGTTTCCTCACGGAATACTTTTGAGCCCCAACGAACGAGTCGACACTCACCTTAATGGCTCTATCAATATCGTAGGAGGAAACGTACTCTGAAAGTCTCATCTTAGCAAACGACTCAGCAATTCTCAGAATGGACTCCAAGTGACGGACTGTGATTGGAAACGAGCCGGTGGTTATCGATTCTCTTCTGAGGTCAGCGTATACACGCGAAACCTTGTCCATATCCATTTGGTTCAGCTTAGGATGCATCTTCGTGCGAGCATAGTGGATGTACTTCACCAGGAGTTCTTGTGATATTGGCGAAATTTCAGACTCCTTACGCTGTTGCTCTGCGTGCAATCTATCTCTCTTAGTCCTGGAAGGTTCCCCATTATCGTCCTCATCCATATCGTCAGTAGCCTCAATGGCGTCCTCAATACCAAAAGGATGAGACCTCATGTGGGAATCAATGACGAAAGAAGCCAGTCGTTCATCTGTGACAGGATCTACCGTATCCTTCACAACACACAGGATATCGAATCTGGACAGGATTGGCTCCGTCAGATTGACGTTCTGAGACAGGTTCATCGTGGAGTTGTATCTACCACCAGTGGGGTTGGCGGCTGCAATCACAGCACATCTGGCATGTAGAGTTGTCACAATACCGGCCTTGGAGATGGAAATGGACTGTTGCTCCATGGCCTCGTGAATGGATGTTCTATCCTGATCATTCATCTTGTCAAATTCGTCAATAAGGCAAACACCTTTATCAGCCAACACCAATGCTCCACCTTCCAAAGTCCATTCCTTGGTCACAGGATCCTTTCTAACGGAAGCCGTAAGACCAACCGCAGATGCACCTTGACCTGTAGCAAAGACAGCACGGTTGGCGGTCTTTTCAATATATTTCAGGATCTGGGATTTGGCAGTACCGGGGTCTCCCAGTAAAAGGACATTAATATCACCTCTGATGGAGTGCTTTCCATTTACATCCTTGGGAACACCTCCAAACAAAGAGCATGCCACAGCTGTCTTGATATCCCTGTGACCGTATATGGAAGGGGCCATCGACGAGATGATCTTGTCGATGATTCCTCTTTCCCTCGAAAGTTTCCTGATCTCCCTCTCGTCTTCATCGGTCCATTGGAAAGTAGAACCACCGTGTTCACTGGCACCTTCACGACGTTTGACAGCATTCGCTTCGATGATTGTAGCGAAAACTGGGAAACCATTCTTTGCGTTCAAGGTTCCATCGTAGGAGTTCTTGTAGACTCCGGTCACCTCTACCTCTTCACCTGGTTTGACGCTGTCCACGAGATCCCACAGCAAAATGATCTCCTTGTGACGAGGAAGTCTACCGGCTGGAACAGATCCGGGCGAATCCTGAACTGTGATTCTCTGGTAGTTTCTGTACAAGGTTTTCTCGGAGTTCATCTTGAAGGGACCACGAGCCTGACAGTTGGTACAGAACTTGATCTTAACCTCGTCGTGAGAATCCTGGAAGAAAGGTCCGAGGATAAAACCACACTTCAAACAATCGAATTTAACGTATTTGAGCTGTGGGAAAACACCAGTTCTCCTGGTGACAACACCAGTGACTCTGACCAATGAGTTAAGGTTGGCCTCACGTAGCTCTCTGAGGTTGTTGACCCTTGGGAAGTCGGTGATACGGACATGGATATCCGAGTGGATCTGGGCATAATCAGGATAATGCAATTCAGTAGCCTCCATCGCGACGACGTCGAATATCTTGAGCACCTCTTCTGGACACGAGGCCAAAAACAGTGCCAGAATCGCCTTGGACTCAGTCAGGTGCAGGTACGACACCTCCAACGACTCGGCATTGACTTCACCCAAAGTTCTGATTCTTGCACCATAAACGGATTTACCCTTCTCATCGGTGTATTCCAGCAGGAACGATTTCAACTCTCTGGCAATAGTTCTGGTGACGTTAGGCATGAGAATCCACTCCAGAATACTAGGAGCTTTCACATCAGCCAGAGACTCCAACGAAAGTTCCTCGGTGAGAGGATCAACACCGGCAAACACGTCTTCGTCTTCATCGTCGTATGCGTGTCTTCTTCTCCTTCTCTGGATGGGCAAGCCAAACTGATCTCTAGGAACATCCTCCTCTTCTTCGTCCAGATACAGGTTATCGCGTCTCTTTCTGGCATCATCTCTTGCGTTCAACAAGGCATCGACTCTCATTCTCTCGTCTGCAGACATTGCGTCGTACTCATCGTCATCGATATCACGAGCACCCAGATTGTACGTATCCTTGTCTGCGTTTAGAGTGTAATCCCTCATCATATCGTCTCCAATCAAGTCCTCGGCATCCTCCTCCTCTTCGTCTTCTTGGATCTGATCCTCAAGATCGTCAATATCGGGAATTATGTCTTCGTCGTCTTCCTCGAAAGGAATGGCGGGAGAAGAAGGAGGTAGTCTTCTGGGAGAAGAGTTGGCCTCAGACGGAGCACGCGAAGAGGAGTGGATATCCTGGGATCCGAGCTGGTCCTCGTCATCGTCATCAATGATGTGTCTTTTTCTTGAAGAGGACATAACGTTTGTGATCAAGGGTATGTCGTTTGTAAGAAAGCACGCGAAAGGGAAGAAGAAAGAGAGAAGGAGATTACGTGGAAAACCAGAGACGCGTCGAATTTGGGGAATTACCCAAAAGGGGAAATTAGGTAGTGCCATCACCAATAATCCGGATCGGGTAAACACGCGTTCTGGCCTGGTCTTTTTTTGGCTGATGTGTTAGCTTATAGACTTTTTCTTTGATCTCGGTTTCAGGTTAAATCTTGCTAGAGGGTTGACAATCAGTAAGTGTTACTATGAATATGACCCATGGATTTGCAAGACAAAATTGCCTTTACTAACTTCATCCAGTGCATCGCTCCAACTCCCAGAAGAGCCCCGGCGGGTTTCCTCATTCTGCCTCCTGGCGGTCCTCCACTCATGGATACGCCGAGATGGACGAGGAGTCTGGTGGCGCAAACTTCCAGCGGAAAAGGTCTCTCGTGAGAAACGAACGTCGGAGACTTGACCCCGATGCCCCGAACTATCACTATGAGAAATTGGTTTTGCAAGAATCTGATCATCTCAAGGTGTTCCCATCTGAAACAGGAGTGGATCCGACTTCCTTCAACAGAGTGAATTCCAGGCGGTCCAAGAGGACCGTGGAGTCAATAGTAGAGCATGATGGAAATGAAGACGGCATCGCGATGGACGACATGACTCCTCCTGAAATTCAAGAAATAAAGTCTGGCCAGGAGATGTATGGCCTGAATGATGAGATCGAGGCGTCTCATCTGAAGAGTGCCCAGCCAAAACCTACACATAAAGATCTGAACGACGATGGTATGCTCCAGCCCATATGGAATGCTTACTGTTACGTGATCACTTTCTGGGCTCCAGCACCACTTCTAGCGCTGTTTGGTCTCGGCACAAAGGAGAGACAGTTTGCATGGAGGGAGAAGATTGCTCTGATTTCCATCATCATGTACCTTGGTGCATTTGTGGCTTACATAACTTTTGGATTCACCAAAACTGTGTGTTCTAGGGCCAAGATTAGTCTGCAGAACGACGATATCAGCACTGGATACCTGGTAGTGAACGGGAGAGCATACAATCTCGAATCGAGTTCCCATCCGAAAGCGGCTGGCGTCCCGAGTGCTGCCAACGTGTTGTATCCACCAGTGAATGCCGGTGGAAAAGATGCCTCTTTTCTGTTCCAGAATGTCAACGGGAACTGCAAAGGTATCATTACCCCAAGAGACAATTGCACCATTCCTCACGATGGTGAAGAGCTGGCATGGTACATGCCCTGTCGTCTTTTCGAGTTGGATGGATCGTCTTCTCCGAATTTCACAGAATCGTACTACAATGGATGGGCTTGTCACACTTCAACGAAGGCCAGAACTGCCTTCTACGATGATTTGAAAGCAACTGGTGATGTATTTTTCACCTGGGACCAAATCAAGAACTCTTCGAGAAACCTGGTTGTGTATTCTGGCTATGTGCTGGACATGGACCTTATAAATTGGATTCAATCAGACGACGTCGAGTACCCAGATCTTTTTGATAGGATGAGAGACGATGAGACCCTGAAAGGCCATGATATCTCCATGCTTCTGTCGGAATCCTCAGATAGGAAAGCAGCCAGATGCCTGGTGGAAACCATCAAGGTGGGAGTAATAGATTCCAAGACTATTGGATGTATTGCCTCCCAAGTTGTTCTGTACATTTCTCTGGTGTTTGTCCTGATCATTGTGATCATCAAGTTTGTCGTCGCTTGTTACTTCAAGTGGTCAGTCGCTCCCAAACAAGGTGCTTCATATGTGGACATAAAGACCATGGCTGAGAGGGACAACAAGATGGAAAACTGGGCTGACGGTGCCGAGAGAGAGGCCCAGTCTGTGATGCCTGTTGTTGCCGTTGAGGAAAGAGCACAACACCACGCAAAACGGTCATCGCAAATGCTCAAGCGTGGCAGCAGACTCTCTTGGGGAGGTTCAATTGACATTTTTGCCACGAACGAGTTTCTGGATCCAACTTCGTCGGCTGTTGATCCCAAAGATTACAATCCCAAGTACGTCACCATGTCTACACAAGCAGCCAAGGCCGCTAAGATGAAGGACAGACAAGGCATGAGAGGATCAAATATGGCCTTCAAACGCTCGAGTTCGTACCTCGACTTTGCAGGACCTTTTGAAAATGCCAGTGTCATTGGCGGTTCTGAGTATATGAACGCCACCACACTCTCTGCAGATATCGTGCATCCCGATGTTGTACCTCAGCCACCCGTCAGCTACGAGCCTTGGGGATATCCATTGATGCACACCATGTGTCTGGTTACATGTTATTCCGAAGACGAAGAGAGTATACGACTTACTATGGACTCTGTGGCTACTACAGAGTATCCAAACTCGCACAAACTGATCGTCGTTATTTGCGACGGTCTCATCAAAGGTGCCGGCAACGACCGCACCACCCCGGAGATTGCACTTGGTCTGATGACTGACCTGGTGATACCCGAGGAAGAAGTACAACCATACTCATACGTTTCCGTGGTGCAAGGTTCCAAGAGGCACAACATGGCCAAGCTGTATGCGGGATTCTACAAGTATGACGACTCCACGATTCCACCAGAGAAACAGCAACGTATTCCGGTGATCACAATTGTGAAGTGTGGAACCCCAGCTGAAGCTGGTGCTTCCAAACCAGGCAACAGAGGTAAGAGAGATTCTCAGATCGTTCTCATGTCTTTCCTCCAACGAGTGACCTTTGACGAAAGAATGACAGAGCTGGAATTCGAGATGATGAAGAGTATCTGGTCAGTAACAGGAATCATGCCAGAGATGTATGAAGCCGTTCTTATGGTTGACGCCGACACAAAGGTGTTCCCAGATTGTCTTACTCACATGGCTGCTGAGTTTGTCAAGCATCCAGATATCATGGGCTTGTGTGGTGAGACAAAAATTGCCAACAAAGCTCAGTCCTGGGTTACTGCCATCCAAGTGTTTGAGTATTATATCTCGCACCATCAGTCCAAGGCTTTTGAGTCTGTCTTTGGAACTGTTACGTGTCTGCCCGGCTGTTTCTGCATGTACCGTATCAAAGCACCAAAGGGCTCGGATGGCTTCTGGGTTCCTATCTTGGCCAACCCCGATATTGTCGAAAGATACTCTGAGAACGTGCTGGATACCTTGCACAAGAAAAACCTGCTGTTGCTTGGTGAAGATCGGTACCTCTCTTCGTTGATGCTGAGAACGTTTCCGAAGAGAAAACAGGTCTTTGTGCCCAAGGCAATTTGCAAGACCGTTGCTCCAGACAAGTTCAAAGTACTGCTTTCACAAAGACGTCGTTGGATCAACTCCACAGTTCACAATCTCATGGAGTTGGTCCTGGTCAAAGACCTCTGTGGAACCTTCTGCTTCTCCATGCAGTTTGTCATCCTCATCGAGCTTGTTGGAACGATGGTTCTGCCTTGTGCCATCTGCTTCACATTCTACGTCATCATCTTTGCAATTGTGTCATCGCCTACTCCAGTGATGTCTCTCGTGTTGCTCGGTGTAATATTTGGTCTTCCTGGCCTGCTGATTGTGGTCACCACGTCTTCACTGATGTACATCGTGTGGATGCTGATCTACCTGCTAGCCTTACCCATTTGGAATTTTGTGCTTCCGACATACGCTTATTGGAAGTTTGACGATTTCAGCTGGGGAGACACCAGAAAGACTCACGGCGGAGATAAAGGAGGCCACGATAAAACAGAAGGTGAGTTCGACGGCTCCCAGATCGTCCAAAAGAGGTGGAGGGAATACGAGAGGGATAGAAAGAACGAGACTTCACCCAGGAATGGATTTTCAGCAGCATATCAACCCGGAACAGAGTTTGACGACTCCGTACTACAGGCGGAAATGGACAAAAACTTTGTGGACATGTCCTACGAGAATGCTGATTATACCCCAACCAGACGAGGTCCTAGTCCTGGATCCCAGTTGTTGTTGCCATAGATAGCCAACTCGGAAATTTGCATCTTATATATTTAGCATTCAATTAACAGACACAATAAATTCAAAAAGTTTCTAGTGAAGCACTTTATCCAAAATAGAGCAGCATGCCAGAAGCTTCTCATCTTCAAAATCCCTCGCAACAAATTGAACGTGAGGAATACCACCAACCATTTGGTCTGGTTTCCAAGGTGCGACACAGTGTTCAAAGGTCTTGACCGAGGGGTCCTTAGTTATAGGATATTCTGAGAAATCATCATCAGCTGCAAGTGGCTTACCCACCGGCATCACCACAGATGGGAAGTCACACATGTTCCAGATGGTAGTGTATGGGGCGTCAAGGAAATCTCCATGAACTGGAGCGGAGCAAGGAGCTGCTGCACACATAAGAACATCCAAATTCTGGTTGGTGAAGAAGTTGCGCCATTCGAGAACGAGCTTGGCCTTGGCCCTGGTAAGGGACACTAGGTCTGGCAGTTTGTTTGGAGGAAAGTGAAAAGTGCTGATCTCTTGGATTGGAGGCTCTCCCGAGGATATGATATTATAGGACATGGAGTAATTTCCATCATATCTAAACAACGAAGAACTGATCTGCCATCCTCTCCAGATATCGGGAGACTCATCGAAGATGATTACCTCATGACCAGCAGCCTTCAACTTAGCAGCGGACTCCAGGATAGTCTTCTTTATATTTGGGTGGATGGGAATAGCCTTATCTTCAAGAACAACACCAATCTTGAGTTTTTCTTTTCCAGTCCAGGAATCAAAGGATCTGTCGAATGGAACACACTTGGCCGTTCCATCGTACTTCCAAGGTTGGCCCTCGATCACGGCCTTGAAAAATACCTTCATATCGTCGCAATCGTTTGTCAGAGGACCAGCAACGGCTGTCAAACCACACAAAGTACCATCCGGTCTTCCACTGAGGGTGGTACTTGGGGATTGCTGACCACCGTACGGAACTCTTCCAATAGTTGGTCTGAATCCATACACACCGTTGCACAATGCAGGGATACGAATGGAGCCACCAATGTCGGTTCCCACTCCCAGAATGGAACCTCTCATCTTGGAAAGAGCACCCTCACCACCTGAAGAACCTCCGGCACAAAGTCCAATGTTGTTGGGATTTAAGGTGCGACCCCAAACGTTATTGACAGACTCACCTGCCATCAAGGTCTGGGGGATGTTGGTCTTGACGTAGAAAACAGCACCCTGGGCCAAAAGCAACTTACAAAGGGCCGAGTAATCGTCAAAGAGCGACTTGTTACCAATGAAGGAAACATATCCGATGGTTGAGTCAAAACCTGGCACATGGAACGAATCTTTGATGCTGATAGGCAATCCATGCAAGGGTCCAAGGACCTTTCCAGTCTCAGCCAGATAGTCGTCACACTCCTTGGCTCTTGCCAAAGCAAGATCGAACATCAACTCAGTGCAACAGTCGGTCAATTGAGTTGCAATGGCAGCTCTCTTGCAGAATGCTGTGGTGACTTCGACCGAGGTGAACTCACCTGAGCTGAGCTTGACCAGCATCTCAGCTGCAGTGTAGTTCTCGGTAATGTCCTGTTCCTTCTCAGTCAAAATTCCACAAGTTCTTGGGATATCCAAAACATTGGCCATTGGATCAGTTGGGTACAAATCTGCTGGAAGTCTCCATTTTTCAGGGATTAAATCGCGAGTGGCCTTCTTCTTAGCTGCAGCCTTATCATAGTACTTCTCTCTCGAGAACAAGTTTACAACCTTGGAGGCTAAACTAACGGAGGTGAAAAAAAACGTCATGTTAAATTATAAAGCATCCATTAAAAGTTGCAATATTATAGCGGCAGCCCAACTGCCTTTTTATAGGCCACAAAAGGAGCCATTTGAAAGAACAGGGATAGTATCTTATCTGCAGGTTTTCTCAATGCGGTAATCGAAGCGCTCTTGGTTACCTTACTCAATGCGCGCGCGCGCATCGATGCTATCTAATGCTCTGCATCTACGACCGTAGGAAATTTACAATTTGCAGTCAACTAAGCGACATTTTTAATATTCGGCAGTGTCTAATCATTGTTTGTTATGAAATTGAGTCAGGATTTGGCCCAAAAGGGGTTGCGCCCCTGCCACTTTGTGACCTATAACTGCGCATTTCACCAACAGCGGGTAAAGTACCAGTAGCTCCGTTCTGGTGCTCTCATTTCTCGTCGCAAGAACCTCGACTAAACCACCGAGTACTGTGACTAACTCCAATTGTTGCACCTTCGGAAGAGGCTCTCTGTTCAACAAGCTCTGATCAAGAATGAACTTTCTCAACACCAAAGCAGTCCGCGAGACGAAGTAAGGCAAAGTTTTCTCCGCAAGTAAAGCAGTCGATTTGGTGTCATCTGGGGGACAGCACGTGACAATTAGATCACGCAAACACGCTGTGGCAATCCGATTCCTGGGTAGACGTGTGAGTGACATAGTAGAGCCGTAGGTGGAATTGAAGTCAAACTGGGCCAGCTTCGAAGAGACCTCATGAGGCGATTTGGACTCGGACAAAATCATACTATCGAAGTCATCAATCGCATACAAAAATGACGTACTCCAGATTCTAGATATGAGCTCCTCAAGCAAATTTTCAGAGACCGACTTTTGGTGCAAGACCGGCAGAAATACACCCTTGATCTCTTCGTACTTCGTGATATCGTAGGACTCATATTCTTCATTGTCCTCCTTATAGGAGAGGCAACTACTCAATGTCTCCAAGACCAAAGGCCAAACCTGCTCTTTAATGGACTCTGATATTTTCTCATTGTCTGGATTTGAGTCATCGAGCAACGCAACAACCTTTTGAGTCAACAGTGATAGAGTGTCAATGCTTTCCATCCAAAGAGCCTTGCGACCCTTTTTGGATCCCAATGCTTTCAACTGAGCCGGTTCCAGCAATGCTCTGTATACCTTCAGAATACATTTGTCGTTCAAGAGTTCCACAAAATCACTCGTATCTTCCATTTGGATTTTCAGGAGTTCAATTGCCTCATAACTCACAGCAACAAAACTGGGGATCTGGTCTTTCCCCATCAGTCTATCACCCAGCTTCTTCTTAATCTTGTTTCTTGTACTGAATGGCAGGATGACAATCATGTTCAGTTGCTGAACGAAGAGAGATCTATATCTCCAGTCTTGGAAAGTCATTGATTTCAAATTCTTGATCACACTCCTTTGAAGTTCTGTACACCGCTCCTCGTCTTTCTGTAACTCGGGTAAAATTGGGTATCTTACACACGAGTTCAACATCCAAAGAACTCTTTCAAACTTCACCAGATCCATGATCGACTCCGCAATTTTTAGCAGCGCAGGCATTGACTCCATCAATGCAGTCAAAGATTCCTGGTAAAGATTTCCATTTGTCAGATTGTAAGATATCGTAACATTTGCCCAAAAAGTATAAAACTCTTGTGATATCGACTCTGGAGGCACTATGAGTAACCCAGTGCGATCGGGGGACACAAAACCAGCTGTCACATCATTGAAAGACTTGAATATTTTGTAATCCAGATCAACCCAATTCAGTTTCAAAAGACTGGTGAAATGCGAGATCAGACCATTCCAAAATTTCTCTAAACGAAGACTCGTTTTTGAGAAATCCATGAAAAATGTCAGATAGAGCTTGCTCAGACCATTCATCACCAGACCCATACTCTCAATGGCGTCTTTTTGGGACGATTCGGGGGTTGACGATAGTGCGTTGATATCAACGCTAATGATCACAGGTTCAAGCACAAGTTCATAAACAAGATTCCAGGAAGGGAGTTGGAACCCATGCGAGTCCACAATACTGAAAAATGTTTGAATCGAGCCATTTCTAACCTGAGTACGTTCATCATGAGAAACAACAGCCAGTTTCAGTAGAAGATAAACCCAAAGCGATTCAAAAAGCTGTTGACCATCTTCGAACCCGTCACCCTGCGAAACAGCCAGGACTAGATCGTCTTCATTTCTAACTTGGGACTCTAGTAGCTTTACGGTCGCACTGGTGGGTGATGCAGTCTTCTCTTTTGAATAGTCACTTATTAGCCAAAAGTAACTGATTGCGTTGAAGGAGATATTCTGATCAAACGATTGGCAAACAAAGTTGAATAAACAGTCAATGGCAACTTTAATCTGCGATTGGGGTAACGAATGCAGAAATTCGTCCAAAATCAGCTTCATGGTTTCAAAACATGTACTGAGCACAAGCATGATATTCTCTTTCAGCATTGCCTCGTGATATAACTCAGCTGACTCTCTGTCTCCCATGATTATATCAAAAGGTGTATTCAAAACCATGAAAACCACATCCCAATATTTCACAAATCCAGTTCCAAACCTATCGACGAGATCCCTCAAGGTTCCCAATGTTTGCAGATGAATTTCAGTCTCACAGTTGACAACAGAAAGCTCCGTGCTCGCAGGAAGTTTGGTCAGGCTCTTGGAAAAGCTATTCAATGCATTTAGAACCTTTCCCTCTGTCTCTAACCTCCGAGAATCCTGGGTTTCCTTTTGCAGACCAGAAATTGCGCATTCGGAACACATGGCATCAAACCCTTTTGAAACCAGAAGACGAAAATCGTTCGGCAGTTTTCTGTTGATCACCAAGTTTATGTAAAACTCGTTGACAAACTGCCAGTTCTTGTCGCTTATGATTAAAAACTTCTGAGGGTTGATCTTCGCGAGCACCGTCATTTCATCGACGTAATATGTTTTGTTGTAAGAGCATGGGCGTAAAATGCCTTCAAGAATTGGTGCTATTCCCTGGCTGGAACTACCCGGACGTTCGCTCAAGTCCAAAGACAAGTCCACTACTGCCTTAACAATCTCATAAAATGTCGAGGCCGATTGTGTGTTGATGCTTTCAACCAGTTTCTTTTTGGAGTGCTCAATGGAGATCATATCTTGGGGAGTGAGTTGAGTGGGCGCCGCAGGAAGATCCTTGGAAAAGTCAGATGATCCATTGAGATAGTAGTCCAGCCACTGCAGGGTTATGATTATCACTTTCCACTTATCTTTCAAGACACTTCCAAGGGAAACTCCTAAGCTTGCCAACACTCGGAAGCACACGATGTTTCTGGAATTCACATTTCTTGTGTAAAACAGCTGAGAAGTACCACCCAGGGAAGAAGCTGCATGATTGATAGTGGAGCTTATAGTGCCAACAATAGTTTCACTAAACGATAATAAGTTCTTGTGCTGAAAGCCAGACTTTCCCGTCAAGTTCAGGGCTGATTTTGAGATCAACATGAGTATCTCATCTCTTATTTTCACAACGTCCAGAATAGCGGTTGCATGACACAACTTCTGCAGTGATCTTATAAGCTTTTGGAAGAGCTCGTTATCCAACGTAGAATACAGATGGATTTCATAAAGTTGTTTCAAAACCGCAAAGTTCTTGCCCACCATATTCCTGACGACCTCGAAATTTGCCTTCATCTGCACATTGTCACCAAAAGAGGACGAAGACAAAAACAAAATGCTTTGCTCTGGATCAACGTTGGAAGACAGCTCCAAGGAATAAGAACAAATTCCTTCACAGAACAGGGTAAACGACGTGAAAATCAGATATAGAATGTAAGTTTCTGACGCCGACGGTGGATCCTGCTTATCCAACGAATCTATGAACGGCACCTTGATGGAAGCTTTCTGAACGCTCAGCCCATACGTAGAATCAATGGCACTACTAGACGAACCAGGGGGCTGAGATTGCCCTGCGAGCGGCGACTGTGGTTGAGCATTGGCCAGAGGTGGAGGCTGTATAATTTCTCCAGTGTTCAACAAACCTTTATGCTCATTCACAATGAGAAGGCAGGCTTCAAAGTAATCATTGATGACTTGCTTTCTGAGCTCTTCTTGGTTGTTGTCGTATTCTTCGAAAACACTTTTGACCAACTTGAAGTCCTTGAAAATCTTGCCATAGACCTCTAGGGCTAGAACCTTTTTCCAATACGGAGAGGCAGCCTCCTTCAGCAAAATATGAGTCAGCAGTGACAGTATTACTTCACATTCAATCTTCAGGATGGGGAAACACTCGCTTATCAGCAGGTATATCAACCGAGAGATTCTCACCATGATTGTGAAGTCTTTACTTGAGGTCAGGAATCTCAGAAGGATTGGAGCCACCCGTGTTCTGAGTAGAAATCCTAGCTCCACATGTGTCAGAAACAACAACTTGTTCTGTCTGATAACACTCTCGAGTAGTTCGAACCCGAAGTCCTCGGTGATATAATTGGATCTCAAGAATGATGGCTTGTGGTGTTCTATGAGAGTACACAGATCAAGGAATATGCGTTGAGCATCATACGCACAAGGCGCAGTGAGTACACTATCATTGTTGTCTATTGGAACCTGGTGAATCTTCTCCTCATCCTTGATACTCTTGTCTTCGTCGTTGACCTTTTCAAAAGCCAGACTTATCAACTGCAGAAAGGTAGCAGATGCAGTGTTCACCACAGTAGCCATTTTGTTGGATCCCTGCAACATAGAACATACCAGCAGCAGTTTTGACAAAATCTCATCATTTATGAAGATGGAATATGATTGGAAGAAAAAAGGCAAACTTTGAAGCACCTTCAGCTGGATCTCGACGGCCAGATGCGTGGCTTCTACGAAAGCATCTAGTACCAGGTCCAATTTCGTCACAGGAAGTGATCTCGACACAATGAGCTTATTCAGGCATTGAACAGCAATTGCGCTATATTTGGCATTTCGAGATTGACATGCCAGCAAAAATGGACTAATGAACTCGGAACTCTTGGACAGTCCTATATGGTGTGTTAGTCGTTACCCCTCACCAACAATTGGCATATTAGATTGACTTACCTCTCAAAAACTCGGACTCAGATATCCCGGAACTACCGAAACCTTTAAGTATATCCAATGATTTTTCTGATGCCTTTTGTTATATTCAGTTAGTACACTGGGTTCACGAACAAAAGGATTTGTAGTTGATACACACATGTCTTATGTCCGGATTTCGCCGTTTAGACTCAGATATCAAGTTCGAAAGCTCAGTCGAGAGCTGTTGGACTGAAGTCATTCTATCTCAGTACAAGAGATTTTGAGAGCAATTGGAGACTTAACAGGTTGCATGCCTTTATCTTAATCAAACGTCATCGTATCAACATGTCTATCCAAACTGGCACGTGATATCCGAGGGCTCTGACTTCATTCCGGCCCAAAAGAATCTGCACTCAAAAAGTTTCAAGCCCGTTCTTGCCTGTCTGCAGAGATTTGATGAACAGGATATTCTCTAAATTTTTGATGGAGGGAGTATTTGCCATCGAGAAGCCGGCAGGTGTGAGTTCTGCCGGATTTTTGAACGACGTAAAGAGAGTTTTTGGAAGTGCCCAGATCTTCGAGACCACTCTTGAAGAGCAGAAGAAGAGGAGGCTGGGTGGATCCAAAAATGGCAGGGCCCGGAGAGCCGGACAGCTCAAGATGGGTCATGGTGGTACATTAGATATCAATGCTTCTGGCGTGCTGGTAGTGGGTATTGGGGCAGGCACCAAGAAGTTACACCATTACGGGCTTCAGACCACCAAGAAGTACATAGCCAAGGCCCTTTTAGGAGGAGCCACAACCAGCGGTGACTCCGACGGTGAGCTTGTGACAAAAACAGCAGTTGATGGAATTACCAAGGAAATGGTCTTTGGTTTGGCAGAGAAGTTCAAGGGTACTTTGACGCAGACACCTCCATTGTTCTCAGCTTTGAAAATGGAGGGTAAACCTCTTTACGAGTATGCTAGGGAAGGCAAGCCGCTTCCAAGGGCGATTGCTAGTCGTGAAGTACAAATATATGATGTGAAATTCTATGAAGATACGCTCACCACCGATCATGGGTACAAATTCCTGAAACCAACCATCGATGAGGATGGAGTCTCTTTAGACAAGAAACTCAACGGTAATCCTACTCTGGTTGACGATCCTCTCCATTTCTCCAAAGAATATACGGAGAGTCTCAAGAAGGAGGGTAAAGAGCCAGAGGTGTTGGAGATCAAGAAGCTAGCAGATGTTGACCCAACATTGGACGACGAATACCGTGCCCCAATGATTCATTTCGAATGCACCGTTTCATCTGGCACTTACATTCGTTCGCTGATCAGCGATTTTGGTAAAGCCCTCGGATCGTCTGCATACATGGTGGATCTGGTGAGGTCAAAGCAAGAAGCATGGGAAATTGGCAAGAATGTGTTCACATTAGAGGACTTCAGAGACAACGACGAAGCAGTTTGGGGTCCGGTGTTGCAAAAAGTGTTTGCCGAGGGAGAGAAAATAGACGTCCTAGAGGAACTCAAGGCTTCGAAGAAGAAGTTCGAAGATGCTGCGAAAACTGAAAAGTCCACCAAAGAGGAAGGCCTTAGCTCAAAAAGAACAATTGACGAGGTGTAATGTGTATCATAACAAACCATTGAACAACCCCAAAAAAGTAATGTCAATGCTGTGGAGATAATGATCTCTCCTCTCTTCAGCTAGACGATGATGATACGCCGACGGTATTGCACGAGGGGTACTCTCCACCCGTCTCCCAATAGTAACTCAGTGCTATCGAATCGTTACCCTGAGGACATCGAAAACTGAAATCACCTGGACAATCTCTGACAATTGCATTGCACATGTCAATGCAAGGTAATACTTCGTAGTAATCGGACCGCGGCCTGATCTCTGATTCCACATTAAGCTTATCCAGCCTCGAATGGCCAGACTCATACAGCTGGTACCCAGTGATATTCCTCGTGGAACATCTAGGTATCGTTATAGAACAGAGCCATTTCTTATAGGATGCAGCGCAGTCGTCGCAAGTCTTCACTACGGAGAATCTGGCATCCATCTCTGTATCACACGGTATCTGCTGGAGGGCGTATGAGAAGTTGGTGTAGAAGTGTTTGGCGTTAGAATCATAATATTCTGCAAGTTCACTGACGTTGTTCATATCAGGCAATGTTGGAACGGAATATGTCACCTCTGAGCAAAAGTCGAGGTCGTAGATTAGTGTGCATTCGTCTGACTCCATAGTTCTGAACTGGAAAGGCTCAAACACCAGTCCACCGTTGCTATCTCCAAAATTTTCTAGCATATACCCCGTATATGTTGTATTAGGAGTAAGAGAATCAAAGTAGAACTGCTGCTTCCAAGTCCCGCCTCTGTAAACAGACGATACCACTGCAGAAGAACTGTTATACTCTATGGAGGCACCCTGTTTCATGGCACACCAACTGCGCGCCAAACCCGCCACAAAGACGAAATCTTCCGGGTCATATATGAAGAAGTTGTAGAGGTCTGTCATGGAACCATTATTGGAGGACGAGGACGAGGACGAGGCATTGCCCTGGTCGATCCACACTATAAGAGAAGTTGAGTCGGTATCCACCACTGATGCAACACTTTCATTATGCCATTGGAATACCAGGTTGCTTTGCGATATACCGACCTCATATGTCCAGGTGTTATCAGACAAACAATCTGCACACGATTCCGAGACCACCGTCAAGTAAAGCGTCAAGGCATTGGTATCGGCATCGGTAAGCTGAGCATGTGCCAGTTCCTGAGCATAACCTTCGTAGAAGTCGAATGATGACATGCTCTTATAATCCAAATTCTGCCACTGCGTTTGGTTGAAGGTGTAGTATATCGAGAGTCCGTTTGAGTCTGTGTCGTTCCAGCCATCAGGCAACTCACATATGTTACCACTGATGAAGACGATGGCTTGGTAGTTGGATATAGTATCAGAAGAAGTATTGATTGGAAACTGGTACATGGCGTACGAGTCAGGTCGCAAAGTGGCACTTATAGCAGAAGCATCCAACAGCGATGTATAATATCCTCTTTTTTCCATTTTCCCGATCGTGGGGCCTGGCTGATCTGCTGTCTTCTCGCCAACTTCCAGAATCCCTAAGAATGGATTCAACGGGAGTAAGTTGTCCCCGACCAGACCCTGGACCAGTCCAAAAGTGTATAGCAAAATCAATAATCGTAGCAAAATCATCAGCAATTGGGCCCCATAGCGATATCGTCAAGGAGGTGTTGCTATTCCTGGCTATGCTCGCTATCTAATTCTTGTTGTGCCTGTACAAGTCATGGGCGTGTCCCAACCAACAGGATATTCCCATTAACGCGTACCTAACGTGTTCAAAGATTGTTCAAGTTGTCAGAAGGCAATCCCAAAAGTACATTCGGTCGTCAAAATGAGCGTGAAATCAAAGGAGAATCTGCCATGGTATGTGCCGTATTATATCTGTTTTTTTGAGATGATAGACTAACAACATCAGGGTTGAGAAATACAGACCTGCTAGTCTGGACCAGGTGCACGGCCAGACCGAGGTGGTGACGACCATTAGGAAGTTCATGCAAGAAGGAAGAATTCCTCATCTTCTGTTTTATGGACCACCAGGAACGGGTAAGACTTCGACAATTGTGGCGTTGGCACGTGAGATCTATGGCAACAGCTACAGAAACATGGTGTTAGAGCTGAATGCCTCTGACGATAGAGGTATCGATGTGGTCAGGGACCAGATCAAAAACTTTGCGAGCACGATGCAAATCTTCAACAGAGGATTCAAGCTCATTATTCTGGATGAGGCTGATGCCATGACAAATGTTGCACAGAACGCTTTGAGGAGAGTCATTGAGAAGTACACCAAGAACACCAGGTTCTGTATCCTTGCTAATTATGCCCATAAGCTCAATCCTGCCTTGTTGTCTAGATGCACGAGATTCAGGTTTTCGCCATTGGAAGAGAAAGCTATCAAGGAGTGCGTGGACAATGTGGTGGAAAAGGAACAGTTGAAAATATCCGAGGAAGCTGTTGCTGCCCTGTTGAAGCTCTCTGAAGGTGATATGAGAAGAGCGCTCAATGTTCTGCAGGCGTGTGCTGCAGCCGTCGATAAAGGAGACGAAATATCTATTGATATGGTTTATGACTGTGTTGGTGCTCCCAGACCGGCAGTGATACAGAGAGTGCTGGAGTCCATAATGCAGGATGATTGGAGGACTGCCTTTGATACCTTGAAAAAGGCCAAGCAAAACGAGGGATTGGCTCTGGTAGATCTTTTGCATGGCTTTGTGGAGATTCTAGCCAAATATGAACTAAAGCCCAAGACCAGAATTGAGATTCTGGACAAGTTTGGAGAAATAGAGTATGCCATCTCTCGTGGAGGCAATGACAAGATCCAGAGCACGGCGTGCATCGGAGTGATCAAAAGCGCGTTGGAAAATGAGGATGCAGTTGAAGTGTAAAAAAGGTTCCAGTTGAGTATCAAATAATGCCATAAATAGTAGCAATAAAACTCCGTTGAAGCTTCGTGTATTCAAGTTTCTCTACTAAGCGCCCTATCATGGTAGCCGCGCCGCACTTGGGCGTGTAATCCAAAACGCCTGTGTTTACATATTTGATCCCGCGTCTTCACAAACTTTTTCAACCAAATATCCACCCCAACCACAGCCAGAAGGTAATATGGTACCGAGAACAACTGTAACAAAGTGTTTGGATATTTTGCCCGGATATCCTGATTCCGTGTCGCTATCTGACTGCGGTAACTACTATGCCTACTTTGACTCCAGAGTGTCAAGCACCCTGGTTATCGGGCACACTCAAACAGACGAGCTGAGACGAATCCAAATACAAGAAGAAGTCACCAATGGGAGAATTGTATGGGAATCAGTGCATAATAATTGCATCAACTCAATCAAGGTTGCAATCGCACTTAATGATAAGGTGATTGTCCTTGACGTATTGAATACGGAGTTCAAGACTTCGATCCAATGTCCACAGCTCGAGTCGTGTTTCTGGATGAAATCCAGAAAGAATGAATCACGTCGAGATGTGCTGGTGGCACAGTGTGGAGATGACCTGAAGTTTTATGAATTCGATATATGGAAAGGAGACTATAGGAAGTCCCTTACTTTAAATCTTCCTAAAGGAGGCAAGATAGAACAGAAGCGAAGCTCGGACATATTCACGGCTGTGGTTAGAGAAGGATCCACTGATATTATTCAAAATTACGCACTCATAGACCCGCCTCACCGCCTAGCTCTGGCTACTTCCACAGCCAGTAATTGCAGTTACGATATCCAGGATTTCAAGTGGTCGCCTTGTGGGAACTACCTTCTGGTGATAGATTCACCGCTAAGGGGTCTTTCAACCTCCCTATTTAACTTCCTGATGCTCAGCACCAACGAGGCACTTGAGTCGTCCATTGAAGATTTTCAGATGGACTCGCTAGGATCTACATGTCTGGAGTGGGGAACTATTCAAGGACTGTCTACGGCATTCATAGGCACCATGGAAGAAGACGTCTACGTGTATAAGCCTGGATTTGATTTGTCGATGGAGTTCAGCATCACTCACAGAAGAATATTGACCGCGAACCAGAACACAGTCGTATGGAAACAGCGAACCACAGAACCGTTGGTCCCAAGGGTGGGTCTCACATTCCAGAAAGTACAATTGGACCAGAACAGTATACAGCCGAACATCCATCTCGGTTCCCTCGAGCGTGGAGTTCAATGGATGAAGTTGAGCGCAAACTCGAACTTTTTGTATACGCGAGTGAATAGCAGGCCGGATGGGTTGTTCATATGGGATCTTAGGAGCCGGCACAATGAGCCCCTAACTGCGATTATCACCATGAATGCCATTAGCCAGATCGAGGTTGGAGTTCCAGATAACATCTACGATTTGGAGAGTGCAGATGAACCGGTAAAGAATGCTCTAGGAGGACTGTTAATGATCAACGATGGGATCAGCATCTCAATGTTCATCGAGGGATTGATGAAATCTCCATTGATACTCGAAACCAAATTGAGTGGGGATATTGAAAAGTTCCAGATATCTAGCTGCAAGGTGCTCGGAGCGGTCTGTGTGATTCAATTGCTAGCATGGGATACTGCTGAGGTTACGAAGCTAGAGGTAAAGTTCGAACTCGAAGCAAATAGTTTGAGAGAGCCTCAATCGTTCACTGTCTACTCGGAAACAGCCCAAACAATGGGCCCACCTTCGAAAGCCATCAAACTGACTGCTCCATCCAAGGTTACCAGTCTTAAAAGACCTCTGCATGTTCTTGAGCAGCTTCAGAACACATCGCCGCAGGTGGAGACAGACGATGACACCACTGTGCGGAAGCTGGCTTCTGATGTCCAGAAGAGAGAATGGTTCAACCCAAAGTTCATGAACAGAAACCTAGGCCAGGTTGTTGATGACAATGACACGTTTGTCAACAAGAAGAAACGGTTGGAGGGAAGTAATTGAGGCTTAATGGGGTTTTTTCTTTGGTTAAAAATTGTATGCACAGTCCTTTAATCTATCATTTTGGGGAATCTTCTGCATTCGCTGCAGCTTTGGCCTTTTTCTTGCGTTGAATGGAATCGTATCCCTCATCGTAGTCACCATTCATCACGCTCAATTCAATCAGCTTGTCCCGCTTCATCTTTTCCTCCCACCTAACGAGAGACTCAAACTTCATCACCTCGCGTTCGGTGTGGAATGAAGCTCCAGCAGAAATCCATATCGTATGGTAAAAAACCCAGCCCCTGAGTCCAAGTAATCTGAATGTTGGGGATTTCCAGCGCAAAAGAAGGTCTGTGGGTATGGAGATCAGAGCTCCATATAACCCACCTTTGAAGATAGACTTAATGATGATATCTCCCAGTCTGTTCTTGTGGCCCTCGGAATGATGTGCAAACTTCGCAGGCCCGAGAGTCTGAGGCTTTTCGCTCGATTTTTCTGTTTCAGAAGGCATTTCTTGAGCAATATAGGCTGTTGATCTGACCAACTGTTGTAGAAGATGGTTCGATTTGGAGATGTCTGATTGATTCAAGAGCTTGTGGGTCTATGGGTGTCGTGTGCGGCATTTTATGTGAGTGGGGACACTACCTATTAGCTCTTATCAGCGAGGAAGAGAGTCCAAAAAAAGCCCAAAAACAACCTCAAAAGGGCAAACTATTTACTATGCTTTAGACAATACTGCTGACTAGAGCTCCAACCTGCTAGCAACATCGTTTCATTCTGTTGGTCTTTCTGTCTCTCTGTCGGCAGTCTGAGTTGGCGGGGAATCCCCATTTTCAATTCTGACACTCTGACATGCTATACTAAACCAGGAAAAAGATATAAAGTTTTTGAAAATTATAAACGTAAATGACATCAATATAAGCTGTACACGGCAAAATAAACAGATCCGCAACACTGTAACACGATATATTAACAAAAGCAAACCAAACTCCCTCCGACCACTCATGTGTTCGAGTTGTACCGTAAAATCTGCCAGTAACAGACTAGCAAGCTACCAACAATGCTATCTATTAGATTCTGTATTTCCCATAAACCTCGCCACTGGAAGCCCCCTGAAGGGGACTGTTGTCACTGGAGAAGTTCAGCAAGGAAGAAAGACCTTGCAATCTGATTTCAGGCTCGAAATCCGACCCTTCAGAGCGAAGACTCCCTCCTCTGCTATAATTATCGATTTCCTCTCTCACAAAGTCGTACACACCATCAAACATGTTCTCATTCACCTCGTTGATCTCCTTCAACTTCTCGAGCCAATTATCGTTGATGAGAATCAGAATGTTAGTCTTCTTCTCTGCAAGGAAGAGGGTGAAAACATCAAAGAATATCATGTTGAACTTTTCAATAATGATCTTCTGGTAGTATCTGTATTCAATGTTGGAGAAGCCGGGCATTCTGTTGTAGATCTTGGTCAGAAATTCGTACAGAAAAACGAGCGAGTTCATGATTTCGGTCTCCACAGGTGGAAGGAAATTCAACACATAGTCGGAGACTGCCTCGAAAAACTCTGCGACAAGATGCTTGACTCTCAGATAAGCGTAATCTGATTTTGGTTCCACTTTATATGGCAATCCTGCCACCAATGACTCGATTCTCTCATTGAGCATGTTCAAAACAGCATCCACACTCACTTTGGGAACGGAATTCAGTACATCCGGAGTTATATCGGGTCTCGTTTCCAACAAGGAACCCACTAAGTTCTCCAGTTGAGACTTATCTAGCGTTTGGATTACCCTTTTCAAGGGAAGAGGCTGACCTCTGATCTCCTGTCCCCTCAACTTCTTGTGCCTATTCAACGACGAAGCCAGAGCAGTGCGAACCGGTGGTGACAGTCTTTTTGGGCTTGATCTGGACGATCTGCCTGTGTTTTCTTCGTCACTATTCATCTCCTCACTGAGCCTCCTCTTACTTCTCTTGCTCCTCAGTGTAGGCTTGCTTATATATGAGCCATTATGGTTGATAATCTGGTGCAGAGCCTGCTGCTGTGAAGGCTGTTGGCCACTTTGATCGACTCCAAAGGTGAAGCTCGACGGAAGGATGGAACTCATGGTGAGACCCAGATGTCAGCAAACGGGCGGCAAAGATGAGCAAATGCGAGAGCGACTTGAAGACTGTATATAGATCTAGTCTAATAGTTTGCAGTCGGGATTTCTACTTCTGAAATGTATCCGATAACAAAAACAATACCCAAGTTATAATCCGTTTGAAGAGTTGCTATTGACAGCAGTGTCAGCAGTGTCATCTCCTGTAGCAGTTGGAACTCCCTTTCAGAAGAAGTCTGATCTGCCATTATAGCAAGTGCCAGGCTGCATCAGGTAAAACAGAAACATAAATGGTCGTGCGCTTAACAGAAATCTAGAATGTGGAGGAAGTATCCTACTCACTACTGAAAAGTTACCGGGTTGCTCGATTAAACGCGACTTCTTAAATATATATACAGTGCCATCACTGCAGTTCATATCATAATTCCTTCACAAGCTCCTTCTCCCGAGCGCGCTCTTCTTGAATTCTCTGGACATCTTCTTCCGTCACCAGATGGTGTTTATGGTCAGGACCTTTCATCAAAACACCGTCGAGGTAGTAGCAGTTCTTGATTTCCTGGACCCAGGGACTATCCACAATATGTTGCATTGTTATTCTCTTCGCCGGGTCGACGATCAACATTTTGCCTATCAGGTCACGCGATGCTGATGGTAGTAGACGAAGCAGTCTGTATGGGCCAACTGTTTTTGCTCTGGATGAATCATTGGACTTGAGGTCAGCGGGGTCTGGAGTAGTGGCAAACGCCTTGAATGAGGCATCACTCATCTTGGGTGCCTTCCAGGGGAACCTCACGAGGATCATGCAACAGTAGATTATGGCAATGGACCATATGTCACATGGACGTGGATCATAGGAAGACATACCCAGAACTTCTGGGGCTAGATAAGGATCAGATCCAACAACCCCAGTCGCTTTTATTATGGATTCCTCAAACGGATACTGGAACACGGCGGCTGAGCCGAAGTCGATGATCTTTAAGATCCCGTCCTCGGAAATGACGCAGTTATCCAGCTTGAGGTCTCTGTGTGCCAGTCCCATGCTGTGTAGATAACTGACACCAGAGACGATCTGCTTGAAGTAACAAAACGCCTCGTTCTTCTGTAACAATCCAGACATCACCACTGTGAAAAAGTCATAGGGGCCATACTCCATCACCAAAAGAAACGCGTTACCTTGCTGCAACATGTCGTATGTTTCTATGACATTCGGATGATGCAGAGTTGAGCCGAGATAGAACTCCTTCTGAAGTTTCTTCTTGTACTCGAATTCGTTCTCACGCTCTGTTTTGGACTTGAAACTCTTCACCGCAAAAAGCTTACCGTCGGAGGGACTTTCCACGATAGATACAGATCCACCAGCCCCTTCTCCCAGAAGCTTTCCAGGAATTCCATATTTTTCAATAAGCTCATGGGATGACTCTGGCCCCACCTGTGGCAGTGATACCGCCGAGGCCTGACCAACGTGGTCCTTTGCTCCGTTCTTCAAGCTAGAGGTACTGATGTTGTTCTTGATGAACCTAGACAGCTTGTGCTGGTGCTTTGCATGGTGGCGTTCGTGAAAATCGTGAATATCTGCAGCAACTTTGGAAGGGGGTTTGACCACGTTTTTGAAGAATCGCTTTAGTTCCAGCCCAGGAGACTTTTTCCTGGAATCGTCAGAAGCCTTGGACGAAACAGGCTTGTTTGCATTGCTGGAAGTAGACTGCACAGAAGAGTCTCTGCTGCTACTGCTATGTTTTGGTGACAACAGAAAACTGCGGTCAACCTTCTCGGATGAACCACCAAGAAGCTTGGAATGCAAACTGAATTTGGATTTGGAAGACTCGCTGTTTAGCGAAGAAGAAGACTTGTTTGCAGACGATTTGCGAAAGAAACTGCCTATCGACGAGCTTGACTGCTGTTTTTCTGATAAATATGATCCCTGTTGATCATGGGGCACTTGAAGTAATGAACCTTCTGTGTCACGAGTCATTTCAGTGTGAGTGGCCGATGGAGGAACAGCACTGGGAGATCCAGGAACCACGATTTCGGGTTCCTGCGAATTTCTTGGGGTCGCTTGTAACACGGTGGTCACAATTGGAGACTCTGAATCGACCATGGTGATTATTACAGCGAATGATGCCAACCGAGCAATTCGAGCCTAAAAGCCTTGTTCCGCCTATGCAAGATCCACGAAATGTTGTGGTCTTCGATAGACACTAATTGGTGCGATTCGAACAACACCCCGATATGTCACACAAGCAACACGCCACGCCTGGCTAAAGAATTCTAGATTGGTAAACCTTAAACGTCCAGTATGGGTGGAGGCGGAACTAACCGGGGCCACGTAAAGAGGCTTTAGACGGCAACCTTGAAACAGCCGGCAGTGACTTTGATTAGGCGTGTATCACTCAAATGCGAAATCGGGGTTAAGCCCTCTGACAATGTATGGAAGTAATTAAGATCTGATAGCCGCAAGAGCCCTTGCTCTGAAAAAGAAATATAGCGAAGCAGATTTTATGGACGACTACAAAGCAGATATTGATTCCTTGGAGAAGGAAATCCAGCGAATGGAAGAGGAGTATGATAAACTTCAGACCAGTGTGAGTGCCAAACGGGCCGCGACACGCGTAGACCATGTCAGTGAAAGTAGCGACAAACAGCGAACTTTGGATGGAAAATCAGAAACTTCAAATTCAAAAAGGCGAAAGTTAGATGAAGAACAATTTCTTGAAGACGAGTTGATACCTGATCCTGCTCGCCATGAGTTTTTTGACGGACTGGTGAATGATATCATAGAGAGAGCAACGCGAGACTCGGACAAGACTAGTGAGGTCAGAAAGGCGAAAAAGTTGGCCATTTATGACAAATTGAAACAAGACCTGCTGCCGAAGATCAACACCGAAAACGTGTATCGTATGGCTGGGATTACGGCATTTCCAGTGAACGATCCGTTCAGGCATGGGGAATACGAAAATGCGGTAGAGAGTTACCTCGGGATTCGTTTTGATATTTATGATCAGAGGTCCCGCAAGTATGTGACCCCTCATTATCTGATTCTTCAAAGGGTACGGAAGAATAACGAGTGGGAAGTGTTCAAGACCACCCTACCGAAGTTCATCCCGGTCCGCTCGCTCGAGCTGAAGTGGCTGAACACGGATATCCAGAGGTTTGTTGTTCAAATAAGGTCCCATCTGGTGTTTCAACAGCTGAAATCGGAGGTTTTTTCTGCCATCAGGGACCATTTGGACTCGACGTCCCGAATGGAATACGATCTCAACTACACTAAGGTGAAGCTGACTTTGAAGAAAAAAGTCGCAGTGGTTCTGATCTGCAATCTCACCGAGGTTATAAACGTGATCACAACGGATCTTTCTGCTATGACATTTGCGTCTGGTGTGGCATCTGTTCTTTCTGATGAACTGAAGACAATTTCATCCAGGCTAGAGGTTATGCTTAAAGGTAAGATTTCTGGTCTGGAAGAGAGATTCCTAGTGGTTCTTGCTGAAATAGGTCTTTGATACCACTGAGCCCAATATTTGAATATTTGGGTTGTAAATTATGTGTAAACTAATCATTTTTGCTTGAAAGAGCAAACTCGCAGCTAGTATCGTAGTTTCCTGCTAAAACTCGTATTAGGGCTCGTGTACGCGATGAGCAGATGATAAGGCCATCATAGTTAAGATTGATAGACGGTGGAGACGAATTAATAACAACACCATACTTTCACGACACCTTGACAACACCTCATTGCAATACACTCTTTTATTTACCAATGCTGGAAGTTCTTTTGAAGCACCGGAAGGTCACGTGGATTTGGCTTTATATAATATCGCTAGTTTCCGGTCTTGTGATTCGGCTTAGCATCTGGCTGTTCAGGGAGATCCCAAAGCCAGGTTCGTCTTATTTGCTCAGTTCCCACAACATCTTCAACGTTGTTTTTGCAAATAATTGCTTTCTATGGTTTACTCCGTGCTATGTGTCTGTTTCCTGGTTGCTGTTGAAGAGTCGCATCAATAAGGACGATCGCTATACTGACCCGGAAGATGCAGACCAGGCAAACTTTCTGCCACTCACAGCTGCAGATTTAGGTTATCACCCTCATTTGAGAACAAATGGCAACTTGATATTCTTGCAGACTGCCAAAATGATCCTGATCTATCTCTGGGTGGGGATTTTGCGGGTTTGGTGTTTTGGCAATTCGCTGTTTGACAGGTATCTGATACATACAGGAGGCCATTGCGTTTTCGATGAAGCCTCCCCTTACTTTGGAACGTCTCCCAATTATGATACTTGTGTTTCCGAGCTGGGTGTCTGGGACGGCGGGGTAAAATTCAGCGGGCATATGTTGGTGCTGGGAACTTTTAGCTTGATGCTCATTTACGAATTACGAAACTACGCGGTTATCCGCAGTCTGAACGAGCAGGATAATACGGTGTCGATATCCAAGATCCAGTTTCACAACTTTGTGTTTTCGATCGAGGATGCAGTCGTGGGATTTTCTGCATTTGTGCTCCTCATGTGGTACGGACTCTTCATCGACACTGCCATATTCTTCCACACTACAACAGAAAAGGTGGTAGGACTGGCATGTGCGCTTGCTGTACCATATCTGCTCTATATTTTCAAGCCCACCAAGAAATATTTCAGCGTTTTATAGAATAGAACCAAGTGTCTGGTACAGGTAATAAGAAAAGCGTAGACTGGTGACCCGGCTGAAATTTGACAGACTGCGTTGGTCTTCATCGACGACAGAAAAAAAGTCAAGGCGGTAGAGAGCGAAGTATCCAGTGGACTCTCCATATCTAACAAGTGTTGAATAGATTTTTGACGAAGCTTCATTTGCTCTGTCAGACTTGATTCACTTGTGATTTTATTTTGAGGTGCCATGATTGCATTAAGGATTTTTGCCCAGACAAGCCTGAGGCCCTTGTCTACCGGTGTTAAAGTACAGGCCGCGCCGTTTTCAACATCCACCTTTCAGTATGCTTCAGCGTTGAAGACTGCTAAGAGGGCCAAGGCCATGAAAATCAAACAGAAGAATGAAATGAAGCAATCGCAAAAGGCTATGAGGACTGATAAGGTGGATCCTGTGCTGGGGAAAGCCGAAAACCCTTTTTTGGTGCGCTTGAAGGCAGAACTTGCCGAGCCGGAAGTACTCTCAAAAGGATTTGAAACGTCAGACGTCCAAAAATTGCTCTTTGGAGCTGAACAGGCAGTTCTTGTTTTGAACGAAAGACAAATGGGATCCAACGAGGTGATAGCAAACAAGGTGAAGCTGAACGAGCAGAAGAAGAGATTGGTGATTTCCAGAGTGTTGTCCATGAAGAACTCAAACAAGGTTGAGCAGACAAAATTCGCCACCAAGCTGGCTCGTGAGGAGTTTGCCAGATTTCCAGGCGACACTGGATCCTCCGAGGTGCAAGCCGCGATCTTGACTGTTCGTATTCATTCGTTAATGGATCATGTCAAGAGCAATCCAAAGGACCTGGACGCTATCAGAGACACGAGGATGTTGGTACAGAAGAGACAAAAGCTCCTGAGATATCTCAAGAAAGAGGATGCGCAGAAGTACTTCCTGGCAATCGAGAAGCTGGGGTTGAGTGACGAGGCCGTCAACAATGAGTTCAACATGGATAGAAGGTACATGCAAGACTTCAGTATCTGGCCAGGCAGAGTGATGGTGAAGGAGTCCAAGAGAGATCTGGAGGAGAGGAAGTTGATTAGACGTACAAGAAAGAAGGCAGTGAGAGCTGCTCTTGCGTCCAAGGCCGTGTAAATATATAGCAACACAAGTACATATTGAGAATACTGAGACAATGGCGGTAGTATGCGAATTCCTTAGATCGGATTACGTGAACGAACTATTCATAATTTCATTTTCCTGCTAAATCATCAAGATTGAAAACCATTATTAGCGGTTTTCAGCCCAAAAAGTCTCTGACCGGTTGGCCAATATAATCCAAACTCAACAAAAATGTGTCATGACCGTACATGCTGATGTCTTCACCCAGCTCAACATGTCTGATATTATCGCCGTTGCTTATTCCCAATTTTTTGGCACTCTCCTTCAAGAACTGGCTGATCTCACGCTGCTGCCAAACAGGAAAGAGAATATCAGACTCCACGCCTATCACCAGCACGTCTTTGTGAGCAAACTTCTCCAAACCTTGGCGAAGATCATCCTTTTCTTCCTCGAAGGAAACTACGCGACGTCTTGGTTTCTCGGTGTATGGTTCGTTTGGAAGAGCACACTCCGAAGAGGAGAACTTGATGTCTCTGGTAGACTCTCCTGTAAATCTTGCCTCGCTGCCCAGTCTCGTTTCCTCTGCCTTATCCCGGTTAGTCTTGCTCAAATTGAACAAGTCCATTGCCTTAGAGATATATAGCAGCGAATTGGCATCATATTCCAGACAAAACTTCTCACCCTGGTGGTCCAGGTACGTCTCGATCAAGAAGTCAGGACACAACGCGGGCTGCTTCGAGGGATCTGCCCGCTCTGTTCCAAATCTGGTCTCCCATTCTGGACCCGACCGGTACGTTATCGTAGCAATCTCCCGGGACAATTTCATACCCGTGTGAGGCGGAAGCGAATCGTAGTAGAAGCCTCTATTCCAATTGGGGTCACTCATCAACACCTGTCTCTGACAGTGTCTCATGGCAATGGAATATGGATGCGACTTGGCACAGCCAGAGATGGAAATCACCTTCTCTACCTCGTCAGTGAACTCCTGGGCATATGCAAGAGACTGCATGCCACCCATCGAAGCGCCGATGGAGGCATACAACTTCTTCACTCCAAAGTGCTGCGATATCAACCGGTGCTGCGCCCTCACCATATCGTTAACGGAAAGTATCGGGAATCGAGTGGCATATCTGTCTCCGTCAGCAGGGTCCACCGAAGAAGGTCCGGTTGAACCATAGCATCCTCCAATCACATTCGTACAAACCACGAAATACCGGTCAGTATCGAGATATTTACCAGGCCCTATGAACTCCTCCCACCAACCACTTTTTTGGTTTAGAGAGTTCGATTTTGCATGAGATGAGGCAGATAAACCCGTGTGTATCAGAATGGCATTACTTGCGTCTGCATTAAGAATTCCCCACGATTCGTAAGCAATCTGAAATCCAGGCAAAAATCCACCATAATCAAGAAATATGGGTTCTTCTGACTTGTAGATATGCACGCTCTCTCTCCCTATTTTCGAATAAGCAGGCTCAGGTCCTTCATTCAACAGAGCCTGTGACTTTTGCTCGCGCTTGTCCAAACAAGGGAAAGCCATCTGGGGGTTTGAAGCATGTCTGGGCGTTCTTATACTAGCAGAAATGGCAGCACTAGCTTGTGTCGGTCTCGGTCTCAGGACGGCTCCAGAAGTCGAAAAGTTCCTGGTCAAGACGGCCAAACGTCGTATTGCGGGTTTCATGATGTGAGCGGTTGACATGGAGGCGGTAGAGAGACGAATAGTGGACTGTGGATCCAAAGAGCTCTAACCAGAAGATTGTTAGTGGTTGAATCGCAGATGAACAACAACCACAAAGGTGCCCCAACAACAGGTCACGCAACCAACAACTTTTCAATTAACGACACAAAGCTTACGGGTCCAGAGGAGGGGTTCCAATGGCCTATTCTGCAGTATCAAACACCTGGTGTGGTTTGGGGAAATTGAAAAATCGCAACACAGCGACTCCGGGTTATGCAATTACACGTGATTTCAATGTGTTTACCTGTTTCGGTTTTTTGGTTAGGGCACCGTTGTGCGGCGCAAGAATGTTTTATGGTTTTTTTGAAGTTTAGCTGTGAACAGTGTATGCGATCAATTGTAGCAATAATCATCAAAGCAGCTTTGACACTGTGTGCCAAATTCAATGTTGTTTTCCTGTAGACTTTTGGCTATGGAAGCACAAGCAATGCACGTCCTGTAGTTGGAGTCCTCCGTAAGGTTGTTTCTGGTTGCACCCTCAAACCCATTCTTGATGAAGGCCAGTTTCTGCTCATCTGAAAACGATAGAGTCGATGTAGAGACATTCGAGGCATGTGACACGTTGATGTTGGGTACATACACAACCAAAGGCACATCAGAATCGGCCTTACATCCGAAAAAGGTGGGTCGTTTGTTGAGTCCCTTTGAGATAAAAGTCTCTGGGGTGGGCATTTCCGGAAACGGAATCGAACCATTATCGTAAGTCTGGAGCCTTTCGTAAGTGTACCATAACGATTCTCCGTCTGGCCAATTCTCATCTGTGTCTGCAGAGCTGTCAAAAGCGAAAATAGTAGATACTCCTCTGATGGGCTGAATGAGAGGTTCAAAAGGCACAACCTCGTCAGAACTTCCACCATCTGCAGAGAGCAAGATCTCACTCACCTGTAGGAAAGGGTTCAGGTCATTGTCAAATTCATAAAATGGGGAAGGTTTGTAGATAGCATAGCTCTCGTACTCCGGGTTTAATTGGTCAAGGTAATCGGCCACTTCTGGTAATGCAGTATAGGCACCAAGTCCGGCAAACAGAATAGCTGCACCAGTCCCAACAAAAATGTCTGAAGAGGACCCGATAATAAAGGCAGCATTATCGAAACCTTTGGTACATTCTTTGCCGGTGGGTTTGCCATTGACGACGTCCGTGCCTAGATAGGTGAGGTCCGTGAAACTGTTTACATATCTGTGCCATGAGCCAAACTCATATGGGTTGAACTCGGTTGAAATGGCATCTAGAGCAGACAGATTCGAGCCTGGAGGTCCACTATTGGTAGATATAACCGGAAAAGGCATGTCGTGGTTTCTGAATGCATCCAGCTTCTGGACACCAGACCAAGTCAAGTTGTCATACTCCAATGTGGGGAAGAACTGGTTAGCAAGTGCCAATCCCCAAATATCGATTGCGGATATATCAAAACCGGCCTCCTTCTTTGAGACAGCAGCTTTGAAAAGCTTTTCAAAATACAGTAAATTTTTTGTGGAAGAGGTGGACGGATAAAGGATGGAACTAGTGAGATTCCAGATCTTTTCCTGGTCAATGATAGATTGGATGGAGGCCCATTCGTTCAGCACCACGGTTCCAAGCAACCACGAGCCTCCAGATAGCCCAGAAATATATGTGAGCGACTCTAGAAGACCTCCGAGTCCATGCTCATCAGCTCCTTCTGTTCGGCTGTCTAGGGCAGCCAATTGACCAGCACCATTTAGCATTGCCCTATATCCGCCTCCAGAGAAGGCCGCAGCAAGAGTGACTGGCTTCTTGAAGCTATGAACCAAGTCCTTGACACTGTCATATTCGGTGAAATCTGTCAGATTAGAGCCCTCTAGGAATTTGATGAAACTTTTGGTTGTTTTTTTCTGTCTTTTCGCTATCCATTTGGTTTCATCGTCAGAGAGTGATTTTGCAGTTCTCAGAAGCGATTGCTCGTGCTTTGGGCAATGTGCCTTTGTTGGTGCATAACTCACCACTAAGCCAGCCAGTGACAATAGCAACAATAGCACGTTTAGCAAAGACTGTCTCATTGTTTTTCAGCCGTTACAAGTTCTTGGAAAGTCTTCCTCGAGTCCCCGCAGAGGGGCTCTACATATATATAAAGAAACCGAGGGCCCAATTATCCGATTGATTTAGCCAATCCGAGACATGTACTATTCCCCAAATAGGTTAGAGACAAGGCCATGCAAGGGGGGTCTGCATAGAAAGCAGAAAGTATTTCTGTTCTGGTAATTTCAGATAACCGACGCATAGGGCAAAAAACGGCGATCCTTATCTAAGTATCGAGGCCCCTACGGAATCGCGCTATTGGACTATATAACAGGCTGATAATCCAATTGTAACTGCAATCCATACGAATGTGATCCTTTAGGATGCATTTAAAAAGCACCCCCTAACGCCCTGTTCTTATACTCCCCGCCATGGTGAAGACTTCACTGACTGATCGCAAGACCGGAAGACTTCCCCGCCAAAACAGACGCCACGTGAATTTGAAAAAATCTAATTCAGGAAAACTGATTTGCATGGAGGACCAATACACTCGATTAGTTAAAATTTCCGTTCTCGGGCACGCAATTTTTTTCGAGCACGTTTATTGGTATCTTAGTTTCCGCTCGGATCAATTTGGGAAACATCGTGGAAAATCTCATCTTTCGGGGTAAAATGTGATAAACACGCCTTCTGGAGTTACCACTTCTGTCTCTGGGGTTGCCTCTAAGGCCCTTCGAAAGGGCGCTCCCGCAGTTGAGTTGTATTTGAAAAATTCAATACTACAAAAAAGCCCAATTTGGTAAAGTCTGTTCCATTAATTTGACCATCGAAGGCATCCTGCAAGTAAAACATCTAAGAAGAGCCCTGACTAACGTGCACCAAACAATACTCCACAATCTGACAGCAAATAAAAATTTATTCGTTGAAATATGCTCGTATGGCACAGTGGTAGCGCGTCAGATTGCAAATCTGTTGGTCCCCAGTTCGAACCTGGGTGCGAGCTAATTTCTTTTTTTCGAAGTACTTCACGCATTTTTGTATCTGAATACTGTGGTATTTACATGCATTATTTAACTTTTTGTCTATGGAAGTGGCGCAGTCTCTTCCGGTGGCGGAGGTGGCGCCGACTTCTCCCATGGTTGATCCATATACTTCTTGAAGGCCTCATTTTTCTCGGGGAATGGCCGTGGGCCCAAGAGTCTCAGCATATCGTCTCTTGTAATAACTTCTTTCGTCAAAAGCTCGTTGGCAACAAGATCGACCTGTGCTAACTTCTCAGTGAGCATCTTCTTACACTGATCGTGGGCCGAGTCAACCAGTTTCTTGACCTCCTGGTCAATCTTGTAGGCGGTGTCTTCACTGAATGGCTTGGCCACCCGTACCCCTCCTGACTTGTTTTCCTGTTCAAACGTAATTGTTCCAAGTTCTTTGGACATTCCCAACTTGGTGATCATGGCTTGTGCCATTCTGGTCACCTTGGAGAAATCGTCAGAAGCTCCGGTTGTCACCGAAGGAAAGTGTAGTTCTTCAGAAACTCTTCCACCCAAAGCCATGATCATTCTGTCCATAAACTGATTTTGGGAAATAAGGTAAGCATCAGCTGGAAGGTACTGGGCATATCCAAGTGCACCCTGGCCTCTTGGAATGATAGATACCTTCATCAGAGGATCAGCGTGTTCCAGGTACCAACCGCAGATAGCATGTCCAGCTTCGTGGAACGCAACGGTCTTTTTCTCCTCAGGAGACAAAACTCTCGACTTTCTCTCCAATCCGGCAATGACTCTTTCAATTGCCATTTCAAAGTGCTTTAACTCAACGCTGTTGGCCTCAAGACGGGCAGCAATCAAAGCAGCCTCATTACAGCAGTTAGCAATATCAGCACCCGAGAACCCAGGCGTCATAGCAGAGAGTCTTCCAGTGAGTCTGTCGTTCAATGGATCAGCGAGAGTCAACTTGCTCAAATGGACCTTGAAGATGTCCATTCTTCCACTGATATCAGGCCTATCGATCGAAATATGCCTGTCGAATCTTCCAGGTCTCATAAGGGCCTTATCCAGGACATCAGCCCGGTTCGTACCAGCCAGAACAACAACATGATCCGAGGACTGGAAACCGTCCATTTCAACCAGAAGTTGGTTCAAGGTGGCTTCCTTCTCGTCATTTCCGAACCCGTTAGAGCTACGCTCTCTTCCAATGGCATCAATCTCGTCTACGAACACGATTGCAGGGGCTAACTTTCTAGCAGTTTCAAACAGGTCTCTCACTCTCGAAGCACCCACACCCACAAACATCTCCACGAACTCTGAACCAGACACAGACAAAAAGGGAACTCCGGCCTCACCAGCTGTAGCCTTTGCCAAAAGCGTCTTACCGGTACCTGGAGGACCAGACAAAATAGCACCACGGGGAATTTTTGCACCTAGTCTTTCGTACTTCTTAGGATCTTTCAAGAACTTGACAAACTCCATTATCTCCTCCTTGGCTTCGTCACACCCGGCAACGTCCTTGAAGTTGACCTTGATGTCTGTTTCCTGGTTGAAAATTTTCGCCTTAGACTTTCCGACATTGAAAAGACCTCCCATTCCAGCAGATCCCTTACCAGATTTCCGGACCTGGCTCATCATATAGTAAGATCCACCAACAATGAGGGCGGCAGGCAAGAAAGCCACCAGATATCCGAGATATCCACCTCTTTCAACGTAAGAAATGGGCAACCGCTCAGCAGCTGGAATACCCAATTTGTCCTGAACATCATCCACCTGTTCTTCGAAAACCTCCAGAGACCCAATCGTGAACCCCACCATCTTGTTTCCGAACCCTATGCCGTTTCCAGCATGCAACTCAGCTTCGACGTAGGATCTGTTAACAACCCAGATCTTTTTGACCAGTCCTTTCTCAAGATACTGGGTCTTGAAATCCTGGAAGGTCAGTGCAGGTGCAGAGTTGTTATTCGACATAACAGAATACACAGACATGATCACGGAAGTGGCAATCAGAGATGTAAGGAAGTGGTCCAGGTTTCTGGAAGGCGGCTGCCCTTTTGAGCCAGACCCAGAATTCTTGTTCTCGTGATTATCCTTGTTAGAGTTCTCAAACCGTCTCATGGAATATTTAAAAGCAGCAACGTTGGATGAACTAAGCATTCTCTTGTTCGGGCCCATGCTCCATCTGTTGGCTAGTCTCCACGGAAAAGCACCGAGCCTTCCCCTAGAGGTTGCTAACCTGGCCGAGGTCAGTCTTATCGGAAACATCTATGAAATGCCCCTTTTATTTGTCTTTCAACGGAAAAAAATTACAAGAAAGAAGCTCGTAGACGTTGATGAGGAAAGAAGGTGCCTGCAGGCCGCTATTTGCCTCTTGAGCTTCGCCGTTGGAGGAAGACCATGTCACGTGACAACTATTAGCTGGTAAGCCTCAGCTTTCTTGGATAAAGATGGTTTAAGAATTTATCGTTTAACTCCATTTCATTTTCCATTGGCATGGCCAAGATATTAAAGCTGGCTAGCCACAATAATCGTGATGTTTCTCTGATGATAGTACCAGCTGGTGGGGTTTCATAAGGATGAGCTACCTCTCCTACGTTGGCTACGGCAATAACAACTATTAACGAGTCGCGCCAAATTGGCCATTTCATACACGAGGACATACCTACAAAAGTCGCGCTCACCCCGATGGAGATTGTGGAGAGAAAAGATATCTCAATTGATGGATAAAATGAGAATTTCAATCCTCAAATTGACCTCTTGAAGAAAATCAGTGAGAAATGCGGAGTAAAAACTAAGATAAAAATGGGACCAAAAGTTTCAAATACCGTTATTGCCAATTGGCAATTTCATTTTCGAGTTTCATGCATACGGAAGTACTCTCTCGAGAATCCACTGTCTCAGTTTCTTACCGTCCTCGTTGGTACATGACTCCTTCACGTCGTCTCTCATTCTTCCAATACGTCCAGGAGGAATGATGTAGTCACCTGTGTTCTTGACAGTTAAATCTGGGCTCAGGGCACAATAGGCCACAGTGTATCCAGAAATTATAGGGTCATTCAACAGCATATTGACGAAAAATGCCTCGAACCAGCTGAGGTGTTGCTGCAGTCCAGTTTTCGCATAACCAGGGTCTACAAGCAAAACAGGAATCTTGGCGGACACCGCGGGGTGGGCCTTGGCCCACTGCAGTATCATGATACCTGTCTCAGCCTTGGAGTCACCATAGTTGAGCATCCATGGTCTTGTCAAATCTTCCAGTTTGTCATAGTCAAATCCCTTCGGACTGGACTGACCATGAGCAGTGGAGTTAAGAAACAGAACCCTAACGGCATTGGGGGTAGTGTTTATCTCCGAAGCAGTCTTGAACAAAATGGGAGTGAGAAGTTCCTGGAGCAATGTAGGTCCCATCACATTTATACCCAGGTGGGCCTCGAAGCCCTGTTTGGTTTTAGTACCTGTGGGCAGGGCCATGACTCCAGCATTGTGGATCAGGATGTCCAGCCTGGACTCTTTTGCCAGAAACGAATTTGCTGCTCCCTTAACAGTGGTCAAGTCGTTGAAATCAACTAAAATGTAGTGGAGATCAGCGGCTGGAAATTGCTTCTTCAACTCTGCAATGGCAGCTTCAAGACGTTCAGCACTTCTGGACAGAATGTAGATTCTGGCACCTGTTGGAATTAACAATTTCACTGCCTCATATCCCACTCCACTGTTAGCCCCAGTAATCAGCACAACCTGACCTTTAAGATCTTTGTAATCTTTTGGCAGAAATGTTGCTTTGGGAGGCCAGATATTGGCAATCAGTTGCTTGGTGTCAGCCCAGGTCATTGGCTCTATGGTATGTTATGTGTGTGTAAGATTTGAATTCTTTAAGCAACTGTTCGAGGAGTTGTACAAGTTCAAACTTGTGTATTCAGACGTTTTTTTCATACAAGGACAAGCGTGGATACTTATAGCAAATGTCAAATATATATCTGCATATATTCAAGCCGCGGTCGTGCGGCATGCGCGCCGGCGTGGACTTTACGGACTTAAAACTTGGAGTGCATATGACAAGAAGATGTCCTGCATGCAGACGTTAGGGCAAGCTTCCCATTTTGATAGGTGAAAAGGACAATAAACGTGTATGCTTCGACGGGGTAAACGGCGAATACTTCAAGATCACCTAATTACATAAGCTCGCGTAATTTGTCTCGGAAGATTCACCGGACATAACGATTAGCTCTTAGATATTGGTTCCTCTCAAATGAACTCCATACTACCGTTGGTACAGATGGTGGATCCAGTCACCTATCTAGAATAGTCACCAGGATATTAGGGTATTAAAAAATTTAAAAACATTCTTCGTCAGTCATTTTTACCTCAGGAAGCTCGGGCTCCGCAGAAGGGATGTCGAAGCCTTCTTCAGTGGAATATAAGATCTCTTGGAACTCTTTGACTAGTGAGTCCACCGTGTATCTGGAGCTATCCTCGTTTTCTTCGGTGATGCTCTGGCAGATGATCTCGATATTTCTGAGTTTCTCGAAGTAGAAGTCTCTTTCCTTTTCGAGCTTGAAAATGCCGTCCTTGGCGTTCTCAAGTTCGTCATTTGTACTTCCCAGCTGGTTCCGTAGACTAACAACTTCCTTTTGGAGAGTTGACGAGCTCACTATTCTTTGCCCAGCATTAGCATTGCTCAAGCTTGGATTTCGGGGTTTTAGGACCGACAGATGTCCACCATTTGGGGTGGCAGCCGCAGGGGCCGCCATTGAAGAGGAAGGTCCATTGGCCAGACTTGATCTCCGCGATCCACTCAGAACACGTAAAGACGGCATCGTACTGCTGGACCGTGTCACAGACTCGTTGCGTCTCGCAACAGGGTCGTAAGGAGATTCGTCCTTGTTCTCTGTCCAAAACTTCTTCATCCATTGCAAGAACTCGAGGTTATCCTGAAGGCGGCACTTCACCAAACGATCCACGGGGATTGCACGCGAGATATGATGTCTCGTAAATCCAGCCTGCAATATTTTGAAATTGTTGACGTTGTGGTATTCCGTGGTGGGGTTGAAATTCACCTTGTTCATGGGAAGGTCCTGGTAGATGGAGTCAAAGATCAAGCAGTACACCGCGCCAGTCCCGCACTGCTCAACTTTGCTATACTCCAGGCCAAAAACCTGGTTAATCCAGGCCACCAGCTCTGTTCTTGACTCGCCAAACATTTTGAAAAAAAAAGAGAAAGCCGGCCGAGTGGTCTGTGAGCGAAACGTGTGTTGAAGTGGAATCCCCAAATGTAAACAGAGCTGAGCCTGGAAGGAGAATTATTTTAGCGAGAACACGACCAAAGAGCTGCCAAATTTCATCGTGCCTCCCGAATGTCATTTCTATCCCTTACCCCAGATTAGACCAAGTATGTTACAGTCAAAGGTGAATTTACCTCCAATTCAGATGGTAGTTGGTTGTAGAGTGGCAAGATATCCACATGCAATCATTCAAACCGATTCCAGAAACTAGAGTGATCAAAACCGCACCCAAATCGCCATTTGCTACTCGCTCCGCCAAGTTGAGACGGCATATTCCCAAACGATAGAATCTTACTATAATAAAACGGTACAAAAACAACAGAAAAAAGAAGAAGACAGCAGAGACTGGCAAATGAAATGTGACCAGAAATAAAGAACAAAGCAGCATCATCAAGTGTGGTCTATGTGAAACTTTTGTGGTGGGGATATTACACCACTGGACATTTGAATTTTGTTTTGGGGGCCCATATAAGGCTTTTCATGGGGTTGAACATCGGAATTTTGTATTTTGGCTGTGTTGGCTGAAGCGAACTTCATGGAGAGAGCTTGAGAGGACTCAGAGGGAACTTAAAGCGAATCTAAAGGAGGCTCGCTAGAATCTCGAAAATCTCTGGATGTGCGTAAGGCTTCGTGATATCGTCATCGTGATTTCGTCATGGTGATCTCGGAGAAACTATTCCATCTCCCCAAAGACTCCCGTGTCTTCGTCATCATCTTCAATGACCTCGTCCGACCTTGGCGCAAATCTCGTCGTCTGGTCGATATCTTGCTCTCCCTCGTCATCGTTCGCTGTAGGCATCAACAAGCCATCAGCACCCCTGTGAGACTTGGAAATGGACTGAGATACCGCTGCCGAAAACTCAGGAGCTGCACTGGTCGTATCAAGGTACCCACCGTTCGTGGACTCGTGGCTAGGCGATTTGCGATTCGCGGCTTGCTTGAAAAAAGGTGTCGATGGTGGATATTGTGACATCGAGTTCTTGCGATTGATCTTAGAAGATGAGGCAGTCATCGTAGCAGTTGCTGCCGTTGCAGTAGTGGAAGCGCTGTTGTTGGAGTTGGAAGTGATGTCTGAAAGAGCGTCTTCCGGAGACGAGGATCTCTTTTCAGGCGAAGAAACAGATTGACGACGAGCTTGAGTCTCATTCATGCTGCAAAGGATGCTTGCAGCCTCCAGAAGTTGAACCTGCTGGTGCTTGGAGATCAATAGCTTTTTGGTGACGTTCCACTCAGGTGTGTGTTCCCACAGATGTTTGGCAAGCGAAGAGATGTGCTTGTAACCCTTTCCACAGGCTTCACATTTGAGTTCTTCTTTGAGTCTTCCCGTTTCTCCTTCAGAAATTCTTCTCACCACAAACTCTCTCGAGAGCAGTGGAACCGAGGACGAGAGCTGGGCCTGGGCCGCCTGGGCTGCTTGGGCCTGAGCCTGTGTGTGAAAATGACCAGCGGTACGAGGAGATGATGAAACAGGTGTTGTCAGTTTCAGCGGTATAGAATAGGGCGCTCCCGATGAAGTAGCGTGTATGGAGGACCTCCTGTGGTGGTGGTGGGCGCCCGAATGCGACTGTTGGGCCGAGCCCACTTGGAACTGCGTCGGGTGCTCCATAGTGTGTATGAGATTCAAACTAACCGCTGGCTCAAAATAGGGGAATTGGGGCCAACGTGATGGGTTATAGGCCAAATCCCGAAAAGCTGTCTAGCGCTGTCAACGGTGTGTGTATCAGGATGCCGGCCACCGATGAAAAACGATGGGAAACGACTTGAAATTGTTGTGAATAAAAAGCCCTCGAGAAAAAGAGGTAAGTCGTCAAATACTGCACGCTTGGGAAGAACAAATTTGGGAAACCGTGTATTGTAACAAGTGTCAGAGTTTTCTTTAAGAGAAGGTAATTGTATAAATCCAAATTTTTTTTGATTTTTTTTTTGCCTTCAAAAGGGCGTTCAAAGTAAAAAACTGATGTGACATCGGTTTATACACTATATTTATTTACTTAAGCGTGCGGAGCCTCGGGACTTTCGGGTCAGTTCAAAGCATATCCTGGAGGTTAAGCAATTATAAATATAGATATCTTAGTATTGACCGGCTACCTTTCATTTATCGTTCACTGACAACAATGTTTGTGCCGTTAGGGAGGGAGCCAGACAAATATTCACCACGGCGCGACATGTACAATGGGCTTTATTAAAGATGATGAGAGACCCTTATTGATGCATGGTCCCGAGGCCCCCCGCAAGTGGTATGGGTTGAAAAGCTGAAAAACAGGGGTACGAACAACGTCAATGCAAATTTACTATTAATTTATTTCCAATTCAGAGAAACGCTCTTTCGGCGGTATACCTGGCCGAGGCCCGACGGATTGTGTGTGACTCGTTTGACAGCCATATTCCGCCCCGTAGGCAACCCCGATACTGGAAATATCACGTGATATGATGAGCGTACCTTCTCAACTAAGATTTGTGTGGAACACGTAATTTTGTTTTAGCCAATACACGCCCGATATTACTTATCTCTGGAAGCTTGAAAAAATTCTTCCATACTAACTGCTCTTCTGCACAACGGATGGGCTCGGGGTTCGTTCGCGGGGTGAGCAGGAATACTTATGTTCAAACATTCTCCTCCTTGTATATCGTTTTGATTTTACTCTTGGAGACACTCCCACTGACTTCGACCTTCCCAAAGCAACCACTGTGCATCATAGTACATCTCACCGGGTTTCACTCCCTTTGGTGTCTCCAAGAACACAGACAATTCTTCATAATCCCGTTGATTCAATTTTATTTAGTGTACAAGTTTAGTATTTGATGCCGTCCATAATCCCACCCATCATCTGAGTCAAAAATTTGCGATTTTCATCCAGTGCTGCAGTTTCACAGTCTGGACTAGTGCAAAAAAACGGCACCTTCAGCTCCCTCAAGCGATCAAAACCGTCCTTTTGGAACTTTAAGAGTTCAGCATGGTACTTGGAATCGTACTCTTGATCCTCAAAAGCTTTTGCTACCAGAGCGCTCACTTCTTCAGCCTTGGTAGGACCATCAACCCCATGCTTCGCCATCCAGTCCCTCTCAATAACATTTTGTAGTGTCTCCAGCGTCACAATTCGCCTACGCGTCAGGTCCTCAACGAGGGCACGATTCTTCTGGTGAAGAGCGTATAAAGATTTTTTTGTCTTGCGGTCTTTGAACAGTGTCTGAACCACATACTCCAAAGCCTCATATCGATCAGTAATCCGACACGGGTCCACGCTTTGGGCCTTATCACCACATATGGCCTCCAGCTCACTAGCACCCCGAAACCGACCTGTGCACATTTCATACAGACACTTGCCAATAAGCTTGTTGCACTCCTTCTCTCTTCTAATCGTCTGCGCTAACAGAGATCCCAGTCCAGGGTTGGCTTCCAGCTGAGTCCTAATCTTGGCTTCCACATCATCAACAGACGTCACCCGCGGACTAAACTTTGCAATCGCATCCCACAGAATCTTCTCGTCAGACATTGCCTGGAGATCATTGGAACGTAACGTTGAAGTTGGCACATTGAAAAGAACTAAGTAAAGAGGTGTACCAACCGTTTATAGCTCACCCGGCTCTTTGTGACAGACACTTGTACGACGTGTACTGGAATCAGTAACGGTGACAACTTACAACGCAACAAGCCAACCAACCTTCCCTCCTTCAAATTGACCACTTGCTTGTATCAATCATGGCCTCGTCCATTCATTTTCTGGATTTGAAGGGCAAGGCTCTGCTGTCGCGAGACTATAAGGGCGATATACCCAATGGTGCACTAGAGAAGTTCCCCGTCTTGCTGGTAGACCACACCAACACTGGGCTCGGCTCAGATGAGACTTCGTTGCCGCCTGTTCTGTACGACAACGGCATCAATTATATCTACGTGGTACACAAGGATCTCTACATCCTGGCGATGACTAGGGAGAACACCAATGTGTTTGCCATAATGATCTTCCTGAACAACCTCGTCAAGGTGCTGATCAACTATTTCAAGTCTCTTCAGGAGGAGGCGATCCGCGACAATTTCGTGATAATGTACGAGCTCTTGGATGAGATGATGGATTTTGGACTTCCCCAGATTACAGACCCGAAGATTTTGAAGGAATATATCACGCAAAAATCATACACCTTGGAGGAAGCTTTGGGCCAGATCCGCGCCTCTTCTACAGGGCAACAAGCTGCGCCAAAGTTGCCGCCTTCCACATTGACCAAATCTATCAGCTGGAGATCCGAGGGCATTGTATACAAGAAGAATGAGGCTTTCTTGGATGTTATAGAGTCGATCAACATGACGATCAACGCCAAGGGCCAGACGCTGAGTTCGGAAATTCTGGGCAGAATCAATGTCAAGAGCAATCTATCTGGTATGCCTGATCTGCGGCTGGGGCTAAATGAAAAGTTCCTGAATAGTGGAGCCAGGTTGGCAGAGTCTGGTGCCGGTGTTGCTTCAGACCGCGCGGTGACGAACGAACTGGAAGACGTCAAGTTTCACCAGTGCGTGAGGCTGTCGAAGTTCGAAAACGAGAAGATCATCACGTTTGTTCCTCCAGATGGAGAGTTTGACCTAATGACATACCGAATTCTGTCTCCGTCCATCAACCAATTGTTTGTGGTGGACTACAAGATGCAGAACCATTCCAACACAAGGCTGGAAATTTTACTTAAGGTGAGGACCAACTTCAAGCCAAAGTTAGTCTGCAATAACCTTGAAATTTACATTCCTTGTCCAGATGACATCTCGTCACCAAAATTTGGCCGCACAAAGGGTTCCGTCAAATATCTGCCCGACAAATCGTGTCTGTGCTGGAAGTTCAAGTCGATCAACGGTGGTAAGGAGTATTCCATGATAGCCGAGCTCCAACTGCCTTCAGTCCACAGCGGTGACGAATATCAATTGGAGAGCTTCAGAAAGAGACCCCTCAAGCTCAATTTCCAGATCCCATACTACACCACTTCGGGACTCCAAGTGCGCTATCTTCGAATCAACGAGTCCAAGTTGAACTACCAGGCCTATCCTTGGGTCAGGTATGTTACCCAGAGTGGCGATGATTACGTGATCAGGGTCAGTTGAGAAGGAGAAGAAAAATGCATAAGTCAAATATAAAGAACGGCTTTTTTCCAGCGTGTAGATTAACCGCCCAAAGTTCACACACTGGCAGCGCCCAGAGTAGCCGCCTGTACATCACACGCCGCGCACCCCAATTGGGCAAAAGTTGGAGTGGTGAACGCCCTTCGAGGCAGAGAATAATTCGTTGTCAGTCAAAGGTTTCCCCGGAGTGGAAGGCTGCTACTCCTCAGAGACTTGATTATTTAGTTACAATATTCACCTTGCTTTTAAATCGTTGCACACAGTTCCCAGGAGTTCCTTAACACGTGCTGCTGTGCGTATCCATCCATCTGTCTCTTGTTTCCATTGAATAATTTTTCTTACGGCGAACATGAGCGACAACACAGCTGTTGCCAACGAGCTTAAAGACAAAGGAAATCTCGAACTCAAAAATAACAGATATGATGATGCTATCAAGTACTATACTGAGGCCATAGCGCTGGTGCAAAGTGCTATCTATTACTCCAACCGAGCCCAGGCCCACATAAAGTCCGAGAACTACGGACTGGCCATAGCTGATGCCACCAAGGCCATCGAGATAGATCCAGCTTATTTGAAGGCATACTATCGTCGAGCTGTTGCAGAGAGTGCAATTTTGGAATATAAGAAGTCTCTGGCTGATGTGAAGAAGGTGTTGGCTAGAGCCCCAAAAGACCCCAGCTGTCTCAAGCTTCACCAAGACTTGACCAAAGTTTTAAAGACGATCGCGTTCGAAAATGCCATTGCCGTTAACGAAAAACAATCACCTATAGCTGAACTTGATTTCGACTCAATGATCATAGAAGCTGGCTACAAGGGCCCCGAATTGCAGATACAGGTGGACAAGGCCACCAAGGCTGTGTCTACAGATCTCGATCTGAAGTACGTCGGCGAAATGGTGGAATTGTTCAAAGAAGGTGGGAAAATACCCAAGAAACACGCATTTGCCATTGTGTGTGTTGCCAATCAAATATTCAAGCAGGAGAAGTCATTGGTGGAGATTGGTCTCAAGAGATCAAAGACTGCTGCTTCTGGTGAACTCCAGCTGGAAGGATGCGAAACCATCACCATATGTGGAGACACTCATGGACAGTTCTACGATGTCTTGAATATCTTTAGCACTTTTGGAGACACTGGTCCTAATCACACTTATCTCTTCAACGGAGATTTTGTCGATAGAGGCAGTTGGTCGTGTGAAGTTGCTCTTCTGTTCTACTGTTTCAAGATCTTGTATCCCCAGAATTTCTACATGAACAGAGGAAATCACGAGACTAACGACATGAACCAGGTGTATGGATTTGCAGACGAATGCAAGGCCAAGTACAGCCACAAGTTATTCCTGTGTTTTTCCGAGAGTTTCAACGCTCTTCCGTATGCCACTTTGATTGGCCAGGAGTATCTCGTTATGCATGGTGGTCTTTTCAGCGATGACAACATCAAGGTGGACGATATCCGCAAAATTGACAGGCTCAAGAACAAACAGCCTCCCAAACAGGGAATTGAGATGGAGCTTTTGTGGACTGACCCTCAACCAGAAGAAGGACGGTCTGCCTCCAAGCGTGGAATTGGAATGCAATTCGGCCCAGATGTCACTGCCAAGTTCTGTGAACAAAATGATCTGAAAGCAATCATCAGATCGCACGAGGTTCGAATGGGAGGCTATGAGCTGGAACACAACGGAAAGCTGATCACCGTGTTCAGCGCACCAAATTACTGTGATTCTCAGCACAATCTAGGAGCTGTAATCAATCTGAAGACCAACTCCGATGGAGAGTATGATTTGGACTTCAAGACCTTCAAAGAGGTTCCACATCCAAATATCGGGCCTATGGCTTACACAAGAAACATGGGATTCTGAGCACAACATCGTGTCAAATTTCTGTGCCTGGTCTTTGAAAACTGAGCGTCCGGTCTCCGGCTGATGCTCTTCCAGCTGATGCATAAAGCAGTCACACCGACGGTTGCCTCTGAACATTCAACAAAACGCATTCCCAAAATGTTATATCCCCTACATATTCCTGTTCTAATAAGCTTGTAAGTTTACGAAAAAAATGTTTGGCCCCTGGTAAGGAGAAGACGCCATTGGCATACCCGTCCGAGACAATAGCGTAAGACTCGATTGACGGACCACACGTCCACTCCAGCTGGGAACACCATCAAAATAATTGATCTTCTCTCGGGCCCGTTGTAGAGGATGGCAACCTGAAAGCGTCATTGCACACCCTACAATAATACGAGACCTTAGTACAAAGAAAGAAAATCCAGACCGAGAGGAAGGAGCAGAAGAGACCGGCGAGAAGTTTTGCACGCAGATGGCAGTGCACGTGTCAGTAGCAATCTTGGGTATAGCACTACAGTGGTATATCACGAAGTCCGGTCTGTCGAGCATTATACTGTTCGATTGATCCAACACTACGGATCATGCTGAGATCAGTTTTGTTGCAGGTTTTTGCGTGTGCGGTGGCATTGTGTGCAGCCATTGAGGGATCCCTCGAGCTCCCCAGTGGACTGGTATTGGATCCTGCAAGAAGTAACCTCAGGCTTGTCGGGCTGAAGGACGGTTTGTTGGAAGATGGACCATCCGAAAGATTTTACCATTTCCGTGCTGATGGAACATTTGAAATCCCGAACGTTGAGACAGGCAAGTATTTCTTGAGCATAGGATCGCTGGATTTCGCGCTTGCGAAATTCTCCAAGCTGCTGGTGGAAGTTGATGCTGAACAAACAGTCCAGATCCATGACCTTGAACCCGGTCTGATCATTGATGCGCTCGCACCAGCTGTGGACCATCCACTCAGAATACCTGCCAGATTGGTCAGAATACGAAACTACATAGAGGTGAAGAACAAAGGCATCAGTGACACAGTTCCAGTGAAATTCATGAAGAACCACAAGGGCGCCACTGTCGGACTTGTGGTTGCGTTATTGCTGGGAGTTGTCCCTCAGCTTCTTCTTTATTACAGACCCGACTTGTTTGCCGATGACGAGACGTCTGAGGCGGAAACTCCGCGACCCGAGCCAATTCAGGCCCCCACCCAGCCTCCCATCGAGGTGATCAAGCAGACTACTGCAAGGGCCAGTGCTGCCGGCAGACGGAGGAAGTGAAAAATTCAAAAATTCCTGTATATTATCCCATCAATAGCAAGCATAACAAGTAATAATGAAAATCCCCTTTAATTTGGTGTGTAAGCCAAGCAAATTGCCAGGCCTGGTTGCAGGCCCAATTGTGGGTGTGGAATCTCGTGTGTGTGCCATATCAGGTAACCGGTGCCAAAGAGCCTTGTTACGCAAACAACACTCTTTAGTCTCTGACCATACCTTTTTAGTAGCACATTCCAGCGGTGTTATTGAGCGACGGAGATCGCAAGGCAAAAATAATTGGGATCGGAAGCATTTTGAGCAATTTAACAGACTTAGCAGGTCTTTTGTGGAATTCCCCTTTGCTACACGTTCAATACCTTCAACCATACAGCCGTTGTAACAACAATGCCTGTGATACCCGAGCAGATCAAATATGTGTTACCACCGATATCCGTCAAGGTTTTTGCGCTGTGTGTGGCTTGGTACTCGGTCTCGTCTCTGACGTCGCAGTCTACCAAGCGAATACTGACTGATTTCAACTACCCCGTTTTTGTGGGTGAATGCCAGTTTCTGACCAACGCTTGTTTGTGTGCAATAGCGACCGTGGTTTTCACCCGCAAGCCTCAATTGGCTGCCCATTTCCCCAAAGGTTCTGTTCCAGGAGCCCGGACGCAACTGCGTGTTTCCAAGACGGTCTTCATCACGACCTTGCCTATGGGCTTCTTCCAGTTCTTTGGGAAGATGTTCTCGCTGGCTGCCACCTCGCTGGTGCCGATAGCTACGGTCTCGAGTATCCGAGCACTCTCGCCGTTGCTGGTTGTGGCGGAGTATCGAGTTTACTACGGAGTTCATTTTCCGCTGGTGACATATCTTTCGCTGATACCGTTGGTGATGGGGGTGGTGTTCATCGTGATATCCGAAACCACACACACGCCCTTGGTAGTTGGATCCGCAAAGCAGCTCAAGGGAGTTGTTTATGCCAGCGTGAGTACATTTATATTTGCTACACAGGGAATTTACGCGAAAAACGTGGTCACCTACCAGACCCCGGTTTCGTCTACCACTATCAACGGACCCGCTTCTTTGGCCCTGTCCCAGGAGAAAGACTCTACGATACCGATTTCGACCAAGCGAACAGAAGAGAAGGAGCTCGAGGCTCAATATAACTACCAGCAGCACAATCGCAGAAGATCCCACACCCATATCACTCTCCCCAACGACCCCGAGAAGGCTGACAAGATTACCGTCACAATGTACTGTGCAACTTTTGGGTTCCTCTTGACCCTACCCATTTTTGTGCTATACGAGCTGCCGACCTTCTTTGAGCAGAAGCTTCTCGAAGATGGGACGCCAGTGGTGTTGCGTATTCCATGGGCAAGCCTGTTTCTCAACGGAGTATCGCATTTCTCGCAGGCTCTGCTAGCGTTCAACCTATTGGGAACAGTCCCAACGGTCACATATTCGATCGCAAGTATGATGAAGAGAATCTTCGTGATTGCCATGAGTATATTATTTGCTGGTCAAAGATTGTCATTCTTGGAGCTGCTCGGTCTGATGTGCACACTGGTTGGTCTATACTGCTACGACAGATGGGGGAGTCATTCCTGACTTTATATCTATAGATCCGAGTCTGCCTGAGAGTCGCGCCAATCACAAGTCCTATATATACATCTTGAACATACGAAACAATTAGATACCTCAATGTTGCTCTTCTATAGGTGCTAATGCCACAGCACCAACCTGCCCTTTGAGTCACCACAGATGACTTCAGCCCTGCCACTTTTCGCACCATTTCCGTCAACTTCAAGCGATAAGTGCATTCTCACCGCCGTGACATCCCCGTCACTCAATTGAAGGCGGAACTTCCTCATTAGCGCCAAACTCGTGCCCTCCCCATCAAAACGAGCCTTATACACATTGACTGTGCTTCTCCAACCAGTCACCAGCACGCACCGGGGCTCCCAGTATTCATGATAAACAGATGAGCCATGGTTGGGTATGAACCAATTGGACTGCGCAAAATCAATGCAATGAATGTAGTCCTGATCCTCACCTCTAACAGCTTCAGACATAAGCAGGTCTCCGTTAATAGTGTACAACGATATCCAACTCATGTCTTCTTTCCCAGAAACGAGACATATGATACCTGTGTCATTTGCAATTGCAACATGTTTTACCTTTTCTTGCTTGATTTCCTGTAGTAGACTGGAACGAAGAGTATCCCACACCAAAACCCTTCCGTCAGCATCAAGACTCACGCACGTCTTGAGCGCAGGAGCGGTTTTGAGTTCCAACACTGCAGCCATATGCCCTCTCATTACACAGACAAGCTCAAGTCCAGTATTTCGGGTGACATTGGCAGAGAAGATCTCCTTTCGTGCATTGGTAACGGTCGAAACGCGCGAGCTCTTGAACGACTGACTCCAAACATGAATTGTACCATCCACACATCCAGTCAAAAAGCACGTGGTGCTCACAAACGCAATGGAAGAAACGGCACTATTGTGCATGTGGTCATATAAAACGCCATTGACGGCCATTGATGGCGATCCCTGGATTCCCTTCAGTGTGATGTTTTCAATTCTGGAGAACAACTTGCTCCGGCCCTTCCAATCACCGGTCTGTTCGTCCAATTCTATGTGGTCAACCGGATGTTTCAAGTGGGAGTCATTCATCGATATGGGAATATCCAATATGGTTCCAATGTTTAACTGACATACTGAGGTGTCGTCTCGTGCAGCGTGGGGCTTCGTGAAAAGTTGCATCGGGGTCTGGCCAAAGTTATGGATGATCCCAGCCATGGCCCTTCTTTCCTGCTCATCAGCTATCTTATCCAGATTGATAGCTCCTGGGTAGCTTAGATGATGGAACACGTTCAAAGCTTCAATTGCAGGCTTTCCTCTTTGCTTTATCCCAAACACCAGGTCTATCCATTTGTGGAGATTCTCTGAGACATATGGAGACTCCAAGGCCTCTCTGTTCTTCTGGATAAAGATCTTGGGGTCACCATGAGCCCAAGGTGGTAATTCAACATCACCGATTTGCTTCCCATTTTGAAGCTTTCCAAAAGCAAATCCGTTGGAGTTAACTAGAAACTCTGGAAGAAAGAAAAACTCTGGGATGAGTTCTCTGACATCCGTCGCTATCTCTTTGGAACACGAATCCCAGGCCTTGCTGATAGAGTAAAAAAGTCTCTCGGCATGGTCAAACTTGCCTCCCTGTAATACCAGATAAGACTGAACAAAAGGCTCCAGTCTAATCAGGAATGACGTGACAATCATTGCTGAAGAATAGTGAGTCCCGTAGTGGAAAGGCGGTGCACCCGGGTCTTCCAGGCCCTTGAGAGCAGAGTATCTCTCTTTGAAAACGTTGATTCTGTCTTCAGTCTGAGCCCCCATAGGTTTGCTTAGATCTCTGAAAGTCTTTGGATCCGAGAAATCAAGTTCCAAGCTAGTGTAGTCCGCAATAACCCAGGGAAAGATAGGGTATTGCGTCAGGTCGTTGAAAGTTCTACCTGCCAACGTGTTGATGATCATCAGATAGTAGAAGTTTGACACTTTTCCATGTCTCCACTTCTTGGTGATAGCCAAACTCGACAAGTTTGGAGACGAAAATACATTCGCGAAACGGTTTGCAATCGACGAGCTGGGAGAAGGAGCCAGAGAGGAAGCTGAAAGCGAGAATGCCTGTGCAAGATCCTCATCTGAGTGTTTGGCAGTTACACTAGAAGAAAGCAGGGAATATATGGCGTCCCTCAGGTTCTTCTGCTTGCATGTAATCAAGAAGCTTGTACCATCGACGAAGAATAGCTCCAGAGCAACGTCTCGGAGTAAAAATTGTCTCTTAGAGATGGAGACAAGCTTGAAAATCTCCCATGATTTGGTCGAATGAGTCTTGGGATTTGAATTGATGCTAGAATTTCCTCCACCAGCAATAAGGTCCATGTACGGATCTCGACTGTTTGCAGGTGCCTCGTCAATCCTCACTATCTCACCATCTTTGCAATGGAAATAATTCTCAATCAAGTATAAGTGTGAGATTCCCATGATCAAGATCGACTCAACTGCCTGCAATCCCAGTATTTCACTCACATTCCATAGCTCAAGGATACGATCTCCCACATAGAGATTTCGCAGGATCTTTCTCTTTTTATCGTCTTGAGACATTTCAAGGTCTTCCGAGTCTTCATGAAATGATTCAACCTCCGCAGTATCCTCCACAGATAAGTCAGATACACCATTCAATGGAACTCCATCCGAGAATCCCTGAGAAACTCTTTCAGAAACAGGTTTCTGCGTAGAGTCCAAGTATGTGTATGGAATCAGTCTCAGCCGCATTCTATCAACCAGTTCCGTTTGATCCACTCGCCATTTTATCTTACGTTCCTTTTGAAGTAAACGACATGCCTCGGCATTGATCAGCTCATAGGCAGACACAAAAAATGTCAGGTCATCTGTCTGGTCCTGGATACGTCGGTTGTACTTCACAGCTTCTGACTTAACAATCGTTTTGATCCAAGAACTCATTTCCTTCTCAAAATTCGCGGTGATGGTTTTGTGCTGTATGAGATCCTTGGTTTGAAACAACTCACGAAGAAGCTCGTTGATGGGTTGTTGCAGTGACTCCACAGATGTCTTGAGCCTACTGGAAGCCGCATAACTTCGGAATAGCTCTTTGGTAGTTCCAAACAACTCACCTGATGTCACTTCTTCATCGCTCATCTCAAGAAGTCCCACGAAAAATGCCTGGAGTTGCTCTTGAGACTCAGGGTTGTCAGAAATGAGACCATATATGGAGGGAAAATCTGACTGTCTATGAAGATAGCACATTCTCGCAAAGTTGATTGCCAGATACTCCAGCTCCGAACTGTCTGATACAGGCACAATGCAGGACAACAGGCCAGCAAGGCGCTCGTTGTTCATTGTATCTTTATCCATGTATAAACCTTGATGCAATATCAATGACTGTAGCAAAGCCTTAAGCACTTCGCTCTGGCCATTTGAAAACTTTTCAACAACGTATTCTCCAAGTCTGCTTTTTAAGGAGGCCAACTGAATCATTGATTTTTGTGTAAGCCTGTCATGTTTTTCAAACTTTTCAGCAACATCGCAAAAAATATCCGCTATGGGTATGCAGTCGGTGACATCAACGTTGGGGTTGGAAATCACGTTAAGAACCGTCTGCAAAACATGAAAGATATTTTCAAAAGGTTCCGTGCTTTTGTTGATAGAGTTCTCAACAAACACAAAAAATGCTTGAAGATCGTTCACAAACTCGGGGAAGATGACGAAGGTGAAAACTGTACCGTAGTATGAATCTGAAGTGAAGAACTTCTTCATCGAGGTCCCACTAAGCAGCTCATACATGAAAAGGTCAATGGTGAAAGACCTCCATCGCCTAGAACAGCCCTTTATTTCGTCATTTGGAAATTCTTGCTCCAGCACATTGAATCTGAGACATATGTCGAAGGTATCCTGTAGAAAGATCGGACTGGCTGCCAGATACACCCTAAAACTCTCAACATTCGAGAAGGTTTCGGTCAAAGACGTTAGGTAAGCGTTTTGGAAGCTTATGAAGTCCAGGAAGACTTTCGAATCCTCGGATATATTGGCCACAGAAACAGATTCCACAGACTGCTTCACCATATTGTTGATCACCAGCAAGAACTCGGGCAGAAAACAGCTAGCCTTCGTATTTTTCAGGAACTTGCTGTCCACCAAACTACTGAGATGCAAGTCCTTATCGTTGATCTGGAAAACTCCAAATACACCTGCAAAAATCAAGGCAACCACTCCATCATCGCTCCAGGCATTCATGGTGAACATACTGATAATATCCACTCCACCCTGAGCAATGAACTTGGGATATAATTTTGGGGTAGAGTTGATGAACAGATGGGTGAGCAAACGTATGGCCAGCTTCATTACCAGAGGATCTCGATCAAATAGAAGAAGCAGAGTCCAACGCACTGTAACGGAACGTGACAGCTCTTTATAGAATTGCTTGATATTGACAGGCATTGTAGCAGAGGCAGGATCACAGGCTACAGATACCAGCACATCAAGAGCGCACAAACCACACTTCCTCTGCAGTTCAGCATTCTTATGGTTGCTTTCCTTATTTGATGCAAAAACCACATAAAGAGATAGCGACCGCAAAACTTCAGGCGTTGGATTGACCTTCACCAGTACTAGCAGCGAATCGTGCACAACTGGCAGTATATCCTCGGTAAATGAACCATACTTGAGGGCCTGTATAAAACGCTTGATAATTCTCATCTTGACCATCAACCTCAAATTGTAGGTGCTGTATTTGCTAGTTTGGCCAAATACAGTGAACTGAAAGAGCAAGAACTTGAAGATATCCCTGGAGACAGAGTCTGCAACATTCTTGGGTCTCCAGATCTCAAAATCTGCTATTAATGATCCATATGCCTGTGGATTAATAAGCAACGAATCTATTGGAGAATTGTGGTCATACCCCACAAAACTGAGTATCACATCTAACAGTCTGAGAGTTATTAGATGCTTTTTTGTCTTCAGTATGGTACTCAGAATGTCATAACCACTTTTTGTCTCAAATTCCTTCAGGCTAGCCCAGTCGTTCTCGAGAAATCTGGCAAGAATCTCAACTGCCGTCTCCAGCAAGTCGGCAGTTGAACATGATTCAATTATCTTGAGAAACACTATTGAGCCTCCCAATGCATAAATCACGGGAAACAGTGGTTCCCTTGAAACAAACATCACCCCTTCAGACATGGTGATCTTTGGAATGGTCAAATTAGACGGCTGTTTCAACGACACCAGTCTGCTGTTTTTGCACAGATACATTCCACTGAAGACATTGAGATCATTTCCAGATTTGTCCAGCAGAAGAGTATGAAAGTTCAAAGCAATGAACCTAGCATCAATGTTGAACAGCCCATCCTCTCCTAAAGCTCTTTGGAGCTCTCCAAGCTCCTTGGGCCTCTTCTTTTTCAGACTAGAGAGCCAGCCTCCAGATCTTCCTGTATAAAGCTCCTGAAGCCCAATTTCCAACTGTCGTAGAGACTTATAAGTCACATATTTGGTTATGTTTTTATCCTGGTAGTTACCTGTATACATCATGCCCAAACAGAAGGATAGCAAACACCATTCAGGAGAGACCAGCTCGTTTAGGATGAACATGTTTACAATCTCCAGGACCGTATCGCTTTCTTTCGAGTCGCCACCAAATGAGACTTGCAAAAGAAGCCCTTTTTGAGGGTCAGACTTTGAATGAGACTCTGAAAATGGAAACTGAAGATCCACCGTCTGGATGGGTTCACCATCGACAAACAGCGTAACTTTGGAGTCTTTCCTCGAGCTTTGACGTATCACAACGTGATAGAAAACATCTCTCTCAATATTCAAGCCCTCGAAAGTAACGCCCTCAGAGTTTCCAGAAGCATATGTAGCTTTGATGTAAAACTTGTCCCCTCTTATCCAGAGCGAGATACTTGAGGTTTCATCACCCAAAGTCACCAGCCGTTTCTGAAATCCCGTAGAGTCAAGTGAAAATCCCTGCGAAACACGCAGCCAACACTGAATACTGTACCCCAGGTCTGGTTGTTCGAAATGAACATCCGTAAAAACAGCTTTCCCGACCGATGTCGCCAGCGTAGAAGGCGTCTTATGATCGACAGCAGTAAGCTCATTCAACAGACCAAGCCAGAAGGCTTTGCTGGTATTCTCTGATGCCATACGTATCACCAACAGGCAATCAGCAGGACTAATTGCAACTTGGGAAGACAACACAAAAGTTTTGGCGTAAGCATTGAGCACTTCGGTGTCCACAGTTTCTGTCACCACGCTTTCCATGTACCTCAACAGGAAGTGCGTAGAATCCACAGAAAACAAGTTCGACTTGGAAATCACAGAAGAAGAAGCAAGGAAATGCAACAGATTCAAAGCAACAATTTTGAACAGTCTCACTGACTCGGGCTCGAGATCGCAATTGCAACCAGTAACGGTTTTCATGACAGCACACACTATAGGCTCAGACCCACGCTTAACAAGGGGAAAGGCATCTGCTCCTAACAGGCATGAGTAAAGACTTCGGGTCAATGTTTCTTGATCAGAAATACTAAAATCTTCCCAATTGACCAAATTGTTCTCGATCTCTTGGTGAACAGTCTCACTTTCTTCATGATCCAAACAAGCCAGCAGAGTATGTACAACAGAGGCCAGAGGATTGTCTAGGAACTCCTGACTCTTCCAGGAGACCCGGTCCAAAGCGCTAATTTCGTGAGAATTCAGAACACATAAATCTGGCTGCAAAGAACTCATTCTACTGAGTTTTTGGTTTGACCCGCACTTTTTCCCGCGAAATTGGCATAAGTAACACAACTTCAAAGTGTAACTAACATGTGGTGCGGACCCCAGATAGCGAAGCCTCTGTCTTTTTTTTTTGTTATCTACACATCGCATACCCGGTCCATGGACCGAATTTGATAGTGAACACATCTCGGCTTAATTATGAGGTCAGACCAAATTACTAGACCTAATTATGAACATTTCGGCAAAATTAGATAAGAACCAAAATTCCACTTTATACTCACTTTAGAACCCGAATTGTCTTCAACAATTACTCACCAAGTCCCTTGCAGAGTCCCCTCCCCACACGTTTGACAGGTCGTGCCCTGAGGAAATTGTTTGGCAAAAAAAGTACCAGTGCTCAACAGAGTCGGGAATCCGGATTAGCGCCAACTGAAGGATTACCGGTCCAGAGGGAATCTCGGCTTCATGTACCTGGAAATAGCACCTTCGGAAGTGCTCACTTTAAATCATACGGGCACTGAGGCCATGGAGCCAGCATCCGATCACCAGACTCAGAGGCTCAGCTCCTACGAGCGTCTCCAGGCGCAAAGGACCGAAGTTCAACAGAACAAAACCGAGTCGCAACAGAACTTGAAAGAAGGACTGAAATATTACCTAATACCCAAAAGTTGGTTTGAGAAGTTCACTGAAGGCAAATTTGGTCCTGAAGATGACGTTTCGTTGATCCTGGGTAAGATAGATACATCGTCCTTATTGGATTCTTCAGGATACCATCTAAAATCTCCCGAGGATCCAGCATACGTTGCAAATATTGCGTTACCAGAAAACATTTTCAATAAGCTATGCGAATGGTACGGACTTGATGATTCCAGCGAACCCGTGATAAGGGAATCTGTGCGGGTGGCTGGCGAGTTTCAGATTGACGAGTATCCAAGTGTGTTTGTGCTTCATGCCCTGGTACCAGCTAGCTATGTCAACAGGGTTGCCCAGGCTCATCCCAAGCCACTGTTGATACCAAAAAATGCCCAGTTGAAGGATATCAAAGAGAGAGTCAAGCGCCAGTTGTCTATTCAGACCATGGGTATGGCCTTAGTGACCAGACTATGGCTGGTGGAGGGTTTCGCTACCGATATCCCCTTCTGCCTAACGCCGTCTATTTTTCAGGAAATTGAGTCAAAGAGTCTGCTCATCCGTAACAAAAGCGACAGAACAAAGACATTATCGGAAATAGGACTTTTCAACTCGCATATCATCATCGAAGTCAGGCAAAAGGATCACCCATGGCCTTCGGCCACGTCTAAAGAACTGGTGATGACGGATGGACTCATCGGACTGTCGAATCTGGGCAACTCATGCTATATGAACTCGGCTTTGCAATGCCTGGTACACGTGCCGGAGTTGACCTACTACTTCTTGCATGACTTCTTCAAGGACGAGATCAATGCAGACAATCCTCTTGGGAACCATGGAAAGGTCGCAATGGCCTTTGGGTCTCTAGTGCACACTTTGTATGCCCGCAAACTGGGAACCCAGCCGAGCTACATCGCACCCAGAGACTTCAAGATGACTATAGGCTTCTACAACTCCATGTTCGCGGACTATCACCAACAGGATTCGCAGGAGTTCCTGGCATACCTTCTGGATGGCCTTCACGAGGACTTGAACAGAATCTTGAAGAAGCCATACGTGGAAAAGCCGGAGCTTTCTGACGAGTTGGTAAACAATCCCGAAGAGATTGCAAAACTTGCTGTGAAGTGCTGGGAACTTCACAAGCTCAGGAACAACTCCATTATCATCGATCTGTTTGTGGGAATGTACAAATCCACACTGGTGTGCCCCGAGTGTGGTAAGATCAGCATAACGTTCGACCCATACAATGACTTGACTCTGCCGCTTCCAATCAACAAACGGTGGTCACACAAGGTGAAAATATTACTGGATACAGGCCATCCGAAGGTCCTGGAAGTTGAGCTCAGTAAATCTGCCACATTCTCGGATCTGAAAAGATATATCGCCCGAAAACTGAACATTGAAGCCTCTGATCTTATAGGCTGTGAGCTCTTCAACGGGCAGTTTTACAAAAACTATGAGTCCAAAGACTCTGATGCCTCCTACTTGCCAATTTCGGATTTGGTTTCGGACGGAGATGACATTATCTTCTACCAGCTAGAGCACAAGGAAGGTGATATAATTGTACCAGTCTTCAACACGGTTGTTAGTGGAACACATTCCAGAATGACCAAGCCATTCGGGATTCCTTTCTTCATCACGCTTTCTGCTGAAGAGAGATACTCATATGGAGCAATACGAGAGAAGCTCGAGAAACGTTATGACCAGCTTTCATCTTATAATTATTTCACACAGGTCAGAAGCCGTTCTAAGCCCAAGCACGATATTGACGACTTTCCTCTCCTCAAGAAGCGGTTTGAAAAGACACCAGGAGAAGGGTTTGAACATGATAATGTGAGTGAGTCAGAATCTGATATTTCATTGGCCAACCCCGACATACCAGGAAACTATGCTTTCCAAATCAAGACGTTTGAATCTTCCAGAGAAGTGGGAAATACTAGATTATCAGGTTATGGAGCAGGCTACTCGTACGGTCAATCACATAACGAGGATTCCAACGATGAAGACGACTCTCTTTGGGTTCCTAAAACGAACGCCAACTTTTCAGACCTTCCCGGTCTTTTGGAGAAGCTCGGGAGCAAGAAACGCCAGTTTTACACATATCATGCCCTGGGTTCCGATATGAGTGAGGATGTAGACACCATGGACGATGACGATCATCCTCTTGATGAAATGACGAAGACAATTGACGAAACCCTGGGTGAAGCAATGTCCGATGAAGATATCGATGTCACCGTTGGTGCAAACCCAGGGTTGAATGAGGACGATGCCAAATCTGAGAGCTCCTCTGAGGTGGGACTGGCTAGTTTGGTGATGGATACGGATTTCACTGGAAGTATGCATCCTGATTCTATGACCAGTGAGCTGGAACCGGAAATTGGTGACGGGTCTTTGGTTGTGGACAAAATGGCATTGGTTTGCGAGTGGAGTCCTGATTTGTTTGACACTTTCTTCACGGGAATAGAAGAGGATGGTGAAGGCGGCTCTGAAACTTGGAGTAAACCCGAAGAAATTCCAAACGAAGAGATCGAAGAGAGCAGAAGGAAGTTGGCCTTGAAGTTAAGCTCAAATATCAGTCTTGAAGACTGTTTGGATCTTTTCTCTACACCCGAAGTTCTCGGCGAGCACGATCTTTGGTTTTGTCCTAGATGTAAGGACCATCGTCAAGCTACAAAGAAGATTGAAATTTGGTCGGTGCCTGACATTCTCACTATCCATCTCAAAAGGTTTGAAAACCAGAGGAGGTTTAGCGACAAAATCGATGCGGTGGTAGATTTTCCAATAGAAGGTCTTGACATGTCGAAGCACGTTGTGAATCCAGATGGACAGGAATTGGTGTACGATTTGTTTGCCGTTGATAACCATTATGGAGGCCTGGGTGGAGGACATTACACCGCCTACATCAAAAACTTTGTTGATGGGAAATGGTACTATTTTGATGATTCGCGTGTGAGTCCTGCTGACCCTCAGAACTCGATCAAGGGGTCGGCCTATCTGTTGTTCTATCGCAAACGGACTGATCATAACCTGGGTGGTGAGTCAGTACGGAAAGTACTTGAACATGTCAAGGAACAACGGGCCAAGGAAGCAGACAATAAAGGTGCATCTGGCGAGGGAAATGTTTCATGCGAGTCTCCGACTATTGCTCCGTTGAGCTCGAATGTGGATTCAGGGAATACCTCTCCAGACGTGAGTGATGTGGAAACAGAGCTGGAGAGAGAGAGCACCAACGGTGACTCCGGTACTTCCATAGTTTCTGGCTCTTGCGGGGTATCAAGTCCCCCAAACGAGGTTTTCGAGGGCAGAAATAGACGCAAACGTCATCAAACCCACAGACTTGCACTTAGTAGTCGTGGAGGTGGTTGGCATAAGGACAGTCTTGCCTCGGAGGGTGCTGAATCTGTGGGATCACCCTTTTCAGACGATGATGCCTGTTCGATTCACAGCAGCGCCGCTGTTGCACCAGACACATATGGGAGAGCTGTCGATGAGATGAGTGAGCCTTCCAATTGAATCCGACCCATGATTGCATATATAAAACAAGCAGTAATGATAATTTCAAGTTATGCATTGCATGGTGTGCGGCTCAACTTAATTGGGTGGTACACTCCACAATTTTTCTTTCATAGGTCTAAATCTTGGGAAGAGAGGCCTTAGGTCTGCACTTCTTTGTTCTTGATCTTCAAGAGGTCTTTGTTTTTTATTTTCCACGTTTGCTTGCAATGACTTCAGAAACAGCTACGGCTGCCAATTCGTTGAAGCTCATGCCAGACGTTTTGGCCAGAGTGGCGCCGGATGTTTCACTTCAAAAGCATCTACACCTCGGTCTGAGGCCCTGCCTCAGAAAGTTCGAGGAGTTCAGACATGTTACTGTTGATAAAACTGGTTTGGGGAAGTACGAGACAGAAGACAAGAATGGCAATATTTTGGGCTCTTCTGTTGTTAAAAGTGGTGATACCATAGTCTTGTGTGGGATCACTGGTGGAATAGTGGAAGACGAACAAGAAGCCATTGACGATTACCGCTTGAAACTGGAAGACGGAATTATTAGCAATGAAGAGACAGCGAGTTCATCCAGAAAAAATGCAACAGTTTATCCTGTTGTTCAAATAGAAAGTGGTCGTACGGGACCTCCTTCCGAAGAGGAAATGATCCTCTCGCAGAGGTTGCATGACACTCTTCTCAGCTCTGGAATTCTCAATACTGAAGATCTCAAAATTAGTCTCAGTCTCAAGAGTAGGGACGAGAATGGTGAAGTGTCAATTATTGGACCTGACCAGTTTGAAGCCAAAAAAAGTTACTCGTTTGTGCTATATGCAAGCATCCAGGTGTTTTCGAGGTCTGGGCCTATGTTCGACCTGTGCTGGGGTTCGTTGGTAGCTGCTCTGAGAAACACGTTTTTGCCACAGGTATATGTGGATGAGGACCAGCTTGATATCCGTATGCCGGTGAGGTCAAAGGGGGGTGAGAAAGCTACTATATCCGAGGAATACAAGTTGGTTTGTGATAATGCCAAGGCCACAAAGCTGGTTATTGATGAGAGTATGATAAGTTGGAGCAGCACTTTTGGAGTGGTCACTGTACACAGCAAAGATGGAGACATAGACATGGATTCCGGTGATGTTGCCAATGAAGACGTTCTTTTGGCAGATCTGGAAGGTGAGGTTGAAGATACCACTGTGGATAGAAGGATTCATGTGGTTACCAATGGTCAGACTTTGACCTCGGTTACGATTACTGGTGGCTCTGAGGGAGTTCCAATTCCAAGGGACATGATCAGAAAAGCAATAGAGCAGGCCAAGAGGCGATCCAATGATCTTGTACAGAAGTTATAGGTAAAGAACGTTATTGATTAATCAGGCGATTGTTCGATGGGTATAAGATATGACAGTTACTTTTTTCAGGCAGGAATCGCGCAGATAACCAGTGAGTTCCTTTATCGTGGAAGCCTTCGTATGCATTTATCGCTTATCATTTCGGGCTTAGGCCTTGCGGCGGTTCTTTGGAGGAAGAGGCGATCCTGAGTTCGAGTCGAAGCCCGTTGCAAGATGGGCAGAATCCAACAATACATACTCGTTCACCTTGTTGGCAACACCACCTGGAACACGCTTCAACACCTTGGCCTTCTTGGAACCCTTCTTCTTGTAGACTTCGATGTAAAAGGCGATGAATAGCACGAGGTAACTCGACAGGATGGCACAACCAGAGTAAGCCGCCAACATGGTACCCGCACAGTCACCACAGTGTGGCAGTTCAGGGTAGTAGGTGTGGATAATCTTCTGGAGAGTGGCAAAGTAAACGAAACCCAGGTCCAGAATGAACTGGATGATCTGGAAACGAGTAACCCATTCCTTCCACCAGACTCTGATTCCACGGGCAGCCAAGAAGTAGTACCAGTACATAACGACATGAACTCCCAGGTTCAAAGAGATTGGGACCCACGAAATGGAGGTGACACCATTGAGCTGGGTGTAGCACAAAAGGGCCGTGGCACCGTGGTGGTAAGTGTGCAAGAAAGTCAGCTTCTTCTGCTTCACAACCAGGAAAACGGTGTCAATGAACTCAACAAACTTTGTCAAATAGTTGAGGTAGTAGAGAGTAATCATGGGTTGGGTCCAAGCCGAGGTGCTGCAGATGGCGAAGTAGAGACCGTGTTGGCTGATCATTGGGACCAGCTGGTCGATCAGAAGCACCAGAAGGGTGAGTGACAGCGAGGTCAGGAAGAAGTTGTGGATCTGAAACAATCCGTTCAACACCAGTGCAGGCCACTGGAAGCGACGAATCAGGGCCCTTCCTCCGAAGACGACGAGGTAGTAGAAACCAATGAGGAACGCGACTGGAGGAAGCGTGGACATGAAGGTTTCGCCGGCAACGAATTCAAAATCGCTGGGAACAACTTTTCCAGAAGAAATACGTGTGACAGCCTCATCAAAAAGAGGCCACAATTTGACGCCAAAAGGCTTTTCAAGAGAGGGAATTGGATATCCCATGATGGTAAATATGCGGAGAGGAGCCCAACACAACACGAAAAAATTCCACAAACACGAGCTTTTCTCCAAGAAAAAAACCTTTAAAACGAGAGTTAGAGGAGATGATGGTCAGGTATCAAAATCCAACAATTGGCGGTCAAGGGCAAAAACTATCCAAGCGTACTGGTCTAGATTTCGTCTGTAAACGTTGAACATCAACAACAGAGGAAAACATCTGGTCAGCAGAAAAGTCTGCCTTATAGTTGGAGTAGTGCGTGGCCCAATAAACAACATTGGCGCATGTGACATCATCATCTTCACTTCCTGATTTGGCAATTCTTGGTCTGGTTGTTGGCCTCATTATTTCTTCGAGTCAGGGTTAGAGGAGGGGTATCTTTCTATTAGGGAGTTCTGTTCGCGAAATTACATTCGTTTGGATCGCAGCAGCAGCACGATTCACATAATAATACAACACCTGGCTTCGGCTGCAGCAACGTGCACTTTGACCCGACCCTGCTCCGCGACGGGCGTTTTCTTCTCTGCAACTGCAATACTCAGCGCGATGTCGAAAACATTGTGGACATTGTGCATGGTTCTGGCCGAACATTCGGCGTAAGCCAGCGCGCCGATCTCTTTGGCGACCTCGATCGCAGCACCTCTCTCGACAAACGTAGCAGGATCCGTGATCTGTTCGTAGAGGTCGCTCTTCAAGCCCACCAATACTATTGGAACATTTTCGCAATAATTCTTAATCTCAGGATACCAGGTGTGAACCACGTTTGATAGTGTAACCTTGCTGTTGACGCTGAAACAGATGACCATCAGATCAGCTCCCTGGTACGACAGCGGCCTCAGTCGCGAATACTCTTCCTGTCCTGCGGTATCCCAGAAAAACACCTGTGTGATATCATCACCGGGACCCTCAAAGTAAGCGCGATAGTTTTCAAAAATCGTGGGCTCGTACTCCGTGGGGAAACGGTTCATACAGTAGGACACCAGCAACGATGTCTTTCCACATCCACCGTCTCCAACAACAACAACCTTCAGGTCATTCTTGTAGTTGGGAATGTTGTCATATTCCCGTAGCTTGAATGACTGAATTGGCACATCTGGCAGCATTTCCTGGTCGCCAATGGTCATCATCACCGACTGTCTGTTCTGTATCCTGCTCTGGCGCTTTGCGGCAGCCGCGTATGGGTTGGAATCCTCTATCTGTGACATAGCGATTTATAATGGTTTCGAAGCAATCCACGATTATAATTGTACAAAATTGACACGAAAGCAACTCCAAACACTCAGCTGAGATGAAATTTCGTCCTGACAAGGCTTTGTTTACCTTTGGCGGTTGTGAACGAGCGGCTAATGGTCATGTAAATGGGACATGACCCAATTCTTCGGGGGAGATGAGTTACCTGAAAAAAGTTTTGAGCATGAAGTAAGAAGTCAGTATTGGTGGGAACGGACTCGAATTAACAACCAATGGAAATTTTGCGAGAATTGCACTTGAAATTGGTCACTCTGAGCCCTTTGGAGCCAACGAGTATAGAATCAGGGCTGGCTTCGCTTCTTGTGAAGGGCCAGTTTCTGCAGCTGTTTGAGGAAGAGCCTTTCAGTAGCCAGGTCTTCCAGAACGAGGCTGTTTTGAGTCTTACAAAAAAAGTTGTTGCTAAAGAATTGGATTTCAGCGGCTATGTGGATCAGCTATGCAATCATATCATCACCGCTTTGTCGGCAGACTCGGAACAGACGAAAACGCTGGTGCTAGAACTCGCCGTGCTCTTCTTACAAATCTTTGTGGAGAACAACTTCACAGGTCCACAAATCAACTTCGAGGAAAAGAGTGAATTTTTGGGGTTTATAGGACTTTTGATTTTTGACAAAGACATCGAGTATGAGTCGTTATCTTTGCTCGCGATTTCTGGTCAGCAGAGCTATGAGCTTTCACAGTTACCAGTGCTATTGGTGTTATCGCTACGTCTTCTGGAAATCCTTCAAAAAGTTGAAAAATCTCTTGTTCTCAAGGAGGTAGACATCTCAGAAACAGAATCTGTCGTTTCTGCCAATATAACTCCAGTTCTTGACCTGGTCAGCGCGTCTTCTGCCTGGTGGAGGTCAAGGGCTCTACAGATCCAGATGTCACTGTTACCCGAATCCTCGCCGCTATTGAGCGCATTGTCTCTTGCTTTGTTGGACACAAAGGTGGTGAGGACACTCATCGGTCCTGCTGTGCAAAGTCCTATTTCCCAGGCAGCCTTAGTGAGCTTCCATCTCGAGGTGGCCCGGAACAGTATTGCTGCTGATTGTGACAACACTACGGTAGATTCGCTGATAAAGGCAAAGAAGGCTTCTGGTTTTGAGCTAATACTGACTGGGTGTAAAGCAAAGAGAACAAAGTTTCAAGACAAGGCTTTTGCTACATTAACAGTTTTGGCCAAGAGTACCGAAGACATGTTGAGCCTAAATGGTGGTTCCTCCACTGAAGGTCCTGTCGATATTGAGCTGAAAAGTGACCTTTTGCTGGAGAAGCCTGTATACGAATCTGTGGGTGATGAAGAAGAAGACGTTTTGGGTAATCCAATGTTTGAATCGTCAGGTCAACTCAAGAGAATCAAGCTGGATCTCTCATTATCTGATATGGGAAGTGACTTGAAAGACAATTCCAACGACATTTTGCCCATTGCTTTCAACAATTCCTTGATTCCCGAGACTCTGAAGAGTCTAGATCCAAACAGCCAACCCGCTCTTTCGGATATGGACAGTGTTCAACTGCTGTTGAGACTGGCCCATATCAGGGCAAATACCCCCGCCAACGATGCCTTGGTCCAGGAAGAATTGACGGCTTTGGTACAGAGGATCCTTTTCTCGCCTACTGGATCTACAAATTGGTCTGTATTCTCCAGGGCATTGTGGATACGTTCGCTGTTGGAGACTTCACATGCTAAGACAGTGGAAAGAGGTGTCTTGCAATTGTACTCTTTGACTGAAGAATTTGGCATGAAAGTTTCGACTACAGGAAGACTGTTTGCTCTCACCGACGAGGAAAAGAATTTTTACGAAAAGATTTTGCCTCAGGGAAATAATGCCGTTATGCTTGCCAATTCTGTTAGACTGAGGTATGTTCACCAGCTTCCCTTGATGCCCAAATGGGAGATGGACCACCAATTGGCCGAGAAATTGATTGAACTGGGCTCTCTAAAATCTGCTTTGGAAATATATGAAAATCTTCACATGTGGATCGAAGCTGCGCTGTGTCAGGCCTCTATTGGTGATGAAGACTCTGCTGAAAAATCTATTCTGAGACAGTTAGAATCCCATCCCAAAGACGCAAGAGCATTGTCTGTGTTGGGTGATATCAGGCAAGATCCTGAATTATGGGAACAGAGTTGGAGTATTGGAAAATATGCTAATGCCAAAAGATCTTTGGCAAGATACTACTACCAGCCACCAAAGGAATCTGGACTCAGCAGAGACCACGCAAAGGCAATTGGCCATATGTACGACTGTTTGACTGCAAGTCCACTAGCATATGATAATTGGTATTTTTATGGTGTTCTTGGATTGGAGGCTGAGAATTTTCAGTTGGCAGCGGAGGCTTTCACTCGTTGCGTCACCATAGATGAACATAACGGTTTTGCATGGAGTAACTTGGCCACTTCACTGACCCGTTTGGACAAGTATAGCGAGGCTCTTGTTGCTTTGAAGAAAGCAGTCAGGGCAAGTGAACGTGGATCCAATTCTTGGAGGATATGGGAGAACTACTTGTTAGTAGCTGCAAAGCTGGGTGAATGGAACGATGTTTTGGTTGCATCCAAGGAGTTGTTGACCATCAAGAGGGATAAACAAGGCCAAGGATCTATTGATATTCCGGTGGTGGAGAAACTAGCTCAAATCTTGGTTCAGTCCACCTATGACGGAGAACACTTGACGTCATTCCAGAGAAACTGTATCCAATACATGACGGTCTCGGTGCCAGCAGTGATCAATAACTCAGCAAGATGCTGGAATGTGATCGCTCGTGTGGAGTTATGGAGAAAAAGACCTTGGGAGGCTCTTGCATGCCACGAAAAGGCTTATCGTGCTGTCGTAAGCTCTCCCGATTTGGCCATAGACGAGAAGGTGTGGAATGAGGCTGTAGACGCATGTCGTGATCTCGCAGCTGCTTACGAATCATTGGGTGAATTACCCGGAAAACACGACGCGGGTGATCTCGTCTGCAAGGATTGGAAGTATAAGGCCAAGACTACCATCAGGTCGCTGATGTCTAAGGGCAAGAGTACCTGGGAGTACTCTGACGGCTGGGAAACTTTAGAGCAGCTCAAAGCTGAATACATGTAATATATATTGTTGATGTACATGGAGAGCATTTCGACGATGTAATTTGTATTTGGTGAAATGGACTGTCTAATTTACTCTGTAGTCTTTTCCAGCAGCTTCAACTGTCAACCCACTCTGGTCGGCAGCACTTGAAGCATCAGCAAGTTCCATTTCTAGCTCTTCAGCTGCGGAGAGATCTTGCACCTCCAACGGGATCAAAGCGTATAATGGCCTTTTGAAACTCAGCCATGATTGGCGTATTGCTGGTGGACAGAGTCTGTTAAGAAGTAACCAATCGAACATGTCCACCACATTATGGAACGCAGTTCTGGTTGCCTCCGAGGAATCCGTTCTTAAACCCCACAGGAACAAATAGAAGTAGAAATAGAACACAGACTCTCCCTCCCAGCTCTCTCGTGCTAGGGACCCAAAGATCAACAGCTCGGCCCAAGCCGCACCAAGCAGCAGAAGAGGTTCCGAATAGGTCTTGAGCGGCAGAAGTGCCACGGACAGTTGGTTTCCGGGGAAAGCGTCAACTGTCAAATAGCTCGTAATGTTCAAGAAAGAATATACTCCGTAGGGTAGAATCTTGGTGAGCGAAGGTTTTGTGAATTGCCATAGAATGGCACACAGAAGTAGGTGGAAATTCTCAGATTTTAGAATTTCCGATAATAATACACTCTTCCCATCTTTTACTCCACCAAAATACTCACTCAAAGTTTCCTCGTCCGCCAGGACACCTAGCAAATAGAACCTCACTAAAACGAGAGAGTATGTGAGTATTGCTCCCCAAAGGCTCTGCCCATACCAGTCAATCTGGGGCAGAATTGGTTCAGCAGAGACCAAGGAGGAGGCATACATGATCATTCCAGTCAGAGTTACCGTATGAAATAGTAGCCAGAAGTGTTTTGATTGAGGCTTGAGGTTGGTCAGTCAAAAGGTTTCTAAGGATAACACATCTTTCATAGTATATACTCTAGATACTCACCAACAATTGCGAGAAATGGATTCCGTTCTCGTTGATCTGGACAACCAGCTCTTGCAAGCCAATTCTTTCTAGCAATCCAGTTCTCATATTTTCTCTGGTTAGTCCGAAAAACAATTTAGAGAGTTTTGAGCGGGTGCTTTTGAATATGTATTAACCGCCCAAAAGGACGTGCGGCTCATAAATGCAGCTGCATGTACTGTCGCGCAGGGAGACACAGAAAGGTTCACAAGACTCAAAGAAAATTATATACACAAGGCTTTTTAATTAAGGGCTATAGAAATAGTTTAGTCAGATACCCAGGCAGCTAAACGAGACGTCCTCAGAGTGGATTTGACTACTCCTTAGAACCTATCTTCTTGATCTCCTCCTCGCCTTCCACAAACTTCTCCTTATGACTCTCTGGGGCATCCTTTGCATGTTTTCCAAGGAGACCCTTCAGCTTTTCGGGAATATCCTCGAAGACAAGGTCGTTGACGTTGGTGGAGGTACTCTCGCCCTTCTCGGCGAGTATCTGCTCAATGGTGATGCTGTCATCGGAAAAAATCTGAAACGTTAGTGAAAAACTCTAGGTGAAAGATGATAGCAAAAAACTTAACCTACCTTCAAATGATCCGCAATGAGGTGTCTATTGCTGCAACCGGGACACTGGATAAGCACTGTTCCGGAGGTGTACGCTTGTTTGGACATAACGTGACTGGACCGCGTATCGCACTTCTTACACGTGAATGCAATCATGAGCTCGGGCTTGTCAACTTTCAGCTGGGCACTCTGGTTCAAAATGCGGGAATGGGATAGCGTCCTCAGAGTCGTTGACAAGGGCATCCTTGAGTGGGCCGGTCTTGCCATGGAACGGGTCCATATTCCCACAGTGGAACGCATGGCAGGTCTGACAAATCGAAATGGCAACATGGTGATGTGTCGAATATGTGTTGAATACGTGGTGAATATCAAAGTCCTTTGAAAAGAATTTTTGTTATGAAGCAAAAATCGAAGTCCGATGGCAAAAGAGACTCTGGCTGGAAATCTAACTCGAAACGGCAAGAAGGGCATCGAGGGCATCTCATTGAAAAACTTCCATCCCAATAAATATTTGAGAGTTAAGACCAAATTTAAAGAGAGACAAGAGCAATTTGTTTTCGGATACTACCAAATATATTGGTTAATTATCCTTCTTGGTCAGACATACCACACACATTCAGCCTTATGGAATGCTGAAAAATATACAGGGGGGCTACCCTCTCTTTATACGACAGAGGCTTTCGTTGTACAGACAAATACACACACCACGCCTCTATGATGGTTCTTCTTCGCGCAGAAAAGAAAAACTGACTGGATTTTTGGCTTTCAAGAAGATAATAACATCAGTTTTGGATAATGAAGTGGAAAAACGCAAACATACTTGGAAAAGTCGACTGCCAGATCTACAGTTGAAATACGACCCCAGAGAGATTGGTGGCTTTGATACCTTTGGAGTTTCGCCGCTGGTGGTGCAAGCGCTGAACCAGACATTCCCAGAAGTGAAAGATCCGACTGAGACCCAGAAAAAGATTTTATCTGTTCTAGGGTCGGGGTTTTCGGTGATAGCGAAAGAGACACAGGGAAGCGGCAAGTCGTTCTCCGCTCTATTGCATGCTCTATCCAGACCAAGGGCCCTGACATATCTCGGAAAACCTGCAACGACAACGCTGATACTGGTGAAAACTTCTTCTTTGGCTCGGCAATATGAACTGCAACTGTTGCGGATTCTGGATCGGTTCGATGGAGAGACAGCCAAAGTAGCCCAATTCCTCTATAGATGTAACGACAAGACTGAAGAAAAGGCACAGCTGGAGAAATGGAAAACGCTAGAGCCTCCTCACATCATTGTCGCTACGCCGCAGAGATTATTGGATGCGATTTTGGAAAGTGGGTCTCCAAATGGTCTTGGTTTGAGTGATCTCAGACTGATCATATGCGACGATGCAGAGTTTTTGTTCGTGGACGGGGCAACCTCAATGGCAAAAAAGAAGAACAAGAAAAAGAAGCCTGCTGAGTCAGTCATGAATTATCTTCTCGAGCTGAGAGACAGCGAGAGGGATCCCAAACTAGGGACCCCGATCCGGAAACAAAGTGCTCAAATGGCCTTCTTCATAGACACAATGTCATCAGAGTTCATTCAAATGCTGCAGAAACGAAACTGGGTCAATTGGGAAAATCTCAAGATGGTGGGTGTATCTGCCATGAGCCACGAAAAGGATGGGAAGGAGCTGCTGTTGCCCTCCAATGTGAAGGTTTCTGCTGTGATAGCTTCGGAATCAGGGGATTTGGAAGACTTGACTCCATTTGATCTGGATAACTCAGAGGAGCTCCACAGTGATATTGGCTATCTCATGGACCTCAACTACAAGAAGCACAGAGTTTACCTGAAGTCCCAGTCTCGAGGCGACCAAGAGGCCACAAGATTCGCCAAAAATGAACTCTTGCCCCGTATAATGGAGAACCTTTCAGGCCAGGTTTTGTTGCTTCACGATGAATCGGAATCTTCAATTAAAGTCCAAAAACAAATTGAAGCAGAAGGGTTCTACTCCAAAATATTCAACCTCCACGATGACTTCTCCAATTTCTTCCATCCAGGATTTCAAGACTTTTCGCCCGAGAACCCCCATGTTCTCATCTCTAACGTCCAGAACGTGATAGGATTGACCTTCAAGAATCTACAGAATATTGTGTGTCTCGGCGTGGATACCTTCATTGACCCCAGGTCATTGGCCATGCTGGGAGGAAGGTTCAGACCAGCTTCTGGACTGGTAAAGTTGCACTCAAACAACGGTTCAGCACCGAATCTCGTCTTTGTCTTCCCAAAGAGCGATTTTGGTTACATTGAGAGAAAAGCCTTTGAAAGGAGTTTGCTCAAGATAGGAGGTCCAGTCCTGGTACCTCTAACGAAAACACCAGAGACTGGATTCGATAAATCAGACTACAAAGACTTTTTCGACGACATCGAAGACACCGAGGCGATTCATGAGGTCTACTAGACCATACATAGACATTAGTTCTCATCTGTACATACAAAACCCAATTGACGCGAAACACACAATTTCTGCGTAGCTTTTGACTATTAAACCGAAAAATTGGCCTATAATTTTGACCTGCATTGCCCATATCCTTGCAGGTATTTTTCAACTATCAATGACTATCATTACCTTCGTTTGCTAGAATATCTTTCACGGCCTGCTTTTCAAGCTCACGAATTTGCTCCTTGGTCTGCTCGGGCAAAACTTCGTCCATATCAACATCTCCGTCTGTAGCCTTCACCTTCGAATCGATTCTATCTCTGACTAACGTCCGTATCTTCTCCTCCACACTCCTACAAACTTCCTCAATGTTTTCTATCTCTTCAGTATCTTGGCTGATCTTCTCTTCTATTTTCAGAATTAGAATCTCACGTGATTGGTGCAAACGGTATGAGTTCAACAGATGGTGGAGGTTTATTAGCAGGATTCGTATCTGTGATATCTTCTCCTTAGCGTACTCCGGATTCTTTGCGAAAATGCCCAGTAGTTCCAGGAAATTGAGTAGTAGAGATTTGGCAAGTTTCTTGAGCTCGTCAATTCTCTCCCGCGTAAATATTTCTTCATCTTCACCGTCATCTCCAGCCCCATTGCCCGTGCTACCACCATCATACAACTGAGGAATTCCCGCATCTTCCAAAGTCATAAACTTGTCCTTGAAGTTCCAAATGTCTCCAAACGACCGATACGATGGCCCTGACGGCTGTTGAGGTGGCACTAGGAACTGGAGTTCAGTGTTTTCAACATCTAGCCTTTCCAAATCACCACCATTCTCCTTGAGGAGTGACCTTAGTCGTCCCACATTCTCGTCCGTGAAACACTTCACGTAAGGTGGAGGCGGTGGATAAAGCGCAGATATCACGCTCGTGTCCTCTTCCATTGGGATGCAAACGAGTAAGACCACTTGTCTTGGAATACTAACACACCACAGTTCTTCACTCCTCGCAGATAAGAGAGAACCAATAAACGTCGTGTACTTACGGGTAAATATCTTGTTAACACACGACATTCACGAAACTCCCTTTGCGACTGACAAATGTCTGATCTAGATAACAGCAGTCCGCATACCAGTCCCTAAGAAATTTGCGAGCGATGGCGGACGAGATGGATATAGACGGTGAGTATTGGAGATTAAAGCAGTCTGGTGGGCCACAAAGACATATGACTAACAAACTTGCAGCGCCTGTTGAGACAGACACAACGTCCACGACAGGCAAGCCAGAGCGCAAGCGGTTCGAGGTGAAGAAATGGAACGCGGTGGCGTTTTGGTCGTGGGATATGGAGGTTGAACAGTGTGCGATTTGTCGTAACCATCTGATGGAGCCATGCATTGATTGTGCACCCAATTCCATTAACCAGCCGAACCAAGAGTGTGTGACCGCGTGGGGCACGTGTAATCACGGGTTCCACTTGCACTGTATTCAGAGGTGGACAAGCACCAGAAACGTGTGTCCATTGGATAGTAATCCGTGGGTTTTGGCACGGTACGGGAGGTGAAGTAAAGAGCTAACGAGTGAAAGAGTTTTGATTACTATGAACAGTGTAGCCGGTAGGCCTATCAACATCATTATTTTCCAGCGTAATCAACAGATCTCGGGAACCAGCCCATGATGCGTAGTTCCTCGGTGAATTCGCCAAGCTCGGAATAAACAGGATCCAGCTGTGAAGCGTCACCTCCGGTCACACATTCCAGAAAGAAGACATACTGCCATTTGAGCAGTTTCGCAGGTCTGGTTGTTATCGATACCAAATTGACCTTGTGACGTGCAAAAACATCAAGCACGTGACTCAAAGAACCCATATCGTTGAAATGTTTGAGAACGAAAGAAAGCAGCGTTATTCTGTCTCGCACGTCAATACTGGTCTGTGAGATTTCGTCTTTGGTTCCTAGCACGAGGAATCGCGTAGTGTTAGAGGTATTGTCTTCAACGCTTGGAACCACAACGGGCACAGAATGGAGTTTAGATGCTGCGGAAGATCCGATGGCGGCGATCTCATTCTGTTCCACCAACGGGCTTTGGGCCACGAGCTCGACTGCCCTCGAAGTTGAAGAGGTATCGATGCGTTCAACGTTTAAACCCTCCAAGAACGAGGAGCATTGGCCCCAGACCTGAGGATGAGAGTAGACCTTCGTAATTTTGGACAGATCTGGCTGAAATCCGATCAGACTGTGGTGGATCGAGACAAAACATTCGCCAACTACTTTGAACTTTGGAGTAGGAGTAGAATCCCCACACTTCATGAACCAATCGCGCAAAAGATCATACGTGAAGACCACCTGACCATTCGTCGAGTTTTCAAACGGCACAACCGCATAATCAACCTCGGCTTTGTGCATACTCTCGAAACATGCTCCTATGGACTTCTGGGGTATCAGCTCGGCCCCGGAGAACTCTTGCTGCGCGGCCTAAAGCCGTGTTAGTTGCCAGAATTAACATAAAATCCGAAGATCTGAATGTGGATCCACATACCTGATGCGAATACGTTCCGGCTGGTCCCAAATATCCAACTTTGACCATGACTGTGCTGTCAAACGGGGTAGTCTTCAAGGACCATCACTACACAGGCTTGAAATTTCGTCCGAAGACTAATAGTGTGGTGGAAAAATATTCACGTGACCAAACGTTTTTTTGTATGTACAAATCTAGGCACGTGACCATCAATAGTCTATATAATTTGGCAGATTAGCAATCTGATCTTCTAATTCTCCAAGGATTGACTCTCTTCAATGATTTTTTCCATAGAAAACCCCTCGCTGCCCTTAGTAAAGTCCTCCAGCAGCTGGACCCGCCTGCGCGAAGCCGGCGAATCCGCCAAAGCACCGTAGAACCTCTGCATGTTCATGATCAGCAGCTGAGCCTCTTCACGAGTGATGTTTGCAGAGGGCTCAACCAGTCCATTCATCAAAATGAGTTCGTTTGAGTCGCGCAGTTCTTGGTGAAACATAAGTGTAGTATGAGGACGGGCATATTCACGGTGCAATTTGTACTCGGCCAGCGAAGTGATCATGGCATGTGTGGTGTGTGGCCCGACAAATGACCATTGAAGGTAGTGAACTTCGATTCCATCACCATCTCTAGGCAATGGTAGAACAAACGAGGGATTTGCACGGGCGTTGGCGTAGAGACGGTCAAAAGCGTCCAATGGCACCAACGCAGAAAGGGCCTCTTCTTTCGAAGCAAACCGACTGCGCCAAAGAACTTCTATCTGAGGAGTCTCGAGCTCTCGGAATTTTTCCACGTTGATATATGATTCAAGACGTTTGTACGGCTGAGTAGGGGTATCTGGACTGATGGGCCCACGGGTCTCTGCATTTTGTTCAGCCGTCTTCTTTGCATTCTGCTTTGTAGCAGCCTCGGCAGCCCTGCGTTGCTCATATTCTGCTAGCTCGGCCAGAGGATCCACCTTGTTCATTTCCTTCTTTTTCGCCTCGATCTCATCTTTGAGAACGGTGGTGAGGTCGTCAGTCCGGATTCCCAGTCTGAACATAAACATGTTAATAAACCTGAGAGATAAATTAAAATGAAAGAGAGTGTTCGTATATGGCGAAACGGTAAACGCTTTACTGTTTCACACAGTATAGTTTGCACGTTATCTCTTGGTGAAAGAAAAGACTTACTGCTTGGCCTTCGACTCTAGCTTTGCTTTGTATCTGGCAGTGATGTCCTGCTCAGGCCCAAGTCTGGCCGGCGAAACCGCAAAGGCATAGAGGCGCACGGAACTCCGACCCAGAGCTTTGGATCTGGAGAAAGAGGCTAGTCTAGTGAGCATTGTGGCGTTTATAGAGATTTGTATGTTTAAAGTGCCAAATATATGCCAAAGTGAAGGCTTTGGATGGTCCCAAGTCTGGTGAGTGGTTGGTGAGACTCGGGGTCACCCGGCGTTGGAACTTGGAAGCCAAGAAACTGGAGTGTGCACTACATAGTTGGGTGATATTTGGATTGACGTATAGAGAGAGAGAAAGAGAAAGAGAGAGAGAGAGAGATCGAAAATGTGAGGAGCAGAAATTCGCAGCGCTTCAAAGTTTAGCATTCTACGAGTTCTTCAGCTTTTAGAGAGTTGTTGCCGTGCGGATATTCGGGCACCCTTCCTTATTGTCGCGATGCGATCGTCGTCCTGCACAGTGACTACGCCGGCTGAATAATAAATACCTACTTGCACCACGATCATGTGTTTTATAGTCTAAATTTCCTCAAATAATATTAACCTTAACAATTCCCGGAAAACTCAAATATGCTGAATCAGCCGATGTTTGCTTTCTTTCATCACATCAATAGCTCAATGTTCGCATTGTCAATCTGCTGGGTCTAATTGAGAGAAATCATATGCCAAAGACTAGTCGATACATCTGCACGAAGAACATCTCCGAGTCCCAAACAAAGACATGGTAAGTGGCCACTATTTCCACGAAACTTGAAGGATTTCCTCGTAAATCTACCAGCAAATTAAGCTCCCCATTTTCATCAGTCTCCCCAATTTAAATCCCAATAAAAACATCAATTAATTTAACCTTTTTTCGCTACTCATCTTGTGCATGTACACACTGCCACAAGCACGGCCGCATCCCCGGGCGGTGCAGATGTCCCAAGATTTTCCACACTTCGTATCACGCTGGAGGTTTTAGTGTAATAAGACAAACACAGGCCCTCCAAACGGCTCTTGTACTCTTTTTCAGCTGTTTGAAGTGCCAACCCGGTTCTGTACTCTCGCTTAAGTACCCTGTTGGTGTTTTCCAGTTGCCGATTATATTGCATCGCTGTGTGGCCCCCTCTAGCATCTGCCCCAACAAAGGAGACATTCGCCAACCTGGAAAGCTACCACATGAGACACCTGTCGCGCCGAACGCCGGCGCTTCTGCACAGGTTCAAGCGCAAGCCAATAGTGGGGATATTTGCACTCGCGATGGTTTGTATGGTGGTGGTGCTGACTTTGCAGTTGAGATCGTCCGACCGCCGCAAAGGAGTGATCGACGTGAACCCACCTCCTGCCCGCAAAGTGGGAGTGAGGGCATCAGAGTTATTTTCGAACCACAAAACCCATTCTCCAGCTCGTGTGCCTGATTCAAGTATGTCTACTGGTGATGCGGCTAAATGGCGTATGATCAACCGGAACCCAGACAACGACGAGATTGGGTCCCGACTTCAAATGGCGCAGGCCTTCTACGCGAATATTTTCCAGACCCTGGTCCAGGGAAAGCCTGCAATTCCTCCTCTGAGCAATTATGGTAGCCCAGACCGGATTTACCATGCCGGATACGATGGTTTGGACGATGGGCCCGTTTTCACGGAGCACTTCCTCAAGCAGTATCTCCAGCTTACGCCGGAAGAAGTGGAAAGCATGAAAAAGTCACACCGGGCCGTGGTGCGGAGTTTGCCGGACACATACCCCGAAGGCCTCTATCGTGGCAATGGGATAGTGTACGTTGGCGGTGGAAGATTTAACTGGCTTGCACTTCTATCTATCAAGTCGTTACGGTCTGTGGGGTCCAAATTGCCGGTCGAGGTGTTTATACCGACCCTTGAGGAATACGAGGTCGATTTATGTGGACGTGTGTTTCCCGCACTCAATGCTCGTTGTATCTTCATGCCAAGAGAGTTAGGACCTGCCGTTTCCGATCATAATTCGTTCCATGGTTACCAATACAAGTCGCTTGCTCTGATAACCTCCAGTTTCGAAAATGTGCTCTTGCTGGATTCTGATAATATTGCGGCTCATGCGCCCGATCACGTTTTCGACGTTGATCCTTTCGTCAGCCACGGCCTGGTTGTTTGGCCTGATTTCTGGAAACGTGCCACATCGCCGTTTTTCTACGACATCGCCGATGTCAAGCTTACCAATAAGCGTGTGCGGTTTGGCTTCAACGAGTTTGGCGAGTTCAGACCAAACAACGTGCATAACGAGGGCGATCCTCCCTTACATGATGTTGAAGGTGCTATTCCTGATCCAACTACTGAGAGTGGTCAGCTCATGATCTCCAAGAAGAAACACACTAAGTCATTATTTCTGTCGCTTTACTACAACCTCTACGGACCAGACTATTTCTATCCTCTTTTCTCCCAAGGTTCTGACGGAGAGGGAGACAAAGAAACGTTTCTTGCTGCTGCGGTGGTATTGAAAAACAGCTTTTACCAGGTGAACAAGTTCCTCACAGCTTTTGGCCATTTCAACCAGGAGCGCGAGTTTCTCGGAAGCGGCATGGGCCAATTCGACCCCGTTGAGGACTATAGAATTCTCCAAAAGCGACTGGAGGCCAAGAAGGATGGTCGACTTCTCAGTCTTGACTCTGACGAGTTCAAAAACCAACCGCGCGTCCTCTTTATTCACAGCAATTTCCCCAAGCTAAATCCATGGGAGCTCAAGCAGAATGGCAAGATCGTCGAGCATGGCGAGCGGATCCGGCTTTACGGCCCAGGAATGGCCAAGCGTATCGGTTACGACTTTGAGACTGTCCAATGGCAGAACATGAAGTTCTTGGTGTGCGAGCTCAAGCTGCAACTGACCTGTTTTGAAGGTGTCAGTGAAGCAGAGCTTTGTGACGAGATCAGTCAGCAACTCGACTTCTTGCTAGAGTCTGTTGCAACACTAGAGGAATGAGTCTCCAGAAGAGACACAGAGTCAAAAAAGGGACAACTCAAATTATCAAAAAATGTGTTTCCATGCCATTTTGATGCATAAATAATCCCGTTAATTCATGATAGATTATTCAGAGCTGTAGGAGGAGTAGCGGTGTATATGCAGGCTGTGTTGGCTGTGAAGGCTCAATTTGAGAAAGATTTTTGCTTTTTTTTTTAATAAAATAAGTATACACTATCTCAGTCTCATATCAACCTAGTTTACGCCCGGAATTTGTCTGAAATCTTCAAATCTTCAAAGCATGTTTTTCACCTCAATGATCTATACCTTATCCCACTCAAGGTGCGGCGCAGCTGTCAGAGCTCCCATCACTCATAACCACCGAAGCCTGTTTGCCTACTTAACACCTACCCAAGAACGGTTTAGTTCCTCATTACGGTTGCGATCCCCAATCACAAATCGAACATGGCAATCAAGTATCTGATATTGCTTTCAGCTCAGGGAAAGGTGCGACTCTCAAAATGGTATATCACGATACCGCAGAAGGAGAAACTGAAGATCATCCGTGAGCTCGTGGCCACAGTGCTGGCTAGAAAGACCAAGATGTGCAACGTCCTGGAACACAAGGGTGGGTAAATATAGTCTCAGAACTCGAAAAATTGATACTAACCATATAGATGGGAAAATCGTCTATCGTCGATACGCGTCGCTGTTCTTCGTATGCGGGATCGACGCCGACGACAACGAGCTGATCACATTGGAGATGATCCACCGGTATGTGGAGCAGATGGACAAGTCGTACGAGAAGGTGTGCGAGCTAGATATCATATTTAATTTCCAGAAAGCGTACCATATTCTGGATGAGATGTTCATCGACGGCACGCTACTAGAGAGCAGCAAGCGCGAGGTGCTCAAAAGGGTGGGTCAAGCGGATCAATTGGAGACGACAGACGAGATGGAAGTGTAAGTGATACTTGAGAGAGAGACTTTTTTATTTTTGGTTCCCGTTACTAACAAAGTGATGACAGAGCATATGCTTAAGATCACGAAGGGTGGGACGGTACATCCGCAATTACAACTACAGACAAGTAACTAGTAAAACAACTTTTTCCGGCAAATGTCCTCTAAGTAGTAAGATCAGCCTAGAGTATAATGATAATCAATTAGTCCAATATAATCGGCGATTGCAAACCAATCTTTACCCTCCCAAAGTTCTGAGATCCGACTCCGGTAGTCGTGCACTTCACACTGTCATAACCTCGTGTCACCAACCACATCCAATAGGATTGCACCAACCAAAATCGATCCCAAGGCCAAGTGGAAATCGTTCAAACGGAAACCTTCAACCATCCATCAGACTCGAAACACGTTACAATTATAATGTTGGCTCAAAGATTAGCATTGAGGGGTAAGTTAACATCTGCAATTCATTGGAACCACTGGTTTTAGGTGCAATTGGTTTGTTTGGTGGGATTGAGGTCAATCTTGAGAATCCTCGTTGACCATCCGCCAAATCACGAACATCAAAAAAAACCAGAGCTATTTCCTACTGAAGGGCCTCAAAATTCTTCTATTCGAAATATCAGGATATTAACCGCTTTTTCTTCGTTTAGCTACCCGCTCCGCCACCAGATCTGCATTCAGAGCTGCTCCGTAAGTTATTGACACTATCTCCGATTCAAGCGGAACCAACAGAGCTTTGCAACTAACCACCTTTTAGTGTTGGAATCCGTTTCCTCTCTACACCAGCTCCTGAGCCAAAGGCGAAGGCCACGTCACTCATTGACTCGTTGCCAGGTAACTCCCCATTAACTAAGACCGGAATCCTGGCCACCACCGCTGCCGGTGCCATCTATGCCATTTCCAACGAGCTCTACGTCGTCAACGATGAGTCCATCCTGCTCACCACCTTCACCGGTTTTGTCTTGCTTGTGGTCAAGGTCGTTGCTCCTTTGTACAACGACTGGGCCTCTGGCACCATCAAGAACATCACCGACGTTTTGAACTCTTCCAGAACCAAGCACGTTGATGCTGTCAAGGAGAGAATTGACCAGGTCTCTGAGCTCAAGGATGTTGTTGCTACCACCAAGGCTCTTTTTGAGATCTCCAAGGAGACCGCTGCCCTCGAGGCCGAGGCCTTCGAGCTGAAGCAGCAGGTCGAAATTGCCCACGAGGCCAAGTCCGTTCTTGACTCTTGGGTCAGATACGAGTCCCAGGTTAGACAATTGGAGCAACAGCAATTGGCCACTTCCGTGATTGCCAAGGTCCAAGCCGAGATCGGAAACCCAAAGTTCCAGGAGAAGCTTTTGGCGCAATCCGTTGAGGAGATTGAGGCTTTGTTTGCCAAGGAGAAATAGACGAATTGAAAAACTCCAAATCACCAACGACATAAAACGTTCACGAAGCCAGTTGCGTTTTCTTCTTAGTATGAATAACCTATTATACAATTGATCACCGAACATCACATTCCTAACCTTCGTCTTCGACATCTTCCAGCTCAACATGCCTACGCTTTTTCCTGTATTCCTCTTCTTCAGACGCATACTCTCCAAATTCAGAGTCCGAGCCCGTTTCTGGAATCGGCTTCGGCTTCACCTCGGCTTTCGGAGCTGCAGTGGTCCTTTTGATAGAGCCCATTAGTGCCGTGGGTAGTAGTCCAGCTTGAATACTCTCTTTCACGAAATCACGCCGCACTTCGTCAACAGAAAGCGAAGCATCGTAATCTTTCACCTTGTAGAAACGAGGGGGATCTCCTTCTGGCATGGGGATATCTACTATTTGCTTGTTGTCAGGATATTCGTATGGGTTTACCAGAGGATACTTCACATTTTCATACCCATTGGGAGCTTTTCCATAGGGATTGAACTCGGGATCGTAGAAAATCGAAGCCTTTCCAAGCCGATCAGTTTGTGGCAAACTCAATTGTGGCTGTTGCTCTTTATCATGCTCTGTGTGGCTAGTTGTTGAGCCTTTTCTATTGGTCTCTAGAAGCCTAAGATCGCGCCGCAGATTATCCAGGGTTCGCTGTTCGGTGTGATTGAGTCTTCCCTTTTCTTTCTGGACCTCCTCTAAGGCTTTCAGCTTATCTCGTAATCTCCCAGGATCTCTGTCAGCAATTTTGACTAAGCGTTGCTCGACCTTTCGTGCCTGTGACTTTCTGTGCTCCTTCAATTTCTGCTTCCGCCCTGTCTTGAGTTAGTAACAAAAGTCGCCCAAAAAAGAACTTTCCTAAAAGCCCCAAAAGCCCCTCACAAGCACTCACTTTCGGCTTCAACTGGATTTAAAGTACGCTTCACCATGGTGTTTTAGGCAGCGTGTACATGGTGTAGGCATTAACGTTGTTTAAGGCTAAAGAGAGTTGGAATGAAGTAAAGAGGATTCCCCATCGCTCATAACACTTGTGGGGATTTTGTTGAAATGCGCCTGGCGATTTCCAGCCTTTCCCTTTTTTTTGGCCCCCTCAATTCAACCCTCTTTCCACATTATGAGTGCGGTTCCGTCCGTTTCCAACCAATCAAATGGATCTGTCAAGCCTGATTTCTCAAATGTCCCGGTGGCTTCGCTGGAGTCGCTAAGACTTAGACTCACACAACTCACACACTCACTGGCAAAGTTGAGTGATGCAATGCAGCAGTCACAGTCGCTGCCGCACTGGTCTTCGCTTCAAAACCAGTTCAATGTGATATTATCGCAGTTGACATCGCTGTCGCGAACCTTGGATTCAAATTACGAGGTTTTGCGTGGAACAAACGTTTTTCCCACGGTGGACTTTCCCACCACTCAGCAAGAAGGTCTGCTAACCACTCTTTTGCGGAAGAAACCTTTGCCAGACGTGAGCGACTGGATCAACGATAGCTACTCTCGTTCAGAAGCTTCAGATGTAAGGAAAGACGACGAGTTCTCGTCGTGGTGTATTGGTGTTTCGGAAGAGGCCATGAAGGGCTACACGTTTGAAGGTTATCTAACTCAGAAGGAAATAGATGATGGGGTGGAGCTGGGCCCCGAATTTGCGCACGAGGACTCGGAAGAAAATTCTGGACCGGTTCCAGGTCTTGGCCTTAGCCAGATGCTGCGTTTTGTCTACCAGGGAGCTGATTGGCAAACATGATTTGATGCCCTATGTACACTATATAGATCTGGAGTTGTAATTGCGATACGATCTCCACGCAAGTCGCCACTCAGGTGTAGCCAGCTTAGGATGCAGCACGTTGAAGTTGTATTTTTCAAGTCTTTCCAAATAAAGTTCGGTGGGTACAGCTGCCATATATGGAACAAAGATCACGTCTGACACTTTATGCCTCCACCTTTTGGAAGCAGAGGTCAACCACTTTTCGGATCTGTTCTCTGCAATTGTTTCTCTGATCGACTCTTTCACACGATCAAACTTATTTCTGGCAGTCATTAAATGGTCGTTGGCCGCCACTGAAACGTCGAAGACCACATCCTGTAGTTTGGCAGTGACATCGGCAGGCTCTTCATGACCCTGGCCAATTCTCAACACAGACTCCTGTGAAAGACCGTGTTTAGCCATCAAGTCCAGAGGAAGAAGCACCCGGTTCTTTGCAGCTGCAAAATATTTTAGTCCAACTATCACGCTCGCCAATGAGGTGGATTGCCCAATATGTGCTGCTATCTCGCTCATGAGAGCTCTCGTTTCTGAGGGCACCAGTTCCAGGAATTTATTTGCCGCTGGAGAAAGTGAAGGCGAGAGCAATAATCCCTGAAGTGCATAATTGACTTGAGAATCAGTGGACTCTCCAAACGAACAAATGGCGTCGATATTGGCAAACCCTCTCTGAGCCTCGTTCCTCACGTAATGGCTTCTACCCGATATGATTTGCTGGAAAACTCCCAGATCGAGCATCTGATCCTGCTTGAGGCCTTCTCTCAGAAGAGTTGCTATTGGTTCACCCAATGCCACATTTGAGTGGCTTTGTGTGAAAATTTTCACCATGAGGTCTTCCCAAAACTTGAGCTTGATGTCTACCAAAGCAGGGTTTGGCTGAGAGTTGGAGGATGTGGAGGCACCATCACTGACTTTCTTCAACTCAACGTTGAAAGCCTTGATAGCGGTATATGAGTCTCTGATGGGCTCTGGAACATAATGAGACAGCAAAAATGATGAGCGGTCGTACTTATTGAGCAAAGCCAAACAGTCCACCCTAGCCTTGTCCAGTTGCTGCTGATATGCTCTGGAGGCTTCCTCGGTGGAAAATAGCCTTCGGAAACTCAATGGAACACGTCTTCCGAGCATTCTGAAGAGAATGTGGAAAATGGCTTGATGTGAACAAGACTGTGTATACGTGTATGTATATGGTTGTGATTATACCAAATGAATTAGTATTACTAAATGAATCGAAGATACCCTATCCAGCCGATGCCGATAGCAAACGGCAGCTCATCGCATCTCGAAATTTTTCACTCTGCTTATGTGAAGACCTAACAGAGGGTTAAGAAACATCACACAAATTGAAAAATACTACGTGATTATTTATTCTTTTAACAAGTTCGCAATGGTTGATGCTACGAAGTATGCATATTTGGATATTTCGCTGAACCAGAAGCCAATAGGACGCGTGGTTGTTGAACTGTTCACAGAAAAGGCTCCACAGGCTTGTCTCAACTTCATGAGTTTGTGTGGAGATCACACGGGTCAGGAAATTCCTGGACTTTACCTCAAGAGAAACTACAATCATACAAAAATTCACAGGGCTGTCAAGAATTTTGCCATAGAGGGTGGTGATGTTGTTAGCGATCCAAATTCACCAGAGGTCGGGAGTCGAGGCTCTTCCATATATGCCCAAAGCGACAACGATCCAGGGTTCTTTGAGGATGAGAATTTGAAGCAAGAATTTGAGGAACCTTTTCTGGTGGGAATGGCTAATGCAAATTCCCCTAATACTAATACATCACGGTTTTTCATCACGACTTCACCCTCGCCTCATCTCAATGGAAAGCACACATTGTTTGGCAAGGTAGTTCACGGCAAGTCTGTTGTGCGTGAAGTAGAGAAGGTTGATGTCAGCAAAGAGCACATCCCCAAGATTCCCTGTGTTATTGAAGACTCAGGAAGTTGGAAGAAAGGAGATCCAGTACCAGTATACAACGCTTCGTATGACTCTATTGGAGGAGATATCTACGAGGAGTTCCCCGACGACAATACAAAAGCCAATGCTCCCAATTTCGACCCCGAAAATATGGCACAAGCACTCAAAGCTGCTGAGACTATCAAGGAGTCCGGTACTTTACTATTCAAGAAAGCAGACTTAACAAACGCACGGTTCAAGTATGCGAAAGCGCTGAGATATGCGAATGAGTTAATGCCTGATAAAGACCAGGATCGCGAGACTTATGCCAAGTTCATGGATCTTAAGAAGAAATTATTTCTTAATCTTTCTCTGTGTTGTTTCAAGATTGGTGACCACCAAAGGGCTGTGGATTATGCTGGCTATCTGTTGGAGCTTGATGACGATTTCAAGGTATCCGCTTTAGAAAGGTCCAAAGCGTTGTATAGGCGGGGGATGTCATATCTATCGCTGAAGAAGAACTCTCTGGCATTAGAATCGCTCAAAGAGGCTAAATTGAACAACCCTGATGATGTTAATATCAATTCGGCTCTGGAAAGGGCAGAAAAGATTGTTCAGGATGCCAAAGAGAGAGAGAGGGAGCGGTATGCAGGACTTTTCAGTTCATAAAGCTGATATGAAACGGTGATGCAAATAACCACGCTGATTACAGAATTCCGTCCAGAACAATAATAATAATATCTCACGCAGTATGCCATACCCAATACTATTTTAATACTCCATACAAAAAATTTATAATTATCCATACAAGTCATCAGCCGATTGTGTCTCGATACCTGATCATGTGCGGCTCAGGCTTTATGTTTGGCCATCGCCTCTAACCAAAACCTTGTCTTTGTATTCATCCCCAGAACTAGGTCATAACGGTAAACATGCCGCAACCCATGTTCAGGTTTGATGAAGAAGAGGCTCATACCGTGGACTCTCAATCAGGTCCTCCAGATTACGAAGTTTTGGAGTTGAGCGACGAGGAGTTTGTTGACCAACCTGGCCCTACAGTTTTGCTTGGGACGAGCTCTGCCTCACATGGTTTACACAGTTTTCATTTGAGCGCGAGAAGGAAGTCATCTGTGCTCAGAAGGATGTCTGTAGGAAGCATTTTATCACAGCAAAGCCATGAGTTTACTATCAAATCATATGATACCGGCAAGTTCAACCTGGAACCGGAGCCACAGGCCGCAAAGGTGAATATTTCAGAGTTCGAGCCAATAAAAGCTCTCGGCCAGGGTGCCTACGGAAAGGTTATATTGGTGAAAAGAAAATCAACGGGTCAATTGTTCGCACAGAAAGAACTCAAGAAGGCATCTGTGATAGTCAACAAGCAAGTTGAAAGAACGATGGCAGAGAGGACGATACTGGCACAGATATCAAATCATCCTAACATAGTAAAACTATTCTACGCCCTACACGATCACGAGAAAGTGTACTTACTGTTGGAGTATATTCCCGGTGGAGAGCTATTCAGACATTTGGCGCAAAGACGGGTATTCAGCGAATCAGTCAGTGCATTCTACACTGCTCAAATGGCTCTGGCACTGAAACATCTTCATGGGCTAGGAATTGTGTACAGAGACCTGAAGCCCGAGAACTGTTTGCTCGACTCACGGGGCTTTTTGGTCCTGACAGACTTTGGGCTCTCAAAGGAGTCTGACGAGACGGTCTCAGATAAAGGGTTTTGCAAGTCCATTATTGGCACACCAGAGTATATGGCCCCAGAGGTTCTCAGAGGTGAGGACTATAGCTATGGCGTTGACTGGTGGTCTCTGGGTGCTGTGTTATTCGACATGATCACGGGGAATCCTCCTTTCACGGGGAACAGCCACAAGGCCATAAGTGACAAAATTATCAGGAGCAAAGTGGCATATCCAACATATCTATCGGCATATGCAAAGACGCTTCTGTCCCGACTTTTGAATAAGAACCCAGCAAAGAGGCTCGGAGATGATAGATGGGATGATTTTAAGAAGGAAAGATTTTTTCGAGAAATCCACTGGGGAAAGCTATTCGATCAGGATCCCAGTATCGTTCCCCCAATTATACCCTCCATCTCTAACCCAGAGCTTGCCGAGAACTTCGACGAGATGTTCACATCCATGAAATTGAGCAGTTTCGAAGAAGGAAGCAATATCGATATCCACCCAGGTCCAATCAACATCCAGGAGAACACTGTGGAATACTTCAATGGATTTTCCTACACCGCCAAAGGAAGCTTTGTGAACGCATATATGAGAGATCATAGTACATAGACATGGAAATCCATCCCGCTCTCAACGAGTCTCTTTTCTGTAAGTTCCCACGGAACACCGAATATTCCAGCATTGATCTTTGGCATAGATATTATCGGTTTATCTGAGCCCTTCTCAAGAATTTTTGCGACTTCAGGGTCAAAACAACTACTGGGATGCAGCATCTGGGTTTTCATCGCCTCTATAGCTGGCCCAGTGTTACGAGAGATGACCTCAGGCACATCACCACCTGCAAAACTCGTGAAAAGACACGCAATAATGAACCGGTCGCCTGAACCAGTTACATATCCCGGATCCGACGACTCAATTGGAAGCAAAAGCGCAGTTCCAACCGTTTTCGATGGGTCATCTTGTCTCTCCATACAGTAGTCCTTGTACTTGATGTAGGCACTGGGGAACCTCTTACGGAGAGCAAGTGCGATTCCACCTCCCCAGGACCCAAGTGAGTTGCAAGAATGGGCCAATATGATTGGACATAATGGACCAGTTGGTTTTAGTATCTGGAATACGTCTCCTGAAATATATTCGATCATTTAGGTGTCGTAGGCTTTCGTTAGTGATTAACTTTAAAAGGGCGTGGCTGTGAAAAGTTCACAGATTACAAAATTGATTATATGCGATGAGCTTGAGGCTTCTCAAATTTCACCGCCTTCTACCTTGCAGTTCTGTTTTAGTTCAAAGCGGTGGCCATATAATCACAATGTCAGATTTCAATCATACCCTGTAAGCTATTCCAACGAAAACGCACCACAGACATGTCTCAGCTTTACTAACTTTGCAGGGCGTTTTCGGTGCCGTTCGAGACGGCGAGACAGGCTCAGATAGCGCAGAGAGCCCTCGATCCAGATCCAATCCTGAAACCGAGCGAGCTCTCGGTTGAATATTCCACGGAGGATACGTTTCTTAAGATTGATTTCAAAGGAAGGAGTGATCGCGTGATACGGGTGGCTGCGAACAATGTGTTAGAGAACCTCAAGACTGTGGTGGAATGCATGGATGAGTTCGAGGGACAGAAGGATGTGTGCATTTAGACTCCTCGAGCAGAAATCAATGAATTTGAGCAACGTAGGCGCATCGTTGATGATTCAAGAGAGTCTCAAACGTTCTGTTATATACTACGACTAATAATACCTATCTCATGATTACACCACTGTCAGACTGTGGATGCAACCTGGAGCTAACCGTGAAGACTCAAAATTCGGAGACTTTTTGACGAGTGATATAACTTATAGTTACTATAATTCATGAAATTAAAAACTTTCAGCATATAAAAGCTTTGCTCTCAGTATATAGAATGTGTATATATATAGCCGTAAAGGAACATATTGGAATCTTTGCGTCTTTCAGACTCTTGCCATTTCAGCCTCTACTGAAGTCTTTCCTCAAATCTCAACTCATTCAGCGATGGAAGACCAATCAAAAGTCTCAAGAAGTTGTCAAGACCAGCGCGCTGCTTGTTGAGACCGTTGATGGCCTCGTATCCTGGTCTGGTAAGAGGAGCCTTAAGCCAGTAGGAAAGGAAGGACAAAACTGCGTGGAGAGACTCGTAGTCAGTAGAACCTGCCTTCTTGTAGGAGACTCTCGACAAGAACTCGGTCATGACAACCAAATCAATGATCAGAGGAGTCGCGAGCAAAGAGTCTTCACAAACGTTGTGGATGGAGATACGGTTGTGACCGCCAAGCATCAGCTCAGAGTAGTACTCGTCCATAGCGACCTTAGAGTCTCCAACGGCCTTCATGTACTTGATCACAATGGTGTGGTCAATCTTCTTTCCAAGCTTGTCGTTGTAAAGAATCTCGTTGGAAGCAATTATGTCGTCAACGACAGAAGCCTTTGAGATCTCTTTGGAACGGAACTGCTTAGGTGCACTCAGGTTGTAACCATCGTTGTTACCGAGATGGTTGTAGGAGGCGATGGAAGTTGGTCTGATACCAGCATCAACCAGGAACTGTGCCAGCACAGATTTCATTTTGGTCTGACCAGACTTGAAGTCATCACCGCCAATGAAGGTGTTGTTCTTCTCGGCAAGCTCGATGCACCCGGGGACGAAGGTGTTCTGTGGGGATCCGTTGATGTATGGCGTGTTCTCTAAAATACTTGCGACAGCAAAAACGGTGGAAGCGGAGACCTCTTCATGATCATTCTTGATGGCATCAATCAAGTTCTCAGCAGTGTCGTGGATGCCCTCGGTGACATCCGAGTATCTTTCCGTGTTGGCAGTCCACAAGACAATCACACTGTCAAGAGAGTTAGCAGCCTTGAATTCGCGAATGTCCTCTCTGATCTTCTGGACGTGAGCCCACTTGCCCTTAGTGGAGACCTCACCCGTGTGAAGGTCTCTGTTGAGACAGTTGTCGGCACGCTCATCCTGGTTAGCAGCAATGAAGTCTGGGTAGTAGATGGAAGGAAGAGGAACAATTTTCTCCATGGTGGGGGCCAATTGGCGTTGGAGATCGTACTCCAAGACCTGGGCACGGCTCATGGCAGAAGCAAGGTTAGCCTTGTTGATATCCCATCCACCAACCACAAAGTCATTTGGAGAAACGAAAGGAAGCAGCGAGTTGAATGGAGCGTAAACGTCACGACCATCAGCATCAATTCCAAGCTTGATAGTAGCAGCCTGGGTAACGGAGCCGTAGTAGTTGGCAGTACGAGGACCCTCCTTAGTGTTGAAGACAACCTTGTTCTTGTTGGCAAGAACGGATGCAACCAAAGTGGTTCCGTTGTTACCACCAAGACCAACCAACATGAGGCCAAGACGAGGAACTCTGAGATCAACCTTGAAGTCGTAGTCCTCGGTGGTTGGAGTCACGTTGAAGCCATCGTCGGTCTTTTCGACAACGGCGTTAGCGTAAGAGTACTTTGAGACGAGTTCAGACTCAGTGTATGAGACTTTGTCGGTGTTAACCTTGACCTTTGGAGTGTATTGGACAGTCATTGTTATGTAGAGATGAAGATAGATGTAGAAAAGAGAGAAATGTTTGGAGGATAAACGGGAATAACGTGTCCTTTTTATAGTGCAAATCCACAGGAACTCACATGGGGGTTTCACACTAATGCGTGTTTTGACACTGCAATCGTTCGTCCAATTAAAACAATTATTGAAAGGAGGGTGCGGAAGGACATTGATATCTGGTTCGGGTCTTGTTTCAACAAAACGGTCCCCATAAAGGCTACAAAATAGCTACAAAATCCCCAACACATCCCGATATCTATCTGAACGCAATTAAAAGTCCATCAATACTAAAAAATCCTATTAATTTAAATACATTATGCCCAATATCGCATATCCCAACCAGAAACGCAGCATCCCGGACTAGGAGCGGCACCCCATGCCTGCAGACGCACCAACGGAGCTACGCCGAGAGAAATTACCTCTTTGGGAAGAATCCACGGACACTCCCCGCGGTTGCCCCTTTGGGACGACGCTCAGTGGTTGTGATTGGCCAGAAAGTGGATACGCACCGGGTTTTTATTGCAAACTAGTTCGCAAGACTAAGCCTCGATTGCCCAACAACCCCCGGGACTCGAGTCGGAGCTTGGTTTCGTGTTCAGTCAGATTTGATCAGCTTCAGATTCTCAACATCCTGCACCATGTAGTCGTACCAGTACCAGGCTGGCCAAATGGTCACGAAATGCCACAAAGCATGGGCATCCACAAGGTCAAAAAAGGGTGCAAAATCAAACAGCTCAAACGACATTCCGAAACTAACACTGGCTACCAAAAGCAGCGGGATCAATGTCCAATTGACATCCTTATTGAGAAGATCAGCTTTCAGTTGATTTGACCCGTTTTTAGATCCACGAAAAGCAGGTAGTACCTTACTGGCACGTTGTCTGTATATCTGGAAAGAATTGATTGCATGGTAGATCCACAGGACATACTGCACCAATCCCACCAACACATTGGCCTCCATATTGTATGTGTACGACCAGTCAACTAAAAGTCGCGCTACATGGCCAATATACATGAGAACCACTAGAAGTCCAAATGCACGTCTCTTTGTGTTGTTTTGGGGTTCATAAAGCTCGAAAACACGCACAGTGATACCGTATAGTCCACTCAGCACTGTGGCACCGGCAAAGAAGTAGTCCAGCCGTTCGCGGTCCCAGGTGTCTCTAAGATGGAAAATAGTTGAAAATATCCACGCAAACATCGCCACTAGTCCAACAATGCCATAAGCAAAGTATTGGTTGGCAAATTTGGACCCGGAGAACCTGTCCTGCCTGTAATGGGCCAACATCAAGCGAAAGCCATGGTAATGTGGAAAGAAGTTCAGAATACTGAAAATCGTTGAAAATAACTCCTGGATACCAAAAACTCGGATGAATGGCCATTTACCGTGGAATTGATACACTTCATCGCCGAGCTGTTGTCGCTGGACAGTGATCAGTCTCTGACAACGATAGTCGCAATTGTCCGGGCAACCCCACCCCAAAAGCCTCAGTGTCAGAGCCAGGGGTTGTTTGTCAAAAAGTGGCTGTTCTTCTTCCTCGTCGTACCATCTGGACAAAACATTGTCCGAGGGAAGCTGGAGTTCTTCGGTGTATGGGCAGGTCAGATAGCGGCATTTGGTCACGCAATCCTGGAACTCGTCCAACTGGTCTCCAAGCGATCCAAAACACGGCTTGACCAACAGCACGGCCATCCACAGTATCAACTTCATTATGTGCTGGAATTCGGAGGAAATCACTATAAGCTTTCGCGTAGTCAGATACCACGAGGCAGCGCAAACTTGTACTGCAGTTTCTGGGATGCTTATATAATTCATTATATAATCAGGAAAGGATTTATCTGTTAAACCTAATCAACCGGTATTATTAATTTTTATTTCGCATTATTTTCCTTTATAGCTCGTATTCTTCATCACCTTTGCTTAACCTCAAGTTCTCCAGAATCATATCATCAGCGGCGGGCCCGTCCAGTAAGCGTAGCTGGTCCGGTGGAAAGATCTTGGGGAAGAAGCATGAAAAGCCAAGGAAGAACATCAACACTCCGGGAAAGCCGACAGCTCCTTTGGTGCACGTGATGCCGAACTCGAATCCGAAGGCAATGAGCTCAAATGTCACAAAAAGAACCAGCCACTTTCGATTTGCGGATCGCAAGTTCAGTGGGTAGTCCTGTGGGTTGGTCCTCATAGTCTCTGGATCCGTGCAAAGGAAGCGGATACGGTTAATGATCTCGTTTTCATTGAGCGCAGAGATTCCCATAATCCAGAAAAGACCTGCCATGACTGGTTGTGGGATTTGGTGGAGCACTATGAGAAGAGGACGGGTCATCATTCCGATTGTCATTAGTCCTTGCAGGGTATTGGTGAGTCGCTGTTCGACAACAGCAACGGGACGGTCAGTTCCTGTTTTATAGTCATGTTCCTGGACGCATAATGAATGTGTATGCAATGGTGCTTGTGGAATGAGTCCGTTTGGTGCAGGAATTCCGAGCAATCCCGCAACGGCCGTGGTGATTCCAAGCAGCAAGAAATCGTAGTGAAAAGAGGCCGGTTTCTTGAGTGGAAAGTCGCTACTTTGACACATCAGCGAGGAAACATTGTGATCAAAGTAGAACAGCGCTGTTAACAAGATTCCGAACGGTAGTGCGAGAAAAACGTCACCTACATCAACGCCATGCCAGAATCTGACGAACCAGTCGTTTGGTCTAGAGTCGAGCGTAGGTGCAAACGCTTTCGTGATTGGGAGATGTTGGAACCGAACCCCCGCCAACTTTCCACCAAAATGAACAAATCCAGAAAAGAAAACCACACATAGCGGAGTCGAGTAGTCGGCGACAAATTTGCGTATTGTAGGCCTCAAGTAGTGAGACTTGGTTCCAAAGAGATTGGCCGCAACACCAAATATACACATCACCAAGGAAACCATGACCGACGCAAACCCGACGTCAGACCCACCATCAAACTGATGGGTCAAAATTTGAATGCCCTTTTGAATATACACCACGTTGATAAAGAGCCCAAACACATTGCAGCAGTATTTGGAGACATATCTCATGAAGTTGACGGCATTGAGCAATGCAAGTATCGTGTGCAGCAATCCTGCCCAAAGACAGATCCAACACATAAACGAAAAGTAATCAATATCCCGGTCACGAATCAGGTTAAACACTGTATAATTGAAGATGGTAATTGGACCAGTAACTCCCACTATGCAAAGCGGCTGGCCTGCGATAAGCCCAAATACGACCCCTCCCATTGCAGACGACATCAACACCTCGTTGACACCATAAGAGTTCTCTGTGTGGTCAAACATGTCCTGAGCAAACGCTACGGCAGGTAGCAAGTTGGTGAAAAAAACGTACACCACTGCGGGTATCACTCGGTAGTTCCATGCATCTAAGAAGTCCGAGACATAGTAAGGCACCAGTCTTGTTCGGACGTCGTTAACAATCCCCACACCCGTCTCGCGAAGGTGGAACAGGTTATTTTTCCTGTAGTTCTCTAGCATTTGCTAAGAAAATTGTCATGGGGTTTTTGGAAAGAGCGGGCGTGGAGTGGAGCAGTTTTAATAGCATCTTCCCACGGTTATCTAATGTATATTTTGCATCAAAATTGGCCTAAAGCGTGGGTCGTGCTCGGAAAGATATGGAATTGGTAGGGGCACCATGGGAGATAAAGTCGAGGAGAGACGAGGGACGGGAGGGAATAAACGACAAAAAAAAAGAGAAGAAACGAAAAATTCGAAGAGGATTAGGAAAAGGGAGAGATGGAGGCATAGAATACCGCGGACGAGTATGAAAGTCTTGTGCAAACAAGAAGATAGGAGAGGATGTTGCTGATGATGGTCTTAATATGGGGCAATTCGGGTAATGTGGTCATACATTTGAAAGACAATTGGAATATGACCGTAGTAGAATTGGCTCCCGTATATCTCAAGCAATGTATGACCTTCATGATCTTGGGTTAACTTTACAAGATCTCAATTCAAATTGAAAGGTAAAAAGAATGCCGTTTATCTCACTCTATGAATGGGATTGTCTTGCAATCACTCAAATTTCCAAAAATATCGAGAATTTCAAAATTGATCCAATATTCTCAATATTTCGTCCGAGCACTGAAGTGCAAAACTTTAATTTAACTTCAATAAAATTTCCCCTCTCTATTCTACAAATTTTCAACGCCCTATAAGATAATGGGACCATTTGCGGCTATACAGTGATTCCTTCAAATAATCACGTGACCGCTAACACTATGGGGCCCGCGTCATGGAATGCATACCGCGTACACGCTGGTTCCAGCGTCTAATACAAGGGTCCAGGAATACTTCCCCAGCTCGATCTAAAATCCCAGTTTGACTTGACCAGCTTGGTGGACCATAAATCACAAACCTTTATTTACACGTGGCAACGCCAAGAAGGCTTTAGTCCACACAGAACACGGCCAGAACCAAAATACGCGCACGAAGGGGTACCGCGATTGGTTCGCGCACATTTCTTCCACGGGGAAATGTAAACACAAGAGTAAAATGCACGTCTAGAACCGCTCCTTTCCAAAGGGCCGCGGTTCGCGTAGTGGGGCTTCCAACTCTACAGGCGAGGTTTTTATTGAAGATGGACTATTGTCTCTTGCTGTTCTTCTACTCAAGGCCATAAATCCTTGCTTTTCTTCTCGCCAAAGTGGAAGATTCGCTAACATGGGCTCGCATCCTTTCTCGTTGCTAGAGGCGGCAGGCTCCGTGCGGCCCATTGCTATTTATCACGATGAAGCTGGTCAAGTCCCAAAATTGGAGCAGCAACACCAGGCACAGGCTTCGAGAAAAGACCAGAGAAGTGACTCTGGTGTCTCGCTGTTATTAGCTGATATGGCAAATACTGAGTCTATCTACAAGAACGAACTTCGAGGTTTGCTCAGTTGCTGCCAATCGGCCGTTTCCCGGTCCCAGCGGTACCCTGATCATCTACAGAAGCAGGAATCGCCAGCTTCGTGGTTGGAAGCTACTAGAGGCCTTCTGGAACATCACGATATTCTAGAGGACGTTCTTGGATGTGCAGATGAAGAGCTGGCCACAGTGCGGTTTTCCGAATGGGTAAGTTAAGAAATCCCTCAAAACAAGCGGTTTTTCATAACGATTTTCGTCATCTTACTAACTCTCTTCAGGCGCAAGCTGCAGTACCATACTACTCGCGTTACGTAAAGGCGTACCATCGTTCGGGGGAGAACTCACAAGGTGAGGCCCGTCTCAGAAGAAGACCACTGATCAGAATCAGGTATCTTGACCGGTTTGTCGAGAGATTAACAATTGCAGTCAGCACCCGCGATGAACCATACACTAAAGAGCTCATCGAGAATTTAGCAATTGCAAAGCACAGACTCGCCGAAGAGCTTGCATCGGCCAGGAGAAAAGACGATGCTGAGCGCAGAAATGCAGATCTAACTTCGGTTTCGTTTGCTCAGACGCGACACATTGTGACGCTCGAGCCGGTGGCTTCTGGTTTTGATCTTTCGCATGCCGTTCAGAGACTTCGCACCAGTATCACGTTGAAACACCCAAAGAATCATGGGCTGGAAAATGTGGAGGCTGAACTCGTAGGCTTGGCAGAGACAGGTCGTCTCGAAAAGCGCAAGAGCTCATACTCGCTAGAGGAGTGTTCAGCACTGGCTTTGTGCAAGATGGAAAACGTTGGAAGGTCATTGATGTTTCCTCCCTTTAGAAGAGGCGAGCTGCAGCTGAAGTCTGAAGCTGATGACGAGAAGGTGGTACTGGCAATGAACGGCAAACCAATTGAGATTGAGCTCATAATTGCTGACGGTTCCTGGAGAGCGTTATTGGCCGATTTCTTCGGCAAAGGCTCGGAAAATATCGACCCTCAGTCGCGGTTTGGGAAAGAGCACGCGAAAAAAATGACGGCTCCAACCGGTCACCATGGACTTGGAATCAGCACCAGCATGTTGAGATCACCCCAAGGAGCTGAAAAGTCTCTTCAGCCCACAAACCAGTTTCTACATCCCTACAGACTGGCCGAGCGTTCAGGCCCTGCATCGCGCAAACCAGCAGAACTGATCTCGCTCGAGGACGGAGGAATTGTTCCGTTCTCTCTGGGAGCTCTTCCGGAACATGTTCGCAACTCGCCTGCAATTTCCAGACAACGTTCTGTTGAGTCGGGGGAGAAAACTGAGAAAGCGTCTGAGAAAGCGACCGAGACTGCAGCCGAGACATCAAACGAGACATCAGACGAGAAGGCAGTTCGCAAGTTTGACCCAGCTTCGTTTGGAAGAGAATACGAAGACGCTTTCATCACACCCCAAACGACTGCTTCCGATAAAAAGGCCAGGCGCAAGTCCATCTTCAACATCTTGAGTTTTACCAAGAAGAAGCCTGCCAAGGCACCTGAACTGGTATCTCCAGGCCAGGATGCTTTGGGTGTAAGCCAATTGGCTGGAGCGAGCCAGTCTACGGCCACACTGGTGACAACCACCACAGAAACTACTCTGAAGGCTGAAAAGGCTGAGGTGAAAGCAGATAAGGTTGAAATTGAGCCAAAGCCCGAGACCAAGGCTCAACCAACTTCCTCCAAAAATATCAAAAACCTCTCTATAGAAAAGCCATCTCAACCTTCAAGCTCGCTCAATTCACCATTTGCAATCACCCCGGTCCCGGCTGAAAAAATCAAGCTCACAGACCAAGAACTGCAGATGATCGAAAGCGGAACAACTCTGTGCAGATTGCCAGCCAGAATCTCACAGTGGAACGGCTCAAGATGGGCATTGATTGGCAATACTGAACTGATGTTGGTGGTGATATTGAGTGGAAGTTCAGGACTATTGCTGGGCTATGATGCTGACGAGTTTGACCTAAGATCAGACTCACCAGAGCCATTGATCAGACTGAATCTCTTGCCTACAATGGTTACAAGAAGATCAACTTCATTGGATATTCATATCAAAACCAATGAGACGTCAACTTTGGTCCGTGCTAAGACTGAGACCAGAACCGATGCCATTCTTCAATCGTTGGAGGCCATCAAGAGAGACTCAAGACGGTCGATTTTGATGTCAACCACCAAGAAATCGTTCTCAAGCTCTTCCTCGACCCAGTCGTTCTTCTCGCAGTCGAATTCTACGGCTTCAACTTCCATGACTTCCATCGAGTCTGCTGGTGCCAGCCTTCAGTCTCCATTGGATCAGATCAAGGAATCGAGTGTTATAGGACTTGACATTGTTGCTTTGGGAAAACCATCCATGATGGCTGCCAAACAGCAAATCTCAAAGAACCAGAGCTCACCTTCGATTGTGTCTGCCATTTCTCCTATCAGTGACAAGTTCTCGTCTTCTAAGACCAGTCTAGCGACCTCTTCATCAAGGTCTAAGAGACCCCTAAAGGAAAGGGTTTTTGCAGGCCAACCAGAGCTTCTTTTGTTCACCAGCTCTTCAGCATTGATCCAGAACACCAACTCTGGAAAGCCTTCAGTTGCCTCGGTCAGAATGACCTCGTTCATTGCCCTGCCAAACTTCTACCATTTGACACTTCAATCACAGGAGGCCGATCTTGATATCGTTGTCTCCGCAAAGAGCTTCAAAAAATCAGCCAAGAACAAAGTGTTGATCAACACAGTGGATTACGGGTCAAAAAAACAAGTTGATCAGGTTGAGTTTGATCTTTGCCTAGAGCTCAAGAACAAAAAGGAGGCATCCAGCTTCACTAAGCTGGTTTTTGCCTAGAGTGCGGCGGCCTCCATATCATTTTATAGCATTATCAAGCCATTCTTTGTTTTTGCAAATATTTCTTTTCGAGTAAATCATTCACCGCTATGTGGTTATATACAAGTCTAGTGGTCGTGACAAACGAGCGCTGCAGTCGCAAGATTCCTCACGATGTCAACCTTATCAACATCATGAGTATCCTCAACCTCACCCCATCTCTCTGTCTGGAAAATGGTCTCCAGATCCGCAGCCTTTGCTACATCGTGAATGGATAATCTCTCGGTTTCGGCTGGGTGGTTAGCACGAAGAATGGCCGTGCCTGCAAGGAACGACTTCACAGTCAAAGTCGCCTTTTCCAAAGCAACGAGTTCCCAAACACTCAAATTCTTTAACCATTTTCTTACGGCATCTTTAGTCTCTTCCGTTTGCATATTTCCTCTCAATCCGTCTTTCTCGGTGTCCAAATAGCTGAACACGAGCTTCTCCACACCCGCATGTCTGGCAAAGTAGTCTTCCATCGACTTGATTATGGGCCTGTAGATCTCCTCCTGGGCACTTCTGAGTTTTCCCTGGTACTCGTGGTGGGGAGAGAATACCAGCAGAGTGTCGGTATCAAGGTATCTCAGCAAACTCTCTTTGACATCATCGGCAGTACCCATCTTAGCCGCAACCTCTGGATCCTTCGTCTCCTCCACGTATTTCAAGTCAACCGCACGAGCTGCCACCGAGGTCAAAGGAACCGTGTAAGGCTTTATCGTGAGTGTCTGCAGGTTTTTCCACTCATGGGCAATCAAATGGGCCAATGGGGCCTTGGTCGGAGGCAGAATCAACCGGTTTCCCAACGGAGTCTTGAGTGTCTTCCCATCCAACTGTACATGAATGCCTTCGGAATCCTCAGTAACATCCACCTTTTCCCAGAACTTGGTCAGGGTCTTCTCTAGCCTGTTCGTCTCAGACTTGACATTGGTCTCCAGGGCGGGCGCTGTCGACGACGAGATGGCAGCATACAACGCCGGTCTCAAAGATCCAAAAGATCTGGTGCTGCTCTGCAAAGTTGCGAGCCATGCCGTGGATTTGAGCATAAACATCATTGGCCGAAATTTGGAGTAGCAAAGTAGATGTAGTGATCTGTGGCTAATGATGGCTACTCTAAAATTGAATGATTCCTCTATAGAGGCAGAATAGTGCCAAAACCAACGGTGCGCGCACGTCCAAAAACTTTTCAGTCATGAGACACGACCGTCTACGAAGCTACGAGACCACACTCTAAATATATTCTAATAGTTTTTCCAATGTTGAGTATGAAATACCGTAGTCAACTACTTCATTACAGTCCAATACATGTCGTCTTGAGAGACCTACAAGCGTTTCAGTGGTCCACATCTTAGTTCATCTGCCGTAGTTATACACCTGCACCCTACCTCTTGGCTTTATACGTGGAAGACTTTCCACCAATAAACCTGTCTTTCTTCTTGGCACCTTGAGGACCTTCGCTGGAGGCAGAGTAAGGATCAAAGATGGGTTTTGGCTTTGTTTTATCCTTCTTCCTGGACCTTTCCCTCTTTCCTTCTGAGTCCAAGATGATCTTGTCAAACTTTGAATAGTCCACAGCCTCAGTGTCAGCTTCTTTGCGTTCTCTAAACGGCTGTTCTCTTTTCTTGCGCAAAGTGATGATTTCGTCCTTTTCAGCAGCGGTTTTGGCCTCCAATGGGTCCGAAGACGAAACCGAAGACGGAGCCGCAGATGGTTCTTCAGCTGGGATCTGTGGCTCAACCGAACCTGTCTCTTCAGCAGTGGTCTGTTCTGGCACAACAACAACCTCGTTATCCAGTTCTTTTGCAAGGAATTCTTTGCGACCGTCAAGATCTTCGACCGTATGAGTCACCACTTTACCTCTCTGGGGATACTCCACGGCAAAGGTAGCCTTTTCAGCACCTAGAATTCTGGGCCTCGCACCCATGATTGCGTCCGTTTTGGCATATTCGAGTTTCTGGGCCAGTTTCAGGAACACAGACTCGATTTCGCCCGCATCTTTGAGTTCGACAAAATTACCAGTGGTGTTCTCCGTGTGGGTTTCAACCGGTTCCTCAAATTCTACAGACCCGAGCTTCTCCATATCCTCCAGATCAGACCTGGCCAATGCATCATTAATCAAATCAACCACTTCCTGTTCTCTGGAAAGTACCAGATCGGGAATTTTCTGGTTGACAGAGCGAAGTTCTGTGAGAGTAGTTGGTGCTTTCAAAGCCAACTCAGCCAGAAGAGCCGAAGACATCACGAAAGCCACAGACTCATCATTCTGCTGTGCAACGGACTTCCTCCACTGATAAAGACTCTTGAAGACTTCTTCCTTCGCCCGTGGAACACCCAAACGGCCCATCTGACCTCCCCACGGCCGCTCACGATACTGTGCTGCGGTGTCGTACGAGAAACCATTACCAGCACTAAGCTCCAAAGGCTTGAAATCAGGATATTCAAACCGCTGGGCAGCAACCTTTCGGGAGGCAGCCAACACCTCGGACATCTTGCCGTTCTCAAGCAACATGTTCCGGAGGTTGTCATAGACATACAGCAAGAAATGGGTGTCAGAACGGGCATATTCCTTCATAATATCGGTGAGTGGTCTGAGTCTCCAGTCAGCACGCTGGTAAACCTTGGATGTGCGGAATTTGGCAAATCTTTCCAGAAGGTAGCTGAGACCGCGCTGGGGGAAACCCAATGCAACACACGCATGGTAAGTGTCGAACATACTCACCACGTACACCCCAAAATCGCGCTGGAGCCAGTGTGTGTCCATGAAGGCACCATGGAAAACCTTAACAATCTTTGGGTCAGCAGTGACCTCGTTCAAGATGTGCAACTCTCTCCAGAGAGCCAATGGGTCTATCAGCCAATCCTGGTCCCGGTTGGAGATCTGGATCAGGCATGTAAGACCTCTATAAGTGCGGAAATCATGATGTTCTAGATCAACTGCAATAGCAGCCTCGTTCTTAAGAGTATCCACCATCTGGCGGAGCAACTCTGGAGTATCGACCCAGATGGCAGTGGTTTCGGCCCAGGGCTTAGCATCAATAGGAACCGATTTCCGCAATATCGCTTCTGGATACTCCTGGTTCATGATCTCAAATGCATATGGTTGCTCGTAGTGTTGAGGGGTGACCAATATTTCGGACTGAGACACCTCTGAAAACACGTACTCTGGATCCACCAAAGCAGTGTTCAACGGATGGATAGCGTGCGGCTTGGTTGGTAGAAGCGGCCGGAAAGGCGTTTCTTCGGAATTGTCGATTTCGAATCCAAATTGCTCTTGAGGCTTGTCTCTTCTCCGGGTTAATTTATTAGCCTGGGCATTTCCTGGGTCAAGGTATGTGAAACCATCCTCGGACTCTGTCTCGTTATCTTTGGCTTCATCCGCTGCATCGTAAACCTTCCCCTTCTCGAAGTCATCAAGTGCGATATCGGTCTTCTCAACCAGATCATCGAGAACATCACCAACTAGTCGGGTCAAGTCCAGAATCTCGGCATCGGCAGAAAGGGTAACAGACTCTTTGTCTGCTGTCGAGAGATCCACCAGCCGCTGCGCCAATTCGAGAATGAGGCCACTAGAAGCATCCGCCGAAGAACTAACTTGAGGATCCAGAGCCTTGTAAAACTTCACATCTTTGGCTGCCAATCCGGCCGCTGGACGGATCACATTGGCCAGCTTCGGCGCCACGGTCTCAAGAGAGATGTGGGATTGGTTATGCTGCGGCATGGGCTTCAACTTTCGACCCAGGGACACTAACGCGGGACGGGTTCGGGAAAACACCTTTCGAAGCAAGCAAATCGGAGAGTCTGACAACAAAGAGAATAGAAAAAACTCAGGGGAGACGACTGCGCTTGTTGATATAAACAGGTGTTTGCCTTAGAGGGTGTTTAAGTGATTTTTTTTCAGAGGGCATCTGGCATCTGCCATGTAATGAAGGGTAAATTACTTGCGGCGCAAAACCCAGCAATCCACGACTCACCTTTTCCTGTTTTGCTTATTATCAGCAATATCTTTGCTAACAGGTATCAACTTTTGCCGTTAAAGACACTTCGAATAGCATATTGGGCCCGTTTTTACAATCAGTGTAAACTTGAGTTGCCTAGCAAAATATAAATGACGAGACCAGCCCAGAGACCGAGGCTAATGACCCAAGACCATTACAACAAACTGCTGGTTGTGAGTTTGCCATTGCAGAGGCATGCTCAATATAAGAAAAAAGATGGGCCAGAAACCCTTGGAATAAGCATGCTTTTTCTGTCACGGCATAAACAAGTATTGAGATTCTCTGGATATTCATGCATGCCATGAATAGATTACGAGTACAGATTTTCGAAACCTGCCTGGAACAGCGCCAGTGTCAAAGCTCTACATTTCATCTAGAAGAAGGGTATTTGTTATTCTGCTCTTATACAATGTGGAAACCACATGAGCAGATGAACAGACATAAAAACAAAACGGGTATAAGTTGGCTAAAAAACCAGCCCACGTTGGGCAAGAAACGAAAGTAATCGGAAAGAAAGGAGAGAAGTCGAAGTCCCAAGCAAAATAAGATCATTTATAGCAAGGAGGGCGTTTCGAGAAATCCGGGCCATGGTGCGCTTAATAGAAGACGATCTTGGCAGAACCAGAGGTAACGGTCACAGTGCAACCGTCGGTGGTGTCTCCAGAAAAGACACCGTCGATGTAGGTACAGTCACCGTTCATGGAGGAGCCATCCGTGGCAACAATTTTCACGCTGTAGTTAGGAGCGTCACTGTTGTTTGGGTTAGGGATCAGCGACAGGTAAGTGTTACCGTTGGTGTAACCGGCACCAACGACGAGAGGAGCCCAGTTACCGACAGTGCCACTGTCATCACCCCAGATACATCCGTCTTCAACGGAAACACCCTTGTTGTTGACGTAGTACTGGGTGGAGGTCTTCTTTCCCTGCCATTGGTAGTACGAGTCCTCGTCAACGACGGAGAGAGGAGCAGAAGAACCAGCATCCAACTGAGTTGGAACACACATGTTCTCGGAACCAGGGTAGTCGGTACGGCAGATAGCAATGACATCATCAACCTCAGAGACAGCCTTGGCAGTCTCCTTACCCCAAGAACAAAGATAGTCGGAGTCGGAGTTGGACTTGTAAAGATAACCGTCCTTACAGTAAAGACCACCAACAGAAATTCCGTTAGATGGTTGCTCAGAAGGCCACTGAGTCTTGGACATACCGGCCTGACAGGCATACGAGCAGTAGTAACCATCCTCACAGCTGGAGGAGGTGTCACCGTTCTCGTTCATGACAGAGGCCCATCCGCCAAATCCAAGCCATTCCAGAGGAACAACACCGTTTCCGGATGGGAAGTCCGAACACTTGATGGTTCCATCCTCGAACTTTTCAGTTGGGTCGGAGAAATCAGAAAGATCTCCCGAGATGGAAGATGACGAGGAGGATGTCTTGGTGGAGGCAGAGGAAGAGGAAGAGGAAGTCGACGAAACCTCTGCCGACTCAGTCGAAGAAGAAGCCTCCTCAGTCGAAGAAGCCTCGGCAGTAGACGAGGTCTCGGTAGAAGAGGTCGACTTGGTCGAGATGGTGACGGCAGCAGAAGACGAAGCCTCAATGGTCGAGGTTGGAGAACCAGAGTCAACGGTGTTTCCGCTACCGTCAACGACGATTGTCTGGGTCACAACGACAACCTTAGCGTCTCTCTTGTGGAGGTGGTGACGGTGGTTCAAAGGAGCAGCAGCTACCAGCGACGCAACGGCCAAAGTGTTAAGGATAGAAGTAGTTCTCATTTTGTGTCAACGAAGGTGTGGGTATTCGAGAAAAAGGCTCTTTGCGAGTTTCTTAAGGTCAGAAAGGAATGTAGATAGAGTCGATGGCTAAGCAAAGGCTCTGTTGGAAAGTTGACCTGTTTCAAATGAACGTGATTGGCAAGTGCTTCTTTGGAGACGAAAGCTTTTAGCTGTAGAAAATTTATCCGGGCAGGCTAAGGTTGATATAAGAGGAGGGAGAGGGGGCGAAGGGCCAGTAACAAGGCAGCGAGGCCAATTAGACCCAAAGAAGCATCTTGCCGCTCCTAATGCTGGATCGCTAAAATTTTTTCGGTATCCGAGGGTACCTAGATCTGCCTCCGGTGCCCAGTCGGAACATACCGGCAGAAACAGGGCAAGATTTTACCAATAACCGCACGACCTTCTGCTACAAGGCCTGCAATTCCAACGCTCTAGACGACAATAGGCCATTTTAGGTTTTATGCACGGGTACAGCCGGGGGTGATTCCGACCTTTGTTCGAGGATAAATACGGTCCGCCGTAAGTGAATGTTCAGGCACGCCGGAGGTACTCCCCTGAAGAGTTTGCAGTCCGGTCGAAGAGGTCTAGGCTGCCGCAGGCGTTATTATGCGCACATATGAAGAAACTAAGCGAAAAGAAAATAGCGCGAGACCTAAAAAAACAAAGTAAAAAAACGGCTTTGAGCGACCAGGCGGCAATTTGATTGTAAGCTGGAAAGATCCCAGAGAGGTGGGAGACACTGAGCATCTACGTAGAAAATATGACTGGTTAGTTATCGAAAGTCTTTTAGGGCGATTGTGATCCCTTGACTGGACCAGTCACATTACGCAGTCAAATGCAAAGTGCTCATTCAGCGAGCCATGACTGGCTAGCGAGTGCTTAAAATTCAGCAGATGACAAAAGCACTGCAGGGCGCACCCTTAATAACATTAATGGTCTACATTTCGATATTTTAAATGCAATATTTGGGTGGAGTGGAGTGTACAAACTTGGGATCTCGAGGGTGCACCGATTGGCTCGAATCTCAATATTACCCGATTGAGTAAATAGATCGCCGAAGCCTTGTTGAAAGACATTGGCCTGCTCCAACAGCTTTTCGTTTCTTTTTTTCAATCTAGTGCGCGAGCGACATTTTCATTGGCCCAGCCTTTAACTCAAAACTCATCTATGAGGTATTCATCTAGCACAAACTGTCTTTTTGCTTGGCAGTGGTTTTGTAGACTGCAACAATTTTTCACAGCAGCGCACGTAACAAAATCATATTTGTCACCGCACTACCATGGCTAGACTTTCATAAAAATGGCCCTTTCTAGACCCCGGCTCGATTCAACGTATTTCAACTGGAACATATACGATCGCACGGCGTTTACTCGTGCCGAGCTCTAGGCCAAGATCGATCCGCAAACAGTAAAGTCGCGAAATCAAGCAGCTTTGAAACGAAGGCACCAGAGTCTCCTTCACCTTGTCGGGATTGAAAGGAGATTTCAAGGAGAGTCTAACCACATTGCGTTGGACGACCTCGTTGCTCTTGTAGTTTATACGTGTATCCCAGCGGTCTGCTGTGAGATTGGTGGCTAGCACCGTTAGTGGATCGGCAACAATGAGCTTCTTGATCCTGATACTCAACATGGAGTTCAGGTTCTTGATAAGCGGAACACTCAGGCGCAGCCTTTCTGAGCGACGGGCCAGTTCCTGAGAATCTGCAGCAAAAGCTTCTTTTAGTCGTGCCTTGAGCTCATCTGCCTGGGCCTTCGCCGCACTGAACCGCTCGCGATAGTTGCCAAATTCCCTTACCAATTCGTTACCTTTAACGATGGCTGATAGAGAAGACTCTGGGCTTTTGGATGGATCGTTCAGGTAAATCGTTTCTGCCGTTCCGTAGCAGAAATTTGCGTGTTCCAGATCAATTGGTAGCGGGTATTGGGAATCCACCGTAATCGACATCAGATCGACGCTATCAACCGTGATAGAAGGAGGTGTTTGAAGTACATCATTATTGCGTTGATCCGACAGCAAACTGCGGAATTCAACGTTCAAGTCCAGTGTATGATGCTGCCGCTCAGCATTGATTGAGGCAGTCGAGTCGCCGCGTTTGCGTTTTCTTATATCTGAGAGCATTTGCCAAACCGTTTTGTGATTTCTGTCACGGATAAGTCCAATCGCAGTGTAGTAAGCCAGGGTGAAAGGCTCATCTGGTGACGCCAATTTTAAGGCACCAAAAACCCTGCCGTTTCTCTCAAACTCGACAGCAGTAACAAGACGAGACCCAGACTCCTCTTTGAGCTCTGTTTTGTCTTCATCTTCCAGGTAACCTTCGAAAGGATTGGTGATACTGGCAGGCTCGGTCTCTGCTGACTGGAGTTGCTGTCTTGTTCTCACAAGATGTTTCTCCTTGATCTTATCTCCGGTCTCTTTGTCTGAATCTCTTCTAGCCTTTCTTGACTGGTTCGACCTTACTCTCATCAGGTTGGATGTGAGAGATCCTCCGGTCCGCTGGCGAATAACTCCGCTGGCGGCTCTCTGAAGGGCGGAGTTTGCAGAATTTGCAGCCGAAGCAGGAAGCGCAAGAAGCGACAACTCCCTGCCCAGACCTGCAAAGCGCATCCTCTCCTCCTCCACAATACATTCAATCCTGTTAAGCTCTCTTTCAAATAGAACTCTCAAATTCTCTAGACCATGGAACTGGCCAAAAGCTCGGTTTCTTGCTTCCACCAAAGGATCCTGTTCTCTCTTGGCACTCGGCCCACTGTCTCTTGGAACAACACGAAGAAGGAACGTAGCAGTGTTGAGTATCACAAAGTTAGACCGTTCCTTAGACACTGTGGGAAGAGGAACTTGATGGGTCTCGTCGTATAGCAACATTGCCTGTATGGAGTGAGAATCAGGAGCGGAATCCACACGATTCTGGAGCTGCGACCACCCATCATTATAGGCCCTCATGCTCGGTGGATCTCTTGCACCTTCGGAGTTCACGCTCAAGCTATTGACATTGGTATTGCGCTCCATCTCAGCGTCTGCTTTATCATCTTTACCGATAATCACACACTCTAGAGAATAAGATATGGAGTATGAAGAAGAGGTCACATCATTGACCAAAATACCGTCACCACCGCGCAAAAGCTGCGGATCCTCGTCCAGGGCCAGAAGATCAGACTCGTCAATGAAGTGTTTACCCTCATTATATCCGTAGGCCACTGAGCTTAGATCTCGTATGGTAAAGCCAGAAGTTGGAGTACCTCCCATGAACGCAGACATGAGCCCGGAAATACCGAAAGACGGTGGTAGCATTAAGTGCTTAGTCATCTGTTTTCCGCAGACGACGTCCAGAAGTCGTGATGGAATAGTGAAGAGGAATTGTAACTTATAGACCTGGTTAGCACGGAAGATGCGATCAGCCGGTAAACCCAAGTTCACCAGCTTTCCAGTCTTAGCATTATAACGCGTCTCACAGTCTTCGCGCAAAAGACACGATTCCAGATCTACCATGTTGAGGAATTCAAGAGTGGTCTTCTCACCGAGCTTCTTGACCACATTGGTGGTTCCTTTAAGTGAAATGGAAACCATCTCAAAAGGAATGTCCTCCTTGGAATTGTTAGTCACGAGCAAAAACCCGGAAACGAGGTCTCCCAGATTGTACTCCTTGACTCCGTAAACGGAATCATCGTGATCCACAACGTATATCTGCATTTTGAGCAGGGTGTTTCCAATGTTCTGGAGAAGTCCCAAATTCTTTAGAATGGACTCACGTTCGGTCTCAAAATCAGCGTAATAAGCAGGGTTCGTACCTGCACTTCTATTGGTCAATGTCCGCCTGACAGTCCGAGTAGAAGCTGAGTCTTCCTCGGAGACAGAAGACGACGCCGAGAATCGCCTACTGGCTTGGGATGTGGCAGTTGCAGTTCGCGTTAGCATACTCCCAAAAGTTCGTCGCTGATTCGAGTCTCGTCTCTGGTTTCCCGTTGAGGGTCGTAGTCTCAGATCGTCCAATATTCGGCCGAGGTCGTTGAAACTCTGACGCCTCGTCGTGGTGGGAGACTCTGGAGGGCTTTCGGCTTCTCCATCTCCAGCTTCGTCTTCAAAAACCGCAGCATAGGCATTGAGGGAATCATCAAAAGTGACCCTATTGTGAGTCCGAGGAGCTGTCGGGTTGCAGTTACGGAACGGCGGAGGATTATGTGGATGATTGTCCTCTATCAGTTGACGGTTGATGTAGAACTGGTGCATTTGGAAACTGGGAAGCTTATCCGCTTCCTGAAGTCGAGAGTGAGCATTGCTCTGGTATGTTGAAAATGAAGTCGCCGAAGATCGGCTATTCGTGGGTTCTTGTTGCATGCTGTGGTATCTGTAAGTGGATGGGGCAATGTATGGTTTAATGATAGCGAAGTATCAGATATGCAATTGAAATTTTTTCTTCGTTTAACGAAACTCTTTGGTAGCCCTCTTACAACCCTCTTCGGATCCAAGAACGAAAAAATCGCTTTGAAGACCTTGTTTCTGCCTTGTTTCAATGTAGATATCCGGGTTCAACGAATACCACAAATCGAGTACCACACCAATCGAGTAGATGAGGCAATGAAATTGCTGGTTAAGAGGCTTGTTAGAGTCTATGAGTACTCTCAAGTCTCTCTTGACTCTCTCAGCTTTGTTGTATCTTGTTTCAGTATACCTTTTGTCTCAATTTTCGTATCGTTGTTCACCTCCTTGAAAGCTTCTTCCTCACTGAAAAGTTGTAAGCCAACACAATTCTCAGCACTCCTTTATATATATAACACACGGGGTTGCCACCCAATATTTTAACGCGATGTAGATCAGATTATCAGGGAAGAGAAGAGAAGAGAAACGACCGTTAAGTTGTGGACAGAGAAGTTTCCCCTCACGGCCTCCGTATGGCAATAGCGTTCCGATTTAGACTTGTATGCACAATAGCAGGGCCGTTACGGGTTAGACTTTGGGGCTACAATAGGAAAGAGAAAAACGGAATTTTTTTACAGAAATCACAAGGATTTAAAGCTGAAAATAAAAACAAAAACATCCGATTTATTTATAATCCAAAGTTTTAGCTCGAGTTTCGAAGTGTTGGATGATTCTACGCTGTAAATTGCACGATCGGGAACGCGGTACGATGAATATTAGCCCGCAACAGGGATGGCCTACGGGCCGCAAACCGGGGATAAAATATCGAGGATCCTACGCCGACGTCACCACTCGGGCAATTATTGGTGGCGGATAACTAACTGTTTAGTCAACCTAGTTGCAGAAATAAGGTCTATACAGGGTCTATTCGCCGCCATCTATGACCTAATCGGTAGCTCAATGCCGTTGCAACTCCTTACTTCGCCTCCCACATCTGAAGCCAATTGACCGTGTGGCTCTGTAATCGCATCGAGGAAGAGAAGATGATCGGAAATTTAGCCGGGCACATCTGGTGGGTACACGACAAATGATAAGGACGGGTTCATCATTGTCTATTTTTCAGCCTCTGTTATCAAGCTCCAGTGAGAGAACATTTTGTTGAATTTGATATTTTTGTTCTTTGTATTGTTCATTTTGCATGGTAATTCACTCTGTGAGAGCGCGGGCGCACTTAAAATCACGATATGGCACAAAAGTGAAGACAATCGGTGCAGGGATCGGTGGAACAGTTGACTTATACCAAGCTCGCGATAAATACGTTGCCATCAAGATATTTGACGACCGCGAAAGCTACGAGTCTGGAAATGAATATGAGTCACGTGTGACTGCTGAATACACACTTCTGCAAAAGCTCGATCACCCCAATATCCTCAGGGTGGTGGAATGTGTGGTATCACTTCCTCGGCGACGGAAAGTCTACTTGGCCATGGAATTTTACCCTTTGGCATTTCATGATTTGATAATGCAGAAATCAACTCCTCAGGACGATCTGTTGTGTTACTGGAGCCAGATCTTGGAAGGAGTTGCTTATCTGCACTCATGCGGCGTGGCACACCGTGATCTCAAGTTTGACAACGTCGCAGTCGATGCCACTGGAACAATCAAGCTGATCGACTTTGGAGCTGCCACGTGCAATCCTGTGGCCTATGGAATGTGTGGCTCAGAGTCCTTCCAGGCCCCAGAGGCATTCTCCAAGATATCATACTCTCCGATACCAACAGACATCTGGAGTCTTGGCATCATTTTGTACCACATCCTAGCCGGCAAATTTCCCTGGCAGGCTGCAAGACGCGCAGACCCTGACTTTGCAGCCTTTCTGGAGTCCAATATTGTCGGTTTTGATACAGAACACGAAGCCCAGAATTTGGTGCGCGCGTGCCTTGAGATTGATCCGGAGATTCGAGTGTTGACAGCAGCACTCCTAGAACATCCGCTACTGGACAAGCTTCCTTGTTGCTCCAAAAATACACATAGAAAACATCAACTGTAGAAATGACCGTCATGACCTCACCTTCTTCAGCCGTAGCCCGAATCGGGTAATTGACCCGGATCGAAGGAGAATCTGCTTACATAAGCGCATAACATGTTTAATGCACTACTTCCGGAAAATTACAGCTGTTGTCTCCTGTCGCTAGAACAATCCTGTCATAAGACCCTGTCGTAATACCAGCGGTTTCTTGTATCTCTTTTTCTCAAAGGAAGAGAAAGATCCCCGGAAAAACTCCATTAGCATTCTTTGCGAACTCTCGCGTCTTTCTGTATCGAATCCCGTGACTGTCGTCTGTTTGTGCCGCCATTGCTGCTTCCATAGTCTTCCGGGACACCATAGAAGAGCTAGACGTCCAAACAAGGCCTGGGTTGCGAAGCTGATCACATAAACTCCAAATTTGAAGAAAGGAGATTGGCGCTTTTCCTGGATACGCTGCACATATTTTGATTTCGTTTCTTTCCGTGTCAAGCTCTTGACTCTTTCCTCCTCCTCCATCATACATCATGCCCAAACATAAGAAACCGCGCCAGACTGCCCTCTTCGACATCAGAATCACCTCCCTTGATAGCGATGTGTTGGTACTGAAGGGCCCACCTTCGGAAGCCCCATCTGCAATGCTGTCAGGTGTGGTGGTGCTGTCTGTGCTGGAACCCATGGCTATCAAGAGATTGAACCTCAAGCTATATGCAAACCTGAAGTTGCGATGGACTGAATCATTTCAGGGAAGCCGCGGAATCGTGTCACGTCCGATGAGATATAACCGCAGAATGTTTGATTTTGAATGGGATCCGCTGAATCTGGCTGACTACTTTCGGGGTTCCGCAAATTCAATGTTCGATGGAACCATGCCCAGTTTGACTACCGGCAAAATCTCTCGCTCCAACAACTCGTCATCGGCTTCGCTGAACAATCTGGCTAAGCGCTCAAAGTCTTCAACTAGCATGGCTTCGTTTGCCAACCTTTCTTCGCTTGGAGGTGGCTCGAAAACGGACAGCTATATTCTTCAGAAGGGTAACTACGAGTTCCCATTCTCTACGATCCTCGAGGGCTCCATTCCAGAGTCTATCGAGGGTTTACCAGGATGTTCTTTGGTGTATAAGATGCAGGCAGTTATTGAGAGAGACCGTTCTCATCCATCTCTTCTCACTACAAAACACATCCGTGTTGTGAGAACGCTTTCTTCCGATGCTCCGGAACTTTCCGAAAGTGTTGCTGTTGACAACACATGGCCCAAGAAGGTGGATTATTCCATCAGCGTTCCTACTCGTGCCTCGGCTATTGGCTCAAGATGCAACATTGAACTGTTGATGGTGCCATTGCTCAAAGGCCTTCGATTAGGAAACGTCAAGATTCAACTTGTGGAGCTTTACAGTTACTGTGGAACTCTTGGTTCTCACACCGCAGAGAGGACTGTTCAGGAGAAGGTTCTCAAAAGAGTTACCAATAATGACGATGGAAAGGACATTTGGACCGAAGTTGAGCCCAATATCGATGGACAGTTTTTCAACAACGGCGAGATTTCGCTGTCTATGGACAAATGGCAGGTAAACACATTTCTGCAGCTTTTGCCCTCTTTGGCAGTCCAAACTCAGGATTGTGACGTTGAGAACTTTGTAAAAGTCAGACACAAGCTTAAGTTTGGAATTGGCCTGGTCAATCCGGACGGTCACGTCTCTGAACTAAGGGCAACGCTGCCTGTTTCGCTATTTGTGAGTCCTTTCGTGGCAGTAGTCGCCAAACATGATGTCGAGGAAGAGTCTGGAAAGGTTGTCAACGTGGAAGACGTTACTGTGGCCATTGACCAAGATGAGGACATTTTGTTTTCTGCGGATCATGATTTTTCCGCATCATCCGAGAATATTGGCTCCGCAGTTAACACCCAAGACCTCATGGCTCCTCCAAATTACCAGGATCACATCTACGACAGACTTTGGAGCGAAGTGCAATCTCCAGTGGATTCGCCCACCAATTCGGGATCTGCGACTCCAACAGTCCTTGAGAATCTGTCGACTTCTTTGCCAAACGGCAGTTCTGCGTCATTGGCTATTGCTGCACACAAACTCAGAGGTGTTGCTCATGTTGGAGAATTCAACATGTCGCCAGCAGATTCTTCCCGGTTCAGCAGTCAGCTTTTGGAGAATTTAACACGACTTCATTCACAGAGAGAAGGTAGTTCTTCTGCCAGTCTTGAAAGAAGCGCAAGAACTCCGAACCGTCCAACTTTTAGTCTCAGCGACGATCAAGAAGTTGACTACTTCTCTTACGGAGGAAGCTCCTCCAGTGACCATCATGCACAACAACAGCAATCGACTCAGCCCCAGATTGGCGGCTTTAGCATGTCGCGGGGAAGCACTCCTGGTGCAAGTTTACCACCTCCCTTAATGTCTCCCAATATCTATTCGCCAGTCCAACATCTCTCGCGCGTCAATTCAACCGCAAACTTTGGAGACACTAGCACAGGAACTCACTCTCCATCTCACTGGGATACCACTACTCTTTCTCGTGTTCCCTCCTACAACGCGGCGCTCAAGTCGTCTTCTGCAAACCCAGTTAATGAGCTCACTCCGTCTTATGAACCAGGCCCACAGCAACTCAACATCGATTATCTCGATCACAAGCTGAGACAGACTCAGTTGGACGAGGATCGCGCCGCACACGCCTCGACTTCTCCAGTTAGACAATCTATTAATCGTGGAGCTCTGATTGGAACGCAAACGGGAAGTTCTAGAACCCGCGAGTCACACATTCTCAGTGCAGACCTCGCCAAATCTAGAGGATCGTCTTCAAACTCGTCGCCAGCCATTTCTAGAAACCAATCGACCTCCAACGTGCTTGCGATGTCGATGTCTATGACCAAAGTTGTGCCAACCTCTAAGAAGTCTGCTAGCGCCTCTACCTCTCATAGTTCTTCTGCCTCTCCACACTTGACAGCACAAGACGGTTCTGAGACTGAATCGACTGCTGGATTGCCGCTACTGGCTTCAAGTGACTCGAGAACTACGTTTTCGAGTACCCAAACTACCGAGAATAACATGGTTCTTCCAAAAGCAGCTCACATCCATTCGCCAACCAGTATGACCCCAATTGGGTACACAGAGGCACCAAGACTGACATCCCAGAAGACATCCGGTTCAATAAGTTCGGCCAACCCCAAGCTTAGGCCGGTTCTTGGTTCAAAACACAGTTTTTCGTCGCCCAAGAAGACAGGCAGTTTCGCGAGCTTGAGTCATCTTTTGCATCGAAAAGAGGGTAATAAGTGATTAATAGCGAAAAGGTGCGAGCATAGATATGACATTATATAGTTAAATTTACAGACTGAAAGCGTTAATCCCTATAATAAAGGATGGTCCCTCGTGATTCTTCGGAAAGCAAGTATGATATCCAAGTAGTGTGTTAATGAAATGGTCACGTGATATGCCAATTTCCAGCGGTTTTGCGTAGCCCCAATTGGTCTTAAATGGCATGATATACCAATTTAAAGGTATATTAGGATAGGCAACACTTGAGCTTATTTGGCACACATATGTTGATCCGCCTTCATTCCAGTTGAATGACGATATTTCAACAATGATTGGAGTGGGCACATTTATATTTGAAAGCACACGACCTAAAACATCATCACCTAGCTCTACGTAGTCCTAACATAAGCCGCTTTGAACTTTCTGATAGACGTAACAACCTATTCGAAACCCCATTGGAATTTCATAGACTATCACAATGTTCCGAGATAGAACCAATTTGTACATCTCATACCGCAGAACATACCCGCACCGCACACCTCCTAGCAGATTCGACCTAGCAGATGATGAGGAGAGGGGGCTTATTGGTGGCAACGAGTATCGCGACGAGGTGGACGAATTGGATGAATTGAACGGCGGAATTGAAATGCGTCAACTCCCTCCTTCATTGACAGAGGTGTCTATGGAAGTTGAAGCGATTTTGAGTGGAATTGAGGCGAGGGTCTCGGAGTTAGGCTACCTCTATAAGAAGAACATCTTACCTGGGTTCAACGACACGTCTGCAGAAGATCAAAAAATCGATGATTTGACGTTTGGGATCACACGCGATTTCCAGCGTGCTTATTCTGCCATAAAAAACTTTGAGATGATCAAAATACAATTTGGAAGCCAATTGAAGAACGATGAGCTAATGATGTGCGACAACATGAAACGCAATCTTGCTTTGAAGACACAGACGTTGTCCAAAAACTTCAGGCGTCTTCAGAACAACTACATCAAGTTCTTGAAAGAGGACGATTACGAAAATTTTGGTTCTTTGCCAACCACACAGGCATCTGGCTTGGAGGAGACAGACTCTTCTGCCCAAATAGAGTCTTATTCGCGAGAGGCTATGAAGCAATCTCAGCAACAACTTCAGCAGCAGCAGCAGGAAGGATCCCAGAATACAATAACGGATGAATTCATAGAGCAGCGAGAACGCGAGATTTTCCGTATTGCCCAGGGAGTGATTGAGGTATCGACGATCTTCAAAGAACTCGAGAACATGGTGATAGACCAGGGTACAATTCTGGACAGAATAGATTACAATCTGGCGAACACAGTGGTCCATATGAAGGAAGCAGATAAGCAGTTGCAGAAGGGTGAGAAGTACCAGAAGAACACGGCAAAGTGCAAGATCATCATGTTGCTGTGTTTGCTAGTGTTTTTGCTGTTGATGGTAGTGGTGAGTCGTCCAAGTCGGACGGATCATTATGTGCATGATGGCAATAGTGGAACTTCCTCCGGTAGCAATTCTCCAGATACGGATGTTGCAGATGGTGATGCCACAGATGGTGATGCCACAGTGGTTTCAGGAAACCCAGAAGACCTTCCGGAAGATATCACGAAGTCGCCGAATGCTGATACGGTGGAAGGGACAGATACGTCTATGGGTTTGTTGTAAGACTCAGGAGATTATGGCGACTCGCGAGGCTACGACAATTACTCTGAGTCAAGGAAATTGTAAGTTGAATAATTACGAAACAAATACATGCGGCATGAACTGAATACACGGAACGGAACGATTCAAACTTGAGAAAAACAGCGTCGGATAAAAACAGAGAGAAAGAACAAAAAGAACACCTTTTTTGTTGAGATCGGGCCGGTTGGAGGATGAGAAAAGAAAACAAGTTGGTCAAAGTTCGAGGCAATTCACAGCTTCAAAACTGATTTCCATAAGCTGGATACCCACTTCCAGATGAACGCCTTCCATAGTTGGTTCCACCTGGAGCAGCACCTGGAGCTCTACCGGCTTGGGCTTGGGCTAGAATACCGTACTTTCTCTTGCCACGGGTGCCTGTGACTGAAAAATCGGGGTTGTTGTTTAGCAGCGAATCTGAAATGGTATTTCTGGGCTTTGGAGGGGCTGGAGCTGCCTGTGGGGCCATCATTGGGTAGTTCTGTTGTGACATTCCCGAGCTGTAGCCCGAATTGTATGGGTTATACGCTGGTCTTTGCTGAGCAGGAGGTCCCTGAAGTACCGGCGAGTTAGTGGGGTAGTATGATGCACTGTGTGGGAAAGCTCCTTGCTGCGGCACCGGCACCGGCACCTGCTGCGCTGAATATCCTTGCTGGGGCGCAGTCTGCTGGAACGGAGGATGCTGCTGAGGCTGCTGTTGTGGGGCTGGGGCCTGGTAGTAGCGCGGGTTCACAGCCCGCTGCGAAACACTTGTGAAGTCAGATTCATCGTCTGCAATGATATCCTGACCGTCTGGCGAGACTGTAGGCTTTGTAGTGTCAACGATATCTACATCCTCGGCAAGATCAAGATCCGGATCGTTGTAAGTGTCGTATGGGTTCGCTATTTGCGGGATCAACGCCTTTGGCTGCTCTGATACAAGCGAAGTGGATGATCCTGCATTCAGAGGAACTCGCGGTTGTTGTTGGAGCGGATTGGAGTTGGTGGATCTAGTCTCTGGATCATAACCACGATTGTCGAATCTGAGACCTGAGTTACCGGCATTAGTCGGTCTTTGAGCAAATGGGTTCGTTTCCAGAGTAGCAGCAGAAGCGGGAGCTACCGCTGTTCCGGTGACAACACCAACTGTGGTCTCGTATTTATTCAAATGGTTGAAAGAACTGGAGCTCTGGTTATAGAAAGTTCCCGAGGACTGGTATGGATTAGAGAAATCGTTCAAAGACTTTTTCTCCTCTGAAGAATTCAGCGATTTTGCTGTCGCCGGCCCTTTGAAGCCAGTGCCAGTGAAGGTAGAGGCGTCATAGGACTTGTCCAAAAGATCCATTCTGTGGCCCTCCATAGGATCCATGCTGGTGAGATCATTGCTGGACTCATCTGGCGAAAGCTTCATTGCCAAAAACGCAAACACGATTGACGCAAGCGACAAGACTCCTGAACCAATAAGAAGCCAACCAGGCCATTTCATATGAGGCCAGAAGAGCAGAAAGACAACGATACATACAAGTGCAGAGGCCAGAAATGCAATCACCGTAGAGATCACCACAATCCCCCAATATGCACCGGCAGTGGTACAGCGGCGGATGTGACCCAGTGCGAGCGTAATCACTGAAATCAAACACAAACCAGCCGCGACTGGCGTTACAATCAGGATCTCTGCAAGCTTGTCACGGGCATTGTCGTTCATCTTCCAATCGGAACCGGATCCGATTTCAGACGGCTTGTAGGAAGCAGCTGCTTTGGAGCAGTTTCCCGTTGAGATTTTGCAATATCCAAAGACTCCATAGCGATAATTTGAGTACTCTGAAAGAGCCAGGCTCTTGGTCACCGGTACCGTCAAGACGGCTATCAACAAAAACGCAAATGCAACAGTTTGCGTCACCAAAGCCACGGTGTGAATACCGAAGGCCATTGGATAGAATCAGTGCCTGATTTGACAATGGACAATGAGTGTAGGTGAATCAGTGAAGCAAGCGAAAGTTTCACCCTTGGAAGCAGATATAAATAGACGCGTATCGAAGAAGAATTCAGCCGGTCAAAAAGACGTGGTAGAAAAAGAATAACTCGAAGAAAAGCGTGTTTTGAGCCAAACCAGATTACGGCAATTCAGATAATCAATGAGCAAAACCGCAAGAGCGAACGAATCAGAAATAAGGTGGTTAGGAAGAAAACAACCACAGGCCACATATTGGGGATAGAGGGCTGAGTGCAGCGTGTACCACCCCCGAAGTGGAAGTGCACGGCCACCGTGTCTGAGCCACCGCGCGGGGCTTGAATGCACGTGATGTGAGGAAACAATTTTGGGTGGGAATTTATGGTAGTCACGTGACAATGCAAGATTATGCTAGATAAGCCCGTTTTCATGTCACAGAGTAGTCAACCGTACAACTGCAAGTGGTCATTTTGGGTGAAATTCTCAGTTAAAGCTCTCTAACTTTTCTATTCAAGCTAATCAAATAATCAAACATTCAATGTTTTGTCATACAGCGCCGCACCCCGGCTCATCTTGTGTTGATGTACCATGGTCCGGGCACCATTAGAATGTACCGCTCCATGGCCTCTCTAAACCGATTCTTATACTGCTTCGGAGTGATAACGGTAGGCTCCTTTCCAGCACCACCACCACCAACGAGTCCTTTTTCCTTCACCCAACTCTCAAGCTTCTTGTCCCATGTGAATGTGCGAATACAATCAATGATACCCACCACCAGCTCGTTATTGTCTGCGTCGATTCCTATCACCAGCGAGTAGTCCATAACGTTCATCTTGGCCAGGAAAAGGGTATCATTCCAAAGAGAGGCTCGAAGAACCTTTTTGGCATGCTCACGTACAAACAAGGGCGACTCGTAAATGTACTCGACCATGTTTTCGTCCAACAACACCTCATTCTCTTTACCAGTCTGTTCAACATGACGATTACGCATGGAACCCTTCAAATCAAAGATTCGGGAGGTTTTGCGGTCATAGAAGAGATTCTCCATTATAAGAACATCCATGGTAAAACTGCGGCCATCGGCTGGATTCTTGATCTGAATTTGATAAAACCCGAAGATTTTGGCGAGAACTGTAGGTAGGTCATGGAAGAGAGCCTGCGCAAAGTACTCAAAATAGCTGGGTGCAAATCTCACAAAAGCATCAAGCTCGACAGAACTCAGTTCCTTTATTATGAAACGATCATCAAGTGTTTTCAGAAAAGCAGAGCCTGATTTTCCACCAGTGGAGTCCCACTTGACACAACGTGAGAGACTCTGGATGAAATTCTCATCGCAGCCACAATGCCTGCGGAAGGCATCAAACTGTTCTGCAAAAAATATTTTGCACGAAAGTGTGGAAATTCCTTCCTGGAACTGATACTTGAGATGGATTCCCGTCTTTTTGAGCATGGTGGTTTCTGCCTCGCAGCGAGACTCGTTGGAATTTTCAGAGCGAACAGACTTGATTTCCCCAGACTCGGAAGCAGTTGCTGCCTCCGAATCACATTCAGCAGATCTGGCCTCTTGCTGAGTTCTCATTAAAGAAAGTTTTGAGACGTAGTCAGAAGAGCTCAAGCAGAAAGCAATCAGGGAACTGGGTTCGTCCTCACGTACAATGACATCAGAGTCCACGAAGATGTGCTCCGAAGGCAACAGCGGATAGTCCAATGGTTTCCACAAAGTAGCAGACCGATCAGCCCAGAAATGTGCCAATGTCTTCATCAGCGACGTCTTCTCCTGTTCTATTGGCCCAGAGACAGAATCTTTCTTGACAGCCTCCTCTGCCGTCTTCGGAACGTTCATCTCTGGCGAGTCCTCAGAAGGACGATGGAGTCCAGCTGGTCTGATTTCTTCACCGACAGCATCCTGAACATTCTCAAACACTTTTACTAGCGGCTTAGATGCTCCAACAGGCATAGCTCTGTTTCTGTGCCTGTCCATCTTTCGTCTGTCAAGCTCTCTTTGCATCTCAAAAGCTTTGGAAAGTTCTTGGAAATTGAGCTCTTCAAACTGGTCAGTCAGTTTCTTGACCTTTCCTGGCAAACCTGGCTCAGCTTCGAGACCCAGTTTGCTGATCCCGTCTCTGGTCTTACTGCCTACCATACTGGCAGATCTTCCTCGGAGCATTTCGTGTTCAAACTCCGTGTTCAGCGGAATTGGCATTTTGAAAGCCGGTTGGATTCCAAGAGTAGGTAATGTTCCTGTTGAACTGGTGAAATGCCTGATTCCAGAAGGTCTAAAAGCTTTTGTAGGTGACGCTGAGGGACTAACTGGAAGACTAGGGCTGGAAATCTGCGATAGAGAATGGTCAGAATCGTGTTTTGATTTGGCCTCTATTTGAGACACCTTTTCTAGAACCCCCATTTTTTTGGGCTGAGAAGGCGACCCAATAGTTTCTCTTTGGGCCCTTGAGAGAGGATCTCTATTCAAAATTGACGCTTGATCTTGCTCTCCTTCTAGCTCTAGCTTGTTCTCAGTCCATTTCTCATCAGTATCCTCCATCTTCGGCTTCTCATCCTTCTCTTCTTCCATGTCATCCTTATTATCTGCAAAGAACTTGCGAAGTTGGAAAGCAGTGATTCTCGTGATATCTTTCTCAGTAGGTAGGAAATCCACAATAAATGCTTGGAAAATCTGGTCCCACTCAACGGAAAGCTCCTGAACAGACCTGATCACTGAATTCATCTGAAGATGCTTATCAACCTCTGTAGTGTTGTAGATATTGCGGGCAACAGCGCTGATCTCAGCACGTTCAGCTTCAAGTTTTTCCTTAAGCTCTTCGATCTTCTTCTGTCCAGCTTCCATCTTATCAACAGTCATACTGTCCACCTTCACTCTCGTAAGTCGTTCCAGAACACTGTCAAAGAATTTAGCTGCTTTGGCCTCCACCTGCTCGTAGCTATCCAGTTTGAGCTTAGCCAACATCTCGGGCTTCCACATGATCTTGAAACGAGGTGGAACCAGTTCCAAACACTCAATGGTAGAAAATTCGACTCTCACAGCCAGATTTTCAAGCCCAAAGTAGCGAATATGGTCTCTGTAAAAACTGTGAGGGCATGGGCCATTTACATGCATATCCTGTGACCAGAAGCTGAGCTCAAAATACTTGGCCAACGAGAACTTCCAGGAATTGTCGCTGATTGGAACCACTGGCGTTGTGGTCCTGCATTGCTTGCAATAGCTCCATGTTAAAATGCAGTGTTCCCAGCCGACCAAACGGCACGGTGAACTCTCCACAACCACATCAATTTTGCCAGAAGCGTGCACGTATGACCGATAGTGTTCCTTCAGCTGGAGACCACACCCCTCTGTACAGATATCATTCGCATGGAGACACACATGTTCTATGTATTGTCCCAAACACATGTCAGTGTCCCAGTAGTAGTCCAACTCTTGGATGAACGGACCAATGCAGGGAGTAGCGTTCTTGGTGGAAACCATGCTGTAAAGAACCACCAACGCCTGATGGGTAACGGGGTCCAAAAACTGAGCATTGCGGGTATTCCAAAGTAGTTCCCACTGCCGCATCACTGAGGCGTAGTTTGAATGTAGTAGGACACTCTTTGAGTCTCTGGTGTATTGAACAATCCTGGGTAGATCGTCCAGCCCGTTCGGCAATTTGCTGACATCTATTGTAATGCGCCAGTTTCCGAGGAGATCTATCAGGCGTTTCTTGGTGGTATTAACTTCATTCTGTGGAGCATCCAAGAGGTCTTGCCTGTGTTTTAGATCCAACTCTTTCAGTCGGCTATACTGAAGCTGGAAATCAGCAAAACACTCCTCGTTCTCTGCAATCTGCTTCTCCAAAGCCTGTAGTTTGTAAATAACATAAGGCGCCCGGAATTTCACCCAGGGAGACGTGGAAAGCAGCCTCGTCCCCAATGCGTTCTGGAAATCATGGAAGGTATTGATGGGAGTTTCGTATATGGAAACTTCTGACGTGGTGGGCAAATACTCTGGAACGATCAAGAACTCGTCGCGAAGAAGTGCAGATTCCAGCTTGATGTTGAAGACCACATAAAGCATCAGAATGGCACAGTCCTTGACTTGCCTGAGCAGTTCCATATCTCCACCCCTAATCAAAATCGTGCAACCGCTCTCCGGGGCACAACCCGTCAGAAACAGATACGTTCTCTTGATCTTCTGGAAAACAAACGTCTTCTCCTCGAACATGTCACATTGGCCGAGTTTTGGGTCAGTGGCTAGTTTGTTAATGGAAGTGACGATATTGGCCTCAGTCATCCGAGCTACTCGTTCTATGACCTGTGGTTTCAAATTCATGGCAACCGCAATACCTGCTTTGGCAAGGAGTTCGAGAGCATAGCCATTGACTGAAGACGCAGACAGCACCAAATCTGGTCTTAGAGCGGCAATTCTGCCGACAAGTTTTTTCAGGTACTCCGATTCTTGGTTGATGAGAGGATCCAAAGAAGTGAGTCGCAGCTCTGAACCTTCTTCAAACTCTATGGGAAACGTAATAACGGCAATCCTAGGACTCACTATTCTCCTCTGCATGGACTTAAGAGCCAAAACACTGGCAAAAACAACACCCTCCACAACGGAGGAGTCTTCAATCGAAGCTCCCGGTATTCTCTTCAATTTGATATACTCGGGAATATCAAAGCTCTCGCCGTTTCTGAGATCCGGATTAACCAGGATGATTGGTTTCAGAATCTCAATGAGAACCTTCTGCCATCTTTCCAGCCTCTCCACGTTTCGATCAACCAACAACTGGTGAAGAATACCTTTTGCATGAACCTCGGCAACCGATCTGAATTCCTCGGAAGCTTTGAATAGTTTCTTCGGTGAATCTTCTTCCTCTGCTCCCCCAAAGTTGAACGAACTAGAGGAAAGAGGGAAGACATTATTCATGTCGAACTGCATCGTATTGTTCTGAACCCGCGAGATGCTCTTGCTCATTCGTCTGTTCTTCATTCGGTGAAAGTTATTAGTATTCCTGTGTTTGTGCCTGTACGTTCTCGCCTGACGATCTGAAAGAGATGAACCGCTGAAGATCCTCGAAGAGCTTCTTCCGGTCTGCATCAGATTGGATGATGATCCCATCATCAACGAGGAATAAGCCTCCATGGTCTGTTCTCCGTCGCTCCGCTCGGAATCATCATCAGCATCGTCTATCATTGATAAGTTTGCATTGCTCATAGCATCTTCGTTCGTCGAGAACGGCGATTTTTCCGCTCTCAGGTCGTTTACAGGCGTGGGGGTGCCTGAGCTGTTTGTCTCGGTGCTCGTTGATGTGTATGGCTGGAAGAACTTGAATCCGGCACCAGAGTCGTCTCTGTGTCTCGTGCCAGAGTTGAACCCTCCGTTCGGATTCGCGGTATCGTTGAAAGCATTTTGGCCATGGCGATGGGTCGAATACATGGTTCCTGATCGTGTGACTCTTCCGTTGGTCGAGCTGTGGACTGAGCCCCCACGATGGAGCCCACCCACGTCAATTTCAACAGACTCACCCTTTCTGGTAGCAGGAATAGCGAGCATCGGAGGTGGTTTTGGCGGAGCACCAGTTCCAGCCTGGCTGGAGGAGTTTAGAAACATCTCCTTCGTGCTCAGCTGGTCTGGAAGGGACGGGGTCATTGACCTCGGTCTCATAGTAGAATCATGACTCTTTATAGGCCGTATAACGGTCATACTATTGTTCGTATCATCAGCCACAGACTCGTCACTTGAAGCGGCCGCGTCGTCGTATTGGTCTGCAAATTTGAGACAGTTATGGCACACTCTCATCTTGCCGGTGTAGTTGAACTTCTCCCCCGGAATGAACAAAGTACAGTTTCCGCAAAAGATCTTGCCACAAATACGGCAATGGTGTCTTCTTCTGAAGGTGTTGAAGTTCTTCTCACAAGATCCACAACTTACTGCAGAAGAGTCTTCTAACCAGTACTCTTTGCCCAAACCCGAAGTGCCTCTTTTGGCTGAGAGGTTTGACAAAAAGTTCAGCGTGAAATCACTCGATATCGACTCAGAGTCAAACACGGCGTTACTTCCCCTTGCTGCTCCAAAACTCCCGATGCTTGTATTGGGGTCTCCAGGGAAGCTCATCATGGAGCCAGAAATACTCGGCACTCTTCTGATAAGGCCCCTTCGGCTCTTTACCCCGTACACCGAAGCATTTGTAGTGTCTAAAGAAGGCTTAGTTTGAGGGTCAACGAGTATCTTGGTGGGAGAAGCACGCGGTTTCGGAGCTCTTGGTGACTGTGTCGCCAGTTTCGGCTTGACTAGTGGTCTAGTCTCGGCTCCTTGGCTCTGTAAGATGGTCGAAGTTGGTTTCGAGTCCGCTGGCAGATCCTGCATAGCATCATCTTCTTTGTCTCTGATCACCTCTTCTGGAGTATTCCTGGGTAAATCATGTATTTCTCCATCTTTCTGTGGTGAGGAAGCAACCGGAGCGGCTATGGCTGTGACACTGGATGTAGCTGCTTCGGGCGCCACTCCACTAGTCATCATCTTTATGCTGTTGACCAATCCGCTCAATCCCTGTGCTTGAGCCGGCTCCGAGATCGAATCCGAGGCCTCCCCCGGAAAAGATAGCAACTCGGACTTGGAGTCCATCATCAGTTGTGGTCGTGATGGCTGCGACGGCTGTGTCGGCTGTGACGGAGAATGCGGACTTTTTGGTGGCCTATCCGGTATGGCCTTAATGTTTAAATTTTCACACAGCGATTTCCCACACTTTTGACCAACAATACAGGTTTTCTGGCCGTTTCACGTGTTACTCACGTTGCTCAAACATCTATGCATTAGATAACAAAGGATAAACAGCGATGTGTGATAACCGTTTCACCCAGTGCACGACCTGTCAAAAAGTTTCGGCGTATTACTGTGCAGGTATGGCCAGGCGGTGTTAGGGGTTACAAATTTGGACTTATTGTTCTTTCAAAAATGAAGACCTATTTTGGGGACACGCAAATGTGTGCCTCCAAAGGCCCTTATCGGGTAAAGAAATCCTGGAGGGGGGTGGAGTGCTGAAGTATTGAACTTGGAGAAATCCGGGGTGGATTAATCCCGCGATGAGGAGGAGGCTATCAATGACGATATTCTCAAAATATCGGGCAAAGAGGGAATATTGCAGATTTGTAATGCAAAGTCGGAACACCACGGAGTCCGAGATGTTGGTAAACGAGCAACTCAACACTGCAGTTTCGGATAAACACCAATTGGAATCCTCGAAATTTCGAATTAAACGCTGGAAATGCCAAAGCGCCCAATCCAACCGCTCATACAGATGATCCGAGCTTGCTGTAGTTCCGCCCAGAAGGTCCGGCCGGGCGATCACCAAAGCCCGCCTGAAAAAATTAGTAGTGCCTATATTCCAAACCCAATTACATTATAGTGTTCATTTTACCAATCGGATTGAAGATGAACAGCATGGCCCAGCAAACCGCCAAATCAACCGCCGTACCACGGAAGTGATGTAAAAGCTATATGCCCGCTGTGGACCGAGAAATCTTCCAGGGGAATCAAAGACAATCCCGGCCTAGTACGACCCCCCTATTGGACGCATTTACCGGGGGTGTTTCGGAGTCCTACGACACTGCCATGTCAAGGAGGCTATTTGGCGTCATTCTTCACCCCACATTTGGTGCCTGATTCGGCCAATGGGATTCGCCCGCCCAAACGCTTCCGTGGGAACGGGCCTTTACTCCACTGTTCGATACGCCTTTGCTGGCAAAGCTGGGGAATTTTGGGGAGGATAGCCTTTGCAAACCCCCTCCGGCTCTCGAAAAAAAGCTTTTGCCGGGGAAGTCCTGGTGAGCGGGGGACAGTATAAAACTGTCGTGATTTCCCGGTAGTCTCCCCAGATTTGCCATTCTAGCATCAGAGTTTTGCCAATCATTTTGACTAACACTTTGAACCAACACTACTGAAGACTAAAACTCTACAAGAAAGCTACCCATTACCACAATGAAGATCGTCCTAGTTCTTTACGATGCCGGCCAACATGCCAAAGACGAGCCACGTCTTTACGGAGCCACTGAGAACGAGCTCGGAATCCGTAAGTGGCTTGAGGAGCAGGGACACACGCTGGTGACCACTTCCGACAAGGAGGGTGAAGACAGTGAGCTTGAGCGCCAGCTACCGGATGCTGATATCATCATCACCACTCCATTCCATCCAGCGTATATTACGAAGGAGAGAATCGATAAGGCACCCAAGCTCAAGTTGCTTGTAGTTGCTGGTGTCGGTTCCGACCACATTGATTTGGACTACATCAACCAATCGGGCAAGGACATCTCTGTTCTTGAGGTGACCGGCTCCAACGTGGTGTCCGTTGCCGAGCACGTTGTCATGACCATTCTGGTTTTGGTGCGTAACTTCGTTCCAGCTCACGAACAGATCATTGCTCACGACTGGGAAGTTGCCGCTATTGCCAAGGATGCTTACGACATTGAAGGAAAGGTTGTTGCCACCATTGGTGCTGGTAGAATCGGCTACAGAGTGCTTGAGAGACTGGTGCCTTTCAACCCTAAAGAGCTCTTGTACTACGACTACCAGAGCCTACCAGCAGAAGCTGAGAAGGCTGTCAATGCCAGGAGAGTTGAGAGCATCGAGGAGTTGGTTGCCCAAGCTGATATCGTCACTATCAACGCTCCATTGCACTCCGGAACAAAGGGCCTCATTAACAAGGCTTTGCTTTCCAAGTTCAAGAAGGGTGCCTGGTTGGTCAATACCGCCAGAGGTGCCATCTGTGTTGCTGAGGATGTAGCAGATGCCGTCAAGTCTGGCCAACTCAGAGGCTATGGTGGTGACGTTTGGTTCCCACAGCCGGCTCCAAAGGACCATCCATGGAGAGACATGAGAAACAAGTACGGGGCTGGTAATGCCATGACACCCCATTACTCTGGAACAACACTAGATGCCCAAGCCAGATATGCTAAGGGTACCCAAAGCATCCTGGAGTCGTTCTTCACCAAGAAATATGACTACAGACCTCAAGACGTGATCTTGCTGAACGGCAAGTACAAGACCAAGGCTTATGGTGAAAACAAGAAGTAAGCGTGATCAAGATCGAGATTGATGCGTCAAATGTGGCAATAAAGCCTTTATGCGGATTCCATGTCGTGCGGATATTCAATAACCATCCTTTATATGAAAATCAACCATGATAGTGTTATAACATCCTCTGCTCAGTAGCCTATCTCAATGTGTTACCCGCATTAGGAAGGTGGGCTGTCGGACATCACGTGATCTCCCAATCGGGAAGACAGGTTAGCCATGTCTGGCTACTTCTCCACAGACGACAGAACCCTCTTCGATCGCCCCGGCTACTTTGACATCCATCAGGTAACTCGTGCCTAAATCATTTCCGTAATTTTGGTCCGGTTGCCATTTATACCTGTGAGATTTTGAACCGAGGTATTGAGTCTGATAGTGATTGATTTAGAAAGCCTACAAGTCCTATCAAGGAGGAACGAGCAACCATAGTGGGTATTCCCTGAGCTACTAGAGAAGCCAATAACGAGGAAATAAGACCTGAAATAGAATCCTCAACAAGATGATAATATCCCGGTTCCAGAAACTTCTGCTTGTTTTTGTCTTTGTCATTGGACTTGCCAGAACAGAGTCCCTGCTGGGCTTGACGGAGAACATCGAAATAGACTCTTTTTCCGGCGGCGCTGATGGCGACGACACGGGAAAATGCCCGGTCTGTTTCAATTGCAATCTAGCAGATTTTGAATGCAAACAGTTTTCCACTTGCAATAAGTTTACAGGCAGATGTGAATGTGTGTCTGGCTTTGGTGGTGATGATTGCTCTCAGCCATTATGTGGTGGCCTAGGTGATGGAATCAACAGGCCAGGAAGAGGCGACGATCAAAAATCTTGTGCATGTGAAGATGGATGGGATGGAATCAACTGTAACGTTTGTACAGAAGATTCTGTGTGTGATTCTTTCTTGCCCGGAGATTTGAAAGGTACATGCTACCAGCAAGGAATCATCGTCAAGAACTTCCATCAGATGTGTGATGTTACCAATAAAAAGATCGTTGCAATTCTCGACGGCAAAAAGCCTCAGGTGACGTTCAATTGCAACAAGACCAGTGAGGCATGCAACTTTCAATTTTGGATTGCTGAAAAGGAGAGTTTCTACTGCGAGTTATCGAAGTGTGCTTTCGATTACAGTCTGGGTAAAAACTCCACTCACTACCAATGCGAGGAAGTATCATGCAAATGCTTGCCTGATAGAATGCTGTGCGGTGAGGCAGGGTCCATTGACATTTCTGACTTCTTGACAGAGACCATTCGGGGCCCAGGCGAATTCACTTGTGATGTTGCTAAAAGACAGTGCAAGTTCTCTGAACCGAGCATGAACGACTTGATCACGAATGTGTTTGGTGATCCTTACATCACTTTGGAATGTAACTCCGGTGAGTGTATTCATTCCAGTGAGATCCCTGGCTTTGTAACACCCGATAAACCACGCTTTTCTTGGAGACAACTGGCGACCATTGCAGGTGCAATTGTTGGTTGTGGCGTGGTCATTGGACTGGCTGCGTTTGGAGTTTCCAAGTCTCCTCTTTTTGCGACAACTGGGATATCTCTCTCGGAGAGCGACGATGATGCTGATGCGGACGCCTCTTTGCTTGCCAACGAAAGACCAGCCACATTCTCTTTTGAAAAGGTGTGTTACTCTATAAACGGAAAAGAGATTTTGAAGGATGCTTTTGGTGTTGTCAAGAGTGGAGAATGTCTCGCCATCATGGGTGGATCTGGTGCTGGCAAGACGACGTTGCTTGATATTCTTGCCGGCAAGAACAAAGGAGGCGAAAAGAGCAGCTGTCTGTACATCAATGGAGAGAAACTGACCACAAAGGAGGACCTATACCATTTCAAAAAAAACATTGGATTTGTGGACCAGGAGGACTACCTGATTCCCACACTGACAGTGTACGAGACTGTCTTGAACAGTGCATTACTGAGACTTCCAAGGAGGATGAGCTTCAAAACGAAGCACGCAAAAGTCATTCAGATTTTAGCCGAACTCAGAATTCTGCATGTAAAGGACAAGCTGATTGGTTCAGATTTTGAAAGAGGCATTTCCGGAGGTGAGAAGCGGAGAGTTGCCATTGCATGTGAGCTTGTGACATCACCTTCTATTTTGTTCTTGGATGAACCAACTTCGGGCCTGGATGCCTTCAATGCCCATAATGTTGTGGAGTCTTTGGTTCGTTTGGCTCGCGATTTCAAAAGCACCATCATCTTCACAATACACCAGCCACGCAGTAACATTGTTTCTCTTTTTGACAAACTGCTGCTTCTATCTGAGGGAAATCTCGTTTACTCCGGAGAAATGCTCAAGTGCAACGAGTTTTTCAGCTCTAACGGTTACAAGTGCCCACCCGGCTATAATATTGCAGATTATCTGATTGATATCACCTCAGAGGAGAAGTCTCCATCATCGGAGTTTTCAGAGTCATCAGCTGTTGATTTTGGATTTGAGGAAGCCACCGTACATACTGACATCCATACTCTTCCAGTTGTAACTCAGGACGAAGTGGACGATCCAACAAGTGAGTGGGAACACTATGCGGTTCATCGTGACGAGTTCAATAACTCAATTGGCCTCGCAAGGAACAGGAACAGCAAAGTCACGTCTACAATTTCCACGAAACAGGGCAAGATCAACACCATTTTCCAGAAATCCTCATTGGCTGAAGAAGTTTTGAACCAGATCAGAGACTTACAAACTGCGTATGAACAGAATTCCCGAGAGGCTTCTGTGGAAAGCGGTTCGTTCTTCAAGGTGGATCCAGGTCACGTTAAGGCTGGATTTTTCACTCAGTTGTTGATTCTGTGCTCCAGAACCTTCAAGAACTCATACCGTAACCCACGTTTGTTAATGGGTCATTACATTCTTTCCATCATCATGGGTCTCTTTTGCTCGTACCTTTACTACGATATCAAGAACGACATCTCTGGGTTCCAGAATAGATTGGGTCTGTTTTTCTTCCTTTTGACAATGTTTGGATTCTCGTGTCTCACTGGATTGCATTCGTTTTCCATTGAGCGTATTGTCTTCATCAGAGAGAGGTCGAACAACTACTACAACCCATTGAGTTACTATATCAGCAAGATCCTTTGTGACGTGATACCTTTGAGGCTTTTCCCACCAGTGATTCTTCTTGCCATTATCTACCCTCTAGTTGGCTTAGATATGCAGGAGCACAAATTTTTCAAGTGTGTGGGGATCCTGGTGCTTTTCAACCTGGCGACAGCAGTGGAGATTTTGATCATTGGCATTCTGGTTAAAGAGCCTGGTGCTGCAACAATGATTGGAGTTCTGGTATTGTTGTTCTCTCTGCTTTTTGCTGGCTTGTTCATCAATAAAGAGACCATTCCCATTCAAATCGACTGGATACAGAGTCTTTCGGTTTTCCACTACGGATACGAGGCGCTTAGTGTTAATGAAGCTAACGGCCTTACTCTCAAAGAGAAGAAATACGGTTTGGATATTGCTGTTCCTGGAGCCGTGATATTGTCGACATTCGGATTCGATGTTGGTGCAGTGAACTTCGATATGTGGTGGTTGGGTGGATTGCTTGGAGCATTCCTGGTGGTTGGCTATATTGGACTGCATTACTTTGTCTATGAAACCAGATGAGCACAAAAAGATAAAAACTAGAATTTATAATCGAAGGCAAGAAGACCTTCTTTTGTCGAAGACATATGTTGGAAGTCTACTGCTAGTGAAATAGCGCATCTATACGCGATACCGTGCGAGCTTTCAAATATTCTTTCATTAATCTTCCCGTTCTATAACATAAGTCATTCCGTTCTTTCTAGCTAAACACTGCGGTTCGCGTAGTCCTGGTCCTATACCAGTTTGCAGAGATCTATGGGCTCCACTGGACATCAACTTTTAAGGTGGACCATGCCTTTTTTGTGTTTTTCTTAAGCTCATGTTCACATTAGTCTTCCTGGCGCTTTTGTGGCCAATTCCTCGACTAATTCCTCGGCTTTGTTAGCTAACACGTTATTCTAGATCAACCTCTCCGGAGGCTCCAACTTGCGGCTTCGCATACACTGCTCAGAAGCTTCAGCGATGTCCATATTTCATATACCACCATTGATCACCTGATCACACAGAAATATCAGCTATAGCCTCTTTTCACGTTCAGCATTCAGAGTTTTTAGCATCCGCGGTATGTATTCGTCAAAGAAAGCCTCTAGCGATCCGTCTCTCCAGGTGTACGACGCTTCCTTGCCACAATAAGCAATCTCATAACCAGCGACTGCTATAAACAAACTGGACCACGCGAGCACAATTTCAGTGAAATCGTGTCCCCGTAATGCGATCTGTAGCAGCGAAAGAATAGTGGCTATGTCAGAGAGCAGCCTTTTCGGGCTCTTCTTCAGATAAAGGTCCACTGAGGGCAGTAACCTTAACACACAGTATTTAAGATATGACAGGTCATTTTCTTGCTTCGAGAAATTCATTTCTGGCACTCTCAAGCAAAGGAAAACGCGTCAAGTGCCATTCAATGCCACCCTACTCGTTGCTTAGGAGCTTCGAGCGTCTTAACCAGATCAGTAAGGTACATAATGCATGGTAGTGTAATAAGTAATTAACGTCAGGATGCTAGGCACGTTCGCAATTGGCAGACAGATGCACTACGCCTTTAGTTGTGCTTGTTTAGTGGAGAAGAGGCGTCTGTACTACAGGAAACGTGGAAACAAAAACAAATGGGTTGCTCTCATACGGATGAAGTGGCCAATAGCCTCAAGGCTCCAACGTCGGCTGATTCGGTATACAAAGATGACTGCATGTTCTGTTTCGACACAGCCTTTGACACAGACGGCCTCGATATCTGCCTGCACTGCTATCAATCTTTTTCTAGAGGCCAGCTCGACCACACTCACAAACACAGTGATATCTTTGATCATTTTTTGTTTCTCAACTACAAAAAGGTGGCCAAACCAAAATCTGAGCGGGATGAACAACCATTGAAGATGGCCAAGCTGGAGATTCGCGAAGAAACAGAGAGCGAGCTGTTCGATGTTAAGACCTCTCTCTACTGTTCCCAATGCGACCAGGAGATTGATGAAATTCCACCAAATGTGTCGGTAGTGATGCAGGCTGTTTTGAAGGCAACTTCGTCTGAAAAGAAAGATGAAATCAAATCTTGGGAGCAGGAGATAGTGCCTTGTCAACACGCTTTTGACATTGCTCAGCATCCTCTGGCCGGCGTGGATCTCACACACTGCACTCAGTGCGACTTGAAAGAGAATCTGTGGATTTGTATCACATGTGGTGCTCTTGGATGTGGCAGGGCCCAATTTGGAGGTGTTCCGGGCAACTCGCATGCTCTTGCTCATTATCAAAACTGCGAAAGTCACCCAATTGCCGTTAAACTGGGATCTTTGTCTACCACCTCGGCAGACTGTTTTTGTTATGCCTGCAATGATGAGGTCAAAATTCCGGAGTTGCCCCAGCTTTTGAGTACGTTTGGCATAAACATAGACAGTTACGTGAAGACAGAGAAGAACCTCACAGAATTGCAGATTGAGCAAAACGTTAAATGGGACTTCAACATGGACAGACAAGACGGTGCATCTTTGGAACCCCTGTTTGGACCTGGGTTTACTGGTTTGAAAAACATGGGCAATTCATGCTATCTTTCCAGTGTGTTACAAGTCCTGTTTTCGACACCTGCATACCAGACTGCATTCGCAACTTCACAGGGTGTACCGGATGAATGTCTGATCAACCAAAACCCAGCGCATGATCTTGAGACTCAGCTATACAAAGTGAGCGATGGGTTGCTGTCTGGTCGTTATAGTGTTCCTGATGAGAGTACTTCAGAAACTATCAAATACCAGAAGGGAATCAAGCCTTCTGGACTGAAGTCTCTTATTGGAGAAGGCCACCCGGAATTCTGTACTATGAAGCAACAGGATGCATTTGAGTTTTGGTTGTATCTTACGGATAAGGTAGACCGGCTTTTCAAGGATCAAAAGTCTCCCAACGTTCCTTTCAAGTTCGTTATCGAGAATAAGCTTAAGTGCACCAAATGTGGTGGAGTAAGACTCTCCAAGGAGCTCTCCGAGGTGGTGAGTCTTGCTGCTGACTCAAAATACAATATTGTCAATGATGAAAAAGTTTACGAGCCAATCTCCTTTGACGATGTTATGAAGAATTTTGGTGATTCCGAGCAGATCGAATACAGATGTCCCCAATGCCAATCGAATGAACTGGCCACCAAGTCTTCTGGGTTCCTGACTTACCCTGATATTCTGATACTGAATCCTCAACGAATCAAGCTAGAAAATTGGGTCCCCACAAAGACTCAAGTGCCCATAGTGTACTCCAACCCACTTGACTTATCTCCCTACAAGGCACCGGGAATGCTTCCAGGTGAAACTGAACTTCCAGAAACAGACGAAAGCGAAGATGGAAAGTTCATTCCCAACGAAACGGCCATGGACCAACTCGTTTCTATGGGGTTTTCAGAAAACAGGGCGACCAAAGCGCTCTTCAACACGGACAACTCGGATGCAGACTCGGCAATGAATTGGTTATTCCAACATATCGAAGATGCAGATATCGATGATCCGTTTGTGGAAGTACCTAGGAAATCCTCATCTGCTAAGAAGGAGGATGTTGACTCCTTGATAGCCATGGGTTTCTCGAAGCAACTTGCGGAAAAGGCACTACTTGTTAGTGCTGGTAACCTCGAAGCGGCCGTGGAATGGGTTTTTGCGAATCCAGATGATGACGGCTCTATTGAGGAAGAGGAAACCAAGAAGCCTAATGATCTCATCACTGAGCTCACGAGTACAGCAACAACTGCCACTCCAAAGTATCACTTGAAAGCTGTAATCTGTCACAAAGGAACGAATGTCAACTCCGGTCATTATGTTGCCTTCATCAGACGCATTGTCAATAACGTTGAGCAGTGGGTGTTGTTCAACGATGAGAAAGTGGTGCTATCTGATGGAGATTCGTCCTTGGAGGATTTGGAAAAGAGAGGTTATATCTACGTTTTTGAAAAAGAGAAATCGATGTATTAGCATTGGGAACGAATGCGAAAGGGCATATGAGCAACTAAGCAAAGGCGAATCTTTGCATAAAACGTGCCTGGAATGGTGCAAAATTGGGTTGTGAAACCCTAGGTAGCAAAAGGTGGAAATGGTGGGAAACATGTCAAAATAGTCATCAGAATTATCTGCAATTGAAATGGAGAGGTTGAGGATATTCCAAAGATTGGAGAGTTTCATGGAAGGCTCAAAGGCTTCCTTCAAGTGGTTGTTTCAAGCTTCTGCAACCTCTCTTTCAACTCCTCATTTTCAGCCTTGAGAAGCCCGATCTGGATATCCTTTTGCTTGGACCTTCCGAAACTAAGCATCTTGGCCATTTCATCGTTCTCCTCAGTGAGGATCTTCATCTTGGTGAATATTTTGTGTGCCATCTCCTGCTCATCGTAACGGCCAGTCCTGGTTGCAGCGCCTGGGTTTGGATTGAGCGCAATAGCAGTTAATACGGTTTCGAGTCTCATCTCAGCGTCCCTTGCCTTCTCTTCGAGAAGCTGGATCTGTGACTGTTTGTCATCCTTCCCAGCCTTCCCAGTAATATCTGCCCCAGATGACTGGATTATGTTACGGAGAACTTCAATTTCGGTGCAGAGTGACTCGATGGTAGAATCCTTCAGTTTTAGTTCCATCCGGTACCTAGTGACTTCGTCAACGGGAGAAGACTCGTATGACTTCCCATACTGCTCTCGCTTATAAGCGTCAGAAGTGGCAAACGTCGGCGTGTTTCCCCATTGGTACTTGCCCTCTCGTGATTCCAAGAGACCAGAAGACCCACCCGAATCGTTGATTCTCAAATTGGGAAATTTGAGTCCCATGGTTTCGAAAGGGGTGTTGATTGGTCCTAATGGCGTGGCTGAGGCAGCTGAACTAGAGCCACGTCTGGCATTTGATCTGGGCCAATTGGTGGTTCCATGGTATTGCTGGGCTTGACCATAAGTTTGCGCCTGGCCCTGGCTTTGAGCCTGACTCTGGATCTGGCCCTGCGATTGGGAGGCGTAGTAGTCGTCGTACTTTCGATGGTATGCCATTGGCGACCCTTGTGACTTCATTGGGGTAGAGAAGTCCATTTTCTGACCAGCGGTGACTGGGTTCGATCCCGAAAACTCTGAGCCATAGGTCGAGGCCGATGTGTCGGCAGAGTTGGATCTCAGCATGGGACTCTGGAGCTAAGACTGGTGTAATCGACCTTGTCTCCTTGTTTCGTGACAGAAGGTGAACTGCATCAGGACTATGGCGTACGCACGTCAGACATGTTTGGGACCGGGTCGTGGAAGGACAGGTTTGGAATTGCTGCACGACCCAAATGAGAGTGCTCACAAAAAAAAAAGTCTAAAACGAAAAATTAAACTTGTTTTGTCCTTCGTAAATGCAGAGTATTATGCATAGCTGTAGCAGAAATACCATGCATAGTAACCGTTCGTCCGACCTATTACTTGTGGCATGATTTCGGATAGGGGGGTAGTTCAGTCTAGCGATTTTACACTGTAGCCTAAGAGGCATGAGCCGCACTTTTGAAATACCATATTTAACAAAGCCGTAACTGTCCTGTTTCAGGCTTATTTTTGACTCCTTCTCGCCTTGACCGCCCCAGCAAGCATCTTCAACACATCCACAGTCTCATCCCAGCCGATACAGGCATCTGTGATGGAACAACCGTACTTGAGGCCTTCCTTTCCTTCAGCAGGAACGTCCTGTCTGCCTTCGCAAATGTTGGACTCAATCATAAGACCACAAATAGCGTTCTCACCTTGGCCCATCTGCCTGGCAATTTCAGCAGCGACCTTAGGCTGGTTTCTATGATCTTTGTTGGAGTTTCCGTGGGAACAATCAACCATGATTCTTCTTTCCTGTCCATCGACGTTTGCTTTACTAGCAAGTTCAGCCTTGGCCTTCTTCACACTTTCCTCGTCAAAATTCGTACCCGACTTTCCTCCTCTCAAGATTACAAAAGTGTCCTTGTTACCTTCAGTACCAACAATGGCGACGATTCCCGGTTTCGTCACACTCAAGAAGTGATGAGGATGAGATGCCGCGCGCATGGCATCAATAGCAACTCCTAGCGAACCATCGGTTCCGTTCTTGAACCCAACAGGGAAGGACAATCCGGAAGCCAACTCTCTGTGAAGCTGCGACTCAGTTGTTCTGGCACCAATGGCACCAACAGAGAAGAGATCAGAGAGGAATTGAGGCGAGATTGTGTCGAGCATCTCACCCGCAATGGGCAACTTTTCAGTCAACTTGCAGAAGAGTTCCCTCGAAATCCTTAGACCCTTGTTAATCTTGAAAGAGCCATCAATATCAGGATCATTGATGAGACCCTTCCATCCAACGGTGGTTCTTGGTTTCTCGAGATAAGCTCTCATCACTATGTGAAGCTCACCTTTGAGCTCCTCGTTTAGCTTGTAAAGTCTGTCACAGTAATCAAGCGCAGCAGATGGATCGTGAATAGAGCATGGACCAATAACAATCAGCAGTCTGTCGTCCTCACCCGTCAGGATTTTGCAAGCATCCTCACGGCCCTGGTAGATGATTCTCTCGGACTTGGTGGTGAGAGGAAACTCGTGTTGAAGCAAGTCTGGGGGAGTCAGGGGGTTGTAGCCCTTAATTCTCCAGTCTTCGAGTCTGGTTCGGTCACCAACGTGCTCGTTCTCAATGAACATTTTTGGGGTGTCAGCAACCTGAAAAGAGTTAGTAATGGTGATCGTTTGATAGGTTGAAGGGTTGTTCCATATTTCCTTGCTCTGTATTCTTTAGTAATATCCGAAAAGGGAAATTGATGTTGGCACGTCGTATGTCATAGATTACCCACGTGCAAATGTTTTTGACCAGAATTTGGGATATGACTTCGAGGAAAAAGGCGGTAATTCCTAGGATTTCACAAAATTATCACTTGATTCTCAGAATATGGGAACTAGATCGTGCAACTATCCCGTCGTTGCGGTTCGCTCTCGGATGTAAACCTGACATCTCGGATAAATGCATCTCGAGTGATCGGAAGCAGACTGAACCGAGAGAAAACCGGTGGAAATCAAACTTGAACAACAGAAACAAATTCATTCATGGTATACCGTAAATTTTCATATACTTACTGGCATTTTTGTAGTAGTAAGTCTTGGAAACTGATACCAGAAAGAAGGCCAAAGAGCAGAACCCGCGATGACTCTTAGCATCCGAAGTGGTTCGTCAGAAAATTTTGTCCTGCAAGAGAATTTCGAATCTGCGCACGACCTGCATATACTCACGTGACACGAATCACTCCCGATTTGGCGTTTTTCAGGGTCCAAGAACATGATATGAGTTGGTTCTCTATGTACAAAGATATTTAATGACAGGTTAAACCCACTCTAGATATTCCTGACCGAATTGACTGCCCTTAGTCTTTCTCTCGACTATGCTCTTAACCTTGTGGATCACACCGTTCTTTCCTCTGTACTTAGTGTCGAAGTACTTGAGTGTTTCCTTGAGAGTGACTGAATACTTGCGGTTAGAATCGTCAGCTCCCTTTATGTAAGCTTCCACCTCAGCTTGTGTGGGAAGACCCATATTGTGAGGGTAGGCAACGTATGAGACGTTGTTGAATCTGTCAATGAACACATCGTCCAGATCAACGGCTGATTCTGAAGACTCCTGGGAGAGCTTTTCAGATGGTGTCTTGATAGCAGATGTATCCAATGATATCAGTTCCTCAATGAGACTAGAAGGAACAGATTCAACATCGGGAAACTTGAAGTTGGCGATCTTGTCCTCTGGGTTTGTCGACTTTTTGTTGATCAGTCTCTTAAGAATAGCCTCGTTGAAATCAGTTTCGCCCCCGACCATCATCTTAGATGCAAGTTTGAGCTCATTGCTTATGGCGTCATAAATTCCAGCCTTAGAGGACTTTTGAAGCATGGCAAAACAGAGCTTCAGTGAGATTGGCGACTTTGTACTTAGTTTTTCAATAGTTTGGAGGGCAAATTCAGAGCCATCCTCTCTCAGATTACGCAGGATCTCTTCAACAGACTTGTTCTTGAGTCCGAAACACTTTTCAATCACATCCAGCTGCTCGGTCGAGTACTTGAATTGATGGCCTTGGGGAACGGCATCTGAGAAGGACTCTATAGCCTGGTTAATCACGGGGTACAGATCAGTGTGGGATTGCTCGCCTTCTGTGTTCGAAAGCTCCGCAACTTGCAAACCTCCAAGCGTCTCAACCAGTTGCTGAGACCTCTCCGAGGGAACGAAATGAGTTCCAAATCCTGCAAGATAAGTATCGTATCCCACCAATTCATCTCCAGTTAATGCGAGGTAAACTCCTAGGTTTCCATCCATTCTGCTCAAGTAGAAGGTGGTTCCTACATCGCAGAAGAAACCAATGTTGGTTTCGGGCATGGCAAACCTCGTCGTCTCGTCGACAACCCTGAATGGAGTGTGCACCGAAAGTCCCACGCCACCACCCATGACGATTCCGTTGACGAGCGAAACAATTGGCTTCGAATACGTGGCCAACAGATAATTGAGGTTGTATTCCCATTCAAAGAATCCTACCGAAGCGGCAGTGTTCCCTGTTAGGTTCTGCTTAGCACATTCGATCACATCACCACCCGAACAGAAAGCCTTGGGGACAGAGGAGTTTATAACGATAATGCTGTTGGAGTCGGACTTGGCAAAAACCAGCAGTCTCTGCAAGATCTGTTTGCACATGGAGGTGCTAAGAGCATTCAACTTGGCGGGCCTGTTCAAGGTGATCACGCGGGCATCGTTGCGGACATTGAACAAGACATCGTTGATTTCACTTTGGGGCACCGCAATGGAGTCCAGGTTTATCTGTCTGACTGGACCGGAAGACGTGTGGAACATCCTTTCTACCTGGAAGAGACGGTTCATTGCCCTCTTGCCAGCCGATAACATTGGAGAGTGATGAGTGTGAGTTTTGGAGAGGGTGGAATCGACAGAAGAGAGTTATGAAGCCGGAAGTCAGAGCGGGGTAAGGGGTGGAAATACTCCGTAAAAGGCTAAAGTATGGACAAGTGTGGAACCCCGGGTTGAGTGTCTAGTTAGCCTGTGCGTTGGACGAATGGAGGTCAATGGAGGGGTTTTTTTTCAGGCGTGCAAAATGGGAGGTACACGATAAAGTAGTGGGCTACTCAGAATATATATTACCAAGGCTGTGCATCGGTCGGGGCCTGGAAGAGATCTTAAATGGCACCACTGAAGCTTCATTGTATTTCCCAACGTCTCTTTTTGATAGCTCCGTTTGCTTGCTTTGGTGCTGACAGAATATTCAAATCTCATATATATCTATATTTGTTTGTCAATGTCAGTTCTCAACAAAAGATCCAATACCGTCCACCACACGACTCCGCCTGCGCTGGACACGGCCGATCTAGGTCCGCAGTTTGAGTTCTACTGGACTCGCGAAAAAGACCCCCATAGTGTGAGGAGAAAGCAGATCATAGCAAAGCACCCGGAAGTGTTAAAGCTGTGTGGACATGAGCCAAAGACGAAGTGGATATCGCTCGGAGTTGTGCTTACTCAGCTATCGTTAGCCTATGCTCTTCGCGATTGCCATAACGGATGGTTGTTTTTTGCGACTGCCTACATTATCGGTGCCACGGCTAACCAAAATTGTTTCCTGGTTATCCACGAACTATGTCACAATCTGGGATTCAAGAAACCTTTGCACAACAAGCTGTTTTCCATAGTATCCAACATCCCTATTGGTATCCCTTACAGTGCTTCGTTCCAGCCTTATCATCAGCTTCACCACAAGTTCCTCGGTGATGAACTGTTTGACACAGATCTTCCAACCCACTTTGAGGCGCTCGTTCTGTCGAATGTCCTTGGAAAAGCGTTTTTTGCGACGTTCCAGATCTTTTTCTATGCTCTGCGCCCCATGTTCATCACGCAGATCAAGTTCACATATATTCATCTTGTGAATGTGGCAGCTCAGATATTCGTTGACTACTTGATGGTTACTTACTGGGGCTGGAAATCCCTCGGATATCTCGTTCTCAGCTCCTTTCTGGCTGGTTCTTTGCACCCTTCTGCTGGCCATTTCGTCGCAGAACACTATCTAATGGACCCACCTAAAGGGTACCGGAAGTTTGAGGATGTGGCTCCGCTAGAGACTTACTCCTACTACGGAATACTGAACTTTTTCACGTGGAACGTGGGGTACCACAACGAACATCACGACTTTCCGTTCGTGGCGTGGTCGCAGCTGCCGAAGCTGCGTGAGATAGCATCAGAATTCTATGATGGACTTCCCCAACACGAGTCCTGGTGTCTTGTAATCTGGAATTTCGTTTTTGACAAGAACGTCTTGATGTACAACAGAGTCAAGCGTCAAAACAAGGATGCATCGTTGAAGCATAAAGTGAAGCTTGATGAAAACTGAAAGGGACGTACGAGGAGAGCAAGACTCAGGGAAGAACTGACAGGAAAACTTACACGGTGATTAAGAAGACTGATTTAGTTAAAAATGCATAGACTTATAAAAACGTCATACCCAGTACCGAAATATGTCTCTCCAAAACGAGCGGACAGACGTTCTACCTCGTAAATGCCCTCGCCGTCTCCCCGGAACAGTCCTTGTCTAATTAATAATCGCACGTCCCACTTGTTTTCCTGGCGGCCTCGAAGGGATATTTACTGATCTGTTTAATAAAGGCCTTGATCACCAGGCTGAAAGACACAAGGATATTCGCCATGGCAAAACTGTTCAACAACTACTACTTCCTGCTGCCATATTACATGTTGACCGGTGTGGAGGCGTTCTTACTGCGTGAGTAATGCAAAAAAGGCATGCACAATCATCTTAACAGGGTACTAACATTAGACTTTTCAGACTCCTTGGTCGCTGTTGGTTGGGTAGTTGTTGGCTACTGTATCTACACGTTTATTCCCCATATACAGTCTCTGTCTTCGAAAGCTCTCGCCTTCTAAGCGCGCCACTGGGGATTAAACTCCACGATCTTTGGCAGTCGTCATGTTCACCACGATGCATGCCTAATGTACACTGAGCCGTTGCTCCTTATTCAATCTTTGTCCGGAAGCCTCCATATTGAGCCGGAAACGCATGGTATTGGTATTTCACGTTCCTTTATATATCCGTTTATTCCTTCGTTTAGCTAGAACTGTTGTCAATAGAGCAGTCTTTATGGAGCTTTGTAGGTATATTATTCGATAGTGCGAATGCAGCTGACTCACCATCTCCTATCTGCTTCTAACTATCATCTCTATCTTCAATTGTTTCCTCTACCATCTTCGTCATATCTTCTCTGGAGAGCTCTCTCCTAAGCGTGTTTCCCGACGACTCTTGAGGAGTTTGGACAAAAGACTCATGCTTCGAGTCGCCCTTTGGCTCTACCCTGAGTGTATCACCTTCTCCAAAATCTATGAGATCACCATAATTCTCTTTTCCTATCGTGGGAACTGGGAAACTGAGCGAGGTTGAGGAGAACTGGGAGTTGTGCGAGGAATGACTGTGTTGTTTGCTGGAAACCGACACTGGCACATTGACTGGAGTTTGGGACCGAATGGGTCCATTCGACGCAGGCGCATAGTCAGCAGTAGAGCCTGCAATTGGAAATGGATTCCGAGAATGTGGCCGTGGTACCGGTGAAGTAGGCCTTGATCCCAGTGATGCCGGGTAGAAATCGCCGGTATTCACTCCAACGACAGTTGGACCCAGAAGTGGCGAGGCTGAAGGACTTAAAAGGATCTCCGGGTACTGCGAAGCAACTAGTCCCGGAGAAACTGGTATCATCATGGGAGAAACAGCTTGCATGTCTGGTGAAGCATTCTCTAAGTGGAATTGCGGCGCTTCAAGATATGCTGGTTGGGAATCTGGTAATTTTCGTGCTTCTTGCTGTGGAGCAGGCTGATGGACCTCAGTTTGAGTCACGGTGATATGTCCCTGGCTCTTCTCATTCTCCTCATCTTCGCTTTCGGCAGAAGGATCCTCAGACCTGCTCGAGACCTTCAGAAGGTGTGACGTTGGCTGAGGTGTTTGCGCAGCAGAAGGAACGTACTGTCTATGGTAATAACCACCTGCGGTATTGAGGTCTTCCTGGAATACCATTGGTTGTTGCTGCTCTGGGAAGAGGGACTGAGGCTTCAGTTCTATCGAGAACTTGTATTCGCCGCGACCGAAAATATCCTTGAGTCCAATTTCCTCCTTTGGAATGTTTAATTGCCGAGAAACTTCCACAACTATCTGATAGATGTTGGGTCTCTCATTCAGATCAGCTTGCAGCATTCCAGCGATCAAACTGAGAAGGTTTTTGGAGTATATTGGCTGCGGGCTGAACTGATAGCATGCGTGAAGAATCGCAAATTCTCCTCCAATGTGCTCAAAAGGTGTAAAGTAATAGCACAACTTGTATAAGAAGATTCCCAGAGCCCAGATGTCTGCCTTGTCGCCAATCGGCTTCAATTGATAAAGATCTATCATCTCTGGAGCCCTGTACTGGGGCGTAGTTTGGTGCAAAATGTCATTATTCAACAGTTGAAACTCCTGAAACGTTTTGGGAACTCTTAATGGTGGTGATGTCGAACCAAAGTCGCACAGTTTGAATCGGTGATTTGCATCTATCAGCACGTTTTCGATTTTGATGTCCCTATGGATCAACCCCATGCTATGCATATGGTAAACAGCCCGCGAGACATCATACAAAATCGTCAAAATCTCGGTCTCCACGAGCTTAGTCTTTAGTCGTGCATTCATGAAGTCTAATAGCGATTTGTTCGCACATAGTTCCATCAAAACATACACCTCATAGGAAGCCGAGTTGGGGATCCTGGAGGCATGAGAGTCGTAGTACTTAACAATTTCGTCACATCCACTCAATTTTTGCATCACCTCCACCTCAGCCCTCAGCTGTGTCAATCCGTTCTTGTCTGGAACAATCACTCTTTTTAGACACGCGATATCGCTGCCTTGTTCGATGGGGTTAATCCTGCATTGGTAGATCTGGGCAAACCCTCCTTCAGAGATGTACTTCTCCACGGTGACCGTATGCTGACCAACGGTCAGTCTCGTTCCAGGGAGCAGTTTACTTAGTTTTGTTGCCATATGAAAGTTTCAGCAGCAGAGTTGACGCAGAATTGCTGCTTGCGGAGAGCTATAATACACGACAAGTTCACACGTTACAGGAAGCTTCTGTGACTGGGTAGTGCGGAAGTTCAGTTGGTTATTGCACGAATTAGCAATAATAAGAACATAACGATAAGAGCTTTGATATTTCGTCTGACACATCTACGCTTAGCCTGGAAAATTAGTTGCATTATAAGATTTTTCTAAACATTTTGGAATAGCCACCCATCATTTTATCTCTTCTAAGCATCTGTTCTATGCTGACGTTGCCAGCTTTTCTAATTCCTCAATGTTAAATGGAATGTACACGAACTCAGTACCTGAGTTGTCCTTGGAAAGAACAGCCATTTTGTGTTCGCAGAACTCACCCAACACGGTTCTAAAACTGATCTCGTTACTGGTGATAAACTCGTCCAGACAGGCCTCGTATAGTTCTTTGAAAGGAACCCCATGTCTGATTTTTCCGATAAACTTTGCCTTCTCCTTGGTACCTTTCTTACCCTTGGATGCTTTATGATCTGCATTCATGTTTTTGATCTGGCGGGCGATCAGAAGATGATAAAGCTTTCTCGCATTCGAAGTAAGCGAAGTCAGCACATATTCAGCACCCTTAGAGCCGATGAACTTGGAGCTCTTGCCTAAGGCTAGGACATTTTTGAAAGAAGTCTCAATTAAGTATGGGTCAAAGGTGGTTGTTTCGTGCCATAAAAGGTTGAATTGCGACAATACTCCACTATCCCACATCACTGGCGTGTTTACATGGTCCATTGTCACACACATCCAGATTTGTGGGATCGACGCCAATCGGCTCAACAGCTCCTGCGATCTATCAGTACGCAATCCTTCACCATCAATGTTGTTCACCAGCACAACCAGTTGCGGAGATTCCAGGTCTTTGAACTCCTTCCTAATGAATTCAATTGCAGACCTCGGATTTAAAGGATAGTCTCTGTTTCCATTGTAGAAGATCGACCCTATCTGTTTCATCAGTTCTCGCACGGATGCCTCTGGATTATACCCATTCAGCACGACTGACTTGGTCTCCTTTCCCAACGCAGAAAGCTTCACCAAAACATATTCACTGATAAATCTGACTGCAAGGGCCCTTTTGGACCCCAATCCGTAGAAGGCCATATTGAATCCCTCGGAAAGCTGAAAAAACCATTGGTTAAATAGCGATTCGTAGTATGACTTCAGCACATCGCGCTGCTGTGAGTGCAATATATTCAATATCTGTGTAATTTGAAGAAATTCGCTGTGTTCTAAATCCGTGGCATTGGTCATTGAGCCTGTGGAAACAGCATTTTTTAATTTATTCTGCTCGAAGTAGCCTTCATACCCATCCAAGAACAATGCTCTATCTTCTTTGACGGGTCTGAACGCGATTAATTCGGGAAGAGCAACCTTATTAGGTGTGGAGTTCGCAGAAGCCGCCTCTGAATCTTTCTTGTAGATCTTCATGGAGCTCGGGCTGCTTTTGGATCTTTTGGTGCTTGTCTTGGTAGGCGTTGGAGCCTTCCGAGTCTTCTTCGATGGCGTTTGCCTTTCGTAACTGCTAGAATGATCTGATTCTGAAAATGATTCCTCCTCGGACTCATCCTGTTTTCGAGTCAACGAAGGAGCCATTAAGATACAAAATGAATGTCTTGAGGTCTGTTCTGGTGAGTTTTCGTATCTTCAAGTGTTATCTTGCTGCAACAATCTTTTGAAGCACGCGTGCTTTAGATCATCTGCCATTCATAGACGGGTCATCCAAAGAATGAGTTTTGCACTATAAATTTTTTTCAGGCCATACTAAATGTGATTTTGAAATATAACCCTTCAAAGATTTTACCAAACCGAGCTCGTTAAGATGTTGACATTCTGTCCGTACTGCTCGAACATGCTGGTTGTATGTATATTCTTCAGGTCATCAATCAAACAGGCGGGTTTGCTAACAGTTATAGATTTCGAAATCCCAGGACTTGGGTGCAAACAGATTTACATGTCCTACATGTCCATATGAATTTCCTATAATAGGACTGAAGATGTACGAGCGCAAAGAACTTACGAGGAAGCAAGTAGATGATGTTCTTGGTGGTGATGGTGCTTGGGATAATGTCGACCAGACGGCTACACAATGCCCTGTGGAATCTTGTGGCTTCGATAAAGCCTACTTCTTCCAGCTACAAATCAGATCTGCTGATGAACCAATGACAACCTTCTATAAGTGTACCAAGTGCTCTCACCAATGGAGAGAGAACTGAAAACTGAGATCCGACTAATGAGGACTCAGGACTGACGACTGGTTGTGTCACAGCCGCGAAACAGTGTGTATACTATGAATAGATTCTAATGGGTAATGATGACTTTTTTATGTGTTCGTATAGCCGATTTAGTGCGACCTGTCACTCCAAGAACCCGCGATTTATATGTGGGGATGTCTTTTGACCTCATTATATTGCGTGCAGACAGTATCGGAATTGGGAAATCGCTCATTAGTTGATGAGGAAGACGCTTGGAGCTGGAGATTGACTCTTGAGGTTTGGCAATATTGTCTTGGTTTAGTGAGTCACATATGCTCGAACGACCAGCAGTTATAGTCCTAACCAGATCATCTAGAAACTGCTCGTTGTCACTTGCACCAGGAGTCTCGTTACTCTCATCTTCGTGATCTCTTCGCCTCAACATCCGGTATCTTCTTACACCCTCGAAGTCAATGCGATTTTTATGGATCAGCATTTTCGTTTGGTTCCTTCTTGTAGAAAATAACCTGTCAAGAGTATAAATAATGTTTGTTTCTTCAGGGGTGGTCTGGTTTGTGTGGTTCCGTGAATGTGATCCGAATACGCTATTTTGATAAATCCCCATAAACTTAAATCTGGATGGTTTTTCTGGTGAAAACTCACTGGGTCGCCATTCCCATTTGTTCACCATACTTACTAGACCAGGAATAGAAATAGCTCCATATTTTTCCTCGTTTTCTGTGTCAAAGACAAACTGGTTTCCTGTGCAGTATCTGCCGAATAACCGTGCCATAGATGCACCAGCCAACCAAGATTCTCTTGAAAAAGTGCATCCATACACTTCAATTGGTCTGAGAAAATCTATCAGATGAACGCATTGTTCATATGAAGCATGTCGTGAAAACGGAAGACAGATATACGAAGGCAACAGCTCTTTACCGTCCCGCGACAGAAGGTAATCCTTATTGTTGAAACTAAACATCTTGTGTCCAAGTTCTGTGGTTCCCACCATCTTGGCACCCTCAGACAATGCTACCTCCAGATCAACAGGAAACAAAGTAGAAAATTCCTGGAGCGAAATGTTGATACACTGTTTGATCACCACCGCAAACTCTCCCTTCTTGTCAGAATTACATCGATCTGGTGGCCCACAAACATGAAACCTGCCATATTTTTGGTTCAGTCTTGGCTCAAGAAGTTTCCGATACATGTCTGACTTACAGAAATCTGTGTCATCTTCACTCAAGGCTACCTCGAGATATTTTAATACCTTTTGCGAACAATGTAGATCACCAGATGAGTTCACCAGTACATGAAGCCATGCCTCCTCAAACCCAGCCACTACATCCGCAAAATAGAACTGGGCATCGTCAGGATATAGAGAAAGCATTCTCAGCAAAAACGACAAGCCGGTGGAGTTTGGAAGAAATTGGATATAAGGTTCCCCTCTGTAGGAGAAGGTGGAGTCGAAATACACCATATCCAACTGCTTGGCTCTGGTCATATAAGGCATCAAAAATGGGTTTTTGTGTAACGAATAGACAAAACTCTGTTCGAGCATGGTATCACCTGTAAATAATACATTTCCTCGGAGACCCTCGATTAAAAACATCACCGACCCTGGACAATGGTCGGATGGAATCAGAGTCACTCTTACTGTACCATCCTCCTCCAGCTCTATTAACTGCGGATCATTGACCGGAGTGGAAACCAGGCAATTAGGGTCTATTTGTTTCACTGTCATCAGAATATGCTTTGTCGTGTTCGAACACAAAACCATGGGACCGGTGAAGGTGCTGCGATCAAGCCCTTTTAGATGGTCGCTGTGGCAGTGGGTCAGAAGATGGAGTTGAACTCGCGGCTGTGCAGGAAGCTCTCTCTCGAAGTTATCCACCCGTATAGATGGATATAAGTGTACTTTGCCGTTGTAAGTTAGCCCTTGTGGGCCTATCAAAGGTTCACCAGCCATTGCGAGCAAGGTTGAAAGACAAGCAGGAAGAGCTTTGGAGCTTGTCAAGTCTGAGACGCGAAAAGGTCGTGATGCCCACTCAATAAGGTGCATGCATTACATGCAAGGTAAGAGACCATTTATGCATACAACTGTACATCTGTATATCTACACTTTTGTGTGTCTCTTTTGTTTCTCTGTAGCTTTAAACGACTATACAATACATCTAGCCAATATCAAATATCCAATGTGCTCATACCTCTCGCCTTTGGTGGAATTTTTGTGCAAACCCAGGTCGAGGCGTACATGTTGATCCTATCGATGGACTCGCCTGAAAATCTGACTGCAGCAGCATCGCACTTATAACCATTCCTCTCAAATACTTTGATATACCACGGTTCAGTACTTGCCGATCGTAGGAGAACACGTCCAGATGGTGCAAGAGCTCCGTAAAGTGCTTTGACTTCCAGATCGCATTCCTGGCCGGACGGATCAAACCAGTCCATGTGGTCCATAATGACAGCCACGGTTAGTGAATTCTTTGTGAGTCTCTCAAAGACATCATTCAGTGTATCTGTGTGTAATCTAATACTGTCCAAAGGTGACGACGGGGAATGAAGTTTATTGTATCCATCTTTGGTGAGATAGTTGGGACAGTTGGATTCTGAGTAATGTCCCATCAAGGTCAGGTAGTAGAAATAGTTGTCCATTGACAACAACGATCTCGTAACAATAGGGTCAAGAGTATCAGCGAAATATTTCATGACAGATGAACCCATCATTTTAGCTTGGTTCACAGGAACTCCGAGTGCCTTCCACAGGAAGAGCGGGTTCCCAATCAATATTTTCGAGACAATGGGGTTAAAGATGGCAGGCTTGATTTTGTCATCCCAAACCTCTTTTTGTTGATCCATATCTGTGCAATTGCAAAGCTCATATACCTGGTCCTGAACTTGAGCAATTTTGAAAACCCATCTTGCTAGCCTTAATGCCCATCTAGTAGATCCAGTGTCATACAATCCAGTCCCGTTGATATCGAAACTCTTGTACCCCTTGGAATACCAGTATTGGAACGCATTAGACGATATATGAGGAGACAATTTTGTGACTAACAATTCCGTGAAGTTTTCTATCTTTCCCAGTCCAAACATTTTCCAAACCTCCTCTCTTTTGAGAACCTTCAAAGCTGCCAGTTTCAGCTCCATGAGATGGCCCTGACATGGGTTCAAATCAACGCCATGAATTCTCTTGGGAGGATCATCCAAGCATGCGTATGACAAAATATTATCCCCAGCTGAGGTTATGGCCAAAACTGTATCTTTCGACGAGAGCTTGAGAATATTGAAGTCCTCGCGGGGGTCTTCCCAGGTGAAAGCGTAAATGTACTGGTCTTTGAATTGGGTGTACTGGGGATTCATCTCATCGTAGTAGACTCTCCAGATGTCGTTTTGGTAGTAAATGGAAGGATATGGAAGATGCTTCTGTCTATTTGAGACAGCTGCCTCGTACCCTTTGCTCTTTGGAATGAGCTTGGTTTCCTCTGATGGTGCCAGATATGGAGATTCCGTTGCAAGGGCGTTGATCCTGTGTAGAAGAGCAGGTGTTTTGTCCCTGTCACAACCCAGCCAAATGTAGTATGGGATTTTTCCCAAGGAGTGGTTGTAGCAATTGAGCGACTTGAGAGTGCCAAATCTGTATTCAAGATAGTCTCTTCTTGCAGGATCCAAGAATACACGATCGAACTCAAACCATATTCTCCAAAAACTTCTTAGGATCCAGGGGACATGCCTGTTGTACGTTCCACCAACGGTATTAACTCTTCCAATGGCAGTGACTTCTGATTGAACACCAAAATCCACTGACATGACAAGTCCACCGCTATTTAACAGTTCCGAAGCATGGTCAACAGCTGAGTGGAAAGTTGGGATCATGGACAACGAATATGAAAAGGTGATTAGATCAGCCTTTCCTTCAGGAATTTCAAAATCACACGCGTCCACACATAAAATTTCAACTATTTTTGAGAGACCAGCCTTTGCGAATCTATGTCTCGCGACTTGACAAAGAGAAGGCGAAAGATCTACCAGGTAGACTTTCTTGAAGTATTTTCTCAGAGAAACGATGCGGTTCATCTGCTCTATATTCCAGCCGGTTCCTCCACCAATATCAACCCAAACCAGGTTTTTCTTGCCAGAAGAAGTAAAATGCGCAGCTGCTAATGAAAGCGCAGTCTCACGTCCCTGAAGTAGCAATTTTCTTGTAGAATCGTAAACTTGAGCCTGCGTCTTGTAGAATGATTCCAAAGCAGATTGTTGTTGATTTCCCTTACTAGAAGACTGGGTAACCGAGAAAGGCTTTAGAAAACAAGCCCAGCAAAATAGAATAAGTGACTGCATCGATTTTAGATTGGAAGAATATCTCTTAGACAAAACGAAAAGGGCAATAAAGGTGAGGGCACCATATGCCACCACCGTAGACAATTGTCGTTCCAAAAATTCGGAATCTGAGTTCATCATTTTGGGTCACAAAAGTTGAAGTTTTGTGTGCTTTTTCCTCTCGATTTACGCTACTACAACCTTATATATACTCGTCAGATACCCGACGACAAGTTTCACATGTTGAAGGTCTCGGTGCCCCACGTGTATTTATCTGGAGAACTAAAGCCAACATACGCGTAGTTTTGATGTATATGAATTTTTATTCCGGTGCGGCATACCCGAGAGTATCCGATATTTGTCGGCTTGGCCGAAAAGCTGGGGAAAGCCGCACCACGTGTTGGGGTTGACCCACGTTTTCAGCCCTACACACTGTCAACTAAGTCAATCAAATGCTCTATTTCATTGTAGATTAAGAAAGATTTTCTTGGTCATTATCGGTTCACAGGGATCAAATTTGTGGATTCAGACCCAATCGACCGGATTTTGCAGTACCTTCAGCAGTTTGGCCTCTTCGGAGCCCTCATCCGGGTGATGGTCGTACAACCAACTGGCTGTTTTTGGCAGTGACATTAAAATTGATTCTGTTCTTGACCCGGGAGTTTGCAGTCCAAATTTGGTACCTCTATCAAGAACCAGATTGAACTCAACGTATCTTCCGCGTCTGATTTGCTGCCAGTTCTTCTGCTCTGGCGTAAATGGTTGGTCCTTTCTAGCAGCCACAGTTGGTACATAAGCGGGTAAAAATGCGTCAAAGCACGATTCCACTATCCTGAGAATCTCAAGAGGCGGTTTTGCATCAAAGTCGTCGAAGAAGATCCCACCTATCCCACGGGTCTCTCCCCGGTGGGTGATGTGGAAGTACTTGTCACACCATTTTTTCCATGCAGGATATAATTCTGGGTCAAATTTATCCAATGCTTGTTTGTGTTCATTGTGAAACCTTTTGGCATCTTCTTCGTAGAGATAGGCAGGCGTCAAGTCCGCACCGCCGCCGAACCACCATGCCTTGGTCTCGTCGGTCTCGCTGTCCATGATCTCAAAATACCGGTAATTCAGATGGGTCGTGGGGGCATGAGGGTTGTTTGGATGAAGAACCATCGACAATCCGCAAGCAAAAAACTTGGCCGATCCATCAATACCAGAACCGCTCAGATTCTTGTGATCGGCTCTCATCTTGTCGATGGCCTGAGGAGGTAAGATTCCATGAACAACCGAGATATTCACTCCTCCCTTCTCAAAAGTATCACCATCTTGAAGTACCATCGAGGTTCCACCACCGCCTTCGTTACCACGGATCCACGAGTCCGCATGGAACCGTGCTGTTGGTTCCAAGGTCTCGAGCTCGGCCACTATCTCCTTCTGCTTGGCCCTGATGAGTCTTTCCATTTGGACTTTGATTGGTTCACTTTCGTTGAAATTCATTTTTGGCAAGTTTGGAGTCTCCAACAAAAATCTACCGAGTTGGATTGCAAGATTCAAAGTGAAAAGTTCTCGGGAAAGCCCTATAAATATTTCACCAACGTTGATAGCCTGATTTCGCATCGCATCGCCCGAATCATACCATATTTAGTGGTAGTGTACATATGCTAATTATGCGCCGCACAGATTTTGTACTCACTATGAGTCCACACTCGTTTAATCGTTTCGGGAAAAAGATGCAAAGGTGGGGCGAGTATTATTCAGCCGAAAGAAGTGGAACACGGGGACAGGAAATCCGACGGGACAAACGATTCAGACGGACCCAGTTGCCGTATAAACTACCAAACCCAACTGATTACGTCATCCAAATCTTCCAAACAACCGGAACGAAGTGATTCGCATGAAGTGTTGAATCTAGACCCACCACCTATCTTTTTGATTTAAGTGGCACAAGATTTCCCTGCAGCGAGTGGCTATTCTTGGCAGACTATATATCAGGGGCGCAGTTGCCGAGGACCCTTCCAAGGATGTTCGGATAACATGACCTTTGGCTCTGGGCACACTATTGGCCAGAAATCCCACATTTCAACGCAGATGTTGCTCAGAGCGTGATCGTCGGTGTTTAGGCTCGCTATATTGCACATTTTAAGATCGACCACGAAAGCTGATCAACATTAGATAGCAGAAATCCCGATATGAAGGGCAAATTGGTCCCGGTACGACTGCTCCAATGAGGAAGGGGGCTCGAGACTTGTTGCCTCCTCTTGCTAAAAAGGTTATTTGGATTAAACAATTAGACAACACGGAGGATATCTAATTCATATATTCGAAACAAGAATATATAAACTCGAAATCCCGCGAAAAACCGTCTTCAAACGTTTCAAAAAACCATCAAATCCGCAAACTCAAGGGTCTACGGGGACGTTGCAGGAGCGGGTCAAATTTTCTTGGCTTGCGTTAATTTCTCCAATTTTAATGCCGCCCTTATTGTTTGGCGACTGGCAGGCACATCGCTAAGATTTGGCTCTAAGAGTAGTTTCGAGTTTACCAATGCAGTTGATATGTTCATAAGGGCTTATATTAGTGTTTCTTAGTTTTAATTCTTTCTTGCTCGAGTATTGTTGGTGGTCCATTATGGTGATCAGCAAGAATGAGGGGTTTAAGGCACCGCCTCGTGCAAAAATGGCCATCCCTTGGCACGTCCAAATTCATGCTTAGACTTTGCGAATAAAAATAGATATATTATAGAACTTGAAGATATAAAAGCGGGAAAGAAATTTCAGACAAGATAAAAGAGCCGGAAAGCTTGTAATACAAATAGCAAAGCTTTAGGGCCAAAAGATGTAAACTTCCAGCGGAAAACGCAAATCGCAAATCAGTGAATGTGCTTTCCAATGGATTATTTTTTTCGTAAATCATAGTCGAGATCTTGAGTCATGGCGGTAACGCATTAGCGCAATCGCCTCAAGGCTCTGTTCTCGAAACTCAGCAAACAAGACGAATCCTTCAAGGCTTTCTCTTCTTGCCTCGTCTGCCCATAGGGGCGTTAAGATGCGTCTTATAATGCTGCATACAATTGTCCTGTCTCGAAAATCTCGCGTCACATCCTTCGTGTGGACAAGGGTGTTTCCGCTCACCCGTGTGGATCCTGGAATGCCTAGCTAAGTGTCCCGAGGTGGTAAACGGCCTACCACACATCTGGCACTTGTACTTCCTGGGTGTGGAACTGAGTAACGTAGTTGACTTATCCTCTAGAGCTATCGGGAATTGTTCGGGTGAAACTGGCTCTGTCGGCGCAGTTTCCCTCGATTCTGTATCCGACATAGAAGTTCTCGAGCTGGTAGAGCCCGTGCAGCTTAACGGCGAGCCTAGCGACTCGACGCTGCCAAATCCCGCCGGTGCATGCTGTTGTTGGAAGTCCTGGCGAAGATGGTCTTTGTCAAACGATGCCGGCACCCTGTTGAAATCGCTTGTGTAGATATTCATATTCATGGAATGCAGCGGTTCCTTTGGAATCATCGTGGGTAGTAAGTGGGACTGCTGGATCTCGTTGAAAAGGTTCCTGATCGGAGGTAAACTGATTCTGGCGGGATCACTTGGATGAGGTGTTAACCTACCATCTGTGTGGTTTTGTGCGAGACGTTGCATTTTGAGGGCGCTAATCTTGTAACGAAACCCTGACGACGACCTGATGAAATCCAGACCAAACTGTTTGAGCGATCACAAATTGCCCGATGGAAAAAGAGGCCGAGCGCACTAGAACTGACCTCCCAGGTTGAATAACGGAATCTTAAGTATGGACTAGTGGTCAAACAACACTTTTCCAGAAAGAAGGAGAGGGCTTGGAACGGAGCTGGGTGATGGTCTAAATAAACAGGAGGAGGGCAGGAGAAAGGGTACACGCCAGAAACCTGCCTTAAGTGGACAACTGATATTGAAGCCAAAGACCGGACAAGATTATGCGTCTTGTGTTGAAATTGGAAACTTCGCTTGTTGCGGAGTTGTATATGTATACATATATATATATATATATATATAAAAATAATCACATATGTATTGTGGCTTGTTATTTTGGAGCAGGTATCCCGCTGTTTTTAAATGTTCTCTGTACAGGCACTGGTCAACTATTTGGTGGGTAACGAGGCCAATCGGGTGCTTGCTTCGAGAGTTCCCAGTTTCAATGACATTACATGATAGCGGCAAAAACAATAAGCTCGGTGCTTTGGACTCTTGCGGAAACGGATCCGAAGCTGCGAAAGTTAGGTCACATTCGAAATAAGAAATTCTCAACGGCCTCGTCTATGGGATTCTGGACGAAATGATGCTGGGCCGCGTGTATTCTTCAATGACGTCAACGTACATCATGCCTGTTCACATATTCGTCTTTGTTCTAAAACTGTAATTTTACAAGGGTGATTGTGAGTCCTACAAAAGCAGGTGAGCTTAAAGGCCGGTGATCTTAAAGGCCGGTGATCTTAAAGGCCGATACGCAAACCAGATGTAACTTAGTGGGGCTCCCGGTGCTATGTCTTGGACTTTTAATTGTTTCACTCATTATGAGACTCGCTGGCTTACACACACGCAAGTCTGATTTGCCTTCCAACTTTTATTTTTAACACACTTCCCCAGGACACTTCCGACAGCTAAGCCAACTCCGAGCGATTAAACACGAAGCGTGGTATCCTGCCTCGTCATTCGATTAGAGCCACTCCGGACACTCCCGACACTCCGGACACTCCGCGGTGGAGTTTCTCTTTCTCCGAATCTCAGCTCTAAAATAAAAAACCACTCTTGTAAATAGCGTACAAAAATGTCGCACAGATCCCACTCCCGCGTCAGCCGACAAAATAATTACAAGTGCGCGATGGAGGTGCAGGCCGCGCCGCCTTTCCTACTTCCAGAAAGAACAAAAAGTCTTTCTTATTGGCATGATGTCACTGTACATGAGAACATTTTATGCTGCCTTATGCCACGCGACTGTAGTGTTGCTGTGCTACACGAAAACACTCAAGCACTCGAAACATCAAAGGCAAATTAGACGCTGAAAAATGCTAAAAATGCTGCAAACTTTTTTGAATCAGCCGCTCGGAGTTAAGCCCGCACCTGCCGCCGAAAAGTCTTGGCAACGGGCGCCTTTGTAATACTATGTTCAGGGTCTACCGGAGAGACTCCAGAGAACATATGGAAATAATCAAAGGCAGCAAGGTGAAGTTCTCGAAAAAAAAGCATTCGCATATCGTCTGTTTTGAAAAACACCATCGGATGTGCAGACTATGGCTTTTATGCAATAAGCACTAGACATGGGCCATTGATTTCGCGTTTTTACTTATTTATAGCACACTGACTTTCGAAATCTTTATGAACTCTTTATCGGTGACGTCAGTGACCCCAGGACCATTATTTTATTTCTACATGGTATGATCAAAAGATTTGGGAACAGCATAGATCGAATGCAATGATTGTAGTTTGTTGATAGATAGTAGGATGCCGATTGGGAACCATCGCATTTCTGCATTTGAATTTTTTTTCGCTTTGATGCGGATCATGACTTATGCTCTAGTCTTTTGCACTTTGTCAATCACCATCATCATCACCATCATTATAATCATAATCATCATTGCAGATTCCGTGCTTTTCTCGTAGTTGTAAGAACGATCGGTTCTTTCTGTCCGCGCCCTTATCATTCAAGATTTCTATCGTGATTGTAGCTATCAGTTCTCCCTTTTTTTTACCAGTCTCCATCATCGTCGTCATCGCTTAAAGCAACCTTGCTTTTTCTCGAACTCAACGCTGCCGCTAAGGCATCAGCCAACGACGCAGGTTGTCCTGGAGCACCGCCGTTTCCGGAGGGCTGTGCAACTGGCTCTCCTTTGGCTTCTTGAAGAAGAACAGATGGTTTGTCCAGCTGGGACTTGTCAACCTTCTTCAGCGACCCGAGACCCGAACTTCTAATGGATGCCAGCAATGCATCACGCCCACCATCAACTTGAGGCAAAGCAGGTGCGGGTGATTCCTGAGAGAAACCACCCATAGGAGGTGGTGGTGGACCACCACTTGCCATTGGTGGAGGTGGAGGGGCAACTGGAATGGCAGATTGTGTCATCGGAGGTGGCGGCGGAGCCACTGGAATGGTGTTGTGGGCAGTTGGAAGAGGAGGTGCAACAGGTGTTGGGCTCTGAGGCATAGGAGGTGCCTGTGGAATGGACTGCTGAGGCTGGTACGGACTTTGGGGTTGGTAAGGATTCTGTGGTGGTTGGTAAGCACTCTGTTGAGGCTGGTAAGGACTCTGTGGCTGCTGCTGTTGGGGCTGGTAAGGACTTTGTGGCTGCTGTTGTTGAGGCTGATATGGACTCTGCTGCTGATATGGACTCTGGGTTTGCTGAGGTTGATATTGCGTCTGCTGCTGAGCTGGATACACATTCTGAGGCGGCGACATCGGCCGTGGAGATGTAGGCAGCTGCGGCGGCGCTGTGGGTCTCGCAGTTGCCCTTGAAGGAGGTGGAGGAGGGCCATTTCCCCTTCTGGGTGGTGGAGGTGCCGGCGGAGTCCTTCCCTGAGTCTGCTGAGGAGCTGATGGCTGCCCATAAGGCGTTGGCACAGGACCTCTTCCCGGTAGAGCAGGTCCAGGAGCCCGTGATGGGGCCTTTGGAGGCAGTGGCGGAGGTGCACCACCTCTTGGCGGAACTGAAGGTCCTGGGTTTCTGGACGGTGGTGGAGGGGGCACGTTATGAACCGGTGGTCTTTGGCCGTATTGTGTTGGTACTCCATTCCGGGCAGGCGGTGGTGGAGCATTACCGTTTGCTCCAAACGGACTGGATTGTTGGTAGTGAGGTTGTTGTGGCTGTCCTACTGGAGCTGGAGGATGGGCATTCTGGCCTAGAAAAGGCATTGCAGGCGGAACTTTGTGAACTGGACCTGCGGGAGTGGGTGCAACTGCTGGTGCTGGTTCTGGTGCTGGTGTCGAAGCTATAGGGGCCGGAGTCGATCCTCTGGTAGTTTCCGCACTTGAGTGATGAGGCGTAGTGGAACTGCTCGTAACAGGCTCAAAATCGGGCGGGTTGAAATCATAGCCAGAATCATTGTCAGAGGAATGCATTGAGGGTGCAGGTACCGCATGCGGAGCCGCAGGCACGCCTGGTGGAGGTGGAGGTGGAGCTTTCTTCTTTTTGATGGAGCTTCCTGAAGCAATCCGTGATTGGCTAGGAGTATCGTTTGATGCCGTCTTATATTGAAATTTCCGTGGAATTGGAGGTTCCAATCCAACGAGAGGTCCGCCCTGTTCATTGATGTAATTCTTGATAAAATCGCGATTATCTGCGATCATGTCCTCCGAAATACCCATCGACTCTAGCTCTGCGTAGAACGATCTCCACTCCGGTGGTGGAACGTCGTCGTAATATATCGGGCCCCTCGTTCTTCTTACTCTCTGGGCGTTAATAGGATCGCCCATATCACCTCTGGGCCCAGCAGCCCTGGGTGCATCGGGTTTCTTCTTCAACGCAATGGCATTTTTGTTCTGGATTGTCTGTTTCGAGCCGTGTTTCTCCTTAGAGGTCACTTTTTTATAGAACTGGGATGCTTCGCCCGTTTCCTCAAATAAAAGGCCGCCAAAGCACTCCTCAAGCTCGAACGAGTGGAAGAAGGACCGGTCCTGGTTGTACTGGAAGCCAACATAGAGCTCCTGGTCCCAAATCACTCCCCGATGCCCAATAATATCCACAAGCTTCAGAAAAAACGTGTGACCCACCAGATCATCCACAAATACGATTGCACCGCTCAATCCGGTGAATTGCCACGCCTGGGGGTCTGGATGTGCGATGTAAAGCCTGGCAACGCCGGCCGCGATGATTTTGTTTGCGTTTTTCGGGATCGCCCGTTTTATCTTCTCCTTATCGGCTGACGTGAGGACAACCATCGTAGTGAGAGTTCAGATAACCAGTTGAGGGGTGATTGGAGGGGAATTGATGGTTTTGGAGGTCGAATGGGTGAGGTTGGTATGAGGTATCGTTGTACACTCTGGGGGCCTGGAATTGTATGTGCCAAGTGTTGGTCGGAGCTTGGTCGGAGATTGTCCGGAAGAACTAGGTTCCCGGTTGATCGATCTGAGATCGGAGTCGTATGTGTCGCTCCAATATTGGGATTAGTTTGAAATTTTTAGATCAAAACTTTGAAAATGTGATTTTACTGGTACTATAAATGAGTCAGCACCAAATCTTTTTTTTTTCGAAAATATCAGGCCATAATTAACCAACTGTTCTACCAGTAGATGATCTCATTCCGACCGGTGTGGGAGTTCCCGGAAACCAGTAACCACAAACGAGTGCTCCTAACCTTCAGCCCTTGCTTGCACACAGAAAATTTGTCAACTTTATTCTCAAGTTGTTTCTAACTAAATAACAAGCACTACCATATAACAACAAGATGTCTGGTCGTCAAGGTGGAAAGGCTAAGCGTGAGTGCGAAATTTGAGATATCATGTGAAACTCTACTAACTTCCGCCATACAGCTCTTAAGGCCCCAAAGAAGAAACAGCAGGAGTTTGACGATGAAGACCTCGCGTTCAAGGCCAAGCAGAAGGCTGAGGCTCAAGCTAGAAAGGAAATGGCATCCAAGGCTGCCAAGGGTGGTCCTCTTGTCGGCGGTGGTATCAAGAAGTAAGCATATTAGATTTGGAGCAGAGTGGTCTAGAGGCTTCCAGTATACTAACAAACCTATTCAGGTCCGGCAAAAAATAAGCTGGTTTCTCCTTCCGTGAATACAATCCATAAAATGGTCTTTAATGGTTCTGTATAGTTCTTAATGACTGTATAGAATAACAATTGGGTCCCAAATACATGTAGATTTTGCTTTTGAGTTGTGTAGCAACCCCAGTTCATTTTGATCCCGATGCATTTGTGGAGAAGAGGTATTGAGCCGCAATCAGCACTTCACCCGATTGAGTTGAGTTGCTCATTTTGCGGAATGACGCAATAAAATCCGGTTTTGCATTGCTTCAATGTGTTCTGTATTTGGGATTATGTGAACTTGTGTTCTGATCTTTTGAAAAATTAAACAGTAGAATTGATCATATTTTCTTCAAATGCTGACTTTTCTGAGATCTTGGCTAAACGACGTCTTCGCATTGACCATTTGAGGTACATGAATGTCCCACGATACCGCAGAATCATTAGTTTTAATAAAAAATTCCCTAAATAATCAAATAGGAACCCGAATTACTACAATCCCCGCAATTTAAATCTTCTAGAACTGTTCGTTTCAATAGCAACTGTTTCCAGAAGTTTTCGGTGAGTTTGCTCTATCAATGAAAAATTACCTAATGCGGTAAAGAGCATCATCATGCGTTCCGAGGCTGTTCAGCTCATTTACACCACACAATTGTGTTGTCTTCCTTAGCATTCTAGTTATTGTTTTTGGAAGAAGCGGTATTAGTTAGACACTGGCTGTTTGTCCGATTGTTGAGGAGAAACCTCGGGTGTCTATTCTATTACTCTCTTTTAGTTTCGCAAGACCGATTGTTCCCCGGATTAACCCCATTGTCCAAGACTGATCCCAGCAACTGGAACCCACGCTCCGCTTTTGTTCTTCCTCCCAGCCATGGCGCACCGGAATGACTTGAATAAGAACATCAGAAGGGTAGTATTTGAACTTCTACTTGTTATCTCGCCCTTTATCATGGTGATGATGGTGAGAGACGTTACACAGTTCCAGGATCTAATAGGTGAAGATGTGGACTTGATGTTGGACTCGAAAAACCTTGACGGATTGCAGGTATTTTCCAAAGGGTTTCAGTATATGACTCAATGGCTTCCCTTTGAACAAAATTCACGGCTAGGGTTGGCTATTTCCTACGGGCTGTAAGTTACAATCCAGGTGGTTCGGCATCACGTTTAAAGTACTAACTTCGGAAGCTACACACTGTACGGAATCGCAACTGTATGCGTCCTGTTTCATCTCTATGTTTTCTATGCCATTTGCATCGTGGAATGTACCGCCCGAAAGTGGACGGGCGTGATAGACTTTGCCAAACAATTGGTCTAGATTTCACTAAAATACAGCATAAGCAATGCAGACATCACACATTCACATACCAAAGTCAAATGCACTCATATCCGGCTCCACAAATGCAGAAGGTGGAGGCTGGATTTTATTGGAAAAGTCCTTTTTGCGGGATGACGAAAAAGCGGCGGGAGATGGTCCCACTATAACATTCTTCACCTTCTCCTCCTCAATCTTGACCATATCATTTAGATCAGCCAACATAAACTTCCAGTTTCTCACAAGATATACCGAGATGTAGTCACATCCCATGCGAGTATAGTAGTAGGACACTCTGAGAACAAATTCAAATTCGTCCTTAGAGGTCAAGCCCAAAGCACCCTTCAGATAGTCCAGGTGTCTGGATCTGAGATTATCGTACATTACCAGCAAAACAGGATCCTCCATGATTCTGTTAACAGTCCCGTTGCCGTCGCTAATCAACCTCTTAGCAGTCCTCGCAACATTCTCACCAAATATCCCGGGATCTTCAACAAGCTCATGAGAATGCTTCACCAATGCCTGGATCGCAAGAGGACGGTTCCCAAGTTTCCAAAACACCCAGGAAGCAGTCCACCTGTCTCCCTTCACCATAGCTTCTGACAGGACGTAATCCTTGAGCAAATCAGAGAGAATTGAGCCCTTATCCGACTGCTCGTAGCAAATGGCCACAAGAATTGCCAATGGAATGTCCTTCATTTGCTTGACAACCACATTCACGCAATCTTTCAGAGAGTCTGCAAGAAGGAAAAATGAAGCGGCATCTTTGAATCTGTGTCTTCCCAAAAGAACGTATGCATTCTTCAGAGCAGCGGATTTCCATCTGGGATCGGAAAAATTGTTCGCTAGAAACTTCATCATTTTTTGCTGTTCTGGGTTGCCAACAGATGTTCTCCACAGGCCTTGAAGAACATGCTTTTTCTTCAAGGCAAGGTAAAAGATAGAGCACTGGGCTGGATCTCTTTTCCCGTCATTTTTATTCGAGAATTCCAGAAACTCGTTCCTGGCTATTGACTCCGCCATTTCCATTAATTTGGGCACTGGTAACCAATACGGCAGGCCATACGACTTGGCTTTTGCCCAAGTCATTCGATCGCTTCCTTGAGACTCAACAATGTTCAGCAGTATATCTTTATTATCGGAATGCATAGCAAAGTTGATATCTCTCATGGTGATAGCACCCTGTATGGTGGATTTGGATTGGTTGACTTGGAACAGTTTCATACCCAGGAAGAATCTCATTCCGTTGACATCGAGCGATTGCGAGTGTTTCAGCATAATCTCCATGATTATTTCAATAGTGGACGCTAACGTGATTTGCTGATGGCTGGTCAAAAACGGAAGCTTCATCTTCCGGAGCCTTTCGAGTAAGGTGTCAGCCATTGCAGGAGACAGCAGTTCCGGCGATTGGTCTATTGGCAGCAATCCGTTTCCATTTGAAAGACAGCTGAATGAAGTCCCCTTGGAAGGCTCTGAATCTTCCAGAGCAGCAAAATCGCTGGTTAGAAGACCCAGAGTTGGGTCCACATCGCGAAGGACATCTCCGTTGGGGTCCAAGGAAATCTCACGAAGCCGATCACATAAAACACAGAGGATTTTCTCCACAGTCTTAAATCTGCCAAGGAATAGCATTTGGATGATCAGCTGAGGGTGATACGCAGGTAAGGGGCCATTTAAAACTCTGCACAGGTGGAAAAGATTCTTTGTCATGATTTGAATCGTACCCAATGCCTGCTGGGTCAGAATATCATTCTCAGGATCCAATGTCTGATCACTCACATAGATTTGATTACCCGCACCTATCACTAACGTACCATTCTTCAGCCAAAGAGAGTCCCCAATTTCGTGGGTCGTTTGCTCCGAGATATCGATCAGCTTGATGGCTCTATATGAGGGTGTATCATTGGTGTAGTCATATCTCAACTGGGTGTATAGAATACTGCAAGAGCTGAAGCCCACAGCAAGAACAGATTGGTTATGATCCGTACATGTCCAATCAATGTCCTTGATCTTCTGCCCATTTCCGACTGAAGACTGCTTCACAGACTCTTCGTATTCGAGGAGACAGCCTCGGGTGTCCCAGACTGAGAAACTCTCGCAGTTTTCATCCACAATGGCTAGTTTGTGCAACGAAGACCCTTTTATTTGTGTAGCATTTGAAATACCAGTTTTGAAGCTGCTCTTCAGTATCCATGCAATCTGATTGTCTTTCAGGGAAACAGAATATATCATCACAGACCCGTAAGAGTCGATAATCGCAAGCATGTCTCTCTCTGAAGGAGATCCCTTATTAACTTTTGCTGTCCAGCCAACTGGGTCAACAGGAGATATGAGGTGGACTTCTGTGGGCGCAAAAGGGAACTGGCCTGTTGAAAAGGACATTAGCTTGACTTCACCACCGGAAACAACCAGTTCCCATGCTTCTGAACTCAACCCCTCTTTTATGGCGACAATATGAGCAACGTTTGATTTCGTTTCTGGAAGAACTAGAAGCGATAAGACTCTTTGATCACCCTTGATTGTAAGTGATCCCACACTGACCGCAAGCTTATCAGATGTATGGCCACAAGTATTTTGATTAACTGTTTCTATTCTGCAATCCCAACATGTAAGGACATCACCAGTTAGTGTCACGACAAAGTCTCCACCCTGAAGAATGACCGCATACTTGATCGGAGACTTGGTCTTCAATAACGCCTTTCGACTCAATGTGACCCCACCGTCAGACACTGTAATAGGGTACCAGACGTACGATTCGCAGAAACGAGTGACCGATAAACAGGCTGCACCATCATTGGATCTGATAAACTGCTGGATTGACTTGTTGTGACCAGTGAACTTGTGCACGAGAGTGCCTATCGATATGACCTCCTTCGGTGCCGAGAGCAAATCAGACTCCTGCGAAGGCGATGGCAGCTTGATGAATCCAGAATCCGGCGAGACTATTGGTTCAAACTGGAAAAGATCCTCAAAGCCAATGGCAACGTGCCTTATAGATCCACGTGCAACGTCATGAATCATAAGAGTCAAGTCTTTATGTATATCGCGACCCGAAGTCACCAGGGAAATATCCTGGAAGAACAGACTTCCTTCTCTTTTTGGCAAGCAGTTTTCTCCTAGTTTGATAAAAGCAGGAAAAGGAACATGCTTGTTTCCATAATTATCTTCGTGGAAACTTTTGACTTCCAGCTTGAACTGTCTTAAGGCACCTGGAAGAATATGAGACACGTTGACCAATCCATACAAACTGACATTACTGTCTTCATCAATAACCATCACCAGTTCAAAGTTAGAGCTCTGTAGCCTTGCCAGATGCTCCTCCTTTTTTCTGTAGTAACTAATAGTACTGCCACTTCTGCTCCTTCCCTCCTCTAATGGAACGTGCAGCAAGTTTCCAGATGTCACGCTCGTCTTTCTGTGTTTGGACTCATGGTCCTCCTCGAGATTATCCAGCATCTTTTGTAGACCATATTCCACTATGTCGTTGTCAATTATCACACAATAACGCGACCCGGATCGTTTGGGCTCAGGAACCCCCTCATAAAGATCAATCGTGCCACTGAACAGAACCTGGTAGTCTCCTTCGGCAAAGAACATGGTCCAGACCTTGACGACAGACTGAGACTCGTACGTGTACAAAACGTTGTGCTCCCTTTCTCCCGTTGTTGTAGCAATACTGTGGATGTCTGCAACGCTACCAGCTCTTCTTGATGGTCTTGTCGAGGCAACCGAAGACGCAGTCGGGGAAACAGCGCCACTGGTAGCACCACCCAGACCCCAGGAGTTCGTTCCCCCCTTCCACCTAAGATTGGTGATGTAGCTGGAATGCCGCAAATAGACCACATCGAATTCTGACGTTTCTATTCCGAAGGCCACTCTGTGCCACAGCTTCAGAGCCGTGTCGTAAAAGCCAATGCTCGCAATTGTGTTTGAATTCGGAGAAAACTTCACCATATATACAGGATTTGCCTGGCGTTTGAACCAGAGTCTTTTGGCGGAAACTGTCTTGTTTCCTTTTCGGTCTCGGTAGAATAGTCTCCAAAGAGTCAAAGACTCCTCCGATCCTACCACCAATTCGCAAGTAGTCTCGGAGTTGTACTCATCCGGAATCCCAAAAAAGTTCTGTGAGTCCATGTCATCTTCGAGAAAATCACAACTATCTGACCAATTCAAGCAATTGACCTTGGACGAGTCATCTTCGTTGATTATCACGGTCTCCAAACCCCACGATATCTCCAGCTTGGAAATGTCTTTCCTGCCCGAGAAATTGAAGCTGTAAAAGTTTTTGATATGCGGCTTGTAAACATGGATCTCGTTTCCAATTGCCAGAGCAATTTTCCCGTTCACTCGGTGGATATCGACCGCCGTGGCATCTCTGTCCAGGTATATTGTTTGAAGATGATGACAGTGGTCAGTCAAAATCACCAGGTTGTTCCCAGAACAATAAGCAAAAACCGGCAGGGCATTCCAATTGGTCAGAGCCACTGCCGAATAAGCCCGGTTCGGTTCACCCGGAAGGAAATTGAGGGTCATGTGGTGAGGGTCCTTGTCATGAATCAAGCAACAAGGCCGGAGTAGTGATATTCAGGCAATGGAGTCTTGGTGTGGCGGGTAGTGGCAGTGCTCGTGATCACATGTGGCAGTTGCGGGCTGATAACATTTTTCATATCAGGTGGGGGCCTTCTTTCTTGACAAAAACTACAGGATCAAGATGGTTGCTAGGTATGTGCTTTTTGAAGATATTGCGATTGTGCTTGAATACTTACCAGACTCTTTTGAAGTTGTAAAGATCAACTGAAACAGGTGGCGATTTGCCTGCAGAGATCACCTTGCGTGATGATCGAGAGGAACCAGCCCAAGAAGTGTTTGACAGATCCAGCGCTGGCCAAGGACCTTCCAGACTTGTGCAAGGCCCAGTTGTCAACATTTCTGGAGTGCAAAAGAGGTATAGTTGATATGAGAAAGAGGATAAGAGGAAACGGCACCCTGAGCACGGGAAAGTATGACGAGCAGTACGAGAAGCTGTCTACTGGTGATTTTGATCCTCTGGAGGAGATGCACAAATTGGACAAGTTGAACTCAAATCAAAAGCAATAAGAAAAGTCATGCCTGAGAATTGACTGGAGTTATGGAATTCAAAGAAATAATCCTGTATATATCGTCTAAGAAAAATCAGCTATGAATAGTAAACACTGTGGGAAAGTCATCCTCTACACGTCTGATAGGTGCAGAGCAATAGATGCATCTTAGGTTGGCGATGAGTTTCAACGTATGAACGCTTGGACAGTGTAGAGATCTCAGCACCAACATGCATCACCACCTCACTTCTCACTCAGAGTCCCACCAATCGCGACAATGTTATCTATCAGTCTATCAACCACCTCATTCGTCACCACCGGAGAGTTGAAAACAACTCTGAAAAATTCGCCCCCGCAGCCCTTTATAGGTTTTCCATCAGGACTTGGGGCATAGTCTATCAAAAACTTTCCTGATGAGTGTAGCTGGGTCGCAATGGTTCTGGTGACCGCGGTATTCTGCGCAGCATCAACTGATGAAACATCGCTAGTGATATACGCAGGATTGTAATAGAAGCAGACTTGCAAGCAAGGAGGGGGATAGTCACCGATCATTTTGAATCCAGGGATGGTAGAGATCTTCTTTGCAAAGGATTTGCCAATGTCATAGGCATGATCAACCCTTGCTGCGTAACCCTTGGTTCCATAGTACAACCAGCCCAGGTAAAACTTCAGACTGTCAGCTCTTCTTCCGCAGCCCATGGTTCCATCTGCAAGATCATAGTTATCATCGCTATCGCTTGAGTTGTGAAATAAATAGGGTGCTGCTAGAGAATTTGCCTGTTGAAAGATTCTTTCATCAGGAACCAGCAAGAATGAGCAAGTAGTGGGAACACCCAGCATTTTATGGGGATTGGAAGTTATGGAATCAGCAAGATGGGATCCATTCAAACGATCCTTTCTGCTTGGACTGAATATCGTGTTTCCGCCCCAAGATCCGTCAATGTGGAACCAAATGCCGTACTTCTTGGCTACAGCAGAGATCTCTTCGAAAGGGTCATAGGAACCAAAAACGGTAGTACCAGCAGTACCGTTCACATAGAGGGGCGTATATCCATCATCAACGGATTTCTGAATGACTTTATCCAATTCGCTAACATCCATTTCACCGTGTTCGTTGACCTCGATTTTGAACAGACTCTCGGCCCCGAGACCAAGAAGAATGCAAGCTTTTTCAACACTATAGTGGGAATGTTTACTCGTGTAAACTGCAAATCTGTGCTCTGAGTTACCCTTCAATTTTGTAGAAGGAAAAAGCGTGCTTCTCGCCATCTGCAAACTGGTAACGTTCGACCAGGAACCTCCACTGAAGGTAAGTCCTCCGGCAGCAGGGCCATCAAATCCAAACAGATTTGCGTATTTTCTGCCAACAGATTTCTCGATCACACTCAAAGCCGGGGAAACAGTAAAAACGTGAGAGTTGGTGTTCAACACACTGAGAAGGAGATCGGAAACAACTCCAATTGGGTTCGTCGAGGCATACAACTTGTCCATGAAACCTGGATGCCAGGTGTTGACCGAGTTCTTGAGAATTTGGTCAAAAACTGCAACCACCTCACTAGAGGATCCGCTTTGGAGTGAGTCCTCAAAAAGGTGAGGGTCATCAAGTTTTAATATCTTCAAAAGTTCCTTTGGGTCTTCGAACCTGGGTCCTATATCGGCCTTCTCTAGATCTGTATCTTCAACATGCTTGATTATTCTTTCCACAACAGCAGGTAATAGTTCTTTCAGCTCTTCAACTCTGTTCTTCTCTAGATCAGAATCGATAGCTTTAGTGACAGTCATGACGAAGGTGTTGTCTTCACAAGAAACTAACACTTCTACAACACAGAAGAGTAGTTGTATGACTAACTTAAATAAATTATCCAGCCTCGTCTCTTCATCTCATGCGCCATGTCTGGGTGGCGCAGGCGATGACTAGCAAAATCGCGAAGGCTATCTCTTATCATCAAGTACGGTTGTGGTTATTCTGACTCTCCAAGCTTGCTATTCTTTATTTTTTGCATGACCGATATTGACGAGAGTCAAGAAGTGGACACGGTTGACCTTAGTGGATCTAGCCCAGATCTGGGCGAAGACAGCAATATTCGGTTACAAGACGGTCTAGATACACACGATGGCAAACAAGAAGGAAATCAGGACAATCTGCAAGCTCTAGGAGTGAGACTGGTGGAGCAAGATTCGCTCGAGAAACGAATTGCCCAAAAGGCCGACAGAGCAATGGTTGAACGGGACGTTGAGCTTGACCGTCGTAGATTGAGGAGAACACAGGACCAACTGAACAAGTTTCTGACAAAGAGGCGGTCTTTGGAGACAAAGCTTGCTGACAGAAATACTCGAATTTCAGAGAAAACAACACTCAGGGAACAGATACGACGTCTTGAACAGAATGATATTGAGGTTTTGAAGACTGAACTGAAGGAAATTCAAGCTCGAATGGACCTGAATGCTCAAGGCGACTCACATAACCCAGATTTGGACTCGTCAGCTCACCAACAACCGGACGAAAGCGAAAAAGATTTTCTCGTACGAACGGGTAAGGTTACTGCATTTGGATCAAGTAATGGGTTTTCTATTGAGAATGAAGTTGATGGTCTTAAGAGCCATCAAAATTTGAGAGCTCCTGGTATAGAGGAGGAGGAAGAAGAAGAAGAGGATCCTGGAGTTGTGGCGATTTCTGATGACGACGATGTTCAAATCAAGAGTGAGGCAGATAAAGACAATGAAGAAGAAGAATACGAAGCCGAAAATGATGCTGTTTACGTTGACGAGGAAGCATCTGAACCGATTGAGTCTGATCTGGAAACTTCGGATCTGGACGAATTCACTGAGGACAAGTCTGTGAAATCGCCTAAATTTGATAATGTTGATGATGGTGATGAGCTTGTATACCAAAGCCGGCTTTCCAAATGGGTCTCTAAGAGATCGTCTCTGAGACTGAAGAACAACCCGAACTATGTTGATGACGATAGACCAGAATGGCTGAAACCGCACCCAACAGTTGCAGATGCTGTTTTAAATGATGACTATCGCCTTCCGGGTGACATTCATCCAGCATTGTTTGATTATCAGAAAACCTGTGTGCAATGGCTGTGGGAATTATACACTCAAAAGACAGGAGGAATTGTGGGCGACGAAATGGGACTCGGGAAAACCATCCAGATTATTGCGTTTCTGGCTGGGCTTCATTATAGTGGAAAGCTCACTAAGCCTGCAATTATAGTGTGTCCCGCAACTGTTTTGAACCAATGGAGTAACGAGTTCCACAGATGGTGGCCTGCTTTTAGGGTGGTGATACTACATTCTATTGGATCTGGTCTCTCAGGGAAGGCCGGCGGCAGCGCATCTGCCGAGGATGAGGAACAAATGCTAGAAATGATGATGATGGACCAGGAATATGAGGATCCAGGAATAAGGAAGTCTGCGGCCTCTATGAAAACGGAGATGCGGATCCGCGATCTCACTGATAGAGTTTTCGAGAAGGGTCATGTGATTCTCACCACCTATGCTGGCTTGCGCATATATGCAAAGACGCTTCTCAATCGTCAATGGGGTTATGCTGTTCTCGATGAAGGCCACAAGATCAGGAACCCCGATAGCGAGGTTTCTCTAGTTTGCAAAAGACTGAGGACCTACAACAGGATCATCCTCTCTGGGACACCCATCCAGAACAACCTGGTGGAGCTGTGGTCGTTGTTCGACTTTGTATTTCCCGGAAGATTGGGTACACTCCCTGTGTTTCAGCAGCAGTTTGCAGATCCTATCAACGTGGGTGGTTTTGCTAATGCCACTAACGTACAAGTCCAGGCTGGCTACAAGTGTGCAGTTGTCCTTCGAGACCTTATATCTGCATATCTATTGAGAAGAGTGAAGGCTGATGTTGCGAAGGATTTGCCCAAAAAGAACGAGATGGTGTTGTTCTGCAAGCTCACGTCTTACCAGCGTGCTTTGTACGAGAGGTTTTTGAAATCAGAGGAAATGATGAGCATTTGGGGTAGAAAGAGGAACATGCTGTTTGGAGTAGATGTTTTGAGAAAGATTTGCAATTTTCCAGATCTCGTGGAACCGAATATGCAGAAGAAACTTCAAGCCGATACTACGATAAAGTTTACTGAAAAGTCGGGAAAGCTCGCTGTGGTGAAAATGCTGCTTGAACTGTGGAGAAAGGAAGGTCACAAGGCTTTGATATTCACCCAGACGAGACAGATGTTGAATGTGATGGAGAGATTCATTTCGAGCCTGAACAATGAGTGTACTGATGGAAGTAAGCCCTTCAGATATCTCAGAATGGATGGTGCAACGTCCATTGGAAACCGCCAAGATCTGGTGGATACCTTCAATACTGATCCTGAATATTCGGTTTTTCTTCTCACCACCAGAGTGGGTGGTTTAGGAGTCAATTTAACTGGTGCCAATAGAGTTATCATTTACGATCCGGATTGGAACCCATCCACTGATGTTCAAGCAAGAGAGCGTGCTTGGAGACTTGGACAAAAGAAGGACGTTTCCATCTTTAGACTGATGATTGCAGGGTCAATTGAAGAGAAAATCTACCACAGACAGATATTCAAGCAGTTCCTTTCCAACAAGATTTTGAAGGATCCAAAACAGAAGAGGTTTTTCAAAATGAATGATCTTCATGATCTTTTTTCTCTGGGTGATACTGATGGAAAGGGAACCGAAACTGGCGACATGTTTGCAGGGTCTGAAAAGAGTTTTGGTAAAGAGTCTAAACGTTCTTCTCGCAAAAGAAAAAACTCAGGTTTGGAAGAAGTATCCGGGATTTCAGGTGTATCAAAAGTGCAAAAATTCAAAGAGGAGGACGAGGAAAAGCCCAAAGAGTCAACTGAAGGTGATTCCAAAGGGGACTCCTCAATCATGGCAGATCTCTTTAGCGAAACCGGTATCCATTCGGCTTTGCAGCATGATGCCATCATGGAGTCTTCTCATGAACAGATACTAGTGGATCGGGAATCGTCTCAAATAGCCGAAAGGGCAAAACAGGCGTTAAGGGAATCGAGGATTGAAACTAGAAGAGCTGGAATAGGGAAACCAACATGGACTGGTAGGTCTGGAGAGGCTGGAAAATATGAACCCAAACAGCTTGGTCGCAGAACCACTGGTGGTCGCAAAACTAAACCCAAAACTGTATCTGCAAAATCTACACCATCGTCTGCGAGATCGTCTGTTTCCCCTCCAGTTGATCAGAGATCAACATCGATTTTCTCCAGAAGAAGTGCTCCGTTGTCGTCATCTTCAATTTTGGCAAGCATGAGAAGACAGAAGGAGCTTGACGAGATGAATAAGCAAAAGAGATAGACACTGTTGAAGCAGAAACTTACACATGATTCTGATGGTTTCTTTTAAGGTGTATTTTCAATGTATATAAAGTCATGCTGATAAGTTGAGAGTTTCATGGTAGATATGTACGAAAGCTTTATGACATGTTAAGCTATTCATAGATTTTAATATGTACAGAATATCACGATATCAGCCCTCTCACTATTGTGAATGCATTCAATGATCATCTTCTGGAGTTTCTCCTAGAAACTCAACTTTGGTACCTTTTCGGCAAGTTTATATGGCCCATATACCCATGGCTCCATCACCTCTTCCTTCGATCATGTAACCCTCGTGATACTTCGCACAGTTGATAGGGAATGAGGATTCTCCAGAAACACCCGGTCCGCACGTCCAATGACGTTCCTCAATACGATCGTAAACTTTCACTGTGCTCTCACCGTTCGAGACGACGATTTTGGAGTCGTCGAATTGAAGAGTCGAGATGGGAGAGTCATATGCGAAGGCATCCACAATGCCTCCAGTCCGTAGGTCCCACAAGCGTATAGACCTGTCTGCAGATCCGGTAGCCAGATTCTTATTGTCAAATTGAAGGGCCGTGACTGGTCCTGTATGGCCAACCAATTGTCTGATGATCTCTCCACTTCTCAGATCCCAGAGTCTCACCAGACCGTCTGCAGTACCCGTTGCCAAGGCAGCATCATAGCATTGCAAAGCCCCGATGAAAGGATAATCCCCACTGATAAGAGGTTTTTGCCAATCTGCAGCTGACGATGAAACGTCTCCCCCATTCATCATACTGCTGGCCCACATGACATCGATAGTCTGCAGACAATGGCCAGTGTTCATATCCCATTGGCGAATGGTTCTGTCTGTAGAACCAGACAACAGTGTGGTGTTATGGAAACTAAGGGCACTTATTTCCTCAACATGACTCTCGAAAGTTGTTATGAGACATCCGTCGTTGTCGTCATCATGAAGTTTGGATATGTCCCACAGTTTCAAGGATGCGTCTAGAGACCCGGTAACCACCACATTCTCCTCCATCTGCAAACACCTCACGCTAGCCAAATGGCCTTCAAGAAGTCCAGTACACTTACCACGGCTCAAATCCCATACTCTGACTGTGTTATCAAGAGAGGCACTCACCATCGTTCCAAATGGCTGGTCAAAGTCGAAGCAGGTCACAGAGTCCTCATGGGCTTTCAGGCCTCGTATACGACTGCCAGCAGTATAGTATTGCTGCAAAGTTGGCTTCACCTTTCTCGAGGGAACTCTCTTTTTTATCTTTCGGGTCTCGTTTTGCAGTTTCCCGTAGATTGACTTGGTCATCAATGGATTCGCATTGGAGTCCTCGTAGAAACTATCATCGGCGTCATAATCAACCGTCGTTTCCCCACTGATGGTAACAAACGAGTCTTCATTCTCGTCATTAAATTCTGCTTCATTTTCTTGGTTTTCCTCGGAAGAAACGTCCACATCTTTCACCAGATCAAGCCTCCATTCGATCTCGTTGAGGGAACTCTCCAACACGGCCTCGTCCTGCTCGAACCTGGAGATTCGCTGAAATACAGAATTCCTCATCTGCTGCAACTTTTCGATTTTATGATCGATTTCGTGGATTTCGCTTGATGCCAGACCCTTTCTGATCTCCAAAAGGTCCAATTTCCAGTTGATTTGGTCCTTGAAGTCATTCAATTGCTTTGGGTTTTGCAAGGATTTGATCTTTTCAACGGTGATTCCTCTGGGAAGAGCATTCTGAGTAACTTCTGGGCCGTCATAGGCGAGTAGTTTGGAAGACCCTTCTGTAACTCGATCTATCGCGTCTTGCACTTCAGGCAAAACTGCAGTAAAACCTTGGAATAAGGAGAAAGAACTACCAGCATGATCCACCTCATCATCGCCAGGTATGTCATTCAGAAGCTCGTCCGGCACCTCCAAAAAATCTTTTGGTTTGTGGTTTCTTGGAACACGCTTGCTTCGTCTGATAAGTGAAACAGCTTCCCCAGTAACAGCATGTTTCTGTAGCAAGGCATGTGATTTGTTGGAGTGTATGCTGCCATTCACAGCTTTTTGGAATATTTTATTTTGAGAAAGTGCATTCGTAGTAGAATAACCACCCGAATTGACTAGCACTGAAGCCGTTGTAGCAACAGCTTTTGAGATCCCAGAACCGCTCAGGTACTCGTAGCCTGTGTTAGTGGCAGAGTTTCCTTCGCTCATAGCTATGGGTGTGATGCAAGAGACGTCGACGACTCAAATTCAATGTCAGATTAACGTGTTTCTGAGAGAGTTTTGGGATGTTTGTGGAATATCTGCTGGATCAAATAGCCCAGATATCTACGTGGAGTCTCTTGTTCGTGGTTACGAGCATTACGGGCTTGACCAATAGTGGCGTGCACTTGCTGAAATGTTTGATAGGCGAGTCCAACAGGGATTTAGTTATGACGGATTAACCAGGTTAAGAGAACAGAAACTGTAGCTTACGAGGAAATATACCATTTAAAATGATCCAACACTTACGAAAACCCAATAACTCCATTTGACAGCTTTATAAAAACCACGGAACCTTCTGAAAGACGCGATAGACCACTTAGTTCTTGCAAACATCTTGTGGAGATCTTTCAGACATGTCCGTCTCAAACAACTGTTTCCAAATAATCGATTGCCTCTTTGATGCTCTTGAACGGTAGCCCCGTGCTGGAACTTTCAGCGAACACAAGGCCATTCTCCAGAGACGTCAGCTCTTCCTGGAGTTGAGTCACCTCCAACATCAACGTTGCATGCACATCACGGCATGTATCGAGTCCGTTCTTGAGAATAGAGCCATTAGCCAAAGGCAGCTCCAAGGCCTTCAAAGCGTGGTTGTATAAGGACTGGATGTCATCCGCATCTATATCGAAGACCTCAACTGGCTGAGAATTGGAATCCGACTTCGCCATGCCCCTGGATTCAGGAATTTTCTTCAAATCCAGGTTCTCAGACTTAATCTTGGCGACATAATCGTTATACACTTCCATGGCGTCCGTGGTTTCATCTTTTATCAAGACATCGCGTCCTTGTAATATGGATTTGTTGGCCCTGGTAAACATACCAGGGCCTTGAAAATGCAGTGCATCAATGTACCTGCATCTGTCCTGCAAGTAACTGATATTTTCTGCAAAAGACATTTCAGAAAACGATCTATTAATTTTCAGAGTTGTGAGAATAGCCGACTTCATTCACAATAATTGTTGGAAAAACATGGAGAGCGCGTTTGTCGTGTGTTATCAAATTCTGATTCATCCGGGTAACTAGAGTCTCTCACCTTAATCTCTCCACTCAACGAAAACTTCGTCAGTTCTAAACCTTTGGCTGCAAACAGAACCCTTGAGTTCTGTAACTTGGCCCATTCTGTAGGCCAAAAGGCCCGCATGGGCGATCATTATCCCATTGTCTATGCAGAACCGCTCGTCTGTAGCGTAGATGCTTCCGTTTCTGTCTTTCACCATGATTGCCATCATTTCCTGTAGTCTGACGTTACTTCCAACACCTCCCACAATCAAAACTTGGTTTGAATTGACGTGAGCCATTGCCCTCTCAGTTATCTCAACCAACATGGCAAACAGTGACTCCTGTAGCGAGAAACAGAGGTCTTCGACAGTGATCTGTCCTGAAGATGCCATCAAGATCTTGTTTTTCTTGCCCTTGAACAAGTCGTTGGCTAGATTGTCAATATATTCTAAAATTCCAGACATGCTTAGATCCATTCCCTTGACGGTATATGGCAAATCCACAAAGTTCTTGCCCTTCTTGGCTAGTTGTTCGATGTTGTAGCCCGGAGAAGGGTTGTTTGAGATCTTCAATGTCCTGGCAAAGCGATCAAGACAATTACCTATAGCAATATCAAGTGTTTCGCCGAATATTCTGTACCTTTGTCTCGAGTAGGCAATCACTTGAGTGTTTCCACCACTCACATAGAGTACCACAGGGTTTTGCGAATCTGTGATCTCCCTTCCCATTTCTATGTGACCGACACAATGGTTCACACCAACAAGGGGAATCTCCCACATCTGTGAGAGAGTTCTGGCGGCAACAACAACACTCTGCAGCGGCGCACCCATACCTGGTCCTTGGGTGAAGCAAATGACATCGACTTGAGTACCACGGATCCCAGATTCATGCAATGCCCTTTTGATCAACCGAACCACCCAATTACGGTGATGTCTTGCGGTATCTCGAGGTAAAAATCCCTCTCCTGGGGGCGTAATGTACGTGTCTCTAATGTTGGCCAGTACTTCCGCCTTGTTCGTGGGGGTTAGGTTTCCCAGAGGGTGTCGTATAATTCCAACACCCAATTTGTTAGCAGAACCTTCCAGTCCAATGGATAGATAATAATCCTTTCCAGGCTTAGCATGCAAATCCAACTGAACCATTATTGAGTCTTGTAGAACAGGCAGTTAGTTGGTTCCTTCTGTGCGCTTGAAGGAAGAAAAATTGATGCACGAATAAAAGGTGCGCCCATCAATTCAACGCCGCATAAGACATCTACAAACTTCCATGTTGGATAACTTTTTGTTTACGAAAAAGAAAACTTTAGAATATCTACCTCTAAATATTCTCAAAGGAATCAATATCCTTTGGCACAGTGTCCTCGATATCGCGCTCCACGGATTCTTCCTCTGTAAGCTCAGAGGGAGGAGCCCTTGGGGCCGGCTTATCGAGGGCAGTAAACGGTTTACCCTTTGCTTTGGAGTATACCTTCAAGATTGCCAGACGAATGGCCAAAATCGCAAATCCAATAAGAATACCGCCAAATGGAGCAATTACAAAAGCACCAAAAGGACCCCAATCCTCCGAATCGTAGATTCCGTTCCATACGAGCAATAGCTTACCTCCGTCTTTGGCATTCCCGTAATACACGGTACCAAAAATGAATACACCTACCAGTGCTCCAAGACCACCACCCATGACTTCCCAGCTAGTCAGAAAATACATTCTATCCCAGAGTCCGAGAAACATCACAGGGATGATCGAGGCCGAAACCAGATCCGCAATCAAGTAGATCTGCAAGACATTCGTGGCAGCCTTGACAGCAACGACGATACATGGAACCATGATGATCAGAACTATCAAACGAATCCAGTTGATGGAGATTTTGTTTCTGAACAAATCGTTCGAAATCGTGGATGTCATTGCAGATTGTAACGAATCAAAAGTGGCAGTAGACAAAGCCACAGCGAAAATCAGAATGATGACGGTTACCCAAGTTCCCATATTGGCAATCAGGATGAAGAACGCGTTGTAACCTTCAGGATCATTGATTTGTAAGTCGCCAGTCCACACCGCAATTATTCCGGTGATACCAACCAAGAAACACAGGAAAAAAGCTACAAAAGATGCGATACCGGTGCCGATAAACAGATCACGGTTCGTCTTAGCAGCAAAAGTTCTTAACCAAAAACCAGCCATGAAAGCGTCGTTGGTTAAAATGGCAACAAAAAGAATGTATACCAGCATCCAACCAAGTTTGTTGGCGCCCAGAAGCTGGTGCTCAGTTTCGTGCTTCAGTGTCATGTCGATATTGATGTTGGTGGCATATGCGATGATCGCAACCACCATGATTATCATCACAAAAGCCGCCTGCCAGGTATCAGTGATAAATGAGACCTTGAAACCACCGAGTGCTGTGTAAATAGAGGTCACTACACACTCGATGATCAGGCACGGAGTGGCATTGATACCTGTCAAGGCTTCAATGGCATACTGAACAGCAGTAAGTTCAGAGACCATGTACAAGTACATAGTCAGAATTGTGAAGACCGACAAGTACCAGCCACAGATGCGACCATATCTGAGAAACACCCACTCGGTAAGAACAAATCCATCGGGACATCTTCTTCTGATCAAGGGACCAAAGAACGAGAACATGAAGATAGGAATCGCACCAGTCAGGGTGTACACGAGCAACCCATGCAGACCAGCTATGTTTGCGATCTCAGTGTATGTAGTCAGAACTCCACATCCCATTGCTGAAAACAGTTAGTATCCTCAGAAGAGTAGGTCTTCTGACTTAGCTGCTGAGAGGTCGAATCATGAGCATCACGGATCAAAACGAGCAAACAAACGAACGGCTCAAATGATCTGAACGCAACCTGCAAGTTATCCCGACCACCCAATTCGAACCTCAATGGCAGACAGTCAGCGATAATGGTTAGTAGATAATATATTCAACAATATTAAGTAATCCTCACGCAAGTACTAACTTGTTCGAGTCCAACGGTGTAATCTCAGCTTTTTCATGCTCTTGTTCAAAAGAATAAAAGGTTGTCAGAAAAAAGCACCCGTCTAAGTAATATTGTTGGAGTCTAGATGAAGTTGAAAAACAGAGTCCTGTGTCGGAGAGCGAGACCATCAGGTGATGATATACTAATATTGAATATAGAATCCAACTTTGGACGTGCTGCTCGATAAAGCAAGAGATAAATTGACTGAAATCCGCTTTAACAAACAGCACGCGAACCAATCACAGCAAAAATCAAAATATACTAACAAGCAGCGATAAAATTAAGCGCAAGGGGTATACCGGTTCTGGTACCATTAGAAGAGAGAAAGGAAGACTTGTCACTTCTCCAATACAAAGCAATGCCTATTCCAGAAATAAGCATTGCCATGTAAGTGGCATAGACGATACCATTCGATGCAGCTGTAGAAAGCATTGTCTCGATGTGTTGAATTATTGACAGAAGAAGAGAACAATACAACACTAGTTCAGATTTTCGGAGACTTTATATAGGCAGCTGCCGCAACACTGTTACCCGGTTGGGATGCCGTCAAGGTTTTCCCCGGGCCAGGCTCCCATTTCCCCTTCGGGACGGGAATAGGCTCGATTGATGGGCCACAGAGACTACGGAAAGACGAGAGAAAGAGCGCCCGGCCTTTTTACGTACATTCAGAGCCTAACCAAAACTGCTTCAAACACAATTGGGTTCTACTCTGCAAAGCCATGAGATTGAAAGGTCACATCTTCGTTGTAAAATCAGATTGCGAAACATGCCGTTTGCGGTATAAAGTATCCCACTAGTAAATAACGTTGTAGTCTAGAATAAAATAGCATACGAGCGGCGCTAGCAAAGATAAAAAAGAGCAGTAGTGATTTTGAGAGAGCATCTCCATCGTGTTGAGATCAAGTATTTCCAGTCTTGGATTATATGGATCGCCCTGAGTTTCCTTGAATGGCCGTGCCTGGATCATCACGTGATAGAACGGCTATATTCAAGCTGATTAGAAAAACAAAGGATGAATGAAGAATGCATCTGTTGCGCCATTTGATTTTGGTACCAATGACTTGGCTGGCTTGCTTGGCTTGAGACCAGCGCAGGATCTTCAAATTCTCAATCGGAGCCAAGAAAACGAAGACCAACTTTTGGTGTGGGGTCCAAAGCTGCGTACTAAACCTTGCAGCATCAATGTGGTTGAGATGCCACTCTTCGAACAATAGACTTGTACTATACATTATTATTCCATATACTAAATATTGCGCGACGATTTAACATGGTGATGTGATAACAAAAGAATAGCTCTTTTTATGTGGAGATAGTAGGCAAGGCCTGCTCCACATCGTTACCGTAAACGGCTCGCTGGAACATTGAAAGGGGAGAAGGAAACAGCGAAAGCAGATGCTTCAAACGCATGGCAAAGTATTTCGCCGTCCTCTTGCAAGACTGAGCAAGAAGCGACGAAACGCAAAACCGGTATCAAGCTGGTGAGAGAGCTGGTTAATTTTCAACCACAACCAGCCTGTGGTTTGGGTTGCTAAGCCATCCCACTCACACCATCGTTATATATCCACCCGTCTGGCTTCCCCCACTGATAATCCAAAGCTTACACTCCAATTTCAGCTCTGTGGAGAGCGCATATTTTTGTCTTGCATGGTAAAAGGGTCCTACAAAAAAAATATCTGAGCCTCGACTAACAAACTTTCAAAAGAAAATTGCGCCATGGCTATCTACTATGAGTATTGTATGCAAGATTCGGATTTCGGCGTTAACATTATGTCCCGCTGGCCGATGTTGTATGGTGAACATTTGTATGGCTCCTGCATATATGCTGGACTGCATTGTAGCACTAGCCACAATTAGGTGCTCAATGCATGGAGTGTGGCACAGGCTAATTATTTACTCGATAATGCGGCTCCACGGTTTTAATGCGAAATTCAGCTATTGTGCTCTGAATTTTTTTTTTCGATATAAAACCGAACGGATATATTGTCAAAACATTGTTTTATCTTGGATGAGGCAATCACTCAGAACTCGCAGTTGAAGTCCATACACCATAATGTCCAAGCTGGAGAGCGAGATCGCCTCTAAGGAGAACTCTGTTGAGGTGAACGATGTATCGGAAGTCGATAGCTCGTCGTCTCAAGACCTCAGTGAACACCATATTTTCCAAGACCCTGTTGTTGCTGAACACTATCGCAAGCTGTATGAGGAGACTCAGTACGAGTGCAGAACTCACTTTGATCCAGACTTCAAGTGGACTGCTGCTGAAGAGAAAAAGGTAAAGTGGAAGACGGAATGGCATGTTGTGTTTTGGTCGTTCATCATGTTCACAGCCCTCGATTTTGACAGAAACAACTTGTCGCAGGCTTTGTCTGATAACATGCTGGACGATTTGGGAATAACTACCAATGATTACAACCTTGGACTCACTCTTAACAAATTGTGTTTCCTGATAGCCGAGCTTCCATCTCAGCTTGTATCCAAGAGAATTGGTTCAGATGTCTGGGTCCCCACGCAAATTGTGCTTTTTTCGATTATTGCCATGACCCAAGCTGCTTTGAAGAATAGAGCTGGATTTCTCGCTACAAGGTGTCTGCTTGGATTCTTCCAAGGTGGTTTTGATGCTGATCTCAGTATCTGGATTTCCTATTTCTACAAGAACAGTGAGTTGCCAATGCGCTACACGCTGTTTTATGCCGGTTACCCACTTACCAATATTTGGTCTTCGCTGTTGTCATTTGCAATCTTGAGATTGAGAGGACACAAGAACTGGGCTGGTTGGCAATGGCTCTTCCTTATTGAAGGAGCATTCACCTTGGTTATTGGTTTCCTTTCCTACTTCTTGATGCCTGCTTCTGCTGTGCAGACCAGAAAGTGGTACAGACCTAAAGGCTGGTATACCGATAGGGAGGAAAAGATTGTTGTCAACCGTGTCTTGAGAGATGATCCATCCAAAGGTGACATGCACAATCGTCGTCCAGTCACTCCTAAAGAGCTCTGGAAGGGTCTGTGCGACTATGACATGTGGCCTCTCTATGTTCTCAGAATTATGTCGGACATTGGAAGTGCACCGGTTAGTGCTTATATGACTTTGACCTTGAGAAAGTTGGGATTCAGTACCCTGAATACGAATTTGCTTTCCATTCCATACAACGTGCTGAACGTAATCACGATGGTTACCGCAGCGTGGTTTAGTCAAAAATTCAACGAGTACTCCTTGATTTTCGTGGGTACCAGTCTTTGGGTGTTGGCGTGTCTTTTCCCATTGAGATATTGGCCAGGTTCTCAGGTGAATGTTTGGCCAACTTACGCAATCTTGACTATCGTTATCGGACATCCTCAGCTCTCAGGTGTGTCTATCAGTTGGACTTCGGCTAATGCAGGAAAGGTGCGTGTTCGTACAGTTGCGGCTGCAGTGGTCACTATGTTTTCTCAACTGGCAACGATTGTCTCGTCTCAATTATACAGAGATGACGATAAGCCTCTGTACCACAGAGGTAATCTGGATCTTATTGGTATTGCCTTTGGCGCGATTGCTGTGGGTATTATTACCAAGTTTTATTACATCTGGAGGAACAAAAAGCGCGAAGAGGTTTGGAGCCAGATGACTATTGAGCAAAAAGAGGAGTACATTACTACTACTACGGACGAGGGAAACAAGAGACTTGATTTCAGATTTAAGCACTGAATTCAAATAGGGCGTTCTATTTATACGTGTTCATATAATCACAAAAATGTGAGACTTTATTATAAATTTTCAATTTGTCTTTTTTTCCAATGCACCGCCGTACTCATATAGCTTAAATGTACAGAATCTTAAAACGTGATACTTTTTAAACTACCGTAATTCCTTTTTTTAACTCGAGAAACTGTCCAAATATAAATACAAAATCGAGTAATAATCTTCAACTGCTAACCCATGGTTTAGGTTTCAAATTATCGTCTTCCACGTCCCACATACTAATCAAAACTTTCCTGTCTCCTCCCGACCATGGCAATCTGCCGTGCGAAGCTTGATAATTATCAATCAGCACAATATCACCTTCTTGCCATTTGTGATAGACCTCTGTTTCCAAAGACAACTCATATATTTTTCTCAAAACATCATCAGGAACAGCCTCTCCATCTTGGTAGTATGCTTGAGTATACTTGGCAGCGTTCGAGGTGAGAGTGTACTTGGAGCTACTTCGGCTTTCACTGTCAAATAGCTCCCCCGCAGACAATAGCAGACCGTTGAACCAAACCGGCTTACCAGTTACTGGATGAACACGGAATGCTGGTATAGACTGCGTGACTTCCAGGTCGTTATTATCAAGCCATCTGAATTCAGGAGTTATTCTTCTTACCTGCTTTTCGGCCTTGACTTTTTTGACCTCTATAGAGTCGGTCTGCAAAATTTCTTGGCCAAACCCCAGTGGGTCTTCCCACGTAAACTCATTACCGTTGATTTCATTTCCCTTTGCCGGGTGCAAGTAGCTACCCTTGAGGCCTCTCTTGGCAAGCTCCGAGACAATCTCGGGGTATTTAGCCTGCAAACGGTTGAACAAATCACCTTGATGTGCTAATGGGGTCTCCCCTCCCTCAGGAGCTGCTACGTTACCGAAAAAGTGAATGTTCGAGGGGAACCTAGTGTATCTGGCGTATTCACTGTGCTGGTACAGCTTCCTGTCTGGAGGGGATTCATTTGCTGTGAAAACATTCAATCCCTTCTCAACTCTGATACTTGCTCTTCCGACTTCCTCGTAAGGAACTCTCCCTCTAGACCTCTCAATAGCATTGATGATTTTGGAAAAAGCCTCTGGGGATGAGTCTCCCAAACCTCGCAGTACCAATACTCCATGATCCGTGAGCAGCTGGTCGATCAAGCCAGTCTTGGAAGCGTTGGACAGGAAGCCAACAATGGTATCCAGGGAAAGTTTTCCTTCGGACTGGTCTAGTCTCAAAAAGTATGGAAACTCTTTACCATTGACAAATTTGGGGTTCCTTATTTCCTCTTTTGAGAAATGAATGGAGTGGCCAGCATACTCTCCTGATAGGCTTATAGGTTCTGCGTATGTCATCCTGAGTTGTGTGACCACTTGTTTAAAACTTGATCTCCACTTACTAGAAGGATTTTAATGCAGACTTTCAACAAACCTTATAAATTTGCTTTTGAAATAAAACTGGTGATTTTACCATCGGAACGCTATCTCCGATTATGACCATGGCAAGGTATTGCGAGATTTTCAATCGAAGATACGTATGCTGTGGCGGACGCTGGCGCGCAGTGGATGCAGCTCGTCTGCATGCAATGCTGCAAAGAAAGCTATTCGGAAACAGAAAAGTCAAGATTGAGAGATTATAAGATATGGTGGTGAAAAATAACAATTTAGTACAATCCTATAAACAGCTAGAGACGCTAAGTTCAATATAAATCTTAACCGGTCCAGTATTCAAATCCGGGAATATTTGCTCCCCATTTGTCACGAATGTGCCTGGCAGGATTCTCCTTTCCGAAATTGTCAAAAGCCTCTAACTCTTCTTCGGTGAGAGGAACTAATCTGATAGAGTTCCTGATCCTTTCCGTATTGATAGAGCGAGGAATAACTGATCTTCCTTGCCTGATATGATAAGAAATCAGGACTTCGTTGGGAGTAACGTTGTACTTCTTGACTGCCTCTTGCACAAGAGGTATTTTCAGGTTCGGTGCACCATTAGCTCCCAATGGAGAATAAGCCGTAATTAAAATACCTTTTGACTCAGCATAATTGACGATGTCTTTCTGGGGAAGATGTGGGTGGAGTTCAATCTGGTCAACTGCTGGGACTACTCTCGCGACCTTCAGCAATTCTTCCAGATATGGAATCGCGTAGTTCGAGACTCCAATGGCTCTGATTCTCTTTCCCTTGTCTTCAAGATAAAGGTCTTCAATGTTCTTGTAGCCCTGTAGATAATGTCCGTTTTCGTCAAAAAGGTACTCGCCATTTTCATCTACTGGGAGTTGAACCAAATCGCCGTTCTCTTCGTAAACTTTCTTGAATGCAAGTGGCCAGTGTTGGAGAAGCAAATCAACATAATCAACACCCAAACGTCTTAGAGATTCCTCAAAGGATTGCTTTGGGATATCCCAATGGGTGGGCCACACCTTCGTAGTGATGAAAAGCTCTTCTCTGGTGACAACGCCTCTAGCAAATAGATCCTTAAGAGCTTCTCCGATATATCCTTCTGAGCCATATCTCCATGCTGTATCAATGTGACGATATCCAGCCTCGACCGCGGCTATAACGGCTTCCTTCGTCTTGGGTGGATCAGCCCTATTGGCCGTACCTGAGGAGGTCAGTTAAAGCAAGGGGGGAGCTTCAAACACGAATGCAAAACTTACCAAGTCCCAATGCCGGGAAATCAGCTCCAGTATTGAGCTTCAATCTAACCTCTGTTGCTTTTTCAAAACTCATTTTGAAAATGGCACTCAAAACGTTAAGAGAAAGAAAGGGAAGAAACCGTCGAGATACTTCATGGATGGGAGTTATAACGAGAAGGGAGACGAAAATGTTCCAGACGCACCTCATGCATGGTCTGCAGCTCCTGTGCCACACTTTATAATACGCATGGCTGAATCGATGGTGTGATTTACTCTCTCGTTTCTAGCTTCTGTGAGGAAAAAATTGGCCTTTATATATATTTGTTTTGTGAACAAAAATTCACACTCGAAATCTCACATTCTTTCGAGAAATAGCACGCTAGAATGGGATCCACGGTTACAGAAACAGAAGTGAGATTGGGAAACCTTAAAATGACCTCAGAGGCAGAGGTCAAGCCTCCAACGCTCTCTCTCCAAGCCAAATGGCAACCTCCTAAAGAGCCGTTAAAACCCACAGGAGCTTTGGATCGGTTCTTCAAGCAATCGCGTGAGCAATTGACGCCTGCAATTGGTGACCAGTATGCGTCCGATGAGGTCCAGTTATCGAATATACTTAAAGCTCCAAATGCTGACGAAATCTTGAGAGACCTTGCAATCGTGATTTCACGTAGAAACGTGGTCTTTTTCAAAAATCAGAACCTAACTCCTGCAGAGCAAAACTATTTGGTGAACAGACTAGGTCAGCTTTCTGGAAAGCCTGCCACTTCTGGACTGCACATTGATCCAAATACGCCTGAACACTCTCAATACGGTGATAATATCTACGAGGTGACCAGGAGAAGAAATGACTATAGTCAGGGTACAACTGCTCCTTTGAAAATCTCTCGCTCGTCTCAATCTTGGCATACCGAGTAAGTATCGCGTCAAGCCTATTTTCTGCTTTTCAGCACTAACCTGCTTTTCTTCAGCATATCGTATGAGCAGATCCCCTCAGATTACGCTGCCATGAAGGTGGTGCTACTCCCCGAAAACGGAGTTGGCGGAGACACAGTTTTTGCTTCTGGCTATTATGCATATGAGAAGTTATCCCCCAGATTTAGAAAGCTTGTTGATGGGCTTCAAGCTCCTCATGATGGCTACAGAATGAAGCAAAACGCAACCAACAGATTCCGTACAGAGAGAGGTGCACCAGAGAACAACAACAATATGGATATTGTTGCTGTTCACCCAATTATAAGGACAAACCCTGTGACCGGATGGAAGTCAATTTACCTGAACAAACAGACTCCATACATAGAAGGCGTGACTCAAGAGGAGTCCGATGCCATTCTCGAGATCATCAACAGAGCGTATATTGACAACCACGATATACAAGTCAGGTACAAATGGGGAGAGAATGATATCGCTCTGTGGGACAACAGATGCTCTGTGCACACCGCAACGTAAGTTATTTTCCAAACTTGCAAAATTTCAAAAATTACTGTTACTAACCAATGCAATTTAGTGTTGACTACACCTCAGATAGGTTTGCTCTCAGGACTCTATCCTTGGGAGAGAGGCCATACTTTGACCCCAATTCTAAGTCGATATCTGAGGAATAAAAAGATCACGATTTGGCTGTGCAAAACTGGGCTACATAACTTCAGTGGAAATTTACGAAGTTCGGATATGTTAAGGACTACTTTGGGACAGCTGTTATACAGTCAAACCCCAATTGATAGTGAAAATTGAATTTTATGTTTATCGTTAAAAGTTTTTTATGAGATTACACCTGTTTATCATCTGTAGAATTGAATTTGTGACGCGCATTCATGATTCCTCTTTTCCAGTATGTATACTAAATAGTAGTCGGTATTCTTCTAATCCCGAGATTCCTCATCTTCCAATTCCCCCTCTTCTTCTCCTGACTCTGCAATATCTTCTTTCTCCACACTAGTATTAGAATCCTGCTCTGATTGTGCTTCTGCCTCCAGGTCAAATGACCCTGGGTCGCTTTCCTCGTCTTCGTCGGCATCGTCTTTTGCATTCAAGGCTTCCTCGCCAATGAGAGCCTGCAGTCTGGATACAAAAACACTCACTGCTGTTTTGGCAGGTTTCGTATACGCCTTAGTTCCTTCCAAGAACTCGCTCTCCATCATCTCCACTGCTCTCAGAAGGTCCACTAGTCTATTTTGAACAACCGACTTGCCAATGTAGATTTTTGACAGAGCTGTCAACGTGGGAACCAAATACTTCTGGTTAGTGTATAGTCTCTCTTCTGAGCATACCGCTTTGAGCACATTGGTGACGTACAAGATGTGGTTAGTGCTGGATTCCAGGTCGGGCTTGGAGATATTGACTACCCTTGAGGGATCAGTCCATGCCGTAAACTGGTGCAGCACAGTGGTGACATCTGTGGTGGGTTTGATTCCGTCTTTGTTTTCCTCCCAATTCAAAAATGTTCTTCTGATGGCATCTCCAGCCACTCGACACATCCTCTGTTGATGGTTGAGATGCGAATACGAATATGTGGGTATGCAGAAGGCTAGACACTGCTTGAGTGTCTCGTTGGCGTTCACTGTTGGATTATACCAAGCCAACAACGTAGTCTCGAACAATTCATCATCAGTGAGCACGTCTGCCAGGAACAACTTGAAAATAGATTCTCCTGCGATTGCTTGTAGTTCTGGCTTTGTATCATCTCTTAAAGTACGATAATACGTTCTTGCGAGTGACACCTCCGTGATAACCTTCATGGAGTCCGTTTGTGGGACTTCACCGGGTTGGAGAACAATGGACGAAGTACCGTGGACAGCAATGATATCAGTTAAGCTTTTCAAGGCAATAGCTCTCATCTCTAGGTGGCGATGTGAGATTGCGACCGAATCGTAAAATGCTGCTTTGATTGCGTATTCCTCGTTCAAAACGGCCCGGAGACCAATGCAGTAAAGAGCCAATTCCGCAACCTTCTCATCTTCGCTCTCGAAGAATGGTTCCACCACTGTAGCCATGAGCGAGTTCAAGGAAATACGGTCCTCCTCTTTTTCCAGAGAGCCTAACATGCACTTGATAATTATCAAGATGTATTTGACTGCTTCAGTAGGAACCTCTTTCAAGGATTCAACAGCAGTCTGACGTGGATCAGCGAGTATGGGCTGCTTTGACTGCTGACTAGGAACATCCTCTTCGTCTTGTTTCTCCAACGAGCGATTAGGCATTTCAGAAACGGCAGAATGGAATGTGGCATCAAAGTCATCGTCTTCAAGATGGGAATCTCTGATATCAGCCACGATTTCGACAAGCATCTGACAAAAGTCTCTCTCATTAATGGAGATCTTCTTGATCACCTGGATCAACGACTCCACCTGATTATCGGTCAGCATATGCTCGCTCAATGACAACCGTAATACCTGCAAGATCTCACGTCTACCAACTTCGTCTGATAGGTCATAGTTTATAGCCAACTTCAGCAGCTGCTCTATCACATAGTCTACCTCGTTAGCATCCATTGGGATGTCGCTTACTCCTTCACCAGGATCAGCCTCGCGACCTTCGATCAACTTCTGATTGTCAAGTCTCAGATTCATGTATTTCTGTAGCAATTTCGCTAGTTCAACCGCCTCGGGAAAGTTTTTGTCTATTGACTCTTCCATGTTCTTTTCGGTGCAATAATCGTAGTAGACTTTGCTGAATAGGGCAGTCTCGGGAGTCAGGTTTTGCCAGAATTGCTCAGAGAAATCAATTTTGATGACGATGTCTGCTCTGTTACTAAGAAAGCATTTGATTGCAGTTTCAGCCACGGAACTGGTAGTCACATGAAGTCTCTCCAGAAGTTCCATAACATTTCCGTTCACGCTTTCCAGCCAATCATAGCAAAACAGCTTTTCAGCGGCCAGTCTAACTGATTCTTCACGATCATTTAGACCCCACGAAAGTATATCATTTCTGGTTTCAGCATCTAGTTTTACCTGTTGTAAAAGCTGCTTCACCACAGTTGTATAGAAGAACTTCCTCACTGCCTGGTTTTCGTCCCTGGCCCTCATGATGATTCGTGACTTCAATTGCTCCGTCTTCTGAATATGCATCAAAGCTATCCTTCTCACTTCTGGGCTGGGATCATTTTCCATAGACTCCAGTATCAGTTTGGATGGGTCTACAAGTGACTCGTTCTCGTCTTCCTCGTCAACAGATCCCTGAAACATTGCCATACATGAAACAGCTTGTATTCTGACGGTAGCTTCGCGGTCTCTCAGTCTCGAACTAGCGTGCTCGGTCAATAACTCGTAGAGCTCGTTGTTGATGGAAGACATGTGGTGAACTATGATAGATATCAGCTGGAAAACTCTGAAACGAACCACTTTGTCTTTTGCACTTGTTCCCTGAAGAAGATGGCGAATCATGGTATCGGTCAATACAGCAACAGGATCAGCCTTCTCATCGTCCTGGTCCATTTCGTCTTGTGAATCCTTTTCAATGGCCTCCACAAACGAACCAATCAGTCTGAAAATCCGATCAACAGCTGTCTGACCTTTCTTCACGGGTAAAGCCCTGTTGATGATGTCACAGAATGCTTCACTGAAGTTCTCCAGAGCATCTAAGGTGAGAGATTTTGCAAGAAGAGCTTGAAGAACTGCCAGCAAACGCTTGTGGGTTCCCAGAGAAGCCTGGCACTCCTGGAAAACAAGACCCAACGAGTAAATGACCTGATCCACAGTCTTCAATTTCTGGACCTGCTTGACAGTAATGTTTGAGTCCATTGAACGCTCGTGTTTGGATAAAAGAACAAAAGATAAAGACAAAGGTAACGCGCATGTAAACAAACAAGGCCTGGCGATGACATCGTTATGTAGCCCTGATCTTTCACAAGCCAAATTTTTGTATGCCTGAATTGTACTACTTTCTGTCCATACATATAATACACCAGGGACACAAGCCAAAATGACCAGTCTGCACCCGCAATTGTCGGTTTATAATCTGACATTGAAGCATCCCACGTCCTCTGTCAGAGCCATTGCTGGTAGTTTCTCTGGGAACAAGCGCCAACAGGAGCTGGTGATAGCGCGCTCGTCTTCTCTGGAACTGTGGAAAGTAGATGCAGACTCGGGAAAGCTCTCAAAGCTTTTCGATCAGGAATGCTTCAGTATTATAAGGGCTATTTCTTCCTTCAAGACTCCGGGATCTGCTCAAGACTGTTTGATACTGACATCTGATGCTGGTAATGTTTCGGTCATTCAACTCAATCCCAAATCTATGCGGTTCCAACAAATACAAAACGAGCCCTACTTCAAATCGGGGATACGAAGACTTTCGCCAGGTGCTTATGTTGCTGTTGATGGACGAGGAAGAGCTGCCATGCTTGCGGCAGTGGAGAGAAACAAGCTGGTGTACACGCTTCGCCGAGATGAGAAGGACAAGTTGATAATATCCTCACCTCTGGAGGCTAATAAGAATAAAACATTGACTTTTGAGGTTACTGCCCTTGATGTCGGATTTGAAAATCCTCTATTTGCTGCGATTGAGTGCGATTATGGGTTGTACGAAGGCAAGAGTATCAGAGACGAGAATGGCGATTTGAATTACTCCAGATTGCTGACGTTCTACGAGCTGGATCTCGGCCTGAACCACGTGGTTCATAAGAGCTCTTTGGAGATTAGCCAATCTGCGAACTTCCTACTTGCGGTTCCCGGTGGTTCTGATGGTCCTTCGGGTGTGTTACTGTGCTCAGAAGGAATGGTCCAGTATCAGGGTCTACAAAAAAGAGGCCATTTCATTCCTATTCCGAGAAGAAAAGGAGACCAAACTCCCAGATTTATTGTGACTGGTGTTTGCCACAAGATGAAGAATTCTTTCTTTGCTCTCTTACAAGATAATAAAGGCGACTTGTTCAAGGTGACCCTTCAATACGACTCTGAGTCTGGCGATGTGGAGTCCTTACAGATTGCCTATTTCGACACCATGCCTGTTTGTACTTCCCTGGTGATCTTCAAATCTGGTTTTATGTACGCAGATTGTGAAGTTGGTGATAAGTATCTCTACCAATTCGAGAAACTGGGAGATGACGAAGCCCGTGTTTGGCGTTCTACAGAATACCCTGATGATATTGCTGTTCTTGAGGATGAAGATGTGGAATTTGAGGTGAGACCTCTGGATAACCTCACACTCGTTGATATTGTTCAATCTTTGAATCCGCTCATCGATTCTAAATTGGTTTATGAATCAGGCCCAACAGATTTCCCCACGGTTGTGAGCATATGTGGATCAAGTGCGAGATCGTCCGTCAAATTCTCAAAGTACGAGATTCCTTATACCGAGCTTGTTTCCACAGAATTGCCAGCTTCTGCTGAGAAGGTCATGACAACCAAGATACGTTTCGATGATGAGTATGACAGGTATATAGTTCTCTCGTTCGAGGATGCCACATTGCTTCTGAGCATCGGTGAAACTGTCGAGGAAGTCACAAACACAGGATTTGTTACTGATGCACCAACTATAGCTGTCCAGCAAATTGGACGATCCTCTATTGCCCAAATACATCCGGATGGTATTCGTCATGTTACGTATCTGGACGATGAATCGGATCCCAAGGTGGTGGATTGGTTTCCACCAGCCGGAATCAAAGTTCGCGTTGCTTCTACGACCTCTTCTCAGGTCATTGTGGGTCTCTCTAACAGAGAATTGGTATATTTTGAGACTGACGAATCCGATCAGCTGATCGAGTACAATGAAAGAAAAGAGGCCAGTGGACAGATTCTGTCTCTATCTTTGGGTGATATTCAAGAGGGCAAGCTCAGATCTCCATTCATAGCTGTCGGATGCAGTGACAACACTATCAGCATCTACAGCACCGATCCAGAGAGTACGCTGGACATGCTGGTGCACGAGAGTTTGAGTGGTTCGCCAACAGATGCGTTGATAACATGGATGGCAGATTCTCTTAACGGCGAACTTGCGGTATCTCGGTCTCTGTACTTACATTTGGGACTGGACAATGGTATCTACTCCAGGCTCGCCTTAGATCCGGTTAGTGGAGCTCTTTCTGGTCCTCGAAACATATTCACAGGGCCTAAAGCAGTCAAACTGTCCAAAGTTTTTGCATTTAATCAGACAATGGTCGCAGTTGTTTCGTCGAGGTCGTACCTCAGTTTCTTGTCACCATCTGGTTATAAGACAGTTCCAATAGCGGGCTCTACTTTTAACTCCATCCACGGATTTCGAAGCGAAGATTGTCCGGAAAACGGGTTTATTTCGGTTCATGGCAATCAGCTCACGATTTTCACCGTCAATAACGTTGTGAGTACTCTCTCAATCGAAAGCGTATCCTTGAAATACACACCCAAGTGCATGCTGGATACCTATGATGACAACGGACTGGTTTATGTGGGGCAAAGTGAATCAAACACAGAGACTGAACAGCCTGAAGAGGCTGTCTCTAATTCAGAGATTGAAATTCCTTTCAACGAAGAGGAATCTGACTATTTCCAGCAATTTGGATACAAACTTTCAGCCGATCGAACGGCTTCATGTGTGCAGGTCATTTCGGTGAGGGAAAAGCGTGTCATTCAGACGATTGAACTACTGGAAAACCAGACCATTACCAGATGTGCTAGAGTGACCTTCAGTTCAAAGGGTCAAACATATCTCATATTGGCCACTTCTAGCAACCAAAGGCTTCTTCCCAACGTTAACGATGGTGGATTCTTGAGGTGCTATAGCATCTTGAAGAATGGGACTCTTGAACTTGTCCATATCACCAAAACAGAAAATTCTATCTATTCGGTGGCGGAATTCCAAGGAAAGCTGATTGTGGGCATGAAACGCATGCTCGTATTGTACGATATTGGCCAGAAGCAATTGCTGAGAAGAGGAGTTCTAGATACCGGCTTGAACCAGATAGTTAGCATAGTGAGCCAGGGTTTCAGACTGGTGGTGGCCGACTCCAGAGATAGTGTGAGATACGTCGTTTACAAACCCGCTGAGAACATTTTTGTGCCCTTTGCTGACGACACCATTCCAAGACACACCACTTGCATTTCCATGCTAGACTACGACACCGTTGTTGGTGGAGACAAGTTCGGGAACGTGTGGACTTTGAGATGTCCTAGTGATATTTCAGGAGCCTCAGATGAAGATGGTCATGGAACAAACATTTTGGCAAAAGATTCATTTTTGGAAGGAGCACCGTATCGCCTGGATAATTTGACCAACTTCTTCCTCCAAGACATTCCCACCAGTTTCAACAGGGGCTCTGTTGCTATTGGTGGAAGCGAAACTGTGGTTTATACTGGAATTCAAGGAACCATTGGAGTTCTGATCCCATTGACTTCGTTGTCTGACGTAAACTACTTTTTTGCTCTTGAGAAGTACATTGCGGAGGAGTTTGAGGAGTCATTGAACCTCACTGGAAGAAGTCATCTGGCTTATAGAGGATATTACACTCCAAGAAAGGGTGTTGTTGATGGTGATTTGCTGGAGTGCTTCTTCAAGCTGGCTGATGGACAGAAGGTCAAAATTGCAAATAAGATGGACCGTCTTCCCAAGGAAGTTGAGAAGAAGATCTCTGAGATGAGAAGCAGATATGCGTTTTAAAGAGATGCATTATGCATGCAGATGAAAAGTTAGAATTTGATAGAAAAACATGAGTGCATCACCAGATTGAGCTCTTTCAACTTTCTCTGTGATAACTTATATACTAATATCCTTGTATAATACCTCTATAGGATAGACTGTCTAACCTCTGTACAACTCCTCTATGATGTTGCCATTAACCACCGTCTCTTTGACAATCCCCTGAACATGTTTCGGAAACACTCTTCCATAGACCACCGGATATTCCATGTTCTTTTTGAAATAAACAACATTTCCGGCATAGGCATGGCCTCCGATGTGTGAGATCATTCCGACTTTGATTCCTCTCGGGTTGGTATCTTCATCGAACAACAGTCCCTTGGAGCTTAGCACGGCATTGAACTCGTCCTGAAGAAGAGGTGCAATTGCTCCACACCGTATATCTCTCTGGGAATGACCACAAATGAGAATGAGCTCGTTTTCGTTGGTTTGACTGGGGAACTCTAAGCTAAGTCTCTCCTGCTCTTTGGCCTTCTCTTCTATCTCAGATCTGGGAGTCAGGTGGGCCATAGCGAATTCTTTGAGTCGAGATTTCGGGATATTCGAAAAGATCTGGTTGTCTGGGAGCAATATCCCGGAAAACGATGTACTTGAGCAGGCAGTTCCGGGCAAAGATGTGTTTGCGAATAGCACTGGGTGAAAGGGAGAACATATCGATCGTCTAAAAGGTTGAAACTCTCCCACAGCAGATCCCGGTACCAATTCAAGTTTGCTCGGCCAGCTTGCTGCATTCTCGCCTGTGAGAACAAGCAGAGTCTTCCAAACGGCAGCTGCGGTGTTCCGCAGTGATTTGTCAAAATTGATAGGCTTATTGTGGGGAAGTACTGGTTCACAGAACGTGCACCCCGTATCTATTTCAGGCGGCGGACATTTAACAAACGTAATGCCCGCTCGCAGAGATGTGCTGAAATTTCTGAGGCCCATTTGTCTCATTATGGGAGTGAAGCCCACAGGTGGACATGTCAGTGGCTTTAATAGTTTGTGGAAGAATCTTAAAGCCGAGTACCGTTCGCTACATTTTCCTAATTTGACCTTATTTGTGTAACGAACGACACTTTCGGAGAAGTTTGTTCTTCTTGTCCTTTGTTCTTTGTTTCAGACTAAGGATGCTTTTTTATTTTTTTTATTTCAATTTGTTTACCACTGATTTCATTTCCTTTCTATTTTTGTCACGATGTACATATTGATTTCAAAATTGTCGTATACGACTCTACGGTCGAAGGTCCGGCCTTATGAGACTCAGGGCCAGGGCTCAACTGCCGTGCATCTGCAGCTTTATTCCTACAAATATCTAAGAACTCTTAATAGTATAGTTCAGCGCTAACACTAAACATAAAAAACCATATTTTAGTGGCAAATTCCAGCAGCTCTTCTCTTCTCGATTATCTTCCAATATTTCTCCTTAGTCTTGTTTCTCCAGTAAGGCCCGGTCAGCTCCATTATCAAGAACGTGCCAATGCAGAATAGATTAATAAAACCTGCAGCAATGAAGGTGTTTTTGAGCCCAGTGTTTGTGATCCAAGGGGTAATACCATAGTCCATGGCGAAATTCATGGTATTACGAATAATGACCACGACAACCATTGCCTCACAACTCATCTCACGGTAGGTGTCGATACAGTACGAGCAAGCAGAAGCAGCTCCAACCACGACGCAACCACCGGTGATACCAGCACCAATTACAAGACCAAACCAGTGCACCTCATAGTACGCTCCAATACCATAAAGAAACAAGGCACATGGTCCCACGATCATGTACAGAAGCAGAATCCAGAGTCTGTCTTCGGCGTAAGAGATTCCACCACGTCTCTCGGCCATCTTGATCTTGAGCCAGTCCGAGACGTATCCTGCGTAGAAGTTGAAGATAACAGCAAAAATCAAAGGCGCAAGATAAACAAGACCTGTCATCGCACTGGAGAAGTTGTACGGATGTGCTGTAAACACAGAGGACATTGTTCCGTTCATGACAGAGTACCAGAAAAGAGTGGACCCATACAGAAATCCAGAATACAGAACGATTGGAAACTGAAGCATTAAGAAAGGCCCGGTAGCATAGTGCTTAAACCATTCCCAATTGCGCACCTCAAAGAGTCTAAGCTTCTGCCAAAAAGTCTTGACTGGAATAGTCTCGTCCAGTTTCAAAGTTCCCTTCAGCACCTCAACCTCAGAAATGAAAACTTGTTTCTCGGAAGGCTGGTGAGAAAGTTGCTGGGACAAAACCTCCTGAACGGTACCAGATTTAACATTGCTGAGTACGATCTCCAGCTGGTCGGTCTCACCATCGATAGGAACGGGTCTGCTGTAGTTGGTTTCCTCAAGGAGAAAAAACACCAAAATAGCGGCGATTCCATTCCAGATACAACTCCAGTAAATCACCCATTTCCAGCCTTGGCCATCCGAAATAAATCCGGCGACCATTGGTGCCATGTAGTTAGATGCAAATAGAGCCAGAGCATATACACTCATCCATGTTCCGCGCTCGTGCTCGAAAAACACGTCTGAGACGGTGATTTCGCACATTGCCTCAATCGGCGCAGCAAAAAACCCTTGAAGAATTTTAGAACCGATCCATTCGCCTCCACTGGAGCAATAGGCCTCCCAGAGTGTCAGAAGGCACACTGAGGTTACCGAGAAGATGTATATTGGTCTCTTTCCTATCTGCATTGCCATTGGTAGGAAAAACAGATTTGCAAGCCCAAGAAACAAAAACATGTATCCAGTTCCATCATTTAGGGTTCCGAGAGATATTCCAGTTTTGTCTGAAAGCTCTGTGAGAATGGAGTAAATAGAAGTGGTCGGAATCCCGATCCCGAAGATGTACACGATGAGAGCGAACATGTGAATATACTTCCTGGTACGAGTCCAATTGAGTGGATCATTTGGATCAGAAGTTGGGGTTGGAATGAGAATAACGTCTTTATCTTTGTCACCTGCGTTGAGCTCCATCAGTCTTTCTTTGCTAAGCTCAACCAGGTGGGAAGTGCCTGGGATTTCGGAGTGGTCAACCATTGAAGGTACTGTCTTCGTGGGTTCGTGGTTTGTAGTTGCTACTTCTATTCCTAAAATGAACTTCGCAATGGTTATACCCCATATATATATGCCTTGATCTAGTTGTTGCCAAAGGCTCCTGCGGCGATCAAGCTGATACCGCAATATCCGCGTTTTTGTCCTGATTGGGTAATTCTGCTAGAAACCAGGTTGTGATTGCCGAGCTATCGGAGTAAGCCAAGAATTTCAAACACGTTCCTATCGCTCAGGGGGGGTCGTGTTTGACACCTGATGGCATTCCTGGCTTTGGCTTCCAAAAATTCCACGGCTTTGCCCAATAGATTGTCCCGATCGATGCTTTCACCGTTGAATTTTTCATGCAGATAGCTTGCCGATCAGAATTACCGCTTTGGGACTTGCCGATAAGCATAATGCATGGTAGTGTATGTGCCAGATCAGCCTGAGCCGCGTGTGGGGGACTTTTCACTTCAAACGGAGAACTTGGTTCGGATTTGTAACCGATAGTCACTGCTCAAAGATAATGCAACAGATTGCAACCTATGATCAGCTTATCTTTGGGGTCTTTCAGCTAAAGTAGGGGTGTTTTCTGGCTGTTTCGGAAATGACTGGCGGATACTTCGAGCCTACGATTCTCGATATAAGCTGAGGTTTGACCAGCTTCAAACTGAGCTGACAAAAGAAAGCAATTTACTTAGTACTTCGATTCAAATTGGCCACTACCAAAGGCTCTTCAATATGTTTAAATCTCTCAAGATTAAGCCTGGAAGGCTCTTGCAAACAATCCATGATACAGCCGAAAGTTTTGGAGCTATGTACAAATGGGGAGAACACCACACAGAGACCGGCCTTCGTCGACTTGCTTTGGGGGACGAAGACAAGGGAATGCGTGACTGGTTTGCCAAAGAAGTGGTTTCTTTAGGTTGTGAGCTAAAAATAGACGAACTTGGAAACATGTTTGCTATCTATCCAGGCCAAGATATGAGTGCTATTCCCACCGGTGTTGGGTCCCATCTCGATTCCCAGCCCACTGGAGGAAGATACGATGGACCTTTAGGTGTTCTAGCAGGACTTGAAATCTTACGGACAATCAAGGAGAACGGGTATGTTCCCAACTACCCTATTGCCCTCATCAATTGGACCAACGAGGAAGGTGCTCGGTTCCCAGCACCACTGCTTGGTTCTTCAGTTTGGAGCGGTTCCACCAAAAAGGAAGACATCTACAAAGTCAAGTCGGTTACTGATGCCCCTCCAAGGACTGTTCTTGGTGAATTGGAGAGAATTGGCTACAAGGGAGAGGTTGAGTGCAGTCACAAGACCAACCCCATCGCGTGCCATTTTGAGATCCATATTGAGCAAGCCCCATTCCTTGAGATGGCTGGAAAGAAAATCGGTGTGGTTCAGGGTATCCAATCTTTTAATTGGCAAGAGATAATTGTCAGGGGAGAGGCAAAACACACGGAGACCTCACCTATGGAAGGAAGAGCAGATGCCCTTCTGGCTGCAGCCAGAATGGTTATCAAGGGAAATGAGATAGGGATCAAGTACGGGGGATTGTGTTCCACAGGATATTTGGATGTGGAGCCACATGTATTTAATGTCATTCCCAATGAGGTGAAATTTTCATTAGATACTCATCACTATGAGGAGGATAAATTGCGTTCCATGCTGGCTGAAATCCGTGAAACATTTGACGCTATTGCAGCCAAAGGTGATGGAACCTCGAAGGCAATCCCGCTGAGCGTGGAGTATATTCCCGTATTTGAATCGCCTCCTACGCATTTCCATCCTGAGTGCATTGAGACAGTTAGAAACGCTGCCATTGAGGTTGTTGGTGAGGATATGATCATGGATATCACTGCACGTGCTGGTCACGATTCGAAAGAAACCAGCAGCATAGTTCCTACCTCAATGGTATTCATTCCATGTAAGGACGGTGTCAGTCATGCCCCTACCGAGTACAGTACTCCTCAGCAGGTTGAGGACGGCTTCAAAGTGTTGATGAATGCAGTTCTTGGGTATGATTTGTTGCGTAAGGAAAAGGCATAAGTTCAAAACTTATGATCATTTGTGTCGAACTGAGGTTGGTGTTACGTGGATTTAGTAGGATCTTAATAGATGATATCAGTTGAATGTGTGAGAACTGCTGAAAAAAGTAGTATGACTGAGTTAGAGCTGTACCGAATTTAAATGAGGTTGAAGAAAAAAATTCGCTGAATTCCCTTGAATTCACATTCATGATTTATCTAAACAGAAAATATTTGTATATCCATTCTGATCGTCGCAATACTACTCAGGTGTTATACTCGCCTAGCCGATCCCAGCTCATGCACCCTTGCAGTAGAATGCATCTCTCTCAATTGCGAAGTTACCCCAAGCTTTTCTGTCAAATACAAAGCTTCTCCAAAGAGGGACGATCAAGCAAGATATCACATCCCATTCCAGGTACTCCTTGGTTTCCCCAGGCCTTCTCAAAGAACTCAAGCATCTGGTATGAATAGTGAGTATGAACATAATCGCCAATCTCCGAAGTACGCTTCCGGATAAACTGTCTTTGATTCTCATGAAGAGCAGCTGAACCCGCAATCATTATTGGCCAAGGAATAATGCTGCAGATGGGGTGGTAATTTGGAATCAGGGCAAGGTGGGTGAGAATGGTTTCAACGTCGTTCTGAATAATTGGATCATCTGTAGCTATATCTGCAAACAGCACCTTGCGAAGAAGAAGATGAGCAGCCTTCATTAGTATCATACGAGTGAGAAGACTGCATTTGAGATGGGTAATATCGCGCTCTTGGAGCTGATTACACTCCATCGGAAGATCTCCAACAGTTTCATGTGCTGTGATATGATACAACAATTCTGCCTCATGTCGGTGATTCCCATGTTTGCGTGCAATCCAGGATGCTTTAGCACACACCTCGAAACCTTCTCTGGCAGCTCCCAAAATCGGATTGTTCATCCACTCTACCGGAAGATCAAATACGGGCGTGGTCATGATGTCGCGGAAGTCGTCAAAAAAATCAAATGGAGAAGGGAACTTGCCCAGTGCCTGTTCAGTGCACAACAATAGCTCCACAGAGTAGTTGTACGCAAAACTGTCCACCATATATTTATCCTGGGCGGTGAATGCCACCTGCTTGCGAGTTTCACCAGAACCTTCATCGACAAGATCGTAGACCAAAAATTCGTTGGCATCCATTTCGGTCGATGGATGGGTCAAATACTGTTCGAACTTCATCTTGTCAAACTGTGAGAGCGAATGGTCATGTTGGCTATTTCCGTTGAGACGTTCATGTCTTCGCTTCAGCATCATCTGGTAGGCGGCAATGAGATGGTGTGTGCACTTTGCATTACTGGCCCCAAAGTATTTTTCTCGGAGAGATAAAATCAGCATGCTATAAACAAGCCAGTCTTCGGAGCCATCCACGTTCTGATGCTTGATCTCGTCGAAAAGTGTCTTCATGCTCCGTTGGTACCGTTTCTGGGCAAGCTCTACCATGGAGGCATTTTTCCACGCCAAATAAGATGCCCCACATGCAAAACAGACCTCTCTGAAAGCCGATGAGATGGGCAATAGCGGAATTGCAATTCCACCAGGAGTTATAATCGGGAGCGTAAATTGCGGCGTGATGCTAGGGACGAACCCTTGCATGAACGCTTTGAGGAGCATCGCCGACTCAGAGTCCAGGATCACACCTGGAATACTGTATAGCCTGGAAGTGGGACCAGGATCGTTCCTGCAACTTATAGCAAGATCATACCTTTTCCTGGTCACTGTTTTCTCGTCCTCCATGCTCACACAGATGAACACCGTTTTATTGTTCTTGATCTTCTTCACCTTGAAAGACGTATGCGGCAAAGTTTGATTGCGACGCTGAGGCCATACGCACTCGAAACTGCCCTTCAGACAATTCCGGCAGACTGGCCCGCTTTCGTCACACTTCTTCTTTCTTGAACGGCCTAATGATGGTTAAAACGTTGATAACAACCAGATAAAATCATAAAGTAGCACTTACAGGTAAAACACCCGGACTTCACCCTACGCTCAACCTTCATTGCTTTCTGACACGATTCCCTGTTCTCTGCTAGGTTTTTTGCTGATCCTGATCGAAACTGAAGCTTTGCTGATCGATCTCCGAACTTTTCGGCAGACTATCTCCGAACTTTTCGGTGATCCACTATTGATTGTCCCTTTATACAAATTCCATGAACTTCCTGCAAAATTCCTTGAGCAGATTCAATATTGTATTAAATTTCCAGATGTCCGCAGAACTTCAGGAGCAATAAACATGGAAATGGTTGCAAGTTACAGAGTGACCGATTGCCCCAGCGAGACGTAGGTTTTTGCGACGTCATTTCCGGATTGGGAAGTACTTGTCGGAAAACTCTGGACGGGGTGTTTTGCAGTGGTCGGAGTTCGGTTTCCGCGCTTTATTTATGGCAACTTTTAAGGAAGTTTTATTCGTCCGCAAGTCTATTGCCACGCTTTAGATGACCCAGGTCAGTAAACATCGTGGTGCGTGGTTCGGTCTAAGGGCCGCGAATGGGCGAGGTAGCCCCTCAGTGAAGGTGTCACCTCGGGGAAGGCTTTTTGCCGAAACCACTGCACAATCAGATCAGATCAATAAACTGGCTGTGCAAAGCTTAATTTACAGAGGGGGCAACCTATACATGCTTATCCTCTTATCGTAAACGGGCAGGCCAATGACCTCGGGCAATCCGTTCCTTATCGGCGTATGGACATTCCAGATTGAGATCTTCGTTATCACGTGATATCCTTCTGACTGCCCACCTTTTTATCTTATCAAAACTGCGTGCACCAGCGAGGTTCCCTCGGGTAAATATCCGAAGGTGTCTCCCAAAATCAACGCTGGGACGTAGTGGTACGAGAAAAAAGTCTCAGAAGCAGATTATCAGGTCTGATCCTGTTGTTATGTTGATGACATTAATGGTTCTAGCTTTTCTCAAAACCAATTAACCAAAATCATGGGCAAAGTAATTGTTTTAGGGTAAGTTTTCAGGAGCACCCTCAGCGTATCTTTTAACTAACACCCTAAAAAAGAGCAGGAGTTGTGGGACTATCTACAGCACTTGAGCTTGTCCAGAGAGGTCACGAGGTTGACATTGTTGCTCGTCACTTGCCGGGTGATATTGATATAGAGTATACAAGTCCTTTTGCGGGTGCCAATTGGTCGAGCTTTGCCGAAACCGACGAGGAACAGGAATGGGACAAGCTCGGATACGAAAAGCTACTCGAGATTGCAAAAACCGAACCCGGGGCTTCTGTTTGGGCCAAAAGATCTCTGAATTATAACCGAGAACCGGCTCCAAGGCTTGCTTCGGTTGTCAAGGATTTGCGCATTTTGCCTGAGAATGAGCTTATTCCAGGAACTCACTGCGGTTTCGAATACACCTCGATCGTGATCTCTGTTGGAACCTATCTTGCATATCTTTCTCAGAAATTGATGGCCGCTGGGGTTGTAATCAGACGTGCCCATGTGGCACATATAAAGGACGTGGCCTCATACTATACCAAGGGAACTCCTGAGGTGATTGTCAACTGCTCCGGATTACTTGCACGCAAGTTGGGAGGTGTTGAAGATAAGGCTGTTTATCCAATCAAAGGTCAAATCTTGTTGATTCGAAACAATTGCTCCACACTGCTTTCTGTTTCAGGTACTGAGGGTCCCGATGAGGAGGCATTCTACATTTTCCCCCGAAAAGAGGGCGGTGGTATCATTGGTGGTTCTTACGTACCAAATGATTGGAGTGCTGATATTAGCGAGGGCTTCATTGAACGTACCAAGCAAAAAGTGGCTAAGTACTGCCCAGAGCTTCTTGAAGAGGGGCCTCTTGATATCTACAAGGCTGTTGTCGGCCTCCGTCCTGGTAGAGAAGGTGGTGTCAGGATCGAGAAGGAGACGATTCCTGGTGTAGGTAATGTGGTGCACAATTACGGCTGTGGAGGGTGTGGTTACCAGAATTCGCACGGTATGGCAATCAAGACGGCGAAACTTGTGGAAGAATTCTTGAAAAAATGATTTTTGCTAGCTTTAGTTTTATTCTTGACTTTAATCATAGAATAAACCGGAATTGTTAATTTCTGTCCTATGTCATTTTGGTATCACAGCTCGCTGCCATTTTTGAGAAGGGGATTCTGCCATTTTTCATCCGGTTGGCAACTTATCGAAAGACGCGTCCAAAACATTTACTCTTTATCAATGCCACACCCAATGGTTTTGATAGTCAGCAGACAGAATCTCGAGAAAATACGGCAGGAATCTGAGAAGACCCAGACACAGATATGTGCACGGGTGCTTGCCACTGTTCTGCGGTACGATGCATACGACGGACTGCTTACGGTGATCGGGTCAGACGATCTGGCGAGCAGAGACGAGTCCAGGGCCATCAAAGTGGACATTGGTAACTTGATGTTGACTTTGGAGGTGAAGCCAGAACTCCTGGAGTATGGCTCTACAGTTAATGTGGACATAGCAGTGAGTGGCTGTGCATGGCCTGTTTATGGGATCGGGCTGCGGCCCTTGGCAGATCCTGGTGTGATGGCCAACCCAGCGGCAATGGACGTTTTGCGAGCAGTTGCTAATCTTGAAAGCCTTCCAAATGTGTATAAGGAGGTTGGATACGACACTATGGATTTTGTGCACTGTGGAGGAACTGATGGTGAAGTGAGTGGTGATGGAGAGTAAAAGGTTGGGGTATATATATATATTGGTAATGAAAATAATGAGCAGAATGACGGAACAGTGATGAACAACGAAAATCTTACGCTCAATCAAGTGAATTACTACTGGCTTGGCTTAGGCCCCTTGAGAATTCCTTCATATATTCTCAGTATCTCTCTCATCCACCCGTTCTTGATTATCCGGCTCAGACGGGTTGAACCTTGCTCAATGCGCCACGTTCACTATTTGTTACTCTCACTAATCCTCAATTCCAATCACTTGATCCAATCCCTCAACCCACCAAAAACGGCTCGCTTTGCGCTATCCATCGCGGTTAACACTCCACCCCACCCATAAAGGGTTAGCGCCTTATCTGAGGGACATTACCCGATTGGGAAGGATTAGGAGATAGAGATAAGCTTCCTCAATTTAAAAGTGCTGGATCCGCCCTTTTCCTATTGTGGCTATCGTATAATATTCTCAAGGTTTTTCCTCGGCAAATTTTTTGAATCTTGATAATATCTGCCAAATGTCGTGGAAAGACACTCCCCCTGAAGACGCCGCTAAGTTCGAGCTTTGGAAGCCTAAGATCCAGGCGTATCTGGACGCTCGCGAAGCCGCTGTTCCTAAACAATATTTGCTACCGGAGTCAAAACTTCCCCCAGCTGACCAACTCAATGTTGCTAATCTCCCATACACGTCTGGGGCCATGACTGCCGAGGAATTAGTCATTACCGAAACGGGTGTTCCTCAACTGGCAAAGAAGATCGCTGATGGTGATTGGTCCTCGGTCCAGGTTCTGGAGGCCTTTCTGAAAAGGGCTGTTATGGGTAACCAATTGTTAAACTTTGCCACCACTTTCATAGCTGATGATGCCATGGAACGTGCAAAAGAGTTAGACGAGATCTACGCCAAAACTGGAAAGACCGTAGGACCGTTACATGGAGTTCCCGTCTCCATTAAAGAGCACATTGGTTTCAAGGGAAAGCCAATGCATGGTGGTTTTGTTTCTCGCGTAGACTTTCTGGCTACAGAAGATGCGGTGACTGTTCGTGTTCTGAAAGAGCAGGGAGCAGTGCCTTTCGTGAGAACCAACATCCCACAATCTCTGATGCACGCCGATTCCAGTAACTACATTGTTGGAGCCACCAAGAACTGTCTCAATCTTAAACTTTCAGCAGGTGGATCCTCTGGCGGTGAGGGTTCCATTGTGGGGTTTAAGGGAAGTCCTGTGGGGGTGGGTACCGACATTGGTGGTTCCATTCGATTTCCAGCTGCTTTCAATGGCTGTTACGGTTTAAGACCAACCTCTTATCGAGTTTCCGGACTGGGCTGCGGTGGTGCTGGTGGTGGACAGGAAAGTATCAAATCTGTGATGGGGCCAATATCTCAACACGTTGAAGATTTGGACTATTTCATGGAGTCCTATCTGGGAGGTGAGCCTTGGAAATACGACGGAACTCTCCTAGTGATGCCCTGGAGAAAGGTCGTTCCCTCCAAAGCCATCACTGTGGGTATAATGTGGAACGACGGGGTGGTTGAGACGCAGCCCGGTATTCTCCGTGGTTTGAGATTTCTCAAGGAGAAGCTGGAGGCTCAGGGAATTAAAGTTGTGGATTGGGAGCCGTACAAGGTTGGAGAGATCTGGGAAGAGTCCTTGCCTCTTTTCTACGCAGACGGGCTCAAAGCGCAACTAACCATGCTTGGTGAGTCGGGTGAGCCTATCCATCCTCTCACAAGATACGCTTTTCAAGGATGTAAGGAAGGAGGCCTAACTGTGAGTGAGAACTGGGCCTATAACCGTCGTCGTGATTCCTTTCGTACTGAGTACCTTGCTCTCATGCAAAAGCGCGGCGTCGACTTCATCGTCAACCCGGTCTACTGGAACGTGACACCTCGTCTTCACGAGACCAAGTACTGGTCCCACACCACTCTGTGGAATTATCTAGACCACCCATGTGTGGCTATGCCTACTGGTCTATTCATGGATCCAAAGCTAGACACGCCTCAGCCGCGTGAATTCTTGAGCACATTTGACGAGGAAATTCAGTCGCTTGTTGGAGATGCTCAGGATTATATTGGTGCCCCTCTTACATTCCAGGTTGTTGGAAAACGTTATCATGACGAGGAGACTGTCGCTGCAGCGAAGGTGCTTGATGCAGCACTCAAGGCGTGAAAGTGCATCACGTCAAATTGAAGATAAGTAGCCTAACATAGGTAACCTCACATAAGCAAAACAAAAATCCACACTAATACCGAATAATGCTTCCTATTTTCACCTTAATAATTCCATTTAACAAACTGTCGACACCGAGCCCAAATGCAATAACCCCATGTTCTTCCCGGTCAAAAGTATTAATTCCGCCAACCCCGGAATGATGCATGCGCATGCGGCGCGGTTACCAAGCCCAGGCCTTCTGCCTAAGCGCCCATCCGGAGGTAACGCACTTAGTCTGAATGCCCGGATTTTTCTTAGTTAAAGGACCAGGTTCCTAGCTTTGACATTGGCACGACTGTCTCCTATATAAGTGCTCTCAATTGCTATCTTCTGGTTTTTGGAGAATCTTATTATATTATAGTTTTAATTTACTTTATTCAACATCAATTGCAATGGTTGCCAATATTTCGCTCAAAGGAAAGACCGCTATTGTCACTGGAGGTACCAAGAACCTGGGTGCTCAAACTGCTGAGGAACTGGCCTCGTATGGTGCTAACCTTCTCTTGCATTATCATTCCGAGTCTGAAAAAGCCAATGGCGAGAAATTGGTGAATTCATTGTCATCTAAGTATGGAGTCAAGGTTGTCCTGTTCCAAGGTGATCTTTCTGACGAGAAAACCACGGCTTCTCTTTTTGAGACTGTCAAAGAGGCCTTTGGATCCTACGATATTGCCATTAACAACGCCGGAATGGTTTTGAAGAAGCCTCTTGCTGAAATCTCGCTTTCTGAATATGACAAAATGTTCAGCATCAACACTCGTGCTTCATTTTTGTTCCTCCGTGGAGTTGCAAATACCATCAACGAGGACGGGAACGTTGTTATGCTAGTGACTTCGCTGTTAGCTGCCTACACGCCTTACTATTCCATCTACCAGGCCGCAAAGGCAGCTGTGGAACACATGGTCAAGGGTCTCAGCAAAGAATTGCAATCCAAGGGTATCAGCGTCAACGCTGTTGCCCCGGGACCAATGGACACTCCATTCTTGTACGGCCAGGAGACACCTGAGGCAATTGAGTACCTCAAATCTGCTGGAGGAAAAGGAAGGCTTACCAAGGTCGAAGATATCGTCCCAATTGTAAGGTTCCTCGTCACCGAGGGTGGCTGGATCTCTGGTCAGACGATCTTTGCAAATGGTGGCTTTACTGCTCGTTAAATCTTGATACTTGCCACCGGACATGCTATTAGGAATATGTTTGGTTTATCTGTTTTTGAATTCTTCACACTATATGTAACCACTTTTGCAAATCAATATCACTTTAGGCCCAAGACCCTTGAAGTAGTGCTTAAACTACTTTACGCCGCACGTAAACATATCTCACATTGGACTTCCCACGCAAGACGCGCCTCAATTTCAGAACACTGAGTACAGTTCTTGGTTGTCAACAATCACCATCATCATGACAAGAGGACCGATTATATTGTTTGAAGGCCTAGATCGAACAGGAAAGTCTACACAGACGGAAAGCTTGGTGGACGCCCTGCGTCGGGTCGGTATCGGCGCCGAACTTTTTAGGTTCCCCAACCGTGAGACTGGACTTGGCAAAATGATCAACGCATATCTCACTGGGGGGTCTTTGAATGACGAGACAGCTCATCTTTTATTTTCTGCTAATCGCTGGGAGTGCAAAGATGCCCTGGTGGCATCTAGTGAGGCCGGAAATGCTGTAGTTATCGACCGCTACATCTTCAGTGGAGTCGCATATTCCGCAGCGAAGGGACTGGAGCGTGAGTGGTGTGTTTCGCCGGATCTCGGGCTTCCCAGTCCTGACATCGTGATTTTTTTCAAGTTCAAAGATACGGCAAAAGCGACAGAACGGGGCCAGTATGGAGAAGAGAGATACGAGAAGGTCGAATTCCAAAAGCTGGTGAGACATGAGTTTGAGAAGTTCGAGGAAGAAAGCTCCGGTAGTTGGAATGTGGTATACGTTGACGATAAGCCGATAGCGGAGGTGGCAGAAGAGGTTTGGCAAATTGTGGGTAGTGTTTGTGAAAAGGGTATTGAGGATGAGATTAGACCTTTTCAATGGGAGTTCAAAAAGTAAGTGAGAGAAAACATCGATGCAAGAAAATCGCGAATACCATTAAACTACATCCAATTACAGAGTTACATAGTAGTACATTAGCTCGACCGATACATAAAGAAAAACAGAGGTCGCGAGACAGTAGTTAAAAAAAGAAGGGGGTTATTCGAACAGATCGGCGCAGATTGTCCCTTTGGGGCCTTGCTGTAAAGAAGGAAGAAGAGAAGGAAGAAAAGACGGAATGGAAAAAGTGGCTAGTGTTTTCGAGGATTGTAGTATGGTCGGTGGCTGAGGTGGTAGTGTACATTGGTGGTTGGGTGATCTGCTGGTGAATTTGTGATGATCAGGCGATCGTCTGGTGAGGATCTAGCTCGCTCTCGTGTTTGTTTCACCGCGCGCTCTAAGCTTTCAAAGAACCATAAAGTCCAACGAAGGCCCAGAACAATGACGAAATCAATGAGATCTTACCCAGAATCAACTTATACTCAAAAACTCCAGTCAAGACGAAGTGCTGGGCAAGCTCAACCACATCGTTCAGTCCGAGGAACACAAACACCTCAGATTTGAAGGAGGAGATTGCATCAGCTGGAGCAGCAAGCAATGCGTAAGCCACAACAGCCCTGGTAGCTGTGATCACAACAGGATCAGCAGGTCTTGAGGTGAAGTTGATGTAGTATCCGGTGAGGAATGGAACTCCAAAGGCAGCTGCAAACCAGACCACAAAAAAGGCCAAGAACGACAACGAAGTCACAAACGAAAAATCCACGACAGGCGTCTGGAGCACCTGCTTTGGCAAGTTGTCGGCGACAAGCTTTGGCAAGAACTTTCCAACTGGGGCCACACTGTAGTAGTTGCTGAAGATGTATGTGGCTTCAGTAGCAACCTGGATACCAACAAACGCACACGGGCAGCTGAGAGCAGACTTGATAGCGGAGTTCTTGTCACCAACAGCAGAGACAACGGCCTTAGCTTTGGACCCGGCAGATTGGGTGATACCCGCGTATTTCGACACCACAAACGTCTTTGCCTTCTTCAAAACAGTGGCTCCGGTGGAGTCCTCAGAGTCGGTTTCCTCCTCGGTTTCAGCCTCGACATCCGGCTCGGTAACCTTCTCAGCCGGTTCATCAACAGGCTTTGACTTCTTGACAGGGGATCCAAGGCCCTTGGCCAAAAGTTGATCCACAAGCTCCTTCTTGAGCTCCTTTCCAGTGACGAAGATGCCGGCGTCCTCGCACAGCTCCTTGAGTTGCTCTTTGGTCTTCTTTGCCAACGACATTATAAATCAAAAAAATGGCGAAAAACGGTTTTAAACGGTGATGATTAGAATTTTTCTGATTCGGTGTTAAACCTTCGAAGAGAAAGAGTCAGGAAAGAAACACTCTGGAGTTTGGTTTGGAGTATGGAGCGGCATAAACAACAACAACAAGTGCGCTTACAAAATTACCCTTTTCGGTAATATGTAAACATGAGTGGTAGTGTTTGGGCGAATTGATGGTGTCAAGGCTGTGCTGGGGTAAAGATAGGGCAGTTAGAGCAAGAGTGGTAGGGTGGTTATACCGCAGTTCCTGTCGGAAATTGAATATTGGAGTATAGAAAAATGAAATAGGAAGAGAATATATAGGATTTTTGGAGCTAGGAAGTGGATTTAGTGGTCATTTGTGTGATTTGGACCGTATGGACCCTGCATGTCAGGAACAGGTAAAGAATCAATGTTGGCCGTATTGTCGTTGGCTTCAACAGAATATCCTGGAATTAGTACCTTCATTAACGCACTCTTTCAAGGTTTACAGTAAAGTGTCTAAAATATCGGGGCCTATCCAATATCTGCGCATGATCTACAGAACACCCATACTCTGTTACCACAAACTCACCGCATTTTGAGTCCACCCTAACACGGCATCAAAAAAAACCGCCTAGAATCGGAACTTGGTTCCTGCCTCTGAATAGCGCCTTTTTTAAAACCAATAATATCCCACTATGACACACACTATGACACATCTCAAATGCCTCTATCCCATAGAAGTATTCCGGGTCGTGCGCTACAGACCCCGCCGACCACCCGAACCGGATTGTCGAATCAGGGGGCTGGTGGCAACCGTGGGTCCGACATGGAACTTCTTCCGACCTCCCTTCGGTTTTCTCTTCACCCAGAGCCAACACTTACACTTTAAAAGCCCGAAAATCCCCTAGTTTTGACCAGGTCTGGATTAAGTTGTTCGTGTTTTTTCACTGTTGCCCCAGTTTTTGCGCTATGAACTCAATTCCAGATGCAGTGGACTCCAACCTTGTCCACGCCCTCTCGTACCAACCGGGAGTGTTCCGAGCCGGTCAGGTCAACGACCAGCGCTCGCAACCACAACAGAACGAGGATCCCAAGCTGTCCGGGCAGGTGAATCCGGGGCCCGGAATGCATGGTAATGCTGGATCATCAAATTCGCAGGCGGGGGGGGCTTCTGGTCCAGGAAATGGGTCCGGAACCCCAGAAACAGCTAAGGAGGATGCGCAGAATGCTCTCGTTGCTGTTTCGCGGTACACGAATAGCAACAAGTTTGGCGCAAAGAAGAAGTCGTGGGTCTGGAACTGGTTTGTTCAGGACGACCTTGATCTCAACGTTGCCATATGTGACCAATGCGGCAAGTGTATCCGTCGTTTGGCCAGTGACAAGGGTTCCCCCAAGAAACTAAGCGAGCACCTGCGTACCCACCGGATCGACAGGGAAACCGTGAACCCGAACCGCGAGTCGATGATGTCTGTTGAGGCCAATGTTAGTGGTTCTAGTATGGCATACAGTCCTCAGGTTCCTCTTAGACGGAATTTGACCCAGGGCGGATACGCCTCTTTGCCGCGCCACATCTTGAACGAATTCGAGATTGCGCCGTACACTCAGGTGAAATTTCACAAGGAGCTCATGAAGTTTCTGGCCGAGAACAAGCTCCCTATCACCGTGGTGAAATCGGCCACTTTCAGGCAAATTGTTTTCACTCTTCGCCCAGAATCCATTCCAGACTTAGATGATCTGGACAATATTTATGCCTCTTTCATTGAGGTATTCAAGAACGCCGGGACGAGGCCAGCCGAGGAGTGGCTATGATGAGATACATTCAAGACGACTCTAATTCAAGCCGGTCACTTTGCTATTATAATTTCAAGTTCTCAATGAATACATCGTTGTATGGCTCCCGAAGCCCCCACAACGCCTCGCACTCGGACCGCGCCGGTGCAGAAACCTCAATTACCCGCTTTGTGCCGCTACCAGACCCGTAGACTTTGTAGAATCCTATAACCACAATTTGCCAGGGAATTACCAATGTAAACCGACTCAATACTTCCCCCGTACTCAACCGTCCGTTGCAAACCATTATCCCCACAAATTGGCCGTTTGAGTGGAACACGCCTCCACCAGAAGAGCCGCTCCACGAAGACGCAGAAACAATTGCGAGCACGTTGACATTTGGAAGATTATCGAAAAGAGCCAGTTCTTTCGAGAAATTCTTATGGCCAGAACTAACCATTGGAGCTTTATTCTGCATGAGTCCGAATCCGATGGTCGTGACATTATCATTTGAAGTTTGTGGAGCGAAAATCCGGCTTCCGGCCCCGAATCTCTCCAGGTCTGTGACCAGATCCGTTATCGGGGTGTTTGCGACTGAGGCATACCCCAATTCTTTTTGAGCAAACAGCTCCGATTTGATGAAGCAGAGGTCATAGAATTCAAAAGGGATACTCACAGCTGCAGCCAGAGTCGAACCCTCAACCTCAACCGTTATTCCAGAGGAAAAGGTCACCAGTATCCGAGCAGACATCGGTTCCCCTTCTGCGATCAAAACATGTCTGTTGGTGACCACCACATTGGGGGCTACCAGAACCCCAGATCCCCAATGATGTTGGCCAGTAGGTGATACAGTCGATATTCTGACAACTGACCTGTTTAATACGTCGACATTCGAAAGGCCCCTCTGGATGGTCGCTTCCGTATTCCTTATGGGTTCCTCTATCTCCAGCTTGAACGGTAGGTACCTAGCCAAAACCTTCCAGGAAATCACTAGCATCACCTCACCATCACCATTAACCTTCCGTAGTCCACCATATACCAGTCCTACAGAATTGGCACCAAGACACACGTTTCCACCAATCATGTTGTCCATGTACTTTAGATCAGCAAGGTAGTATGCACCATTGGGGTCTGAATACAATATATCCGCACATGCGCGGAATCCAGAAAAAATAGATACGTTCGAAAGCCCAAAGGGACAACTTTCAAATTCGCATGCAGGAGTTGATCTTTCCAGCCTGGTGAATCGTATAGGGCGCAGATCATGATCTCTGGTATGGCCGAGTGGTTTCAGCACGAGGACTACGCCAATTCCATCCGTAATATTTGGCACCACACCGAATCCTCCAAAATCCTGGAACAGCAGGTTATCCGATATAGTATTCACCGACCCAAATTTGCAACGAACCCAGCTAATCACACCGTTGCTGATCAGAGCCATGGAGGTGAAGTACACCTCGAAACTGTCTTTCTCGAACCCTGCAGGGAGCTGCGAGAGGGCAATCACGTATTCAGCTTCCCCGTGTTTCAGGAAAATCCCGGAAACACCGATCACCGCATTTCGGGTCCTCTTCGATACAATCCGGATTGTCACTGGTTGGTACAGCGACATTTCGGTGATGAAAGAGCGTTGGGATGGTAGGTTCAGGCTGGTTCAGATTGGATATCGGCTGGATGTGCATGCCCTTTTGGGTATGTGTGCGGTAATCAAAAGAGCGCCGCATATTGTTTTTCCCCTTGCTCCGACAGATGGAGCTGTGTTAACAATCATATTCACGGACTCTACAAAACTCCACGAAAAATTCAAAAATAGGTATTTTGAAAGTCCGATTTTGTAGATAATGCTTTAATTAACCTGCAATATCAATTCCGTGCCAAAATCACATTTCCCTCCAACTTTACCCACCACCCGATCCAAGCAAGCATGTGAAGTGAGACCCGAGGCATCGGAAAAATACAAGAGGTGAAATATGACCGACGGCAGGATGGAACTAACACCCCGCCCACTTTTGGTTTTTCCATTCCTTTCCTTTATTATTTTCTTCTTTTACAATGGCCAGTCTATTCAGAAGACTTATTACACGATCTTATTCACAAACATCATCAAGTGTATCGCAAATGGAGTCCTACCTGGCTTTACACGAAGTCTCCAAAGACTGTTATCAGAACTCCACTCAGTTGAAAGTTCCTTGGAACGGAAGAGGTGTTTTCGGTGGAACGCTGGTGGCACAGTCGTTACATGCGGCCCATCTTACGGCTGGTGAGAAGTTCCGCCCACTCAGCATTCACAGCAACTTTTTGGTTGCTGCCCAGACCGATACTCCATTGCTGTACCAGGTGGAACGCATTCGCGATAGCAAAAATTATTGCACGCGGCAAGTGCGGACCATCCAGAACGGTCAAGTGGTATTCATGGCCATGGTTTCATTTGAAGCCAAAACTCTGGAGGGATCTGCCGGGAAAGCTGGTCCCCAGTTTGACGACCATCGTGCCCCTCCAGTTGTTGGAAAAGATGTCCCTCCATTAGAGGAATGTTTTGACGAGCATAAAGCATTTGGAAACTGGATCGACCAACTCTCTGAATACCGTCCTAAGGCGACTCTGGCAACTCAGGATCAGATTGTAGCAGGTTACGGTGATGAGCCATGCACTTGGAAACTACCCCAGGATGTTTTCGATTTGGACCATGTTGATCCCAAGGAATACGATCTCACTCCAACTGAACGGGCTGTTACATATTGGGTAAAGGCTAGAGGAACGATACAAGATGCTTCTTTTCACCAGAAAGCAATCGCCTACATTTCTGATTATTTCTATCTGACGCTCAACATGAGGCTCCACATGAGACCAATGTTCTCTACCAAGTTTGCAGTCAGTCTTGATCACACCGTGTATTTTCACGAGGATGTCAAGGCAGATGACTGGATGACTTTTTCGATCAAATTGAGATCCTGTGAGCGTGGGAAGGCTCTTTTGATTGGAGATTTGCATTCCAAGGATGGAAAATTGGCAGCCACAGTTATCCAGCAGGGCATGTCTATGCATAGTGAGAAGCCAAAACTGTGATATTATGAAGTGAGAGAGATATCTGAGGTTTAGAGGTTGATTTTGGAGTCTAGAAGGAACATAACCTGTTCTCAAACAAGCTGCGAAGGGTGGGAATCATTTGAAGATATCTGAGGCCTTGAAAGCTTAGGATTTGACATCGAGAGAGTTCGCTATCTAGACGACTATTATGTTGAGAACTATTAAAAAACAATTAGAATTATATAAGAAAATGATGAGAGCTCTTGGAATCGGTATATGGATATTTTTCAAATAGCATATTGGCATTAGAAGCCACCCAAAACACCTAATTAGTTTTAGGCAATAAAGATAAAAAGCACAATGAATATTCCAGCTTGACATATATACCATATCCTGATAATTTTTCACCCTCGTGGGTGCAGTACTTGGTTCACAATCTTTCCACATGCAACCAACTTCTCATCCTCATATGCTCTTGCAACGATCTGGACATGACCAATTCCACCTTTGAACTTAATTGGATCAAATGGAATTTTGGTTGGAATCAATTTGATATTGGTCTGAGGAGAAGTGGTGTCTATGTCAACAAACTTATCGTCAGAATCAAGTGGCTTTCCAAATGGAATGATACAGGCTGGGAAGTCACAGTTGTTCCAATTGGTGAGATATGGAGCTCTTCCAAAGCAATTGTGAGGAGCAGCACTAGATGGTGATCCAGGACAAAGTATTATGTCAAGTTTTTTTTCCACGAAAAGTTGACGCCATTCGCTGGTTAATTCGACTCTTCTGCGAGTCCATTTCTTGAGTGTTCTCCAGGAGAACGGAGGAATTGTAAAATGTGATAAAAGGGTCAAAGGAGGTTCTCCGCCCATAACAATGTTCTTCCAGGTATCCCAGCAGTTGTCGTAGTAAAAAAGTTGGTTGGCGTTGAACCAGCCGTCATAGATACTGGGATGGGAGGTTAGGGGAATAACGTTGTGGCCGGCCTTGCTCAGCAAAGCAGCTGCCTCTGTGAGAGATCTTTTGATATTTGGATAAACTGGAATTTGAGGATCTTCCAGAATAAATCCTATATTGAGCTTTTTTGAATCATCCCACTCCAAAAATGCATCGTTATAATCCACAACTTTGATCTCGGGATCATAGTCGTAGGGCTTGTTTCTGAGAACTCTTTCCACAATAAGCTCAATCGCTTCGAAATTACTTGCCATTGGACCAGCAGAGCATGCTACTCCAAATTTGGTAATATCGTTCTCATTTTGGTTGGTCTGGCCGCCGTATGGAAGTCTTCCCGAACTGGGTTTGAAACCATAAGTCCCGTTGCAAACAGATGGGACTCTAATGGAACCTCCAATATCAGTACCAATTCCAGCAATGGATCCCTTCATTCTTGCCAAAGCTCCTTCACCACCTGAAGAACCACCTGCCCCGAGGGAAATATTATTTGGGTTCAGGACAGTGCCCCACACATGATTGGTTGACTCTGTCGTCATCAGCGTCTGGGGAACATTGGTCTTCACATGAAAAACAGCTCCCATGTCCCACAGACTTTGCGGAAAATCAGAAAACTGTGTGATCGTTTTGTTATTATCAATAAATGACACATAACCGATTGTGGAATCAAATCCAGGGACATTGAACGAGTCTTTCAGACTGATGGGCAAACCATGCAAAGGACCCATCACCTTTCCGGTTTTGGCAAAATGACCATCCAACTCTTTCGCCCTCTCAATTGCGAAATCAAACATTAACTCTGTGCAGCAGTCGGTCAGTTGAGTTGCAATTGCTGCTCTTTTGCAAACGCCGTGGTCACTTCCAGAGCCGTCAAAGAGCCAGTGCTGATCTTAGCCGCCAGGTCTTTTGCATTGCAGTTCTCTGTAATATCCAGCTCTTTCCTCGATAAAATCCCGCATTTTTCTGGAATATCAACTACACAAGCATCCTTATCTCTTGGAAAAAACTCCGGATTCAAAATCCATTCTTTGGGAATAAGACTCCGGACTCGCGTCTTCTTGTGTTCCGCCTTCTCCTGCCACTTAGTGCGGCTGAAGAAGTTGACAATAGCAGAGAGTATAACCACCAATTGGTATAAAAAGCTCATGATAAATCAGATAATTATACTTCAGTCACTTCAGTCACTTTATTCATGATTTCAGTTCCACTTTGTAAACTGAATGGGTACCTTCTTATACCATGGGATATTCCATCGTATCTGAGATAGCCAACTGATAAGGCTTCCCAAAGGAGAGATCTTCAGCGGTTAGATTAGCTTTGGGCGCGTAATCGATCTGGGGTAGAATTCAAATGATTACGTCGTACAGTTTGAGTATTTGATGTAATCGAGCATGTGTATGATCTTGTTAATTAGTTCATAAATATCAACATGAATTTGGAAGATAATCTAGTTTTTCAAACTCTCCATTGTAATAGGCTTCACTTTACCAATTTTTCAAAATTCTCATTTTTCCGAGAATTACCGCAGTTTTCATAAAATTGCCAAAATAATAAAATTGAGATACATATATGCTATATTCATAACCTCTGGGGGATATATTTCATATCTCCAATGTCTGGTTCAATCAACATCAGGCATTTGAAGATTGTCGTCATGGCTATTGTCCTGATTGGCGTTATTGTTGGCATGTGCATTCAAACTCTGAACTCCGTTGATCAGTGTCTGCCTCAAAGCCCCCCACAATCCATTCGACTGGCCTTCTTCCTGGGTAGTCGCCGTTCGTGTTGGTGCGGCTCTACCGTAATCGTCCTCTTCAGGAACGCCCATGGGTATATCTTCATCGTCGTCAGGAACTACTGCAGCATTCTCAGAGCCCGCCGGATTGCTATCCTCATTCCGTGGAACATTCTGTGGCACATTCTGGTCCCTTTCATTGTTTCCAGTCTCGTTCTGCTGTGCTCGTTGCGCACCAAACCCCATTCCCAAACTTTCGAGCCACGCGTTGACCGCCCCTCTTGCAGGATCAACTATTCTTTCAGGATGGTCCTGGTTGGTTCCTGAAACATACGATTGTACTATGGTCATTATAGTGTCCGCAAACGACATCGCCTGGTCTCTGTTTCCAATAGGTGGAATGGGAAAAGGTGGTAGTATGTCTCGCAGAGGCTCCGGAAATGAAAAATAAGTACCTCTGTCAGTCTGTGAACCTTCTTGTGGTGTATGCGTGCCTGTCTGAGGTGTTGGCGCACCCGGCACCGGTGTCCGTGCACCTGACTGTGTTCCACTCTGAGACTGCTGTTGTCTGAAAACACCAGGGTTGGCCACCATGTTGTACAGATCAGAAATGCTGATTTCAGGCACAGAAACGCCCTGAGTAGGTGCTCTCGATGAGGTCAATGATTTGTACGAGTCAAGAGCCATGCGGACATCATCCGGAACGAGCTCGTCGATATAATCCTGGGTATATCCCTGTTGTCTGGCCCTTGACTCTGCCAGCTTTATTGACTCTTTGAGTTCACTCATGAACTTCTGCGGCTTCTTCGGGTGTTTACTGGCAACTTTGACCGCCTGTACGTACGCCTGCAAAGCCCTAACCGTATTCCCCTGATGCAAGAACGCATACCCCAGCCTGCACCATGCGGGTATGAACGTGGGATCTTTGGATGTTGCACTGTAAAGATCAATAATGGCATCGTCATAGGCACCCAACGCTTGTAGAGTGGCTGCACGATTGGATAACAGCGCCACTGACCCTGGTGTCTGTTCAAGCGCTCTGGTGTAATCTATCAGCGCAGCAGCATACCTCTTATCCCTCATCTTTCCATTAGCTCGGAGCCGCAGTTCGTGGGCCTGTCTGTCTTTGCCAGATAATGGTGGCATTTTGTGGACTTTAACTTTGTGATCTTCCGAATATATCAAGGAATAGAACAGAAACAGCCACGGAGATTCCACGGGATTAGACGCCCAAGGCCTCTTCCCCCAACGTGCATGAAGCGAAATCTGCTGACACCCCATCGCCCCCCGAAGAACGGGAGAAGATTCCAGAAGCTAAGATAGTGGCGCAGGAAGGCGCGAGCTTGGCTGGGCCTTTTCTCTCAAGCACACGATATTTTCCCCAAGTTATGAAACTCTGGGCTACAGAGATCCAAGATAACAAACAATTGATACAGACCAATCGGATGCCGCCTACTTTAACTGTGTGGGACGCTTTGGAAGCGGAGGGCTCTTCGCACACACCACCAGTGGCTCCTTCGGCCTCTAAAGAGACATGTCTATCACCCAAAGGTGTGAGGTCCTTTTTGAATCTAAGCAGACTGGCTACGGACGATGTGATCAGACAGAGACTCAATGGATTACTTCAGAACACTCACAATTTATCTGGGCACGGAAAGGAGGCGAATAAGAATGCTTTGTGCAAGTCTTTCATCAATGATCTACTACTTCCATCCTGGAAAGCACGGTTACAGGCGATTGAATACTGCAGTTCTGTGGAGCGGGAAATGAGGCTGGAGATTGAAGCAAGCCACAGGGAGGTTTCCAACAAAAAGCTGGTCGAGCCTAAACTGGATCCGTATGCTGCGCGCGATGCACTGGAGGAAGTGAATCAACAATTCGAAGGCGTAGACCGGTTCCGAGGGTGGTTGGAAAACGAGTCGCAAGTGGAGACGATTGTCCGGAATCGGACCATCGGTATAATGCAAGATTCTTGTGGGGTCCGGGCCGATGATTTCGGCCAGTTCGGCACAGAAAATTAGACGAGGACGACCTACATGTATATATTTATCGCCAAGGACAAGTTGGAAAAGACCCAAAAGGCATTCCGCTTATCGTGTCTTTTGTACAAAGCTATGACAAAGCCTGTGGCATGCTCTCAGAAAACGGGATTTCGAAGTTTCACTCTTCTTATCACTTCAATACGCTTCTTGCTCTTCAACTTCTTTTTTCACTTGTAACTTCCTCTCGCTCCATCCTGTGTGACCACCGTCCGGCTAATTCTTTTTATTCCTCGCACTGGCAGCGGCCGCAGCTGCTGCAAAATGGTTCTGCGTCTTTGGCTTCATAATGCTCGCGACATGTTCTGGATTCGGTGCAGAACCGTCAACTTTGATACTTTTTCCGGAAGACGAACTGACTACCCTTTTGTTCAATGGCGGCGACCGGTCCACCAGACTCATCTTACCAACCTGCTTCGTTACACTGATGGACGATATCGAAGCATTTGAGCTAGAGGGAGTATGTTGTTTCGAGCTTGACGCCGATGACGACTGGCTCTCTGACTTTGCAGCTGCCTTCGTCCTTCCTGGAGAATGGCTCTTGCTTTTCCTCAAAGGATAATCAGGCGACAGGCCAGAGCCAGACGGCGTAGTGTTTTTGGCCTGTTGCCTCAGAATATCCTTTGCCTTAAGCAGAGAGTCAATCCACGAGATTTCTGGGTTGACTGCAAAACCAACACGAACATTGCTGTTGATTCCACCACGTACAATTGTTTTGGAGTTGTAGCTGCTCAAGAAAATCAACTTATTCAGATTGACCAGCTCCAAAATAAGGTAGCCTTCTTTGAGAGCTTCATCGAACTCATAGTCGTACATCGAAACATTCTTGTTGGTGAGCCTGATTTCCACCACGTTAGAGTAAAAGGCCAATGCTTGTAACTGAGTAGACGACTGTGGTCCCTGAAGTTGGAAATCTGAGTTCAACTCAAAGATGAGCAAACGTGCCATCGACGTGATGATCAAAATACACGATTTGAGGTCTCTGCTGAGCCTTGCGTAGTTCTCAGCAATGATCTTGTTTAAAATGACATCGTCCAGTGTCATCGCCGAAGAAGGCGCAGTTTGCGGTATGTTCACCTTGTGGGGAAGCTCAGACTTAAATATGTTGTCCAATTTGAGAATGTACTCATTGGCCATCAACCTGTTAGAGATATCTCTTGGGACAGTCTTATCCAGCAAGACTGGGTTGATCACCTGTTGATGAGTCCCTTGGCCCCCAGAACTGGCAGGCCTCGAATTTGAAGACAAGAAACTTCTGTTGTGATTCATCAAACTGCCAATCGCACCAGCAGCAGATATCGCCTCTTGGGAATGCTGTGGATTCATCATCTCCATCAAAGCGGGCGTCATTCCACTACCAGCAGAAGCAGATCCACCAGCACTGACCGCGGCCGCTGCGTTAGACATTTGTTGGCTGTTGTTTGTCTGAACTGCAGGTGATGCTGAAGGATTACTCACTCGCCGCGTTTCGCTTGAAGATGAAGATTTTCGTAGCGTTGGTGACGAAATGGTAGATCGCGTTCTCTTTTCCATAGGAAACTTGGGTGAGGCGGATGTTGGAGGAGTTCTAACACTAGCATTTCCATTGGCATGCCCGTTTCCGTTTATTGTGACATCAGTTCTTGGACTGGAAGGAATTCGAGCGGATCCCGGAGGTGATGACAAAGTTTCCTTTCCACCATCCAGTCTCAGGTTCTTAGATCCTAGGTCAGTGACCCGGGCACTAGCCAATTGCGCGGCATTATGTGACTGTTGAATACGGGCCTGTTGCTCTTTTATCTCACGATTTTTGTCGGCAAGCTTCTGAGTGAGAATACGATTCATCACTAGTTGGTTGTTGGATGCTTGAGCTATCTGTCTATTCAAGACTGACTGCGGCATCGATGATGTCTGCGATGTTAGTTTCTGTCCGGGTTCCACGTAATGGTATGCGATCGGGCGCGAAATACTGGATTGAGGCTGCGGTGCAGCCTTAACCTGTCTTGAGTACAGTCGGGGGTTGTAGTTTTCGAACTTGGGCACTTTCTTCTTCCATATGGTGTCTTTCTCTGTCCATGACACATTTTTGAACCATTCCATTTTCTTGAGATCCGCCACTACTAGTCGCTCCTCCGGATTTGATATCAACAGCATCTCTACTATCTTTTTGATAGTAGAAGGAACGAAGTAGTTGGCTGGGTAATCATATTCGAGCTTGATGATCTTCTCGAACGTTTGATATTCGGTAGTTCCTTTAAATGGAGGTCTTCCAACAATTAGCTGGTAGAGGATACATCCAATTGCCCATAGATCGCATTCAAAGCCGCATTGGTTGTATTTTAGCAGTTCGGGAGAAACATACTCTGCAGTTCCCACGAACGAACCAGTTCTGGATGAAGAGCTCTGGGTCCCTTCATCCGAGGAAGATGTTGAGTCTTCTAGGTCAGAGCCATTTGCTGTAGGTGCTGGAGCCCCATTCGTCAGTGAATCTTTCGGCAATTCTTCATCGTTGAGGATTTTCGCTGCACCAAAGTCAGTCACCATGAGTTTCCAATCGTGGCTCAACAGAATATTCTCTGGCTTGAGGTCTCTATGGATAATCCCCTTCGAATGGATGAATTCCACTGCATCAACAAGTTGAACAAGATAGTATTTGGCTAAAGCCTCACTGAACGACCCCAGCTTCTGAAGCAACGAAAGCATTTCGCCGTTATTGGCATAATCAATGACAAAGTAGAGGGAATCCACATCCTGAAAAGTGTAGTACAAAGTGACCACCCCAGGGTGATGACCTAGTCTATTCAATGTTGTTTTTTCAATGGTGACATATTTGATCTTCTTCTCCTTCACTATGTGTCTCTTGGACAAAATCTTGACTGCGTAGGTCCTCCGGTTGTGTAGATACACCGCCTTATACACCTTTGAGTATGAACCCTCTCCAATACAATCCAGAATCTGGAAATCTTTGACGGATCTCTTCCTGGACATGCTGAGAATGCTGTGTATGTGTTTTAATCAATCAAGCGGTCTCCCTGTCTGCAACATTCAATAACTAGATGACAAAAAATGTGGGTCCTATCAGCAACAAATTTAAAATTGATGGAATGCACAAATCCGGCTTCAATCAGCAACAAAACGGACAAAATTGGAAAGAATGGCGAGCTCCTTGGCTTGTCCCTTGTTTGCAAAGGGCTAGGAGCGGTTTGCGTCGGCGCAACCCAAATAATACACGATCGGCCAGGAAATTCAACCCGATCAATTCCGATGGTTGGAGATGATTAAAATCAGCGAAATGCAAGAATCTCAACTTGGAAATGGTGAAAACGGTTATTTAATTGACTAAGTGTTTGTCAAGATAGAGACAAGGAAGCGCCGTGGTTTGCCAGGACGTGATGGTTGGTGTGTCACACTCAAAATCACTGAAACAGGAAGTAAGGTTGAAATAAGGTTGAAATAAGGAAAAGTATGAGAACGGGAGAAGACTAGGTTAGTAAGAGCAGACAGATGGGGTTATAGATGGGGTCGTAAAAAGGCAGCAAAAAGGCCATGATCTGAACATGTTGAAGCTCACGATAGGAGATCAAAATTGTTCTGTCTGTTTCCTATTTCAAGTACTTTCTGTTCGCGAAACCCGAGAAGCCGAATACCGATAGTTTTGAGTTTTTATTGTTAATTACAAAGTGGTCATAAAGGAGCCGCAGTTTCTACTAATGCTTTGATTTCCGGGCCACTCAAAACTTTCAAACATTTGACGAACTGTAAAAATCGGGGCAAGTATCCACTAAACTGGAGGTTTCAATGGAATCCATGACACAGCTGTACAAAACGCACGTAATATTCATTTCTTTCATCACGTATTTTTGGACAATCCATATACCAAGTGTCAGTACTTAATCAAGTCTCTTTGGCCACATGGAATTCTCGATCTGATCCTCGAAATCAGTCTTCCCGTACTTCTCCTTCCATCTCTCTCACCCTCACTAGTTTTTCTTCTTTTTCGAACTCTTTATCAGAACAAACCCAATAAAAGACGCTACTAGTGACACACCTGTGATCAGTAAAATTACGGGAATCTTGATGATCCACTCTCTAGCGGGAAACAACTGCTGCAGTGGGTTCGAGTCGTCCAGGAACGGAACCGCAAACGTCCACACCGTGTAGTATGCAAATATTAGGGACGAAGCGAGTAACATCGATAGTCCGACCAGTTTGTCCTAGAGGATGGGTTAGTTCCCCATGTTATCTAAGGTTTTCTGATGTGCGTAAAGACCAGAAGCACAATACAATACCAGACGGTTCCAAGAGTTGTCCAATCCGATATTAATCTGAAACTTGCCCAAACCAACTCACCATTGTTATAAGATTCTTTGCGGAAATATTTTTGAATAGAATCAAAAGTAGGAGGAAAGAAACGGTTTGAAAATGATAACTCTTTGTGGCCTTGAAACTTGGGAAAGTCGCGCGTGTCAAAAACAGGTTTTCCGACCTTTTAACGGGGGTTTAACGAGGTATTCCGATATCCGTGGATTTGCAGTCGCAAGAGCGAAAAAAAGAGACTATGAAGCTCAATTAGCTTATGCGGCTCTGTTTCTAGAGTATCGACGCGTCTAAAGATCGAATGAGGTATTTTAAGCGTGTATTTTAGTTTAGTCCCGGAGGTCTTGTCTGAAGTTGTACACCCTTGAATCAGGGCAACTACCCCCGGATCCACTGAGGATTGGGCCACCACGAGGCTACACTAGCTCGTTTATCATACTCCCCATTCGCAGCCTGAGCATTGAAATTTGAAATCAATTTTCCGTCAAGAGAATTATAACCTAGTTCTTAGTCACCAACTCATTTCCGGCCAATTTCCAGCCCAATCCAGCCTGAGAACTGGCCATTCCTACAGCACCTAAAAAAGTCGTGTCCGATACCGGGGATCCCGCCAATGCCGTCATAATCCACTGGATTTGCTCCTGAGATTACCAATTACCACGCATTCTTAATCCGCAATCATTCGCCTTCTTCTCACCATTGAACTTCAAGATCATAATGTCATTGCTCAGAACATCAATTCGCTCCGCCAAACCGGCCTTGCAATCCCGTCAACTCGGAAACGCCATCCGCACCAAGATATCCCTTCCAGATCTGGACTGGGACTTTGGCGCTTTGGAGCCATACATCTCTGGTCAGATTAACGAGCTCCACTACACCAAACATCACCAAACCTACGTCACGGGCTTCAACACTGCAATTGAGCAGTATGCTGAGGCCAAGGAGGCCGGTGAGGTCAAGAAAGCTGTTGAGCTGCAAAAGCAGATCAACTTCCATGGTGGTGGATATCTCAACCACAACCTTTTCTGGAAGAACCTGGCCCCTCCTTCCCAGGGTGGTGGGGAGTTGCCAGCTGAGTCCAGTGCACTTGGAAAGGCCGTTATTGACCAGTACAAGTCATTTGACAACTTGGTTGCTGTGACCAACAGCAAGTTGGCTGGAATCCAGGGTTCTGGCTGGGCCTTTATTGCCAAGAACAAATTGAACGGTGCCATTGAGGTTATCCAGACTCAAAATCAGGACACTGCTCTCGACCCCTACATTCCTCTGGTTGCCATTGATGCATGGGAACACGCCTACTATTTGCAATACCAGAACGTGAAGGTTGACTACTTCAAGGCTATCTGGAATGTTATCAACTGGAAGGAGGCTGAAAAGAGATTTACTGCCTAAAATTATTTCAACATATTTAAGGTTATACAAGTTATCTATGAAGATATTCATTTAAACTAACACCAACGACAGCAAAGTCAAGATTTTTACAAAACAGCACCAAACCCAAAAGTCACCTTGATGCATCTGATGTAGTAATCCTCGAAATTGTCTCTGACAACGTCTTCTTGGCCTATTGGGACACCTTCAAAGTCCACCACCATCTTTGTTGCAGACGAGCCTTGTTCTAGCGCAATCGTAAGTGTAGCGTAATGTTCTGGTTTCCAGGACTTGAGTCTCCACGACATGACAATCCCGGTGGGTGCAGTGAGTTTAAGGATTCTTCCTGTCACGTTAGCACCAAAGAGACTGTATTCGGTTCCCTCTTCGGGTGAGATCTCGGCCTGTGACCGAGTCCATGCCGAAACCCGGTTTTTCTCCAAGAGAGTCAGATATAGGACATCTGCTGGACACACGAAATCCTCTTCGAAGTGCAACTTTGAAGTATTGGCGGTTGAATGTGATTGTGACTGGGCCGGTGCTGCGACTGAGGCCGCTGCCGGCTTTTCTTCCTTCTTGAATATTGTGGTAGATGTCTTAGTCGACGTCCCACTTTGGTTCTGCTTGGTAAAAACTGACTTAACCTGGTCTTCTGGTTCCTGAATCTCAGAAGCGTGGTCCTTGATGAGCTTAGGACCAAAAGCTGAAAATGTCTTCCTGAGCGTTGGAATTATTTTAGACTTGATGATCTTGGTGACGATATCCTGGGTCTCGGATGCGTATTCTCCACCAAAGGAGATCTGGAACTGGTACTCATCACTCTCTGTGTCATAAGCAATTTCCGGGACTTCTATCGTTCCTGTAACTCCTTGTTGTTTGCCGGAAGATACGAAACCCAAATTTGCCTTGAGATCAAACAACGAGATCACTTTGCCTTTTCTTTGGCAAACTTCGACATCACCGTCCAGAGAATTTACCTTGGAAATAGTCACTGTTGTTCCGTCAGTATTTCCGGAGACATTGACCACGTTTTCTTCAAAGTAGTTTTGGGCCCAGCCAATACAGTTCTTGTCTACCCAGTGCCTTGAGAGTCTAGTTAGTATGCTGTTGGAGATGACCATTTGAAGCGGCAAAAGGGTCTTGAAATTTCCAAAAAGTGCACTCTATACTCACCAGTTGTTAGGATTATGAACCATTTTGTATTTCTCTTGTGTCTTTCAGTTTGTCTCTATCAAGTTGAAGAGAGCGTTGGTGAAGGTTCTAATCTCCAAAATCTCCAGAGTAGAAAAGTCCAGAAGGTTGGATAACAGTTGGACGGCACACGCCCTTTTAGCCTGCAGGCAGAAAGAACGACCAGAGAAAGTGGAGAATTTTCACACAGGCCTTATAATTACCGTCTATCTGAGGTCATCTGATATCTATTACTTGTGTAAAGGTTTTCTCAAAGCTGTCCGATTTTCTGTGCTGACGGTCTAAAAGGAAAAGCCGCTGACGCAATCAAGGCAATGGTGCCCACCTCTTTTTGAATGGTTGCGTGCGGCGCAGAAACTTTCTGAAGCACTGTATGTCTCCTCGATATGCCTATTCATTCCACATACCAAGGCCATAAAGGGGGAGCAATATTTTGAAGATTTAAGATCATTCAAAACGAAAGATCCCTTTTGCGTCACAATTTCGTATAGAAAGGTGCAATTACGTCACGTGAAGTAGACTGGTATTGGGTGATACACATGCCTCACGTCACCTGCTATAGTCAAGCCCCTCTGCCTTTATGATCCTTCTGGCCCCTTCTTCTCCATTACTATTAATTTTTGCTCAATTCCATAACAAAAATCTCCTATCATACTCCGATCAATCATCAAAATGTCTGAAGCTCCAAAGAAATCGTTTATCGTAAGTTTTTTTCTACATTTTTGCGGATTACTGTCTCTACTTCTTAGTGGCGTGGGGATGCTTCTTGAATAGATCTGCTTGTTACTGTTTTTTTACTAACGCCATTATATAGATTACATTGAAGGACAGTGTCTCCGAAGGTGGAGTTACCAAGTTTAAGGAAACCGTCAAATCACTTGGTGGAGAGATCAAGCACGAGTACTCCCTGATTAAGGGCTTCTCAGTGAAATTGCCAGCCATCCACGCCTCCGGTCTGTCCAAGCACGACGATGTCGCTACTGTTGAAGAGGACCAAGAGGTTAAGATCAACTCTTGAAAAAGACATTTCCTTATCCCGACTTTTAATACTTTTCATTGAACATGACGATGTAATTCCATGCTTGACACATTGTAGGCTGCCTGGCGGTGCGATCCAGATTGGGCTATTGAGGCGGTGATATGAGGCTGATGCGATGAAGCCGTGCTTGACATGGAAAAGAGGCTCATTCAAACAATGCTGGAACCTCTGCCTCTCGGATAGTCAAATTACCAGAAAGATAAAAACTAAAAGCGGGAGTCAAATTATTCAAACTTAATTGAGCCTTATTCATCAAATATACCCCTCTTCCATATTTTTCGAACCAATTCTCTGGTCGCAAGTCTTATTATCGGTTTCAGCACGACCCCGTGGCTTGCCTTCCCTGCCAATCTTACCCGATTGGGACACGCTTTAAAGCCTCTCCGCATCCCCAGATTGCTGGCACGGGGTCTTATTTCTATTCTATTAGCTGTCGTTCTGTCAGTTGTCGCTCGTTTTCTCCTAGTTAATTCTTTTCATTTTCTTGGTCTTTTGGTACCAATTGCTATTCCAAGTCCATGAGAGAAGTCACACCACCACTACACTCCGGATGGACAATGGTTCACCCGGATGAACAAACCTACCCGCAACTGAACAAGGACCCACAATTCAAACCAGTAGACTCTATCTACGAAAACAGGCTCAAACAGTTTACCAATACTAGTGGCGGCTATGAAGACCTTCAATTGCCTAAGTTTTATGTCAAGGGCAAAGTTGACAACCAAAAGGATGAAAATGACCTGAGTAAGGGATACATCCAGTTCACGACTTACACCACTCCTAACCTCTCCAGACCTTTGTTTAAGGAAGTTATTCCCGACTTGTTGCCTGAGTTCAAACCAGCTCGGGTGGGCGATTCCTTTGGGCCGGGTTGGTCAACGCATTGGTTTGAAATCAAGGCCAAAGTCCCAGACTCGTGGAACAAGGAGAAGCTGGTTCTCCTGAACTGGGATGCCGGTAACGAGGGATTGGTCTACGATAAGAATGGACTTCCGTTACAAGCACTCACTGGTTCTTCTGAGAGGACGGAATTTACTATTCCTCCTTCGTGGTACGAGTCCGGCAAAGAGTTCACCTTCTACATCGAAATGGCATGTAACGGGATGTTCGGTACCGGGTCTGGAACCTATTACACCCTCGGCTCGGTCTCGCTCTTCATCCCGAACATGGATGCTCGCAATCTCTACTACGATTTCTGGATCATGGGTGATGCAGCACGTGAATTGTCAGTAAGCTCTGGCCAAAAGCACAAGGCCCGCGAATTGTGCAATAAGATCATGAACACATTCGACCCCGAAGACGAATCCACCATTTTAAAGTGCCGTGAAATTGCGAAGTCATATCTGGGAAAAGATATAGACTCTGATGCCGTTTTCGATGACAAAACGAACCAATTGCCTACCCAGGTGTATGCTGTAGGAAACTGTCACATCGATACGGCCTGGTTGTGGCCTTTTGCCGAGACGAAGCGTAAGATTGTGAGATCTTGGATCACCCAAATCCGGATAATGGAAAATTATCCCGAGTATGTGTTTGTTGCTTCTCAGGCACAGCAGTTCAAGTGGCTGAAGACGATGCATCCAGACACGTTTGATGAGGTTCTTCAAAAGGTTCATGAGGGTCAATTCGTCCCTATCGGTGGTTCCTGGGTAGAGAATGATACGAATATTCCCAGCGGAGAGTCTCTTTCCCGTCAATTTTTGTTAGGCCAACGGTTTTTCCAAGACAACTTCGGCTTCAAATCTGACACTTTCTGGTTGCCTGATACCTTTGGCTATTCTTCGCAGATTCCGCAGTTTTGTCGTCTTGCTGAAATGCCCAATTTCTTAACCCAGAAGCTGTCCTGGAATAACATTAACACATTCCCAGAGAATACATTCAATTGGGTCGCCATTGATGGATCTCAAGTGTTGTGTCATATGCCTCCAGCAAATACCTACACTGCCTCAGCCCACTTTGGAGATGTCAAGAGATCTCTTCAACAACACAAAAATCTTTACAATGACCAGCACGGATTACTATTGTATGGCCATGGAGATGGTGGTGGTGGCCCAACCACTGAGATGCTGGAGAAATTGAGACGGTGTAGAGGACTTACCAACACTGTTGGCTCAGAGTTGCCAATAGTAAAGGTTGGTGAAAACATCTCCTCATTTTATTCCAAAGTAAGAAAGGGAACAGACAATGGAAAGTCGCTTCCGGCTTGGAATGGAGAACTTTATCTTGAATTCCATAGAGGAACCTACACGTCTCAGGCAAAAGTCAAGTACATGATGCGTACTTCTGAGTTGTTGCTTCGTGATCTCGAGTACGTTGCTACTGTGGCCTCGATTCAGTCTGATTCATATGTCTATCCGCTGGACAAGATTACGGCCATCTGGGAGGATGTTTGTCTGTGCCAGTTCCACGATGTTTTGCCCGGTAGTTGTATTGAAATCGTTTATCGCGATGAGGTCTGGCCAATGTTAACTAAAGCCTTAGCTAATTTGCGTGGTCTGATTAATGAGGCCTTGGAGGCCCTTGGGTTAAAAGAAAAGGGTCTTGAAGCCCTCAGTCTAGAAGAGTCAGCAAAATATGATCAAGTGGCTACTCTCAATACATTGCCATGGGATAGAAAGCTCATTATGCCTGTTCCATACGAAGTGTCCGCCAAGCCTCTGAATGCCCAGGGTAACTTGGTGTATATGGAATCAACCAAGGAAAATCCAACCATTTTGAAACCTTTAAGCTCCAAGATCAAGCATCCTGCTGCAGTGTCCAAGATTGACGATGTTCACATTCTTGAGAACGGCAAGTTGAAGGTTTCGGTTGATAAGAATGGTGTCATTACAAGTCTGTACGACTTAGTTAATGATCGTGAAGTGGTTGATTTGGGCGGAAAAAATGAATCGGGTGCTAACCAATACGTCATCTTTGATGACCAGCCTCTGAGCTACGGTGCTTGGGATACCGAACTGTATTCGCTGGAGAAGTACAAGTATGTCGGTGGTGCAAGCAAGATTGAGATCTTGGAAGAGGGCCCCTTGAGATCAAGTCTCAAAATCCAGCACCAAATCTCGTCTACTTCAACAATCTCCACCATCATCTCTCTTGATGGTCTGAACAGTCTGGATGATGTTTCTTTCGTTGCCTTTGAATGCGAAGTTGACTGGAATGAAAAGTACAAGTTTTTGAAGGTTGAGTTTCCTGTCAGTATCACTGCCGATTATGCCAGTTACGAGACTCAATTCGGGCTCACCAAAAGACCCACTCATTTCAACACTTCATGGGATACCGCCAAGTTCGAGGTCTGCTCCCACAAGTTTGCAGACTATTCGGAATACAGCTACGGTGTTTCCGTAATCAACGATTCCAAGTATGGGTTTGCTGTTCATGGTAATCTGATGAGACTCAGTTTGTTAAGGGCACCGAAGTATCCTGATCAGACTGCAGATATCGGTAAACACCACTTCAAATATGCCCTTTATCCTCACAAGGGTTCTCTCGGGATGGACACGGTCAAGACAGCCTGGGAATTCAATTCAAGATCGAGTACGGCCATTTACGAAATTGGCCAGTTCGGCATCTGGAGCGAGGCCAGTCAATTGGTTAAGTATGAAGGCGATTCCAACATCCTCTTGAGCAACATCAAGCGTGGTGAAGACGATGCGGATCTGAAATCGAACACCAAACTGGCTAAGAAGTTCAGCGGGCATAAGACAATCGTTTTACGGTTGTATGACGCTTTAGGAGGCAAAGGTAAAGGAAAAATCACCATTGGGGCGGATATACACCAGGTGTTCAAGGTTAACATTTTGGAAGAGGAGAAAGAAGAAGTGGAGTTTGATGCTAAAAAGAACCAGTTTAGCATTGAGTCTCGTGCGTTTGAGATCAGTACTTATAAGGTTGTTTTGGCTTAAAATTGGTGAATTGGGGAATGAATTGTTAGAGACTTGTTGAGAACATTTGTCATAAGATTGGTAGTAACAACCAATATGATAGCTAGTCTTTCAACTATTAGTTTGATTTTTATAAGATATGTCTCATCTAAAGTACGCTTGTCTTATGGTAGGGTCCACCAATAGATGACTTTAAAAAGCCACTCAAAAAATATTTCAAGACCTTTTGAAGGGATCAGGAATACCTCACATATAAATAATTTCTTTATATTTCTTAAATGCTTTTTTTTGGTCGTTTTAGGTCACTTTTGAGCCAATTTTCGGCCACTTCAAGGCCACTTTAAGGTCTTTCTCTAAGACCCCTTATCTAACTCATCTCCCTTTTAGGGCATCGCGTCGAAGTTTCCGCTCGCGTTCTTAAACAGCCCCAGTTTCTTCTCCAGGTGACTTCTCTAAGACACACGCTTCAAGCATAGTCCCTACGAATGTCAGAAATTCTTAAAGAAAAACATGTCAAATTCTTTAGGCGGTGCATAAATATGTGGCCCGAGGCGTATGAGGCCCACGACTCAAACAAGATGGCAATCGTGTATTTTTCACTCGCAGGGCTAGACGTTCTCGGAGCTTTGCACAAAGAAAAAGGCGATGACGGATACGAGAAGTATGAAATTGAGAGAAGAGAGGCGATTGATTGGGTTTACTCTCATTTGGTACCGAGTGGAAGTGGGTTTAGAGGAAGTTTCACATATGATCTGGGTACCCAAGACGAGTCAGGGTCCTATGACCCACCAAACCTGGCTGCAACAGGCTTTGCACTCCAGATTCTGCTCACGTTAAGGGACGAGAGCATGAAGGAACGACTAGATAAAGAGAAGATTATGGGTTTTGTGAAAAGTTGTCAGCAATCAGACGGTCAGTTCTGTCCTATCGTTGACGTTGACGGTCAGCCCTTTGGAGACACAGACTTGAGATATTGCATGATTGCTGCCACGATACGAAAAATCCTGAAATACCAGTCTGGAGGTGCTAGCGATATCAATATAGAGATGCTATCGAAATTCACTCTTTCGACCATGGGATGTGATGGTGGAATGGCTAGCACTGCACTGACTCTCGGGGAGTCGCATGCTGGTTTGACATTCTGTGGTCTCAATACACTCGCTCTATTGGGGAAGTTGGACCTGGAAGATAAGAGATGGGATGACACTGTTGATTGGCTGGTACATAGACAGATATCTGCAGATATGGCAGTTGACAGTCTCGATGCCGGAGGCTTCAATGGAAGAGAGAACAAGAGGGCAGATACGTGCTATGTTTTCTGGGTTCTTGGGTCCTTGGTAGTCTTGGGTAATAAGGAGGTACTCATAGATGTGGAATCGGCTAAGGTTTTTCTTCTGGACCACATGCAAGACACATTACTGGGAGGGTTCGCCAAAGGGCATGGGGAAACACCTGACCCATACCATTCGTTCTTGGGATTAGCAGCATTGAGCATTCTAAAAGCCAAAGGTCTACAGAGTGTGGACGTCGAGTTGGTTATTACAAAAGGCGCTAAAGAGTTCTATGAAACGGCTATATAAGTTTGATAAGCTCCTCATATATGCACCACGCAATACCCGCACTCATAGCCTTTCTGACGAGTCTTAGAGATAATCCGTCGAGCATTCTCCTGGGACCATCTTCCCTCAACAGTCTCGCAGCCGTGTAGGCGAATCCGGGGTATTCCTTGGGGTGTAATTGCATGCATGTCTTTATGGTATCAAAGGGAGCCGTGATGGTGGTCGACAGTATTGCCGAGCCCATGGCGGCACTGGAGTTGATCAGCGCAGATGTTGAGGTTCGGTACATTTTTTCGTCATAAGGAATTTCGTTCGTCATTTTGGAGGCCGTCAGCCGAGGAATGATCACTTTGAACTGTTCGTAGAATAGCACGTAAAGTCCAGCATATGGCGCATCTCTGGCGCAGGTCGCCAGCACTCCGTTGAAAAATCCGCGTGCTCCTTCTTGTCTGTATATCGAAACAATTGCCTGTTTAAAGGAGGTGTAATGGTAGAGGTTGGATTCGTAGCGGACTTTGAGAACGGTCACAGGCATGGTGATGCATCCAACCACAGACCGGGCAAACATCCCGGTTGACAAATTCGCCCAATTAGAAAGTCTCGGTAGTTTTGAGCTGGATATTAAGACCGGATCGTTAGTTCTTTGAACATTTGCAAGTGTGGTTCTCGTGAAATTGAGAAATGACAGATACAATCCGGACCCTATGGATGTCCTCAGTGCAGATGGAAGCGTTCCTCTCCACAACTGGCCGATGCTGGTGATTTCTCTAACACATGACAAGATGGTGGCATCCTTGGTCTGCTGGACTCTTGTTTTCAGTAAATCCAACGGCTGAAGTGCCAAAGCCGAGGTGAGGCCTCCGGCAAACCCAGCAACCAAATGGGTGGTGCTCTTTCCACTGGAGGTTGACATGTGGAGAGAGTGAAAAGTTCAGGATAGAGTCTTGTTTTCAAGGAAATACCATGTACACCAGGAAAAAGAGCAGACTGTTTGATGATGAGGCAACAACTGGGTGAAATCGTGGGCTTTTATATGGCCTTATGAGGAAACGTTAATAGTCTAGCCGTTCAGGCGGACTGACCGAGCCCTCCATCTCATCGCATAAGGCGTCACTCTCTTATACGAGGCTTCTCTCTCGCATACGAGGCGTACATTTCTAAGTGAAAAGTTGCATTTCTATCAAAGTTCTTGATCTAATTTACACTCAATCCTGGGCACTCTTGCAAAATGCCAGCATTGCTTCTAACGAAACGCTTATCAGTTTCGGAGGCTCGTAGGAAATAGACGCATCCACCAGCACTGAGCAGAAGATCCGTTCGCTGAGTCTAGTGGAGAAAGAGGTTGTTTTTGGAACACATATGCATTCGGAGTTTACCCACTTGGTTTCAAGGTCCTTGAAATGGAGATCTTGCGGAGAAAAGTCAAGTTTTTCCGACCTTTTCAAAATGGTCTCTGATTGTAGAAACTCGCATTTCACCAGCGGATAATTCAAGCCCAACCCAATAAATTTTGTATACCCTTCCTTCAAAGACCAGTATTGTGTAAGCAAAGTCTCCAGGTTCGTCTGCTTCTCCTCGTGCCACGATTCGTACTGCTGGAGCAGATACTGTGTCTCTCTTGGAGAAAATATCTCCCCGGTAGGTGCAGTCCAGTTTTTGCTCACATCCGGAACTAACGGCCTCATTTCAACCAAATCTGCCAAATCCAATCCTATTTCACCTCTCGCTTCAAAGTCCACAGCTATCGCCACCATATTGAACTCGTCGGAGATGTTGAATGTGAACGAGCCGTCTTCCAACGAAGGCTTTCCAAACTCGCCTGTTGAAATTTGCGGGTTGGTCATATTGCCGCATTTAATAGAGCATATAAACTTCACAAGACTTGCATTAATGAGACTCAATATCTGCAAATTTCTAAACTTCAAATTCTTTATCCGAAGCTGTTTCTGCAGCGATTGGAGTCTCATGAACATCTCGAAGTTGTAGTCATCCAACAGCAGGTTGGAGTCGGGGTCAAACTTCACCACAAATACGACAAGCCCGGACCCACTTACACATTTCGCAAATGACTCGTAGACTCCATCCAAGTCGCTGGGCATCTGACCAAAGAAGCAAATCAAATACCAAGACGCTTGTTGTATGCCATAGATAGGAAACAGGGCTGATGGCGTGTCCCTGCTAATCATGTGATAAGGCCGGGGCTGTATAACCAAGATGACCCCTCAAAGAGGCTATCAAATCCGATGCCTAAGACCTTCCTTAGCATATGCTCTTCCGGGTGTGTTGCTTTCATTACGCATTCCCGTTTCAAATCTAAAGTTTTGCGCAAAATGACTTCCATAAGAGAAGATATGGTGCTCAGTGCGGTTGAGTTTCTTCAAAATCCAACGATTGCGGATGCTCCTCTAGCGAAGAAGATCGAGTTCATCGAGAGCAAGGGTCTTACCGAGGATGAAGTACAAGAGGCCCTTCTGAGGGCAAAAGGTGGAAACACCCAAGTCTCTGGTGATCATGGTGTAAGTACTCCTACTGTTCAATCGCTGGGGAATTTTTCTTCTGTGCAGGGTGTAAACGGCTATAGTGGTGTACCAGAATACTACTACAACGCGCCGCCTCTCCCAGAGCGCGACTGGAAGGACTACTTTATAATGGCCACTGCCACTGCCGGAGTTTCGTTTGGGATTTATCAAATAGTCAAAAGATATGTTCTTCCGAAGATTCTGCCACCCTCACAATCGGAAATCGAAAAGGATAAAGAGAGTGTTGATCAGGAGTTTGCACGAGTTGAGGCCATGTTGAAACGGTTCGAAGAGGAACAGAGAAAGTTTTATGAGGATCAGGCTGCAAAGTCATCAAAGATAGATGAATCACTAGCGGATATTGAGGAAGTGATCAGCAGAACAAACGAGAAGAACTTGAGCAATGAGGAGACTCTTAAGTATATGAAGTTGGAGATTGAAAGCATAAAAACCACAGTGATCAAGAACTTGGAGAGTCAGAAGGCCACTATTTCTAGCGAGTTGAACTCCCTGGATCGTGAATTTGCAAATCTGAAGAGGACTATGTTGACTGAGATCAACAACAGAAGAAAGACAGTGCCCTCTGGGACGGCGGATTCGACGCTATTGGTGGATCAGGCTAACCCAGTCGCCAGTTCTGTTCCCGTGAGACCTTCCATTCCACCTGCATCTGTGGTGCCATCTGCGAAAGACATTTTTCAGCGTGAGAAGTCGTTAGATACAGATGGTGTTTCCAATGTGAGTGCGGTCTCGAGCCCTAACTCCATGTCTAACTCTCTGTCAAACTCCAACCAATCGATTAGCACGTCGTCGTTGCCGAAAAGCTCGTCTGGGATACCAGCATGGCAACTGTCGGCTAGTTGAGGAATTGGACCAGCTGAGAAGTTAATTGGTCATGGTCTGCCAGATTGTCTACATGTCGCTCTGTATAGTTTTCTTTTCTGTCTTCCTTACGTCCCTTTGATAACATTATCCAATGCAGTACATGAGTACACATGTCCATCCTTTCGCATAAAATACATAAAACTTTTGCCTGAACGTCACTGACCATCAGTCCAACCCAGATCCCACTGGAGCGTCCACAAGACTAGCAGTCTGAAAAAAATTGCAAAAACCACCTTCAAAACAGTATCCTCATCAACTTCACCACACGTTGGACCAGTTGGAAACGGATTTTCCACCGGACAACAAGGATGACCCGAAGTTCAGCTCCTGTGAGCTGGAGGTGGAGAGAAGGCTGCTATTTCCAAATTGAGAGTTCAGCCCACTGCTGAGTCCCCAGAGACGACTGGACATCTCCGAGTTCGTTTGTATGCCCGAGCCACTTTTGGTCGTTCCCATAGCGTTGAACTGTGAAGTAGACATTTGGCCGGGCAGCTGGTTATTCAAATATTGCTGTGATCCTGATTGATACTGCGAGCTCAAACTCACGCTTCTCAGAAGATTGGGTTGGTTCTGCAACTGAATTTGAGTCTTCTGGGGCTGTTGGGGCAACTGCGTCTGACCCTGGGGTACTGTAGGTGCAAATGCTGGTGAATTGGTCTGGTCCAGTGAGCTCAGCAGTGACCCCGAAGTTGAAGTGGGAGTCAATGCTCTCATTGACGAATTCTCAAAAGGATCAAACAGCTTGAGGTCGTTGATTTTGGAGTCTGGCACCGAGGCCATCGACTTGGGCGTATCCGGCTGCTCGTGCTGGTAGGACCTCTGCCTGGTGAGATATGAATCTGAATAGTATGTCTGTGGCGCATGCTGAGCCAACGTGTGAATTTGCGGCTGAGACAAATGCTGGTGCAAAACGGGCTGGGATAGCGGAGGCTGCTGAGACTGCAGACCCTGCAGCTGTTGTTGGTGTTGTTGCTGGGTCTGCTGAGTGTGCTGAGGTTGGTATGGCTGAGGCTGTTGATATTGGAAGTTATTTCTCCATCTCATGTTCTTATACTGGTAGCTCTGTTGTTGCGATCTAGAAAGCGCCTTGGTAGCCTTTTCGACATCCAGCAGCTGGTATGCGAATGCATGGCGTTCAGGTTCACTCATTGGTAAACACAGCCCTGGGGTTTTGGAAAGAAACACGTTTACTCGAGCGGTCCCATGCAATTTGTCTGGGATTCCGAGACGACTAGGGAAATGGCAAACACAATAAATAACAGCTGGAAATGAGAGACTACTGTGGGGCAGCTGAGCGTGATTTGACAACAAGACGTGAAAATGAAAATTTGTTCCTGGCGGCTCGAGGAATATGGGAGGTCGTCCACAACCCAAACTGAAAAATTGCAAAACCAAAACCAAAAACCCTCTTGCGTGCGCCGCAGAAAACCCTCGTCCAATTGGCAGACTCCCTTCCGAATGCATCCCATCCTCTTTCAACTCGCCAGGACGACCCCCAACGGTGTCCGCAGTATAGATACACGTGTAATTCTGGCCGTGTACAACGGAGCAGGTCTAGAATACAACAACGACAAGCAGCAACCCAGTCCAGCGGTTCGGTCCATTAAAATAAAACGTAGACTAACGCCACCATAAATTATAATATCTCTCCTCCCGCTTCACCCACCTAAAGCCAAGCCGCCTCCCACATAAACGACACTTTCACCACTAAGGAAATTCGGCCCACTGGCCCCAGACGATTATTCACGCAGAGACATATCCCCTTCGGCAAGACACTGAACTCCTTCCATTCTTTTCTCCCCCACCCGAGTGTTTCCCACTAAATTAAATCGCACCAAATTTTCGGTTTGTGAATTTTTAATACGTGAGATCATGTCCGTGCATGTCAACGAGGATTCTGGTTTGGAGGATACTATTGGCAACGGAGAGGGCCTGTTGGTTGCCAATGGCGCTACAAACGGCAAATCCAACCACAAGGTGAGTCCATCTTGAGTTCTGATCAATCTGGGAGAGTCATCGACTTTATTTCTCAGTTTCGCCTTAATTTTTCAATTTTTGTCGCGGTCGCGTTAACATGGGCATTTCGCGCCTTGTCTTACTGGTGAACTGGAGACGTTCTGGTGGACTCTCGGTGGCTTCTTATGATCCGATAATTGGCATTTTTGTGCCCAATATTTGAGTATTTGAAGCTCCGATATCCGCATTGAATATCTGAAATATTTTTCATGATTCTATCCATTGGATTACGCCGTTTGGCTTTGTCTTAACCAACGTCTTACTAACTCCTTTCAGATGTCGATTGCGGGAATGCTCTCGAGTTCGGTAGAAAACTCTCCCGAGACTCCTACGGACGACTCATATCTCTCCGGTGATCTACTTGCCTCTTTCAAAACAAGACTGCAAAACCTGGTTGAGCTGGATCAGATATCGCTGTTCGAGGTCAACACGTTGAAGTTCCTCAAAGAGGAGTTTGGTCTAATGAACGATCTCAAGCTGGAACAGTCCTATATGCTCGAGGGTTTGAAGGATGAGCTTCTGGTGAAGGACTCGAAAATTATTGAAAAGCTTGTGTCCAGGGAGAAGCTCATTAAGGAAGATTCGTTGAAGAAAGACGACTTTACGAAGAAGAGCACCGACAAAAAGCAGGATTCCGATGCTTTGGCCAAGCCAAAGAAGAAGAGGCGTGCTGTTCCTGCGAATATGATGATGGACATAGCCCCAGCCGATTTTATAGGTACTCTTCCGGCCAAACGCAAAAGGCCGATGAGGAAACCCAACGAAAACGAGGTTGATCCAGACACTGTTGATCTCAATACGGGCCGGAAGAAGGTTAAGAGAGCCCCAAGGACTGAAATATTGAAAAATGGCGCCAGAGATGCCAATGGCGATGCTGAGGCTGACTCCAAGGATGCTGAAAAGGACGATCCAAAGATGAAGTATTCGAGCAAAGAGCAAAAGGCCATTGACAAGCAGTATGATAACACGTTCCTTTCGATATGGAAGGATCTGGCCAGAAAGGATGGTCCAAAGGCGTACAGGCAACTGCAGCAGAGTGAGCAGGCCAAGATGATCAACTTCAAGAAGACTGCTCAATTGGCCTCACGTGAGTCCAAGAGATGGCAGATCAAGACCAACAAGTCCCAGAAAGATCTGCAAACCAGGGCCAGAAGGGCTACCAGAGAGATGCTCAACTACTGGAAACGTAATGAAAGAGAAGAACGTGATCTTCGCAAGAAGGCCGAGAAGAAGGCCATCGATAAGGCCAAAAAGGAAGAAGAAGAACATGAGGCGAAAAGACAATCGAGAAAGCTGAACTTTTTGATTACTCAGACAGAACTTTACTCTCATTTCATTGGCAAAAAGATTAAGACGGATGAATTCGAAGGTAATATGGCTGATTCCTCAATTACAAATGGTGCTACCGTGGCTGGCCATGATGGCAACGTTGATATCTCTCATGCCAAATCCGATTTCAACTCAATTGATTTTGATGCTCATGATGATGAGACTCTTCGTCTGACTGCTGCTGCCAATGCTCAAGCTGCTTTGATGGAGACGAAGCAAAAGGCTGAGGCTTTCAACGGAGGCGACAAGAACGCCGACGACGAGGACGAGATGAACTTCCAGAACCCGACCTCGCTTGGTGAAATTGCAATAGACCAGCCAAAGCTTTTGAACTGTACTTTGAAAGAATACCAGATGAAGGGTCTCAATTGGTTGGCCAACTTATACGACCAAGGTATCAATGGTATTCTTGCCGATGAAATGGGTCTGGGTAAGACTGTCCAGAGTATATCGGTGTTGGCCTATTTGGCAGAGACCCATAACATTTGGGGTCCTTTCTTAGTGGTCACTCCTGCCTCAACTTTGCACAATTGGCAACAAGAAATTACAAGGTTCGTGCCGGATTTCAAGGTGTTACCCTATTGGGGTAATTCAAAGGATCGTAAAGTTTTGAGAAAGTTTTGGGACAGAAAGAATGTCGTTTACAACAAGAGCTCTCCATTCCATGTTCTGGTGACGTCTTATCAGCTCATTGTGGCTGATGCTCAGTACTTTCAGAAAGTGAAATGGCAATACATGATTCTGGATGAAGCCCAAGCCATCAAATCTTCTCAATCCTCTCGGTGGAAGTCCTTGTTGAGTTTACAGTGTCGTAATAGGCTCTTGCTGACTGGTACTCCAATCCAGAACACCATGCAAGAACTTTGGGCTCTGTTGCATTTCATCATGCCTTCGCTGTTTGATTCGCATGACGAGTTCAGCGAATGGTTTTCCAAAGACATTGAATCGCATGCTCAGTCAAATACCCAGTTGAACCAACAGCAGCTGAAGAGATTACATGTCATTCTTAAGCCGTTCATGTTGCGTCGTATCAAGAAGAATGTGCAGAGTGAACTTGGAGACAAGATTGAGATCGACGTATTCTGTGAGTTGACAAACAGACAGAAGACGCTGTATAAGATGCTGAGATCACAGGTTTCTTTGATAGATCTTCTTGAAAACAATGCGGCCTTTGCAAACAGCAATCCTGGTGAGCTGGACAGTGATTTCACCTCCGATTCGCTGATGAACTTGGTTATGCAGTTCAGAAAGGTATGTAACCATCCTGATCTTTTTGAACGAGCAGACACGAGATCTGCTTTCAATTTCGGTAAGTTTGCAGAGACAAGTTCTTTCCTAAGAGAGGCTGCTACGAACAATGGTGTTTTGGAATTCACCTACAATACCACGAACGAGATTCAATACTCCATTCCGAAACTGATATTCGATGAGATATTGTCTGTCAACTACAACAACGAGATCAAGGACCTTGAATTTGTTACAAATTCCAAGCTTAACGTTTGGTCGAACGCATATATCCAAGAGAGTTCTCAACAAAAAGATGGAATCTTCACATGGCTTCCCTTCATTAACTCGTCACCTGCTGATGTTGTCAGGACAGCCAAACAGTCTACTTTGAAAAATGCTATTGACTTGAAGACGTATAGTGGAAATTCAAAGCAAGAGATGTTAAATCGTCTGGAGATTGCTTACGCAGACGAGTACAAACTCTCCGCTGACAAAAGCCTATTTCTGATCAACCGTGGATCCAAAGCGTCTGTCTTTGATGACTCTGAGCTGAAAGAACTTTACTCAATCCAGAAAAAGGTCGATCAGGACATGTACTTCAATGTTACCAGTGCATCTGCATTCCCAGTGGTTTCAGCTCCGCCAATCGATGTTGTTTGTCACAAAATGAGGTTTGGAAACATCTTGCAGGATACGTTGTTTGACAAAACTATCCGTACTGCTCTTGCACCTCTGGATTTGAATCTTCAATACGAGCTATTATCGAAAAAGATTCCAATTGATGAGTTTCCCAAAGCCGAGATGTTGCCACAGCCGATCAGCTCCAGTGTGGGTTATACTTCCATTAGTCTGCCTTCCATGAAGAGATTTGTGATTGAAAGTGGCAAGCTCTCTAAGTTGGACCAGATGCTTGTTGATCTGAAGGCTAACGACCACAAAGTGCTGATCTACTTCCAGATGACCAAGATGATGGATCTCATGGAGGAGTTTTTGACATACAGGCAATACAAGTATATCCGTCTCGATGGTTCATCCAAGTTGAGCGACAGACGTGATTTGGTCCACGACTGGCAGACGAAGCCGGAACTATTCATCTTTTTGCTTTCCACAAGAGCTGGTGGTCTGGGTATCAACTTGACCGCTGCTGATACTGTCATTTTCTACGACTCTGACTGGAATCCAACCATTGACTCACAGGCCATGGATAGAGCGCATCGTCTGGGTCAGACTAGACAGGTCACTGTGTACAGACTGTTGACCAGGAATACGATCGAAGAACGCATGCGTAATCGTGCCAAACAAAAGGAACATGTTCAGCAGGTTGTCATGGAAGGCAAGTCCGGTCCGATGCCAGGAAAGACGGAGAAGAAAGATGCTTCCAAGCGTGAGGTTGCTATGTGGCTCTTGGATAAAGAGGATGATGAAGATGACTCCAGCAAGACTGTTAGCGGAGATGGCGACGAGGGCGATGGAAATGTTCAGATCGACCAAGACACTTTGAAGTTGGAAGAGCTTTACCATGAGGGCGAGGGAAGGTTTGACAGTGGAACGGTCACACCTTCCGTGCAATAGAGGATTAGAAGCGGCAAAAGTTATAAGTCATTTGATAATGGAAAAGTTTTATTTCTCGAACTGAGGAAAGCAAGGTTGAGAACAAATAGTCACTCATTTCTGGTACGTAGAGCGCATTTCCAGATCCTCTGTAACTTCTCCTCTAGCTACTACATTAATGCCTCATTCCTAATATCTCTTGTGTCATTCGTTTCCTATATCGCTTAACGAAAACAAATCCTAACTAATGCGACCGCAGTCATGTCTTTGCCATGCTTCACCAACTCCTTATTACTCACAACAAATTCATCTCCTGAAGCCTGCTGCAACTGGGCAGTTCCAGATTCCTTGCAAATTCCAGCTGTTTCTTATCGGTGAAGAAAAAGCCATAACTATCCTCTATCAATCTGTTTCTGTGGGCATCTTCCCTGGAGCACCTTGTCCTGAGGTCTTTCACATAGTAATTCTCAATCATGCTGTCCAGTTTGTTCAGCTTCTTGTCATTTCCGTTGTAGCTCTTCAAGTCCTTTTCTGCAATGTAATATGGAACGTTGTGTTTGGGTGTGGACCTTTGCACGTTTAGAGAGGGTTGTGCCTCGAAACTGAAGTTGGGCAGTCGAGTGGAGCTTTCTCCACTAAACAGATTCAGCAAAAATGGAACCACCACTACCAATAACAGTGGAGCCATCTGTACAAGTTGTGACAATAAGTTCTGATCCAATGGTGGGGCACCCCCGTTACCACGGTTCGTTGCACCGGGGCCCCCTCTGGCACCCTGGGCGGGTCGTCTTCTCATCCTGGGGTCACCAGCCTGTGCAAACCTGGGTCCTCCACCGCCGAAATTGAACGTATAAACAGGAGTTCCACCAAATGGAGATCCCCCAAATGGACCCCCATTTCCAAACACAAAGTTTAGAATATCGTCATCGAACATTCCCTGGCCACCAAAGGGACGGCCTCCTCCGAACGGCGAACCAGCACCGAACGGACTACCCCCACCAAAAGCCGTGTTTGGATTGAATCCAGCTCCACCACCTCCACCTCCCATTCCTCCTCTCGCGTCCGGATCAGAGCCAGTCTGGTCGTAGATCTTCTTCTTGGTGTCGTCCCCCAGGACCTCAAAGGCTTTCGCCAGTTTCTTGAACGCCTCGGCACTCTGTGGATGCTTGTTCTTGTCCGGGTGACATTTGATAGCAAGCTTTCTGTACGACTTCTTGAGCTCCGTTTCCGTGGATTTCTTGTCACACTGGAGGATCTTGTAATAGTCCGTCCTCTCAATGGACAGGATCGTCTTGACTATGTCCTCCTGCTCTTTCGTATACTCTTTGGCCATGATGTGGCTGTTGATATAGATAACGGCCTAGCTGTATATCTGAATTCGGGTGCAACTTTGTAAATAAACCAGACAGTATTCAATGATTCTCTTGTTCAGATCCTCTCACGCATATATGTTCGAAGCGAATCGTACCTATGCAGGGTTGGTCTGGATACTACCGAAGATAGGATAATTGATGGTATGAAAACGTTCCGAGATGACAACCGATCTCTGCAATTCCTCAAAATAACGTGGCGATGAGTGGATTGTAAGAGCGTGGCAAATGTCCTTGTGCTCAACAATGGGGCCCATGCTGGTCAGATATTTGTTCCATTAAGTTCGCTGTCCAAGTTCGCCGTCTGCCATTCTTCACGCGGGCAGATTACCAGCCCAGCTCAGTGGCTTAGCCATTTCGAGCCACAACTCTACAACTATCCAAGTGTGATAGCTACATCTTATTGTAATGATAGTGATCCCTTTATAAAAGACAAGCGAAAAAAAAGTGCTCTGAATAGTGCCACTGAAGAGTACTTGACCCCGTGGATGTGATTTATGATTTTTTTATGATTTTTTTTTCTTATTCGAACTCAAAGTCCATACTGCAGAAACCCTTCCCCATTGAACCACTTCAAGTGGTGATTTGATGATTTGTCGCGTTCAAGACATTGGTTTAAACAACCGAGATTTTTTCTGGTTCTTTTGCCAATTCATATGCATTCGCCATTCTTGAACACCTTGCCTCTCACAAACTCCAAACCCTCGCCATTATAACTTGTCAATGGACTAACCTCGACCTGAGCATCTGGAGACTCCAACAATCCACCGTTTTCCAGCACCCATTTCGTGGATCTATTCAATATACTTGACAAGCACGTCTGGGGTGTATCGTTAGCAGCTCCTGGGGCGTTTTTTAGAGGCGAAAACTCGGAATCTCTGCAAACCTCCATGCATCCAAACTTTTCCAGGGTGATGCTTGGGAACACGTCAAAGATGAACTGCTCCAGCTTGACTCCATTTGGTTCAACTGGCTTGACCAACTCTCCAGTCTTGAAGTCCAATGAGGCAATCCTCTTCTTGGCAATATGGAAAGGAAGGAAGTCCTGAGACGAGATCCACTCTGGGATCATTCTGTTCAGAACGTCCACGTTGTAATAATGGTTGACGATGTTGGCAGCTCTCAGATGCAGCTTTCCAGTGTCTTCGTCAACCTTCTCGGACAACTCTTTGGAGATCTCGGAGTACTCAATCACCGATGGAGCGTTCAAATCACGATCCAGAACAATGAGACCAACGGACTCGTGGGCACTTCTTTTCCTCACCACCTTGGTTGCGATATCATATTTCTGAGACGAAGCCCATCCCAAGAAAACAGGATCACCAACCTTCACCAGCACGTTGTCCACACAGTACATGTGGATGTGCTTGATTCCCCTTTGCTGAAAGTCCTGCAAAACACCGCTGTCGTACATAGACTTATACAAGCCTCCGTTTCCGTCAGGAGCCTCACAGATGTTGTGCTGGTCCTTCATGAGAATCTTGGAGCCATCCATGCTGAAACATGGCAAAAAGCCTTGATCAAAAAACACAACGTTTTCTCTCTGAAGTCCAAAGTAGTTGTGGCTGTTGAAAAACTTTTCCGTAGTGGCCCTGGTGGCACCAGAAGTCATAATGTACCATGGAATAACCGTTCCAGTGGTGCTATACTTTTCGTCAGTTAACTGTTGCAGTTTCAGAATGCGCTCAGCCTGAATCTGGAACACAGGCTTGTTCGAAGGCAGTCCAATGTCGTAGCATCCCTTGGGATTCTCGGATCCCAGGCGCGTACCCTGACCACCGGCCATCAACACAATGGCTGCTTGGCCCTTGTGAAACAACTCAAAGCCCTGGTCTTCCCATTTCTTCAGGTCAGACGCGGTCTCCTCCAGGATGGAAACACAGGACGATTCTGGTAACGGAGACGCATTCTTGCTGCTACCGCCAGAGGTGCTTTCCGCATTTAACTGGATTGCCTGTTTGACCGTGTTGCAAAGCAGGCGTGGGTTGGGATATTTGGAAAGCTGTTCTAAGAACAAGGCTTGGTCCTCCTGTGTAAGCTTTTCCCAGAACTGAAACAGATGTGGTTGATCTGCGTCAATGAACTGGTCTTTGATCGATGTCATAATCATCTTGCAGTATGTGTAGATGTAAAGCTTCTCCTATAATTCCTTCCTGAACACTGGTTTGGAATAGAGGAAGAGAGATGTTATGGGAAAGAAAAAAGTATCAGTAGAAACAAGGTGGAATTCGTAGGATAAAAATAGGAATGGTCTCGGTTCTGTACTGCCAAAAGGGCGTCTTGGAATGCGTGTTCGCGGTATTCTGCACAGCCCAGAAAACACTCCGCTGCTGGCGGTTGACCCCCCTTGAGCGCGGGTCTGTTTATGTTTTCCCCAAATAGGTTATATTGGACTTGTTTACTTTTCTGAGAAGGCTTAATTTAGCGCCGGTTTTGATCTGGCTACCGTTGATATTGCTATTTTTAGACAGATTACGACCTTCTATCTTGGTCCGGTCATAAAAAGGTTCGGTAGAGGTTTGATATAGACTTTGTGTAGTGTACATGGCATGCACATCTACCATATGCTATGACCAGAGTGAAATACACAGGTACACACATTGTGACACAAAGGCAGTGCTGACGCTAAACATTTATATTATATGCACACAACAGAGAATCACATTATACGCATACACAATTCTATTATACACATTTGACCCATATACTATACACTACAACCCCTCTATACCATCCTCCAGAGTGGTCTTTCCTAATTGAGTCCACTTCCCATTGGCCTTGGCCAGTCTCAACGCTCTCCACTGGATGTTATCCACCTGGGCCCGGTCCACGCCCTCCTCGTTCTTCAGCTGATAGAGCTCCATCTTATAGTCGTCTATTTTTTCTTCATCCTCCGCATTGCGTTTGCGTTCGAGCTTCGAGAGTCCCGTCTCAGTCTTCCAAACTTGGCTTATCGTAGCATCCCCATATTTAAATCCGTACTTGGGCTTGGTGAAGAACTTTTCATCGATTACACTGCTAATCAGCCCCTCTATGCGCTCGGACGAAACATCAATGTCTGTGTTCGAAACGGGCTGAAACCCTCCATCCTTCCAATCACTCCATTTTTGTTCCAGATCCTCACATAATACAGTGATTATACGCGCAAAAGCACGAGTAGAAGGAAATCTCTCGTAGTGCTTGATGACGGCCTGCTTCAGCTTAGTCAAAAATTGTCTTTTAGAACTTGGAATTGCAGACCTGGCACCATGGATACTTCCCGGCTTGTATATCGAGTCAAAGAAATGAACGAAAATATACGTCTGCAAAATCAGGACCTGTCTCTGTTTCGGATCATCAACCACGTCCGAAAACTCCTTGAGTCCAACTGGCCAGTTGCATCTATGTATCTGGTTACTCAGCTTTTTGTTCTTCTTCTGCTCGTCCAACTTGAATAGGCCGTCAACCAAGTTCGCGAGTTGCACACTGCCGTCATCTTGGGCATAATTCAGGAGAGAGTCTGATTTGTGGTTGTGCTGTTGACGGCGAGACCCTTTCGTTATCGAGTCGTAGTAACGAATGGGGTTGGCAAAATAGGACTGCAATTTGAGCGTTCCTAAATAGAGTGATTCGTATTGGTTCAGCTGGTTATCCTTTCTGCGAGACGCTTTTGAGTTTAAAGAGCTGTATGTCTCCATTCTAGGTGCCTGGGCATAGTATTCCTTCAACTCTGGATTTCCGTTCCATGGCGTCTTGCTGAAACTTGCATTTCCCAGCAAAATCTTGTCGTTGAGCTTGAAGTTCTGAAAAATGAAGTTCCGCAGGTTTCCAGAAAAAATCTCATGTTTTTCAAGGTGATTGAGGGTCCTTCCTTTAGTCAAGAGAAGGTTGCCCATTCGTAAGAGACTCGAACCTGGTTTGTATCTTCCATCCTGATCTTGGTTGAGAACTAATAACTTGGATCGTGTTGAGGGGTTCAGTAGAATGGGACCCAGCCTATCCGTTATGAATTCAACACTGGTGGAATTGATGATCACGTATAGCAGATCCATTGGCAGATTTTTCAGATCAGCCTTATAATTGGCAAACACGCAAAGACTGAGGTCTATGAGGATCAACAGCGAATGCAATAACTTAATTGAACCACTCTCTTCTTCTGAATTTTCGGACTCTATTAAGGAGACACACGCCTCTGTGAACACATTGGAAACGGTGGAACTCGCGATCTCATCGCTTATGAACGCACCCAGCGTCGCCTTCAATTCGCCAGAATCATACAAAGATTTATTCGTGACCTCATCAAAGTCTGTTGACTGCGTTATATCACTTATTATCTTCAACAATTCTGCTGACATGTTCAATACACCACAACAAGAGTACAGTTGCCATGGAAGGTTATTCATCGGCTCAGATGACTTTGAGCATAGTTAGCGAGTGACCCGAGCCCAAATGGCAGTCAGGTCGGTGAGATTTGAAAAATGTAGTATACACAAAAAATGGAGCGATAAAATAGACAAAAAATGATGTAGATGAATGAAGAGACAATTAAATGCGAACTTTGTCTTCTGATTAATCTGGTAGTGGATGTCGCCCTCTTTTCAGAGCTTCATGAGCTTCCTCTTGAGTTCCTCCTGGAAGATCATCTTCATCTTGGACTCGTCACCAGTGAGTATGATGTCGTTTTGGTCATGTACTTTGGAAGCTTCGGGTGTGGACATCACGAAATCTTCAGCTGCAGGGTCATTGAACTTCTTCTGTAGCTCTCTGGTCAAATCGGCTCTGCTCAGAACCGAAGGGACCTCTTCTGGATTGTCCCCGAAGAATATCACAGTGTTCTGGGCTTCGTTATTTTCTAGAAAAGCGAGGTTAGGACTTTGATTCGGGGTGACCTCAAACATCTGGGCCTCTTCTTCAGGCTCGGAATTGGTTTGGATTCTTACCAAATTAAAGGGAAGGCCGCTGGAAATTCTCCTCGGATTCGAGCTGGAGGGGAAACCAGCTCCTCTCTTATTAAGTAGAGGCGAAATGGTTGACGAATGATTTCTATGCTCATCTTCAAGTCTGCCCAACCCCTCATTGACAAATCTGGTGATATTCTGAAGTTCCCTTTTCATATCTCTCAGCTTAGAGATACTATCACCATTCTTCACATTCCAGTTCTTGATCTTGTATGTCATGGCATCAATGATGTCTATCGTGTTGACAACAATCTGTTCATCTTTCCCTAGTAATGCCTCGTCGTTCTCAGAATTCAAGTCACTTATTTGAGATATCATGTCTGAGATTGAATCGTTGCATGATTCCAAAACATGTTTCAGCACCTTGAGTTTGGTAGTCGTGCTCAAAAATTGTACGAATTCGAGGCCAAACTTGTCCATGACTAATTGTCTGAATTCCTCTTCGTTCACGTTTGAAGATGAGCTTGAGTTTGAATTCTCTAAAGTTGAGAGAAAGATGCAGAGTAAAATTCGGCGCAACATGACAAACACCTTTAACATCTTGACTGGATCGTAGAGTTCCAGATTTGAGTGAAGCAGATCCACAGTTGCATGAGGTAGATCACCTTCCGCATTGAAATTGTCGTCGTTATTCTCTTTGTCGTATTCGTCGTCGCCAGTGTCACTGAGCAGTAACAGAGGTTTCAGGTTGTGCTCCTGATTGTTTTCACCGTTGTGCAATATGTCTAACACGTGCCCGTTCTTGCCCGCAAGATTGATTTGATAGATATCAAAGTACAACGACAGTGTCGACAAGTTGACATAAGGCAAAGTGCGTTTTATCTTGAGGTCAAATGACGATATGAGCAGTCTGAGAATGCTCTGGACCTTCTCCTTGTATCTGAAACTTTTGACTCGCTTTTTGAGTATTCTGTGCTTACCAACTATCGAATTCAACTCCATTTTGAAATTATCCTGGAAACCCAGCCCAGATACACTATCCAGCAGAGCTGAGGATAGTTCGTTATTGAGCCTAATGAAATCAGCTAATCGGCTGGATATCAATGGCAACAGTTTCCTGATCTGCAACCCATGTGTGAATCTGGTATACAGGTTTGCCAGCGAAATAACCATCAATGCCAGCAAATTGGCACTTCTAGTGCTGGAGCTGAACTTCGAAGAGTAAATGCACAGGTTGATGGCCAAAAATAGGAATCTCGACGAGTTGAAAACGGCCTGGTCAATTTTTCGTGTCGTCTTGCTCCGAATGGAATTCAAACTCAAGTCTCGTATTCTTTTCTGATGTCTGACGTGATCATCGTCATTCACCAATGGAGAGGCTATGATGGAAAACTTAAACTTTTCAAAACTCTGTTGTTTGTCACAATTGAGCTCGTCGCTCGAAATATTAGTCTTGATCTTCCAGAGATCAAATATCCGGCTGATTCTGGGTGTCTCTGTAAAAACAGATCTGTTGTCTCCTGTTTTCTGTTGCCGCTGCTGAGATGGCTGTTGTATGCTCTTGGAGTTGAAAAATGTACCTGTTGAGGATATGCTGCTTAATCTTTCGCCAATCTCGTTAAGCTCCGAGAAAATCGGGGTCAAATTCGCAGACCACGTCGAGCTGTTTGGCGATTGGACCAAGTGGTTGTTTGGATTTGTGAACCCAGGCGGAATCATCAAGTGAGCCGGCCCTGTGTCCTGTCCCGTGTCTATTCCCCAATCGGAGATACTCTGTTTGGGAGGAAAAGACATGGGATATATGACAAATGCAACAAAAACAACCAACAGAAAAAAAAACAAAAAAATGGAATGACAGATCAGTTATAACTTGAGGACAGTTTCCCATCACCAGACAATAACAATGGCGCCTAGCCATATTTTCTTAACTATGAGACCCGCCCATTGAGGGGTACACTCTGTGTTTTATTGGTAGTGTATACGCTATTTATGAGCCGCATGATGCACGCGCATGAGCCTTTTAACTATGGGGGCTATCAATGAAGGCTATTTCCTGGTTGGGGTTAGGCTATGCTGCGCGGAGCTCGCTTATGAGAAGAAATGTACAGGAGGTGAAATGGGAGTGATCATTTTACGGAAAAAACGCGTCTAACCAAGTTCGTCAAGAATGCGGAGAGTATTTCTGGGCTACACGCGACGTGCCTGACTCCACTTGAATAGGCGCGAAATGAACCACGTCGAATATACACACATCAGCAAAATTCAGGTTATAATTCAGAGAAACTATATATAAAGTAACTCACGCCTTGAGCTCGTTTGCAACGTCGATCACTTCGACGCTTCCAGAAGCCGTGTGATCACCCTCGATTTCGTGAACACGATCCACTCCATCGCCAAACAGATCCGCAACCATCTCCAATTGCAAGCCCCTGGTCTCAGCCCAAAAAAAGTAGATGCACGGTAAAAAGACTATGTTGTAACTGCCGTTCAGGATGTAGAATTTCCAGCCCAAATTGCTCATTGCAATAGGAAGAATGAAGGTAGTGAAAAGGGCGCATCCGTAGTCTGCAAACTGGAAGAACGCCAAACCTGCGGCTCTCGTCCTATTCGGAAATATCTCTGAAGGATACAAACACAGCAGTGGTGTGAAACAGTAGGAATAGAATCCACTGAAGATGAACATCATAGCCACAGCACCGTATTGTCCAGACGTGTTGGTGCTACCCCCAAACTGTTTGACAAGTCCACCCAGAATAAGCAAGCACACAACTTCACCACCCATGGAGATCAGAGCCTGGATTCTTCTACCAATAATATCAAAGGTATAGCATCCAAAACCAGCACACACTAGACAGAAAGCACTTCTGATGATGGCGATTTGTAACTGGGTGTTGACGTCAGTCACTCCAGCCTGCTCCAAAATGGTGGTAATGTAGTAAGTTGCAACCGAGCTTCCAGAAAGTTCACCACACCAAGCCAATGAAAGCATGATGAAAAGACGCCTCAGATTGGCTTTGGAAGACACCAACTCTTTCCAAATGTTGGCATCATTGTAGATGGTAGTTTCGGCATGGAGAGACTCGTAGACCTCTCCTAATACTCTTTCTACTCTCAATTCATCATGTTCGTAGACAATATCCCAGATCTCCTTTGCCTCGGTCTCTCTTCCCTTGGAAACCAGCCATCTTGGAGACTCGGGTACAAAGGCAAGACATATGTAACACAGTAACGCGGGAGCCAACTGAACCACCATTGGTGCCCTCCAGCACCAATTGCTATCGATGTTGCGGGTACCATAGGTGACACCAGCTGCTATCAGAGATCCAACATAGAAACAACTATGGAACGTTCCGACCACGGCACCACGAATTTCCTCGGCAACTATTTCCGATACCAGCGCGGGTGCTGTAGCATTCATCAGGCAGTTTCCCACACCAGCAATAACACGGCCGACAATGAATTGAGCATACTTGTGGGATGTAGACTGGACTATGACTCCAATGACCATGAAGGTGGTTGCGAAAAAAATACAAAAGCGGCGGCCGTATTTGTCTGCGAGAACTTGTACGAACGGGATAATGGCAAAAGCACCCATGAAAATGGAGGCATTATTGAGACCACTGTTGGAGGTGGTGAGGCCAAAGTAATCAACATAAATGTCCAGTCCGACGACCGTTCCCATCATTGAGGCCTCATACCCTCCTGAAGTTGGGTTGGCAATAGCAGTGATCCAGGCAATTATCAAAAGCCCCCATTTGGAATTTGGCACCAGCTTGGAGAGGTGTCTTGTCTGAGTTCCCGATTCAGAGTCACTAGCGGTCTTCATGATGGAGAGTATTGGAAGGTTTTTTGGAAGAAGGAAGAGAACAACTGTCCAATCTGGATCGCAGAATATCACTGTGTTTATGTACTCCAGTCTGTCCGGCCAACCACGATAGATATGAGCTTTGTTTTGTCAGACATATCCGATTGATAGGGGGACTAATTTGGTAAGATTCGAGAAATTATTCACTGAGGCCAACTGATAAGGGTTTGAGCATCTGCATTAAACGCGGCTGTGCATGATGTGGAAAAACTTGGCCGCGGGGCAAGATATGGAGATTACATAAGTTGGGTTCCCTCTTTGGGAAACCGGATAACGATCGGGCCAATTCGCAAGATAACGAAATGACATGCGGTACGACGTCTCGGATCTCGGTTTTGACAACTAGATAACACACAGAATATTGGTGTAGAATCTGGCTGACCTGCGGGCTACTTGCGTTCTAATTGCGGCGACAGGACGGCGCCTGACAGGGCTTTTGATTAAACTTCTTTAGAGTGGGCTGTAATAGAGTCAGTTCGGTTTTCCTGATCTCCCTTCATCTTCTTGATTCTCCAAACAACACCTTTTTTCCTCAATGATGGTGCCCTTTGACGTTGAAGATTGGCAAAAGAAGGCGGCCGAGAGGAGGGGGTTGCTGACTTATCCGAGGGAATGGGTTCTACCTGCCATCTACCTGGAGGATATTGGCCAGAATTCTACTAGGTCGGTTATCGATGTTCCTGCCGAATGTGGAATTTTGACTAGTCACGAGCTTGAAATAACAGAAACCAGAGCTACCCCTCTTCTGACTAAACTGAGGAGTGGTGAGTGGAAGAGCGAAGACGTCACACTGGCTTTCTGCAAGAGAGCAGTGATAGCCCATCAGCTGACCAACTGTCTTACCTCTCTGTTTCTAGAGGAAGCCTTAAAGAGAGCCAGAGAACTTGATAGAATTCTTCAAGAGACTGGTAAACCTGTTGGACCTTTCCATGGGCTTCCCATTTCTTTAAAGGAGATCTTCAATGTAAATGGTGCAGATACCACCTTTGGTTTTGTGTCCTGGGTTGGAAACTACAAGGACGAGGACGGGCTTACCGTGAAGTTGTTGAAGGAGCGAGGAGCAGTCCCTTTTGTGAAGACAAACATTGCTCAGGGGTGTCTGATTGTCGAGGGACTTAATAATTTATTTGGAACAACCAAGAACCCACACAATCTTTCACTGACTCCGGCTGGAAGTTCTTCCGGTGAGGGCGCTCTTATTGCAATGAGAGGATCACCGCTTGGTGTTGGAACCGATGGTGGTGGGTCTATCAGACTTCCTGCTCATTCTAATGGAGTCTATGGGTTTATGCCATCCACCCATAGAGTCTCAAGCGGAGGAATTGCCGAGGGTAAAGGCGGACTGACCTGGGTCAGAGGCCAAATTGGTCCTCTTTCCACGGACGTTGATTCTTTGGAAACTTGGATTAAGGCAATGATTGGAAGCAAAATTGCTGATCAGGACTTTTGCTGTTCTCCTCTGGAATGGAGAGAGCCGCAGCTTTCTGAGTCTTTGACCATTGGCGTTATCTACCAGGACAACGTTGTTGAGACCACAAGTTCCATGATTCGTCCTTTGAAAAATACTTGCGAACGTCTCAGGGAACTAGGCCACAAAATTGTCGAGATTGATATTGGAAATTTACATCGGGAGATTACTGAAACAGTCTTTCGGTTCTACGTTGCTGATGGGCAAGAGGGCTACCAGAAATCCATTGCAGCTAGTGGTGAGCCTTACATCTCAAGATGTTGCGGCAGTGAGTGTGAGAGGCCAATGACTATTTCTGAGGTTCACGAGATGGACAGAAAAGCGCGGTTGTTTTCAAAGAAGTATCTTGAAATATTTGTCGAAAATGGTCTGGATGCAATTTTAACCCCAAGCTCTCCAACCCCAGCCGCACCTCATGGGATGTACTCCACCAACTCTCTCTCAGCTGTCTACAACCTTCTAGGGTATGCAGCTGGTATCATTCCTATCGGAAAAATTGACCTCGTAAAAGATGCTCCAACTAAGGAGTATCTTCGCAAAGAACCTTTTGCTGATCTCAACGTGTTTCCTGTGTTTCCATACGATAAGTACGACTCTTATGTCAGAAAGGAATTATATGCAGAGATTGGCAAGTTCAAGAATGCACCAACCTCCATTCAAGTTGTTGGAAGGAAGTTCACAGACGAGAAAGTTTTAAGGATCATGAAGGTTATTGATGTGGCTATAAATGGTTGAGGTTTAGACGAGTTGCTGGACTAACTATAAGTCTCTTGAGAATCAAAGCTATTCTTCTAAATTAAATCAAAGCAGATCTTAAAAATTCTCAAAAAATAAGTTCAATAGTAATCAACGTAATTCTACAACCACAAGTTTGAGGATTGTCAAAATAATTAAGTAAAACTAGTACAACAAGTTTAATGTAGCTTGCCCTAATCCGCCCTGCTATTGCTCCTTGAAGTTCTTGCAAAACATCTGAAAATTATTCTTGGACAACCACTCCATGAAAAAGTTGTCCTCCTCCATAAAGCTCTTCAATGCTGGAGCGAGATCGTTTATTTCGAAAGGGTCATTTGCAAAGTCTTTGAGTGGAGATCCGCTTGGTTTCGTGCATGAAGGTCCTCTGGAGTAGGATCTTATACGGGACTCAGATTCCATGGCACGCTCAACTCTGGATAAAAGGCTGTCAAATCTCAATAAAGCCAACTCGGTCACACGATTTAAATTCCAGATGGAAACAAGGTTGTTTCTGTATCGATAAACAATATCCCTCCATACCAGTTCATCGCCTTCTTTATCTGCAGCAACGTAGAAGGCAAGGATGCAAGCTCCCACTATCGAAAAGTTTACTCTAGAAAAACTCCACCAATGGCAATCAAGATTTTTGTTACCAAGAGTCTCCAAATACACGTTGAAGTCACGGGCACACTCGTATGCCCTGGTCTGTATTTCAGAGAAGGTGACCTTGCTATCAGCATACAGAATAGATCTGCAACATGACATTGTTAACGTTGCTTTGGCCAGTCTCAATGAAACCATACTTCCCAAAAGATGAGAAGGGATTTTCTCTTTGGAAAAGTAAATATTTTCTATTGCGTTCAATCTGTTGATAAGATCAACGCCTATAGACATGACCTCATCTGCAGGCTTGCGCGATTGAAGAACTGTTCTTGTGGAGTAGAATGAAGTGAGCATCTTGGCCAGAATTCCAGTCAAATGAACCAAAGCAATGAACATATTAACTCCCACCTTCTTAGCCATTTTTTCCTTCGCAGTTTGATCGTCATCCCCCTCCTCAACGAAATCGTCCTCGCAGATGGTTCCCACGCTAAAGTCTTCATCACGAATATGGCTAGGTCTCGATAACCCCAAAGCCTGCCACTTATCTTCCGCATAAGTAGCCCACCATAATCTCCTTCGTAGTCGCTTTTCCCACTTTGGAAGGTCCCACAAAGACGGATCCACGTTGAGCCCCAGGTCCTGGTTGACGGCGACCAGAGAAGCTGTCTCCACCCATGCACATGGAGCATTTGCATCTCTGATAATTATAGGCAAAAAATGTAGTTTCAGAAGTAGTGCTTGCACAGTTTGTAATGTGGCAGCACCGCATTCTATTGGGAGGGCTTTTCCAAGAAATCCGAAAAGGGCATACCAGTCTCTGCGTTTTTCCTTCTCCAGGGCAAGAGCCTTCAGATCGCCTTGAACATGGGAGTATGCCTTCACGTAAATGGCAGCCAACAAAGTGGCAGATATATTCTGATTGGAGTCAGAAAGTATGCTTGCGTTTATCACCGGATATGAAGGATTGACCGAAGCAAAGTAGGTGTCTATGAGAATCTTGGGACTGAATGGCTTCACCACCTCGTTAACACTATCGATGCAGTAATGGTCTGGTCGTGGGTCAAGATATATAGTTGGACATATGGAGAAAAATATGGGCTCATTTATATCTCGAGCAGGATTTGTATATCTTTTTTCGGCCGAACCTGGTGTTTCCCTTGCTACTCTCTGTAATAGCCAAGGATCTTGGTCTCCACTGAAGCCAACGAATAGAGATGTTTTACCGTTATGCAACTCCAGTCTGTTGTCCATTCCACGCATTTCAGATTCCACTTCTGGAATTTCCCTTGCAATGAAAGGGTCTGTGGTTGTCACTTCTATATTCACAGACCCATCTCGTGAGATGTTGAGTGCAATCCGCTGGTCCTTGGTTTCGTACTGTGGCCGTTCTCTTGGTGGGGGCCTCTTTTTGGCCGCAGGTCTTTCGATGTAGGTGCACTCGGCTTTTCTGACTCTACATCCTATGCATCGGTTTGACCCAGCTTCTTTGAGGCAGCACGTCCTTCTTTTGCGGCAAAAATCACAAGGTGGAGATTTCCTACTTCTGTAGGGGCGGGCAAATGCTATCACTTCAGTTGTCATGTTGGCAGTTTCCATAATCTTGCTATTTTGAATTATTGTATTTCGTATCTTCAGAATAGCTCTTCTTTCGGATTTTTTTGAGAGCAGAAAAGGGGTGGTGAAGATCAATCGCTGCGGAGAGCCCGATTTGGTCTGCACAATCTCTAATGAAATCACATCTACTCGGAACATTTGCCGCCTTGACACACAGGCACATATCGAAGTCAATTGATTGGTAATCAAGTTTTATTGGCTGGAGGTCTAATCTCAGCCCTTTTTTTATGCTATACATATATACATATATATATAACGTAATCGCAAACAGTCTTAGGTGGGTCCCCTAGTACCAACCCATTCTCAACTCAGCAACACTGTTCCTCCGTGTTATCTGCAATATCTTATAGCGTTCTCTGGCTTGTCCCATTCCATCAAAATCACACGATCCAGGGTTTTCTAAATTACTACCCTTGAGATATCGGTCTAAGTATCTGCGCTTCCCTGGTTGATCTTTCCCGATAAGGAAGCGTTGGCCGCGGGCCAAGTCTTATCTATCGAGTGTACCGCTCAAAAGGGAGCCGCGCCGCCCCACATAAACTGATAGTTGGCCGTCTGAAATCTTATTTTGAGCTTGGAATGAAATAGTTGGCCGCAGGCAAAGCTGGCTGAACTTAGCCTCAGACCATTTTCCCCCGAAACCGGGGCAAAAAATCACAAGTTGGTTGCTTTATAAGAGTGTGTGGCACCTGATATTTCCGGAGGAGGAGATTTGGAGGTGAACTGAGTTTTGAGGTGTACGATATGAATACTAGAACCGTAACCTCCGTTGGTGAACGTGCAATTGGTGCTATCGGATCTGGTTTTGCACCAGAATTGGGGGAGAGGTATTCCCAACTCAAAGCAGAGATCCTCAAACCAGAACACTACGAGGCTTTGGAAGAGTCTTGGAAAAGACTGCTCACAGAGCTTGATAGCGAGATAGAGGCAATTGCTGCTGAAGGCTCTAATTTTATTCCCCAAGTTGAGTTCAATGCCATTGAATCTAACAGCAACACCATTCCTGACGAGTACAAAAAGCTGCTGAAAGAAAGAGGATGTTTGATAATCCGAGGGGTTTACTCTCAAGAGCAGGCCCTCAATTGGAAAAAGGACTTTGTTGATTATCTGAAGAGTCATCCTGGCCTTACAGGCCATCCAAAAGGATCTCCAAGTAACTGGTTTGTTCACTGGTCAAGAACCCAGGTTGAGGCAAGGTCGCATCCTCGAACTATCCAGCTCATGAAAGCCGTTGGTAAAGTATACGAGAATGACGACCCAGACGCTCTCGTTGATATGAGCTCGCAGGTGGTTTATCCAGACAGACTAAGAGTTCGCCAGCCTGGAAAACAGGTGACACTGAACCTTCATGTTGACTCAAGTTCAATTGAAAGATGGGAAGACCCAAGCTACAGAGAAGTCTACAAGGAGATCTTCGAAGGTGAGTGGGAGAAATGGGATCCATATCAGATTGCCAAACGTCCAGCTGGAGTCCAAGATCTGTACAATGGAGCCACCAATAATGGCTCTACATGTAGCGTATTTAGGGCATTCCAAGGCTGGGTTGCCCTTTCGCATTCCAAATGTGGTGAGGGAACGATCAGGTTTCTTCCAAACATGAGGACAGCCATTCCATATTTACTGTTACGGCCCTTCTTCTGGAAAGACGACGGAAAGTTGGAATTTCAATCCTCCAAATTTCCAGGTGCAACACCTGGATCAGGACAATTACTTGCGCATGATCCTGGCCTTTTTCCACATCTCAAACACGATAAGAGCGTAGTTGGAATTCCGTATGTGAACCCTGGGGATTTCGTCCTCTGGCATGCAGATCTGTTGCATGAGGTTGATAGAAATCACGCTGGAAATATGGATTCGTCGGTATGCTTTATAGCGCACACACCCCTATGTCCATACAATATCAACACGTTGAAAGATAGTAACCGCAGTTTTTTGGACGGATCGAAACCGGCAGACTTCGTCTACGAGCTGCAGTATGGGCCATGTGAGTCGTCTTTTGAAGATAGAGGGCAGTCCAAAGATGTTTTGAGTGTTGATGGTAAAAGAGCTCTTGGATTGGAGAAGTTTGACGTTGATGAGCCTGGTTTGACTGCGGGTCAAAAAAAGATTCGTGAATTGGCGAATGAAGCACTTTTTTCAAAGGAGTAAGATCAGGCGATCTGAAAAATCGGGAGTTTGAGGAATCAACCAAATTGAAAAAGCAAACTGGGTAAAAGTCCAAAGCTTCGCTCGGATCAATTTAACAAAATAAACCACATTGTTACTAATATTTTTTTGCGTTTAATAATGTCCTTTGACGCTTCCAGAAAATAACTATATTCTTCAAACTCTGTTTCGGTTCTAACTGCCTAACGTGAGCGCTGCTCCGCGTAATCATATGCCCGAAGTTAGGACGCCTTACCTAAAACGGCAATTGGGGTTTACGCAGCCGCGAAGCTCCACACCTTGATACATTTCGGGTGATTGTTGAGTCAGCTGTTTAGGCGGTCATGGCTGACTCTGTTATAAGGTAATAGTGTAACTAAGAGCTTAATTTCAATCTTATCGATGACCCAAGAAGGCTCGAAACACTTGTGGAGTAGTAGCCCAGAACGTGGTTTTTCTATGCCCCACCCACTACACCTAGACCCATCCACATGTATGGAACATTGGTTCATAGATAAAGCCTTTGGCTGTATTGTTCAAATCAGGACTTGATCGGGGGTTGACAAATTCGGCAAAAATAATTGGTCCCATTTTGAGTGACTCTTGCCAATCCGGAGTTTAATTCCGAGGCCCCGGAATACCTGCCTCAGCCCCTCAGGTTACATAATTTCAAAAAAGCATATCGGAGCTTGAAAATATGGTTGTACGTCAGACGATAAGTTTTGCATTAAATCTCCCATAATGTTGCGGCCATCAGTATGTTGGTATAACGACTAGTTTTCTCAACAGAATAGCACAGATTCCCATCTTCGTTCACCGCACACTTTGCAGCTGAAGAGTCAAATCTCTTTCAATGACCCTCCCCTCGAGTCTACCCTCGTTCACAGATCGGATACAGCCATTAAAGCGCGCACCCCTACCTCGGAAGTAGGGGGAAGAGGTCACATGACCTTATCTACGGGCGTTGATTGGCTGTTCTGCCGCGCAGCTCATTTTTCACCAGGCAGTATAATATTCGTCCAACATCCCGATCCTTTTTTCCAACCTGTTGCAGAGTTCCTTTTCCTTTCTCCATTGTTTCTACCTAGGTCGACTCAATTGAATCCATTACTTTTGCGGATTTCCATTTTTTAAAAACACCCAGAAGGCCTGTTTTTAAACACCCGGAAACTTCACTAGAAAAAACTTTTATCAATGTCTCTTTACGTTGAAAACACCACAGCCCTGTCCAAGTACTTGGACTTGGACCAAAGAGGAAAAGTCCTGGCCGAGTACATCTGGATCGATGCCTTTGGTGACATCAGATCCAAGTGTAAGACTTTGGACGCAAAGCCAGCCAGCGTTGAAGATCTGCCAGAGTGGAACTTTGACGGTTCCTCCACGGAACAGGCGCCAGGCAACAACTCCGACGTGCTGCTTAGACCAGTCGCCTTCTACCCAGACCCTTTCAGAAGAGGTGACAACATTGTCGTTCTAACCGAGTGCTGGAACAACGACGGAACCCCAAACAAGTACAACCACAGAACCGCGGCGGCTAAGATCATGGCCAGCTACACGGACGAGGAGATCTGGTTTGGTTTGGAACAGGAATACACCATGTTTGACCACGACGGAAACGTCTATGCCTGGCCAAAGGGTGGTTACCCAGCCCCACAAGGTCCATACTACTGTGGTGTTGGTACTGGCAAGGTTTACGCTAGGGCTGTTGTGGAGGCTCATTACAAGGCCTGTCTCTATGCCGGTATCACCATCAGCGGTATCAACGCCGAGGTGATGCCTTCGCAATGGGAGTTCCAGGTCGGACCATGCACCGGAATCAAGATGGGTGACGAGTTGTGGGTGGCTCGTTACTTCTTGCACCGTGTGGCCGAGGACTTTGGCGTCAAGATCTCGCTGCATCCTAAGCCATTGAAGGGTGACTGGAACGGTGCTGGTTGTCACACCAACGTGTCCACCAAGGCCATGAGAGTTCCAGGTGGTATGAAGGTGATTGACGCTGCTCTCGAGAAGTTGTCAAAGAGACACGCAGAGCACATCTCACTCTACGGTAAGGACAACGATCAGAGATTAACCGGAAGACACGAGACCGCGTCGATGACCGCCTTCTCTTCTGGAGTTGCCAACCGTGGTGCCTCCGTCAGAATCCCAAGATCTGTTGCCTTGGAAGGTTACGGATACTTCGAGGACAGAAGACCGGCTTCCAACATCGACCCTTACCTCGTTACCGGTATCGTTGTCGAGACCATCTGCGGTGCAGTGGAAGGTGTCGACATGGTCAAGGAGTTTGCTAGAGAATCCGAATAAGTGGAACATAATAAGGAGAGTTCACTCTCTCCATTCTTTCGGCCCTTTTGATGTTTTGTTTGTTTTTATGCGTTTGTTTAAAACTGTGATTTTAACTAAGAAAAGAAGCCCTCTGTTCTCATTATGAGAGCAAGATTTATATGTCTCTTTTATGGTTTAGCCTCTACGCCTATTTATTACTCGCCAGTTCTGGCATCTTGGTGAGTTTTCTTGTGTTCGTGTTCGTTTTTGTTTTTTTTCTGGCTTGCGCTTTCCAATTCAGCTTCCGGTTTCTACCCCAACTTTCACAGTAGAGATAAGACTTAGCAAGTCTCGGGGCGAGGCCCCACGAAAAATAGCGTGGGGCGTGAAGATTTCAATCTATCCATCTCTTATTGGCCAGTGCACACTGAGTAGCCTGACTCTGTTGCAGTAACCATAGATAAGGTTGCGGAATCGAAGTTTCCAATAAATATATACAATTGCTGGTGGGTCTGTTGACTTCAACTGAATAGTTTGCCTGGCCCAAAAGTCCAGTTAGTGAAAAAAGAAAAAAAAAGAAAAAAAGTACGCGTGTATGACCAGCGCGGGCCATATAATTCCTAAGAAAATCTTTTCAGGCCCAGCGAAAAAAATCGCTCAATTCCAGCGCGACTCACAATAGTACACTACTCCTTTCGGGATCACGATGGATCAAATTGGATCTTGGAGGTAATGAGACAATAAAATGGGCGCTTCTGGAAAGGCTACGCAAAAAGGGCTTCTAGGCAAGCCTGAACCATCCCCGCTATAGACTTGCCCGACCTAGCATAAATTCTAGAGATAGTGGAAGTGGGGTGCAACTGGCGTTTATCTCGCCATTCGCGTTATCCACCAATCAAATGATGCTTCCCACGATTGTCCCTCGGATCCAACCGGTTGGACCCTCGGGTTTGCTCTGAGACAAAAAATAGCGAGGCGTGCGTCTCTCAAATACTGGGCACCGTGCTCCTAACACGAATCTTTTGGCAGAATTGATCGGGGCACTATCATTTCCTGGATTGAGATGCGATGAATGCTTCATTTTTTCTGTTGCAGGCGGACAACACAACCTTAACCATAGACTTCCACGCAAGCATGTCTGCTGAATTGTGTGAAGCCTTCAAGAAGATCGGGTTTGAAGACTCGAAAGTTAATGAGATCACTAAGAACAAGAAAGTGGCCAATGCTTTGGAGCAGATAGTGTCGAAGTTGGACGTCACCGCACCTTTGGACAAGTCGAAACTGGCATTGTTGCACTCTCTTTCAACGTCGATCAAGTCGTTTCCTTTTGATAATAAGTATGTCTGGTTGGCCGAATTTATTGTGTCTGGTGGAATCTTGACAAACCTCCAGGTTGCTGAAGGAGTCAAGGCAGTCAATGTCAACCCAGAGATCACCAGAAAGGAACTGGAAGTTGAGTCTGGTGTTGGTGTTTCCTTAACTCCCGAGTTTGTGGAAGCTGAAATTGTCAAGTTTATGCAAGACAACAAGGAGGAGTTGAACACTAAGGGAGCAAAGAAACTGCCTTGGTTGATGTCTTCGGTGAAACAGGTTCCCGAATTGAAGTGGGCTCAGCCAAGTCTGTTCAAGCCTTTAATCGACAAGCATCTTGGCGATTTTCTGGAGACTTCCAAGGCTAACGCAGAAGGTGGAAAGCCTGTGGCCTCTGCAAAGAGATCCATGTTTAACGAAGGTTTCCTGGGTGACTTGCACAAGCCAGGCAAGAACCCACAGATGTGGCCTGAGTTGATGCCAAAACATCTCGAAGTCACAGGAGGTAAAGTTTACACGCGTTTCCCTCCAGAACCTAATGGATTTTTGCATATTGGACATTCCAAAGCGATTATGGTCAACTTTGGATATGCGAAATTCAACAACGGACACTGTTACCTCCGTTATGACGATACAAATCCTGAGGCCGAAGAGGAGAGATACTTCAAGAGTATTTTGGAGATGATCGAGTGGCTGGGATTTGAGCCATGGAAGATCACATACTCTTCGGACTATTTTGACGAATTGTATGCTTTGGCTGAGAAGCTGATCTCTTTGGATAAGGGCTATGTCTGTCACTGTACCGCCGAAGAAGTTAAACTTCAGCGTGGTTTGAAGGCAGATGGTAATATGGGGGGAGAAAGATTTGCTTGTCCTCATAGATCCAGACCTATTGAGGAGAGTCTGGTAGAGTTCAGAAACATGAAGGCAGGAAAATACAAGATCGGAGAGGCTACTCTTCGTATGAAGCAAGATCTAGAGTCTCCTAACCCCCAGATGTGGGATCTTGTGGCATACAGAGTTCTAAATGCAACGCATCACAGAACTGGTGACAAGTGGAAAATTTATCCAACCTACGACTTCACTCACTGTTTGGTGGATAGTTTCGAAAATATCTCCCATTCTCTGTGTACCACCGAGTTCTACCTTTCCAGGGAATCGTATGAGTGGTTGTGTGATGTCTTGCATGTGTACAGACCTGCTCAAAGAGAATACGGAAGACTCAACATCTCAGGTACCATCATGTCCAAGAGAAAGATTGCCAAGCTTGTGAATGAAGGATATGTCCGCGGATGGGATGATCCGAGATTGTATACTCTGGAAGCCATAAAGAGGAGAGGTATTCCTCCCGGGGCTATTCTGTCTTTCATCAACACCTTGGGTGTTACTACTTCGACCACAAACATCCAGGCAGTGAGATTCGAGAGCGCTGTCAGAGCGTATCTGGATGCCACTACTCCAAGATTGATGATGATTGTTGATCCAGTCAAGGTGGTTCTGGAGAACGTTGAGGACGATTTCGAGGTACAGGTTGAAATTCCATTGAAGCCAGGAAATGCAGACTTGGGTGATCGTAAGATAAGTCTTGGTAAGACTTTTTTCATTGAAAGATCTGATTTCAAGGAGGAAGCTGATGATGAATATTTCAGACTGGCTCTGAACCAGAGCGTTGGTCTTATCAAGGTTCCATACACAATTTCTGCCACTTCCGTTGAGAAAGACGGGTCTGGAAAAATCACGCTGATTCATGCCAAGTACAACAAGGATGAGCCAATTAAGCCAAAGACATTCATCCAGTGGGTGCCAAGCAGCTCGGCTATCAAGATTTCGGAACTGAGAGTCCAATCGCAGTTGTTTAAGAGTGATAATCCATCCTCTGTACCAGAGGGCTATTTGAGTGACATCAACCCCCAATCCGAGGAAGTTTTCCACGATGCAATTGTGGAGCCTGCTTTCCTCGACATCAGAGCCAGGTCTCCTCTTAACTTGAAAAGTCCAAGCACTGAATTCAACATTGTTGAGAAGAAGGGTCCTGAAACCGTCAGGTTCCAGGCCTTGAGATTAGGTTACTTCTGTTTGGACAAAGACTCCACGGATGACAAGATTGTGCTTAACAGAATTGTCACCCTTAAAGAAGACTCCAAGAAGTGAAAGCATGCATAGGGCATTTTCAGTATATATTTTTTACAAACCTTGATTCTCGTTGCATATGCTTATAATCCATCTTATATAAACGAATTGAGTGTCTACCAGACCTCAAAATCCAAAATCTCAAACATACGGCCAATCACAACAAGTGATTACGAACCAAAGGATATTAATACTAGCTTGTTCACTTTTTTCACATAGTTTTCCGCCACTTTATTTTTAAAGCTTTGCTTGTGGCTGTGGTTTCTTCGTGTTTTCTAGAGATCTGGGTTGGAGTTAGATATGCGTAGATATGCCCCATGAAAGTTGCCGCATTGGGGCGGCACAATGCTGTGACTCTACGGGAATGAATTCAAAGTTCCCGATCGCTTTACGCCCAACTTGAAACAATTTGGAGATCATAATAATAATTCGGCTATGCAAGAGAGAGGCATAAAAAGACCAGACATTCTCCTCAATAATTGGCGCGAAAATCTTTGTCTCAAGAACACACGGAAATGCTCCCCACCACCGCTGCCTCAGCAACAGCCCCAAGTAAGGATGAGAACTCTGATAACTGGATGCCACTATTTACAGATATGGGGATTGGTGAGCTGTGTGTAATAACCTAGGACACAAACACACTGAGAAAGCCAGAAACAATCTTGATTGGAGGACTATGGACGATCTTCGGGCGGCATACGTTGAGTGTGTGAGTTCCAACGCAGTGTACTCGCTTTGCTTATCGACAATTTGTTTTAACCATATTTGCTAATAGCATTCTTCGCTCTATATATATTGTAAAAAAAAACACAAAAAATTGGGAAGCTGTGATCTAGTAGCTCATAGTGCGTGGAGCGAGACCCAGGGTAAGACCTTCTTTCGTGAGCACCTTCATGCGCTTGGAAAGTCAGTAGTTTTCCACAGACGTTCATATGCCCGATATACCCAATTGATTGTTATTTATCCACCAGAATTTGTTTGAATCGACTAATGGCAAATGTTAAAGCAATGAGCCGCACATGCTGTCAAGTTGCATGATTCTGAGATATTTGATAATTTTCTAGAATTTGATTTTTTACGAAAAAATTATCAAGTTATGTTGTCAGAATTGTCAACCAATAATTCTTTTCGTTTTCACAATCATTTCTTAAAACGTCAAAATCTAGTCAATGATCATTGCAGGCATTTAATATCAGTCATGCATCCATGAACTGGTACTCAGTGGCCAAACTGGGGCCACCAGTAACGCTTATTGTCTCTTTGAAAGTTGGGTGGTGGGTCGGAATTTCCGAAATATCTTAAGAAAGTCTGTTGACTACCTCAAGTTGAGTTTCTGAGATTTGAACCCAACTGCGACCTTTTAGCAGCATAATCATAGAGTCATGATCATGCATCATGCAGAACGGCTCGCAGAGATATGCGTGCAGACATTAATCAGACACCTGCCAATTGGCAATAAACAACTTGGGAAGGATCGGAATATCAGGCGATATTTTTATAAACTAGCCCGGTGATCGCCTCTTTCTGTTATGCCATCTGGGGAACAACAAACGAGTCATAGCGACAAAGCAGGATGCAACTAGCGTGGTCGTGATTAAGCCTGGCCTGCCAACTATGGGGATGACAGAAAATGGTTTGCATGAGATGCTTATCAGAAAAACCCCAATTAGAATCACATGCCCCATGTTAGTCAAATCCGAGAATTTTCTCTCAAGCAGGCTCAATCGCGTAACCCGAGCAAAAAGTTAGCCGGAATAATTCCCGTCACACTCTTGAGCAATCTCAAAGAGACGTCAAATGTCTACTCATCTCCGGTCGAGCTAAAGCCGATCAACCCAATTTCGGTGCTTCTCTACGACAGTTTTTGGTCCAAACGCACCAAACAGGAAACCCAATAACACACCATGGAACCCGTTGATGAATGCGATGATCAAATGTTCATTAACTCTACATAGACCTTGAGAGATTTACATTCTACCGCAAAACCAAAGCCCTGCCGATATTCGATTGTTTGCCAACTCCGAGACGGCGCATGTGGTATGTTCGGCTTTGTCATCTTTCGCAGATAAACTTCCACACTTCTAACGCTCGTTCAGTGTGCAGGTTTTTTTCGAGTACAAATGTAGGCTTTAGGTTAGAAAGCCAAATTATCCAGTTAGTCATTTAAAAAAGGTGTGCCGTTTCTTGATCATCATTTTGGAGATCGTACTTGGTAATCGTCATGTATCAGTTCCCCAATTTGCTTGAATCAAAGGCAAAGAAACCCTTGACGTTCACCGTCTATCATGGTAATTTCGTCCATACACCCGTATTGGGTGAACTCCAGGTCCTTCTGGGTGCAAGAATAGCTGTTGATAAGAGCGGAGTGATAGTTTATATCAAGACGTCTCCTTTGAAGACTTCTCCTATTCAAGAGGCTATGGCACTTAATCCGTCTCTACCACGAGACGAGATAAGATGTATCGATACCATGGATGATACTTCGAAAGTATCCAAATTCTGGTTTCCCGGATTTATCGATACTCATATTCACGCACCACAGTTTCCGAATAACGGCGTTTTTGGCAGTTCAACTACTGTGGATTGGCTATTAAAGTACACATTTCCCATGGAGAAGCTTCTCGGGGCTGATCTGAACAAATGTTTTGAGGTCTACGACAAAGTGGTCAAGAGAACACTCGCGAATGGAACCACTTGTTGTGCATATTATGCGACGATCGATGTCGATGCCACAAACTTGCTTGCGGATTGCTGTTACTCCAATGGCCAACGCGCATACATAGGAAGGAGCTGCATGGACTGCGCTCACAAGGATTATACCGACGAAAGTGCCGAAGAGGGAGTCAAGGCTACGTACAAAGTTATGGGTCATATATCCAACCGAGATTTCTGCTATGATTTGATTAAGCCGATAATAACTCCGAGAAATGCAAACCGTTGTTCTGGAGACTACATGAAAAGGCTGGGGTTGATAGCCAAAGTGGGTAATCTTCCACTGCAGTATCACATGTCTGAGACCGGGCCTGAAGCTGCTAAAATTCTGGAACAGTTCCCAGAGAGAAAGAGTTATGCAGATATATATGATTACCACGATCTGTTGACGTCCTCGGCGATTCTGGGTCATTGTATATACATATCGCAAGAGGAGCTTGATCTCATAAACGAGAGGAAAGCTGCCATTTCGCACTGTCCGATTTCAAACAGTTGTCTCATAAGTGGTGAATGCAAGGTAAGATGGTTACTGGATAATGGCACCAAAGTTGGGCTGGGAACGGATATTTCTGGGGGTTATTCTGCGTCGATTTTGGCTACTGCAAGACATGCGCACATGGTTTCGAGACATGTTGCTATGAAGACAAAAGAATTAAAAGACACCTTATCTGTGAATGAGGTATTGTTTTTAGGAACTCAGGGAGGAGCCCAAGCAATGGGACTTCAGGACATGATTGGGTCTTTCGATGTGGGCAAGAAATGGGAGTGCCAACTGATTGATCTGGAGGTGGAAAACAGTCCCGTGGATTTGTTTGATTTCCTGACCCCCAAGTTGGAGAAAAGCTCAGAGAGCGACCCCCAGTGGATGAGCACGTTCCAGGATATGATCGACAGATGGGTTTTCAACGGGGATGATAGGAATGTGAGGCAGGTGTACGTGAATGGTCGATGTGTGATTGATAAGGATAAGACATACGAGGAGGTGATGCCGGAGGAGGAGGGGGTGACACCAAAGTCTAGTGTCACTGAACCTTTGGAATAGTCCAAACATATTTTGAGTCGGAATTCTCATTACAGGACTATCAAAATATCTATTTGGAAGTAGGTTGTCAATTGTACGCATGTACATGCATTCGAGTTTAACGGCCCGTATCTATAATGGCAGTCTGATTGCTCACCCGTATCGGGATGACAGAAAATACTGGGAGGTTTTGTAATATTATCTTGAAGTAACTTAACCTCCTGTTTGATCATTCTTTTGCGCGAGAATTTTAAACAAACATCACCATAATGTCATTGCCAGAGAATCACAACGAGTTTAGAAGTAAGACCTTTTTCATGGGATATGACTGATGGTTTAGCTATTCGGCGCTTATCCGTCTTTGTCTATTCGTCCTCTTGCTAATGCTAACCCTCCCTCTAGGTGATACTTTGACTGTGCCCACCAAGTCTATGATAGAGTCAGTCACTCTGGCCAGTGTGGGTGACTCTGTCTACAATGAGGACTCGGACACTCTTGCTCTTGAACAAAAAGTAGCCGAATTGACCGGTCATGAGGCCGGCTTGTTCTGTGTTTCTGGAACGTTGTCCAACCAGATCGGTCTCAGAACTCAACTATTGCAACCACCGCACACTGTTTTGTGTGATTATCGTGCTCATGTGTATGTTCACGAGGCTGGTGGATTGGCAACTCTTTCGCAGGCCATGGTGTCTCCAGTGAAGCCTTCCAATGGCCTCTATCTCACTTTGGAAGACGTCGTCGAGAACTTCATCGAGGATGGCGACATCCACCGGGCTCCTACAAAAGTTGTTTCTTTGGAGAATACAATTCATGGCATAATCCACCCAATTGAGGAGATCAAAAGAATATCGGAGTGGTGCAAGAGTAACGGGATCAAGTTGCACTTGGACGGAGCCAGAATCTGGAACGCTTCAGTGGCCACTGGCCTGTCAATCAAGGATATTGCAAAATACTTTGATTCTGTGTCTTTGTGTCTTTCCAAGGGCTTGGCAGCTCCAATTGGATCTGTTCTTGTGGGACCCAAAGCCTTCATCCAGAAGGCCAATCACTTCAAGAAGCAAAACGGTGGTGGTATTAGACAGTCAGGTTTTCTTGCACGCATGGCCTCCATTGCTATAGATGAGAATTTGCCCAAGCTACAGTACTCGCATGATTTGGCTAAAGATTTCGCCGATTACGCTGTGTCCTTGGGGATCAAATTGGAGTGTCCCACTGACACCAACTTTGTTTTCTTCGATCCCAAGGCCAACTCCATTGATCCAAACTTGGTGGCCAAATTATCTGAGAAGTATGAGATCAAAGCTTATGGTTTCAGGTTTGCTTTCAGCTTCCAGAACTCCAAGGAGTCAGTGGAGAGGCTAAAGCTTCTGACGAAGGAGCTTTTGGAGCTCTCCGAGAAAGCCCCAGCTGGAGCTCCTATAAGTAACATGACGTACTATTCAGGCGTGCAAAAGTGATGTTTATAAAACAGTTCTTTGGTTATATATTGTTAGTTTCCACAAATCGAAAGACCGCAATGTGGAAGCCATAGTGAACATGGAACATCCGGCCGAAACGTATCAATTACAAGTCAGAAAGCGAATAGGTGACATTCTTCGACGTTGGGTATTCGGTGACGTCGATGTGAATATGTGGAACACCTTCGAAGTCAGAAGGCATCAACCAGGTGGAGTTAAAGGACCAGAAACCGTGGACATCATGGTCGATGTTGTACTCAAAGATCTCACTGCTGGTGTTCACGTTTCCAGAGATCTCTAGCTTTAGACCAGGCAACGAAGTCATGGTGGTGAGGTTGTCGTTAGGAAAGATGTCGAATGGAGAGACCGAGAAGGAGAATCCGATATCGTAACCTGGAGATGTGGTAACATTGGGGTAGGTGATGTCCAGGTAACCTTCACCTGCTGTTGCCGAGATTACAGATTCCTGAGCCCAAAGAGTGATGTAACCGCTTCTTCCTTCACGGACATACCACTGGATCACAGCTGGGTTGAAGGCATAGTTGGAAGTTGCAGGTCCTCCGATCTTGAGCTCGCTTATCTGTTCAGCGCCAATGGTGATAAGATCATTGCTCCAGACACTGATGTTTCTTGGGTAAGTGTCGAACGGTGGAGAAAAGGCCTGGACTGCCAAAGACGTTGGGCCCGGATATTTCTTGAAGGCTTCGAGAGTAGCCTCCGGAACCAGGTCTTCAATCTGAGGAATTCCCAGGGCTATCAGATGCGCAATTCCGAAATCGGCCTGGTGGTACATTCCTGAAATTTGCTTTGGCATTGGAGCATATTCCCTTCCAACGAGACCCCAGACGGTGGCCGCAGTGATGGAGAAGTAGAGGTTCATGTCGAAGCCATAGGACCTGTCCCATGGTCCAGCAAAGTTCTTCAAGTTGGCGTTGTACAAAGATTTGGTGAGAACCATGAGATCGGCAAACATTTCCTTGGCATATCCTGGAAGTGGTGAAGATGCTGGAGCGTATTTGATCCATTGGCCCAAGGCCCACATGGCAACTCCGGTGTAGGTTGGTGAATTGAACTCGGAGAAAGTGTCGTACATTTTGTATAAATCATAGGCTTCTTTGGCCCACGTTTCACTCCAAGTGGTCATGTTGGCATCGTTGAAGTAATAACCTGCATACGACTGAAGAATCACCCTCATCAACCATGGGTTGCTGTAGCATGGATACAGGTTATCACCATCAACACCACCAACACGGTACTGATCTCCCTTTGCAGAAAGCCACAATATTTTTTCGACAAGATCAACCCCAGTCTCGCTGAGTCTCTCCTTGTAATCTGCAAGAAGAATCACGAAAGCTGAGCCCACGAAGTCTCTCCAATTGGAGTCGTAAGAGCCGTATGGAGATGGGTCGTAGACACCTTCTTGAGGAGTAGGTTCATCAGGAGCTTGTTGGATAATACCGTACCAAATTTTGGTTGGATCCTTATACATTCCCTTGTAAATATTGGCAAAAATTCTCTCAGCACGCTCGATATCGCCCTTATCGTTTCTGGCAACGAGACCAACAGAGTACCATGCAGTTTGACGACTATCGTATCTGCCAACCAAGTCAGCATCCGCGGTAACCAGGTAACCAGCTTCTTCGTCCCAGAATCCGTCCTGAAACTCCAGAGATGCGTCAAACAAATCCTGGGCGTTTTTGCTGAGATCTCCAATGGGACCTGCATGTCTCTTGGAGAGAAGAGGTGCGGCGTTGGTGACACCTGCCAGAAGTAAGGAACCGGCCGCTATCAATGTGTTGAGCTTCATGGTAACTCGTGCGACTTGTGCTTTTTTATCGGGGCCGAAAAAAAGTAAAAGGCGGGGGACCCCATGTATTTATGCACTTGATTATACTCAGACCATTCCTGTGAAAAATGGCCTCAAACCGAGGCAAACATCACAGCCAACATCCGCAACACATGCCAGATGTCTAAATTGAGTAGATTGACATCCCACATTGGGAATATATCCAGATCAGGAGAAATTCAGGGCTATTCTACACCTTGTGCAAGGACCAGCATGTACAGCTCACGGGGATCCCTGAATGATCAGGGCATGCAAGTCCTGAGGATTACGACCTATCCAGAAATGTAACCAGCAGACGCGGGCCTTTTTTGGGGTTAGGAAATGTTTTAACCGAGGCGCATGGTGACAGCACGTTTGGCGTCACGGTTGCAAATGGAACTTGGGAGATTATGCTGGGGTGTCGTTATCGGGTGTTATCGTTGCTCGGAAAAAACATCCGTTTCAGCCAATTGATTGTCCTCGCCTTTGGGACCATGATGGCACAATTGAGGGATCTACGAGGATTTACAAAGATCCACAGATCCTCAGATAAGGCTTAAATGTGCAATTACAACAATTTATTTGCGATGCTCCCCGAGCAATGGGGTATATTCACTACTGTCTCAGCCAGGCCGATAAGAAATCCTTGGGACGTTATCTCATCGGCCTGACCCAGCCTCCGAGGCTTTGAAAGTGAAAAATGCGTGTGTTGCCTATCTCGGATGCAAGTTCCCTAATGCATCCTCGGGTTATTACGAGGCTTGTGTACAATTACGGCACGGACCACAATTAGGATTTTTTAGCAAAGACTAAGAATAATGGATTTCAGTAATTACAAGAATTACCCAATTGAGCAGATCAACTCGGAGACCGTTGGGTCTAACATCGAGATATTTCAAAAGATCCTCAAGAATGCCTCCAACCCCTTTGCTGGGAAGCTCTCATCAGAGTTGTTCGTTGAACACGAAACCCAGATCGCCTTACAGAAAAGAGTACCTTGGCACCAATTTTACATTTTGGACCCGGCAAATGGTGAGGTCGTCAGTGCTTTCAGAATAATCTACCACAGGGGTAACAACGGGTATACCAACTTGTTGGTGAGTTTCGTCCATACCAAAGCAGAGTATAGGAAGAGAGGGTTCATTGACTATTTGATCAGCGAATGTATCAAAAAGTACGAAACTGTGGGATCATATGAGTTTTCAGTGCCAGGTTCAAACAACAAAGATACGGATGACTTTATCAAGAAACATATAAAGCCTTCAGAGAAGTATTTTTGGACTTTATATTCAGCCGTTCAAACCTTTTATGCGCGATTTGGGTTTGTACCCTTTAGAGACATGAACTGGCTCACATACAAAGCAGAGGAGGTATCAACGTATACCATTGATGATGTCAAGACTGGTTTCCGCGACACTACCGTCGAGCTAATTGCTTTTGATGAAGACGTGGTTAAATTCTTTGCAGACCCCGATTATGCGTCATATGTCAACGACTCACTCAACGACGAAAATGTTAGGTCTATGAGTCTAGATAACCCAACATTTTACACTTGTCACAACAGAGATTTGTGTGTGGCCGAGTTGCATCACAAAGAGCTGAAGAACACAGGACTTAGACTGAAGCACAGTAACGGCAAGGAGTCCTTTGTGATTGTCTCTGGCGACCTCCACCACGAGGAGCTTGTAATCCACAAGCTTTTCACTAACTTGGATGTTGCCACAGAATCAGAGCTTTTGGATGATGATCTTGACAGAATCCAGAAGTTTCTGCATGTAATCTTTGACGAGTACCCTTTTAGAGAGCTGGGGTTTGTGAAGGGTTACACCTTTGCGGTCACAACGGCAGACTTACATGCGAAAGATCCCGATACTCAGAGCTATATCATTGAGAAGCTACAGGGTAACGACTGGAGCTTGGACACTTCCAATACCAAGTTTTTGGCAATGATGAAAGATTACGCCAAAGATGGTGTTGCAGAGGGAACCGTATGGCTAAACAACGGTTTCTGGTGCTTTGGGTGAAATGTAGAATATGCGCCGAACGGTCTGATCTTCAGGCCTGCGCATATATGACAAATTATTCAGAACAAAAAACGTAAGAAGATTCAGCTTTTCGATTTCACCGTGTAACAATTTCAATCGAGGTGCATATGCATCAAGCAAGAAAGTGCATGGTCACCGGCTAAATCAAAGGAGTCGAGAAACAGCATTGCCCACTACCGGTCGCTTTCAAGCCAACTGATCGACGCATGGAGCTTGGACTATTGCCATTTCGAACCACCGACTTCGGCATATACGGGGTGGCTGGACCATGTTCTCCGGTATTATGAAAGACCATATAGACTGCTTTCAACTACACACGTAAAGAATAATGTCTATAAAATCCATATACAATACTGAATGAGTTGATTATGAGTTTATATAATTCAATTGTTGGATCTAGATAATGGACTTTCTAGACTTCTTGGAGTTTCTGCTCTGTGTTCTTGAAAGCTGTCTCTCAATAGTCTTCTGCTCCTCCTCTTCTGCGGAAGGGGCTTCGTCCTTGACTCTGTTCTTGGACTTTGGAACTCTAACCAGCCAATACAAGAACACAGTGCCAAATATGTTGATGAAGATGAAAGCGATGTAAATACCGTAATTTCTCCATCTCTGAGAGTAGTAAGAATTGACCGAGGCCAAGTACACATCCGTGGAAGCAGTAGAGCAGAACGAACACTTAGAAGTCTCATCTTCGTCCAGCAAGTAACCACCCGCCGCACTAATATAGTCCTTCATGTAATCACCACAATTCATTCCGCTTGGTGGTGGGAAATGGACGTACTCCGACGTGGAGCAAGTCACTTTAGATTTACCAACACCAGTACTCAACACACCTTGCACCCAATAGGTGAATGGCGAGACACGGTACATGAAAATCCAGAATCCACTTGGGTATTTCAAGATACCACAGAAATTGAGAGACATGGTGAACATCAGGGAAGCCAAGTTGGCGGCATTATCGGCAATCTCCATACCAGCAACACACAATTGAGCCAATGTGGAAGCATATACAAAGAAAGCGACGATGTACAACCAAATCAAAGCACCACGCTCGTGAACGGTATCAGTGGCAACAGCGTTTTCATACATACCAACTGGGTAGTACCAACAGAAGAAAGACAAGGTACCACACAACATTTGCCATGGAATTTCAACCGTGATCTGAGCCAAAATAAATGCAAGCCAAGAGAAGGTCTTTGAAGGACGTTCTCTGGCCTCGTATAGACCACGTTGAAAGACGTAGTTTGGCAGATACTGCTGAGTCAAAGTCATCAAGACAATCAAGAACATAAAGATGGCAAGCATCTGGTTCTGAAGACCTTGGAGAGAGAGACCAGCCTTGAAAAAAGAGAAACCATTGAAAATAGCAGAGATGATAGTAAGAAGAAGTTTGGACCAGATGTAAGTTGGAGTTCTGAAGTACTGTTCGAACACACGCCTGGTGACCTGGGTGTACTGGAACCACAGTGGAGCAGCAAACTCCTTGCGGGCATCTGGAGAATCATCCTTTGGAATTTTGACTAATTCATGTTCCATGGTAGCCAGCTCTGTACGAACAGCCGCACGTTCAGCAGAATTCATCCACACCTCGTGATAATCCTGATTGGCATGAGAACCTGGGGCAGCACCAATGACTTCCAACATCCACTCGGCAGGGTTGGCATCGTGAGGACATGGATGAGCACCGTGTTTTTCAAAGTAGTCAATCAGAGTAGTACAGTTTTCACCCAAATCACCGAAGTAAACAGTACGTCCACCTCTTGCCAAGAACAACAATCTGTCGAACTCTTGGAGCAAGATGGCTGAAGGCTGGTGAATAGTACACAGAATAGCTTGACCGTTGTCAGCCAGCTTACGCATCAACTGACAAATAGACCAGGCTGTCTGAGAATCCAAACCAGAAGTAGGCTCGTCCAAGAACAGAAGCAATTGAGGCTTAGCAGCCAGCTCAACACCGATGGTCAGTCTCTTTCTCTGCTCAACGTTCAGACCTTCACCACTAACACCAACAATGGCATCAGCGTACTTCTCCATTTCCAGGATTTCAATGACATTCTCAACATATTCGTCCTTCTCAGCTTGGGAAACCGAAGCAGGTTGTCTCAAATAGGCCGAAAAACGAAGAGATTCTCTTACAGTGGCAGTTTGCAAATGCAAATCTTGTTGCTGAACATAACCAGTAGAACGTTGGAACGAGTCATCTCTCAAACGACCGTTGACGAACATAGAACCAGTCACAACACCCATGGTGACTCTGTTGGCCAACACATCAAGCAAAGTAGTCTTACCAGCACCAGAAGCACCCATAAGAGCAGTCAAAGTTCCTGGCTTAACCCAACCATCAACATGGTTCAGAATTTTTCTCACTTCGGTCTTGATGTTCACTTCGTAACAAACATCACGCCAGTGGAAAATGTCCTTACCGGCACTAAGCTTGACAGCAGCTCCTCCCTTATCCTCACTGGTCGAACCAGTTTCCTCAATAACAGAGGCTTGTTTTTCACCATTAAGGGCAGATTCGGGGTCATCGGAGTTGATGAGCTTGTTTTGCTTTTTGAGCTTTCTCAAAGTTGAAGACTGGAACACCAAGACTTCACCCTTCTGCAAAGAACCTCTCGATAACTCACAGATAGCCAGGTAGACACCCAGGAAAAAGACGACAAAGGCAATAACAACACCCACGTTTCTCCACTTATGCTTGTTGTAGTAGGCATAAGCTGCGTTCACATATTTGGTACCGTTGACGAAGTCCTCTCCGGCCACGGAACTCACAGACGAACACACCTTGTTAGCACTAGGGTACTTGGAGTATGCCTCACCGGAAGGAATGAAAGCCGAGCACTCGAAAAGCCTATCTTGGAACTCGTTGGTCATCAAGGACTCAAACACATAAGCAATTGGATCCAGATAATTGATCCATCTGGACCAGCCAAGCATACTTGGGGTTGGGACCACGAAACCAGTGTAGATAACCAGAGCAAGCAAAATCAGAGCTGCAAGAGACATGGCTTCAGACAGAGTTTTGTAGAAAGAACCAATAGAACGGAAGATATGAGACATGGCCAAGGTAGCAAGAAAGTTCACCAAGAAGTAGAAGAAGAACCTACCTGGGTTTCTTCTGAAGTTCACCATGAAGTAGAAAACGAGGTTGAAACCAACAGCGGTGATAAGCTTGGGAGGAAATTCACTGATAATAGAAGCCATGGCATCTGCGGAAGGATGGTATAATGCGTATTTCTTATGTTTCTCAATGATGGGTCTAGATTCAAACAGAGCCATGACCTCCAAAAGCGAAGAAAAGGCATTGAACAAGACGGCAAAGAAGAGCGAGGCAGAACGGTAATAGAAGGATCCAGAAGTGGCAGGCAGGTTGTAAAACAGAGACGATAGAAGCAAACCCATGATGGTGTTGGCAATAACGGAGAACAAAGTAATCGAAGGATCACCTTGAAGTCTCCACCAGTTTCTTCTCAAAATAGCCTTGATTTGCATCGAATACGAGACAGTGTAAGAGGAGGTAGGTCTGGTGTGGTTGGATTGTCTGGCAACCTTGCTCTCCAAAAACTCAGTAGTGGCGTTGTTCACCTTGTGGTCTTGGATATAAGCGTCAACCTCTTCAGTAAGCTCCACAAACTCTGGGGAGTTACGCCAGTAGTCGGAGAACTCCTTAGGTGTCTTTGGCACCTTATTTTCGAATCCTGGCTTGGCGACTCTCTCACTTGGGTTGGTCAAAGAAGTCAAGAAATCGGCAGTGGTCTGTCTTGGTGGGCAGTCGTAACCCATGCGCAAGAAGTAATCCTTAGCCTTTGTTCCCAAACCAAAGTAAATCTGGTAACCTTCGTACAAAACGATGACATTGTCGAACAAGTCATAGGCATCTTGAGAACATTGGTAGATGGCAATGAGTGGAGTGGTGTCCAAAAGAACAGCAGAAGTCTTCAAGGCCCTAATGAACTCCAAAGCGGTGGCAGCATCCAGACCTCTAGTGGCGTTATCCCAGCACTGCAAGGCAGATCCACACAGAGACACTTCGGCAATGGAAACTCTCTTACGTTCACCACCAGAAACACCTCTGACTAAGTCGTTACCAACCTTGGTGTTTCTGGTGTGCAGCAAACCATAGGTTGCCATATAAACATCCGTCATATGTTTGGCGTACACCTCTCTGTTGATTCCATTGCCTCTGTTCTGAGGAGTTCTCAAACCAGCTGCAAAGTTCAGAGTCTGACCGACGGTCAAATGAGGGAAATGGTTGTCCACCTCAGCAGAGTAGACAACTTCACCTCTATAGTGCTTGTTGATTTCATTCATGGTGAAACCGTCGTAGGAAATCTCAGATTCCGGCGCAATTTTAAAACCGTAGGTCTGAGCACTGATGGTCTTCAACAAAGTGGAACAACCTGCACCTGGTCTACCCAGGACAACAGTAAGAGAACCTGGCTTCATAATAGCATCCATAGGCTTCAAGATATCAAAGAATCTGGCAGGATTCTCCTTAGCAAATTTGTTGTACAAGTCTTCCACCACCTTGTAGGGGTAATTGAGAATGGTAGGCTGGTACGAGGCATCTGCAGCGATACCAGACGCACGCAAATTTCTGTATGCAATTCCCAAGGAAGTATGCTTGTAGTAGTCTGGATCATTGTCCATGAGCTTTCTGAAGTTTTTAACCCAAAGCTTGGAGTCAAAATCGTCGGAGTTGGGGTCAAGACGGGAATCAATCTCACCTTCAGTGAAGGTGGAAACACCAGGCACATTAGACATGGTCGACAAGGTTCTCACCAAATGAGCACTGTCGGAAACAACCGAAGGTCTTGGCTTTCCGTCTGCCAAAAAAAGCGACAAATGGCCACTTTCATTGGTTAGCTTTCTGGCGAGGTCGTGAACCTGCTCATCAGCGGTGGCGTCGAAACCACGATAAGAGGCCACATCACTTCCAGCGTCGGACTTGACCACAATGGAATCAGTATCACTGGAAACCATTGTTAATCTTAAAGATAAACTAAGAGTTTGAACAATTCACCTATTGCAGCTTCAAGCAATTAAAGCAACACAAACAGCCAAAAAATAGCCCGAATTTCAAACGTTTTGGTCTGTTTTGAAATAGACCAGAAACACTTCGAAGTGGGGTTTACAAATCTAACTTCAGCCTGATAAGATCGAAGTAATATAAGTACCACCTGGGCAGGGTATAGGGGGAAATAATGTAGCGGCGTAAAGTTGGCGCTGTTTCAAGAAGAAAAACTGGTGGAAGCGATGGCAGAGTATATATACCGGCAGTTTTTTTAAACTGGGCGATTACGCAAACCAAAACAAACCAAATGGAAATTCGGAAAGAAGATGCACCCGGCCACAGCTGCCAAGCGCAATCAAGGCTCGGACGCTGGAAGCGTGTGGAGTTAGGGGAATTTTAGCAATCTCGGTCTCTCGGAAGGTATTTTAAGGTTCCGGATCCGGCTGGGGAGCTAGGTTTTTTTGTTTTCACCGGATTAACTCTCGGGGTCCATGTTCTGCGTCCGATGGTTTCTGTTGTTGCAAGGTACAAAGAGGCACAGTTTGTGAGTCGGCACAACCGCTTAAAATATTTACTTTTTGCTCGTATTTGTTCTTCTGTTTGAGCGACCAGGTGAAGTTATTTAGCGCCAGTCTTGACCTGCGATTGGACCCCAAAGTTTTTCGCGCACGACCCCGAATAACGCCGGTGACTCCAACCTTAATTGGGTACTTAATCGCACCGAGCCCCAATCTCTTACTCGTTCCCTCGTTCCAGCTTGGGCCCGGGCTGCAGTCTCGTATAAAGTAGGGCAGAAATTGCAGGGGAACGCGAGAGAGCAAATATTTCAGAGGATTTCAAATCATCCGGACTGGACCGATTGAATTTATAAGGGTCTTAGAGATATAGTTAATTGCTCAATTTCACAGGTGGGAAAAGGCACTTGACCATGCCTACCAATTGAAATAAATCCTGAGTTCTTGCACGTTTTCTTGTACTTGGACCAGGACTTGGTGAAGGGCAGATACAAGACTGGGTATATATTTACAATTGACCGAAATCACGACTTTGGTCCCAAGCCTAAAGAGCCCTTTACGTCGGGGGATCTTGTAGAATGACCTTTTAGTCATCACCAAATCTGCTCGTTTGCAGGGCCCAGGAAACGAGGCTTTATCGCCGAGTCGACGCCCGGAGATAAACATGCGCCACAGATGGTTATACCTAGACAAGCGATTCGACGGGCATATCATGCAGATTTATTTAACCTACAATTATTCCTTAAGGCATATACCATTTCTGGATGGTGAGTTTATGAATATATATAGCAAGCAAAAGCAAACAACAACAACAACAAAAAGGTACGCAAGGTGATAGCGATACGCGATAACCTAAGTAGCAAGAATAACAACGATAAATAGAATCGAGTAAGGAGAGCGAGTGATTATAAATCACGTTCAAAACAAACACATGGTCTGTTTTGGTAAGCGAATCACAACGAGTGGCATAAATCGCTCCCGTTTAGCAAAGTCTCGGTGAAACAGTTTTTGCTTCGTGCATGTTCTTCCTCCAGCCCTAGATCAACAGTCAAAGTCTCTCTCTCCCATAGTGTGATGCAATGATATGGGAAACAAACGAAACAAATATACAGAAAATAACGATGGTGATGACAGAGATGAACAAAAACTTTTCTCAGAAAAATGACAGAAAAACCGCGCCCTTGAAATATGATGAATGTGATAGATGGAGAGGGAGAGGAGCTTCTGCATAGTTGATCTGAAAGGCTGGGAGGAATTAGTAAACGAAAGATGCAATCAACGAAAAACAATATCATGGAAAATTCAGCGAAGAGCAATCTCCCTTGGGGTATCCAATGAAGACGACCCACTCAGAAACGAAGGTGACTGGTAGGTGGATTCATGGAGATGGGATGGAGCGGATGGCGATGACGAAAATGTCACCGGCTGGTGATGGAGTTGCGGAGAACTTACTGGGGAAGTCTCTCCTGGGGATTGAACAGGTGACCCATAGAAACAGTAGGCCTGAAGAAACTGATCATAGTTTCTTCTGGAGGCCAGACTGTCTTTCGTGATCAGGCTTGGGGTGGGCTGCAAGGTGGGCTGCGAAGTGGAGGGAGAGTCATCCCTCGAACCAGCCTCGTTTTTGCACTTTTGCAGATCCGAAGAGGAGCGAGATTGCTCCAGGTCCATCTTCGAAATGGACTCCGAGAGCTTCACCAGAGAGGGAGCAGAGTTATTTTTCCTCAGCTGGTAATGATGAGAATATGAACGACGCTGAGGCAACGCCGGTCCAGGAGAGGAGGCCTTGTTGCCCTTTGACCCATTGTAGTAGTTGGCAGAAACGGCAGTACCAAGACTGGTCCTCTTAGCAGTGGCATTGGCACTGGCACTGGCGTTAGCAATAGCAGTCGCAGTAGCGGACTTTGAAGGCCCAGCAGCAGTTTTGTCAGCCGATGGAGGCGAGAAGTACGAATCGTCAATGTCGTAGTTAGAAAAAGGATCAAAGTTGTAGCGCGTTCTGAACACATCAGAGTTACGCGGCTTACACTTTGGTGCAAACTCCACGTCTGTTAGCAACTTGTTCTTATTGTCGAGCTCGAATTCGTCGTCGTCCTCATCTCCTGGGTACTTGGTTTGCACCAGGTGGAAATAGTCATGTTCCCTGAAGCTACCAGTACCGCGTGAGGTGACCGGAGTAATCTTGTGCACTATGACTCTATAGTTCTTTAAGTTGTTGTTGTCCCAAAAGGTGTCATTGCCAACTTCGTACTTGATACAGAACTCCAGGTCGATGTTGCTGCCGGCATTGAGCAATTCCGAAAACTTGATAATAAAAGAAAATTTGTCGTAAGACTCGTTGCCGGAGTAGTTGAAGATGTGGTTTGAAGAGATGTAATTGGCGTTGTCAATCGTCTGAGATGTTCTCCACGAGTTCACCGTCAGCTGAAGGGTCAATTTCTTCTCAAACGCGAGGTTCTTCACGTACACAAACCCTATCAGTGAGTCCTTGTTGGAACCCAATCTAAGACTCTCAAGGATGATCTTCTTGTACGGATCATTGAACTTGGCAAAGTTGAATATCTGGTTGGAAGGAACATCGTTATGGACGATTTCCCAACGTTCCGTCTGGTCCGAGGAAGCCAGACCGGAATCAGAATCCTGATCCGAATCGCTCGAAATCTCAAACTCCCATGTGGGACGGTGCTGAATGGGAGGAGGCGATGAAACAGGGGAGTTGTCCGTAGAAACCGCAATTGGTTTCTCTGCCTTTTCGAAGAATTTCACCTTCTCTAGGACAGGTGCAAACCGTACTGATTTGGAAGTGGAGGGCATCGACTTGCTCCTTTTCAAATCTGGCAGCTTCAGCGAGGACTTTACAAGCTCGCCCGACTTCTTTCTCAGCAGTGGGTGAAAAGGCTGGTCCAGCAAGCCTTCGCCCTGGTCTGTTTCATCCTCTGTTTCAGTCTCTTCGTTCTCGTCGTTATGGCGTAGCTTTAGCCGGTTGCCCACTATAGTAGAAACGGAGCTTGAAGAACCATTGGTCATGGGGTTGGGCATCACGACGGTTTTGTTGTCGTCTTGGTAGAACACCGAGGTCTTATCATCCTCGTAAGAGCTAGCGCTGGAGTCCGGAGAAAGCGGCGTGGACGATTGCAGAGACGTTAGTGTGGAGTTTGAGTCTGAGTTTCCCATGGTTTCATTTTGATTTGCCAGTTTGGTGTTGAGATAAGCGAGGTTTGTGATGGTAAGTGGGGTTGTTGCGAAGGTTCTCGGTCCGAGGTAAGGCATGCTAGTTGTATAAGCAGTCCCAATACCTCCCGGACTGTTTCGGAAGCAGCAATATAGGTAGGTAGGTTGAGTATAACCAGCAACCTATGGGTAGAAAAAAAACACTAAATCACAAAACCGACAGTGTTTTCCTCCCAAATTTTTTGCCCCTGTATCGAGAAAGACAGCGTTAGCAAGAAAAAAAGGGATGATGAATGGGATATCACCTGCGCGTTTTTGTAGGGTGATTCCCGGTTTGACAAGCCAAAAAAGCAAATGGTAGTGCAGAGTGAGAATGAAAGCCCCTTCTATCGAAATGACACCACCAGCAACAGATAAATTAAGAGTGGCGAAAGACGGCAAAAGACCAATAAAAATTAGTTCTGGATGGTCTGTGTCTGGTTGGAAAGTCCAGTTCTGATGGTTTGGTGAGGATCAGGAGTGATCGATATGGCTGGTCACCGCTCGTTTCAAGCAAGCAGACTCCCGGACGCAAAAATTGCTGATAGGAGACCTTGAAAGGAATCGGGATTGGAAACACGATACGGAGCAACCAACGTCAAGCAGTTTTTGCCTTTTTGTTTCGATCACTGTGAAAGTATCCAGATGAAGCCTGATCTTGTATACAAGTGAAAACACAAAAGAGGGTTGTTGGCCTTTTTATCGGTTGATCAAATTTTTTTTCAATTTAATCTCCTCTCCCGGTTTCAAGGCAGGTTCACATACGGGGTGCAGGTCTTGATAGGAGGAGAGTAGGTGCGTCGCACGACTCAGGTGGGGCTCGAGAGATTCAGAATTGCTCCCAAAGGGGAAAAACATACACAAGGGTGTAGACATTGCGGTAAGGGTCAAGCGGATTGTGGAGAGCTGTTTTTGAACTATATTTTGAGTTATGTATCAAAATATTGTATAAACCAAATAATTACTTTGCTACTGCACTGTTTCAAAATATTCGCCAGAGGCATGGGCGCATCACCCCATGGGCACTAATTCGGGGTCGGCCCATTTCCGCATAAAGGCCCCTCATAACGGTGGTTAAATTGCGAATGGCACACCCTCACCTCGCCGCTTGGTGAAACCAAAAAAATTGTGCGCCCGATGCCATAGTGGAAATTGGAGTGCAAAAGTGGTGTAGTGTGGTGCTTTTGCAGCTATTTGTGGTTCGAAATATAGAGTTCGGATTTGTTTCGTGTTGCACGGCGCACATTGTTTTTCGACGTCATCGATGTTGTCGAGGTCGTCAAGGTCGTCTAGGTTGCTCTAGTCATCCGAACGCGTCAAATATAGACTTGGACACAGCGTGTTATGTCGGACCCAACCGAAATGTCGCCTTGTATCCCCCTTCTGTGCAACGTTGTATATGGTCTTTGGTATCGGGATTTGGGCGTGCATTTGTTCTAATTCTGACACTATTGTTCGTAAATGTGACGAAGGGATGCATATTCGGCGAAGCCCGTAGTCCTTGTCACAGAAACCATTACAAAACGCAGCAGCGACACAGCTACAAAACCAGCGTCCAATAAACTGGTCCGATGGCCTTTACGAAACCCTAAACACCAACCCCTTGCACAACCTTATCCACCGATAGCACCATTGAAACAAATTTTACTACCAGGAGACCCCTCCTGATTCCAGAGACCTGCATTCCCTTCCACTACGGGAATCTTTGACGTACCCCGAGATCTCACCTTGGTTGGTGGGCCGAGTTTGCCGGCAGCATTGTTGGACCTTCGATCCGGTGAAGACGTCAGATGATGTTATGCAATTTCAAGCCTACTCTTGTTCACTATCGCAAATTTATTGACTCCTATTGCATTATCCAAATGTGTTCCATTTCTATGGCTGACTCCTGTTGGATCAGGCCCCACTTTTAGCCCCTGTTGCATTTTTGGCGTCTACCCCTCTGCCCACCTCTTATTTACACCGCGCCTTGATCAGTTCCACCCCCACACCCCTGACTCTTAACTGACTTTGCTTTTGTACAAGCTCTCCTTCCTTTTTGGGATGAATGGCACGCCGGTTCAGGGCACAAGTCTTTGAAAGAATGTTTCGAGACCCTGTTATTTCAAAAATATGTACAACCTTCGCTCCTTATCCACTTGAAAGCTTCGTAGCTCGGATACAGTTTCCGAAACAGGTATTTTCAACACCGATTTGCCTGTCTTCGAGTTCACCACCTGCACCTCTGCCATTTTAGAGTCGTGTACCAGCTCCAGATCAATAGGCCTGCTATATTCCACTGCATACCTTCTTTTAAATCCTTCCCGTGTCATCGACTCGTCCAATTCAACGAATTGGAAGGATATTTCCAGCTCTGGCTCCGCATTGGGGCGACTGGGCTTGCTACCCGTCTCTGCCCCAACCAGCTCCACCTTTGGCCGAGAATCACGATCGTCGACCTCCTCTATCAGCAAATTCCTCATACCCGAGTTGGGTAATCGCAATTCAATCAACTCCCCGGATTGGTCCTGTTCTATTTCCTGTTCTATCGACTCCATCGGTTCATCCGTGGGACTCAAATCCACCTCGGCCTCCGTGATCAGTTCTCCCTTGCATTTCATTTTGGGGAAACTTGGCGGAACATCATCAAATCGCACCTGTAATCCATACTCTAGCACTTGCAGAGCCCATGTAGCTACGGTGATCATTATTGTCTGATTGGACAAACACCATTGGAACAGAACTTCGCTCATACAGCAGTTAAACACCAATGACAGTTGTCCCTTCTTGTCTGTATCAATGCTAGTGACAGGGAGACAAACCACAGGCGTCTCCCATTGCTCATTGGCTATTTTCATCAACACATCACCCACGGTATCTTCGTCTATAGTGGTTGTCGGCGAAGGAATTTGAGCAGACCGTAGCAGATTAACAAAACACTTGGTTCCAATTGGGTGGTCCTTGTATTTCGAGGCCAGTCGTGTCTTGGCTACAAACCCCGCCCGTGACTGTATCTTCTGAAGTTGTGACATCAAAAATCACAAATGGACTCTGTTCATCAATACATAACCCATCTCTATTCTATCACCAACTAGGCATTTATCACCATCTATCATCAGTTTTATTGCGTGCATGAACCAAATAAACAGTCGTGTTCCAACCCAAATATTTTCCCTCTTTGACGCGGGTCTTATCTGGGACGGGGTTGGTGCTTTTCTTTGTCCACATACTTCAAAGCTCGCAATTTTGTTGCTATGGATTTGAATCAAAAGTCGCTACATCCAGTCTTGTCGTCTTCCTCGTCTTCGGAAACGAGCAATCAGATATCACCAGATCCCACCGGGGGAGCTGGGTCTGGTATGGCGCGTTTGGGAACAGCAGACAAGCCAGAAACGCCCAAACTGAAGCCGTTTGATATCAAAATTGGCGCCCCAAAGAATTTAGAAACTCCAGTACCTAGGTCAGGTCCGGCTACGCCGTTCGCAAATTCGTCGGTGAAGAAAACTGGTCTGAGACTGGGAATAAACGTACTTGGAGGGAACAAGCCGTTCAATTTAAGCACGCCCCAGCCTCAAAGCTTCGACACCCCAACTGCACTTCCGAAAGAGGAGGTGGCTCAATCCGGACTCAGTTCTCCAATAGTTCTGAAGTCGACCCCACTCCCAGGTTCACCAAGCAGACAGGTAGGAACCGATAACCCGGATCTCACGCATGTTCCCACCACATCTCCGCAGCCGACTGCGCTTCAGGATGTCGCATCGCCTCCAACAACTCCGAAGAGATCAAGTGTAGAGGTCCAGAATGAGGATGACCTCTCCAATAACTTACGAATGCTTGCTGCCAAGGAGATGGATGTGCTAGAAATTGGTCAGAAAATCAAGGAAATGATCGAGACAAAGCGGGCTATGGAACGTGACCTTGAGCGGTTAAAGAAGAAAGTTGAGCGTGCTTTGGTAGAACAGATGCAAAGTGGTATCAACTCCAGTTCTAACGCCAGCAAGGGGTCGAGGCCAAACTTTTTCAATTTGCCGGGCAATAACTCCGGAAACGGCTCGAGATCGCCTCTGAGGCCGAGATCGCAGTCCCCAGTGAGAAGAAACCTCAAGTTCGGCGGTCGGCAAAACTCTGGTTACTCTGAAAACTCGGAATATTCGAATAATGAGACGAAAGGCTGGGGAAACAATCTGTTTTCGAAGCCATTAAACTTTTTCCAGCAGTTCGATACCATAATACAGAACGAGTTTGAGAAGCTACATATTCCCACAGTTTCTGAAGATAAAGAGCGAGAATCTTCATCGAGGGGATCTAGTTCTTCTTCATTCGATAACCTGGAGTATTCAAAGGAGATCAATGAGCCTATTAAGAGTCTGGCCCATAACAATTCGAGGTCGCAGGAGGTCGTGAATTCCATGACAAACCAATTGTGGTCTTTCGTGAATGAGGTTAAGTCAAACCTTTTGAGTCATGACGACTCGGATGACAGTCCTGAGACGCAGAGGACATTCTCGCCGGGAAAGCTGCGTTCTGGAAATAATGCGAACTTAGCTCCTACCAGTCCAATTCAAAATAGAACCAGAACTCCTTCTGTTTCCAACAGAACACACTACGGACAATACTCGAGATTGCACAAGAAGAGATCGAATGCCTCGTTACAACCTCCGGAAGTGGTGGCAGATGGGAGAGAAGGACACAACGAGTCCCCGGATGGCTTTGCCAATGTTGTGATCACGGACGATGGTGATTTGATTACAGTTGGTGATGTAGAAGAAGAGGTCAGTGCAGTGTGAGATATATGGAACGGAACTGGTGTACATGGGGAATGACATAGAGTAACGGGAATTTGTGGTTTTACAATAATGTGTGAATAATAAGGTATTACGATATGCGTGTAGGTTGATTGAAATTGGGATGAACTTATCGGAAATACCAGTAGATAGGATAGGTCACGACTATATATTACCATTAGAGATGGAAGTGATACTGATAAATATTATTATTATTAAGTAGAGTTTACAAAGAGGAAGACATCCAGCTTCATCATCTCCCGAACAGCTTTTTCTTCAAGGCATGGACCTCCTCCTTCAATTGATCACGCTCCTGAGTCACAATGAACAAGTCGGCCTCCATATCCTTGATTTTGAGATCGTAATGATTAACAACATCGTCCTCATCTTCCGCGGCATCAACATCATTTCCAGCTGGTGTTGAATTTTCAGGAAAGGCTCCAATAACTGGAGTAGCACTCCTTGAAGATGATCTGTGACTGGCCTTGAAAAGCTTGAGATTCTCATTCTCAGAGACCAGTTTTTTGTTCAAGTCCCTGAGCTTCTCGACCTCAGAGTGCGACAAATTCAGAGCCTTGGAAGTGTTGTTCAATGTATGCATCAGCTTTTTGTGATTCTCTTCAGCCTCCTTTACGGAGGCATCTTGAGTTTGCTTGAAGCCCGTATGTTTCTCTTCTAAAGATACTACCTTGGCCTCAAGATCATTTTTCTCCTTCTCCAGTCCAACTAACTTGGTCTCCTGTTCCTGGTTTGCTTCCAGAAGCTCTGAAATATGTGCCTTCAATTGACCTAGAGAGGACTCGTTATCGTTTTCCGAACTGTCTCTGGTTGAGACTCCTCTGTCGGACCAAGATGCTAGAATACTATCCACATTAGCAGATATATCATTGATCTTCGAGTGAACATCCTTTGGAGCTGCTTCATCTCCTTCAACATCATCTGGCAGATTCAGTTGGTATACTGACTTGATGTTCTCGTGGTCATTCAATAGATTATCATATTTCATTTTCCATTCGTTGACCTCCTTTTTGAGATCTGACTCACCAATGAGAGAAGCCTGGAGCTTCTCGATGACGGCACTTTGTGACTTTACTATGCTGTTGAGAGAACCCAGGTCAGAGACGTGCTTCTGGAACTGTGGGTTGAATTCGTCAACCTGCTTCTTCAAAGAGGCATTCTCTGTCTGTAAACTTGCCAATTGAGTTCCCAATTCAACCTTGGACCTTCTCAGTGCAGATACACTTTCTGGTTCAGCACTTAAAGAGCGTGAACTTTGATCCAGCTGAGCCAACTGCTCATCCTTGTCTGAAATCTCATTACGGAGCTGTTGAATCTTGACCTCGTTCTCGGATCTCGTATTCTCAAGCTCGGATATTCTCCGGTCAGCCTCTTGCACTCTATTAGACATCTCAAGTTTGAGATTAGATACCATCTGTGTCAAAGCGCTGAGCTTTTCTTCTGAGGCTGCTCTGTTACTGTTAGCACCCGAAACATCGCGAGACGTTGGAGAAGTCCCAGATCTCGAAGCATGCGAGACTCCAGCAACAACGGCAACGGCCGCAGTCCCAACAGTAGTAATACTGGCCTGGTTCTTGGAAATGGTCACTGGTGAAGTACTTATTGTCTTGGAGCCTTCAAAAGGTATTTCGAGTTCCCTCGCAGAAGAAAGAGGCTGTCCTTGCGAAGCTGGAGAAGCTGGAGAAGCATCTTTTACGGGGGAGATGTCTCTTTCCTCAAATTCTTGAGGTTGGGTTAATGGAGTGGACGAGACTGCACTGGTAAAATCATCGGTTTCCGAAGGCTCAACAGAATCAATATTCTTGAGTTCACTAGCAGCATCGTCGAAGTCTGCTGATTGGTTGTCCTCTTCGCTATCAATTGGGAAATCAAGCAGGGTCAAGGAATCCAAGTCCGACTTGTTGATGTAGTCCTTGAGCAAAGTCAAATCGAACTCGTAGATCGCCGTTGTGTGAGCATCATAGTTTACCACAGCATCGTTAGAGCTGTCCAGATGGTCAAGGTTGTCATCTGCCTGCTCTCCTCCCATGATTATCAGCTTGCTGTTCAGCACATCGACGGTCATAGAATGACCGTACCGAGGACCTGGTCCGTTTGAAAAGTTTGTTTCAAGCCTGAAAGCAGCAAGGGTCTTGAGATCAATGCAGAACAGAAGCGTTGAAGCAGTTTTGTCCCCTCCCTTGCCTCCATATATGAACAGCAGGTTCTTGTACAAAGTGGCAGCATGAGATTGCAATGGAGGCGGCATAAAGTCTCCGCGAATCTCGCACTCGCTCCAGGACTCTTCCACGGGGTTGAAGCAGAACAATCTGTTAGATACCACACCATCAGAAACACCACCATACACGAACACTCGATCGTTGTACACGGTCATGGTATGACCAGACAGAGGAGGAGGAACCAAAGCGCCTTCCTTAGGAATAACCTGTCTCCATTGAGTCGTTGGCTTTCTGAAGTTTGACAGATCAAAGCACCACATATCGTTGAAGTACTCGTGATCCAGCTTGGGGTTCAGGTACTTGTTGTCGAGCTCTCCTCCGAATAGGTACAAGTAGCTCAGCCAGGCATCCGACTCTTCAGAGAGCTGGAAATTGACCACAGCGATTCTGTGTCCGTATCTTCCACGCGGTCTGGGGCCTGTTGGCTTGGGGATCGTCCATTTCAATGAATTGATATTGAAGAAATAGAGGTTGTTGTCGAGCTCATGAGAAGGGGTAGTTTGAATGGTATCACCTCCAAAAACGATGAACGCATTCCCAACGAGCACAGAATCATGCCACACGCGTGGAATAGGGATTCTGTCAAAGTTCTCAACCGGCTGGCCAAAATACGAATAGTTGATGCTTTCCTTCTGAGTGGGAGAGATCATCCAGATATCGCCGTAAACCTGGTCGTCTCTCAGACCACCCATAACGTAGATAGCTCCATCCTCGGAGGTAGTAGACGAAGCCGAGTGGCTGAATCTGGGGAACGGTGAGTTGATAAGCTTTTTCTTCTTCCATGGACCTCCCGCAATCTGGTCTTGCGGCTTCGATGATCCAAAAGCGGGCGGTGACGCCAGCTGAGGATATGAATTGGTAGGCCTGTATGGTGACTGTTGCAGCTTTGGACTATGTCTATGGACTTCGCCAGTATGCAACTGACTCTGCTGAGCAGGGAAGTGGTTGTTGGACGGAGAAGCTAACGGCGTTCTCATAGGAGATGAGACTGGCCGCTGCTGAGAATGCTGAGGATGCTGGAGCTGATTTGCACCCTGCGGATAGGAGTATTGTTGAGGAGGCGTGCCCTGCATTCTGTTCGGGTAATAGGCATCTTGTCTAAGAGTCTGTTGGGAGTATGATCCCCCAGCACTGTAAGAACCCGGTAGCGAACCAGGCATGGCAACAGTAGGAGAGGAACCATAAGATGACGGACTCGGGTTTGTTTGAGTTGGCGATCCATAATAGCCCGAAGTGGGGGTATTCTGCAGCGACTGCTGTTGTTGAGATGGGAGCTTCATAGTCGAAGGAGCTTCTCCGTGATCGGACAATCTTGGAGCTGAGTTATATCTCCCGCTGTCAGAACCCGCACGAATGCTCTTTTGAAAAGCCGCGGTCGGGACCAATTCGGCATTGCTAGAAATGGTACTGGAAGGCGAGTGTTTGGACCCATCTCCAGGTCTCCCCGTACCCCAATCATCAGATCCTCCCTTGGAGGATTTCTTCTTTAGCTTTCTCGAGATAAATGCCATTGGATAAATCTCTCAATTTGAAAAAACGGTTTGTGTTGTGGTTTATTGTGAAAAAATTCGATGGAACGGCGTGGCTGAAATTTTGAGGCCCCTTGCAGATGTCCGAAGGATGCTCACAGACGTTAGTGGATAGCCCGTTTCAGCTCAGATCAGATCAGATCGGAGATCGCGCTTTGCAGCTGATTGGACACGTCAACAAAGCAAAAATGAGCAAAACACGGCCAATTGAATTGAGTCGATCCAAAGCAAAGTATGGCAGCAGATCAAGCAAGATTTGTTTACGCTACGTGCAAAGTGTTGTGGGCGTGTGTGTGGCCAAGCTTTTTGGATATGAGGCAAGGACAGGCTGTGCGTTCGCGTAAGTGGGAGAGGTTGAGATACCGGAGGGGTTGATGGCGGGGTCGTGCGTTTACGGTGTGGCTGAAATATTTGGCACAGATCTACAGATCTTGCTTGTTTTATCTTTTTCTTGGTAGTTTTTTTTCGGTATAATTACGTAGACGTGAGTGCTCAGCTTCTCAGTCAGCCTGATCCCAGTTACCCGGTCTCGCTTGCTTGGGCATCACTGGACCGCCTGCTCTCTTAGCCACGATGATTTGGTCAACACTAAGCACGGTGCATGCAGCATCCGTGGCCAAGTTGATGGCGTTTCTCTTGGCAGCGAACAGGTCATAGATCTGCTCTGTCTTTATGTCAAAAACGGCCTCGGCTGGAGACTCGGCGTCGATGTTGATTCCCTGTCTGATGGAATCCTCACCGCTGTGTGCGGCATACAACTGGGGAAGCACTTCTGTTGGGTTCATACCAGAAGTCTCACAGAGGAGACGTGGAACAAACTCAAAAGCCTCGGCGTACTTCTTGATGGATAATTGCAGCAATCCAGGGGTCTTTTCTCCATGGGCAGTGATTCTCTTCACGAGCTCTGCCTCGACAGCACCGGCACCGGCAAGCAGTCTGTTGTCCTTCAAGACTCCCTTGATGGCAGAAACACCGTCATCAATGGCTCTCTCAATGTCGTCGAGGTTGTTCTTCGTGGCACCTCTGATCACGATGGTAGCGGTCAGGGATGAATCCTGGTCCTGTCTGAAAACAGTCACTCTGTCACCACCAATCTCCTTAGTCTCGACGATATCGACGGATCCCAACTCCTCTGGAAGGGGCGCTCCCAAACGGGCAAGCGGAACACCACCGCACACTCTCGAGATCCTCCTAAGATCGAACTTGGACGGAACCTTCAGCACCAAGATGTTGTATCTGTTCAGGTAATGCAACGCGAGTTCTCCAATTCCAGCACCCGCAACAACGACACGGACACCACTGTCACTGATCTCCTTAACCATCTGGTCCAGTTGCGCCTCTTCGCCCTTGCTGAAATCCAGCATCTCCTTGGCATTGTGGAGCAACACTGTGCCCTTTGTCTCCGTGGCAGAAATGTCTATTGGACAGGTATAGATGGCCACCTTGCTCTTCTCTGTGATGTTCTTGACATGGCCTTCTGGTTCTCTTGGAAAGACCATTCCCTTTACCACAAACGACGAGTCCAGGGAGGCACCCATGATTTTCACCACCCTGATGGAGTCGACGTTGAACGCTTTGGGGTTCTTCTTTGGAAGTGTGTTCAACACGGCTTCGGCCACAAGTTCGCTCAAAGAATCTTCCAATCCGTATTGTTTGGAGGCAATCACCGGCTTGATCAGCTTGAGCAATTCCGATTTCTGAGTCACATCTTGAACAGTATCCACAGACAAAGTCTCCAGCTCCTTTAAGGTGAGCGTATTAGCCAGTTTATAGCCCTGAATGATGTCAGTAGGTGTCAAACCCAAAGTGATCAGCTTCTCTGCCAAATGGAGAAGTTCGCCAGCCAGAACTAGCACGTAGTTGGTGTTGTCGCCCATCTCCAGCTCTTGCTGCTCAGAAGCCATTACCAAAACCTTAACAGCAGGATGAACAACATCAAGCTCTTTGAGCATCGTGGCAGCATCATTGGTGATAAAGATCTTGGACAGATGGTTAACCACAATCTTATTTTTTCCACAAGGTCCAAGCGACGTTGAAACCATGGAACTGATCTCTCGACAAGCCTGAATATTTCTATTGACTGCGCCATCGGCGTTTGAGTGGGTTTGATAGCCCTGTTTGAATAAACCCGCATTGGGGGCGGTCGGCATTCTCAACGACATATTTTCTGGTTGATTTGTGTGAATGTCGAGTGATTTGCCGCTGGTTTTGAGAACTGATTGTTGGACAAGAAAAAGTCCACGAGCGTTCAACGCGTTTGGCGGGCGTGAACTGGTTCATTGCACGACCTTCATATTTGGTTTTAACACTACCAAATTTGGAGCTGCCGGTTGATACTCAAGCGATAACAGTTGATAGAACAGAACAAGACAGAGTGTCAAAATAACAAGCAAGTCCATTCAATCATGACATCGCTCACGCGAAATCAGAGTCTTAAAGAAAGTCTCACTAGTGGGAAGCGCTTCAGCAAAAAGCCTGTCAGGAAGGCTCCCGGTATTGACTCCACGGAATACGATCCGATGGATGATGTTCTCCTGCTATTCGATTCACCTTCTTCGCTGGGTGAATTGGATCAGCTTATCACGCATACAAATAGGTACAAAAGTCAGTTGGAAGATGCGATCTCGAAAAACAACCAGGAGTATCAGGAATTCATCAAGTCCAACGAGAACTCTGATACAAGTCTCTCACTGCTAGAGACACAACTTGTGGGTTTGATCAAAGAATTCGACGAGACGAAGTTCCTGGCAGAGTCAACGGGATCGACTATCAATTCAATGACTTCTAATATCAAGACCTTGGACAATTGCAAGAAGAACCTAACTCTTTCAATGACGATTTTGAAGAGACTACAGATGCTGATCACCGCCTACGAGAGCTTGGTGGAGCTGATAAACGACAAAAATGTACCCAATAAGAACTACAGAGAGATCAGCCAGCTTTTGAGTGTGGTTCTGGATCTGATGCAGCATTTCCAGAGCTATAAGAGCATAGATGATATTAGTGTGTTGAACAAACGAATTGGCTCTTTGCGCAACAAGATCATAGATGAGATCTTCAACGATTTCGAGAAAGAGTCAGATGGCGATCTCAGAAATCCAGATCTGGTGAATGCCTGTTTGATTCTGGATATGTTGGGGAAGGCATACCATGATAAGCTTTCGAATTGGTACGTTACCAAACAACTTCGCGAGATCACTACTATCTTCAAAAGTACTGAAGAAGCGGGTTCATTAGATAACCTGAAGAGACGGTTCATTTTCTTCCAGAGGATATTGAGCAATTTTGAGCAAAGTCACACGCAGATGTTTCCTGAAGATTGGCATATGAGTCTAGAGTTGACCTCCAAGTTCTGTGATTTGACGAAGAAAGATCTCAAGGAAGTCACTGACAAGGAGACCAGACTTAATGGGAGCAACGGTAATAGAGTGGATGTTAATCTTCTTCTGAAGGCATTGTCGGATACTCTGGAGTTCGAGTCCTTCCTTAACCAGAAGTTCAAGTATTATGGGGATTTCGATCAGCGTAAAGCGGTCGAAGAAGCAAATGGTGGAATTGATCCAAAGCTCAGGTTTGACCAGAGAATCTCCAGTGTGTTTGAACCGTACCTAAATATTTGGATTGACCACCAGTCTAAGGTACTTGATGACAAGTTTGTGGAGTTTGTGAACCCAGCCAATCATTTGAAGAGAAGCGGGAATCAGGACTCTCCCGATGAAGCAACATCCTTGAATGTTTTGGACTCTTCAGCCGAGTTGTTTAGAGTGTACAGACAGATGCTGAATCAATTGTCGAAACTCTCTCAGGGTGAACCCCTGGTAAGGCTGTCGTCCATTTTCGTCAAATATCTGATATACTATCAGCAAAGAATATTGGAGCCAATCTTGCCTGATACCAAGAGGATATCTTCTAGCACGGAAGAGGCCAATGCTGAGTCCATAAGCTATATCTGTTTGGTGTTGAACACTGCTGATTACTGTTCTTTGACGGTTTCTCAGCTGGAGGAAAAGCTTGCTTCCATAATCAAGCCTCCAGAGTTAGCCCAGAAGTTTTCCTTCGAAACGGTGAAGGACTCATATCTTTCTCTGGTGAACAACTGTCTTAATTTGTTACTGTTCAAAGTACAGAATGACATGGAATTCGCGTGGAGGGAGATGAGAAATGAAAATTGGAAGGTTTTATCCGATGTGACAGGTGAATCACGTTATGTCTCCACCTTGAAGACCCTCTTGATAGATAATTGCTCCATCATCTTCCCGGGCTTCAACAGGGAGCTGTACATACGGAACTTTGTTGATAAGACAGTGGAGATGGTGCTGGTACAATTTACAGAAAACATCTGCAGATTGAGGCCTGTCAATGAGATCATGGCGGAGCAGTTTTTGTTAGATCTTCAAACTCTGAGAGGAATGTTCTTGGAGCTTCCCAATCTGGCCCCAGACCAGCGGTCGCCTACCAACACAAAACCTATCTCCAAATCTCAGTTGTTTCACAAGTTCATTACCCAAACAGTGGGGAAACCCGAAACTCTTCTCAAGGTACTGATGACCAGACTCAAGCCAATAGACAGTTTTGTCAGAAACTACTTTATCATTGTGGGGGACCAGAATTTTTCAAACTTTTACAAAGTTTTGCAGCTGAAAGGTGCTGTGAATTCATCCCTTCAATCAGATCAGAAACAGAGACTCAAGTATTTGGATGAGTTCAAGTCTCAATTGCTGGACTACACGAGCGAGAAAACTGAGGAATCACCAAGGCCGTTGGAGGAGTCATATTCCTTCCTTGAAAATCTTGATGTGGATGCTGTGCAAACGGGGCCAGCTTCTATGGGATCACCAAAATCACAGCCTTCCGCGGGATTTGCTTCACCTTCTCCTCAAAGTGCACTTACTTTCCCCAACCTGTTTGCGAGCACCTCGAACTCCCCATCACCAGTTGGAAACTCCATCAATAACCTGGGCATCAAGATCGACAAACAGTCCTTGCTGAACACAAAAGGCCAGCTGGAGAAGAACTTTGCAAAGACTTTCAGTGGGGATAACAAGCTGAATATCAACGAGAATTTCAAAAACTTCGGCAAGTTCTTTGGCAAAAAAAACTGACCAATGAGTTCCACAATTGATATCTCTAATTCTACTAACGACATGACGGTAAAAACTTTTCTTTCAAACACCAAAAAACTAAACATTAATAAGTTAACCCTAATGCAAACCGTTGGTACGTTTGTGTCTCAACTCTCCTTGCTTCTTTTCAACCTCAGGGTCAAAGACGATGAACTCGTCCAAGGCTTTTCCTCCTGGCACCATAGGCAAAACAGGCACCTTTCTCTCGACAACAACTTCCAATAAAACGGGTCCATCATTGTATGCAATCATCTCGGCAATACCAGCACTCATCTCTTCTTGCTTGGTGACTCTGATTCCCTTGAGGCCCATGGAGTCAGCCAACTTCATGAAATCAGGGTTGGTCTGGTGCGTGTGAGAGTAACGATGTTCGTAGAAGAGAGACTGCCACTGAGTCACCATACCTTGTTCCTCGTTGTTCAAGACAACGATCTTGACTGGAGCATTGGCCTGAACAGCCGAAGACAGTTCGGTCAAGGTCATGTTGAAAGAGGCATCACCGTCAATGTCAATCACCATGGCGTCTGGCTTGGCAATTTGAGCACCGATGGCAGATGGTAGTCCGTATCCCATGGTTCCCAATCCACCTGAGGTGATGAAGGTTCTGGGCTTCGTCCACGTGAAATGCTGAGCGGCCCACATCTGATGCTGGCCAACACCAGTAGTCACAATAACTTCTCTCCCAGTGGCATTCGCCTGTTTAGAGATCTCCTTGATCAAAGTTTGAGGCTTCACCAAAGATCCAGGTGTCTCCTCCTGGTAAGAGTATGGGTACTTCTCCTTCCATTCTCTGATGGTGTTAAACCATTCGGTTCTCTCTTGCACTGGTTCGATCAAGGGAATAAAAGCCTCCAAGTTTTGCGTCACGTCTCCCTCAATGGCCTCAGTGGCCTCTACAACCTTGTTAATGTTCTTTGGCGAGATCTCAAAGTGGATGATACCACCTCTTCCTTCCGTCGCGGCAACCTTGGCAGCTGGAGCGAATTTGGAAATAAGTCCGGTGACACGGTCGTCGAATCTGGCTCCAAGTGCAATGATCAAATCGGCATTCTGCATGGCCAAGTTGGCAACACCAGATCCGTGCATTCCCAGCATGTCGACAGACTTCTCGTCTCTCTGGTCGAAGGCTCCTAAAGCTTGTAGAGAAGTGGTGACTGGAATCTGAGCCCTCTCAGACAGCTCCTTCAATCTCTTTGGGCCATCTTCGGAATTCAAAATTCCCGCTCCAACGTACAAGATTGGCTTTTTGGCTTTGTTCAGGATCTTGGCGGATCTCTCGATGGCCTCCCACGTGTACTCGGTGACAGCAGTCTTCGTGATCTGTGACAGAGTGTTGGATGGTAGTGTAGCTGTGATTGGAATAGCTTCTCTGAGAATGGCTGAAGTCACATCCTTTGGCAGATCAACGAGAACTGGACCAGGACGACCGGAAACGGCGATCTCGAAAGCTTCGTTGATTCTTCTTGGAAGCTCTGCGACAGATTTCACCATCACGTTCCACTTGGTGCACGATCTAGAGATTCCGACGATATCAGCTTCCTGAAAAGCGTCAGTTCCAATGGAGGAGGTGGCAACCTGACCAGAGAAAACAACCATTGGAACACCATCAGCAAGGGCGTCAGCCATTGGGGTAATCACATTGGTAGCACCGGGACCGGAGGTAACGAGAACAACACCGGGCTTGCCGCTGGCACGGGCGTATCCCTCGGCCATGTGGCCAGCACCCTGCTCGTGACGTGGCAAAACGAATTTGAAATAAGGCGAGTGGTAAATCGCATCAAAAACAGGCAAAATAGCTCCCCCTGCATATCCGAAAACGGTGTCAACGTTATGTCTGAGCATCATTTCATGGAAAACTTGGCCTCCACTCAAACCAATAAACGAATCATCCATCGGAGAGGGTTTTCCCCTGGAATTCAGCGGCTGTGGCTCCTTTTCATTCTCGGAAGCCTGGTTGAAAGCGGGTGAAGGTTGTGGTCTTGTTGCAGTGGCAGAGGTGGCCTCAAAACGGCGCGAATATATGAAGGATGCGCGATTCGCAGCAGCAAGAGACCTGGTGGCAGATCTCTTGAGCGCGGTATTCCTTATGGTGGAGGCGAGCATGTTTTTTGGTGTCGGTGGACTGTCAACAAGAGGAGTGAAAAGAACAAGAATCACTTTCTGAGTCATGGAGAAGAATTTTTTCATTGCGGAACCGGAGGTCGTGTGTGGGTCAACGCCGGTACCGGTGAACTGGAAGGGTGGATAGTGGCACGTCTGTAATTGGCAGTGAGGATAACGTGTGGAGATGAAACTGGGGTTGAGGGCTCGGGCTATTTTTTTGGCCGATGACATACCGATCCGACAGAGCTGGTGCAACCTCGGACTCAGCGTCCAATGAGAGCAGAAAAAGATTTCCGTTAGAGGTTCCGCACATTACGCGGTCTTTATATTTTGTCAGGACGTTAATCGAGTCGCCCAGGTTGACGTACGAGAAAACTTTCAGCTGGTATCTGCCTTGGTCTGGGATTGTATCCACGTAGAACACGTTTCCCAAAGCGTCTCCCACCAGCAGCATTTCTTCTGACAAGGAACAAGCACATGTGAGTGGCCAGCGCTCCAGAATCGTGTTGGAAAGGGCAGTCACCTTTCCCCGTTCGTTGACTCCGGTTATTCTGGCACCCCTCTCAACATCTGTAACCACAAACATCTCACCTGAAAAATGAGCAACAAAATTTACAAATCCCGTTGAGGCAATGCCTGATTGAATCAGACTGAAGCCTTCTTCTGTAAGTTCAAAATAGCACAAGCCATCACCGAAGGCAAAAAGTTTCGTTCCAACACTCACTAGCTTCGAGAAGGTTGCATTTTGTACCCTCGATCTGAGCTGTTCATGCAGCTTTGAATCCAGTATCTCGTACTTTATGAAGGCTCCATCGTATTGGCTGTTCATGTTTTGGGTATACACAACGAGGATTGGTCCAGTTGGTTGCTCTATGACTGCAAAATCACGGACAATGGTATCCGGATCAAACTCAGCCGTATCCAACACTACCCGTGTATTCAAGTCTGTGAGTGATATAGACGTAGTGAAGGTATCAGAGTCTGTCTTCGCCATGTTGAGTGTGAATAAAAACATTTCCTCGGACGAAGACGTCAGTTTGGCAACCAGGGTATCCGTTTCAATCACAAATTCGCGGTTTTTCCTGGTAAATAGAAGTCTGTGATTATCAATACTGCCTTCACTTAGCACATAGCCTTCTTTAAAAGAGTAAAAGTCCACAATCTCACCGAATTGCTTAGCGATCTCAAACGTATCTATGTGATCTCTGAGCCTAACCAGACGAGTGCCATAGTTGAACGAGCTTGTGAAGAAGAGAGTATCACGGATATGCACCAGTTCATCTGCTTCATGCAAAAGACCAATCTGGACAAGGTTCCAATGGTATATCCTGCTATTATGACATTCAAGCGTCATACTTAATAACATTCCTTTCTTGTCAACCAGAAGAGTCGTGGAATCATTTAACGAACAATAGGCTCTTACAGGCACTGCCAGTCTCTTTGAAGTGCCAAAACCTTCGATTTCACAATCTGGTGGTACCGAGCTCTTAGTGAAGGGAAAATTGGGTTGAGCTGGAAAAACCAGGCATTCTTTCTCGCAGAACAACGTCACTCCACCAGTAGAAAGTGGTACCATAGCAATCGGTAGACTCTTCAGATGGGGATAAAAAGTGTGCAATTTGGTAAATTCTAGCTTTTGGTTTGCTCCAATGGTCAATTGGACGTATGAGATGTGTCTCTTCAGATTCTGGTCTCTGGAAGTAAAAGCAATTGCATAGGTTTCTTCATTAATTGAGTGCAGAAACTTGACTTCAATTATTGTGAACACTCCGAGTGGTATTATCAGCGGCAAATCAACTATCCTCTCTGTCTTCAGACGTTTTTCCAGGGAATTTTCACCCATTGGCCTCCCACCCATAACCTGGCTGAACACACTTGAGTTCGCTTTGAAGTGATACACTTGCAAAAATCCGTGACAAGAGTAAACCGCAAGCACCTTTCCATCGGGGCTTGTCTCGATAAATGGTTTAAGATCCAGCACCGTAACAATCCCAGCATCTTCGTCAACCTTGATTCTTCTTCTCAGCTCTGGAGAGACCAGATCCAACGCCTCTGCCACCACAAACTGGTTCTTTGTAAACGTCACCAAATAGAGGTGATTCAGACTAGTGAGAATTGCTATCCAATCCTTGGACTCTTCGGTGGGTCTGAAACTAGCACTGGCAACAATGGCTTCATATATAGGTGCCTTGTGCACAAGCTTAACAGACGGCTTGTTCGCGTCTTTCACAGCATACACTTCCACGCTATCGCGATTGACCAACACTAACGAATATAATTCTCCGGTGAATTGTATAAAATATGAGTTGACCACATTCTCGTTTTTTCTAAGAGTTTCAACCTCAAGGTGCATTGTGGTGCCACTGATTCGGTATTGTGGAGAGAGTGAGCAGATTTAGTTATCTAAGTATGGTCGTGAGCACGGTCAAATTTGGACTATCAACGTTATCTATAAGGCTACTAAAGGCTACTAAAGGCTGAAAAATACATATTACGCCTTAAAACCAAGACATAAATTCGAGCTTTTCATGGGTTTATGATCTAAAACACAATTGGTCGAAGCAATGCTAGTGGTCTGTTCTTGGTCTTTTGAGGTCATATCCCCGGATCATGACTACGGCTTGCCTTTGGCGAACCTCAATTGCTCCCTCTCAATTGATAATCAACAAAAATTCGACCTCAGAGTCAATATCTCCAAACCTGATAGAGTCCTTGTTTTTCAGCTCCACGAACCTGGACGATGGGATCTTCTCGTCATTCAAAAAAGTCCCCTTGCGTGAGCTCAGATCAATAACATAAGGCCTGTAATAGTTAGTATCAATTGATTCATACTCAAAATTTTATTTCATACGCACTTTATTGTCCCGCCTCCATCGTCGTTGAGTGCTTGTTTGAACTGGATCGCAGCGTGTTGTCTGGATACCTTAGGGTCATCAAGCACTATGTCCACCGATCCCTCCTCGCTCCCCAACGAAAAAAAAGACTTGAAACCCACGAGAGGTACTTTTTTCGGCGTTGGATCTTCTCCTTTGAACATGTAAAGATAGAATTCGGGTTTGGTGTCTGCTTGGGGTATTGCCTCGTCAACTGGTGGAGCATACTTCAGCTTCTTTCCTTGGGCATTATTTGATTCTTTGGCGAGTAATCCAGAGGGTTTGACATTAACCTTCAACACTTTGGGTTTTTCTCGGTCGCGAAACTCCCGGTCATCCCTGTCATCGTCTCGAGCTCTGTCGCGGTAGCTGCGTCGGCTCTCCCTGTCTGGAGACTTGTCTCTGTATCTTGTATTATTATGGCTGGAACCCGATCGCCAGCGATTGTTATCATTATATCCTCTCCTATCGTCGTAGCTCATAATTGAAAAATAAAAGACAAACGAAGACAAACAATAAACATGCTATAACAAAAAGAATCAAGTCAAGCCATCCATGTGAAGTCGAAGCCGCAGGAGGTGATGAGCGTTACCCGTCCCAAATTTTTTTTCATCTTCTCTCTATTTACTTCTTGGAACAAGACTTTTATCCTAGTCCAGCCGCATTACCTAATTATAACAGCTGGTCGCTTCCAAAATGGTTAAAAAGACGCATCACAAGTTAACCACCAAGGAAAAAAAAGACTTGCGTGATAAGCAGAAGGAAAAGGTGGAGAATCTACGGGCCAAAGTGGAGGAGCTTGATATAGACGAGACGAAGAAGTTCACTCAATTCGATGAACTGCCTCTTTCCCATAATACCGCCAAGGGGCTCAAAGAGTCGAGTTTCGTGAACATGACTGACATACAAAGAGATACTATTCCACTGGCGTTGAAGGGAGAGGATATTCTTGGAGCTGCTAAGACTGGCTCTGGTAAGACTCTGGCATTCTTGATTCCAGTGATTGAAAGACTGTTACACCAATCGTGGAACGAATATGATGGTGTCGGAGCGCTAATTATATCTCCAACCAGAGAACTGGCCATTCAAACATATGAGGTATTGCTGAAAATCGGAAAGTACAACACCTTCTCGTGTGGACTGGTGATTGGTGGTAAGGACTACGCCTACGAAGAGGAAAGAATAGGCAAAATCAACATTCTGATCGGAACTCCGGGCAGATTACTCCAGCATATGGATCAGTCTGCTTCCTTGGTGTTGGATAATTTACAAATGTTGATTTTGGATGAGGCTGACAGAATTTTGGATATGGGATTCAAGAAAACCATAGACAGTATTGTCGGCAATCTCCCTCCACAGAGACAAACTCTGCTCTTTTCAGCCACTCAGACCAAGTCTGTTCAGGACCTGGCAAGACTGTCGTTGACCAGTCCAAAGTATATTTCGACATCGAGCGAAATGGAGGTGGCTACTCCTGCATCTCTGGAGCAATCCTACCTGGTTGTTCCAATTCCAGAGAAGATCAGTGTGCTTTGGAGTTTCATCAAGACCCATCTGAAATCCAAAATTATTGTCTTTGCATCCTCCTCCAAGCAGGTTCACTTTATATACGAAACCTTTAGGAAGTTGCAGCCGGGTATATCACTGATGAAACTTCATGGTCGCCAGAAGCAGACATCGAGAATTGAGACCACGGTGAAGTTTTCCAAAGCCCAATATTGTTGTCTGTTTGCTACCGATGTTGTTGCGCGTGGTTTGGACTTCCCAGCCATTGACTGGGTTGTTCAATTGGATTGTCCAGAGGATAGTGCCACATACATCCATCGTGTTGGAAGATGTGCTAGGTTTGGAAGGCCAGGGAAATCGCTGCTAATGCTGGCTCCTAGCGAGGAGGAAGCTTTCATTTCGAGACTCAAGGCGAAGAAAATTGAATTGAATAAGCAATCCGTGCGGGTTTCGAAGAAAAAAACCATCCAGGATAAATTGCAGTCACTGTGTTTCCAGAGTCCCGAGCTGAAGTATCTTGGGCAGAAGGCTTTCATTTCGTACTTCAAGTCCATTTTGATTCAGAAAGACAAGGATGTGTTCAAAGTTGGTGAATTTCCCAGCGAAGAGTATGCCACCTCTCTGGGACTTCCGGGTGCTCCCAAGATTAAGCTGTTGGAGAAGATCAAGGATGGAAGTGCCAACCTTGAGTCAGCCTTGGATAAGACAAAGGAGCACAAGAACAAGTCTAGACAGCTGAGTCATCTTTCTCAACTTGACGAGAATGGAGACGAGTTGGAGGAAGAGAAAAAGGCCCAGACCAAGTACGACAGAATGTTCAACAGAAAGAACCAGAGTGTTCTCTCGGAGAATTACCTCAGCATGAACGTTGAAAATAAGTTAGATGGAGACAACGAAGAGGAAGAGGAGGAAGAGGACTTCATGGTGGTTAAACGCAAAGACCACGAACTTCGCGAGGATGTCCCACAATTGGATACAGAGTTAACGTCTAAGAGAGCCCAGAAGAAAGCCATGTCCAAAAAACTGAGTGCCAAATCCCAGGGTGCTGGTCACAAGCTTGTGTTTGATGACGATGGAAACGCTCATGAGATTTATGAACTGGAACACGAAGAAGATTTCCGCAAGGAAGGTGATGCCCTGGAGCTGAAAAAGACTTATATCGATAAGGAAGCCGAAGTGATGACAGTGGAGGACTCCAGAGACAAGCAGACGGTGAAGGAGAAAAAACAGGAGAAGAAGAGAAGAAGACAGGAGATTGAAAGAAGATTGAGGGAAGAAGAAGAGGACGACGCTTCTTCCGATGAAGGTGCTTTCCAGGTTGTTCTGGGAGCTCCAGACCTTGATAACGATCTGGAGCAGTCTGCCTCTGAGTCCTCAGATGATGACAGACCCGCCAAGAAGAGCAAGAAATGGTTCGAGAAGGAGGCTGCGGAGTCAACCAATGGAATCGTTGAGATTGAAGATACCGGAAAATTGGAAGACTTGGAGGCTTTGACCCAGAGGCTGATCCATGGTTAAGTATATAGATAAGCATCGAAGAGTGAAAAATTATGTAAGATGGGCATCGCGTAGAATTCGTGCCTTAGCGTGGTTCTCTGGCTGTTTCTTTACTGAAGACTTCAATACCGATTACCGCCCATACATGTCAGAATTCCAGAAGGATTTATTCTTAAGGCAAATTAGACAAGAGGAAGAGAAGCTGGGAATATCGATTTCCGGATCGGGGGAGGAAGAGGAAGGAGTAGAAGACTTTGTTGCTCCTTTGCCATCAGCTTCGAGGCCTGAGACCAGAAGTTCAAAGTATGTTTCAGACATTGCTGTAGCTCATTGGAGCCAATATTTCACACGAGATGATACCTTTGAGCTTTCAAAGACCAAATACACGCTTCAAAGTTACTATCGGGAGCCTTCTGGGCCTTCTAAGAATCCGGTCATATTCGTGGCCCATCACGGTGCCGGGTCATCCGCCTTTACATACGGCCCTCTGGCCGAGCGTCTGGTTGAGAAATTTAGCGAGCAACAGCAGAACGATGGAGTTGATGATTCTGAGATTGATACTCCTGGTTTTTTTGCCTTTGATTCGAGGGGTCATGGAAATAGCGTGCTGCTAAACAGAGCTGGTGATGCGACAAAAGATGACTACTCTGTGGAGTCCTTATCAGCAGATTTTGCAGCTTTGATAGCTCAATTCTTTGAGGCTGAAGACTTTCAGCGGAAAGGTATACGTCCAAGTATTTTTCTTGTTGGTCATTCGTTGGGTGGCTCGGTTTTGACCAAGGTGGTGAAGGAAGAGCTAATAAAAGACCAGTTCGTGCGCAGGTGTGTCAAAGGGTTGATCATGCTCGATATAGTGGAAGAGATTGCCATAAAAGCTTTGGGATCGATGCAATCATATCTAGACAACCGTCCCAATTCTTTTGGTTCTTTGAAAGAAGCAGTTGCATGGCACATCAAGTCTGGCCTCATACACAACGAGATTTCAGCCAAAGTCTCTGTTCCCTATCTGTTTGAGCAGTCTTCTGGAAGGTACTCTTGGCTAGCTGATTTACAGGCCACAAAGCCATTTTGGGACGGATGGTTCAGACAATTATCGTCTAACTTTATTTCAATTCCCAACAGTGTGGCCAAGATGTTGATGCTTGCTAACCACGATAATCTCGATAAGTATCTGATGATAGGCCAGATGCAAGGAAAGTACCAGTTGGTGGTGTTTCATAACGATGAACTACCTCTTTCTTCTACGTTGACCACGGCAACAACAACTATTAACGAGTCTCGCCAGATTGGTCATTTCATACATGAGGACATACCTACAAAAGTCGCACTCACCCTGATGGAGTTTGTGGAAAGAAACGATATCTCAAGCGATAGGTCAAATGGGAACTCGAATCCACAAATTGACTTTCTGAAGAAGATTAACGCGAAATGGGGAGTCAAAAACTAATGAAAGAATTGCAACAAAAGTTTTAGATACCGTTATTGTCAATTTGGTCATTTTTTTCGATGTCTAATGCATATGGAAGTACTCTCTCGAAACTCCACTTTCTCAGTTTCTTACCGTCCTCGTTGGTACATGACTCCTTCTCGTCGTCTCTCATACGTCCAGGAGGAATAATGTAGTCACCTGTATTCTTGACAGTGAGATCTGGGCTTAGGGCAGTATATGCATGCCACGGTATATCCAGCGCTTATAGGCTCACTTAACATCCTATTGACGACGAACGACTCGATCCAATTAAGATGTTGCTGCAGTCCAGTTTTGACAAAACCAGGGTCTACAATTAAAACCGGAATTTTGGCGGACACCTCGGGGAAGGTCTTGGCCCATTGCAGGGTCATGTCACCAATCATGGCATTGGAGTCACGAAAGTTAGGAATTTTTGATCTTGTCAAGTCTTTTAGTTTGTCATAGTCAAATCCCTTTGGGCTGGAGTAGGCCCGAGTAGTGGCATTGAGGAACAAACCCCTGACGGCGTTTTGGGTAGTGTTGATCTCGGAAGCAGTTTTGTGCAAAATGGGAGTGAGAAATTTCTGAAGCAACATAGGCCCCGTCACATTTATACCCAGGTGGGCTCGAAGCCCTGTTTGGTTTTAGTATCTGTGGGCGGGGCCATGACTGTCATTGTGTGTTTGTTATGCAATGTGCACGTGTAACTTGACTTGTACGAGGAAATGCTCGAGAATTTATGCAAACTCGGGCTTATGTATTCAGACTTATATACTCATATATAAGGGAAAGTCATGGGTTCTTTTATAAATTTCAAAAATATACAGCAAACTCCCATGCAACTGCGGCGCCGCACGCTCACGACCCCGTGGAGTCTGCGGATTTAAACTTGGAGTGCATATGAAAAGAAAAACGTTCTGCATGCAGACGTTGGAAAATATTTCAAAGTTTGATGGGTGAAATATATAAGAAACATTTATGCATGAACGGAGTGAGCGGCAAATGCTTCAAGATCACGTAAAAACATAGGCTTGCATCATGTGTTGGAGGAGTTTCACCGAACATAACAATCAGCTTTTGAATATCGGTTCATCTCAAATGAACACCATACCGCCGTTTGCGCAGATGGTGGATCCAGTCACCCATCTTGAAGTCTCTCCGGATAAAAACACCGCAATATCTGCAATATCCTGTGGTTCTCCAATTCTTGATGCGGCAGGCGTCGCTTTGATCATTGGCTCGTAGGTTTCCAGGATAGACGGATCAGATCTGTACCACATGTCTGTAGCAGTCGTACCAACAGAGAGAGCGTTACAAGTCAAGTCGTGCTTTTGGCCCAATTCAAGAGCAATGGTCTTGGTCACGGATTCCAGAGCAGCCTTGGATGCGCAGTAAGCACTTGCATACTCACAAACCTGTCTAGCCGAAACACTCGAGGTGTTGATGACTCTTGGTTTGGTACCGAAGTATGGCAAGCAGTGCTTTACCAGCAACACTGGATAGACTGTATTTACTTGCAGCATCCTGTGAAACCTTTCGGCATCCAAATCGGCTACCAAACAATCGTCATCAATGCCCACATTGTTGACCAAGATATCAACGGTCTTGAAAACTTTTGTGACTTCGGCAACTAAAGTTTCTGCTGCATCATACTTGCCAGCATCTGACTTGATGGCGTACGCCTTGACATTGAACTCTTCAATGATCTTACTGGCAAGGTCTTCAGCTTTTCCTGCGGAAGAAGCGTAGGTAATCACAACGTTGGCACCGTTCTGTGCTAGCTTGTATGCAATAGCAGCACCGATACCACGAGAAGCCCCGGTCACAATGGCGTTGCGGTTTTCAAGACTTCTGCCCATATTGAAGGGCTAGTTTAAAAAGGAAAAATGAGGAGAATTTCGGCATGTGGAGATTTATTTCTCAGTGCAAAATCACGTCAAGCCAGATTCGAAGATTTAATATACAAAATTCGCGCAGCAGGAGCTCCAGGGATACGGCGATAAGCCGATAAGCTGATAAGCTGATGAGGGGAGATGCCCGAGCAGGTTTTTTCCCGGAATCCCAGAAACGGTATCTGTCTCCGAGTTTTTTCGAAATAGCAGATAAGAAAAGATCTGAGTGATTGTCTGAACAAAAAGGGGAAAGGGACTGACTTACAAATATTGATATACTTTTCAATATTTGACAGGTGGGCTGGTTTAGGTTTTTCTACATTGTGAGTGATAAGTGGCAATGCTGCCTGATATAGTAATCATCTCGAATTGGTCTCACTCATCCTTTTTGGAGTATAAAGATGAGGTGAATAATTAGAAAAAAAAATTATTTGTCAGTCCACGAATAACCCAGTAACGCATTGGTTCATCGTAGGTTAAGCACCTCTAGTCAACAGTCATTGTATCCAGCTCGTGGACCTTCTCAGACTCAATCTTGCTCACAACCTCGTCTATCTTCTTACGAGACCATGCAAAAGAAGGGTCAATCAAAAACGGTCTCAAGTCGAATCTGTGATCATCAGGAGAGTACTGCTCGGCGTGGTAACTGGGTGTAGAAACAGTTTGCTTGTGTCTGTTAATAGCGTAAAACCAGAAGAAGCTTTTGACTTTGTCTGCAATTTGCTGAGGCGTTCTTTGGCCCTCCCAGATGTGCAACAGTTTGATGAACATGGAGTACGGACCACACTTGTTGATCTTTCTAAGGCGACCAAAGATCGAGAGCTCTTCATAGGTGAATCCCATGTCGGCCTCGTCTGATTGGACATGGTCTGCAGTTATAGGCTCAAGTTCTGCTGTAGGAGTAGCATCCACAAATTCTCTCAGAATGGGAAGCTCGAAAGCATCTGTAGCCCAGCCGATAAACCTGATCAGATCTAGCTTGGAAATTGAACCAATAGGATTGATATCCGCTGAAGAACAGTCGTACTTGGTTAGATATCCCCTCAACTGTTCATCTACGTTGGCGCTTCCCAAAACCAATAGACCTCCACAGCTGCGCCCTCTCGTCCAGGGCAGCAACTGTGCGAAGAGATAAGCAGTCACCATTCTCAGACGGGCCTGGATGTTCTGAAGGGCCAAGTTTTCAATTTGAGATCCACCAAAGATTTTGTAGATAGGCTTTTTCCCAGTGACAACCTCAAACATGGAAACCATCGACGAAACAACAGAATCCATGTTCAAGTCTGTGTGGAAGGATCCAACCTTCTCGGCCAGCTCTTTGGCTCTACTCCTAGTCTCATTGCTGGAGTTCTCCGTCCCCATGAAACAAGTGTGAAATATCTTGTCTGCAAGCTCTTGGGGGGTCTTGGGTATCCATTCTTTGCCCATTCCGGAAACCAACTGCGCATCCGAAATCACTTGCTCGTTTCCTTCCTCGATGGCTGTGATAACCAGACGGCACATGGAATGGACAATAATTGCAGTCGCACAACTGTCAATTCCTCCGGATAATGGCAGGAAGAATCCAGCACCTTTGCATCTTCTCAAGTAATCCCAAAGCCAGCATGCTGGACCATATGCAATCTCCTCTTCTGGCTTGTAGTATCTCAGTTTCTGGGTATCCGTCGGACGAATTTTAGGGTCAAAATTCAAAGAATCTGGAGAGAGCTCTACTGGAACATGAACTCTCTGGTACTGAGGAGAGCTTCTGCTCTGCAAGCCTTGGGAAATCGTAGAACGGTAGCTTCTCACATCCTCCAAGTCGACAGTGGCCGTGATGACTTCGACGTCATTCAATGAAAACTGATCTCCTTGCGCCAAAACTTCGCCATTGCATACAATCAGCGCACAACCGTCATAGTATAATCTGTCTCCATCACAACCTTTTTGGTTGGAGTACAAATAGACACCCCCACACTTTCTGGTGGCTTCCGTTATCATCTTCATTCTGACGTCCAGTTTTCTCAATTCGTGGTGAGAGCCCGAGGAATTGGTGAAAATCTCAATTCCATCAAGAGACATGTTCACATGAGGTGCTTGTGGAGTGAAAAGCTCTTCGCAAGTTTCCGCACCAATGACGGTATCCAAGGTTGAGCAGACAGCATCGCCAAAGTCTACGGTCACTTGACCGGTGATCTTTTGGATCATGCGAGGGAGAACATACTTCTCAACATATTGGGTCTTAAGCCATGGAATGAAAAACCTCATTTCGCGGTAGTTTCCATCGTTTGCAAGCACAATCTTAGGTCTGATGAACAATATCTTACCGTTGTATGAAATGACCCTGCAGTTGTACCGTCTGTCCTTATGGATAACAGGCATACCAATGTCAAGAACAATGTCATAAGTATCTTTGTTAGCCAAAATTGACGAGTACATTTCCCAAGAGTGCAAATAAACATCGTTTTCTAGAAAATGGTCAAGACATCCATAACCACAGACCTCCAGCTCGGGCCCCACTCGAAGACGGGCACCCTTGGCCTTGGCCATTCGGATACTCTCCAAAATCCTGTCTCTATTTCCTTCAAAGTCTAGAGCCCATTGGTTCAACGAACACGTTGCAAGCGTAATGTAGTGAGGCATTGTTGAAGTGGGGTCTTGGTAGCCTGTTGGTGACTCAGAAGAATAGCCTGCTTTCAGGATTCTTATCTCATGAGGTCGTGTACGGTGCACGCATCAAATTGAGAGTGTCCACTACTCGAAGCGTGAACTGAACAGCTGGGAAGATTCGTGGTTCTCATATCTTTGTGTTGTTGAAGAACAAGTATAACAGAGACAAATGTTTGTTGAGTTACTGTCGATATTCGGCATAGTGACGGGGTTTATCCTCGTTGTTTTGGCTATAGGTATGTTATTTAAGCTGGAACTTTTGAAATGTGAGCATCACTTACTGACACGCTACCAGCCTCGGGACTGTACTATCTATCTGAGCTTGTGGAAGAGAACACAGAGTTCACAAGAAGATTCTTGAGCAGGTCAATTAACTCAATAGTGGTTTTGCTGATATTGCTATGGATTGTGGACGGTTTTCCATTCAAACTGACGCTTTTCTCTCTGGCAACCTACTATGTCTACCATCTGAATATGAAGACCTTTCCCTACATCAACCTCACAGGCCCAATATTCGTGTCCTCTTGCATTCTGGTAATGTTGAACCACTATTTGTGGTTTCGCTATTTCAGCAATCCATATATACCTTCGATTGAGGAGAGACTCTCGCCTGGCTATAAACCTCCCCACATATGCAGTTTCCCCGAGGTTGCCAGCTTCTTTGGTGTTTGCGTGTGGTTTGTTCCGTTTGCCCTCTTCATCTCTCTCAGTGCTAACGAGAACACCCTTCCTTCGAATATGCAAGATTTGAACAGATTCGGAGAAGGCGAGGGTAACAAAGACGATTCCGAATCACCCAGGGCCAAGGGTGTGGGTTTGGTCAAGATTGTCATAGGACTCGTCAAAGAAAGGGTCACTTTGGTGTTTAGAATGTTGGGATACGAACTCGATCCAACTCATGGAAGAATTATATAGCCTATGAACGTTCCGAATACTCATTGAGGAGCAATAATGGATTTGAATGGACTCAGTGCTCTTTGCTCGTTAACTGAAGACGATCTGCTTCTTCTACCTGGTGATGTCAGGCCAAACACTCTAAGCCCATCTCCGATGCTGAGGTTTGTTGATGGCGTTCGTGAGTGACTCTTTGAGGCCTCTTGATGCAGGCGAGCACTTGTAGATCTCTGTAGCTGCTCAAATCTCAGCTCTTTATCGGACACCAGCTTTTGCAGACCATCGCTCAACGAAAGGAGGTCAGAGAGCATCTTGGAGAAGAAGACCGTATCAGCTGGAGCAAATTCCACGGCTGCTGGGCTGGGTCTGAACAGCAGGTGCAAAAATGGCACGAAACCGGAATTGACCTCATTCAAAAACTTGATTCTCTCTGGCTGGTCCTGGGGCAAGATAGAGATCAAATAAGAGATGATATACGAAAGAGTAGAGCATGATGATCTTCCGAGTTCTCTGTCCAACACTTTCAAAAGAGATGCCTTGGAATCTTGAATGTCTGTTTTGTAGATAGAGCGTAGCTCGTCGTAGGCCTGATAGTTGATGACTGGTCTGCTGAGTTCCAGCAGCCAAAGTCTCAATGCCAGTACCAGTTCATAGGTCAACTCTTTTTCATTTTCTCCATATTGGGACTCAATTTTGTCCAGGAAAGAGCTGAAAACGTATGTCTCTTTGCCAGTGGATCCACCGGCCCATTCTTTCTGCCAGTGGGGTTCATTGACTGCAAACAGTTCATATAATTTATTCGCAGCAACTAGATTGTATTCTCTTGTCCAGGCAGCACAATTGACTTCCTTCAATTGTCTCTTGCACCTTTCCAGTACCTCATAAACAAAAAACGGCAGGGATTTGGTGAAATCATCCGAACCTGAGCATACAGGTGTGAGTGGTAAATCTGCCCCAAACAGGACGATTGGTGTGTGGCTTTCGGTGCTCAGAAACGAAGATGCTGCGACATTTATTCGCTCGGTGAAATTATTATTCAGAGGGTCCACCATATATAGCCCACCCATATCATTTCCCGGGGCTTTTGCCTTGAGAAAATGTGAAGACTCGCGAGCTTTGACTTCGGAGTCAACCTTTTCAAAAACCTCTGTAATACCAGCCTGTATATCAGATACTATCTTTGCATTTTCGCTCATGAAAATGGAGAATTTCCTCAATGTTTCGTAGAGAAAAGCAATTCTTTCGCCTTCTTTCTTCTCCAATCGGAGGTTTGCAGAGAAAATTGCGCCTTCAAGAGCAGCTCTGGACAAACGTAGGTCAGTCGCAAGCTTTCTGAAATCTCCGTACTCTTCTCTGAAAATGTGTAGTTCGTCGTCCAAGCGCGACCTCAATTCCTTAGGATCCACAATTGAAGAGGAATCAGCCCCAATTTTTATTGCAGAAAAAGCTTCTGCCAGACCAGTGCTTTGTTTTTTCCAGACATCTGAGATTTTCCTTGATATCGCAGAAGAGTCTGAAGATAATCTAGAAGAAGGCAAGAAGGAATCTTTTTGGCCTCTTTTTGGCACTTTAAGTGGCTGCTGGTTTGCGTCTTTGTTAACATCAATGTGGTCCGTTAGTTTGTTCTCATCCTCCCTTTTCTTCAGTTCATACTGGGCTCTCTTTTCATCTCGTTCTTTTTTCTTGATCGTAACCTGTCTCGATATATCCTCTTCGGCTTTCTCCATGGAGATCTCATCAAAATCTCTCAATTGCAGCATCAGATCAGTCCATTCAAGCCACGTTTCAGAATCTGATGAAAACGAGTATCCCAATGTGAACTTCTTGGCACTGAAATTCGAAAGCTTGACAAGCTTCATCTTTATCATCTGATCAATAGCGAAATCAACCCGGGACACATACGACAAAGCCGACAGCTTCTTCAGCTTCTCATCGTTCGTTTCTTTGGCTTTCCAATGATCGATAATTCTATACTTGAGCCATCGAACCAACTCGGCGTTGGTAAATGCTTCGGAATGAATGTTCAAGACTGAGACCGTTGTGGTTGTTGTTTTCACCTGAGACGTCATCTCAATACATGCAGTTTGAAAATCCTGAAAAGACTCAAAAGTAAGTGCACCTTCAGCCAAACTTAATGGGAAAGTTACTGTCTCTTTGAATTTCAACGCAAGTCTAGACCCGTTTAGTATGTGGGAGTACCTCAGACGCTGAGCCTGCTCTATCTGCTCATCAGATTCAAAAACTTCTTCGTCGATAGTGGAGTTTTTCAAATTGAGCGCGATAGACCGAGATAATTTATCCTTCCAAGAGGAGAGAGACTCTTGAGCCTGCTCTTGGCTGGGAATAATATCAGAGTTCTCAGCAGAACTCTCTGTGGCTGACTCTGCCATTTCGGGAACCTTCAAAGAAACATCGCCATTGATAGGCTGTTCTTTCTCCTTGTTCTCTTCTTGAATTTGACCAAGATCCGAGTCTAACCTGTTCAATCTGTTGATGATGCCTAGCAAGGCTTCTTCACGTAATTGAGTCAAGCTCAATTGCCGTTTATAACCTTCATAATGACCCATAACAGACTCCTCGTATTGCTTGGAAAACTCTTTATATGATTCGGCATACAAAGTCAACGGCAACAATACAGTTGTCTTGTATTTCTCCGACATGGAGAGGTGAACGTTTGATTCATCAGAGATGCCACCTAATATTGCATTGAGCATAGAGTTTAGGCTCAGACTCTCTGAACCATCTTCATAGACATCAAAAATAGACGTTTCATTTTGAGCAAGCAGTTTATCGAGGTTTTCAGCTCTTTTAACCAACGCTAAACTCTGATAGCTCTCCAGCAGTCTCTTCTCCAGCTTTGTAAGCACAGAATGGTTATCCTTCAGTAGCGATAAGGTGCGTTTGATTCCGGAAATGTAATCGGCTGACCAATACCTCTGGTTGACTTCTCCCACCATGTCAATACCAAGACTGGTTGATAATCAGTGTTTCTACACGTTCTGTATATCTTTCGTGGCTAAATCGTAATCCTACTTGATCCAGCCCATTCGCGCGTGTCACGTGTCACATAAATCACGTGACAAAGCTTTGGATTTCCGAGAGAGGGATAGATAAGAAGGATAAGCCCAACGGGGGAATCCAGATCAACGCAGATTTCGCTGCAAGATGGCCAAAATCAACAGGGTCAGAACAGGTTGTTGGACCTGCAAAGAAAGGTGAGTAACTGTGTTTACGGGCATTTTGAGTGAATTGCCAAATTTTCTACGCCGTTTTTCGCTAATACCCAATCCTAGGCGGAAGAAGTGTGATGAGACCAAACCCATCTGTCTCAACTGTTCGAAGGGGAACCGTCAATGCAAGGGCTACGGAGTACGATTATCTTTCGATATCGATGATTCTAAATACACAGGTTTCAAATCTAGCGTTAATGGCTCCACAAAATATGGCTTCGTAGGGAGGCCAAAAACCGGTGCCAATCGCGAAGCCCCTTCAGATGATCTATCCACAACGCCCAGTACTGACCAATCAGAACAAAGTGTAAAAGGATTCAAAATGGTGAACTCATTTGTTGATACCATACGAACAAAATACTCAAGGCAGGACAGAGATGCTGAGTTGCCTGATGAACAGATGAAAAGTCCAAAACGAACCATCCCTGTGGAAGATCTGATGTCCGAGGGCTTGCACACTTTTCTGAAAGAGATGAATAGTCCTATTAGTTTTTCACCATCTAGCTTTGGGACGGGGATAAGAGGGTCTGGTTCTCCCTTGGACTTCAGTCGTTTGAGTCAGGAATCACCTGGTGTGGTCCAGGTCGAAACCCCAAAGACTGAAAACGAAGAAGGTGTGTCTACCTTCATGGAGGCTGCGAACTTGTATCCGCAAAATATCCAGACTGATCCTGCTTACCTGGATGAAAATCGTATGCTGAAGCATTTCTTCAACAAATTGCTCCCACTTATTGACATGCATCCCAACACTCCTTGGCCTGAACTGGCACTCAAGTATTGTGACTTTGACATTGCCAAATCGTGTTTCCTCAGTTTATCATGCATGCATCTGGTTGCTAATGAAAACGACCACAGAGGTAAAGCCGAACTTTTTATGCGGAGTGTCAACCATATCGACAAAATCATGGAGTATCTAATAGTTTTCGTGCAAGAAAACAACCTTACAGATGTTTTTCATGATGCCCAGAAAATGGCCGAGTTGGAGCCTCAAATCGATATTGAGGGAATGGTGAAAAAGCTAAAGGAAGAAGAAGATGATACTGGTGGTAATAAAAAACAGTCTAGGGTGTTTGTGGTGTTATTACTGATTTTCGTGCAATTACTCTATGGGATTCTTGAAAACGGAAGATCGGCCCTATCACGTATCTTCTTTCGGTTGTTTGCCAGCATGACTGAGAATCCCGAGTGCAAGGCAATACTGAATACAATCGACCAATCGCAAACTCTGATCTGTTTATTATCATGGTGGGACTCCATTGCTGCGATTACATCTCCGGATTGCCGATTGCCGTATTGTCATCCGGAATGGTACGGCATGAAGGACGACCCCATCTCCACCGAGAAGATGTGTGGATGTCCCGGAGAATTGTTCATATGTCTATCAGAAATTTGTCACATTCGGAACGGGGTCAGATACAACAAGCTCACCAGGTTCGACACGTTGCGTAAGTATGAGGAAATTCGTTTGGCATTGTTGCGCTACCGGGATTACATCACGTTTGATCCTAATGGACCAGACGTGGATGATTTTGCAGCTAAGAGCAATGAGGATTTCTTCCATATCAGATTGTGCTGCGTTCAATGCTGGTCTTTAGCTGCACAGATCAAGCTGGAGTCTACGGTAAGGCCGACTGGCGAAAGTGAGAAGGTCATTCTTCAGCTGGTGTTGGAGTTCTTAGGAGTCTACAAGCAAATGGATCCGAGGTCGCACCCTGTGGGTCAAATGGTTTGGCCGCTATTAGAGGTGGGTGCTAATTGTACCAGAGAATCTGAGAGATCAGTTGTCCGAGCCGCTGTGGACAAGCTGTATCTTCACACGCGTGCCATGAATATCCTGACTATGACTCAGATTCTGGAGCACATCTGGAGAGACAACATTTCCCTAGACGATTACTTGAATCAGAAGGAGTGGCTGAAGGCCGGTATTGAGCTTTTGGCCTTGTGAGAGATCTGCGTTATTGACAAAAAGACGAATATTTATTTATTGGTGTTGAGATTATTTATCATCTGCATTAAATGTTGGAATTTTTAGATTTTGATAATTTTCGAAAATGTTGGCAAAATATTCTGTGTAATTGGAGTATTTGAGTGAACAAAGTGTTAGATGGGATCAAAAAAATCTTCATATTCGGTCGATTGGAATATTTTACATATATTATCAATTGATATGTTTCAATAACTATCACTGATTCGTATTATTCTGATATGCACTCCGAACCAGGTCAGCCATGCACCTTGGCCTTTGCATCATCACATGTACCTAACGGATAAACCCATCAACCCTTCAAAAGAGGGATGCATCCCGATTCTACGACCATCAGGATGAGGAAGCCTTTTATGATTCAACATCTACCTGAGACCAATCTTTTTTCTTCTCTACTATCCCAACCATGACAGCTTCAATTATTGATGGAAAGGCAATAAGTGCCGATCTGCGCTCCAAGATTGCTAATGACATCAAGGATTTGCAGGAAAAGAACCCAGGCTTCCAGCCCAAACTGGTCATCATTCAGGTTGGTGAAAGGCCAGACTCCTCAATCTATGTCAGAATGAAGCTTAAGTCTTGTTCGGAAGTTGGCATTGAAGGAGTATTGGTGAAATTAGATGGCAAAATTAGTCAGGAGGAGTTGCTAGCTAAAATCGCCGCTCTCAACGAAGACTCAACGGTTCATGGAATCTTGGTCCAGCTACCTCTTCCCAAGCATATCGACGAGGAATTGATCACGAACGCTGTTAAGCAAGAAAAAGACATTGATGGATTCTCAGAGCTCAACTTGGCTGCAATTTTCAAGAAATCTGCATCACCAAAGTACGTTCCGTGCACTCCAAAGGGAATAGTTTACATGCTGGAGCAAGAGGATGTGACCATTGCAGGCAAAAACGTGGTTGTTTGTGGTAGATCTGATATTGTGGGCGGTCCCTTGGCGAAATTGCTTGAAAAGAAGGGTGGTACCGTAACAATTATCCACTCAAAGTCCACACCAGAGCAGCTGAAATTCTTCGTTTCGAACGCAGACATCGTCGTTTCTGCAGTGGGCCAGGCCAACTTCATCACCGGAGACATACTGAAGCCTGGAGCTACGGTCATCGATGTGGGAACCAACTACGTTGCTGATGAGACCAAGAAGTCTGGCCAAAGAATGTGCGGCGACGTGGACTTCAACAGTTGTGTGCAAGTTGCAGGAAAGATCACACCAGTACCAGGTGGAGTCGGCCCCATGACCGTGATCATGGTGCTACAGAACGTCCTCGAGAGCTCCAAGAGAGCCGCTGGGCTGCTGTAGGGTTTGACAGGAAATAGACAGCGTCTATCCATTTTACGAAGGTTTCAACAATTTTTGGTTGTCTTATGATGTTTTTCAAAGCTATGGGGAATTTGGCATTTTTTGCAATTTAGAGCCAAACATAAGCTATATACTCCCTGATTCAATCTGGTGGTCAACCCACCGGTTTAACACCAGAAAACGTAGCCATGCAGTATTTATCGGCCGGTCTCGACAGAGTCATCTTCCAGAGTCAAGAAAAGCTGGAACTTCTCGGAGACCAAGTTTTCCGAACCCATATCGCTCAAAAAGCCACCTTATATGATAAAAATCCACAAATAATGTTGCCAAAGTTTCATCAAATAGTGTTTTTTCGCTAAAGAGTGGCATGTTAGTCCTTTTGACATTTCTTTCAGGCGCTGCGTAGATAAGCGCATGCGGATGGCAGAGTCAGTGCGATTAAATTAATCGCGTCCCTGCAGTTATCTACGTGGAACTTTTTTTTCAGCTTGATACAATTCTCTTTTCTACTTCTCTACAGCTGAAAATTTTCTCTGCAATCTTTTCAATTACAGAATTCATCAAGAAATGCCTGAATTCAAACGTTTGAAGTTGAACCTGGTCAGACCAGTTCCTTCTGACTACGAGATCTCAAGAAACCAAACCCCGAAGCACATCACCGAGGTCGCCAAAGAATGCGGTATTGAGGATGCCGAGTGCGAGCCATACGGAGCCTACAAGGCTAAGGTGAAGTTGGACATTCTGGACAGACTTCACTCTAAGAAGAACGGAAAGTACATCTTGGTCACTGGTATCACTCCAACTCCCCTCGGAGAAGGTAAGTCCACCACCACCGTTGGACTGGCCCAATCGCTTGGATCCAACTTCAACAAGCTGGCGTTTGCCAACGTCAGACAGCCATCCATGGGCCCAACTTTTGGTGTCAAGGGTGGTGCTGCCGGTGGAGGATACTCGCAGGTCATTCCTATGGACGAGTTCAACATGCACATCACTGGAGACATCCATGCTGTCGGTATGGCCAACAACTTGTTGGCTGCAGCTCTGGATACTAGAATGTTCCATGAGAACACTCAGACTGACAAGGCTCTTTGGAAGAGATTGTGCCCTGAAAAGAAAGATGGGTCAAGAGATATTCCACAGGGTCTCTTTCCTAGAATCAGAAAGCTGGGCCTGGACTCCAAGCCTGTTTCTGAATGGACCGACGAGGAAATCAGCAAATTTGTCAGATTGAACATTGACCCCTCCACTATCACCTGGAAGAGAGTTGTTGACTGTAATGACAGATTTTTGAGAGGAATCACCGTTGGTACTGCCCCTACCGAGAAGGGCCAGACCAGAGAGACCGGATTCGACATCACCGTTGCATCCGAGGTGATGGCCATTATGGCGTTGTCCAACTCGTTGAAAGACATGAGAGAAAGACTTGGTAAGATGGTTGTTGCCTCGAGCACAACCGGCGAACCGGTCACCTGTGAGGATTTGGGATGTGCTGGTGCTCTGACTGCCATCATGAAGGATGCCATCAAGCCAAACATCATGCAGACTCTTGAAGGAACCCCAGTCTTTGTCCATGCTGGTCCATTTGCCAACATTTCTATTGGTGCGTCTTCCATTTTGGCCGATAAAATTGCTCTGAAGCTGGCTGGTGTTCCATTCAACGCTTCCCCAGAAGAGGAGAGAGAAGACTCTGGGTACGTGATCACCGAGGCCGGTTTCGACTTTACCATGGGTGGTGAGAGATTCCTCAACATCAAGTGCCGCGCCTCTGGTTTGACGCCCGATGTCATCGTGATCGTTGCTACTGTTAGAGCTTTGAAGGTTCACGGTGGTGGAGCCGAGGTCAGAGCCGGTGCCCCATTGCCATTCGAATACACCAGCGAAAACGTGGAAATGCTCCGTGAGGGCTGTTCCAACTTGGCCAAACACATCCAAAATGCCAGACAATACGGAGCGGATGTTATTGTAGCCATCAACCGTATGAGCAGCGACACCGACCGTGAACACGATGTCATTAAGGAGATTTCCCTTGCTGCCGGTGCTACTGATGCCATCGTTTCCAACCATTGGGAACAAGGTGGTGAAGGTGCTGCTGCTTTGGCCCAGGGTGTTATCCGTTGTGCTCACAGAGAGTATCCTTCTCAACAGGGAAGACCAAAGGAGTTCAACTTCCTTTACGAGACCGAAGGCTCCAGCATTGAGGAGAAGATCGAGGCAATTGCTAAGAAGATGTACGGTGCTGCCGAGGTTGAATTCTTGCCAGCTGCCCAGGAAAAAATCAAAGAGTACACCGCCCAGGGATTCTCCAACTTGCCAATCTGTATTGCTAAGACTCAATATTCGTTTTCTCACGATGCTAAGCTGAAGGGTGTTCCATCCGGATACAAGTTCCCAATCAGAGACATCAAGGCCTCCATTGGTGCAGGGTACCTGTATGCCCTTGCTGCCGAAATCCAGACCATTCCCGGGTTGGCCACCAAGTGTGGATTTATGAACGTGGAGGTCAACGATGACGGAGAGATCGAGGGATTGTTCTGATTGATCTGATAAAGTTTCAACACTTCATTTTCATCCGCTCGGCCAGCAACCATGGCTGCGTGTTTATGTTTATAGTACTAATGGGTAGGTTTCAACACGGAAAAAACAAAAAAAAAGTATTGAAGTTTTCGAAGATAAATTCAGAGAATTTCGAGTTTGCTATATAAAATATGGTATCTTCAAGTTTTGAAATCAATTGTAGTTAAGTTCAGGTTTTCAAGCTAGAAAATCGTTTGATTTTTCAAATATCGGAATGCAAAATAGCCATATTTAAGTTCTGAGAACAAATAACTGTCAAATCCAGTTGTGAAAAATACGCAAAAATCAAATCCAAATATTTAAAATAAAAGTGACTTAGATTTTTGCCGTTTTATACTCAAGACCCTCCGACACTGGCAATCAACGCCAGGGACCACGTTCTTGACATACCATTGTCAAGCCATTGTGGATTGAACCCTGACTGAGCAAAGAAGTTCCAGGCCTTTTTGGAGTCCGCAATTGCAAGATTCAGCATCAGAATACCTCTCCAACCGGAATCCATGTTTTTCACCAGGTCGTCGAAGTGTTGTTCATTCCATTCATCGTTCACGAACTCGGCCGACCTCACGTAGAACGAACATGGCGTGACCGGAATCATGTGGATCCCGTGAATATACTCTTTGTTCAGACCAAAGTATGTGACATGGTCGATCTTGTTCTCGAAAAGAATCCCACTGCACTTGTTGCGCTTGAATTTGGCGGGAACTACAGAGTTATCCCTGCCAAAAAGCATGTAGGAGTTGACGGATCTCTTCAAGACGCTCATCATAAGAGCGCCAATGGTTTCCATTTGAGAATTTCCCGCAACTTTGCCATAGGTGTGCAAAGCATAGGCAAAATTATAGTCCTCTGAAGAACTTTCCTCGTCTTTTCCATCACCAGATGCAAATAGTCCATTGGCCCACGAATGACCGTGGAACCAATCGAATGCCCTAGAAGTGGAGAAGTAAGGGTCCGACGAGTTCGGATTGGCAACGTCTCTGATCAAAGTCTCGATCCATTGCTTGTGCCCGTCTAGCCATTTACCAGTAGAGTATACTCGGTCTGCCAAAGTGATCAAAGCTGCTGTGTGAATATGGTAGCCATAATGGAAGTGATGATCGTTGTAGAACGTGTTTCCAAAATCCTTGTAGAAATTACCATCTAGACCAGACGATGAAACCACACCTTTCCAATGGGTATCATAGACCAAAGGCTCTTTCTGCTCGTTCTTTGTAAACCTTTCAAAAGCTCTTTTCATTTTATCAAGCCATTCCGTGGCCAAAGCCCTATCCTTCACGATGAAGGCAGCAACATACAAAATGTAGGCTCCTTTGTCAAGGATTTTTCCAGACGTGTACATGGAGTCCGTATCACTTTCGCCCTCAACACTAAATTGAGCAACTTCGGCTTGAAGTGTCTGCTTTATCAACTCCAAAGAATTACCGTTGATGTTTGGTGGTGGGTTCCATGGGTCAAGTGGAAGGGCAGGAGGGGTCTTTTCAACCATCTCAAAACGATTGGTCACGAAAGCCTTCATTCTTCCCTTCACAGTAGAGTTCAGGTCTGGCCCCTGGGCCCAGCGAGATTGCATCGACGGTTCCATGGATGCGTACTGGTGAGGGAGAGTCCATATAAGTGGACTTCCACTCTTGGAGTTGCCTTGCACGCTATAGTTGAAAGAGTATTGAATATTCTGTCCATTCAAATTGCCCTCCAAGTGCATTTTTTCAATATAACAACCTGCAGTTTGATCATACACATCGAAATCTCCCTTTGCAACTTGGACAATCAGCTCTGAGTGCGTATTTGATTTCATGACAAAATGATTACGGTCAGCCAGGTCAAAGTCCTCACTGGAGTTCACATAAACACTCCATTCGACATTGTCAAATAGTCTCAGAACAAACTTAGTACAGTTCCCGCTTGCTGAAACCTTCCGGAAACTAGCGATCCCAACTTTCGAAGAGATCACCGGTCTGGAACCCTGTCCGTATACTCCAGTCACGAATCCCATGCCTTGAACCAAAGTGAATTTGACATTGTCCATCGAAAATGTCACATAAGTCTTATCCCAGTCCAAAAATTTGGGAGAAGGTAATCCGTTGGTCCAGGAATCACATCCTAGACAGACAGAAACAATTCCACCGGGATTGAAGAAGAACTGGACTGGGTCCTTGTCAGGCTCAGGACCAAACACCTTCATGTGGTCGTCAATTTGGGCAACCGCCAGACCGTTAAACTCTGGATCCGAACATCTCCAAACAGAATACGGATGAGTCCATATAGGCAGATTCTGAGGTTCAACAAGCAAATTTCCAAAGAAAGCGTTGGTGGGAATTGGTTTGCTGTTACCCTGGGGAATTCCAGCTGGAACAGGCACCGGATGAGCCTGAGACGGTTTCAGCAGGTTTGGCGGCGCAGAGGTGTCGAAAGGAACACCAAATATGTTATTCACGAGATTGCCTCGAGGATAATCTCTTGGAGGCGGAGTTGGTGATCTCATCTTGCCAATTGTTGTATCTGATCAAAGGTTGATTTGAATAAAACCTGTGGGACAGTGAAATTTCAAAAATCATGGGGAAGCGCGATGAGCTCTCAGAGGGAACTTTCCGAGTTAACTTTAACCAAAAATGTATACCTTTTTCTTGCCCCAAATCTACACGCGTTTCAATTTAATGGCCCCACTTCTAAACGCAGAAGATCTGTTAGTTCTCAGAAATGAGCGGGATATTTTACATCTCATATACCACCGGAATAAAAATCAGCATCGCCAGGCGAAATGGTGGTCCCACTTGAACATTCTGAAGAGGAGACTTTCTAAATTGCTGGTGCTTTTTGATGGTGAAACAATTCCAGAGGAGGAAATTTATAAGCAAAGTCGTTTCATAGTGAAACGACTGGTTCCAGATTGTTATACAAAATTTTACCAGTTGATAGAGGTTGGAAATTTCATCACTCTAGGTTTCGCTTTGATAGGACTGCTGTCCCGCATATACTGCATATTGATAGAGATCGCGGATATGAAGGCCGAAAAGGCAGTTCAGGAGCTGAAATCGGAGATGCTTGGCTCGCATGTCATTCTTGACGGTATAGATGACGATATAGGTGAGGTGATTTCACCCGAGACTGCTGGACCGTCCTCTGCGAGACACCATTCAAAGGAGAAAGAAAGACAAAACGACAAAACTACAGACAAATCGACGAAGGTAAAAATTCTCAAAGAGAGCTCAGAGAAGAAAAAGAAAAAGAAGAAGAAGAGCGCCATTGACGATATTTTTGGATGAAGACGAGCGCAAATGATGATATATTTGAATGAAACTAATGTTAAGAACCCCACTATCTATTCGTTTATGATGGTTTCAGCCCAAGTAGGAAGCACGAAACTTGCACTGTGGATTTTGCTGTTGTAATATTTGAAGAGCTTGGATTCCTCCTCTGGTTCCAGTCTTCTGACTGGCTGCCTCAGGTTCGTGGATTCGCTCTTAGCGCAAACCATAAGGCCCAATTGGCCAGAGGTGTATGTGGGAATCGTACAGTAGGAGTATCCAACATTAGGAAAGACTCTGGTACACTCGTTTTTCAATTTCCTGAGATTTTCAAGTTTCAACCACACATTCTCGGAGGCCTGTGATATGACTACTCCTTCTGGGTTCAGTGCGTCGTACAATAAATGGAAATAGGACTCCTTGAAAAACTCCTCTGCAGGACCCTCAGGATCAGAAGAGTCAGTAATAATGACATCGTACTTGGTTTCAAGCGAAGCAGCTTCCTTCAGGAACTTGAATCCATCGTCCAAGACAATCTTCACCTTCTCGTGGTCCATGGCACACGACATTCCAGGCAGATACTTCTTACTCAGCGTAATGACAGACTCATCAATTTCTACCAATGTGGCACTCTCGACACACGAATGCTTGACCACTTCTCTCAAAACACCTCCATCACCACCTCCGATGACCAGCACTCTCTTGGGGTTGGGATGCGAGAACAGCGGTAGATGGGTGATCATCTCTTGATATGCAAACTCATCACGTTCAGTAGCCTGGATAATTCCATCAAGTACCAACACGTTGCCGTAATCGGTGGACTTGAATACAAGTACATCCTGGAACTTGGACCTTTCAGCATGCAGGATTCTGTCAACGCGGAGTCTCATGGCCTGGCCTGGAAAGTATTCCTCGGACACCTCCGAGAACCAGCCATTCTTGATTGAAGGATGAGTTAATTCAGCCATGATAAAGTACAGTGAATTGTGTTATCCTTCTGTTTCCTTCGAGTAGAAGAATATAGCTGGGTTGGAGAAATGGCAATTCACTTATCGGACCGGGTTCCACTGCCCAAAAATTTTTCAGGCGATGAGCCCGCATGAAATTTTTTGATTAGATGCTGGAGTCGAATACTGGCTAATATTACTAGCCATTACTGTAGTTAATGGTGTAATTTTTGACTCGAATCCAGATGAAACACCCATTTCAGGCTATTGCAAGTAACGCAGAATATGTGTTTGCTGTCTCAAAGAACAGCATTCACGCGTACAGAATACACAGTGACAGTCTCGAGCTGGCTACCTCTTGGACTGATGAGACGGATCAGCGGACCTTGCTGAAGGAACAGCAGGACCAGAAAATAAAGGAGGGAAACCTCAAGAAGACGCCCAAGATTCCCGTTCCAGGCCCAGGTGCTCCTCCAATATACAATTTCATCAGAACCGTGAATGTTTTCGAGCGGTATGTGGTGCTCACAGTTGACATGGATAAGTCAGTGGTTGTGTTCGAGTTGACCAATGATGAATCGGTATGGAGGCTGCTTAAGCGCCAACGTTTCCCTAAAAGGCCTGATTCTGTGACAATGATAGACGACCACACTGTTCTCATGGGCGACAAGTTTGGTGATGTCTACGCCATGGATGTTTCCTCTCCACCTCAGACCGAGGCCTTCAAGCCGGTGTTGGGCCATGTCTCGATGTTGACTTCTGTATGCTCCGCCACTAACAATGGAAGACAATATGTGATCAGTGGTGACAGAGATGAACACATCCGTGTTACGAATTATCCAAAAACTTTCGTGATAGACAAATGGCTGTTTGGCCACAAGGAATTCGTCTCGAGCTTGACCGTGCCCAAGAAGTACGGGAACGTGCTGGTCTCCGGAGGTGGTGATGACTACTTTTGTGTTTGGGACTGGACGGATGGCACTCTAAAGCAAAAAATTGAATATGGAAAACAGATTGAGAATTATTTCAAAGAGGGAATTTTGAGTCCTGAAGTGTGTCCGCTTATCTTCAAAGAGGGTGCCCTCGTTGAGCTATGCATCACTCTGATAGTGTCACATGAAGACTTCTTGGTTGTGACAATTGAAGGTTGCAATATTGCTCTGATATACAAGTTTGAACAGGAATTGGTGTTCAGCCATTATTTGGCAGTGGACGAGCCAATTTTATCTTTGACTATTACCCCGGCTGGCAAGATAGTTGTCGGAACAGACTCCGAGAAACTCTACCTCAGAAGCTTGGTTGGGGAAGATCAAACCGCTGTGTTGATTCCTGAGAACTTGACTGAGATCTCAGAAAACAGTCCCAAGATGCCTTTGTATGCAACGTCACATTTACGTAAAGGCGCAATGTTCTAAGCCTTTCAAATAAACGCATTAGCCTTTTGCCATGACATGCAATCTGTAACTCCTGTAAGCTTTCGTCCATTCATCCACAGTCTCTGCCCTCTCGTTCCAAACGACCATTGTGACTTCAACACCCTAATCGCGATCACATCTTTGTTTTCTGGAACAGAGGGGGGCGGTAAGCTTGGGATTGCTCTTCTAGGACCAGGGATTCTGTACAGACTCTCATCAGGCAGCTCACTTTCTCGCAACATCTGCTCTTCCGGAGAGTCATCCTCATTGATTATTTTCTCCAGCCAATCGGCTTTCATTTCTTGGCCATTCAGAACACAATTACATCCAATCATCTGGACCAACATTGTCACCTTTGGGGTGGTTTCGTTACCGTTCTTCAGCTCCTCGTACATGATGTCATTGGTCAGAGTACTAAACAGTTTGTAGATTTGCCTCGCTGTTTTTCCCAGGATGAACAGACTGACCATTTTGGAAGTCTTCGAAACCAAGAGGTTGATATCGGTGTTCTCTACCTGAACGATCAAATCACGAAGAATCGACTCATCAACATACGGCCGCGAATACTTTACCAGAAAATCTTGAGAGCCATCATTCGGAGATGGATTCAAGAGGCCTTGCTTCTTCACGTCTTTCAGATTGATGGTGATCTCTTCTGCCCTAGTGAACGGATTCACCGTGATTTTGTGGTTGACCAGTTTCTGCTCCAGTGCCAAAAACCTGTAATATCTGCATTCAAAGAGGAGATTTTCCCTGTGCTTTTCGTTCTGAAATACAATTTCATGTCCTTGTAGTCCATACAACAATTCTTCAAACAAAGCATCCGATCTGCTGAAAACAATTAGCGGTTCCTGTGGAGGCGGCCTCAACAAGTCTTTGAGTTCGTCAATTCCGAACGGGTCTCGGAGCAACGAGTCATATGCAATACTGAAGAAGTTGGGGTAATTTCCCGGACCCGATATCAGCTTTCGCGGTATGCGGAAAGACCGGGAGCCTATTTTAGCGAAAACATCTCCATTAATCAGCTGCGATTTTAGCTTGTTCAGGCTGAAGTAGTTGGCATCAGCGAGCAGATAGATGAATTCCATCTCATCGAGAACAGACACATGATATCCTTGTAAATGCATATAGATTTTGTCGAAAACAACAGGCGAACGGTCAATGAAGAGGATTTTACCGTCGTTCTCGTCTTTGGCAAAGAAGCAGGTGAAATAGGACGGAGCGTCCGACGATAGCGAAGCCCCACTCAGTCGGAATAGCCGATCACCGACTTGGACCGAGAACATCTTCTCGGCCGGAAGGTCAAAATTTGGCACGCTATTTTTGGCCATTTTTCGTTTAGAAGAGGGTAGTTGAAGAAGGTGTTGCACGTATGCTATATAACTCCTTGACCTCTTTGAACATTAGCCGTACCCCGGAGAATGCGGCAATAAATCAGGTATTACACTACGAGAACTGCTTAACATTTTTACCAATTTTTATTGACCTTTTGTATGATTATATGGCGAACTTTTCAGTTCTGTGAACTCTTCAGTTCATTTCCGGAGTCCAGTCAAAGGCGTGACATTAGACCTCGAGAAGGGATGGATAATTGTCATCTTCCGCGGAAGGTTGGGCATTGCAAAAAGGAGTAGTAGTAGGGGAGACTTCAAACAATGGCAGAAAAAAAAACCTCAAAATAAAACAAAATGGCTCAAGAAGAAACAAACAGACATGATGACTTTATTAGAACTTCATCAAGTGTGGCTTGTCACCCTTCTTCAAAGAGAAGGAGGAGGCCAGGTATTGCTTCAACAATGGGGTCTTCTTAATCTCGGTGAGCAAGGCCTTGTCAACGGTCTTTTGGTCTTCGATTCTCTGGGAAGTCACCTCCTTCTTAGCACCGTCCTTGAAGAACTCGGCCTCCGATTTGGTAGACTTGGAGGTCTTTTCTCTGGCAAAGTAGGAAACGTCAAACTTGGCCAAGTCCAGTCCGGTCAGAGAGACGGAGGTGGAGGTGGCAATGGCGTATCTGGCGTTGACTCTTCTCAAAGGAACTCCGTTGACCTTGAAAGGACCAGAAACGAGCAAGGTGTTGTCCTCGAGGTTCTTCAAGTAGACAACTCTCTTTCCTCTGAAGCGACCGGCAAGCAGGATCAAAACGGTACCTGGAACCAACGAAGGTCTCAGCTTTTGAGGTCTGGCCGTCTTTCTGGTCTTCTTGGCGACTGGAGCCGACGTAGCTTCATACCATTTTGGACTAACTGACATTGTTGTATATGGATTATTTTCGAGATTCAAGAACACTAAGCGATGGTTAGGATTCTTAATGGAGTTGAGATTATACCCAGGAAAAAAGAGATGAGTCAGACACGTGATAAAAGAAAGGGTTACAAACCCTGCCTATAAGAGGTATCTCTTGATGGCTGCGGCGTGGACTTGAGTAGCGCACTTCCAAACTGATAAGACCGGGACCGAGCAAAAGGGAATATCGATAGCGATAGGCTGGGTCGGGTTGTGAAAAACAGTGTAATGGTAGTCATCTGAGGTGTTAATGGTCTGCTCAAAAAATTCCACTTCCAAAAAACCGTCCTGGCCCTTAGTGGAGTACCCGCCCCATTCTACCCCAACTCCACGCGGAAGCGAGGAGACCTGCACTATGATAAGCCTTTTTTCATCTCCTCCGTAGCTCTTCCAGCATTGTAGAACTGATTGGATATAAGCAGTATCAACGATAAAGCATATAACCGCCTGATCCTTATTTGCGGCCACCAGTTTTTTAACACTATCAAAATGTTGTAGTGACAGTCCAATCTCCAGCTCCTGCGGGCTGGGAGCCATACTAGCAGGAACCAGAGGGATCTGACCGCTGATCATTGTAACTCCTTCAGAGTCAGAAACCGCTTGTGAATATGGTCCAATGTTACAGGGAGCCCAGTAACTCCTGCTTTGTATGTGGACACCGGATTTTGAAGATTTCAATGCTACCACTGAGAGCTGCAGTTTAGTGGACCGGGCAAGATTGGTCTCGACACAGATTCTTGCAGGTGGAAGCGGTGTCGTGAAATATGAGGAGTAAATGGTGTTGATAGCAGCAAAATCTTTCATTGATTGGAGAAGTAGAATCGACGATTGGATGTTCGAAAATTCGATCCCATGTTTCTGGAGTTGAGTAGACAGAGCAACAAAGACATCAAGCACCTGCCTTTCCAAAGTCTCACCCTGGGACGAAATATTTGAAATAAAGACATGATCTTCATCTGATTGAAGGTTCAATGGCAGAACTTGATTGTGAACCGGTTTTTGTGTAGAAACAAATTTGTCAACAGGGTATTCTACAAACGGTCCATGTAGTAATGGTGGAGCGACAACAGTGCTGAAATCATCAACTGCCTTCTTCCTTTCCACAAACCTGACCTTCATCTTCAAAAACCACACCTCACTACCATGATCAACCATTTCTTGTGATACCAATTCAAGGTAACCCTCCGTGAAAAATGGGGCATCCAAAACCAGAGTTTCAAACTCTCCACCCTCTCCACAAACGTGAATTCCAAATTTGTCATTGAGACTCAACAGATGGGGATATATCTCCTGCAACTTCATTCCAAGATGTTTTATATTCAATCCGAAAGCAGCCACTTTGATGATACGGGCATCCATCGACTCGACATCACACATCTGACCCATCAGCTCGCTCTGGTCCATTTGCCATAGCCATGCCAGCGAAATAAGCCCGAGTTTGGAGCAGCAATATTCCACTCTATTTCTCTGATAATTTGACAGAATAGCACCTGAACTCACACCTTCAACATCTGGATGGTTTTCCTTCACCTCTTTGAGAAGCTCCAGCAGATCTTCAGTCTCGTCATTGGCAGTCCTGGAGTATTCCAGTTGCACATTTTCGGACAGTCCACTGATCTCGCGGCGATACAGCGGCAATCCGGTGCATTTGTCGTACAATGAAACCACATCATGACCCACAGTTTGATACATAAAGGAATCAATCTCGTCTTTTCCAGAAGAAGGGTAGAGGTTGGCTAGGGCTATAAGCTCATGGCCCTGTCGTATGCTGTGGAGGATGTTGAATATGGAGTCCTTTCCTCCTGAGACCAAGCCGACAAATTTCATTATGGACAGAAGCAGACCCTTATATTGCCTAATATAATTGGATGATGATCAGATATTAGTATAGTGTTCCCTATTTCGAGCGTAATACGAAGAATTCACCACATGCAGTACTTGAAAAATTACCCTACATACTTTACTCTGCCAATGCGGGATGCGATGAGGTGCCATTTTCGGAACTTTGAATTTTGTTCCCCCTTATCATCACAGCTGGAAATCAGCTTCAACCAATAAGGATTATTTTTTTCACTTGCATATGGCATCTGATGGCTACGAATGCCGATTATGACGAGCTTGAAGAAGCCTCCAAGTTGGTGAAGTTCCACAAGCGAGTGTTGATGCAATATGCCACATCCAAGGATCCCGTTCAGAAATTGAAGTATGATCGTTTAATAATAGAAAAAAAGCTGAGGCGAGAGGCCAAGGAAGTGCGATCGAAAGATCACAATCGGAAGTTAGGCAGAATAGATCTTTCGCCTTATACGGAGGGGGAGATAGAACTCAAAGTGCTTACAGAGGAGGTTCTCGACGCAACCAGCACTAACGTGGCCAGCACCAACGCAGGCACCAATACGGACGCCAATACAGACACCAACGCACTCAACACCACAAATAAGTTGCCCAAACCAACTGCTCAGGGGATTTTGACTCCAAAAAACGGAAATTTGAGTTTACCACCAGGCTACGTGAATGGTACTGCCTCTGAAGGGCTTCTTCCAATGGCCCTCTGGATGATGAAATATAACGAAAACGTGCCTACTCAAGAAACAGAGAACAGTTCAACCTTGCAAGATGTGAACGTTTCTTCTATTGCGGGGAGCTCCAGCAATGTCGCCAATGCTCCGTCTTCGAAACCAGGCCCATTACCATACCCAAGCACGACATTGGGCTACTACCCCATTCAAAATACCAAGAGACCAAAGAGGGGAAATAGGAAGGGTATACTAACCGAGGAGAAAGATGAACTCCCCATGACGTTGGATTATTGATGGTGGCTTAGATCGACAAGAGCGCGAAGAACCACAACACGATTACGTGTTGTGGTTATTCCCCGCAATTCGCCTAGCTTGCATTCAACCGCGTGATACGTATCTACACCCATTTTTATACTTCTTTTCCTCTTATTCTTTGGAACAAGCTTGCATTCAAGCCTGTGCATACAGCAAAATCCTTATTTATTTTTCTGCCCTTCACCACCAGTCCTAACCTTTTTCCCATGTCCACTTTTGGTGAGTATTGCTGAAAAAATGGAGCCTCCAAATGATTTAAGCTAACAGAATAGCCACTCCTGCCACCACCTCGGGCTCATTGTTCACTGCCATTGCAACCTCTTCTCCCAACTTTCCAAACAAATCGTCGCCGGTGTCCATTCCAAGCGGAGTGAGCTCTTCAGGCCCTATTGAGACAAACAATTTTTACGGAAACATTTTGTTGGATGACCAAACGTCTTATGTGTACACCCATCCATACGTTGTCTGGTACTCCAACTCTTCTGGAACCGAGGGATTGGCTGTGAACTACTCTACCGCCAGCCAAAGGGTTAGCGGACCGGGTACTACAGCCCCAGTCGAGTACTTCCTCAGTCCTGCTGGAAACAAATGCCTGGTTCTTGGCGCTTCCGAGTTTGATTCTTCCATGTCGCTCAAAATTGATACACCAAAAAGATTCTCTGTTAATGCCAAGTTTGCCTCTGCCAAGTACGGTACTATGACATGTCCCCTTCTGCAAGGTATAGGCTTTGTTACCGGAGTTTATGACGATTTGACCCCTGTTATCCACTCCGGTGTTGGCATTAGCTCTGTTTCTGGAGGAACAGCTCCAAGATCTGGTATCAACAAGTATGTCATCAAGTTGAGTAATGATACGACTTGGACGATGTTTGTCACCGTTCCAAGCGGCCAGTCTTTGTCTTTCTCGTTGGATGGTTCTTCCAAAATTGTTGGATCCAACTCCGTTAGTGGAGCAGTGGTGCAAATCTGTTGCGGTACCGACTCTTCGTTTGACTCTGCTGCTGGTTGTTATCCAACTGCCTGCACTCTTTCGGGCTCTGTTAGTGGCTCAAAAGGAACCTATGCTCTCTCCTATACGACGTCCGGTACTTCGAACAGCGGGAAAACATTGATGTTTGCTCTTCCTCATCAGGTTGACTCGTTCACGTCGACGACATCGGGCTCGAAAACATCTGCCGAGCTAACGGACACGGTTCATGGTACGGTTGTGGGATACTTGACCAAAAAGTTTGAGATGTCTGAAACGTTGCCTACCTCCATGAGCCTGGCTCCTTTCACGACAATATCTGGATGGTCTAAGCCAAACTACACATCTGCACAGCTATCTGCAATTAAAACAGCAGCAGAAGCAGATGCAAATGATGATGTTGCCAGTCTCTCAAACTTAGATTCCATGTACTATAGTGGAAAGATCTTGGATAAGTTTGCCTACGTTTTGTACACGATCTACTATGTGTTGGAGGATGAATCATTGGCGAAGACGTTTTTGGCCAAGATGAAAACAGCAATGGAAAGATTCACCGGCAATAATCAAACCTACCCCCTTGCATATGATACGACCTGGAAAGGTATTGTTTCGGAGGCCGGGTTAAGCGGAGACAGTGGGGCAGATTTCGGAAACACCTACTACAACGATCATCACTTCCATTATGGGTACCATGTTCATGCCGCTGCTATCATAGCCAAGGTGGATAAGGATCTGGGAGGAAGCTGGCTCAGTGATAACAAGGACTGGGTTAATGCTCTAGTCAGAGACTATGCCAATCCCAATGACAGTGACAGTTACTTCCCTGTTTTCCGTAACTTTGATTTTTTCATTGGTCATTCTTTTGCACACGGTATCACCGTTTATGCGGACGGAAAGGATGAGGAGTCCAGTTCTGAAGACTACAACTCGATCTATGCAATGAAGATATGGGGGGATGTCATTGGTGACACAAACATGGTCAACAGGGCCAATCTGATACTTTCAATCATGAGAAGATCGATTGGTACGTACATGCTCTACAAAGACGACAACTCTGTTGAGCCCTCCAACTTCATCGGCAATAAGTGCAGCGGTATCAAGTTTGAGAACAAGATTGACCACACCACCTATTTCGGGACCAACGAGGAGTATATCCACGGAATTCACATGTTGCCAATCACTCCGGTTTCGTCATGGATTAGAGACCCTACCTTTGTGAAGCAGGAGTGGGAAGAAAAACTGTCCTCATTGATAGATTCGGTGAGCTCGGGATGGAAGGGTGTCCTGATGTTGAACGTTGCTTTGTATGATCCCCAGGAAGCGTATTCCTTCTTCAGTGGCTCAAGCTTCAGCTCCGACTACTTGGACGATGGGCAGACGAAGACATGGTGTTTGGTTTACAGTGCTGGTGTGATGTCATAGTGACCAGCAGCAATAGATAAGTGAAAAAAAACAAAAAACCACAAAAAACACACACTGGAGTTTCGGTCGATATATAAAAGTTAACAGCTCATTAACAAATTAACCAAAAAAAGATATCATGATTAAACTTTTGTATTTGATAAGCTTAGCTTAAGTCTAACCAGAAATCCAGCGGGCAACCGTAAGCGACGGAAACCCCAAGCGATGCCCTCGTCGCTTGTGCTTTCCATTAGCTCCTGTAGAGCGTGCGGCCACTCCCGCTGCTCACGGCACCTGTTGTTTATAACGGAGGCAAAACTGCAGTTCTGTTCTGTTTGTTGCAAGATTTATTCTGAGATCTGCTCTATTCAAATATTTATCTTGTTCGGTTTATCTTATTTCACCGAGCCGTGACGTTGCTGGCTATTTACACTAAATCTTCCCCACCATGCTGTCAACCAGATCTATGTATAGATCAACCGCGTTTCTACGCGTGGGACTGGTATTGAACAGGAGAACTCTCATATCCTCCAAAACAACAAAGACGGTCATGCCAGTAACATATGATTCTACTCCTGAGCCATCTAATCGGGAAAAGAGTCCCGGATACTTGGAAGCACTCACTACCCCGGAATTGCTCTCCTATGGTCTCATAGGATTGGCTACGCTGAACAAAGGCACACTCGACATGGCGATCAAAGCATTCCCATTTATACCCACGTGGATGCTCAAAGTATTTTTGTACAAAAACTATTGTGGTGGCGAAGATTTTGAGCAGGTCAAGGCAACCGGTGCTAGACTGGCCAAAAGAGGCATCAAGAACATGATGATCAGTTTGACCATAGAGGCTGCTGAAGTTCACGGAGATGCCGAGCCAATCGACATTGGATACATAGTGAGAGAAACCAAGAAAAGCGTTAGCGAGGTGTTGGTTCCACACACGCTTTCCATGATCTCCGAGAGTGGAGATCTGAACAGTGTCCCCCCAGGATATGTCGCTTTGAAACCAACTGGATTGATCGACGATGCTGTCAATGTTCTGACAAATTATGAACATCCTGATTATTCTGTCAAGTTCGAAGAACTTGTTGCAAACTGTTCTGAGATTTGTGAGATCGTTCGCACAGCAAATGCCCGCCTTGCTAAGGAACACCCAGAGAGAATAGCACCTTTCGTGGTAGCCACTATCGACGCCGAAAAGTTCACGTTGCAAAGAGGTGTGTATGAGCTGCAAAGAAGGTTATTTGCAAGGTTTAACGTCTCTGAGGAGCCTATTTCGGTTGTAGGCACCATCCAGATGTACCTGAAAGAGTCACAGGATTTGCTGGCATCTGAGTATAAGCTGGCACAGCAGAACCGTTATAGAGTGGGCTGGAAATTGGTTAGAGGTGCATACATACACACCGAGCCCGACAGAAGTGTTATCCATGACACCAAAGAGAACACAGATGACAATTACAACCGGGGAATTTCCAGGACCATCGATCAGATCGTGAAACAGGAGAAGAACACTGGTGTAGTTGGTCATTTGGTGGTTGCCTCGCACAACTATGACTCGCAGCTGTTTGCAGAGGAAATCATCAAGAGTTCAGCACAAAAATCGAACATCACCTTGGCCCAACTGCTGGGAATGGCAGACGACGTTACTCACGATCTGATCCATGCCCATGGAGTGAATAACATCATCAAATATGTTCCATGGGGTCCTCCAAAAGAGACCAAAGACTATTTGCTGAGGCGACTGGAAGAGAATGGAGATGCAGTTAGAAGCGATAGTGGGTGGCCATTGTTGAAGGGGATAGTTTCAGTGATAGGCAGGAGGTGGTTCACGCAGAAGCAATCACTGTAAACTGTGATGACCCAAGCAATCACATAATCATACTAGCTAATCCATTGTAAAGACCCATTAGCTGAATTTCAGAATCTTAGAATGAACATCTCCACTCATCGTATATACTTATTCATGAACTTCTTGTGTTGATCGCTTCTCAAAGCATCGTTAGAGTACGTGTCTTCTTTCGAGACAGATGAACCTTGTTGTTTGGCAAAAACGGTTTCATGTCTCCAAGACTTTCTGACCTTTTTTTCAGAGGTTGCCAGTAAGGGATTGCTTTGCATTGCTCGCTGAACCTGCTGCTCCTTCTCACGTTTCTCCTGCTCGGCTGCTCTTTCAGCCTTTATTTTTGCAAATTCCCTCATTAATTCCTCCTCATCTTCTTCATCTTCATCTTCGTCAGAGCCAGATTCAGAGCCAGATACCTCGGAGTCTATACCATCAGAATCGTCTTCGTCAGAGTGGTCAGACTCCGCCTCGCGTTCACTCGAGGTATCATTAAAAGAGTTTTCCAAATCCTCCTTGAGATCCTTCACACCATCAGCAGCAACTTCGTCGCGCAAAACCTTTTTCACAGCCTTTTCTTCTCCATCTTGTCCTTGTTCCTCATCATCGAAATCGTCATGCGTTCTCTTGATGGCTTTTCTAAACTTCAGCTTTGTCTGTCCTGGTAACTCTCTAGCATGCTTGATAGAGGCCTTATTCGAGTGTTCTCTGCCCTTTGCAGGATCAAATGTGGGTCTATGAGCAGTGGTCATAGTGCTAGGTCTTGTGCGGTTTGACTTATCAGTACGTAGATGATAAGTAGTGTAAAAAGATAGAGCAGACTGCCTAGGCCTCATCCCCGGAAGTCCGGATTAGTAGGCTCAAAGTGGAGAGAATAGCGGAGCTGAACTCGGAAGAATTATACATACCACATATATAAAAGACTCTTGCACGTAGTAAATCACTCGAATATCGATGGAAATATACTTGAATGCCACTTTATCCATCAAACCATTTATTTTTTACCCATCTATTGGACACATTCCATTCCGACCCGAGGGCAGAGTTTGATGATGAACCTGAAACGAAATGACAGTCGGCAATTCCACAGCCCTTCACCTTCAGCCATCGCAGAGGGCCAGCAATGAGATCAAGTTGATTGATTCCACCTTTGTCTGATTTGACTTTGTTTCTTGGTTTGATCCAGAGCTTGAACGTGGACTCTTGATTGCTTGCCTGCGGGGCTATTTTTTTTGTTTCAGAATCTTCGATTTCTGGTTTCTGTTCTTGTTACATTCCCGAGGCTGATTCGTGATAATGGCTGACGACCACCGCATAATAATATCCAGTCCAGAGGCTGAAATACCGCGTGAAGAAATGCTCCAAGATACAGCAGATATGGGCGCCACCACCTCAGTTTCCATCAAAGACTTTGCCTATGCCACCACAGACCCTTTGCACTACGGAGTGACCACTGAGATGGGACTGGAGTTTGATGACTATAATGATTATAACGAGAATGACGAGGAATATTTGACAGAAGACTACGAGACCATGCCGTCTTGGGTCAAGGATGACCAGGAGGATGATATACCAGGCGAGGACCGTCTGCGGCGTGCCATTGCCCTGTATCCCTTTTCTCCAGAGAACGAGAACGAGCTCGAGCTCGAAGAACACCAGGTGATAATGATTAATTACAAGTATGGCGATGGCTGGCTGGTTGCAAGTGATTTGGAGACCGGGGATACGGGGCTGGTACCGGAAGAGTATGTGCAATTGCTGGAGGAGGAGGAAGAGGAAGAAGAAGAAGAGGCCAGGCCGTTTTTGCCCAGCATACTCCAGGACAGCGGTGGTGTTGATGCCGATGACGATGATGAGTGGGAGGATGAAGAAGATGAAGAGGATGATGAAGAGCTTTCGGAAGCCACGGACAATTTACAGAAGTTACGGGTAGGTGAGAAATGAGATGTGGTTGGGAAATTACAAGAAAGAGGTTCAATCCTAAAGCAATAAACGTTTTTGGAATACAGAGTAACAGTGCGAGAAGGGTGGTTATGCGATCAACTTTACAGAGAAGTCCAACAGCCAACAGCCGTCTGTCCTTAGTCCTCTATCTGAGCTTCCCAATTTGTCTCATCAACCTGCTCCTCCTGCGGTTTCAGCAGAAACCCGCCCACTTGAGCTAAAAGATCGTGGACCTGACCAGCCAACTCGGGATCGGTCTCCTCGAGAATGGAGTCAACTTGCAGCAGCTTGTAGGCGCCGCTTAATGCCACACGTGCGTCATATATATAATCACTCGAACTCTCGTCGCCGAGCCTGATGCTGTAAGAGTCAAATTTTTGCGTAATTTCTTTAGAGTTGTCAGGATCGACCTGGTTTTGGACCGATAGAGCACACAGATAATTGGCGAAACCTTCAAGGTGGAAACTTTCCACTGATTGCTCGTTGATATCTTGCACACTGGAGGCAATCTCAATGGCCGAAAACAAAAGTCCAAGTTCAATGGCATACTTGCACAAAGTGATCAGCGGCTGCACCAAGTTTATGTATTCCTGATTGATGTCGTTGGGGTCCTCATCGGAGTTTTGCTCGGCCAATTGCTCCAACCTCTCTTTCTTGAGTCTGAAAAGGTCCCACGATTTGCTGATGGCATGCCTGGCCTCTTCATCTTTCTGTTGCGATATCCTTATACTGGCCAAAACAGACCAACTCTCAGCATTAGACTCGTTATCCAGGCTCATCGATTTTTGAATTAGCTCCTCGCATTGGGTCTCTGCTTCGGGTTCCATACACAGATCCGTCATCCAGATGTCAATCGAAGCAAACAGCGCCTGGTTTGTTTTTTCCACCAGATATCTCCTTGCCAAATCAACAGACTCAAAAGCACTCAAAACCCCGGTAAGATCCGATTTTGAGCTTAGTCCACTGAGAGTATTCATCAACGCATTGTAGCCCACCTCCAAGTAGTGCAGGCCATCGGCACCTCCAATAATCTGGCCAAGATATAGATACTTTTCACTTCCATACTGGACTTCTGGATCAAGCTCACAGGCTCTGATCAGAACCTCATATGCTTGTTCCAACTCAGAGACTTCTAGTAGCGTCTCTCCCAGGATTTGAAGGAAGATAGGACTGTCACCAAACTTTTCAAACTGAGGCTGCAGCACCTGCAACGCCCTTTCGGGTTCTGCCTGAGCATTGAACGAAGATGCCTCAGATATTATGTTCTGTAACTCGCTGTTGGTGCTCATTATATTATGACAAAAGGTGCTGTGGTGAATGCAACTGGTACTAACACCAGCTTACGTGAAACTTTTGATAATCCATAAACTTTTTTTCAGATCATCGGCACGTGACATCCGAAGGTAGACGAGCCGTGTCGAATTCGAAGTTTTTTATCATTAATACCAAACTGAATGGTGGTCATTCGGATGCAAAATATTTAAAGCTCACCATGGATCCCGCAGAAGAACAGGCTCAAGAGCTCGAGGTCTTGGAATCTATATATCCTGATGAGTTGACGAAGCTCAGTGATAAGCAATTCGTGATCAACGTCCTTTTAGAGACGGAGACCGAAAGGAAGCATAGACTTGCACTACATGTGGAATATCCGGACACATACCCCGAGGTGATTCCTCTGTTGAAGGTGAGGATAGGGGAAAGTCTAGAGGAGGACGAAGACGACGAGTCCGAGGATTACGAGGACGAAGAAGAGGAAGAGGATAATGAGGCTGATGACGAACACGCATCCCCAGTACACATCCCAGAGACAGTAGAATTTGACTCGGACGATCTCAGCAACTTGTTAACGAAGGTTATAGAAGAGGCCGAAGAAAATGTGGGGATGCCCAGCGTGTTTGCGTTGGTATCTGTTCTCAAAGACCTGGCCGAAAGCATGTTCATACGAAAGTGCGAAGAGGCTCAAAAACTGCACGACGAAGAGCTTCAGCGCCGAGAGAGGGAAGAACAGAAGAAGTTCAATGGTACGAAAGTTACTCCGCAGTCTTTTGAGGAATGGCGGTTGAGGTTCAGGGAGGAGATGAAGATTGACGAAAGACTAGAGCAGAGAGCAAAAACTGCCAATGGCGGAAAGCTGACCGGAAAGGAAATCTTTGAAAGAGGACTTGCTGGAAATGACGATCTAGTAGAGGGACTGGAGAATTTGCAAGTTTAGTTAAGCAGGTACGCGAAAACTCGCAATTGTTGCATATGTAGTTGATTGAATGGTTAGTTAACTAAATTTTCAAACTTACAGGAATACCATATAAAGAGCTCAAACATCGGACTTTGCCTTTCGAAGCAAATCATCAAAAGGAGAGACTGCACTTTTCTCTGCACTTTTCTCTGCGCCTTTCTCTGCACTCTGACGTCTGTGCTGAATGGGGCTGTCATTGGGATGATTCATAGAACCTATTCCAAACGGTGATACAGGTGATATAGGAAACGAAACTGTTGTCTTGGGGGGAGTGCTTGGTAAAAAATCTCCGAGCAAATCTGTTCCTCGTGGAATTGTGCTTTCAACCTTAAATTGTTTTGCACCCTGCCCAGACAGATTTTCACGCATAGGCTGCAGCTGCGGCGCAGGCTCTGCAGCGATATAATCAAGGCGCGACGTTTGAGCCGTGTCAGGATAATCATTATACGAATTACCAGCAGAGTAAAGATTCAAATCGTCATCATCATCGTCGTTAAGTCTCAAAGATCCTTGTTCTTGAAAATGTGCCGTTCGTCTGCTTCCACCAGCTCTGAATCCGCTCACCACATCTGATAGGGAGCCCAGTCTAGTTCTAGATGGAGGTGATGAATCCAAGGCATTGGATGCATTTGCATTCAAACCATTTGAAGCACTCGAACTTGCAATCTTTTCATAAGCAGAATGAAACTTGGAACGTTGTTCGTCCAAATAAGCCTCCTCAGTCAACATCCGTAGAACACTCTCTGCCTTACCCCGGATTACCTTAGTATGCTGCGCACTTCGATTATCGCTAGCGTAAACGCATTGGTATCTCGTTGAGATTTCTCTCAATAGCTCTTTTTGATTGCTGAATGAATTTTTTATATCGAATCCACCTGGCGAGTGACAGTTTATCAGAAGGTGTTCAATCACCTTCAGGCTCTTCAGCACGATAATGTGCTCCACGCCGTTGGTTACCACTGACTTCTTCAGTTTAGTGAGCAGTCCCTCATTGTTTGCCTGGAACGCGACGTGTGTACCTGAATATTCGCGAAGACGTTTCACAATGAAGTTAACAGTATCCTCGGCGAAACTTCCAGCTGAAGGGGAGTCGTAGTCATAGCCGTCCGAGAAGTCATCGTAAAGTCTCTTCTGGTCTAGACTCTCACCCAGCACGGTCTCGTTTATTTCGAAGAGTTGATGTGTGGTTGGACCCCAGGCATCTGTATTTGTTGCTTCCCTGATGAGATTCTCTGCCCTGGAGTAGTTCGAAAGGGCTACACATGTTCTGTTAGTACAATTAGCCTTCCCCAGATTTCTGCGCTAGTTGCAGAATTAGTCAACTTACCGTTTTGGACCTTCCTACCAGCTTGACGAACGTCGTATAAGGAAAATCTGTTCATTTTTGTGAATTTTCTCGCCTTTAACCTCGAATTTTTGGACTTGAATGTTACTAACGAAGAAAGCCACATATTCAGCTACACCCTTTTAAGACCCATTTTTCACGGGACGCACGGGGCTCTAAGCGGGGGGCTGTGGTCCTTCTCCAATTCTGCAATTCGTGAAACTACGATTGAACACATTTTATACGATTGTAAATATTCCATTACTAATGGAATTGATATTTTCCAGATCATGAGAACCCTTGGCTTGCTGTTTCGCCACCCTTCCATATGGAGCGAAGTCATTGCTTAGTAGCTACAAAGGAGGCGTTTTTGAGTGAAATTTTCTAAAAAAGAACGAGTTCTCAATTTTTTTCGGGGGTTGTTATAGCACTAAATAACCAACAAAGAATAATCCAGGCGAGATATACTTGCTATCGCGATACACTTAGGTTCTATCGTGATACGTACAGCCTGTCGTGGCCAGTTGCTTAGAGCTCACCAGAGTCGACAATCTCGATCTTGCCTCTGGTCTCACCGGAGTTAGAACCCAAGGACTCGACCTTCTTGACAACGTCGAAACCATCAATGATCTCACCGAAGACAACGTGCTTACCGTCCAACCATGGGCATGGAACGGTGGTGATGAAGAATTGGGATCCGTTGGTGTTTGGACCGGCGTTAGCCATAGACAACAAACCTGGCTTGGTGTGTCTGTGGATGAAGTTCTCATCTGGGAATTTCTCACCGTAGATGGACTTTCCACCGGTTCCGTTGAATCTGGTGAAGTCACCACCTTGCAACATGAATTGGGGAATGACTCTGTGGAAGATAGAGTTCTTGTAACCGTAACCCTTCTCACCGGTAGACAAAGCTCTGAAGTTCTCAGTGGTCTTTGGAACATCGTCGTACAACTGGAAGGAGATTCTGCCGAGTGGCTTGCCTGCGGGAACAAAAATGTTAGGTCAAAATCATCATACTATCAATTGAGCGTCAAACTTACCATCAGCGGCAACGTCGAAGTAAGTCTTGGTCATTTTATCTGTTTTTTGGGATAATTACGATATATCGTTGGTTATGGACAGCAAATCAATTTTCAGAAGGAAGGCAAACGTCCAGAGATTTTTATGGAGAGGCTACGTTGTTAGGAGCACTTTCATAATTTCCGAATGAGGTAATTACCTTTTTTGGTCTATGTACAATTCTAGAGCTTTTTCAGCAGTGTGATGGATTTTTCAACCAGGGTCTCGACATCGCTACCAACAAGCGTGAGACCAAGCTGGTTTTTCTTGAGATCGCCACCGGATGCAATTGTAAAGGTCGCAGGTAGTCCTTCGTATTCCAGTTCAAGAGATTTGATGAAAAAGTCTTCGGTAAAAACGTAGGGAACTGGTCTACCATTTACCCGGATGTTGATGTGCGGGTTTCTTCTGTAGCAAAACTCGAGGTTTTCTCCAACGGCAAGCTCGATCTTGGAGTTTTCCAAGAATTCCACAATTCCAGGTTGGTCTTCAGTCCATTGTTTGACATTTGAGTTAAAATCTGCCAATATGGGGGCGAAACTCGACGCCATGAATTTGAGATCCGCGGTAGCTCCAGGAACGGGACACACCACCACATTTTCATTCTCAATGGAGTGCACCTGCATCGAAGTGACATCCACCTTGTAGGAGTCAGTATGATAGTTATCCAGAGTCAGATTGAAAGTGACCTGCAATGGAGGGAGAACGTTAAAGTCTTCAACCGATGCATTGGGATCAGGAACGAACTTGAGTCTGAGAAAATACTCGAATCCACCTTTGATGCTCAATTTCTTCACGAATGAGGGGAGCGATTGCAAACTTTCGTGGAAGAAATAATCCCCATCGCTTGTAGAAAAAAGTGCTTTGCCGAAAGATGCTGTGAAAACAGGTTGGTCCCAGTTTTCTTTTGGCACCACATACTTTTTAGTGTTTTTTGTGTCAAGAAGATCATTTTTCAAAACCTGAATATCAGGCTCGAAATTTAACTCTTTCTCTTCATAAGATTCTTCAACCTCACCACTACCCACTCCCTCAGATTGAATCGTTTCACTCATAAAGGGCAGCTTGTTAAACAGACTCTGAGAATTTTTGAAATCATCAACCTTCCTTTCCAACTCGTGGTATTCGCTTGTGTCAGTAGGGGTGAGCTGTGTGGTGCTGTGGCGCTCGGTTTTGCTTTTGAGTCTATAATACTGATCTGGCGTTCCGTGGTCTGGTCCAAGCAAGAACCACGGTAGCGACCAGTAATCAGCACCACTAGATGCAAAAACCTTGGACTCCGTAAAAAACTTTCTGAGATGCTTGTTCTGCCCGGAACCTCTCGTGATGTTCGACAGGAGCTTTCTTTCAATCTCCAGTATGTGTAGCTCTTTTAAAGCCGAGATATCGTAATTGCAGCACTCGTCTGTCAGATGTTGCCTTCCACTAAGGGCTTCCTCTATGTTGAAGGTCTCGTCCTCAGCTTCACCACTCGATCTCTTGAAATAAACTGGGGATCCTGCCTGGACCAAAGAAAAGGGAAGACCGAGACCTCTCGCCTTATATAGCTGGCGAAGGCTGGAAAAGTCAACTCTTTTTGAAACTATTTTGCCAACAAAGGCAGCCCAAGAAGACCTGACATAAGAAATCACCAGCTTCGAGCTTCTGACTTCTAAAGCTGCCGAAGAATGACGAGGCAAATATATGTGAGCTCCTGCACCCTTCCACAGCTGAATCAAAGGCGACTTGAACAACAAAAAGGCTTGGCTGGGATCGGAAAAATATATCTGCTCTGTTTTTTCTCGCATGCGTTGCGCTTTCGTTATCCTAGTGGAGAAATTGCTCTGCGACTGCTGAGAGGACGAAGCATCCAGACCCCAGACCGTTTTCGTTATTTGCGAGACGCAGCCTTTCTTTGTCTTTTTTGAAGATTTTATCTGCGGATATCTGCTTCCCAAATATAGCTGGAGCTGTTTCAGCGAAAACCTTCTGCTCAGCTCGTCACAGAGGCTTTTGATCTCTTCAGCAGACACATGCTCTTTGGATGGTCTGAGCGAGTCTATCGAAGCCAAAACATCATTTGTATCGGCAGTCTGTTTGAAATGCAACATACTCTGTCTCTTTCTCTCGAGAAAGTCGTCTCTCTGAAATTCCTCCGAGAAATGTTGAACTGGCATTTTGCGAGCTTCATGCAATAGTTTGTTTCCAAGCACCAATGGTTTCTGCCATACTGATGCTTCTTGGGCAGCATCTGGTGTTGCAGTCAACATGTTTCCCAGTAAGCTATCTATTGTTAGCGTCTTCTTGGGCTGGTCCTGAGCATCTGAGTTTTCAGTTTTCTCTTGAAGGGTATCACTATCGCTCTGGGGACTAGCTCCAAACGGCCACGAGACCTCATTCTTGTCGGTGCTCTTAGAAACCTCTGGATCAAGCTCCAAAGACCAAGACTGGATCAAAGAATCAAACTCTGTCATGGGCTGTTCCAATTTTTCCGCACCCTCATGGCCCTCACCGGACTCTGGAGCCTTGTTGCTGAGCCAACGGTGGGTTACCTGGCTCGGCCCAAGCCTTGTGCCCGCGCAAGCACATCGCACTGTCCTTATTATATTTTGTTGTAACATGATCACAAACCCAAAAATACTCCCAAATTTTGCTCTGTTTTTGGGATATTCGTGGGCAATTTTGGCTGGCTGGCTGGTTATAAAAGAGAAAGAATACAGAAGAGATGAAAAAGATCGTGGAAACCAAATTTTTTTCAGATCAGAGCCGCTTCAGTTTTAAGTTTACTTAAGAGCATATATTACTTCTTTATGGGTGTAATTACAATCTTCTTTTCCACCAAGTAATGGAAAAACTGCCAGGTTTTGACAAAGGAACTCCCAGACGGATTCCGTTTTATGAGAGTTTCAGAAAACGGGAACTCGAAAAGAAAAGAATTGATCATGGCCTACCGAGAGCTGGGTTGTTACCTTCATACATATCCACGCGAAGATGCATATATGCTAGTCGAAGCAAGAAAATCAGAGAGGGTACGTTTTGGTCACAGAAGGAAAAGAGCGTTTTTTTCCATCTTTTGAGCATATATTCAATCCATCGGCTGGACCTGATATATGAGGGATTAGAGAGGAAGAAGTCTAAGCCTGAGATCCTCACTTACTATAAGCTCTTAAAGAGAGAGAGCAAAATACGATGGGTTTCCCTCTACACGACCAAAAAATTAGAAATGAAGGACATTCCAATTGCTTATGAGATGTCTGACACGTTTGTTCAATTGGAAGAATACCAGGCTTGGCAATTGCGGAAGTTCCCTCATGAAGACAATTCGTTTCTTCGTCAAAAACTGTGGGAAGAGAACCAGGAAGCGCTGCTCGATTTTCAAACCGCAAAAGACCTGAGCACATCGATTTTTAGAGAGAATAAAATCACGGATAACTCTCATAACCAGAAATACCCGATGGATGTATCAACCGGATCTCTAGAAATGCTCACTAGCCTGGCGAGGGTTATGGTAAGACAGCTTCTTGCGGAGATTATGGAAAAGAAGGTGCATGAGATGCTGTGTTCACCCAGTAAAAGTGTGGAAGAGATCGACATTGACTCTGATGATGTTTTCCATGCTTGTCATACGTTAGGGTTGTCAAAACTTAGACCAACGTCAATGGTTGATTACTGGAACAATATTGTCCCGCGTCTGAAGTTGGAACTGGATCGGGGTGATGAAAAGACAGGTACTCGTATCAAGACGAAGTTCACACCAAGTGAGTACGAGAATTGGCTGACAGAAAGAAGAGAAGCTCGGCTTGAGAATACAGAATCTGATCATTCTGTGCAAAGTCCTGATGCTGAGACCGACTCAGAGATAGAACAGGAGATGAATGTTTGGGAAATGAAAGACGATTTTTTGCAATCATCCCATTTCTTGATGAAGGCCGAAAAACAAGCCGAAGATGCCTCTGATGACGAGGATTTTGATGAGTCTTTTGAGGAGAAGGTTCTCCTGAACGAGACTGCCAGGCTCGAGAGACATGATCTTTTGGAGTCCAAAAGGTACGAAAATATCCTTCTTACTGCCATGACCACCATTGATTCTCCCTACATGTTTCCGTTTAAACAGATACAAGATCACTGTGTGTCTTTTTACCGACAGAAAACCAAGACGATCCAGGCGACTGTGAGACAAAAATATCAGGAAGCCGGATACCATGAAGATGACGTTTGGAATGGCCATAACTATGAGGATGAAATCCCCGAAAATGATTTCCAAAAGTATACCACGACTTTCGCAAACTATTCAAACTAATGACGATCTATATTTCCGGCCGCTTCGTTAAATAATTTCTGTTTGGAACTTGAAATTACTCAACCTTGACCTCATGGGGAGTAGGCTTGCTTGCCGACACCCACTTTTTGATGTCTTTAACATCGGAGACTTTTCCTGAGCCGCCATATCTGCTTTGTTCGTCGTCTCTGTCTGACGCGGTTTCTGGTCTCCACTTCCAGAATTCACGATCTTCTTCGCTCAAACCGTCCTGGCCGTAGATAGCCACTTTGCTGATGTACTTACCGATCACAGGCATCAGCATGAATGACTTCCCAGAGTCTCCTGAGCCCAAAACAACATTTTTGAACTTAGGATGCTCACATATGATCAGCTCTCTATTCGGAGAGTCGGTGCACCAGCAACTTCTAGTCTTGACGAATGGTCTATCGGCAAATTGTGGCAATGTCTCGCGCAGATACTCTCTGATTCCTTCCTCAGCTTCCACGGGGATTTCATCAGTAAACCACGGAATAGACTCATCGTGGCTGTCCAGATTTGTATAACCAGGGAACTCGTTACATACTTTTATCTCAAGATTTTCGTCGGCCTCGAAAAAGAACCCCTTTTGCAAGTTAAACATAACTGGCGATCCCTTAAAGATTTCTGCTTCCTCCTCGGTGACCTTGAAATGAGCGAGTGTGAAACATTTGGCCTGCAGTTGTTTCTCGAAGCTTAACACTTTAACGGCGTTTGCACCTGCGGTGATGACGATTCTATCTCCTGCAAAAGTTTTGCCAGACCTAGTCACGATAGATGCAATATTTGCGTCATCTGCAAGCACGTCCAAAATATTTCCATCTTCACCAAACGTGAATTTTACACCAAGTCTCTTACATTCCTCGTATGCCGACTTCAGCGAGTTCCTCGCATGCAGCCACCCGTCATCTTTGTTAAGTTTGTATCCTTTCCAGCCGGGGAGCTCACCTTTCAACACCGGTATGTGCTTGGAGAATTTCTCAGGCGAGTCTAAATATTCATAGTCCACAATTCCCTTATCGATCAATTTACGGATCTTTTCAGTTTCCTTCTTGAGAATTTTCTCTGAACATGCGGCGAAAATGAACCCTACCGGGTGGTAGAATGGGCTGTAGATGGGATCTGCCTTCCATTGGTCCCTGGCCTCCAACCGGATTCGCAATCCCGGGCTGATCTGCTCATCAGGTGCATGGACATCGTAGTCAAAAATCTTGTTGCTGTCATTTCCTGCTGCAATCGGGGAAGGACATTCGTAGTTGTCGAAGCAGTGGATGTTAGTGTAGCCATCCCTTGCCAACTCTAACGCCGTGGAGAGTCCAAAAGTTCCAGCCCCCACTATGAGAATGGAGGACGATTTGTCAATAATTGGGTTGGCCATCGGAATTGAGTGTTGACTCGAAGGAATTTGAACGAAGAAGATCTTCTTCGACTCTTATTTAACCAATTTTGCTTATCTTTGCATGTCCGACGCGTAACGTGGCTGTGCAGGAGTTGCCGCGGGGAAGGTGCAGCCGCAGATAACAATCCACATTTACTATCAAAATGCCCGATCTATTAAGATGTTTTTTTGATAACGCTAGTACGGCGACAGGTTTGATCTTTCGATGGAAATAATTGATTCTATGATAGTTTAGGGAGCCAAGTATCTAAAGCTGACACGTAAATAGATCCAAATTGCGTTCTATCACCAACCATCATCATCGCCAATAGGCGAATAGTCGTATTGCCTTTCATCTGGAATGGGTTGAGAGTCGGTAGGCTTTGGCTCGGTAGGCTTTGGCTCCATTTGTGCATCCCGAAAGACATCTCTCGTAGTCCTTGAAGTTAATAAGCCACCGTCATGACCAATCTTGAAATAGACTTCATTTAACAAACATAGACTTATCACAGACAATGATAAGACGGCGCTAAGCACATTTCCGGGATCGACTGCCATCCCAAAATGCGCAAACGGTAGGCAGAAACAAATATCAAGTCTGGGAAGAAAATTGGACTGTTGTTGGCTTTGATTCTAAAGGGAGGATATATCGCTTACTATATGCGCCACCGTTGCTGTGGCAAACCCAAAAGTAATCTGGAAGATATGCCATCTCCGCTTCAATATTTACAAATGTACAGTAGCTCAGACGGGACTAATAGATGACTTGTGTTCTCGACTGAAAAACAAAAATGTCGTCAAAATCCACAGGTAGCCAACGCAAAAAAATAAGACCAAAGTTATGCATTGGTAGGGAAGTACCGCAGATGCACCAGGAGTGCACGTCAAAAACTGTTTATTCAGCCTATTTGAAATAATATCCCAGATGGGTCGCGTGCATGCCAAGCTCTAGTTACTTACCGACTACAGAAAAGCTAACAGTTCTACCTTTTTTTATTGAAGGCGATACCTTCAAGCAAATGAAGTAACATAACATACCGTTGAAGACTTTCACTGGGCCAGTTGGCAGTTCGCAAGATAGCCGCAGATCGTACTATCACCTCTATCTGCACGCTTTTGGTTTGTTACTGACACAAGCACTGGCGTGCCTAAACTTCTGCGCTTGCCACACGCTGGTCGGAGAATATATATCCGGGTAAACAAGAAACACCAATCGGGCCATAACGATTCCCCAAAGCTTGTAAGAGAGGGAGACAAATCAACGATGTCACCACCTTTCAGAAGAGCTCATGTATGGTTACGTTTGAAGAGTCTGTACAAGCGGAAAATCTAGATCAAGACCGCTCGTCAAAGCTGCCTTGTTGCAATGTATTCAAAGGCTGTAAAACGTATCTCTTTAGCAGTGATATGACTTGAGTATGTCTGTTGAAGAGATGATGTTTGAGGGAAAACACCTAATCAAGAATTGAGGCAGGCGAACCCGAGCCCTGATCTCGAGATAGATTTTGGACCCGACACACGTCATTCTTATCTCTCTTATCGCTTGGTATTTTCAAAGACTGCTTACAAGATTAAGAACTATTACTGGATAAAAAGCTCTCAATTTGTAACATATATAAACCGCAATTACCGGCTGGTCATCCTTCATGAAAAGCAGCGCTAAGGCCGAACAATGACAGACTCGCTGAAAGTTGGACTTGAACCCCAGAATGAAAATAACTCCAAGTCAAGTACCGGCTTGGAAATAAGTGAAATCCCAGATTCAGAGACAGGAGAGGCTCTCAAAATTCAAGATTCTGTGATCGAAGGTGCCTTGGAAAAGAACTTCGATATTTGGGGTATAGTTGGAATTGTCTATTCATCCATAGGTACACCAATTACACTGGGCACGTATCTCTCCACCGTTATTGGTGTTGGGGGAGCTCCATTCTTCTTCTATGCGTACTTGTTTGCAGGTGTTTTTTGCTTGCTCACGGCCTACTCCATGTCGGAGATGGCATCAGTTAATCCGCACTCCTCTGCTTTAATCTACTGGTCTCATCTGTACGCTCCTCGAAAGTATGCCAGAGCCCTCGCCTATCTAAGTGGTATTTTATCATGTGCTTGTTGGATTTTTGGAGCAACTGCCACCAGTTTTTTTGTTTCTGAGCTCGTTTTGGGTTTAGTCAAAATGCGTCATCCGGGTTATGTGAGCCAGACCTATCACTACTACCTGGTTTTCCTGGCTAATGTGACATTATCAGCTGTGGTTAACATATTTGGAACGAGACTCATTCCTCTGGTGGCCAGAGCTGTGACATATATTTTCAACCTTGGAACAATTTTTACGCTTGTAGCGTTGTTGGCCAGAGCACACCCAAAGCAAACCGCCGCTTTCGCTTTCAAGGATGTCACCAACCTGACAGGATGGAATTCAAACGGTGTTGTGTTTTTCATCAGTATTTTGCCTACCACTGCTTCCTTGGCATTGTTTGATGGTGCATGTCACATGACGGACGAAATTCCAAATCCCAGAAAAAATATCCCAACCGTGATTACGTATGGTTATTCAGGTGCATATCTGATTGGATTTGTTGCAATATTGGTTTACAACTTCTGCATTGTCAATCCAGAAAATCTGCTTGACCCTGTCGGTGGGATTCCCCTTTTCCAGCTCTATGTGGATTCCTTGCACAATGACGGATTAGCTATAGTATCTGCGCTGATTGTTATTGTGGGATTTATCTGCGGGAGTATGGGAGTCGTTACATCGGCCAGCCGTCTGGTCATGGCCTTTGCAAATTTCGAAGGTATTCCTTTTGGACGAGCCATCGGCTCGGTAAATACCAGACTTAATGCACCTGTCTGGGCATTACTGTTCAATGCAACCTTGTGCTCTTTGCTGGGTCTTCTTGTATTTGCATCAAGCACAGCATTGAATGCTATTTCGGGAAGCTACATCTCCACCATGTATGTTGCATATCTAGTTCCATTTGTCGCTTTGGTCTTCAAAAAGGACAGATACGGAGAGGGAGTAAAACCTTTATTTAGCCTTGGCAGATGGGGAAGACCAATCAACATCATTTGTATTTTGTGGTTCTTGTTTGCGTCAGCCTGGTTATGTGTTCCATCCTACGTGCCAGTTACCGCTAACTCCATGAATTATACCGTTGTTGTGTTATGTGCTGCTGTCATCGTCGCCGTTGTGAACTGGTTCGTTTATGCACGGAAGCACTTTTCTATCGAAGTTATAGAAAAGTATGAAGAAAAGCTCGAGAACTAGAATATATACGGAAATTTGCTTTTTGATTATACTCCTCCCTATAGTTAGAACAGGAATGTAGAGAAAAGCCCAAGATAATCATGAAGTTTTGGAAAGAAATTGGCACTGCCACCAGATCATAGCGAAATGATAAAACTTAATCTAGTTAGCAATCGGGAACCCCACCGCATCAAACCTTGTTAGCTCGCCAAGCCAATCTCCAAAAGGGTTGCCGACCGAGCTATAGTCAATGAATTCTTCAATATTTAAACCATTTGCAGTTTCGGCCACTTCCCTGTCAAACGGATCGGAAATAGGAGCCTGTTGCTGATCATGAAGTTGTTGCAGATTCGAAACTGGTGAAAGTAAAGTTTCTGGAGAATGCTTTTCCGCAGCTCGTTGGCGGGCCATTGGATAAGTTCCCAGCGGATTCAAAATATACTCGAGTGAAAATTGTGGAGGATTGACGGATGAGTCTTTATTGGAATTAACTCGTTGTAACTGCTTTGAGTTCTTTAGTTCCAAATACTTTTCCCACACTTTCAATGAGAGCGTTGCGGACTCATAGTATTGATCTGCTTTCAAGAACGACCGAAGATATCCTAGTATATTCCTGTTTGATTCCAGCAGGTTGGTATAAAACCTATCTGGATATATGGGAAAAAGTGGCTCAGAGTCATTCCACGTTGTCAAACATGTGATCAACACTCTACTGCAAACCTGGACATGAGACAGGAAAGGTAAGTCAATCAAATCCATCCTCTCACAAGTCCACAAGTCCTTCAGCATACAGGCTATGCGAACAGCTGAAGAAGTGCACGTCTTGTAGCAAGAATGTATGAAACTCTTAGGCGCATTATCTCTTATTTTTTGTGTCGCTGAGTTTGGAAAGACAAGCTGCGGCACTGCAACCCTATGCAAGTCATGGAAAGACTGTGCGAGCATTATTTGCAGGCCATAAAACTGATTGAGAGTCTCAGAAACTTGATGGAGATAAGTGTTTTCCTTGTTCATAATTAATGATGGAGGCAACGAAGCTTCTAGATCAATAAGTTGACTTTCAAGAGTTTTAAACGTTGAATTTGCTTCCCAAGGAATCTCATTTTCCAAGTGTTTCACATATCTTAGGATTTTTGCCCTGATGACCATACATCTAATGTAATATGCTCTCACATCAAGCTTATCCGCAGCGTTAGTTACCTTCGTCCGCAAAAAAGGTAGAATGGTTCCTTTGTTCAGGGTCTCTGTGATACAAGGAATATTATTGATAAACAATTCCTCGGCACATGGCAGTTGGATTTTCATGTCTGAAGCTGACATAAATCTCAACTGATCTATGCCACACTCAATGAATGCATCTAGTAAAAAACAGGCCCAGGCTAAACGTCTTCTACTCTCTTTGCTTGCCCATGATACTCTTCCATCTTCGCAAAGAATATCGTAGTCGTATTCAATATTCAGTTGGAGAATTTGAACATAGCGTGTTATCAATCCAGATATGAAAAATGCCGATCCATGACTTCCAACTCTCAGATAATAATCATGCAGCAAAACCGCTGCCATTAGTTTTTCGATGCTTGTGCTCCCAAAGCTGGATAATAAGAGAGTTTGTGCAGCAGTGGCCCACCCGTCACCTGCCATAAAATATTGCGGAGGGTCATCTAAAGTAGAATTGGTCACTTCCGGAGCTAAAACCTCGTGAAGGTAAAAAGGCGCTGCCAGTGCACAAATGATGTGCAGTAGGGCGTTGTCCTTTCCTCCGTTGTCGATAGTACTTTTCATTTGCTCAGTAAACGTTGGTATATGAATGAAGCCCAAACATCTCGCTGTGTGTATCCTCCGAAAAAAAATGCCAACTAATTCTTTTATCACAATGGGTTCAGGAAGGCACTCAGAGCGCATCCATGCGGGTATCAAATCAACGTCTTTATTATCCGCAGGCTGGATATTTTGTGCTACTCCAAACGAACAGTCTAAATTCCGCCTGGTACATCTTTGGCACTTTGTACCCCCAGTACACTTTGACTTGGACCTCTTACACTCATCACAAGATTTCCACACTCTCCTTCTCTCGAATCCAGCCTGGCTTAGCTCGTTGGGATCTCTTCTGGGGCTTTGTCCAGTCTCACCCTTGGTATACGAACATAGTTCCCCAAACGTGGCGCATCGAGAACATCCCCCGACGAGACGGTCACACTTGATCTGATAAGATATTAGTAAACACTACAGTTGATGCTTTTCTATTGTATCAGACTAACCTTTCGCTTCCTGCAAACCTGACAGCTTATAGTTTCTTGTTGCATACCTATCTCTGTCCCCATCTCGATACGCGTAATGCGTAATGCGTAATGCAGGATAGGATGTCGCTGTGCCGGATGTCGCTCCTTTGATAAAACCCACGGGAGCGTTGTTCGTTTGGAGCACTACATTAAGAACGTTCAGTCTGCACTACCATAGATTGTTATTGACTCAATCTGCTGCCTGGATTTGACGATACGTAAATTATAATTATTTGCGCTAATAAAGTTGGTAAAGTTTATTGTTATGTATTATGCACTGACTGTATCATCCGTTGTCTCAAACCCTTCTTCGTGAATAATAGCTTCAGTTTCTGTCTTAGGCAGAGCCCACACAGCTGGCAAGGCAACTAACAGACATCCTATTGTCAGCCCCCAATTCATTGCAAATTGCTTCATTGGGCTGACAGCCTGGGCATTGATTCTCCACGCCATGGCTCCACCAGCAGGTTTTAAAGCGGAATAACTGCCAACAATCACAGCGTTTATTGCAGGCGCCCGTGAAAGTGATCCAATAATCCAGTAGCAGAATCCCTGCCAAAACGAGTCGTACAGACCATAGAAAAAGTACAGGAACATAGGGCCCACGTATATGGTCCCGTCTTTGTAGTCAATTGTCTGTACGATACCTTGTGCCTTTCTCTCATCGGACCAGACTTGGAAGTTATACCCACCTCCCCAGATAACCATGCCGGTGACAAAAAGCGTACCCCATCCCCATAAAGCACGGTTTCTCCTGTTTCCAATGAGGGAAAAGTCTAAAATAAACCCAATCAAAAAACCGCCAAGCATCTGTGCAATCCAATATAATGCGCTATTTAGCGAACGGGTTCTGAGATTGAATGTGGCCCCATTAACAACATTCTGCTGGTAAGAGTAAAATACGTTCGCATTGTAGAACATAGGGTAGAGGCATACGACTCTCCAGTCTAGCAAAATTCTGAGCGACTGGCGAGCAGTAACCTTGAAACTTTTCCATGTTAACTTGGAGATTTCTTTTTCCCTATATCCTTTGTATCTTTGGTTCAGGGAACCAGCTGGAGAGACAAATATAGATAAAGCCCACCCAAAAAGCATGATTACCGTGTATGCAACGTAAGTTGAATCTGTAACTGTTCCTTTCTTTGACTTGTAATTGATTCCAAAACTTGCGAGAGAGCCAATTGCACCTCCAAGATTGAACACAATCCAGAATAATCCTATCGCACGGCCCCTTGTTTGATCATTTGAATAAGTGACCATAATTGTTCCTTGTGCAACCCAGAAGAACGCCGCACCGAGACCTAGGATTGCACCTGCAGCAATGACAAAAGCACCGTTTCCAGTTCTGTTGTAATTAAGCAGGGAACCGCTATATAAAGCATAAGTCCAGCCGCCTATCAAAAGAGATAAACGTGGCCCAATGTACTTGTAGAAAACTCCAACCAAGATCAAAGCCGACCCTGCTGTACAGGCATGGGTTGCCACATTAGAGTTAGCAGCTACCGTACCATCCACCTGTCCAGATCCACCCATACCAGTGAGAGCATTGTACATTCCTGGATTGCAGAAACTAATGAAACTGATCAGAAAAATCTGAACCCAGGGATCGTGAACAAATTTGAAATAATTTGATTTCTCTGCTTCCAAGCGCGGCTCTTCGCGGTCGGGGTCATCTCTCATAGAGATGGTATCAGTGAGCCCTGCGGCTCCAATATCCTTGAAGTCGTCACTGTCAGCTTTTTCAACCTCGTCACTCATCTTTTTCAAATGCGTTAGCTTGGAGCGGAAGATGTATGATCAGACAAAGAATCCAACAATTCCGACTTGGTTAACCTCTGCGCTTTTATACATCAAGCATTTGCGTGTTTTGTCTTATAAGCAAGAGTGTTGATAAAGTTTCGGAAAGGTGCAAAAACTGTCTAATGTTTGTCCAATGAGGGAACTACCCTGCCATTTCTGCCCCATGTCAAGCTAATAAGAGCCACAGCTAAGAAAAAATACACGGGTCTCGGTGGTAGGACACTACGGATCTCGGCATTTCTTTCGGATGTCGGCGACGAAACATCATCTTCTAGGGTATTGATGAAAGATACGAGTCTTGTCTGTTATCTATTCGGCCAAAATTTCCGATATCCAACAGGAAGCTAAATAATTTTGAAGGGATTTGAAGATATATGTTCTGAGTGAGGGCCTTTTCCGAACTAACTAAACTTATCTGGGAGGAAAAAATCCGTTCCTTCTTGATTCGACAAAGGATAAAACTGAGACTTCTGTCGTGCTAATATATGGCTCCACTACTTAGTAACGCACTGATTTCAACCGAGTGCAGAAATTGTGTTGCCTCGCTGGCTAAAACTGCTGGCTACAAGAGAGACTGCCCGATGACGCAATCGACTGTCTCCATTCTCATCTTTGGGAGCATCCGGCGGAGAAACAAAAAGGCGCTATTCCGGCGGAAATATAATTACTGCTCATCTCCTTGTAGGTGAACGGCTTTTTCCAAGACGTCGGACTATGAGGATAGGATGGTGAACATTAATGAAGAATAACGTAATTTACCTCCCACGGAGTGCAGCACACGATATGTTGCAGAATTGCCTGCTAGGAGAATGAGATGTTTCAAATCAGGTATCGGTGATTGAGCTTGATCCTACCGAGGGTTTTGTGGACAAACGCATTATATAATCTTTAGATTATGCCAGATCACAATGCGGACGAAGCATACACGGATTATCAGCTCAATTGCGACGAATGTCCACGAATGATGCAAAAAAGTACGTCGGTAGCGCCTCGCCGATACGTTTCATCAAATGAGCATCGAAGAAAACTTTATTGTCTCGTTAAGGTCCATTGGAAAAGCGTATAATAATTTCTGATCACCTGCCAGATACTATACATAAAGGAGGCATGAAGGAAGACTGTAACAAGTAGTCACGGCGTATCATAAAAGCTTATTCCGACCCCTCCGCCACTAATCATCAGAGATTATGTGGGCTGAAATTTAATTCTGAATACTGTGCGAACCTACTTCAAGGAGATAATGTACAACAAACCCCGAGCCGTGCCATCGCAAGCCGTGCGGACTTTGACTCTCTGCCCAAGTTCTCACAATGGTGGGAGATGGTCGAGCAGGATAAGTCTATGTCACGCTTTCTTATTCAAGAAAAGATATGTATCACCACCCTTTAAGGGCTCAAAAAAAGGTACCTAGAATATCCACAATTTTTTAAAGGGTCCATTTGCAGATTTCCCTGCATGTGGACGGCTCGCCGAGGAGCATTTGGTCCAGGTAGTATATAAATGTACCGAAGGTTCGGGAAAGTTGTAGATAACTCGGTATACCGCACCCAGACTACCAGAAAAAACCATAATGAGTGACAACGATAATAAGAAAATCTCCTTGGATATCAAAGATGTGAGTGTGGTCGCTGAGGAGACAGTCTCTCACACAGACAGTCAAGGGCAGGAGATAGAAGATGGATATATTTTTTATCGCCCTAAGGATATCGAAGAGCTGGCTGAACCAGTTCAGTTTGACGATAGCTGGTCTCTTAAGTTCAAGTCCCTCTTCAAAAAAAAATCAAACAACGATGACAAAATTGCTACTAGAAGATCGTACTTTGAAGACCCTGACTGGGAAGTTGTCAAACAGTACTATCCTAAGGAGCATTATGAAAACTATAAATCTTTTGATCCCTACCTCAGATGGAGTTTCAAGGAGGATAGAGCACTCACTAAAAAGATTGATTTCAGAATTTTCACTATGCTTGGTGCCTTGTTTTTTGCGTTGAACCTTGACAGAGGAAATTTAAGTTCGGCAGTTGCAGGCGGACTGTTGGAGGACATTGGTCTTTCAACAGACGACTACAATAACGGAAATACGTTGAGATCGGTGGGGTTCATCATCTCCGAGATTCCTTCGCAAATGATTGGCAAAAGGTTTGGACCTGATTGGTGGATTCCTATTCAAGTGGTCATATGGAGTCTTATCGCCTTATTCCAGTTTTTCATGAATGGAACTAAGTCGTACTTGGCTTTGCGTTTTTTGCTTGGTGTTGCTCAAGGAGGGTTCATTGCTGATTCTGTTCAGTATATGTCCTATTTCTACACAAGACAGGAAATGGGTTTCCGTTTGTCGCTTTTCTGGGTTGTTGACTACTTCTCGGGTATCATCAGCAATCTTCTCGCCATTGCCTTTTTGAAAGTAGGTTTACATGGCAAAGAAGGATGGAGATGGTTGTTTTTGTTTGACGGCTTGATCACACTGGCGATTGGAATAGCCGCCTTTTTTTTCATGGTCCCTGGCCCCACACAAACAAAGACTAAATTCAATCCAAACGGAATTTTCACTGAGCGAGAAGAGAAAATCATCACGAACAGGCTTCTTCGTGATGACCCCTCAAAATCAGATATGCACAACAGGGAAGGTATCACTGTTAAACAGTTCTTCAAAACTCTCAGCGACTTTGACCTTTGGCCTGTTCTTATCCTCTCCTTTGTTTTTGAGATTCCTCAAAATCCCATCAAAAGGTATCTGAACATCAACTTGAAGAAGCTAAATTTCTCTAGAAACACCATCATCTACCTGAACATTCCGATAGAGGCTATGTGCAGTATCACCCTCGTTGGTATTACACTGCTATCTGAAGCAGTGAATGAGAGATCGTTAGTCTGTATCATACCACAGTTGTGGATTCTCATCGTTGTTGTTGTCGAGTACGTTCATGCGTCTACGTTGAAGCCCTGGGCACAGTATGCGATCATGTTTTTTGCTATTGGAAACCCATCAGCTCAAGCAATCATAGTATCATGGTGTTCTAGGGTGTCTTATTCCGTTAGAGCAAGGGCAATATCTGCTCCAATGTCGAACATCGCTGTCCAGCTTGCTGGTATTGCTGGGGGTTACATCTACCGCAGTGATGATGCTCCACTTTATCACAGAGGAAATCGTGTTATCATTGGTCTGTGTGTCATGAATATTGGTTTGTTCCTTTTTGCCAAAGCCTACTACATTTGGAGAAACAAGACAAAGGAGGAGAAATGGAGCAAATTGTCCGATGAACAGAAGGAAGAATACATATCCACTCACAGACACGATGGTAACAAGAGATTGGACTACTTGTTCGAACATTGATTACTGCATTTTGCTGCCTTCAGTGATTTGCAACACTTTGAATGTACAGGCTATAATTCTCTAAGTCTCATACTACTTTATGTGTGAAATTTTACTCTTTGTTTTATGTACTTCATATCTTTAATTAGCTTCCAATAAGCGTCATTGGACATTATATTTTTACTCAACCTCACAGAGATGCAGAAGGGTATCAACCTTCAAAATAAGCCAGAACTCTGTTCAGCGCTCCTCAACCAGTTCGATTAAAGTTTCGCGGAGGGCAAAAATGCAGGAACCAAGAAACTGTGGCTTTCCTGCAAGGTGCCCGCCGTGCGGTAATATCTTAGGAAATTTTGACATTTTGCTCCACAATTAACGCATAAGCATTGTAATTCTCAACTCAAAGACCACTCCGGAGAAACATATGGATAGTTAGGGGTCTGCACTGATTGGGGTTCGAAAATATCTTATGCCCGTGATTTTGCTTTATATTTTGAAAGTTCCGCTGTTTTGTTCTGGCAGAACCACATATTGATCATTTGGCTAAGCTTTGCGATGTCTAGTGTTACCGAAATTCAAGAACACTCGACCTCTTCGAGAGATGGTAGACTCACAGCTGTTGGTGATTCTTCTGATGGGAAGCCAAGATGGTCCAACCAGTCATTTGATTTTACTCTTCCAGAAGACCTTCGCAGGGTATTTCCAGACTACAGAACCCCGGATGGAGTATCTGCCTATCTCTATGCAAAAGAACAGGGAATTCAGTATCCCAATTATTCTCAATGGAAAATGGAACCTTATGTTGAGAAAACCGGTTTTCAGGATAAGGGTGCTCTTTCCAATCCTGAGAAGAGTGCGCTTCTCAGGGCTGCCAAAGAAGTTATTCATTTAACTCCATACTGCGGTACCGAGATTGTTGGCTTGAAGCTCACTGAACTCAGCGATGAACAGAAGAATGACTTGGCTCGCCTTGCAGCTGAAAGAGGAGTTGTGGTGTTTAGAGGTCAGGATGACCTTTTCATCAGAGAGCAAATCAAGTTTACCTCTTACTTTGGAGAACCACATATACATCAACAAAGTGGAATCATTCCTGACTTGCCTTGGTCTCATATTGTGTATAAGGACGAGACTTCGCTGAACGGTCTAAGATCACAAGTGTGGCACTCCGACGTTCCATATGAGCTTAACAGTGCCGGCTTAACCACAATGAGGTTCGACCTTTTACCTCAAGCTGAGAACGGCGACTTCATAGGAGGTGATACTTTGTTTGCCAATGGATATCTAATATATGAGGCTCTTGATCCACAATTCAGAGCTTGGTTGGAAACCCTGAAGGCCAAAAGCAGTGGACTTGGACAGGCCGCAGTCGCAGCAAGATTGGATATGGAGACCAGAAGACCTGCGTTCGAAACAGAACATCCCATTGTGAGAACAAACCCAGTCACGGGACTGAAATCTCTGTATGTGGCTGAGAACTTCACCACTGAGATTGTCGGCTTAGAAAAGCGGCTCAGCAAGTCAATTTTGGATTACCTTTTTGACCACATTAGAAGATGTTTGCAATTTCAGTGCCGCATCAAGTGGTCTCTAAACGATGTTGCTGTTTGGGACAATCGTTCGCACTTCCACACTGGAATTTTCGATTACTTTCCTAAGACAAGACATGGAACCAGAGTTATTGCACAAGCGGAGCGTCCATATTTGGCTGAAAATTCCAAACTCTATAGTGAGGTTAAGTTCCAGGGCTACAGCACTACATAAAGATAGAATTCAAAAACCATCTTTATGCTCAACTCAATTATACTGCACAGCTAGGCAAGATTCAACGTGAGTTTGCTTGTTTACCTGAATAAAAGCTCTATTTTATTTTACCTGACGGAAGTAGGGACGGCTTCGCACTGACTTGCTTCCATACCTTCACCCCACATTATCTACACGAACACACAGGACCACATTACTCTCTTCATGATCTTGTCGTCATGGGCTTGAAATATGCATTCCACGTCTGCACTTCAGATGATGCAATGGAATATGAAACAAATATATTCCCGAAGCCTTGTTAAGCGGAAGGCTTATGAAATTTGTCAGCAAATTTAGATGATATCGAAGTGTCAATAACAGGTGATGATTTGTCATCGGAGCAAGCAGCCGATAATTTATAAAGGAAGCAGTATATAATAACTAATCCTTGCCATGTTTTCAAAATTGAGTTTGTCTTGCAACACAACTACAATTCTCGTATAACTTCAACAAAAGATACAAGACATGTCTAGACTAAATGGAAAGACCGCTGTGGTCACCGGCGGTGCTACAGGAATCGGCTTCGCAGCCGCAAAGCGCTTCGTCGATGAAGGCGCTTTTGTCTTCATCTTTGGCCGCCGTCAGGAAGCACTTGACAAAGCTTTGAAGGACCTTGGGTCAAATGCCCGTGCTGTTAAGGGTTCAGTATCTGATCTTGAGGACCTCGACCGTCTCTACGCCGCAGTAAAGGCCGAGCGTGGTTCCCTTGACATTGTCCTTGCCAACGCTGGAACAGGAAGTCAACTTGCCCTCGGCAAGATCACCGTCGAGCACTGTGACGAAGCCTATGAAACCAATGTAAAGGGTACCCTTTTCACCGTTCAGAAGGCACTGCCACTGATGGGCAAGGGCGGTTCGATCATTCTGACCGGTTCAAGTGCTGGAACCACTGGTGCCCCAGGTATGGGTCTTTACAGCGCCAGTAAGGCTGCCTTGCGCAACTTCGCACGGAGCTGGGCCGAGGACTTGAAGGGTACCGGCATTCGTGTTAACGTTCTGTCCCCTGGGCCTACTGCAACCGAACTTGCAAAAGAAGCACTAGGTGAGGAGGGCCAGAAGGTATTCGCTTCCATGAACCCTCTCCAGCGCATGGCCGATCCGTCAGAAATCGGAGCCGTTGCTGCCTTCCTTGCATCGGATGACAGCAGCTTCATGACTGCCAGTGAGGTCGCCGTCGACGGAGGACTCGCCCAAATCTGAAGCTACTCGTGGCTAGTCCTACCTGGACTGGGCCAGTACCAGATGCTAGAGAGCCTCGTCTCTCTGCTTGCTAAAGCTGGAAACCTTAAATAAGGTCTTCCGTCTTCTACTGCTTCTTTGTCAGCATGTTTGGAGGAACGGGTATCGTCTTTCGAGTTTTTTTCCTTCGTACGCTTCGTGGTCTTTGATGGTACCTGTGGTGTCGCAGTGACAGAAGACTCATGCAAAGACTTTGAAGCTGAGAGACCGCTTTGGCAAGATAAGTAGTGTCGATGTTGGTGGGCGCTAGAACCTTGTGTTGCTAGTTGAGTGATAGGCGTGGTGATGCGGCTTTGAACTGCATGGTACGAATACTCTCACAGATGCAATCTCCCCATTGCATTGCCGTATTGCATTGAGGATCTGTTATCTTCAGAAGAAGCCTTTTTCTGTGCTGGCGTTGATCGCACAGCCACAGCCAAAATCATATTTATAGGAGCCATTTCTAGACTGCTCTCTAACAGTTGCACTGCATTTCACACTGTAAATGGTTCCTCGCCAAGATAGCCTTGCTCTATAAACGTTATCTGAGAGTTCTAGTTGTCGAGTCCAAACACTTCGTGTGCAAGATCAACTGCACAATGGTGCTTCATATAGTTGTAAGTTTTAGCATCTGGATCAAGTCTTTTGTTAAGGAATTTCAAATGCTGCTGACAAAAGGGGCTTTCCCGGGTCTGCTTGTGATGATTGCCTTTTGGGGATCTCATGTGTGCGTGCCCCCACAAATTGCTTTGGTAATCAGCTGCAAACTTCTGCAGTATTTACGGTGGAGAGAACTGCACATTAATCAATTGATGCTAAATCATCTACTTTACCACTTTTTTAAATTTCTCGGATTGTGCATATATCCAACGGTGCACTTATAGCATTGGCAACATCCTTTTAAATGCGATTTTGTTTTATCTCATTGATCAACAATTGATTGTCTGACATCGTATGTCCAATGTCCTTTTCCGAAGGAACAATATTTTACTAAGCACGCATGTGCGGCCATTTGCGACGTGGACGCAACAGACAATAAAAACACAGCAGGCATGGACTCCGAGAAGGGCTTGCGTTTGCGTATTTTTTTCCTCGGAGTTAAGTTTCTCTATTGATGACATAATCCTTGATGAACGACGAGGTCCCTGGGCCTATTTGGCGATATCAAAAAAAACCCTCCGAAAGAGCCGGTAAAGGATATATTACCGATCATATTTTCAACGGAAAACGAATGGCCCCACAAAGCATCCGCCGGCGTCCGTAATGCAGGCCAAGTCCTGGTTTTCTGGGGTTGATAACGTAAGATTCAGTTAAGTGAAGATCTCAAAATCCCAAAAACAGAACTCAGAAACGTTTGTCTCATCAAGTCCAAAGCTGAATTCAAATCAATTTTAATCAGAGCGCCCTCCCTCCCCCGCCAATCGCATAGCCACCCCCTTCAGCCCTGTTATCTTTGTTTTGCCCTCTAAAGAGCGTCGGATATAGCAAATGTAGCCACCCGATCGAACGGCTTTGGGCCGACGCTCTGGTTTTCACACGACTGCTGTTGGGCCCTTGAGAAAAGCGGAGAGGCGAGATTTTTGCTGTCTTCAAGATCTCTGCGCCACCTTTTCCCATATACCTCACCTGTTTTTTGCATCAACTTGAGTTATTCTTTCAATTCGAGTATATTCTGCACTGGATTCTGGAATTACTGATCCCTGAAATCAAGCTATAACTACTACGTTTGGCTCCTTGCTTGTTACAATCACCTGTGTCAGGCAAGCCATTTATCAAGTTCTGAACTTTTCTTGGTAGTGGTTGTACTTGCCTGAGTCATAGTTGAGGTCTCGGAATATTATCGGAATATAGTTCACCAGACTTTATTTGATCTCTGCCAAGCGCTATAGCTGCATTGCTGATATACGGTTGCAGCTACGGTATTTGTCAAATACCCGGTGCTCGTTGCTTTCCTCTGCGTGAGACCTGCTATATTATAGCTTCGTTGATTTTGATAAAAATTGAACCCACCATTATTGGTCCTCGCCAACTGCTACTCGTGCCCTAGTTTCCAGCTGACACACCCGCAACTGACGACCAATTGGCTATTGCACCTGAGTTGTGAGTCCAAGTTACCTTGAATCACTCACCACAAACATGTCTGAGCCTCCGCGCCAGAAAAGGATACTCAGTTGGGCATTGTCTAAAAAGGTTCCACCGATAACCCAAGAGGAAGATCGTCTTGAATATCCATTCAAACGTGCGAATATCCTCTCGAAGATTTTCTTCTCATGGCTAGACCCACTACTCCACAAAGGTTACCGAAGAACCCTTGAGCCCGAGGACTTATGGTACTTAACTGACGAACTCAAACTGGAACACTACTATTCCGTTTTTCTTGCCCAATTCGAGCCAGATCTGGCAGCTCGACGCGAGGCTCACCTCGAGGCCAAATGTAAAGCGCGTGGTGAAACGTTCGAAACGTCAACTGTGACCGAGGACGAAGACCTTGCGGATTTTGTGTATCCATGGCCAAAGTTTGGCCTTATCTTACTCAAGACGTTCTTTCGCCAATATGTGGGTGCCTGCGTGCTCAAAACGATTGGTGATCTCGCTTCTACAACAGCTCCTCTTTTACAAAAGGCCCTGATCAACTACGTGACGAAACGTGCCAAGGGCCTGGAGCCCAATGTGGGAACAGGAGTTGGCTATGCCATTGGCTGTGCTCTTTTCGTGACCCTGGAAGGGCTTATGGTTAACCATTACTTTTACCACGCCATGGTGACGGGTTCACAGGTTAAAGCCATTCTTACCAAGTTCATGCTGGAGAAATCTTTCAGACAGACGGGCAGATCTCGCCACGATTTTCCTACCGGTAAAGTGAATTCAATCATGGGAACTGATCTGGCAAGAATCGACTTTGCCATTGGGTTTCTTCCGTTTTTATTCTGTTTCCCAGTTCCGGCAATCGTTTCGATTGTTTTGTTGATTATCAACATCGGTCCTTCGTCATTGGTAGGAATCGCAATTTTCTTTTTGGCTCTGATAGCGCTTGGTTCTACCATCAAAAGACTGATGTTCTTCCGGCTTCGTGCCAACAAGTTCACCGATGGACGGGTGAATTTGGTGAAGGAGCTACTCAAGAACTTCAAGATGATTAAGTACTATTCGTGGGAACCGTCGTATGTAAAGAATATCGAGGAGACCCGTACTGCGGAGATGCACAATGTGTTTTTGATGCAAATCATGCGGAACATTATGGTGGCTTTCGCCATCGCGTTGCCCACTGTGTGCTCGATGATCTCGTTTTTGGTGCTTTACGGTATCAACTCGTCGCGCAGCGTCGCCGATATCTTTTCATCCCTGACGCTGTTTCAGGTGTTAGCAATGCAACTGATTATGGTGCCCTTAGCCCTTGCTTCCGGATCAGATGCTCTCATAGGTATCAGGCGTGTTTTGGAGTTCGTGTGTTCTGGTGACATAGACGAGGAAGATTCACAGGTTGAGCTCTCCCTCATCAAGGAGAAGATGGAAAGTTCCGGCTCGGTATTGCGCGTAGTCAACGCTAGTTTTGAATGGGAAACGTTTGATGCTGACGAAGAGGACATTGCTTCAACTAACGAGTCAGTCTCTGAAAATGAACGGAAGCCCGATCCGTCATTGGAGGGTCTCGAAAGCACGAGTTTCCCTGGACTGAACAACATAAACCTGGATATTCGTAAAGGCGAGTTTGTTGTGGTTACAGGCCTCATTGGGTCGGGCAAGTCCTCTTTATTGTATGCCCTCTCTGGCTTCATGCACCGCACACAAGGCCATGTGGCCACTATTGGAGATCTATTGCTCTGCGGTAACCCCTGGATCCAGAATGCCACTGTTAAGGATAATATCTCTTTCGGAATGCCGTTTGACCAGCAAAAGTACGATAATGTGATCCATGCGTGCTCTTTGGAGGCTGATCTGGACCTCCTACCGGCTGGAGATCACACCGAGGTCGGTGAAAGGGGTATTACGCTGTCCGGAGGTCAAAAGGCAAGACTTAATCTTGCACGTGCAGTCTATGCTGATCGTGATATCATTCTTTTGGATGATATTCTCAGTGCTGTGGATGCACGTGTTGGAAAACACATCATGGACGAGTGTCTTTTGGGGCTTTTGAAGGACAAAACGCGTCTGCTGGCTACACACCAGTTGTCGCTGATTTCTGCTGCTGATCGCGTGATTTTCCTAAATGGAGATGGCTCTATTGATGTGGGAACTACTGCCGAATTGCTTGCCCGTAATGAGGGCTTTACCAAATTGATGGAGTTTAGCACGCAGGAGAAAAACGACACTACAACCGAATCAGGTGAAGCTGCTCATTCCGGACCAGAACTAGAAGATGAGAAGGAACTGATCAGAATCCAAACCCTTACTAAATCGCTGGCTGAAGCCGAATCAAATTCCGACTATCAACACAAAGATGCAGACGGTGTGCTAATGCAGTTAGAAGATCGTGCTGTTAACGCGATCGAGTTAGGGGTCTACGGAAAATACCTCAAATTGGGTGCGGGTGCGTTCGGTATTGGAATCATACCTTTATTGCTGGGTCTAGTGGCTTGCTCCGTTTTTTGCTCGCTCTTCACCAACACGTGGTTGACGTTTTGGACCGAGAAGAAGTTCGATCGCAGCAATGGCTTTTTTATCGGTATTTACGTGATGTTCACCATGCTCACAATTGTATTCATGGTGCTGGAATTTTCGTTGTTGGTATATCTTACCAATACAGCCTCCAGACTTCTGAATATTTATGCCATCAGACGACTAATGCACGTGCCTATGTCGTTCATGGATACTACGCCTATGGGAAGAATTCTCAACAGGTTTACCAAGGATACGGATGTGCTAGATAATGAGCTTCCCGAGCAAATCAGATTGTTGGTCCACTTCACGGGAACTATCACCGGAATATTGGTTCTTTGTATCATATATTTGCCGTGGTTTGCGATCTCAGTACCTATTCTGGCATTTTGTTATATTGCCTGCGCTTCCTATTACCAAGCATCGGCTCGTGAGGTCAAACGGATAGAAGCTCTACAGAGATCATTCGTGTATTCCAACTTCAACGAAACGTTGCAAGGAATGGAGGTTATCACGGCGTATAAGGCTGAAAAGCGGTTCATTGCTCGCAATGATGCCTTGATTGACAAAATGAACGAGGCTTACTATTTGACTTTTGCAAATATGCGTTGGTTGTCTATCAGAATCGACGTCTTGGCGGCGGTGCTGGTTCTAATCGTATCGCTTCTTTGCGTGATGAGAGTGTTTCACATCTCGCCGGCCTCTGTTGGTTTGTTGCTCTCTTATACCCTGAATATTGCGGGAATGATGTCCATGTTGCTGAATGTCTCTACACAGATTGAGAACGAGATGAATTCGGTGGAAAGATTGGAATATTACGGCTTTAGAGTTGTCCAGGAAGCTCCGTTCAAGATCTCTGAAAAGACTCCACCCCCTGAATGGCCCCACGATGGCCGTATTCAATTCGAAAATGTGACATTGTGCTACCGCCAAGGTTTGCCTGCGGTGTTGAAGAACCTGAATATGGACGTGAAGGGCGCAGAGAAGATTGGAATTTGTGGACGTACTGGTGCCGGAAAGTCGTCGATTATGACGGCGCTGTACAGACTTGCAGAGATGGAATCCGGAGGTCGCATCTTGATTGATGATATTGACATAAGTACGCTTGGATTGCATGACTTGAGATCGAGGCTATCGATTATTCCGCAGGATCCAGTTTTGTTCCGCGGCAGCATCCGGGGCAATTTGGATCCTTTCCACGAACATAAAGACGAGCTCTTGTGGGATGCGTTGCGCAGAAGTGGTCTGATCGAAGGTTCAAAGCTGGATCAGGTCAAACACCAGACCCTTGACGATGAGAATCTGCATAAGTTTCACCTAGGTCAGAACGTTGAGGACGATGGAACTAATTTCTCGCTTGGAGAGCGCCAATTACTCGCTCTAGCGCGTGCTTTGGTTCGTAACTCCAAGATATTGATCTTGGATGAGGCCACTTCCTCGGTGGACTACGAGACTGACTCTAAGATCCAAACCACTATCTCCACTGAGTTTGCCGGATGTACCATCATGTGCATTGCTCATAGACTCAAGACGATTGTGAATTACGACCGGATCTTGGTGCTAGATAAGGGTGAGATTAGCGAGTTTGACAAACCATGGGCATTGTTTCAGGATGAGAGCACAATCTTCAGACAAATGTGTAACAAGTCTGGTGTTGTAGCTGAGGATTTTGAAAAACAAAACTAGAAGCTTCTAGTTTTGGTTAACAGGAAGAGCAGAAGATTCACCCGAGATTGCTGAAGATTACTGACGTATTGCTTGAACTGTGCTAAATGTATCTGGGACGTCGTGGTTCTTATCTTTGTTTTGATGCCCGATAGCCTTCTTTAATAGACCTCTAGTCAAATGTGGTAATAGTGCGTACTGCCAACCACCAATTACCAATAAGTAAATGTTACCTTCCAGTTTCCCAGCTGTCCTATACACAAGCTGTCATATGATTGTACATGCTGACTGCAGGCTAACACATGCAAATCTGTCACCAATATCATGTTGACTGGCAAAAAGAAAAATGATCAAGACTTCAAATGTACTGTGCTTGGACCAATATTTCCCTTGAGCTGTGCACTACCTGATCTTTGCCCCTTATCTTATCTTATCGCAGATGAGCTTCTTTTGCCTCTGTTGCACCTGCCTTATTATCCAAGTTGAGATGAGGTGCCGAGTAAGCGATGGTGAGCTCTTTTCCCATGATACAGGCGTTTTTCTGCCAAGAGAACGGGCCGCAACCTCTTGGTACAACGGACGAGCCATGTATTTCACACATGCCGTCTTCGATTTGTTCAGAATTCCACGAACTCTAGATGCTACCATTGGAAAGAGGCTACCTACGAATTTTTTATCGTCAAAATGTGGAGCATCATCCCAGATCTGATCAGCAACTTCAGCCGGTAGGTAGCCTCTGACACCTGAGAAATCTTGTCTGCAGTTACAGGCACAGTCACATTGAGTTCCCCAACTGTGGGGTTTGGGACTCTGTCTCCCTTGACCTTGTTGAAAAACTTTGCCGTAGTGATATCAACCCTCACGGGAGAGTTCGATGCTATTGAGCGTGAAACTGAATATTTTGAGAGCGGGGAAGGTATATGCGACGGAAACTTTTGTGTGTTCGATATCAATATTACGGGTGGATTTACGAAGTGCAGGTGTTTTGAAGTGTATTTATATTAGAGGTGTTGCATCCTTATTCAATCTGATGGTAGATTTCCGATTGCAGATCAGATTCAAAACCCCCAGAGGCTGGCAACTTTTAGCGATGGCCGGAATTACGTAATGCCCTTCCACAGCATCACCCAAATTATCTGTAATTCGTTATTCTTTAACCCCTCCGGCAAAGGATCTTTTTTGACTATACTGGCATGTCTGAGCGAGAGAGTTCTCTCAAGAAAGGGACAAGGCGGTTTACGGGTTGTTGGACATGTCGGAGGCGTGGCGTGAAGTGCGATGAAGGTCGACCCTACTGCAAGAAATGCAAAGCCAATGGACATGTTTGCGAGGGCTATATGGTGAAGCTATGTTGGGGGAATGATAATGATATTCCCTCAAAAAGAATACCTGAAAAGAACAGAAGTTTGATATTGTATGAGTGGAAGGAGAGTCAACTTCTCGATGATTTGAAAATTGATTATTTTTTAGACAGAATCGATATGGCGTCTGCATTCATCACTTCCAAGAGCTCTGAAAGCAAAGATAGCTTCGTTTACGGTCCCTTCAACGTATTTGATGCCTCTTGCAAATTTCAGGATGCACATGAATGGTCCCCGTCGGATTGTAAGGAAGGCCAACGTGATTATATCAAACCTCTATGCAGCTACCCTCCAAGGTTCTCTATGGGACCTGAAAGCAAGATCCGAGAAAGGCTCACTCAAACGTCGTTTGTGGGTATCCACAGTGATCTCAGAGTTGAGATTCTGCTGTTGGATTTCTGGGATATTTACTTGAGCAAAATTTTGACGGCAGTGGATGAGACCGAGGTCAATCCCTACAACCTGATGTTGAGGGAGGCGCTGGACAAGCCTCATGCAGCTGAGATACAAAGCGCGCTTATTCATACAGTATGTGCCATGTGTTCCAGTTTCCTGTCAACCGAAGCCGGGTATAACATGATCGCCCCCGAGTATCAAGATACCAATTTCCACCAGTACTGGAATTTCCATAAGATCAAGGGTCTTAGTTTTGTATCCGCGTCATATTCATGGAAAGAGGCTTCTTCGGGTGAAGAACTCAGTTTTTTGGTTGCATCAATTTACTTTCTGTTGACAACAGATGTTTTTTACAGCTCAGATGAGTGGCAGATTCATCTCAGGGGTGTGGTTGAAACTCTGAAATCCATCAGCCATTGGGATGAAAAAAGCCTTGTATCGGTAGTGAGAGAGCCGGATAGCGTATCTGGTGCCTTGCTATTCTTTGCCCAAATGACAAAACTTGATTATCTGTTCAGCACACTCTATCTAGTCAGTGACGATGTCTGCAACAAGTATATGACAGTCATGGATCTGGAATTCATCAACTATCCCGAAGAGCACATGACTAGGTCTCTGATGTATCGCAATACTGGAATCACATCCGGTATGTTGAGATGTCTGACGAACATAGTAAAATACTTACAGGTTGCGAACTCACCACAAGCTCGAGAACAAGCGGTTATAGCCATAGAACAAGAACTAATTGACTGCGAGCCTCCAGCATTCAATAACAACTTGAATTCTTTGAACTCGTTGATAATATATCATCAGTCCGTGATGTTTCATACGGCTATCAAGCTGCTTTTTATGAGAGAGGTGAAACAGCGAGGCCCACATGATTTGCAAGATCTGGTGAACTCTGGAATTGACCACATCGAAATAAACGAGGAGATTACAAAAGGTATTACCGGTATTGGCCTATACTGGCCAAGTTTTGTCATTTGTGTTGAAGCAGTGTCTTCAGAAAGTCAAGCAAGGGTCACTTCGTGGCTACAAACAATAGAACCTCATTGTGTGGACAGTATGAAACGTGGAAATCGAATTATCAAGAAGGTCTGGCAGAGGAGGCGAAATGGGGACCAGATTAGCTGGTTGAAGGTCATACGAGAAATTGATCCGACACTATTGTTGACTTGAAACGGAACGGACAATGGGTGTCCACTAGGCGCGATGTTCTTGTGTAGCATTACACACGCAATAAGGTCTGACCATCGAGCAGTACAGTGCTTTTGCGCATATCTATGTAGTTCTGTAGTTTGAATTTCTTCTTTTCTTACATGAAAACTCTTATTCAGTAAGAAAGAGGAATTTTTTAATTAGATCTGCCTCTAGACTGCCGTAAAATTCATCACTTTCTTATCGCTCAGACAATATGCTCGGCGTGATTACGTTTGAAGAACATTACCACTTGATCTGAATTTGCTCGTCAAAAGTTTATAACTAGGCTTGTTATTAATTTCCGCGGAATACATACTTCTGTCAAAAATATATGATAAAGGTTTATGTTGAAGCGGACGCCATTTTGGTTAAGAACTAACTAGTCGGGCTTATCAGTGCAACTGTTAGCGAGCCTGAATCCTTACATAAGTTTTGGACTGTAGCACGCAGTCTCTTATCTACCGTATCTTTGGGTGTGCCTAGTACGTGCAGATTACGAAAGCCACACTATTACTGGATGATATCTTCCAAATTCTGAGGTTTATAAAGACACAGGATTCCGTGATTTGTCTGGGCAACTTCTTTTCCAGTATAAGCAATTCTGAGTGTGAACAATGACGGGCTCACTGAAAGACAAGGTGAACAATCAGAACGAAAAGGGCTCCATCTCAAGCGCCGGTTTGGCAACAAAAGAAATCCCGGATTCGGAAATCGGAGAGGTTTTTAAAGTTCAAGATGGCGGGGATGAGAATGCCTTGGAGAGGAACTTCGATGTGTGGGGTGTTGTTGGAATTGTTTACTCATCCATCGGTACTCCACTCGCTCTTGGCACGTATCTCTCTACTGTCATAGGTGTTGGAGGAGCTCCATTCTTCTTCTACACATACTTGTTTGCAGGTGTTTTCTCCTTGCTAACGGCCTACTGCATGGCTGAATTTGCTTCGGTACATCCACACTCTTCTGCTTTGGTTTACTGGAGTTATCTGTACTGTTCTCCAAAGTATAATAGAGCACTTGCTTATCTCAGTGGTATATTGTCATGTGCTTGCTGGATATTTGGAATGACCGCCACTGGCTTCTTTGTTTCTGACCTCGTTTTGGGGTTAGTATACATGCATCATCCCAACTATGTGAGCCAGACCTTTCACTACTACTTGGTTTTCTTGGCCGGCGTGATATTCGCAGCAGGGGTTAACATATTTGGTACGAGACTCATTCCTCTGATATCCCGAGTCGTGAACTACGTTATCAACCTCGGAACATTGTTCACTCTTGTGGCACTATTGGCCAGAGCACACCCAAAGCAAACCGCCGCTTTCGCTTTCAAGGATGTCACTAACCTGACAGGGTGGAGCTCAAATGGTGTTGTGTTTTTCATGAGTATGTTGCCTACCCTCGCAACCATTACACTCTTTGACGGAGCATGTCACATGACAGATGAAATTCCAAACCCCAGAAAAAATATTCCAACCGTGATTACGTATGGTTATACTGGTGCGTATCTCATTGGATTGGTTTCAGTTTTGGTTTACAACTTCTGTATCGTGAACCCAGAAAATTTGCTTGACCCTGTTGGTGGCATTCCCCTTTTCCAGCTTTATGTGGATTCTTTGCACAATGAGAAATTAGCCACCGTATCTGCGTTGATAATAATTGTGACATTTCTTCTCGCAAGTATTGGGATTGTCACCTCTACCAGCCGTCTCGTCATGGCCTTTGCAAATTTCAAAGGTCTACCCTTTGCAAAAGCTATCGGATCAGTGAATACCAGACTTAATGCGCCTGTATGGGCAGTGTTGTTTGTTGCAGCCTTGACATGTTTGATTGGGCTTCTCATCTTCGCATCTACCACAGCACTGAATGCTGTTTCGGGAAGCTTGGTTGCCACCATGTATGTGTCATATCTTATTCCATTCGGTGCTTTGGTTCTCAATAAAAACAGATATGGAAAGGGGTTGAAACCTCTATTTGATCTTGGCAGATGGGGGAGACCGTTGAACATTATATGTATTGTTTGGTTTTTATTTGCGGCAGCCTGGATGTGTGTACCATCTTACGTGCCAGTTACCGCTAACACTATGAACTACACGGTTGCTGTTTTGGGTGCCACCGCCTTTGTTGCTGTTGTGAACTGGTTTGCTTATGCACGGAAGCACTTTTCTATTGATGTTATCAAGGAGACTGAGAGTGAGGAAGAAAATGTGGCAGAAATAAAAGCAGAATAGTTCGAAGGCCTTTATCAATAATTTTAATTCACTTTGCTATGCTAAGTTTGAAAGTCACATAATTCGAAGGGTAGGGAGCTTGTAAATGCTTTATAACAGTTTAAATTAAGTTGATTTATTTTGAGGGTTTGGTTGATGGATCTGCCTGTTTGATATCGCTTAATCTTCTCAAGGCTGTGCAGTTGCAGTGGATTTTTATTATCTGCATGAGTCTACTTTGGAAAACTACTTGTACGGCTAGTGTTATTCGGATCAGTAACGGTAACAAAATATATGGGTTAAAGTTTGAAGAATTGTTTAAGTGTTGTTAGGAGTTCAATTTGAAATCCGCGCATTCGTCTCAGATCAATCCTTCTCGAATTTGTCAATCATCCTGATATTCAGACATTGTGAAAAATGATGTTCTCAAAACCCAGTTAGCAGCAACGTCAGAAGGGTTGGAGGTGCAGAGGCTGTTCAGAACTACTTTTCTTCTACTGCTCCTGCCACCAAAGGACTACACCAAGGTGATTGTTCCGCGGGCGAGAGTGAGGGTCTTAAGCACTCAATTATGCAACCATTTACTGGTGTTCTCAGGCTAATAATCCCGGATTATTTGTTGATACTTCTTCCAACAAGTCTCTGTCTACTGGTTCATTGAGATCAATAAGACATTCTTCTGGTGAGGAATTTGAGTCATTACTGGATGTTTATAGAGAATATTGCAGATATAGATTTTTGACTTCGGGATTGTAGAGAGTGTATATGTATACATGAAAGGATAGAGGTCAGCAGCTATCCAGGTTTCATATAAGTCTCAGAGAGCTCAGAATCAAACATAATCCATAGTGCAGATGCCAAACTTCGAAAAACTCCCAAAATATGGCAGATTGAGTATATTCCAAAAAGACCAGAGAAGTTGGTACTCATGACGGGTTGGAACAGATAACTAAAGGGACTGCCTATCTGGCTCCGTTTGCGAATACGTGATTGTAAATTTCAGTACAAGACCTGAACTCATCTCACATCTCATCGGTTATTTTGACGCGCGCGTTGACTCTGCTTTGAGTGTGACAATAAGATGATATTATTTCTGCGCTGCACACGGGCTTTTGACTCCTATGCATGGAGAAGATCTACCCGGATGCCAAAATCTGCCAATTGGGATTACAATTGATCAGCGCACGGGGAGGGTAACAAATCAACGAAGTTTGGGAGTTGGCCCCTTCTTCCTTCCTTCAACTAATTTCTAAAAAAATTCTCATGCAAAGTCACCTGCTTACTTTGAAAACACAAGATATATGTTTGTAAATTTCAAGTTTATGCTTGTGTCGATCATAATGGGCGTGCCAATTAAGCTAAATCGTGAATTGAGCTGAGCTCAGAAAAAAGGAGAGACTATCGCGATTGTATTATCAAATTTTAAAACTGTAATAATACTGCTATCGATCGTCATACCAAACGCACCAACAGCGAATGAGTAATGCCATGATTGGGGCGAAATGGGTTGAGCTGAAGAGGACTCCTGATTAGCCGGTTCCGGCAAATCGTATATATGAATACTGCCATCGTTCATTTATGTGAGATAACAGATATGGCAGGGCACATCCGGGAACGTTTGGCAGTCGACGTTTTCTACCAGTTTATAAAAACTTGTTTTATGTCCACCCAACGTTCACGTCAGTTGAGGTTTGGTGGTCAGAGGACAACTATGGTGCTATGGTAGCTGCATCCGCAGTCATGGTGATATACAGCTTCTTCAACAACCTTCGTACAGGTCCCTTGCCACAGAAGCGTCTTTTGTCCGTTTGAGAGCCAAGACTATGGTGCTTGCTACCCTTATAAACTATGCATTCCAATGTATGTGGTCGTTTGTTTTGCCATACAAGTTTCACGCAGACCAGGCAAATATGGATTCCAAGATCAGCTTCATTTTCACGGGTATTTCATTCTTGTGGAAATTTATGTCCTACTTTGTCCAACCAGAAACTGCTGGAAGATCTTTTGAAGAGATCGACAACTTGTATAATAAAAACGTTCCTCTATGGGAGTGGAAGTCATGCAAGAGTCAGAAGCAACAAGATAGCGACATATTCTATGACAATTTGAAGCAAGAAATGTCTCACGCTGTGTATGTAATTTCAAGCCAGAAGAAATTTGAAGCTCCAAGCCCCTTCCTACAATTTTTGTTTCTCCCATTGGATTACCATATTTTTCTACTTTTCTCAGTTCTTACAAAAAAGTAACCAAATAAATATGGCTGAAGCTGTCTTTTTTTTTGCATGACAAACTAAGATTTTTCATTATACCTTTACCAACGCATTGTATCTCACTTGACAAATGATTTTGCATACCACATTCATGGTTCTTGTGCTTGCAGCTTGCATTAAATGAAATGAGCCGCACGAGATATCCGTAGCAGTACACACATAATCTGACCGCGAGCTCTGACAAATTGGAGAATAAAAGTAATCTTTGATCTATATGTTCCATACACTCCTGGATGTAGAGCGGAAACGGGGTAACCATGGGGTTATAGTATCACAAAGAACACTGCTCCGAGTTCTTTGCACGGGGATTGTGTGGTTCCTAAGTATTGCTCTGTTCAGGCGAAAGGTAGTGTCAGCATGGATTTCTCTGGAGCACGAGGAA